CATATATGCCCCAATTGGTTAATGAGGGCGTGAAGGATTCATATGTGCAACCCTCCTTCTCGCACAGAAAAACGTGGCATCCACGGTCCCTGCGTTGTAACCCCAATCGCAAGACTCGGCAGTCCAATTTCCCCTCTGACATCAGCCCGCCACACGCACTCATCAACAATTCCAATTTGGTTTGTGGGGATACTATGTGAAGAGCTAACAGGAACTATCTATGGAGTCGGCCACAACAAATATGGAAGCTAGTGGGGAGGACGAGGTCAATGCTAATGCGCGAGATTGTCCCATCTACAACATCGATGTTAGGTGCATGAGCTCCTTCTGACGCAACCGCAATAATAGCAGCCTCGCCGGCTTCTCACACAGCCGAGAGCCTACTCCGCGATCGACGGTACGCAGACAAGACATGCGCACGCGCTCGTAGCTTTACAGCCCACTCGCGTGACAATTTGCCAAACGCGAGTAGGCAGTTTCACTAGACATCTGCCTCTTAACATATGTACATACATGCGCATATCTTGCTTTCCCCAACACCGAACTAACACAGGTTTAGAGGCAATAAAGCTTACAGCCGTATGAGGATCGCGGTCCGAACCTAAGCGTCCTTGGACCTGGCGCATAGGAAGTGGATAGAACTAGCATGCTGCGGCTCTAGGCTTGAGTACCTCGTATGTTCTCATATCTTTACGTACGTACAGTCCCTAATGTATTGTATTGAGGCAGAAAACGGGCTAAACGGCATTGGGGATCAAGCCACGCCCCTCAGTCTCTTCGCACGTGGCTAGACGAGTTGAGACAGGAGACAGGGGGCTACACACCATACAAGGCCTGCTATTCCCGCGTGAGATGTACATAATATAGGTACCTACCTAAGCATGCCGGACTAGGCAGGTATACTGCGTTTTCATCATTTTGGCCCAGGTAGGACAATATCAGTTACGCTAGCGAAGAGTTGTAAGCGCTTCTTCGATATGTAATCATTACGATTACATATCTGGCAGCTGTAAATAAATTGCGAGTATTGACCAATCCGCTCGTGGTAACAGATCAACATACGATTTTATGTGCCTACCGTATGCAGACTGTCATAAATGAGAAGCAGGTAATCATTAATTTTAATATCGTTCTTTAATATATTCTAGAAGGACTTTGGAGATTGGCATTATTCGTACATATAAGTTATACATGCATAGATTCATTTTACGGCTGAGTTGGATGTCGTATAGCGGGAGGTTTTCTGATGTTTTACCTACATAGTAGGTAGGTAGTTGACTATACTTCAGGAAATAATACTTCCATAAGGTATAATGTACTCAGGTCGTATATGACCAAACAAGGTATTCGTTCTTTAAGATAAAGCCGTGGCGTCCACTATCTAACCTCGCCCATAGCTTTGGGTCGCCAGCTCCGGCCCTACAAGTGGATAGATGTCCCCAGAACAGGCTCGCATCTCGTAGCCTCATTCATGTCGTACTTGCAATCAATAATCAACATATTGTGGGGGAGCTCAAGCTTGCTTGGTATTCACTACTATGTAGTAGCTAGTTGATTTTCTCCTTATCGCTTTCCTATGCGTTTCCTCATCCGGAACGTTCCACCGGTTCGTTCGTCTTTCTTATGTCAGAGTAGCGGGAATTGAATACCTGTATTGTGCAGATATATGTACCTGATGCATCTGAGACGTGTAATACGTACCCTCTTTTGGAAATCCTAAATGCGTATTTGTATCTAGATGCATGTACCTCTGTCGTACATACCTAACGTACGTGACGGCGCTGATCACTATGTATCGTATTGTACAGTATAGATTAGCCTAGTGTAGGTAGATATTCCAGCCGTCTGAATAGGCTAGGAGATTACTTTCTCGTAGCACGGGATTGCCGTACCCAAGGGAGAGGAAAGGTAGCCACAGTGGTCGGCCGGCACTGGTTAAGCTTACGATAGACAGGGGTTCAAGGGAGTTCAAGGGAGCTATGATGCTCAAGGTCCCTGAACACTGACACATCATTATTGTTGCTGTTCCGAATTCTTTTGTTCCCTGGTTAATGAAGCAAGTAGGTCCCTACCTAATGATCCATCCCTAGGACTATCTGATAATCTTATTCTCTAGCGTAGGACATCTTCCTAAAGTCTGTTCTTATCTCTTAGGTAGACACATGGGCCTCCCATTATCGTCATCATCAGCCCAAACCCGTAGCAGAACTAATAAAAATACGATGATACAAATCCTCCCTAATGCTCGGCCAACGAAGCTACCCCCGAAGAAGAAAAAGAAAGGGTGGCCAGACAGTTAGGGCTTTTTCCCCCAGTGACAAGTGCACTCGGGGGCGTAAGCCACGCAATGCATTCCCTTGTCCGCAGCCATCCAATGAGAACGTCCGTCCACGCTGCTGGTAGTAGTTATGCCTGAATGCAGTATGTAAGAAACCCAGGTCTTGCGGCCAGGAAAAAGAGATGGGCAAGAGTCTGCGAGATCAGCCCCAGGGTCGATTAATCATACCGATAGGTGTCACATCACATCACATACCTGCCCTTTGCTTTGGGGCCGGTCCCAAGTCCAAGTTCTCGGGTTCGAGGGATCCATATCTATGGTCAGCAAAATTCCTTCTAGAAGGAGTGTCTTCCATTCCATGCATATGCCTAGAAAAGAAAGAAACGATGAATTGCTCACACTACCTACCTACCTATCATCGATCCCGTATGTAAGCCCCTCCATTCATTAGCTTTCCCCGGAAACACTTAAGGGGCAATGTGTCAGTGTCAGACCACTGATGAGACAAAATGTGTCATCATCCAAGCGTCAGTTTCGATATTGGGAATTTCCTCCAGCCACGACCTTCCTGAAGCCCGAACGCTAAGATTACCTATCTACCTGACCCCCCAGGAGATACCTCAACATTTTCGCTCGTGTGCATACCTAGATGGAAAGAGAGGTTAACCGTAGTAGGTATTAAGTCCAGACGGATCGATCCCAAGGAATCCGCTTAAGACATGGAAAACGAGGCGGGAAAGCAAGCTTTTAGCGCCATAAAGTGCAAATTTCCGCCCGCGCCCAAGCTCTTGGGCTAGAACTTTCAAGTCTCATATGGTCCAAACTAAGAGGAGAGAGAAAGAGGTCCTTCAGCACGGACAACGATGCGGTACCTATCACGTTAGTGTAATATATACCGGACCATATGCCGTGTCTGTGTCCGCGACAGAGCCGGCGGTGATAGGTAGTTGAAGTACCATGTAAATAAGGAGAGGAAGGGATAGATAGATAGAAAAGTAATATCCGCCATTTTCGTATGAATCTGTCGCGCACGGACACGATCAAGGGTTTCACCGACAAGCCCACCCCATACTTGATATTCCCGGAGCCACGGTACGCGGTAAGCTGCCGCGGAATCACCGCATTTGACAGATGCAGGCCCCGGCCCACGAAAAAACCTGTCGTGACTACATACATAGTAGTACGTACTTGCTCCCAGACCCAAGTTCTCGGGTTCCAGATGCAGGAGCTAATTGGATGAAGCCCCATTCCCGTAGTCGCCGACTCCAGAGTTTCATCGCCTATAGTACGGGGACGGTATTGTACAGATATGAGGTATCTTAGGTTAGGTTAGGTATGTATTTGTACCTGAAGTAGGTATCATCATGGTTATGGCCATCGTTCGATTGTGAAGTTTGAGCTTTGAAACACTGTCTTGTACCTTGCAGCTGTATCATGGATGGTGTGAGCGAAAACGGGCGTTTATGCTCAAGTACCTAACCTACCTACAGGTAGGCAATTAAGTTAAACCCGGTGTCGGGATAGCCTCATATATCCCTGGCCCAGCCTTATGTTCTTTTTACCGTCCGTGCTCGCCAAGGATACCTCCCAACCCATATCTGTCGCTAGGTACGAGCTAAACACACACATACGCTTTCCTGCCTGAGGCCTCATCCCCTGTAGCAGCATGACGCGATATAGGAGAGACACGACCATAAACCGGCTAGGAAGCATTCGCGCAGACGCAACAAAACAAAACAAAACACAACATCGAAAACTAAAGCCGCAAGTTCCGTGCCCTACCTACTCGAAAACCCCAAGCTTTTACTTTACCTATTGGGCCCAAGACCCCCTTTTGTGCTTTGACCGCTCCACGCCCACCCAAACCACCACCCCTCCCTCCCTCCATTGCTGCCCCGCCCCCTACCCCCTCTCCCCCCTTCCGTGCCGAGGCCGGTTCCCGTGTCAACGGTCAACGGGGCTATATCCGTCCGCGGATCTGATAGCCTATTACCTACCTACCCCCTTTCCCCGTCGTCGACGCAACAACACGTTTTTCTTCTTCTTTTTTTTTTCGTGGCCAATGCAGCTTCGGTGCCGAAAACGGGGGTTACCTCCCTGAACAGGGACTCTCGGAGATGGGGTTGTTGAATATATAGGTACCTACCTCCTAATGTATGTGCATACGATTCGCAGATAAACGAATCCGTATTATTTGATGAATAGGTTAGGTAGGTGCCTACCCCCTTTCTGGGAAAGGGGAGAGAAAGAGGGAGGCGGAGAGACCCTTCTTATGAGGTAGTCAGGTCCCGGAGATATGGACGTACATACATACCTTGTAACCCCCTATATTTACCCCCTGAATTATCCACAAAAGGGGCAAAGATGGGGACGGTTGTATGGACCGAATTGAACTTCCATTGAAGTACTTGGCAGATGCCTATGACATGTCCTGTTATGGTAGACCTGTTTTCGTTGAAGTAAACTCCGAATTAGGTACCTAGTTATCCTAAGATTCAAGTTGGGTTTGCGAGAGGATGAAGTATTTCTACGGGTACGGACAGTCGACGATAGCTTTCTCCTAACTTTATGGGTTAGTACTTCGTAATTACAGGGAAATGTCTCTATAACTACCTGTAAATATTAGTAAACGGATGCTAGGTTGGTATAGCTTATGCTTCACCTCAAGCAATAGACTATTCTTCACACGTGTTGTTGTAGTATCACGGCGGTGTATATTGAGTTGAAATGTCGAATCATTTGCCCGTTCCGCTATCTAGCTTCCTATAATTAATTGGCTAACTCTTCCCTCTTTTAATAATCCAAGCGTGACAGCTACCTATTCCAGCCGTAACTTCTTGCGCTTTCTCTTTCCGCCTACTTCCCTATGCTCTTCGATATTGAGTAGAGCCTCGCGTTTCTTCTCTCCTACTTCCTTCATATAATCGCGGATAAATCTGCTCTCCAAGTTGACGCCTTCTTCCTCCCATTTTTCTAGTTCTCGACCAACACGGGTCTCTATGGCATGGACGCGCTCCACGTCTCTCTGCCCGATAAAAGTGACGGCGTCACCTTTCCTCCCTGCTCGGGCGGTACGTCCAACACGATGAATATAGTCGTCGGGGTTTTGAGGGACGTCGTAATTCACTACGAGGCTGACCTCCGGAATATCCAGACCTCTCGAGGCTACATCTGTGGCAACAAGAATCCGCGCCGCCGAAGCTCGGAATCGTCCCAAATTATCCACACGTTGGCGTTGCTGTAATCTAGAGTGAAGAGACGTGACACGGTGGTCTAATAGTCGTAATAGATGGTGTAGATATTCCGCCGTCGAGGTGCGGTTGCAGAAGATGATAAGTGACTTCTCGATGTTGGCTTCCGTCAGGAGAAAAGCATGAAGATAGTACTCCTTGTGCGTAACGTTTACCTGGATGTACATTTGATGTAGAGTGGTTGGGACGGCAAGTTTCTGTGTGTCAACTTCACATACAAAAGCTGGCTCTTTTCCAGGTTTTGGTGGCATATCTTTCAATGCTCGCACCTCTGGGGTGATGGTAGCGGTAAACAGAAGCGTCTGCCTCTCACTTGAGGGCGGGAGGACTCCCAGACATTCTTCAATATCAGGTAACATGCTCCCCGGACCACCCGCTGCGAGCAATCGATCCGCCTCATCAAGCACCACGAATTTGACCCTCCGTAAGCCGGCTATAGTATCTTCACCAGAAGAGTTAATGTGATCAGCTAATCGACCGGGGGTGGCGATTACCACATGAGGTCTCTGGGCGAGAGCAATTGCTTGTGGCCGCATATCAGATCCTCCGGTGATTAGTATTATCTTGAGAGACTGCGGCGAGGATATCGCCTTGAATTGCTCGTATATCTGTAGAGCTAACTCACGAGTAGCCGTTAACACTACTGCGTAGATAGAGCTTGGATCCTCAGACCACTTCTGCAAGATTGGTGCAGCAAAGGCCACTGTCTTTCCTGAACCTGTCCTACTCGTTCCGATACAATCTCTACCCTTGAGGATTTCAGGAATGCAAGCCTTCTGAATACCTGTAGGTCGTTTGATTGCCATGTTGGCAAGGGACCGAACAAGCCATGGCTTTAGATTTAGCGATTCGAAAGTTGTGTGACGGTCCACTGGAGCGGAAATGGAGGTGTTGATAGGAACAGCTGTTAACACTGGGTTTTCTGATGATGGTTTGGCCTGCCCAGTACCGGCGCTCTTCCGCTTGATCCTTGAAGGCACATTTATGGATGATGTACCTAGTTCAGCGGTAGCAGGAGTTAACTCGGCGGATATCCTGCGTCTCTTACGAGAAGCCGCACTGTCGAGTGAGTCTGATTCTGCTTCCGATCCCGACACATCCCCATCGGACAAGGTCTGGAGTCGTGGCGACGACGAATTTGATATTTGATCGTCTGATTCAGACGCAGATGCAGCGGCTATATCCGCTACGGATGTCGGCATCTTAATATTTAATGCGTACGCAACCCTTCTGTGACCTCAAATGTATTTGATATCTTTTTTTTTCTTCTAGGAAGACGCATTAATCGACATCCAAGCTAAGCGCTTTGAAAAAAAAAAAAAGTTGAAGTTGATACCAAGTAAAAAAAACAGGGGTCTAAATGTGGGGAAGGTTATCGCAACTTGACCAATCAATTGTCACGCCCTAAAGTTACGTTTTAGCTAGGCTGCTACGCTAGGTGTAGACGCGCGGCTGTTGGTGTAATGGATTGCTCCATTCGCCAGATTACCTTTTTTTCGATGGGTCCATATGTACACTACGTGATCGCAGGGAATGCGGGAAAGTGGTACTAAGGTACGATATAATGCATTTACCTAAGGTACCTAAAGGTTAGGTTAGGTACGGTAGGTACCTAAGGTACTGGAATTCATGCTGCCCAGGCTGCCCAGGGCAGGTCCGGGTACAGGCGGTGCAGGTGCAGGTGCAGGTGCAGGTGCAAGTGGTGGTGTCCTATGTTCCCTTAATCAAACTCTCAACTCTGTTTTTCTTGATCTTCATGTTTCAAATTACAGTCTGGAATCATCGGAAACCAGGAATTAATATTGACTACCTCTGATAAAATTATGCAGCCTTTAGCGAATCGGGATCTCCCAGCCCTACGTTGTGATGATCTCAAAGCCGGACATATACCGAATCGCCCCAAATGATTTCGGCTAAGATATAGCCAATCTCTCGCCTTGGGCGCTTGGCAAGGTTGAGCAGGGTGTAGACGGGAAAGCATCTGTATCATCCCTGTATGCATGCATGCGTCTACTACTACATGGCAGTTGGCCTGCTGGTTCACCGAAGCCTTGCTGCAACAAAGAGAGCTCGATTTCACGAGCCCAAGTGTGAACTTTGAGGCTGCATAGGGGTAGATGGAAGTGGACATTGGGATAAGAAAAACATGTGAGAAGAACTTACGAATACATCCCCCATCCCATCCCTCGCATAGTCGAACCACCTCCATTCAACCCCGTTGTTGGACACGAGAAAGCATCACGATCGGGCACCGGTCATCCTTTGGAGCTTTAGAAGGCTTTGGACCCCAACGTGCAATATTCCAAATGGACTTCCGGGGGCCAATCTCCTGTAGCTTCGTCTCGCCATCGAGAGTTGGGGTCTATGCTGTTTAACCCCAAACTTGGACCCCAACAGGCTTTGCAAGCTTGGAGGGTACCTTAGGTAGGTAGGTATGTATGGCAAATTGGGGTATTCGGTGTAGGGCTACATACATCTATCTGTCCATGCGTGATGGCGAGCTGCTCCCCTAAGTCGGGGGGGTTTCATACAGTATCTAGATGGGCACAGTCTCACCTCACCGTTGCGCTGTACCTATAACGGTACAATACAATCCAATATGGATACATTAGGAGGTAGGTACTTAACAGATGTGTACATACATTGTAGAATACCTACCTAACCTACCTAAGGTAGTAAGTTGCGGACTACTACGCTTGGTAACGCTCGCTAATCCTTCCTTGGCTTGCCGATTTCCGACTACCTACACTTGAGATAATCTCGCCTACTCCGAGAAGTATCCAGATTCCAAGAAGCTTGCGCACTAGTGGTTGACCTAATACAGTCTGACACAACAACGGACGTGTCAGCAACGACAGGACCTGCTCCAGCTTCGAGTTTCGTCGAAACATTCTTCGCCAGAGTGAGATATTCCACGTTTGTGAGTGGTGGAGGGCGGGGGCCGGAGTGGATCATTTGATGCGTAGACAGGGTCGAGCTGATCAGGGGTCTACTATGTAAGTAGGAGGTTACGATTGTTTTACGATTTAATTCCTTGGGACCCGTAGTTCATGATCGGTAGACTATCGAATTCGACCATTGAGATTATAGTAAGATGATAGTGAGATGGTACTGTACGACTTTAAGTTTAACCCCTTGCGCGCAAGAGATGCTTTCTCAGACGAATACAGACGGATGCGTGATGATCATTTTAGAGCCGAGCGCCATCACATCTCAGGATATGCTGAAGGGAGGGTTAAGCACGCGCTTCATTCACATCCATCTATGATCTATAATATTATTTTATTAGTATATTAGCATATTATTTGTTATATTATGCTTGAAGCCTATGGTAATATAATATATCTCTATTTTAGGTACCTAAGGTACCTACCTATATAATATCCATCATACAAATCTTTCTTCCCTTTTCACGTTCTTAATTTGAGGCAGATAATAAGAAAACATACCACAGGCTTTCTTCCTTAATATATTTTTCTTGCTATCTCTTTTCGTTATGTATTGTTAAACGCCAGATAACCCGTCTCGTATTTTAGATCCGAAACTACTTACATGACCCCAACGCACACCTGACAGCTTTTTTTCTCTCATATTTTTAATAGCTATTTTACGGGGGTAGCTTCCACTACACCTTAGGTACCTACCTACCTATATCTTAGGCTCGGCCCGGTATTGATGCCTTGGCTACCTCCTAAAAATTACCTTATGTAATGGCGTTTGGAGACTTGTATCCATCCAGTATATTGAACTTGACTGCTGTCCATTTTATACAATGCATCATACATCATAATCTACTCCATACAAATACTTTTTTTTTTCTTAACTGCCCACCATATCTTTCACTTCGTTCCCCACGCATTCGTTCGGCGCATAGGCGCATATTATTGGCCCTATTTAAATTATCAACTCGAAATTCGTAACTGGCAACTTGCAACTTGCAACTTCACCAGTCTTATTTGTTGGTCTACGATCTCCAATCGCATTAACCCCAACCCGTCCATTTCCATTGCTCGGTTGTCGTTTATCGCCCAATCTACAGAATTTTGGCGCTGGAGACCTGGCACTAGCATGGTATTAACATGGTATTGGCATGAGAGCCCGCATCAACATCCCTGTTAATCCAGTCTTGTTTCTGGTTCATCCGCCCCCGTCTCTTCACCAGTGCAAGAAAAGCCACCACCACTCAAAACCACATCGAACCCCCCCAGGTCTTAGCGGGACAAGGGCCAAGAGCCAAGAGCCAAGAGCCAAGGTTCACCAACGACAATTCGAGATCCAGGTCTAATTTGCCTACCTCAAGGTACCTAAGGTACAATACTTTTAGCTCCTAGTTGTTCCCGAGCATCGTCCAGCCAAGTCCTTTTCTCCGCTTCCCTGACAGGAAACTAGACGAGCGAGAACAGCTATCCTACCTTACCACCTTAGGTATTCTACAGATCCGCAGTATTACTTCGTACAATACACATAATTACCTACCTAGGTATATTACTACCTAACCTAACTACGAATTCACTACGAATTACATATCCATATCTCCTACCTTACATCGACTGGGCTGCTGGGCATCCAACATTTTGTGCAGGGGTTAATTTCGACTACGCGCGGCACAAAAGCAAACTAGCTATCATCTCCTCCACACCCCTCGATTATTTACCCCCCACGACCATTCAACCATCTTGACATTTTCAACCTTTTTTTGTGGTTTTGTCTAGTCCAACTTAGTTGCTCCAATTTGCTCGATACTGTCACGAATAGAACGATAATTCCTTCTCTCTTTTTTTTATTAAAAAGAAAATCACAATACTACCAACGGATTTTGACAATACGTCACTCAAATATATTAACCTGCGGCGCTGTGTGACCTCGTTGGGGCATTCCTGGTTATACCTGGACGAGTTGTGTCGGCAGACTGTTACATACACCCATCTTCGGCCCTTTTATTTCCTCTTTGTACTCGATAAACCCGACCGTTTCCTCAGTAGACTACACCACGAACACGCACTCTCACCCACAGGCTTGCTGCGCAATCTGTGGTTTGAAAACCGACATACCACAAAATGCCCGATCACGAGAATCTACAGGCTTCTGAGCCCGTCATCCAGAATGTAATTTAGCTCCCCTTCTAGTTGAGCTGCACTGCCCTAGCCTTACCTTCTTTGTCTCCATACACCGGTCCCTCTATTTCCAACTCCATTCGCGAAAGCTTTCCCACTCGCGTGCCTGAGATGCTAACGTATTTCTACCATGAAGACCTCAACCACAGCAGCTCTCGAAGCTGCCGTCAGCACCCCTCCACCACTCTCGACACCTATACCCATCATGTCGTCCTCTCCAGCTCCTCTTCGACCCGCACTCGCAGGCGGCAGACCGAGCGGTGGACGAACACCGAGACTAGGCCTAGCTATCCCACCATCTCCTAATGTTAAGCCCGTAGGCACCCCTGGCGTTCCGTCGCGGCCTCAGCTCACTGTCCACGTCGCTACTCCGATGGGTAGCACGGTCGCACCATATGAGCAACATCGACCTACAATTCAGCCGGGACAATCCGCAAGCGGTGGTAGCGAAAGCAGCGCAGCGCACTCGCGATCCGGCAGTTTCGGTCCTCTCGACGGAAGAGCTAGCAACCCTACATCCGCAGGCTCCCAATTCTCTGCACTATCGTTTGCGTCACAATATGGCATTGGATCAAGACCTCAAGGCACGCCAGACCCTATATCCGCTGTTGGTTCTATCTACTCTGAGAGAAGCGAGGGGGGTATTGGCATGGAGCGAGATAGCAGCATGCAGGGCCTCGAGGATAGCTTCGATAAGATGACCTTGGAGAAAGCAAGAACTGCGGATGTAGATGAGCTCGATGACAATGGCTGGAGAATTGCAAGCGCAGAAAACAGGATTGTTGAGTTAGGCAGTCTAGGCGAAGGTGCCGGCGGCGCCGTCACGCGGTGCAAGTTGAAGGGTGGAAAGACAGTATTTGCATTGAAGGTACACCGTCTAACCTTTCAGTCTAGCTGTAGAATATGTGCTGATATACTCCTCAGGTCATTACCACAAATCCAGACCCGGATGTCAAGAAGCAGATCTTCCGTGAAATAAACTTCAATAAGGAATGCGCATCGGAGCATATTTGCCGATATTATGGAGTTTTCGGCGATCCTGCCACTGCCACTATTTCTATCGCTATGGAGTTTTGCGAGGGCGGATCCCTCGATAGCATCTACAAAGAAGTCAAGCGACTTGGCGGCCGAACAGGCGAGAAGGTTTTGGGAAAGATTGCCGAGGGCGTCCTCCGAGGATTAACCTATCTCCATAGCAAGAAGATTATTCACCGAGATATCAAGCCATCGAATATTTTGCTGTGTCGTAACGGCGAAGTCAAACTGTGCGACTTTGGCGTGTCAGGCGACTTTGGAACCAAGGGCGAAGCTAATACCTTCATTGGCACGAGTTATTACATGGCACCGGAGCGTATTACAGGTCAAAGTTACACTATCACGTCAGATGTTTGGTCAACTGGAGTCACACTTCTTGAGGTGGCCCAGCACCGATTCCCCTTCCCGGCTGACGGGACCGAGATGCAACCTAAGGCGGGTTTGATCGATCTACTAACCTACATCGTCCGACAACCGATACCGAAGCTCAAGGACGAGCCGGATGCTAACATATTCTGGAGTGATAGCTTCAAGTATTTCATCGAGTGCTGGTAAGTTGTCCAATCTCATCACAATTAAGAAAAATAAAAATCTAATGTCTGCGTAGTCTCGAGAAGGAACCAGCCCGTCGAGCAAGTCCGTGGAGAATGCTCGAGCACCCATGGATGATGGAGATGCGGACGAAGCGGGTAAATATGGAAAGATATCTATCTCAGGTTTGGGGATGGGACGATGTGACGAAATCCTAAGCTACAAGGAATAGCTTGAAATAAGCGACCCCTAATCCTCTCGCCCAGGACAAAACGGCTACCAGGCGTCCAAGCCTGCTATGATACCCACCCGCATAACCTCATCTTGACCTATTTAAAGGCAAACAGCCAGCTAACACTATCGCACGTCGCTTGCGCACCACCGCCAGCAAGCCATAATTACACAGCATTTAGATTACCAGTATCGGAGGGTGCGTCACTGCTTATTGCGCCAAGGAACACACATGACTGGGATACTTGAAAGGGGGGCGAAGCAGCTGGAGGAGGCGAACGTATATCAACTCGTATATATTACTCACACATATTTAGGGAGTTTGGGGATGGGGACCGTAAGATTCAAGGGGCCGATTAGGTTAACATGGAATAAAAAATGATTACATGTGCTAGCAAGGCATAACGTTAGGTACATAGGCATTCATCTACGTACCTTGATTGAATCTTTATTTCATGGTTTCCTTGGTGATGTGATGTATATCATGTCAGCGGCGGAGTCTTGTACGCATTTCGGCCAGGCTATTTCCAAGTAAAGATAATATAAAGATAAGATATATAACATATACCCCTTCGTAAATTCAAGGTGTACTAGGTACATGTGCTTCCTGACTACTATGTACCTATTAGGTTAGGTTAGTAATTATATAATTGCGCAGTAAATACAAGTACGTATGAGATGAGATGTTTGCGCGCTGCTCTTGGAAATGGAAGGTATTGCATGATATAGTGCTATTAGGTAATCGGATACCCAACTGTAGATGGGTCCTCGGATAATCATCGGCTATCCAACCTCGATAAAGTCTTAAATATCACTTGAGACTTTCTTTGCAGCGGCGTCGGGTTTTACTAAGTACCTCTAACACCAACAAACCGCGGACCGCCTCGAAACCAGCATTTGTTCCTATACCCGCGAACTTGCAGCCTGGCCACCATTGTTTACTTTGGCCTTTAGCGGCCAACCTATAAAACTCTAATTGAGGCTATACTATCCAATTTTAAACTGAATAATTTCTTTTTTTGTTTGGCTTCTAAGCTCTTCCGCAATGGCTGACGAAGCCGAGAAGCCAGCCGAGAGCGCGGTCAAGGTTCGCGAGTCCATCGAAGCTAAAGCAATTACCGATACCAATACCGACAATGCCCCTCAAGATTCGGACTCAAATAAGGTCGCCACTAACTCTGGCGATGCTGGCGATGCTGCTGGCAAAAACGGAGAGGATTCTCGGGGAGGCTCGAGTATCAACGCTGCTGCAGACGCGAGCGCAGACGCAGACGCGGATGCGGATGCGGATGGCGACGCGGATGCTGACGGCGAGCCTGAAGAGGGTCGCACACCGAGTCGTCTCGATCACGACATGCTAATAGTCATTGAAAATACGGCAAACTATCTCTCTACTTATAGAGATGCCGAGTAAGTCCTACTAGCCCAGTCAATAGTCGTAGTTGTATCTAATAGCAAACCTCGAAAGCGGTTACCATGTTGCCTCACACTTCCAGCGCATTCCGAACCGACGACTCATCCCAGAATACTACGAAGTTATAAAAGAGCCAATCGCTTTCAGTACAATCCGAGTGAGTTACTAACCTAGTCCGACCTCTTATAATCACGTCGTCCTGACCTTGATACCTCCCACTGTAGACCAAAAAGCTTAAAAAGCAATACACCGCCTTCTCCGAATTCGTCAGGGATGTCGCTCTCATCTCCCATAATGCTATGGTTTATAACCGACCTTCCTCGGAATTCTTTCAGGACGCTGCTCGTTTACGGGAGATCTTTAAGGAAGAACTCCAAAAGCTAGTCAACGAGGGAACCATAAAGCCTGAGGATGCGGTACTCCCCGACTTAGGAGAGATTCCCGAGGCAGAAGACTCCCCTCCTCCGGATGCAGAAGACGAAGAGGCAGAAGAGGAGGATGAAGAAGACGAAGAAGATGACGATGACGACGATTCGGACGATGAGGGTGGACGGCGGCGAGGGCGGCGAGGTCGTCACTCAACTTCAGGACGAAAAACTGATACGAGAGATGATGATTCCCACAAGAAGCGAGGCCGTCCTCCCAAGGTTTTCACCCCACTGGAAGCCCGCATCCATGCGCTGCTGAAAGGCCTCCGAAAGCCGAAACATCCTGATGGCGATCTGCTAATCATCCCGTTCGAAAGGCTTCCAGATAAGCAGGCGACTCCCGATTACTTCGCTGCCATAAAGAATCCTATAGCAATGGATCTAATCAAACGTAAGGCCAAGAGGAAGAAGTATCAGAACGTGGACCAAGTACTAAAGGACCTCGATTTGATGTTCGAAAACGCGAAACTATACAATGAAGAGGGCAGTCAGATTTATAAAGATGCGGTCGAGTTGCAGCGACAAGCCCATATACTTGCTGAGCAGGAGAAGGCCAAGCCCGACAGCGAATTCGAGGGTGAGGACGGTAGACGACCCCTACCGGAAATTGTCCATAAAGGGGAGGTTTGGAAAGTTGGTAAGTCTTATGAGTTGTCGTGTCATATAGCTTAGGTGAAGTCGAGAGTGTTAACTGGACTTAGGCGACTGGGTTCATATCACCAACCCGAACGATCTGACAAAGCCTATCGTGGCGCAGATCTACCGAACCTGGGAAGACAAGTCGGGACAGAAGTGGGTAAATGCTTGCTGGTACTACCGCCCTGAGCAGACAGTCCATCGGTTCGAGAAGCATTTTCTCGAAAATGAAGTGGTCAAGACAGGCCAGTATCGTGACCATCGCATCGACGAAGTTGTGGATCGGTGCTTTGTTATGTTCGTAACTCGCTACAACAGAGGTAGACCTCGAGGATTCCCTAAGAACAAAGATGTTTATGTATGCGAAGCGCGATATAACGAGGAGAAGCATAAGCTCAACAAGATCAAGACTTGGGCAAGCTGTTTGCCTGACGAAGTCCGGGACAAGGACTACGAGATGGATCTGTTCGAGGCGCCCCGCAAGCTGAAGAAGGTTATCAGTCCCATTAAACATCTTCTTCAAGACGATGCGAAACCTACAGATCCCTTACCCAAGCCGACTTGGGGAGCACCCAATGCGCCTCCTTTGATAGGGGCCGTGCATTGTCGTGCGAGAGAGCCCAATGTAAGTTTCCTAATTTTCTTCCTTTTATATGTACCTATATTTTATAGGCATTACCCCACGAACCTAAGCGTCGCTATCGCAATATCGCAATCGCACATCCCAACCTTTATGTCTCATATGAGCAGAGCAGCAAACATGCAAAAAAGGGGCAATGGGAACAAAAGGGTACAACAGAAGAAAAAAAAGGGTGAATGGGTTTAATGTGCCGCCCCCTCTACCTGCTATCCTATCCCATTCCATCCTATCCCCCTATCTTATTCTTGCCGTCTTATCGATTGCGTTGAAACCTTTTTTTTTTCCCTAATGTCTCACTGAAGCGCGTCAACTAACATTAATCTAATTTCTTCTTACCTTACTTACTCACACACATTTTTTCTTTTACAGGAATCTCCACCCCCAGAACCAACGCCATCCCCGCCTCCGCCGCTCCCCATCATGGATTCAGTCCGTCGTCCTTCAATGATGGCAGCCCGCCCAATTGACGGTCAGGGTGATATTGTTATGGGTAATACTCATACTCCTCATTTTTCCACCATTCCAACTCCTTCCACACCGACGCCTGGACATGTCGGTGCCTATGTGCCACCTAACCCGTTCGCGCCGCGTCCTAGTCCAACTCCGGTTCCTGTACCACAATATGGCAATCATGCTGGCCCCCCCCATCCCGGCTTTCCGGTTCAGGGTATTCAAGGTCCTCCCCACGGCGCTCACGGTCACACCACACCACAGATGACTCCGCAGATGACTCCGGTACCACATTTCCAACCGCACCAACCTCCTCACCCACCTACTCCTTACAACGGATATGCGCCTCAATATAGCGCTTCTCCGGTCCCTGTACCCCATCAGCCTCACCACCCGCCTCCTCACCCAATAAATCCTCCAATGCCTCCCTATGACCCGTCGCATCGTATTGCGCCTACCCCTTCGAGAGCTTCTATGGCCCCGGTGCCTAGTCCTGGCCCACACGGGCAAGCTAATGTCTACAATCCTCCCCGTCCGGTCGAAGTTTACCGATTAGACGACGCATTAAATGACAAGATTCCCGAAGAGGTTCGACAACAATTTCAACGCGATGAAGCTGGTCACGTGTTATTCTTCACCCAACCGCCTCTGGACCGCCCGCACCGCGGTGTTTCCAGCGAGAGCGCTGGTCTTGGCCATAGCGTCCGCTATCTTGCCGACCGCTCTCGCGAAATCCAGGATCGGCGCACGAAGCGAAAGGCGAGAAATGAATTACGCCAGGCGGAAGAGAAGAAGCGGCAAGAGACTGCGAGACTCGACACCGAAAAGGAAACGAAGGAGATAATCGACCAGGCCTGCGGTGCCTTGGCCGACTGGGTCGGCTCTATGAGTAAAGAAACCGAGAAACTAATGCAAGTCTACGACGGTTGGAGCTGTCGCGATGAAGATATCGATAAGGTTGCCGGAACCATATCAGGATAGAATTCCGCCACGGATTTCGGGCAAGGTAATGAGCAGGGCGATCGATGAATTTGCCCGATAAGATGTAATTTCATAAGGGTTAGGTACCTACCACCTACCTTACCTATGGTAACCTATGTTTCTTCGGGCTTGTTTAGTATACCTATTTCTACGGCGTTTAGGTATTGAGGAGAGGGGATAAAGGGTTACACTTTCAAGGAGTCAAAAGATACCACCAACTTCTCTGGTTATAAGGGCACTGGTAAAGTGATTTATTATTTCAAGGAAGATAATAAATAAATATGGTTAGATTAGTGTCAGTATTGGTAGGCCCTGAGGCAGTTAATATACATGATTTATGATAAATAACATTAGGCTACAGTGCTTGTTGTAGACAGAATTAGCATTTGTACGTCCTGCGTAGGTTGAATGTTTACATTTTGGTTGTGTGAACATATAACATACGAATGGCCCTTGTATCTATTTACGTACAATACAATACGTAAGTCATAAGATACCTGTCAAGAGTCTTAAGTGTTCCCGGCAAAAATATGCGTCTGCACTTACATTCGCACTCCTTTCCCCTAGGTCTGTTTAGTATTATCACTGGAACTAGTTGGATAGCAAGCTATAACGTAACATGGCGTTAAATATACGTGCTCGGATATGGTAAGAGCGAATATTCAAACCGGCCTTCCCTTGTTCTGTACCTTCATGATAATGATAAATAATAACAGCTATATAAACGTGACGAGGACGCCACTCTAACATGGACTCTCCTTAGCCCCTTGTCAGAATTGTTTCAACGTAGGTACCTATCACTACCTAGGCAAATACCTAGACCCCTAGTACGATGTCGCTCTTTGGTATGCCAAATCAAAACAGCTTCTATAGTCACCTAGGTACCTTACCTACCTAGAGGTAGGTAGAATATCATGTTGGCAAGTCGTACCAGCCAAACTATGGATTAATTGAGTACGTCACTTAATCGATAGACCCTTAAAACTCCCTCTACACTGTTGGGTGATCTTTCTTGCTTCTTCTATATTGCTGGGGTACCGACTTTCGATACATTAGGTACATATCTTCTCCTATATTCGTGCCCATTTTTCACCTGGGAGAATCGTATTTTCTCCATCTTGATCACTCGCACACCGCGACATCAGCTGCCGCGTTAGGGCATGGTAGCTCTACACCTAAAACTATTTCGCTCTCCTAAATCATCCACCCCGACGAGGAGCGATGGGGGAATTGGGTTACTCCCATGATTAGATGTAGGTGAGCGGATTCGATCGGCGACAATAAGTAGTGTTACGGTTGAGGCTTAGTATTCTCTCAGTCTTTATGCTGCTACCCTATTGCAGCCTATTCCTATGAGGAACCCTGCGCGAACCGGATATCGGGCAGTCTTCAGCAAAGTTAACATAACAGCCTAATAGTGTGTCGTTTTGTCACAACTAGGAGAAGTGACGCCTAATAATCTGCTGTCCTTCGGGTGAAAAGTGCTGCTGTAAGAGTGGTGTTGGGTCAACGTTTGCCGACTGTAGTAGCATTTGAATTGCTCTGGCAACACGTGCGCCCAGCTGTCCGTGAAGCATCTCAGCCTCGAGGGCCTGTCCTACATAGACAAACACCTTATCAACTTGGGTGGTGACCGCAGGGTTTTGTCTGCACGAGAAGTTAGTATACAAATCCTTTCACTGCCACTAGAACCGTATAAAAACGGGCTCGCGTCTATTATTAGCAACTTAGACTTACTGTTCGATTAACTCCACGAGATAGCCGTAGGCATATGGCGCTGCCTCTTCATCATTGGTAACTGGTAAGGTATTGACCCTATGTGGTAATATGGTTAGCGGCCGGTATTAGTTGAGGTCGTGCTAAATGCATACCATTGTACTGCGATAGCTTGCGGATCTTGTAGACCCTGCTTGTTAAAGTGAAGAATCTTTGCGATAGCCGCGCAGGCGTTTTCTATATATGCATTAGCGAAATCTGAAATATGCACGTAATTCAACAAGAATACGAACCAGTGGCGTAAACGGCTTCTTCACCGCGCGCATCCGGTATCTGGGTCGCTTGGAACAAATAGGGGATCGATGTTGCCAGGAATTGCGCCCAGGGAGCTCCGCCACGATGAGCAGCTACACCGATGCCATACCTAAAAATGCGTTAGCGGTGATCGGACGGAATTACAAGATATCTGTGGCGATTCGTGTGATATAAAACCGATCTGCCATTGAATGTGAGACGCAGAATATAACTTACGCAGCAGCTTGTCGAATAGCAGCCGAGGGATCTTTGCAGCCTTCTAATAGAGCAGTACTAATAGCCCGCGCATAACGAACACTTTCCGGCCCGCAATATTCCAGAACGTCATCCATGATGCATAAACCCCACTGACGCTGAGTAGGATCCGGTGACGTAAGGAAGCTCTCGTAAGTGACCATGAGACGTTCCCATGGTTGGAGGAAAGCGGAGCCGTGGTTCTTGAAGATGGAGTGAAATGCCTTGTTCATATCGGACAGTAGGGTCTGATCATCCTCGATCGCGATCAAAAGTTCTTCCGCTTCGTCTTCGGCATCCTCAGCAGCAGCTCCAGCTTTATCTTCTTCACGTTTAGCAACACGGTCCCTGTAATCTTCGATAGCCGAGTGGACGCCATCGATAAATTTCCCCATATGTTGTTGGCTGAGGCAGTCCTTGCCGACCACTTCCACGGACTCGTAAAAGCATTGGTACATCTCAGCCAGAGCATCGATGGCTGGCTCAGCAGTAAGCACCTCGAGTAGCTTGTCTACCGTTCCAGCCCACAAACCTCGAAGTTCGTTCGACTCGGGGCCATAAGCCTTCTTATACGAGCTGAGAAGCTGAGGAACAAGCTTCGCTGAAATGAATCGAACAGGATCATGGAAAAAGAATGCCAGACCCGGAAGCGCAATCTTCTCCATAGTATCAGCAACGTACGGAGCAAAATGACCCTCAAGGGTCTGCGCGTACACCACGAGCAGCTCAATAGCCATATGCTTATCATCCATCGTACTAGTCCTGATTCCAATCATTTTCCCCTTGAGCGGTACTAACTCCCATCCGTCTTCTTGCTGGATCTGCTCGATCTCATCATCCGTATCCAATAGCTGAATATCAGCCTTGGCACTGGCCAGTTCAACTAACGGAGGCATGACGTTAGGCAAGAAGCGCAAGAAATCGGCCCCCATCACTCTACACATGCGTCCCCAGCAGTGCATAAGATATTGCGACTGCGGGTCGTCAGGATCGGTGATGTGCTCTTGAATATTAGCAAGGAGCTCAACCAAGACCATCGCATCATTTCCGAGACGTTCCTTTCCAACGGCCAATGCTATCAAAGTAGCACATTCCATGGCCTTGGCACGAAGCAGTCGGTACTCCTTTTCGGTTTCCTGTCGTAGGACGTTGACGAGTAGAGGCATCAGCGTGTCATAGTACTTGGAAAAGGCAGCTTCGGCGGCATCAGCAATGGTTGCAATTGTCGAAAGCGCTTGCTCCTGAACATAGCGCTTCTCATTTTGGAGGAGTTGGAAGAGTGAGGATAATAATTGGTCCAGATAGGGTTCAAGGATGCTCTTTTCTGCCTCTTCGCAAAAGTTCACCAATGCGGCAGCAGCGTGCGCCTTAACACGACCCTCCGGCGACTCAAGGACAGGGATGATGGCTTTTAAGACGGTATCATAATACTCTTTCTGCATCGTAGGCGCGAAATCTGTACTCATCTGACCAAGGGCTTGACATCCTGCCCAACGAACTCGAGGATGAGGGTCCTTCAGCGCAGGCACAACTAGCTCGAGAACATGGCTGAGCTCTTTAACCATAAGGTCACGGCAACCTTCCGATATGGCTGAGATGGCCATGAGAGCTGCGTGGCGGTCCTTCCAGGCCATAGAAGTCATCATCCTAGGAAGCCAGTGGAACGTTGGGGCTAGAATAGTCTCGCCTCCGAGTTTGTTAGCTAGTCGGTCCATGCACTGCTCTCCTGCAACATGATTTAAGTCGCTCTCCTCCTGATCAAAGTCGTCTGAAGCCAACCATTCAGCAGCATCGTCATCATCTTCGCCGAGATCCGTCATCAGACTTAAGCATTGGGTGATCATATCGGTCGTATAGGACGGATCTTTGCGACACATTGACGGAGCGTAATCGGCAAAGGTTGCCATGAGTTCGAGCGCATTCTGCCGGCTAAGATCGTTTAACTCCTTGTCCTGTATGACGCCAACGCTGAACATGACGAGGTTGTGAAACAACGGTCTGAACATTTTGGGAGACGTCTCGGCCAGTTCGATCAAGGCAACGAGCGCTTTACTAAGGTCTTCAGAGTCATGCGAATCCTTGATAGGGGGTAAAATGTTGAGTACATCGGGTAGCAAAGGGAATACTTTGCTCTGATCCTTCTTTGGGAGATTTCTGAAGAAGGACGCAAAGGCGTCCATAGCAGCCAAGCGGACTGCAACAGAATCATCCTTGAATCCCCTGTTGAAGGCATCAAGTACCGCACTGTCGTGCTGTTTTTCAATAATACCGGGCGTCGTCGCAAAGACACGGAAAGCGGTTTCACGTTGTCCCGCGTCGGCGGCAACGCTCAGGTTGAAAAGGACGGCTAGGATTTCGGGCCATTGCTGGGCTAGAATACGCAAGTTAGTAGTCGTTCTAGCGATAGGGCGCTTAGCAACTCTTCCGCCTCGAACTGCAGGCGATGCCGTAGGAACAATAGGAAGTGGCCGAGAGCGCATGGTAAAGGCAAGAAAAAGGAGAAGGCAGCAGTAGCAGTAATGTACTAACTTGACTCTGAATATTGTCTTGCAACATCGGCAACGGCGTCACTTATTTTATTTCGTACCAAGCGGTCCCTTTCGTTAGCCAAGGCTTCAAGCAGCTTTTGGCGGATAACAGAAGCCTGCTCGAAAGGTAAGGATATAAAGACTTCGGACGTGTCGCCTTTGTCGTTCTTGCGTGTTTTGGATGCTATCCGACGGAATATAACAGCGGCAAAGGAGCGCAACTAGATAGATGATTTGGCATGTCAGTCTTTCAGACGCAAGACAAGAGGGGTTCATCAAAGAAATGTATAACGTTATACTATACGTTATACTATACTAGATTATACTTACGGATGTTTCAGTTGAGGCTGCTATCTGCTCAGCCAGACCCATCAACAAAATGTCAGGACGGGCACTGGTCCAGCTATTCTGCAAATGTCCCTCGGCCTGAGATCTTATAGTGTTATCCGGGGATTGCAGGGCTTGCAAGAGCTGAGTTAGCTCTGCATGAGTTTCTGCCGGAAGGACTGACATGTTGTTGTGCGATAATCGAGGCAGAGTAGTTCTACCTGAGAGGAAAGGGCGTAGTGTTTTAGCAAGTCGATCAGGTCGAGAGGTCGAAATCAAAGTCTGTCAAAGTCTGTCAAAGTCTGTTCAAGTTGTGTCGCTTCGTGATGTTGTGCCCCGCAGGGCTAAGGCGCGGTGGTGGCCTGGCCTACAGCGGGTTCTAAGAGTGTAGAAGATTAGGTGAATAATGTCGAGTTACAGTAATGAAGTTCATAGAACAAGTTCCTGTATTAAGTTACTCGGGATAATTTGAGGTTTAAATTTGTATAAAGGATCCCTTGAGATTATAACAGAGGGAACTTGGTAGTGAAAAAAAGATCTCGCCTGTACTATGGATATTGCTGTTGCTGTTGTTGTTGTCGTGTTTTTTTATTTGGCATCTATGGTAACGAGGGGTCGCGAAAGAGGGGAGGTTTTGTTATCGATTTTTTTTTTCCTTTCTTCAATGCACGTTGATAGAACTCCTTGAAAATAAAATAAATTCTTAGACCAGCGGGAGTACATTAAATGGTCCGTGCATAAAATGCTTTCGTCTAGCTATGCTAACTTCAAAGAGCAAACGTTCGCTGCTTTTGATTGCTTGACTTGGGCGATATGTAGCCGAATAAGGCTTAGGCCAGGCCTAACTACCTACTATCGATAAAATCATTGGGTACCGATAAGATCACTTGAAATCACTCGTTTAATTTTTGGCCGTGACAGCCTCAGCGTTAGAATCTTTAGGACCTAATGCAACTAAAAGATCTCGATTCAGCACATACCTAATTACCTTAGATAATATTAGGTACGGATTCCATTTAGTTCGGTTTTGCAATAATGAGTTGCTGGAATGTTTGTTTGTCTGGTATGCTGTGGCCCATGTATGGCATAGTACAGCCTATCCTCAGTCGATTGGTTCCAGCCTATATCCCGACAATGCGCTACCTATTTGCGCTGCCACGTATTACATCCTCTCATTCACTCCGATGCCTTATTAGCTGGCACAGGAGAGTACGTATGTCTAGAACATTTGCAAGCTTATTTGCAAGCTTATGGTTCCCCTCATGAAACTATAGATCAGGTACCTTAGGTACTGATAAATAGGGCAGAAGGTTGAATAATATGAGGCACGTTAAGGCCTAGGTAGATTAGAGGTAAGCATGTGTAAGAAAAGAGAAGATATCACGTTTACAAGTTATTCTATATGGGCCCACTTCTAGTCTGCTGGTTACCTAATATATAGGTAGGTACATTAGGAAGGCCCTGTTAAGGTTAACAATATCAGCTGCAGATTGACCCGAATGACAGACGAGTGACGGTGTAGAAAGGTGAAGGAGGGGTTTGCCGTATAACGTACCTAGGTACGGGGTAGTTATGCTATCCATAATTGGAATAATATTGTACAATATTAGCTTGTAGGCACTGTGCGTTAGTATCTCCAAGCTACAAGTATAGGAGAATAGGTAGAATGGACATATGCACTTTCCTTCTCTTCAATGCACCGCAAGCACCACTTGCCTTCAGATGGGAAGTACCCGTATATATAATATATACCTCTTATCTAAAGTTACCTAACCTAATATATATCAATATATCATAAACGCTATGGACGCATTTACATCCATATCCGCATCCACATCCACATCCACGTCCACATCCACACCCACATCCACATTTACATACCTCACGCGCACACGCACACGCACATACACATACACTTCAATACTCATATGAGATCAGTAAAAGCAATGGTAGGTAGCTACCTTTAATCTAGACTAGGTATATGTACCTATTGTATTGTACCTAGTTAGCTATCGGCACAAGCTTCGAAGCTACCTACCTAACAGGACATCCACCAATTCCCCTCGTCAACTTCACATCAAAGGTGAATAACCGCCCCGTATTTATATGGTTATAGGTACCTATATTTCACCTCAGTCAATCGCCTCTAATATAGTATTTTCTTCGCCATGGATCCTAATGCCTTCTCTTTCCGAGGACGCAAAGATTCTAAGGAAACGAGCATCTCACCGCCACCCCCTCAACGGACAGCTTCTTCCTCGAGTGTTCACAAATCTAGCCATGTCCTAGGTCACAGCCATCGCTCAAGCCTCGCGGAGAACTTGAGGGGTCTGCCGCCGTCCCCGCGAAATCAGCGACATCCGTCTTTCACCCAGGCCGCCCTTCAAGAATTGCTCAATCACCCGCCGGCTCCGAAACAGCAGAACCCTCGCTTCGCCGGGAGGGACTGGCGCGATGTCGCAATCGGGGAGCTCGTGTCCAAAGATGACGTTTCCTGGGTGGAAATGGATACCAGCGTGCAGGATGCCACAATGGTACTACGAATCCCGATCCACCAACATCCATCTTATGCAGCTTATCTTTCTAACCATGCCTTCAGGCCCTTCTCAAGAATACATCGAGCAACGTCGTCATTATCCGGGAGAACGCCACCAGTACCGTTCCAATCTCCACATTCGATTATAACGACTTAAACGCCTACATCCTGGTCGTGGTCGGTTTAGCGCATCCGACTGACGATCTGGTGGAATTGTACGATTCGATAGCGAAAAGAGCACAGGCCCGGGATAACATCCCGCTCCGCGACATCCAGCCAATCTGTCGGAAAGAATCCCTGATCACATTGCAGGGAGATGAAGACCTGGCAAAGGCGATTGAGGTCTTCGGCAGCGGTGTACACCGGGTCCTTGTCCGCAATCACAATGCCGAGCTGATCGGCATTCTAAGCCAGCTGGAGCTTTTGGAATTCTTCTGGAACGAAGGCATTAACTTCCGCGTCATCGACGATCTTTATCCCAAGCTTCTACGCGAAGTCAGCATCGGCTCCCAACAGATACTAGCTGTCAAGTACGTACAATATCATACCTAACCCTGAATTACCCGTCTCTAACAACCGCATAGTGCAGACAGTCCATTGACGGAAGCTCTCAATCTAATGAATCAGGAGGGTCTATCAAGTGTGGCTGTAGTTGATAACGCTTTGAACGTCGTCGGCAATATTTCCACGGCCGATGTTAAACTTCTTACCAACTCAACTAGCCTCCCGTTACTACAAAGTTCGTGCATGCACTTCATATCAGTTATCTTGACCGAGGATGGGGTAGAGAAAGGCAAGGATTCGTTCCCTGTCTTCTACGTTAACCCTTACTCGACGCTCGCACACACGGTGGCCAAACTAGTTGCTACTCGTTCGCACAGGATGTGGATCGTGGAATCTGCGTCTCCATCTCCTTCGGCCCCGGGAACTCCTTCGTTAGGTCCCACCGTGTTCGTCCCGACGCCGTCTTCTTCGCAGACTTCTCTTACCGGTACTCATTTCCCTTCGGTCCCTCCAGCATCCACCCTACCCGGATCTCACTTGTCTGGGCGTTTGATCGGTGTTGTTACCTTAACGGATATTCTCAACCTCTTTGCAAAGTCAACGGGACTGAATCCCACAGATCCGAGCGAGCAGCGAGCACGTAGACGTAGGAGCTCGAGCAGTTCTGTGCGCCCGTCCATCGAGTCTGCCCGTGCTAGTCTTGATATTCGGCGATAGGGGAACATCCAGCTATGGTAGTGCGCGTTGTGAGGTTTAAAAGCTCAGGGGCTCGGGTTTATTATGACAACGATCTTACATATTACGCTGTTCGGCTATGGTTGTTGCTCTTATCATATTGCAATGATATTCGATATTTGAGTTTTCTCACCCGTCTTCATATTAGCAGTAGAGTGGGTGGTTTGTTGCTGATACTTCAACTGCGCGACGTTTTTTATTTATTCACGGCGCAGGCAATGACACTAATGAGACAATTTCCTTTGGGGGAGCTGGTAGAGTGGACTTGCTCTCCGCTCCCGTCCTCACGAAACCATGGTCGGAGTTCTTTGGATACATTCGAATATTCTTAGCTCATGCTTACTTTACTTTACGTCCCCCATTACTATTAGTTACTACGCAACGATAATTACCAGTTAGGGATTAAAAAAATTGGCTCCGAATGAATATATGTAGGGGCACTTGTTTGATGACTTTGATCTTGGAAGTGACTTTCACGTATATCAAGTCCCACCATAGTAGTAGTGTAGTGTCTTGCTAGTTTCGCCCATGCACAGGGTATGGATTAGTCAAAACAGCACCAATGGCATAATATCTGTCATTTGTATGCGTTAATCCGAATAAGTCAGTCGTTCTTCATAAAGCGAAGAAGGGGGGTAGGAATAATTGCTCCTATTGTCCTGAGACTCACCTATAAATGGTTGGTTGGTTGGTGGAGTAGGTACATAACTTAATGAGAGAAATGAGAGAACCTTGGAAATGAGATATCATTACCGTCTTGATTGGTTAAAACGAAACTAACGTAGTGCGGACTACATATAGCGCTATAGCAGGCACTTGGACCAACAACAAGCGAACAAGGCACGATGCCGGAGTGGTCTAACGGGTGAGACTTGAATCATAACATGATCCAGTCTATCTCATGTCTTAGGACGCGCAGGTTCGAATCCTGCTCGTGTCGATTCTTTCCTTTTTCGAATTATCAACTTTCGAGCTTAATTTTTTTTGGCTCTTTTTTGCACTTTCTTTACTTTTCTTATCTCTCTATCCTGTCTATCCTAGGTATCAAATTAGGTATGCTGGATGGATTAGTTCTATGAAATGGAAATAGACGTCTTGCATCTTTCCCTTAAGACTTCAACAACCATTGAATTGCATTTCCTTAACTAGTAGGAGGTATTCCATGGCCGCAGTATTAGGTTTCGGTCCCTTGACAAACGGCCTCAATAAACATATTATAAATTCCCACTCCTTGACCCTTTTAGCAAGGAGGCCGTTGATGAACAAGTAATCGAAGTTAAGTTTTTTTTTCTTCTATTTAGTTCAATACTTCCCACTCATTCCACCCGCTCTTCATTTATCCTCATCCTTAGATTTCCGCGCCTTTAGTATCCTCTCCTGGTCGGCAGGCGAGAATAGCGAGGTGCCTTGCTGCAGGGACTTGACGAGCATGGCTACCGCATCGCCTTTGAAGTCGTCGGCGTTACGGATTTTGTCCAGGTCCTCCGCGAACTCCTTGGTGCTTTGTTGCAAGTAATAGGATGTGAAGTCCGGGGACGTGTTGCTTTTGTCCGACATGATTATTATTATTATTTTCTGGTTTCCCTTTGATTTACCGGTATTCCGATGGGAGCTTGAATTGTGGCCCCGAAGTTTATTTTTGTTAATTGTCGGATGTGGTTAATTGTTAGCTGTGAGCCAGTGACGAATATGAAACAGAGCGTTTTGGTGGTGGAAAACTTTGTGATTTTACTGTCACTGGCTCATGTCCCCTCTTAAATTAGTAGGTGCATAACTTTAGTGAAACTATCTAGGTACATTACCTAGTGGATTAGTGGACTAATACGTACCGTTGTAGGAGGTACCTAAGCTATTCCACAAGCCAATCCTCAATTCTCGTGATGAATGTGATGTTACAATTGACAAATAACAAACCGGGTGCATAGCTAGCTGGTTAAAATAGTGAAGCTGTAGTAGTGTCACCACAGACAAAGATAGGCTATTTCAGCTCCCCCGCCTTATTCTGTTTCACAGTATGCAGAACTCCATTGTCGGCTTCATTACATCAATAAATATGTACCTATTTATCTGATGTAACCCCTATATCTTTGATTGCTGTTCATCCACTCGTCGTTCTTCCGACTACTTCAACCAAAAAAAATAAATAAACATAAACTTAGCTAACCAGTACATATCTACCTACCCTACCCAATACAATTATAGCATCAAAATGGCACCTCACGAAGGTTTGGTACATATGAAAGAGTACGATTGGAGGGATAGTAACGTTGAGAATATCGGATCGGAGCTTGACCATAAAGTCAAATACAACTCGGCTGCCAGTGAGCCGGCATGGCAAGAAGTCGGACAAGCCCCCGGCCTTTACGTTTGGCGAATTGAGGATTTCCAGGTAGTCCCATGGCCAAAGGAACGGCACGGCGACTTTCACGAAGGAGATAGCTACATTGTCCTGCACTCGTTCAAGGTGGGAAGTAAAGATGGAGAGGAAAAGCTGGCCCACGATATCTTCTTCTGGCTCGGAAGCAAGACAACGCAAGACGAGGCGGGCACCGCCGCTTACAAGACGGTCGAACTCGACGAGTTCTTACACGGCGTCGCCATACAGCATCGCGAGCTACAAAAAGAACCTTCCGAAGATTTTATGGCATTATTTTCTCGTGTCCGGATTCTGTCCGGCGGTGTCCGCTCAGGTTTCACGCATGTCGAGACTGAGGAGGAACCGAAAGAGACGGTTACCTTGCTCAGGATCTTTAAGCACCCGACTGCTAAGCGGGCCGACTCGATCCTGGTTTACGAAGTTGAACCTACCTGGCAGAGTCTTGACGAGAATGACGTCTTTGTACTGGAGCGCAACGACAAGATCTGGGTTTGGCAGGGTAAGAATTGCAGCCCAACGGAGAAGGCCAAGGCTGCCCAGGTCGTTCACGAGATGACCATCGCAAAACACCTAGACGTCGAGGTAGTATCGCAAACCGAGTCGAGATCGCGAACTATTGTTGCTATGCTGGGAGGAGAGGATACCGAAGGACCGTTCCGGACACCGCGACCCATTGTCCCGTCCAACAGCCAAGATGCTGGTCGTCGACCTCGCCGGTTGTTCCGTCTATCGGATGCCTCCGGTCAACTGAGGTTCGATATCGTGAAAGAAGGCGCTGCGATCAATAGTTCCGATCTGGATAGCAACGATGTTTTCCTCTTGGATACAGGGTCTACTGTTTGGGTCTGGCAGGGCTCAGGAGCAAGCAGAGCAGAGAAGGCCATGTGGATCAGAGTGGCGGAATCGTACATCCGACAACTTGGAGAGGAATCCAACGGAGGCGACACAGCATATTTGACACCGATTTCTAAAATAGTTGAGGGCAACGAAAGCGCAGGATTTTTCAGAGCTCTTGAAGCATAGGGAAAGAAAAAATACAAGGAACGGATAGGCATCGCCTCATTGACCTAGGTAACTACTATGCTTGAATATGCAATTAAGAAGGAAATGGGGGAAAAGGGGATTAATAAATTTCAGCTTCGATGAAGTACCTAATACCTAAAGAAACAGGGGGAAGCTTCCAACTAGGCCACTAAACGCGTCGCTAATATGTTTACATAACGGTCTTAGTGCCGGAAGCGCGGAAACTTGTATAAAAAAGAATAATTGGGATGCAGCATTAAGCATTCAGCATTCAGTATTAAGCAACTTTGTCTGGACCCTTTTTTTTTCCAGTTTGGGATCGCTACCGACCTTTTTCCCTTATGATAATATTACTACCTATCCCCGTCTCACACGCTTCCAATTCTTAAAACACTTCACCTACAAATTCAACCCCCAGATTGTTGTTGTAAACCGTATGTTGTTAAACTTTCAAATGTCGTTCCTTCAATAAATTTGTCGCAAAATCACCCCGTATTACCTCATTGTTCAAAATGGACTTGCACGAGGCGCAGGTCTATTTGCAGACCTCGCTTCAAGAAATATCCGACGCATTCCAAAAGGTCCCCGGAAGTGCCGTTTTAGTTCGATATATCCAGTCAAGCTACCAGAATGATCCCGTCCGGTCTGCTATAGAACTTGTGCTCGTGATATTCTTCGTTCGATACCTTCTGTCGCCTTCCTATCCTACCCACGATCCCAACTACGTGAAGCTCAGCGATGACGAGATTGATGAGCTCGTTAGGGACTGGGAGCCCGAACCTCTCGTCGCTGACCGGACTCCGTTGGAGGAAGCTGAAGCTGAGAGACAGCCCATCATTGTCGGGTAAGCATTAGTCTTATACTCTTCTTCTTCTTCTTCTTCTTCTCTTTACGTGTCAAAAAAAAAAAAAAAAAGCATCGCTAACTGCATCGGTAATAAATAGACCGACGGGCCCGAAGGTGAAGCTGTCCACCGGAAAGACTGTCGTGAACTTGGCCTCTTACAACTTTTACAATTTCAACGCAAGCGAATCGATCAAGGAAAAGGCGATCCAGACATTGCGCACCTACGGAGTTGGCCCTTGCGGTCCCCCGCAGTTTTACGGCAACCAGGATGTCCACATGCAAACTGAACTCGATATCGCCATGTTTCTCGGCACTCAGAGCTGCATCATCTACGCCCAGGCTTTTTCTACAATCTCTAGTGTTATTCCGACTTTCTGCAAGCGAGGTGACGTTATCGTAGCTGATAAGATGGTCAACTACTCGATTCGCAAAGGACTGGAGGCCTCCCGAAGCCTCATTAGATGGTATGAGCATAACGACATGGAAGACTTGGAAGAGGTTATGAAGAAAGTGGTTCAGGAACAAGTAAAGAAGAAGGTCCTGACTAGGCGATTCATTGTTACCGAGGGACTCTTCGAAATGGTTGGCGACTGTTCAAACCTTCCCAAGCTCGTAAGTCAACACTTGCCAGTATAAAATTGAGTCGACCTTTACAGTATACTAACTAACGACTTGCCAAATTTTTAGATCGAATTGAAGGAGAAGTACAAATTCCGTATCGCTCTGGACGAGACCTGGTCATTTGGTGTGCTCGGTCGTAATGGACGAGGACTTACAGAGGCGCAGAATGTCGACGCGGAGGCTGTTGATATGATCATCGGCTCTATGGCTGGACCTCTCTGTGCCGCTGGTGGGTTCTGTGCTGGTTCAAAGGACGTGATACGACATCAGCGTATCAATGCCGCATCGTACACTTACTCGGCTGCTTTACCGGCTATGGCTGCTGTTACGGCTAGCGAGACGTTGAATGTCCTACAATGCAACCCCGATATCCTACAGGCATGCCGAGATAACATCCAGGCCATGAGAGCACAACTCGATCCCCGCAGCGAATGGGTCCGATGCACAAGTGACCCTGAGAATCCTGTCATGCTCCTTGTATTCAAGCCCGAGGTGGTTTCGGCCAGACGGCTAACTAACGAAGACCAAGAACGACTATTCCTCGAGATTACGGATGAGGTAAGTTTTGTAAGAACTTTATAAGCAAAGCTCCACATACTTACGAAGATATATAGGCACTTGCCAATGGTGTGCTGATTACGCGGCTGAAGAGTTTCCCGCTAATTGGCAGCATCGGTACTGATGATATTGATATTAAACCCGCCCTGAAGGTTTGTATCACGTCGGGCTTGACCAAGAAGGAAATTGAGAAGGCCGGCACGACGATTCGGCACGCCATTACCAAGATTATGACCCGGAAGCCCAACCGGCAGTCGTCGACACTAGCTGCTTAGGAGACATTCAGTTTTTCGTGATCTTGTTTACTACTACTTCACACGACGCTTCACGACATGACACAGGATGAGGCAGTTGTATATGTGTAATGGGTTTTATTATACTACGACTTGAGCATGACCCTGGGTTAAGATGGATACATAGGCACTCAATCCAGCATTGATTGATGATCGAGAAGTCCAGGAATATTATATATATACCTGTACCTAGGTATATATATATATATATTCGAGATGAGAAGACTAACGGTCCAGGATCAAACTACACGATAGAATCAAATACTAATTGCTAATTCCCTCATACGAGTGTTTTGAGTGTTCCCACTGTGACAACGTGACAAAGTGACAACATGACAACGGGCTGGCTCTTATATTTTATCAGTCTTGTCTGAAGAAAGAATAAAAAAAAAAAAAAAGAGGCTGTTTTGTTTAGGGCTTCGATAGTGAAAGAGAGAGAGGGCATTGTCCTTTTATAACTGGCCGACATACAATACATGCATACATACGACTTATCCCTTAGGTACAATGTATCAACATGCGATGTCCACCTGCAATGGCCAATGATTGTCCTCCGGTACCTGGTTCCTGGCGCTTTCCAGATGAACTATTAGATGAAACCTGAAACATTGACGACTACCTGGACTGGTACCTGGTGACCATGCGGTTCTCGACCGAAGGGAAGCGTGGGTCTCATTTCTCTAGCGTTCCTGCCGCGCGTTCTGATGACGTTCTAGATATAATAAAAATAAATAAAAAATATCGACCCACGATCTCGTATTTCGTTGCCTTCACCACCACCAGTTCAAGTCAAATCTCATATAATTCGTGAGGTAACACCTATATATGACCGACCCCATCATTCCTTACGATACCTGTCTAAAACTATAAAACCTAAGGTCAGCAGCAAGTAGTTACTAACTACTATATTTACCTAGTTATAGTTACTTACCACTACTATTAAACACACTCTTTTTTAACAGCCACATTCCACATCCCACATTCCTTTGAGGTTTATCTACAGTTAGATCGAGAGGAATAAACACGAACTAACTGGTCAACCGTGTGAATTACTTTTACGTATTCATTCCATTGACCTAACCTATATCGCATTCGTCATATTTTCGGAAATAAGGCAAGTGTTGATAATGACCTGTGTCTAAACTCGGGAATAAACGGTTGTAAGGAAATCCTCCTTTTCAGCTCTCCCTTCTTCATACCATACAACAGCAGTTTCTACATAGTACAACGTTCCTGGCTCAGTTTACCCCTGGATGACTCTCTCTGAGTTTGGAATTCAAGACCGATCTCACCCACCCTCCTCCCCCCTTTTTTTACAACGCCATCATTCCTTCACCACAAACTCCCCTTTGAGAAAAGTACATTCAAGGAACGCGCAACCCTCCGCGTGTCTTGTTTACCGCCCCTTTCTTTTTCTTTTCTCGATACCCGGGCAACTTCCGCCACGTTATGGTATCAATTATGTTAATACTATTTGCTTGGATGGGATTATCCCGTTCCTCGAGTCTAGAACCTCTTGCATATTCCCTAAGTCCCTTCACACAATCCTCTTTTACCTCCTAGCACAAACTCTCGCTTCACTCCTTTGTCTGCTTTTTGTTTCCCGAGCAGTTCTTGTAACTGATGGACACCAACTGAGTGTCGTTTGCCGCATTCATGTCCCCTTTTGTCTCTATTCTCGTCGCTCCTTCAAGTAAATCGTTGCCTCGCTAACAACACAGGCCACTCCTTATTTTCATTTTATTTTTCTGAAGTTTCGCGATTCGCTCATTCTAGAAATACCCAGCATCGTGTTAACATATCGACATCATGAGACCTACACTACTTTCTCTAAGTTTTCTTTCCCTCCTCGGCCTGTCGGCTGGGCAGCCGAGTAAGTCTTACTGCTCCGATATATCATCACTCCACGAGAACACAAACTCATATATTTTCAGGACATCAACATCTTCACCGGCATAGGGCAAACAGAGCCCCTGTCGAGAAGAGGGATAAAATTACTGTTACTGATGCCAAGTACAGTACAACGACTGAACTTCCCGAAGTCGTGGTCTATGTAGACCAAAACAACAACCCGATCCGCACCACCACTGAAACGGTTGTTTACGTCCCCCTGTCGGCAGAGACGGATCAGACATCGACTCCTACGGCCGAGAGTGTTCCACTGCCGACTAAGGGCGCGCAGGTAGATAAGTCTACACCGTCTTCGTCGTATCAGCAGGCTTCTCCCACTGCCGAACAGAACTCATCCTCCGAAGTCACCTCAGCCGCCGACTCATACCCGACCAGCTCAGCATCGGCGTCCTCTTCAGCAGCTTCTCCATCTGCAAGCAGCGGCGCTCTTCATGGCGTCGCTTACTCTCCTTACAAAGGTAACGGAGAATGCAAGACCGCAGACGAGGTTGATGCGGACTTTGCGCTCATAGCCAAGGACTACGGCGTCATTCGCTTGTATGGCGTTGATTGCGACCAGGTTGCGACAGCGTATGCGGCTGCTAAGAAGTATGGAAATAAGCTATTCTTAGGTATCTTCGACATTAATGCGGTCGAGGATGGCGTATCTACCATGGCGTCCGGTGTTCAGAACGACTGGGATATTGTCGACACCGTCTCGGTAGGTAACGAACTAGTCAACGACGGTGGTGCAACTGTGGACCAGGTGCTCAGCGCATTGAGCCAGACGCGCTCTCTATTGAGAACCGCAGGATATGAAGGACCTGTCGTCATTGTGGATACGTTCGTCGCCGTTCTCGCCCATCCCGAGCTCTGCGACCAGTCTGACTACTGCGCTGTTAACGTCCACCCCTTTTTCGACCCCAACACTGGTGCCGACGGAGCAGGCTCGTTTGTTACTTCCACCGTCAGTAACATCCGCAGCAAGCTATCCGATTCGAGCAAGCGTATTGTCGTGACGGAGACGGGTTGGCCCTGGCAAGGCGAAGCGAACGGCGCTGCCGTTCCGGGAATGGACCAGCAGACGACCGCGCTCTCATCCATCAAGTCGGCCTACGCTTCTAACGCGAGCAACGTGATCCTCTTCACGGCTTTCAACGACATGTGGAAGAAGGCCGAGGCTTCCACTTTTATGGCGGAGCAGTTCTGGGGTATGGGAGGGCGATATTCGCCGTGCGACGAGTAGGACGGTCTCGTGGTGTAGAGCGACGGGTAGATCAATCAATCACGAATTAACGAATTAGGTCAGGCATACAAGGTACGCATGGATAGATGGATGGGTGGGAAGAGGTTTGGCTAAGTTCGGTAGGATCCGAGTTAGCCATAAAATAGGGGAAGGGGGCAAAGGAAGTAGGTGTGTACGATTTGCGCAACATTCTATTCTTTGTAGATCATTTCTACGTCGTATTTTTTTTTCTTTTTCCTTCTTCATCTATTCGAAATCTTGATGATTTATTGAGTACCTAGTGAATTTCTTGAGGGACTTGATGATATACAGATATGCTACGGTGCTATATAAACGGCTCTGCTTTAGGTACCTAGGTATTTATCCTAATTTCTGAGGGTATTGTATCGTTCATGCCAAACTCGCTTCCACCTCGCTATAACAAAATAACCACTAAACCTACCGACAGCCCAATTCCCGCCTTCCACAAAACCCCTCCTACATCTTCTACCCGCCCACTAACACCATCTGATTTCTTCGGACGACCTTTGCCTCCTCCGCTTCCTCCGGATCCACCGCCTGCCGCGCGGGTACTCGTGCTCGCGGCACCAGCACCAACAGCCGTACTTGCAGTAGTCGTCGAAGTCGTGGCAGCGGTAGCGGTAGCGGTAGTGGTGCTGTAATAAGTATACGTCCTCCCGCCGCGGGTCCCCGTGAGCGGGGCGTCGCCGAGCGTCAGCACGCCCCACGAGGCCTGCGGGGCGGCGACGGCGTACGGCGCCACGACGACGCTGGTGTTGGGCATCAGCGGGCCCAGGGACGCGGTCAGCGCGTCGGCGTCGGCTACCCAGGTGCGCCCGCTGCAGGTCGCGGCCGTCGTGGAGGTTAGGTCGCAGGCTTGGGTTACGGTGCTGTGGTTGGTTAGATTTGGGATAGGGGAGGGGAGGAAAGGTAGCGTAAATGAGGGTAAAGGAAAGTAGGTACCTAGGGATGGAGAAAGGGGGGGGAGAGGAGGGAAAGGGGGAAGAGGAAAAAGGAAAAGGAAAAAGGGAAGAGGAGAAGAGATGGAAATAATAAGAGCCTCTTACATCACCCCAGATATCGTGTCTACTACGTTCAGCGTCCGCGGCCCCTCCGTGAACCGGGACGGCACGACGTCGTCGTCGGCGATCGAGCACCCGATGCGATCCGGCGCGCAGAATACCGAGTATACGGTTTCGACGTCGTTCTACGTGTGCGGTTGTTAGCTACGCCTGCTGCTATTTCTTTTTTTTTTATTCCTCTCTCCCTTCTCTGTCTCCCTCTCTCTTTTTTTCTCCTCCCCCTCCCATTCCTTCCCTTCCGCAAAATGAATAAAATAAACGATTATCCAAGCAACACAGAGTACGTGTCAACAAAACAAAAAACACAGGGAACACTAGAAGAAAGAAGAAAGAAAAAAGAAAAAACACATACGCTAGAAATAATACTCCCCCGCCACTCGGACCACCGCGTCCCGGGCACGTCCGGCAGAAATATCGGGACGGCCGTCGGGCCACCCGGCGCGGGCGTGACAGTACCTGTTTTCTTAGCCCGGGCCAGGTCCGCGAATAGCGACAGACCCAGAAGAAGTAGCGGTAACCATGGGCCACCACTACCGCCACTACCACCACTACCACCACTACCACCACCTGCTGCCGAGGCCATCGTGGTCCTTGTTGAGAATTTCGTCATAGAGGGATGGATAGATGCTATATGATATCAAGGTAGGTAGGTTAGGTTCCTAGGTAAGGTAGAAGAAAAAAAAAGAAGGCAACAATCAGCAGCTACCTAGAGGGCATGAGGCTCAAAACAAGCTTTATTTATTTATGAACCGTCGCGTCGCATTTCCACCCCGAGAATCGAAAGCGAGGCTTTGTAAAAATAAGGCCTCCCATCATCTCTCGCTCTCGCTATCGTGGCTGTAGTAACCTATCATACCACATAAGTCCTACAGCAGGTCTATATAACCTAATGTATATAGGTAGGTAATCAAGTGACGATATATATATAGGTAGCTATGTAAGGCATTTTCATTTCCCCCCGCCTTCTCCCTTCAGCCCATAAGCCCATCGAATAATTGCTGAAGAGCCGATAGGGCAAGAAAACTAAGTGCCAAAGATGGCATAGCCGACAAATCAGCGCTGCGTTACATCGACTTTCACCAAACTGGCTACAATCCCCGAGATTTCTTACCTGTGACCATGTTATCCGAGTTCAGCTTATGGCCTACTAACAGAGTGAGATAGATCTAGAGCACCAGAAAAAGACAATCGAACTGATTAATTCTAATTCTAATTTTTTTTTGTTTGCAGTTCCAATTGGTATTCATAAGTTCTATAGAATGCCTGCCTGCCTGCCTATGAGGGGTACCTCAGCCCACCCGTCTTTCATCTTTGCCACATCTCTAACGCAGCTATGCTAGCTACCTAAGCAAACAACAGAGATCTAATATCTAAATAGATCTAAACTGATTCTAACCAGTGTGTCTATCCATACAACTTCAAGGTTCGGGTCATTTGCTCACATAGCTTTGACACCGAGGGTATATCTCGACGACCCCGTGGGAATATATAACGAAATGGTCAGAAAAACAACGAGAATACGACTGATATTCTCTCAAAAACAACCAAGGAAAACGAAAAAGAGAGTCCATCGTGAACTTCTTTAATCATATATGTACCGTGAATGGTGCTCCTATTGTCCCAGCATACAAAGCGCCACGCATCGCTTCGGCTTATGAACCGATCCGTCATAACTGTATCGAATGTTGCAAGTGTCGGGGCGTTGATACTCCCAACATCACATAACCATACATCATAACTGTCGTAACCTTGATCAAAGGTGAGCGTTGCTGAAATAGGAGAAAATCAGGTGATCGCGACCAGTTGCGCGATCATCTAATCGCGAAACCTCGCGCCACATTGCCGCATTAATCCGAAGAAGGCGGTGTCGACAAGGTGGCCTCGGGCTTCTCGTTCTCGTGCATGCTGACGGCAGCCTCCTCGTCGGACAAGCAGAACCCGTACTCGCGGGCCTTCTGTGCGACTTCCTCCTCCGTAAGACGGGGCAACTCTTGCGCAGCCTTAACATAGCTCATCTTTTCGGCGTGACCCTTGGCGAAGATGATATCAATCTCTTCAAGGGTACGTCCGGCTGTCTCAGGGTATAGGAAGTAAATGATAGGGAAGAAAATAGCGTTAAGTATCGCGAAGAATAGGTAAGTACCCCAACCGCTTCGTCCCGTATTGCTTAGCAGTACAGGCGTGACCATCACGATGAAGAAGTTCCATAGCCAGTTGGAGACCGTCGATGTCGCGTTGGCCTTGGCACGCGTCTTGAGCGGGTTGATCTCGGCAGGGTACAGCCACGGTAGCGGAAGCCATGTGGCACCGAAGAATGCAATGTAAGTCTAATTTCCAAAGGTTAGTTATCTATCGTCGAAAAAAGCTAGTGTGGTTAGATGTGTAAAAACTTACGAAAAGACCGACGGCTGCTCCCTTAGCCGCTTCCTCTGTTCCAGGAATCAAAGCACCGAAAGTCAGAACCATGGATAAGCACTGGCCGACAGTACCGATGAGGTAGAGCTTTCGGCGACCAATCCGCTCAACAGCAAACCACGAGGTGGTGGCAAAGATAGAGTAGACGACCATGTTGACACCTCCGAGAAGCAGGGCCAGGTTGTGCGAAGTTCCGATCGAAGTCTGGAAGAGAATGGGGAAGTAGTAAATGACGGCGTTGCAGCCGGACAGCTGCTGCATCATCTGCGAAGAGGCACCGAGCAGAAGACGGCGGAAGTGCTGAGTCGGGCCACCGGTAAAGAGGTCAGAGATGGGAGTGACACCACCACCATGGCCAGAAGCACGAATGGCATCAACGATAACAGCAACCTGTGTCTGGACAGCAGGGTTGTCCCGGCGTTCGCCATTGAGAGCCGCTAGAACTGTTGCTGCCTCTTCGTTTCGGTCTTTAGTTAATAGCCATCTAGGCGATTCCGGTAGTTGAAGCATGAGAATGATGACGACAATAGCGAAGACACACTGGAATGCAATGGGGAATCGCCAAACGAAGGCGTGAGGCCCATAGGTACAGCCGTAGTCGATCCAGTAGGCAATCAAAGTTCCGATCGCGACGTTTCCGCCCTCGATACAGATGAGTTTTCCACGGTTGTGAGAGTGACTGCATCTAAAAGTGAGGAAGAGATAAAAGTTAGCAAGACTATTTTTTTATGCATCCTAATGAGGATGAGAGGGAACTCAGGAGGATGACTTACTCGGCTTGGTAGGTTGGCACTGTCGAAGTATTGATACCGTTACCTATACCTGTAATACACCGTCCGATGATAAACTGTGCCGTCGCACCTCCTCCGGAACCGTTGGGAATAGCACAAATCTGAATGATAACGCCGATGATCATGACAGTAGCTCCGGTAAAGATAGACCTGCGGCGGCCAAGGTGGTCGCCGAAGGTGAGAATGAAACAGGCACCCAGAAAGCAGCCGACAGCATAGATAGATACGACGAAACCCTCGTATGTGCTGTCCCCCTTGACCTCCGGGAAGTCCGAGGTGAAGGCAGGGGCCGAGATGATACCGGACATAACGCCCTGATCATAACCGAACAGCAAGAAATCCGTGGTCGCTACGGCTGTGATTAATCTCTGTAACGTCTTGCCAGACGTGCCCCAATAGGTGGGAGCGCCGTTGGCGTCGTCCTTATGCCCCATTGTCGTAGACTAACGTTGGTGATGGTTATTCTACGTAGGACTCGCGCCAGGGGAGGAAATCTATACTACAAGATTCACTGAAACCTGGAGTGAGAAGGGGTAGGAATTTGGAGATGGGGGAGAAGCTGGAGGATAGGGAAATAGAACGAGTTCTAGGCTGTTGGGGGATAAGGAGAACATGGTCCACCGTGTTATCTTATATATGTTTATTGTCAAGCTACACTATCCGCTTACACAGCCGCTCGCCTCAAAGACGTAAATCCTAATATGTCTAGGTATATCCAGATAGTCACGAGAAAAAAGGGTCCTTACGCGCTCTATCACAGCATCCTGTTAGGATGTAGTGGAGGTTAAGTTCGTGTGTGGGGTGCGACCGAGCAAGGGCCGAGAGAATGTCATCATAACGCCTGAGCAGGACCCTTAGATTGGTGTCCACCCCATAAGAAAGTTTGCAACACCAAGAACGACTGGGACGACTGGGACGACTAACAGCAGCCAGGACGGGCGGGACGCCATGCCCGGGATGCATGGTATTACGTGCGAAAAGGCGTGAGAAGTGAAACGTGACGGTCTACGTTAGGCCGTGATCTGTAGCAGCGGACTAGCAGATGGCAAAACTTGTGCCTTTTATTATGGGGACTGACCTGAAGATCTTCATCCGCATTTCGTCATTGATACCCACAGGGCCGGCCCACATCTCGAGTCATTCTGACATTGTGGGATATTGTGGAATATTGGGGATATTGGGGGGATATTGGGGACATTTGGGACATCCCCCTTTATCGTTATCGTGAGCCGTCCCTGAGCCGTCCCTGAGCCGTGAGAGCACGGGCTGAACGGGGGCGCGGTGGTAGTTTAGCGTACGCCTACCAAAAACGTAGGCGAGGGGGCCATGGCGGCGGCGGCAAAGCGGGTTGAAGTCGGGCGGCGGGAAAAAGGCAGCCGCATTTGCAAACCGCCGGGCCAAGCGACTTAATTAATAGGCCCCCGAAAACCTCCCTAGCCTTTTCTTGGCCTTAGCTCGGCATGAATCGGTCAGCCTCTATCTCGCCAATTCGATGCTTAAGCGGTGTGTGTATGTGTGATTTTGCCGATCTTAGATGGAGAGCCAAGGAACTAATCCAAATCCTAATGAGAATCCTTGATAACCGATGAGTGGGGGTAGGGCACTATTCCTACCTATTCCTACTTATGCTTGGTTAACATGGGAAAATCAGATCATTCCGAGGTGTCCCGAGCATCTCCAAGGTTGTGGGGAACTGGGGGAATGGGGTGGGAAAATAGCGTAAACATAATTTTTTTTTCTTATTATTTCTTGTATGAAGGTGGAAAGGCAAATGATGAGATGAGAAAAAAAATATGAACAGGGATGGACAAGGAATTTGTGATACACAAATCATTAGTGGCAAACTGCAACTTCTTTTTTACTTTTAAGGTTGAGACATTAACTTCAACAACATTACGATGTAAGCACCTGCTGCACTTAGGGTATTATCACAGTCACCAAGTATGAGTATCAGCCGTACATATACTACGTATGTGCATTATACGTGCATATGCTTGCATACCTCTACCAACGTACACCCATGCCTACTAAGTACCTATTCGGATACCTACCTAATCTTACGTAGGTTATGCAGATTTTTTTTAACATTTTCATACATCCTGCACATCTTCTCCATACTAGGTACCTGGTATCCCTATTATGGTATCCCGTGTACTACGTAACGCATAGATTGAATTGCACTGAACTATTCATGGTACCACAATGATGCTACTTTATCTCGGATACGGGCACGGGTATGTAACATGCAATTGTCTTGAAAATCTATGTCTAAACTCTAAAACAGCCTTAATCGACGGACAAGTTGGTAAGGCTCAATTAATAAGCTTATTCCTTCGCCTATTCTGGAATCTCGTGTATAGGCATCTTCAACTGCAGAAAAGATCAAATCTGACAGAAGACAAGTAAAGTAAAAGTCCAACGAGGAGTCTTGTTCAAGACTTTCACAACAATCAAATATATGAGGGTACCTCCCCTATTTACCATTTATTATACGCGCTCGTTCCATGCCTAGGTACCTAGTAATGATAACGATAATTACTCGGCTAATCGAGCTGCATGGTCTAATAAATCCTATTTTTCTACAATGTTACATCGACATCATCACTGTCACTAACAATACTAACACACTTCACGCATAAAAACGTCATCATAGTAATAAATGTTGTTAATCAGAACCTTTTATCATTATGTATAAAACACCACCCCATCTCATTTCCATCCCAGAGACAGAAAAAAACGGGAGAAAAAACCTGTAAATATCGATGCCATGACTCTAGGAAGAATGAAATACCATGTGCCATGCTGCCTTTAGTCAATGCATAGCACTCAAGTAACTTGATAAGAATACCACTATCGCCCCCCTTAACTTAATTTCATACTGGTCAAGGGACTAAGACCATCTTAATTCTCGTTACGGTACCAAACGTCCGTCTTAGCGTCCCTTAGCGTCCCTTAGGTAGACAAATCGGAACTTCCGAGTATCTTAGTCCGAGTTGTCTGTTTGCTTTGAACTGGCCGCCGTCGCTGTCTTTGTCATCGATGCTAGACCAGGCCCTGAGTATCCTGGGCTACCTGTACCCGTCTCGGTACGGTTCCGGGTGTCGTCGTGATCCTGGCCGGCTGGCTGCAGAATTGGGATTGGAAGATTCTTTAGACTGCTGTTCAACGTATTTCCAATCTGCTTGCCTCCTACAGCTGGTCCAATCATCAAGGCTAGGAAGACAATAAGCAGAGTAAAGTACAGCATAGCGTAGCGAATAACACGTCTCCTCCTGAGCTTGGACTGCTTCATTGAGTAGATGGGCGGGCGGATTTGACGACTAAATTTCAGTTAGTTAGATTGGCACGAGAAAACATAGGTAAGGATAACACGTACCTCGGCCGCAGCCAGAAGAGCATCATTGAGTGCAACATATCGACCTTCGGAATCAAGATGACAGGGAACATCATGAATAGAATGAAATGGCCCAAGACGAAGTCGGCGGCAAACATGCTTAACTCCGTAATCTTGCAAAGGAATTCACGTGCCGGCTGGGAAACCGAGTGCCAGCCCATAGAGTACCATTTGCCCGTCCAGAACGCAATATTGGACTGGTCCGTCTTGAATTCACGTGTGAGTGCCAGTGAAATAATAAGTTTCAGGACAAATCGCTGAATCGCGGCGACGGCAATCATTCCCAGGAGCGTTTTCGTGAAATCGAAGCCTTCGAGGAAGAACATGACTTCGAAGAACACGAGGAGGAAAATGGCGGCTAACGCATGAGCTATGGCAGCTAGCACGCTACCAAACCTCTTGCAGCACATGCTCAAAAGCGGTCCCATACAGCAGGCCATAGCGAACATGACACCAAGTACACCAGCGTTGATACCGATAGGAGCAAGAGCCACGAGAGCAAGACGAAGTAGAGATGCAGTTGGGTCAACCTTGGCCTGATGGGCGTGGACCCCAGTCTGCGCGTTGATGAAAAGATACGGGATTCCGGTTAGTCCTACAAGAACAAGAGGAGCAAAAATCTCTCCGAAGAACACATTAGTGATTGCAGCACGAGGTACGTCCGCTGACAGTTTGCCAGATGGTTTGCCTAGAACCTTGCGCTTATAACCGACAACTCTTGTACGGGAGAGACGGCAGAAAGATATCCACGAGGACGCGTGACTCAAGGAGTTACCACGAGACAGCCAGCGGAGATAGTCACGATAATCGATAAAGAAGTCGTTCCATGAAAATTGGTGAGGGTTGTAGAGGAAGGGCGAGATGACAAGAGCCACCAGGGAGATCCAGAAATATACCAGCGCAGCCTGCCAAACAGTCAAAGTTGCAAATAGCAACATCATGAGCAAACGGGCACCGAAGTAAATTGAGGGAGCAGCAAAACGAGAGTAGAGAACACCGAAGGGGATGCGCGCTGTGGCGAAACCACGGCCAGTTCCGATATAACGAGCACCGCCGAAAGACATGTCCTGTGTGACGGCATTGGCGTAAATCTGGCAGACAAACACTTCGAAGAAGGGGGAGAGAGAGCAGAATTGCTTGCCTAGACGAGTCGCAGCACGCAGGATACCACGTTCCGTAAACTCTTGTACTATCAAAGGTATGAAGTTCAAGAAGAACACAACGAAGATAGAGATAACGCAACGGTAGATCCAGTCCATCAAGGCATCCGTGTTTTGACATCCGGTAGGATACATTGGATCCGTAATCGGGACATTCACATTGTATTCACACGGTATTGTCTCGTGTCTGAGAGCGCCAATGTTGATCAGGACAATCATGAAAAATTCGACTGATAACATGATGAAAATGTTGTTCAAGTGGAAACCAGCGTGGGCGTAGTAAAAGGACAGGAAGCGGTCCAGAGGAAGCTGTGTACCAAGATAGTAGTATTCTCGAGAGAGAAGTTGTTCACCCATACCAGTACCGATCTTCGTAGTGAAGTTAAGAATGGAACCGAAACCCAAATCACGACCCTTGCCACATTGGTAGTACTCGCAGTGCTTGATACGTCCACCGCGGAGCATAGCATTCATACCGGCGTAGATATCCTCGTTTAGATGCAGACCCTTCTGAGCTTTAGAGACACCACCACGCGTGCACATGAAGATACCGTTGAGGAAATCAGGATGCCCGTAATGAAGCTTGCCACCAATCTGGGATAAGGTTCTGGCAAAGAGGGTACCGAATGTTTGTTCCTTACCAGCGGCAATATCACCAAGAATACCAATATTCTCAGAGAAAATGTACTCTCGGGCACCGAGAATGGCGACGGGGGCTGCGGATTCAGTCTTAACACCAGGGGTATAAGGCGAGACATTGTCAGATTTCATTTCCTCGAACTCAGCCAGAACCGATCGAATCTTGAGACATTCCTCCAGGTAGTTATCTTGATTAGCATCGATAAGCTGTATATATTCGCCGCGGTAGAAGATAATCGAGTGGTTCTGGTTGTCGGATTTGCCGTCACCTAGCACAGGATTGCCAGAGAGCTGAATACGGAACTTAGGCCGTCGCATGCCATTCTCCATGATTTCAGAGTGACCGTCGACCAGGGCAGAATAGATTCGCGGTTCTTCACCTTCGACTAGGGGAGGTTCCTCATCAAGATAGGCAATTTGCAAGTCAGGGTAGGCTCTGAGCAAGAACTCGGCATTCTCCATTTCCTCCTTCTTGAATTTGGCGTAACGCTGCATGGAAACACAGATTTTGAATTTGCGGCGAGCCATTCGTTCCAGCTCACGCTCCAGCTTTTCAGAGTTGCCACCAAACATTTGAACGACTTCTGGATTCTCGACACGATATAGCAACTTAATAGCGCGGCTGTAGTTCATAAAACCCGAAATTGTACGGTAAAGAGTTTGCGAACGAAGAGATGCCCATATTCGCGTCCGCAACGTGTACTCGGGAGCGGAAGACTTGAAACCGATGCAGTAGAATGGCAGGTCATCAATCTTGCTCTTGGCCGTATCTTTCTCTCCCTTTTCGTCATCGCCGTTGAATTGAGAAGTTTCGTCGGCGAGGATCTTGGTATCCTTGACGAAACAATCCCATTCGTGAGGGTGAAGTTGCTTAAGGTACTCAAGCTGAGTAACACGGGAGTAAGGCTCATCTTCACGAATGATTTCTCGGAGAGTCAGGAGGATCTTTTCACCATAGTGAGGAATCAAAACGGTGAACGTAGGCATATTGTCCACAGGCACAGGCTCTGGAATGGGCATAGACAACGACTGGGCGAAGAAGGAAATACGACGCTCAGCTTCGCTATAAGTAGGGAAAAATTCAGTCTTGAATGAATGATCCTCTTGTGAAACGAAGAATGTTGGTGCACGTAAAGTACGCTTGCCTTCCTGCTCCGAGGGAACCTGGTGGTACAGCAGCTTTTGGACATGGTCGATGGCTAGCAAATGCTCGCGATACATGGAGATAACGATGGCGTTCCAAATTTGAGAGATGAGAACCTTGGGCTTGTACTTGATCTCCATATCAGTAGTAGCTAAGACCTTGGAATAGATACGCTTGGGAAGACGCGAGAAAACGTTTCTCCAAGGAGTTAAGATTGAAGACCCAAGGTAGAAAGATCTTGCGATAGAGAACACTGCGTTTAGCAAGACATACCACATGTATGTGTCGAGAAAGAAGAGAACCAGATCGGTGAGGGTCATCAACACCATCACTACTATTGGCTGGTATTTGCAAAGCTCTCGTCCAAGCGTGAAGTCACCTACACAGCTCGAAACATCCATGATCTGAAGATAGCGAATCGGGTCACGGAGAGAAAGAATCAAGTAGATGTACGATTCTCCGAACTTGGCACCGAAAACAACTAGCCATAGAAAGTACGACAGAGCCCTGTCATTGCCCTTGAGATGCGGCCAACTAGCGGTAAACGTCTGGCTTGCGACGTAGCGACGAGAGTTCTTCGTAAGATAGCTACCGAAAAGACCACCGAGAGGCATGACGGAGAAGAATATGAAGGTGGCTACCGCAATAAAGAACTGGACTATGCCTAGAACTCTAGCGGGTTCCGTCTCCTGCTGATCAGGGAAACCAAAAATGTATACGCTAGGACCAAGATTGATCGCGAAAACAACGAGCAGGAATATGAGCTTCTTAGTAAGATGTTGTGCACCAGCCCAACGTCGTGGGACGTACGCCCATTCGGCACAAGTGGCGAAGATTTGGATCAAAGAAGCAAGAGCACCTCCAGCACCCACAATAGACCATTGTACCGAGGAAGGAGGTTGTTGGTTAACTTGCTGTTCGTAGCCTTTCACAAGAAGAGTTGGAACATTGTTGGCCGTGTAAAACCAGAACATTGTCAAGTGCATTACCCAAATACGATTGAAGTTAACAATCACATGGAACCAAGAACGCGTCTCTCTGTAAGTCTTGAAGAAGCACTTCTTCCAGTTGACATCCTTCAGCTTCATGTAACGTTCTGCTGGGGGGACATCGACTAGTTTGCTCTTATCTTCGAGAACTATACGTTCAATGCCCTCAGGGTACCAAAAAAGCTGGTTGCAATCGTCGTAGCCAATAATCTGTTCGTGATCACGCTCCCGACGGACGTAGACACCATCCGAGATCTCGTACCCTTGATCTCTGCAGTACCGGTACAGCGGCGTAATCACGTTGTTCAAATATGTACCCTCCTCGACAGGTTCGACAAGATTCTGGCAGGCGGGTGAATTAAGGTAGTCATCGGCGCACTTGAAGATGAAGCAGAGACACTCGGGCATAAAACGCACTTGGTTTGCTTCACCCCAGCAAAGTAGGTATAAGGCAATCTGGCGGACTCGGTCATGTTGAGACATGCGGTTCATACGGGTTTTCCACCTATATTCGGCTGCCTCCAAGCTGTCATCACCTTCCAAGTCCTCGAGCGCTTGTTCTTCGTTTTGGTCATTGTTTTTGCCCTTAGACTTCTTCTTGTTCTTCTTGCCACTCATGTTCGCAAAGCCAACAGCGTCATCCAGATCTAAGTGGGCAGCGAAGTACCACTTCCGGTAGTTGGCATTGTCGCCGCCAATATAGTCAGCGTGGAGAGACAATAAGGCTTGGTTAGGTGTCATTCGAGATGCCCTCGAGTCGAGTAGAACCATAAGATGATCGTACATATTTCGCATGCTATCACGCTGGAATCCAAATTTGTTGGCAAGATCCAAGAAAATGTCCTCAACTTCCTCCTTAGATAAGGGAATTTGCGCATCGGAGGTCCAAGCGGGATAGGGCTCTCGGGATCTTTGACTGCCAGGCATATTGCCATAGTCCATTCCGTAGTTGGGTGTAGAAGCGCCGGATGAACGGTTACCACCGTATGAGACCTGAGAAGAAGGCGGCCTATATCCTCTACCTTGTTCGTAGCCACTGTACCTCTCGTCGCCGCGGCCATAGTAGTCCATCTCCGCGGCACGAGCCATATCCGATCTCATGGTGAAGTCGCTAAAGGTCTCGGAATCTTCTTCGGACTCGCCTCGACGTCCACCATTACCACCTTGGCCATAGTTGTCGTAGTATCCACCATGGCCATCGTCATAATATTCCCCTTGGTAGTTATCATGGTTATCGTAATAGCCGCCTTCTGCGGCATAGGGGTTGTTCGGGTCGGCATTGTAGTAACCACTATAAACTGTTAACAATCATCCTACTGCAAATGGTATTCGGTGTGTAAACTCACGATTCGTCATAGTAACCATCGTTCCCGTTCGCATGCTGTTGCTGCTGTCCACCGTGGGCGTCATAGCCATTGTCATGATAATTGCCATTCTGGTTATCTTGGTAGTAAGAATCATGATTCTGACCGTATCCATCGTTGTAGTCGTGATGGCCTCCGCCACCACCTCCTTGGTAGCCCGACATCTTGCAAATTCGGGACTATGCGAAAGGTGCGGTCTTATGGAAAAGGCTGTCAGTACAGGGTGAAAGACGCGATGAGATGCTACAAATATGCAGCCGAAGCATCCATAAAACATTGACTTACAGATCAAAGACTCATCAGGGATGTTCTAAAGGTAATTGTAGAGACTTGGGGATAAGGCCAAGCCAATTGTAGATTGTCGAGATTAGAATTACAAATTTGCTAAGTGAAGTCAATGTGGCCGGCCACAAGCAAAGGTTGTCTTTATGACGAATTTGGTCGTTGAGTAGTGACTGCGACGGTTTGTTGACTCGCGAGGAAGGACGTGAGTATTTACTGGTGAGCCCCTGACGCGGGATGGTGCAGGTGTCAAAAACTTGGAAGTGCAAAGTGAATGTTGACTTCTAAGGTTCCTGACTACGCGGTAGGTCGGCACTAACTGTAGCACAAGCTTAGCGCAATAATTAGCGCGATAAGCCCCTGATGAATGCGTTAAGGTAAACCGAGGCGTGACCGAGGGCGCGTTTGATTAGCGAATCCAATAAAATTCCACCTTACAATTATCTCCCTTTCGTTGTTGCGCAGCACGGGTAGGTGGTTTCCGAATCACAGGCACCTCTCTTGTGGGCTGTGTTGGCCGTTTTGCGTTATGATAAACGATTGACAGTTGATGACGAGGGTAAAAATATACTCTTGGTACCCCTTTGCGGTTTCCGTATTTTTCGCGGGCCGTTAAACGAACGTGCGTTGAACCAACAGGTTGAATTCAACAAGCGGCGGGAGCGAAAGATAAAAAAAAAAGGAACGATCAAGTAGTACCTGAAAGTAACGAAAGGATGTTGCTCCCTCTAGATTAGATGCGTAAAAGCGGAATTATCTCTGTGCTCTTTCTTTTTTTTTCCTTGCGAATCCTCGCGCTGCCCCCTGACGTTTTTCTACGCAGAGTTGTAGCAGTAGCGGCAAGATATTACAAAAAGATTGGAAGGACGAAAAAAAAAAGGAGAGTATGAGAAGACAAGAATTTAGAAGTTGAAGGATGAAAGCGAGTGTAAAACAAATCTTGTCAAGGGTTAAAGGGGGGGAAAGGGATTTTCTGGGACATGGAACTTGGGATCGAGAATCAAGAAAAATGTCAGAAAGGAGAAAAAGAGACAGGGGGGTCGGGCAAAGCTTAGCCCAGCCCACACGCGGTACCCGTGCTTAGTACCTACATCGCCCCTTAGCCAGGGTATGCGACAAGAGTACCTAACAATATAAGAGATAGGTACTTGCGACCTCGAATTGGCGGGTGTGCTGGGTGTGGTTAGGTACCGAGCTACATGGTACAATACAATACACAGTGTTAATGGGTTAGGGCTGCTAGGCAGCAACTTAGCCCGCTAGAACAGGTAGCTCTCGTTCATCCACCGGTGCATCCGGCTGCCAGCTTTGCCAGCTTGCTTCGCCAAAAAGTCCTTAGTTAAATATTTCCATTACTGTGCATATTCTAGGCCAGATCGAGATTGAAACGGGGCATTTTTCTACCCGCACAGAATGGCGTCAAAAAACAAAAGTGCTTATCCCACTACGAAGCAAGTCGTTTTGTTATCCGCATAACTCTACCAGATTATTTTATATATAATTGAGATAAGTACGAGAATAATTCTTAAGTTTAATTCCATACTATTTTTTTTTTCGACCTGAAATATCTTCATGTTTGGCGGAAAGAATTGGTGGAGGTTGGGATTGAACGTGGCTGTGTACATGGTACAGCAGTGTTCAAGCGACCGGGCTGGCCTGGGAGGATGGGACTAATGCACCTGCATGGACTCGAGTTTTCTTCTAAAGCCAGGTATCGTGCTATTGATTTGTATTAGCAAGTTAAGCTGCAACCTGTTAGAAAAGAACAAGGGAGGGCAAAAAAATGTCCTTGATTCATCAGTACCAGAAATTAGCCCCTTATTGGTGGATGGTACCAAGTTAAGACAAGGGGTTACCAGGGAATGGACTGATTGCAACTTGTACCCGATGCTAAAGAGGTAAAGAAGCAGTACCTACCTTACCTACCTAGGTAGGTACATAAGAAGGTATCGCATTAAGATCAAAGTTTCAGTTGTCATCAGATGTCCTCTTCTTATAAGGATGTCATGTTAGAATTTACGATCTGACATTGCATCTTTCATGAGGTCTTCCAATTGAGTGCTGCTTGTTCTGGGCTAGTGTAGGTAGCGTACCGAGCCGGCCGTTAGTTTTCTTCTTCTTTTTTTCTTGCTCGCTAAAATAACTTCAGCTTACAAAGCCTAGGTACACAGTGTTTCCAACACGATGAAAGTCAATGCCGTACCCACCATCATTAGGTACCTAGGTATAGGTAGCGTCCCGCCTATCCCTTTAAGATGTACCCTACGCATAGGTACAGGTATGTACTAGCGTATTGCCAACACGCATACCCCATCTCCAAGATAAGTTGATAATGACTATATCGTACGTTGCATGAACAATTCTGCGCATCTCCTAGATATCGTCCTTCCAAGCATAGTATGCCTATGTAGGTGTGTTAGAAGTAGTATAGCAAAGTGCCGTATATTATATGAATAGGAGTGCAATACCTGTTCCCTAACACTTCACCAGTTGTTACCGTACCGTTAACACGAACAGAAAGGAATCGTATAAAATACCTACATCGTATTTTGGTTCTCTTCGTATTATCTACCGACGGTGTAACACACCAACTTTTTTGCCACTGGCTCTCTTGTTTAATTACCTACCTAGCATATGTACCTGTCACATATTCCCGAGGTCCTCCCAACACTCTCGAATAACAACCCGAGTTGTTAAAAGAATTTTGCAAACGCTGCTAGGCGCGACTACACACGTAGCCAGTGACGGCGCAGTTATTATCACATACTAAGATAGTATAGTATACCTAGTATGTAGGATACGTGCTAACACCAACTTGAGTGATGATGATACTCTTCGGCAGCACTCAGTTATTATAGCATAAAAGCCTGACGCGACACTGACGCTCTAACTATTTGGCCACCACCTAATTTGGTTATCTAAATGCGCATCGACGAAAATCCGAGCTAGGGAGAATCAGGTATTGAGAATGAGAAATGAGAAGGGGGGAAGCCTTTTTGCTACTTCGAATGCCATCAAGCGAACCGGCTTCGTGTAGGCTACTATGTACAAAAAGAGGCAACGGTGGCGTCCAATGAAGAGTCCAAAGGAGCACCACCGTCCAAAAGGCTTACAAATGACGAACCCGCGCTATATGCAGGTACCGGCCGTTATTCCCTCTTACGGCTGTCGATGACGGAATGCTTCACGTTGCATACGTGTGCGTACTGTGTTATACACGTAGTGATAATCAGGTAATTAATTATTTCTGCAAAAAGAAATGCATGACGAGGAACTATCCACGCGTCTAGTTGGCAATGGCTACAATAACTGATTCTTACTGGACGAGGTGAAGCTGATAGGCGCACAGCACAAAGCCCTAGATACACATACACATACACATACCGAAAGACTTGACGACTATCGTTTTTTCGCTTCGCTGCTTGCGAGACTAGAAAGTTGGTCGCAAGAGGAAAATCGGTAGATCAGCATAAAATAGGTACTTACCTAACATAACATGCGCTGCATGTGCTAGACGCTATAGGTACCTCCTAGCAGCATAATATTGGATCATGCGCCAACAAAAGGACCGGAACACTTGTAAACAGTGTATTATGAACGGTGTGGAAGTTGTGGAAGAGTAAAACCGGAAGAGTAAAACCAACCGAAGCGTCCTAGCTTGAAGATTTTCAATCAGCCGAGCGAATTGTAGCATGTCCTGTTGGACTCGAAGTTCATGGAACCCCCCCTGAGAAACCCCGAGAAGAATAGACCTAACCTCAGGTACAATACAATACGATAACACACAGTCCAATCCAGCTGTCCAGCAGTGCAGACGGTCTGATAATAGCAGATTGCACTAATCCGTAGTTGCATGATTAAACTTAATCCGCGCGCTTCTCGAACGTCCAGCCAACTCCAGTCTATTCTAAGCTACTTTGTTGGACCTGTTAGACCTGTTAGACGTGGGTCAATCTCGAGATCGGGCGGTGGCCGAGGTGGATGGTAGGATTCCTTCTCAAATTTCAGGGGCAGAGGACGCCAACTCTGACACGCTGATTGGCTGAGCGTCTCGAAATTTGAAGCCACCAAAATTGGTTATTTTTAGAGGACCTGGATCCGCGTACACGAGCCGGAGCCAACGAGTGTGTCCGGTGTGTGCAAGGGAAGATAAATAGGCAGCTCGACCAACTTGGGAGTAGATCCATCCGTCTGCAAGGCAGCAAGTGTGCACTACATTACTTTACCAAAGTCAATTGAGACTTCTTTAAAGCAGGGGAGGTAAGGGTGGTGAGTGTGGTGTGGTGTAAGCTTACAAAGTTACAAATTTAGCAATGCTTGTTGAATAAGAAAGTCGGATAAAAAAATAAAATGGACATTTCTAGTGTGCATTGATTGAATGCTCGTCACGTGCCAAGGTAAAATACACTGGAGTATGAAGTACGTACTTCGTACTCGTTAAGTATTGTGCAATACTTGTGACTGCGTGGACCTATCAGCGGAAACCCACTGACCTCAATTCACCAGTCAGAATCAGCACCCCGCGTTGCCTGGCAACCACGACCTATCATACCTTGTCAAACTAGGTTTAACACTAAACGCTTATTGATTCTTCTACGTAGAAACTTCAGCTTCTCCTTTTGTGAAAACTCCTTTTATGAAATAGGAATATCAATCAACATAAGCCTAAACCAAATATATATAATTAATTGGTGATGCCGCCGCATGATATTATTAAAGCAGACCGCATTGCAGATATGTTAGGCGGGTTCGCGGATAGCAGCGAGGATGAATTCCCCGAGATAGATCTGGTCGTCAGCCGCTATCATAAAGTATCAGAGAAGTCGAAAGGTAAACGTGATGAAGCACATCGTGAAGCCGAACGAAAGGCGGCAAAGTCGATTCCACAGACGGAATGCGACGTGCCTTCTAAGTCAAATCCAGCAGTTAAGGCAACACCTCTTCGACGACGAAAGCTAGGCCAGGGCCAAATCGTGGACGGATCTCTTTTAAAGCCATGGGATGACACCGCAATTATTAGGGGGAAGGGTAGCCACACATCAAAGCCAACGACAACTCGTGCTCCTGTTCAAAAAACAAGCACTAAGCCAAAAGCATCCTCTTTCGATGCACCAAATTCAGATATATTACCAACCACAGCTCGTCAAGCGGGTTCCCTTACTATTTCATCCAGCACCAAGCCGGTTCTACTACCAAAGGCAAGGGAGACCTACAATGAAAAAAGTAGACAGAAGGATGAAAACAAAGAAACTAGACGGATTTCTCGGAAGCCAGCTAAGAAATCAATACAGTCGGATGAGTCTGAAGAAGAACTAGAAGATGTAGAGACGAGCGAAGAAGAAGTATCCGAGTTTGTCTCAATATCCGAATCCGAATCAGATACGTGGAATTCGGATTCGGAGCATTCCGAGCATTCTTCAACACCACCTCCACGACGCTCAAAAAGTCCCATAGCTCAATGGGGAAGACCCCAGAGAAAGTTGTTTGGAGACCCAGGTAAAAAGGCGGCACCCAGCAACAAGCAACCTCAAGCGACCATTGCCAACCCAAGCAAGCGCGGATCCAAACAACGCGATCAGGGGGAGAGTATTCTTGACTACTTCAAGCCTTCTCGGTCAGGAAACCTAGAAGACGCATTTCAAAAACTTCACATGTAAGCCGCGCCTAAGGTAGTTAATAGTATCGCTGCCATGACACAAACAAGGTTAAGTAGTGCTGATCGTGCCGCTAGCTTCAACGAGGACTCGGATTCAGATGAACCATCAAGTAAGAGAGCCAAGAATCCAGTGCTGGAGCCTACGACTCCAAAAAGGGCGCAGAAGACGCTACCCGCATCTCCCCTCAAGACGCCTAGGATCCCGGCATCGCCCTGGAAGCCCGAGCATAAGGAGTTCTGGGATCCAGAGGTGAACTTCGCCTGGATCGACGAGCACTCGCCGGAGAAGCCCAAGACCGAGGTGCCGGAGAAGGCGACTAAGGCGAAGAAGCAGCCGGGAGAAACCAAACGGAAGCCCGGCGCGAGCCCGGCGAAACAGCTCCGGGACGCCCGGCGCGCGTTCGACGCCAGCAAGGAGGACTTGGCGCGGACCTTCCTCTGCGAGTTAGACGAGCGCGTGACGAAGGGCCAGCTAGGGAAGCTCACGCGGGAAACGGGCGGGCTGCAGATCAAGTGGTCCAACACGCTGCTCACGACGGCGGGGCGCGCACATTGGAAATGCCGGACCGAGTCGACGACGACGCGGCACGCCGACGGGACCAGCAGCCAGGGGGCCACGACGCGGAAGCACCACGCGTCCATCGAGCTGGCGTCCAAGGTGCTCGGCAACGAGGCGGACCTCCTCAACACCGTCGCGCACGAGTTCTGCCACCTGGCCGTGTTCATGCTCGGCGGGCCCAACGCCGAGCCGCGCGGCATGGGCGAGAGAGCCAAGAAGCCGGCGGCCCACGGCCCCGAGTTCAAGGCCTGGGGCGCGCGGTGCGGCGCCCTGTTCGGCGGCCGCGGCATCCAGGTCACCACCAAGCACAACTATGAGATCGAGTTCAAGTACATATGGCGCTGCGGGGACTGCGCCATCGAGGTTAAGAGGCATTCGAAGAGCGTGGACCCCGAGCGCCAGCGGTGCGGTGGGTGTCATGGGAAACTCGTCCAGATTAAGCCTGTGCCGCGGGGTGCTGGTGCTGGTGCCGGTGCTGCTACCAAAGCCGATGCTGGTGCTACAGGGGGTAACAGCACCGAGGCAGGCGGAAACGGAAACGGGAGCGGAAGCGGCAACAAGAAACACGGTGGCGCGGCAGCCATGCCGAAAAAGAGGAGCGCGTGGCAGGAGTTCATGACCAAGGAAACGCGCGTCTTGAGCCAGACGAATCCCGGACTGTCGTTCAAGGAGCGGATGGCGCTCATATCGGCGCGGTGGCAGGAGCAGCAGAAGAAGCAGAACAAGACGAATAATAACACCGCCACTACCACCAACAACAACAACAATAAGGGGAAACAGGCTGTGAAGGAGTTGCAAAGCGCGGTTGAGATCCTGACGATCGACGACGATGAAGACGACGACGATGAGGGGGGCAAGCAGGACGAGGAAGAAGAAGGCGAAGGCGAACAAAAGGAAGTGGAAGAACAAGATACGGACGGCAAGCCCTATGACATCTTTGCGTAGCCGTTTCGCCCCGGGGTGTGCTACGTTGCAGGCTGTGGTGCCCGGGATGGGTGCGAGACAGGCGGGTATACGCTTGCTGCGTCGTACGCGGACGGGTGCTGGCATGGGAGAGTGTGATGAATGAATGTACATAATCTATCGATCGATCGCTTGTACCTATCGTACCTATCCATCTAGTTGGATAGGTCCACGTTTGCCTTACCTCGTACTCGTGGTGAGGTAAGGATAAGGGCTGGTAAGACTGGCAGGTACCTAGCGAGTGGTTGTATTGGCTGTCTGTTTGCCTGGATGGCTCGATAAGAATAGGAATTTGGGAAGACCTTGTCTATAGACATCATGAAGAACTTAATCAAGTAAGGGAATTATAGGTACCCAGTGATAATCACGACCAAGACAAGAACAAGACGGTAAGTTTACAAAGCCGTCTTCTTACAGTAGGTTCATCATATCTACCTAATCTAACCCTACCTGTCGTAGGGTAATTAAGGGAACACTATCTACCTAGGCTACATAACTACCAGGTAGGCACCTAGGTTGCCTAACTTCCAAACGCGAGACATCCATACCTAGATCCCCCCCATATCCCTCTTCGTAGCTTTCCTGCCGCCGAATATGCATGCCAGTTCCCATACCCATAAACAAATACTCTCTTTTCGTGATTCGTATCAAAGCCGAGGCCCCTCTCAAGTAGGCTTCGGGACATAGACGAACAAAGGAAATACTGTCCACCGAAAGTTTAACTTCCAAAGTCGCGTTATGCTTCATCCCTTATTTCCATTCCTGCTCCTTTTTTTTTCTTTTGGCTGAAATCTGGCCAGTTCTCTTATACCAACCAGCATTATCTATTGATATGCTTTCCGGCCTCTTTTCTCTCTTGCACGGACAGTGAGTGTATCATATGATATCATATCCAACCATACTGTAGTTTACCCCATTATTTCCCCCCTCTTTTATTTTATTTTTCTTTTCTTTTGCCTTCTTTCCTTTTCTTCGTCTTCGGCCGGCTTAGCTTAGACCTCATTAAAGAGACCCCAGTCCTTAACCTTGAAGGTCTCCCAGATCTTGGCGGCGTAGTCGACGGCGTCGCCGATGAGCTTGCCCTGTTTGCCGAGCTGGAGGTCGACGTCGTCCTCGTCGTACTCGCCGCGGATGTGCGGCACGTTGATGGTGATGAGCAAGTCCGTCTTCTCGCGCTCCAGCCGCACCAGCGTCAGAATGATCGCCGTGAAGTCCGTCTTGCTAGCCGGTCGCTGCTGTGACTTGTCGTCCGCGGTGGAAGAGGAGGCGTCGTCGGGCTTTTGCGTCGTGTGTGTCGCGATCAGCGTGTAGGCGGGGATATCTTCGCTGTTCGGAGTGCGATCGCGCATGTTAGTCTTCGAAGGGGATCGTTTGGGAGAAGAGGCTAGGTATAGTATAATACGTACTCTAGGCGAGAGAACACGGTAGGTGTAGTATTCCAGACCTTGACGTTGTCGAGGTCTTCCCCTACTATGTCCTCGAGGTGTGTGGTCAAGGCGCGACCGTCTATCTCGGGGCTGCTTCCCGGGCCGCCGACGCGCTCGTTGATGTCGAAGATGATGCTGGTGAAGCCATCTTTGTCGATGTATGCTTCTTGGTGGTCGGGAACTTGTCTTATGAGGCTATTATGCGGATAATCCAAAGGCTGCTGTTAGTCGCATTGTTTGTATTCGGTCTGGACCGTATATGAAACATAGAAATATATTTGATAGGTGATGTAAAAGGGTATTCGCGCAAACGTACCTCACGTCGGCAAAGCTAGCTGGGAGGTCGCAGATGAGAGCTCCTCCATATAGCGGGGTACTCTTGTAAGCCGTCATTTTTTATTATTTTTTTTTCTTCTCGGAAGCGTGGGTTTATTGCGAAAGTAATAGGAAAATAAGATTTATTCAAATGGAGATAATAAAGATGGGGAGATTAAGGTATGTTACTCGGACTTTTGGTGGGACGTTAGCAATAGTTTAAATATTTGTCAAATGCGTCCCTTCCTATGTGCGATATTCAAATTGATCAACACAGCAAAGCAAGTTAAGAGCCCATGCCTTGTTGGTCTGGTCTGCGACTGCCTGCGTACATAGCCTGCGTAACATGGCTGCATAGTACATGTGCTATGGTGGGGCAGCAGATGATGTAACTTGCATCTTTGCGACACATGCTTTAACCATTTTACTGGCCCAACTGAGCCTAAATTTGGCAATGGCGAATGAAGGCGAGTACCTAATAGAGAGAGAAAGTACCTCATCTTATCTCTCTTTCCTTACCAACACATCTTTACACCGAGTGTCGTCCTTGTTTTTTTCGTTTTTTTATTGTGTGACTCATCGAGAGTTCTTTACTCCTTCATCATACGTACCTAAGCCTTGGAGTCATTTTGCTGGATGCCAAGCGCAAATGCCTTAATGCCTGCATCTTCTTTTTCATATAGAGTGTACGTGACTCAGAGAAAGTCGTGGTTGTCGTTTCGTATATACGGCACAGAACATATAAACATCAGCATTTATAAGCTCTTATAGGCCCAACCAAGTTTCTAATTGAACTTGAATCCATCATCCTCCGAGGTGCTATCCAACAGCTGAAGCATATAATAGCTCTCAATGCGAATTTCAAGAAGTAAATGACACAAAATAGAACCATGAGTCAGAAGTAGTTCAGTGGGATTGCGGATATACCTGTTATGACCCGATAAGATGCTTGACTTCTTCAATAACTGAGAAGTCTCTTGGCTGGGCTTGCGACGTAGCTGGAATAAAAGCCTTGAAGTTGGGTCGTAACAAAAGACTATTACTTCCAAAGATAACACTTATTACATGATATACCCGCACACTGTTTACGGTACTAGTCAGTAATGAAGGGAATACTAGCATATAAGGTATCATAGGTAGGTATGTAATTAAGAGATCATAAATGATATTAATCACCGACCAGGGAGTGTGAGAGGTCCTTGTTATGAATATCTGTTGGACGCGATAGTATAACTTCCAAAGCTCTATATTAGATCTGCAATTATTACTAAGAGCAGTATGGTTTACTTTACTCTTTGTGCAGTATCATATCAGATAGTACATCTTACGCGATATAGCTATAATATATAGCTATAATAGTCCAGATAATCAGGGACTTCCATATGACATGGGTAGTCTTGCCATATACCTTAGGAAGGAAATCACTAGACAAGATCACACACATTAGGTACACACTCATACTTCATAAGTTCAACCTCATTATCAATCCAGCCATGAAGTACCTGCATGGCATAATCTAACCATTCATCCCGTCCCACCACCCTACCGGTTGCCCTCCCACCATCTGCAACCCAGATTCGTTCGTTTTAGGGATGCCAATTCTTCCCAAATACCTATGCTGATCCAACCGCCACATCCCTCCGTCCAAAGCCGTAGTCATACTCTTGTCTTTCCCTAGGGGTATCATTGGTAGTAATGAAAGTCTAGAATGCAAATGAGAATAAAAAAAAAGGAGCATATTGGGTATACCGCGATCGACCAACCCACCCCCAATGCGCCGTAAATCGAGAATTGGATTGTAACATCAGGCTGCCCCGGGTAGCTGCCCGGGACTGACCAGGCCGTTTCCTTTTCCATGTTTATAATCTGCTTTGAATTTCTCCGAAGGTGTTTGACCGGACCGCTTAAACGCGAGAGGCCAAGTCCCAGGATTTCAGGGTTCGGCTGGATTCCTTTCGGACGGCCCAGCCCTTGAGGGCTAGGAGAATAACTTCCCAGGCCATAACCAGACCGACTAATCCCATGGTAACGGTGTAGAAGAACATGGCATCCAAGTCGTAGTGGATCATTCCCTCAACAGTATCGTTGGCCTATTACTACTGTTAGTCACCGGATTTTGATACCGCAATCAAGACACAACTTACGCTCGCCATGAAGATAGTACCCCCAGCGATTAGTCCAAATGCAGTGATCAGCTCAGTCGGAGGGCGAGAAGGTAGAATCGAGCGAGGTGGCTTGAGATAAACGAGCACGTATGTAAATCCTCGAGCGAAAGAAGCGCCGGTTAAGAGGTTACCCCACTGCTTGTGAACCATGCTGGAAACCATATTATGCTGCGTGTGCGAGCTCATCATGATACCAAGAAGGAAGATGACAAGTGCCGGGATCGGGTTGACGGAAAATTCATATTCTTTAGGCGGTTGCAGGGCTTCACGTTCCTCGTCACTGTACGCATGGCTAGGATGAGAGACAGCCGCATCGTACACTGTAGTATTCAGAAGCTCGCGGATCCGTGTTGACTCAATAAGCATCGCAAGCTGTATGGCCCTATTAGTTTCTCGTCATGAATATTGGCTGACACAATAGCGACTTACGAGGCCACCGCCGATGAAGAGGACGGTGATGGAGATGTGTTCAAGGTCCTGAGGGCTGAACTCCTTGCCGGCGTTGCCAAGATGCTCGAGGAAGATGTTAGTCGAACCGTAAGTGAAGATGAGCGCACCCTCAACGAATTCCGCGGTAGGTCTCCATTTCTGCGAGCTTTGTTTCGGACGAACGTTCCATGCCTGCGGAGCTTTTTGTAAGCAATCATGTCGATCGGTCAATTGGGGGGGCCGTATTCATTCTAACTCACCCAACCAAGCTCACCGAAACTTCCCGACCACCTTCCGAGAGTCAATAAACCGTACCAGAAAAAGATGCCACCCTTAATCCAGTGGGCTAAGCCGCTGAAAATACTATGACCCTCCTAAATTTACCAGTCAGTCTACGATATTATACTCGTAAACGAATATGCTTGAGTTGACTTACAAAGAACCGTCCGAAAGTGATTACACCAGTGCATAAGGCGATGTAACCTAGAATGAGAATGGTCCTGTCGACGAAGTTGTAGGCAAACATCAAAACCTTCCATGCTCTAGAGGAGATCTTGCTGGCAAATTTAGCGATAAATGAGTTGGCCTTGTTTGAGTCTAGCACTTCCGCGGACTGGAAATGAATGTCATCGAGATCGTCGTAGTGGATTCGTCGGTCGCTCGTCTCAATAGGTGATTCTTGGCCCAGCGCAGTCGATACCGAGTTGCTCCTCAAAGATTCGGTACCCGGTTCAGTACCTTGCCCACTATCGTTAGAGTGGCGATATGGATGAGGGTACATCCTGTCATTAATGCGCTGGTGTTCAGCCATAGCCTCTGTCGAAACCGGAATGAATGCCTGCTCTTCCTCCTTGCTAACTCCTTCTGTTCCCTTGCTGCCCAAGACACCCGCGACGCGGCCGACGAGACTGATAAATACTTGCGCGCTAACTACCCAAGTGACTATCCAGCCAAGCTTGTGGTGCGCGTTGTTTGGATATAGATCGGGTGTGTTCGCATTGTAGGTAATACCTAGTACGACGCCGAGCGCATTCGTAACGAGGAACAGAAACTGGAGCGGGAGCGTATACCGGGATCGCGCAATCGAGAACATGACAGCTAAAAAAAGAGCGATTAGATTTACTATGAACTTGTCTCGAAAACACTGGGATAATCCCCATACCTGTTGGCAGCATGACTACCCAACTGATCACCATTAGAGCTATATGCGCATAGATTTCGACTACGTGTTCCGAGTGCGAAAAGTACGTGGGCGGATACGATTCTGGGTCTGGCTTGGGTTCCTCTTTGCTCATATCCATAGTCGCGTCCATATCCATTGCGCCTTCATCGTCGTGACCGTGGGCAAGAATCGTAGGAATAGCTCCCGCTATAGCGACAAGCGCGAGCGCCTTGAGCGCAGACTGAGTAGTCGACCTCATATCGACTCAAACTTTTTTTTAGGATACGTTGAATGGGTAAGTAAAGTTTGGTGTGTCAACCAGAAGAAATATATTTTACATGCCCCCACGGGCTAAGCTTTTTTGTTCTCGGGAAGATTAATCCTTGAACGAACTGTCTCCCCTGTACCCCTGGGAATGGTTAGAAAATTGCGCTTCACCGACGTAGTTCGCTCCTCTGTAGACGCACTTCTCTGAAAGCTACGGCTACGGCGACCTGTAAGTATGTAAGGCTAACCTCGGTGACTTACCCGTTTTATGACGGCGGTGACCTGGAATTTATGTAGGAAAGCTAGATCAAGGGTACGCAGCCATTAAAGACCGGGATCAGCGTGATGGTTGGTAGTATCTGACGGAAGCACTACTACCACATGTATGAGGGGATGAACGAGTCATACGGAAGGGGGGAGGGAAAGGGCTTTCATAAACTGCATCTCGGTAGGAAGAAGTTATAAGTCAATGTATTCCCCAGGATACACTATTTGTTTTATACCAAGACGGGAAACGGTGTCGGCGTCCTTTGTTGCCCTCGAGGTTTGAATTGTACGGTAGCCCCGGGCAGGTGGGTTAGGTACCTACCTCTATACAGGGAATATACTATGTACAAGGGCGAGTGCTACCCACGTACATACACTAGCTAAAGTTAAATCCGTCTTGTATCGGATATACTTTCGTCTAGCTTGTATGTACAACAATATAGAGGTACATCTAAAGTCGTCTAAAGGTCATCAAGGCCATTTTGCTCGTTGACAAAGAAAAAGAGAAAAAAAGGCCGGGCCCACCCGAGCGCATTCTCTTGTCATCCGTTCGCGCCATCTATCTCTGATGAGCCATCGAGCGATAGCGCGTGGAAAAATAGCACGATGGTCTATCCGAGGTATCCGAAAGGAAACCACCAACGGGCGGTATGGCAGTATGGGTATTAGATTGAGGCCGTCAAGGACTTGAAGAAACTCGCAGAATCGGACTGTGGATATATTGGAGACAAGAATGGGTCTGCTTTGAGCTACCATCCATGTCTATTCCATGTCTTATCCCATGTCTAATGTACTTAAGTCTATGCATAATATGTACAACTGCATACTCTTTGCCAGAAGGAGTACCTACATGAAAACGTAGTACCTACCTAACCTAACATAAGAATGACAGCATCAACCGTCGAGGTACCCACTTCCCGTTATGTACCTCATAACTTTGACAGGGTTAGGTTAGGAGGTATATTTCCTCTTCAACATCGAAGCTTCCCGACCAACGGTGAGTAATCATGTTTTGGCCTATGGTCTGACCGGAATTATGAAAGGATCTATTTCTCTCTCTTCTGGAGAATGAAAAAAGCGATCATCCGACAACCCCGCCATCCGCAATCGGACATACGAAGGTAATATGGTAAATACCACAAATTCCCATCCCATATGTATTCCTGTCGATGTAGTGTATTCCTTCGTGTTACATAGGTACCTAAGGTACTTATATGTTTAAGTTTACGCGCCTAGCAACCCACATGTATATTGCGTAAAGTGAACCGCTTTCAATACTTCTTAAAACTCGAATCCCTTCGAATACCAGGTATTATTATAATAGTAAGTGCTCTTATGTTATCCAAAATTCATAAGGTTGGTAATAACCCATCAGAAATATTTGTGCCATAAATTGTACCTCATATGAATGCAAGACATGCATACCTTACATAGAGATATGCATCTGAAAGCTCAGAAATACTTTTAAACCTGATCATGTGTGGACTCTGCTTACCTTTTCAGGCTGGCCGCACAGGCTCGTGGATGACTTCTCAGCCTTTCGGGTTCTTGATGAGCCGCGCTAGCAGGGATCTTAATTTGTTGCTAGTGGAGTCTCACAGTACTTAAGTGCAGGGATTTTTTTTGGTTTTTTTTAGCATAGTAAAAAAAAAGCCGTTGTTAATGTACGACACTGTCGCAACACTTTACCATCTTCATAGGTACTTCCAATACATAGGTACGCCTACAGAATCTACCTAATGGATCTTCGAGTATTTCAAGTGTTGTAGCTATGACTGTACATTAAGGCTTTTCGATAATCGTCATCGACCACAAGGCTGAGTTCGTTACGACAGTAATACACAACCTTAGCATACCTAAGCTTTGCGTTCAGCCACTTTCCGTGCGCAAATTCATACACTACTTAGGTGTAAGCTAAACAAATCCCTGAGAGCCTAGTCCGAATGACGATGCGATCTTGACCCGTCTCACTCCGAGAGAAAATTGTTTCGCCGTCCCACAATATCCCTAGCACCTGGGCAACGTCGGCCCTCGCTTTAGATGAGGACCGACCAGCCTGCCCAGTGCCCAGCTTACCCGAACATCGTCATGCACGAGAGCTGTCACACACCAATTGCCGGCCGTTTAAACTAGGTACAAACAAATCCTTAAATCTACCTATGTACTAACTATGTACCATGTAAACGTGAGGACCACATATGACAGGTAACATGCACTAATGCGAGGAGTCTGGTACCCCTCGGATGATATCTGCGACAGATATAGTCTGGGGTAGCTACCAACCTAGGTAGATAAGGAGGAATCGGTGGTAAGATGTCGGATGTCGATCTAAAGTGAAATGGGAATCTCCATTAGCTAAGCCTCCGAGGGAAGATGCGATGGGGGGGAAGATGGAGGGTAGCATTGGTGATGGTACCGTCGCAAAGGTATTTGGGAAAACTAATTACGATGAGGGTTTTTGTCGTTGAAGCTATCTCTACAGTAATGTACCAAGACCGATACCGAGTACGAACTACACTAGACAGGTATTCGACTGCCATACCTGCCAAGCGGTATACCTCGCATACCAAGTATACTTTCAACCTGCAGCAGTCCAGATGCCAACGACACTATCCACAACCAGGATCTGATACTTCTTGGTAGAACACGACATGACCTATGTAGGAAATTGATGTAGAAACCCGCCAATATCATTATTGATCACGGCACCAATGTCGATTACTTAGCCAATGGGTCTTGCCAGCACAGAGGTTCAATAATAAGATCGATCGACCATACCTTTTTGCCAAGGCCTTGGGTAATAGAAGCCCAGACATCCCAAGATGTTTTGGAACAAAGCAACCCGACGCCAAGGACATCGGTCGTCTAATTAGTATAGGTAGAACATTGGCGGTTCATGACTATTTGACCGTAGTTCGCTCTTTCGGACTGCAAAAGTATTAGTTGGATACCGAATTTTGCTCGTCCAAATACACTACATACAGTCCGAACGAGGGATGGATTCATCTTTTTGTCTAAGGCGGAAATGGGGCACATCACGGGTGATTACACAGAATGGGGAAGAGCCCGTCAAATCATCGAGATTTTCCATTACACGGTAAGGCTGGGCTCGCTGTTGGTATCCATACTTTTCTATTAGTACATCCGTAACTCCTTATGGATGGCTTACTTCTAACGCCACGTTTTTATTTACGGCGTAACCTTTACGGCGTATAGGAAGGGCGGTGGTTGTTGCTATATATTCCGCAGAGCTTCAATTTGGTAATACTACCTAACCATAAACTCCTTGGGTCTTATCCCTTACTACCTGAACGGATGAGGGTCGAGGGAATACTATGTAAGATGGAAATAGTGATCGGCCTACGGGATTAAGGAATGTCCATTTTTTTGTCCCTAACGGACTTCCAAGCCCAAGTCATTCGAAGCGAAGGAAGCGAGTTTCCTCAAAGGCTCAAACCTCTCTAAAAATTGCTCCAAGCCCCAATTAATTAACGCCGGCAAGATCTTGATATAGTACTGAGATCGATGCCATGTGAGCTTCTTGGCAGCCGGCGTTCCGGAACCCGCGGCGAGAACAACTACACTTACCCACACTACTGCTACTCGTGCCACACCCCACTTTTTTGGTTGGTCTGTTCAACCCACCAGCTAAAGCTGGTGCTCATTACTATTTTCCACACACCACAATTATTCCCAAACTTTTTCATTTAAATATAACTTTTTCAAAATAAGTCCATATATAATAAAAAAGGTACAAATAGATAGAGAAAAGTCTAAAGAATTTTTCATGTTTTTTTTATTTTTTTAATATAAATATTTAAAAAAAAAGTATTTAAATTTTCGAAAATTAATAGATGTGACGAACCTACACTCAGGTCCGTTAGAGTGTAGTAACAGGGGTCTTGATTTTAGGTAAACAGTAGCGATACGGGTCAAGTGTCAATAAACGTTGAAAGTGTTCGTCAGAAAGGCTTGGAGTCCTTCCCCTTATATAGGTTAGATATAAGACTTAGATTGATAGCTAAGGAAACGTAAATGAATGTCTAGATACATGATGGTTTTAAATATCCCATAGGCCTCCCTGTCTTCTGAGGTTATCGTGGTTTCTGGTGATCCTGTTGATTCTAGTGATCCTGCAAGATCACCAGGATCATCAGGATCACTTCCCTCCAATACGTTTTACCCGTAGTTTATCCGTTCTCGGGATCGTACGTTTCAAGATCCCCGCTTCCCTACAAGGTATGGTCTCCCGTGCTGTTGGTTCGTAACAATAGAAAATCAAATATTAATAATTTTTTAAAACGGCTCTGATATCGTAATAATTAATATTCTAAATAAAAATAAGAAAAATACTGCATATTTTTATATATTCTGTTGATATTTTATATTTGTTGGTAGGTACGTACGTATGATATAAAGCAATAAACAAGTAAATCAAATAATAATGGGGGCGAGACTGGTGTATTGATGATGTCTAAGGAGGGAGGAATCTATTTAAGACTAGCTAGCAGTGTGATGTCCTTTTATATAGTAATAGTGGGTACACTGTTCCTTCCTCCCATATCGGCACCAAGGCACCTTATCCCCGATAAGGTGCCTCGGTGTCGATGTCACGCAACCGCCAATATTATTAATTTTGTATTAAATTCTTTTAAATTTTACTTCCAATTATTTTTCACTATTTTTTCTTATATAATATAAAATTCAAGATATTCAAATATATTTTTTACAAATTAATATTATTAAAACCTGTAATATAATAAATTTTTATATAAATTTTGGGGATAAATGTGGTGTGTGGACAATACTAGTGAGCACCAGCTTAGGCTGGTGGGTTGAACAGACCAACCAGAAAAATGGGGCGTGGCACGAGTAAGTATTCATGCGAGTTAGGATCGGCTTTCCAAATTGCATTGTAGCTAAGGTAGTTAGTTTAATAAAGACCCACGACGACCTCCATTATAGTATAGTCTTACTTTTTTGGGGGGGTTTTTTTTCACGTTTTTACGTACTAACCATCGGGAAACACAACTTCTCGGCCTCTACGGGCATACCTAAATCCCACCTCCAAAATCCGAAGAATGACATCGTTTTTTAAGGTACAAATACTACCAAGGATCTTGTTAACGGTTCCCGGCACGTTGGTACAACCCCATAATATTAGTACCTAGCAGTGCTCGTGCTCGTGCCAAATCTGTGAACCAAGCGATGGGATGGGATGGGATACAAGATGATTCCAGGCGGACGCGAAAAGGCTCGGGCGGTTGATGTGGAACAAGAACAAAGCACTTTAAAATGCTGTGTACGCAACTATTATGTGCACGTATCACCCGAGGGCTATGCGGGCAGCTGAATACCTAGTAGGTAGTAAGCTTCATATAAAAGAATATTGAGCACGAATTGCTTGCTTCCTCTACCAAAATCGTACTTCATCCAACCCGTATCCCTTAAAACTTGAATCTACAGCTTACACTGATGTAAACATATCAGGATTCTTAGAATGTACCTATCTATATATGCTGTACGAGGCATGGGTCGATCAATCGACCGATAGTCGTCTTCTTTCATAAGCTCGACCGGTCCTTACTATTACTATTATTATTCTCACTACTACTAGTAGTATCATTAGTATTACTCAAGCGCCACGCATCCCCATCTTCCAACACGACCCTGCCCTCATCCCGGAGCTTCCGGAGGATCTGGACCACGCCGTTCGCGGCAGGCACGTGGAGAGCCTCCGGGACGTCGCGGTAGATGACTTTGACCAAGTCCATCGGCGTCCAGAGGCGGTGGCGATCCTGCGCGGACCCCAGCGTCTGCAGCACCTGCTGCTCCCGCTGCCGCCGGTGCGCTATGTACTCGGCGATCGTGGCGCGAGCCCGCGGCAGCACGGGCCCATGGGCTGGGTACCCGCGGCCGTCCACGAGCTTCTCCATCTTCGCCAGGCTCTGCAGGTAAGTCCCGAGGTCCTCGAAGACGGACGTGCCCTGCCCTAGGACGTTGTCGCCCGTGAACAGCGCGTCTTCCTCCTGTAAGATGAAAGCCATGTGGTCTACGGTATGCCCTGGGGTGTGGACGGCCGTCAGGGTGGCCCCTTCGACCTCGAATTTCTGGCCGTCTGCGATATCTAGCTGACCTTCCGCCGGCTGGTTTTTGAAGATGGCTGTCTGCGGCGAGTGTTCTAATAGTTGGCCGACCCCGCCTGTGTGGTCGTGGTGCCAATGAGTGAGGAGAGCAATTTGAATGCTGGCTTTCTCCTCCTCGAGAGTCTTCTTCAAGGCCGCAATCCACGAGGGTTTACCCTCGCCGGTATCAATCAATAACCTCTTCGGGCCGGTTCCGATGAGATATGTGTTAGTGCCTTGAAGCGCGAATTTGCTAGGGTTGCCGCCGAGAATTCGGATCACGGCGGGACTCAGCCGCTCGATCTCCGGTATGTGGACGAGTTGGGTAGCCATGGTAGTATAAGAAGCAGCTATTCGGAAAGCTCTCATACCAGTTTTAAGAGTTATAACCACGTGGAAGGACAAGTGCACAGAGTTGATGATAAGATATGAATTTTAGATATTGGTCTTGTGTTATCTGCATAGGAGAGTCGATCAAGTTCTCTACGTTGACAATATGTTGATTGTTCTGATAGTGATAGCGATAGATTACGATATCATCGATGAGGACAGAATAGAGCACAATTATGCCATTGAGGTATTGTACCTGTGATAAGGTACCTAGATGATGCATTAGAGATAGTTGAAAAGCCGAGGTCCCCAACGGAATAAGTATGAGATTACCTAAACTACCTTACCTATACCTAGCCGTTACGCAACTTCATTTACCTAATCTTTAGGTTGAAGGTGCAACATAGCGCTATGACCCCTGATCTTCCCGTTAGCGCACCCCGGATAAGCAAGATAAAGGTGTAAATCAGGTGCCGATAAGAATTTCTAGCGCGTTGGTTTCAACTATCCGTACCTATCTTTGCGCCTGCTGAATGACGCTGCACGGCGTTTAATAATTTATTTTTCTTGTAACCGATTTAGATTTGGTACCTATCGTTACAGCAGCTTTTGGCTGAACGAGTCGTCTAACAAGCTTGCTTTTGGTATCGTAGCTTCGACAAGCTGTTTGTAAGTTTTTCTAATTTTAAGGAACGCGTACCGTACCGTACCTCGTAATTATTATATTAACTACCTAGAACTAATGTTTGGGACGTCGAGGTGAAGAAGTGAAGAAGTCGAATGCGCATCGCCAGGAGCTGAGCTGCACATTTAATATCTGCAGAGGGCGACGCCGTCGTATTCGTTGATTCTATCCGCCTTACCAAAAAAACAAAAAGTCGAGCCTTACTCTAATCCTCTTCCATATACGAACCTCGTTATTACTGTACCTTATTCGCCCTTCTTAAAAAATCAAGGGCCACGGTCGCTAAATCGTTCGGTCGAGCCCTTTCGTGATCGCAATTTTGTCCATCTCGTTCCCGACGCCGCCCGCCTATTAATTTACACTTCAACCGAATCCTCCTACCTACATTACATCCCGCAAGCCATTGCGTATATTCGCCAATTCCTTACACAATTTATTTGGTATTAGGTACTTGTTATATAAGTCTATTACAATAACAGGAGGAAGCATGGCTGCGCGACCTACTACCCCGGCGTCGCCTAAAAATGTCAAGATTAACTCACCCACTCCCGGGATGCCTCTATTTGGCTGTGGTCAGTAGTCTGCTTCTAGGCTTTATAGGATATAATGTCTTGTGGGGATATATATACTGAAGCTTTTGCAGAGCATGTTCAACTACTCCTATCCAACAATCCAGATGTTATAAACAACTCGATCCAGTACTATAAGATGCTACTGAGGGTCATCTTCGACGGCAACCCCTTGGTGCCTCAGACTTCCAAGGGTCTCGATGGCGTGATAACAACATCTCTGACCCCAAACTACCTTTGTTTGCAGTGTTCTGCCATCGTGCCCGAGGAAGAACGAACGAAGCACGGAAATAAGAAGAGCCACCGGTTTTGTATGTCCCGGCGAATATATGACATTATGACGATATTAGATCTCGGCTGACTGGTAACAGATGTGGACTCGAGAAGTGGTTCATTATTTTGCCAAGTGTGTGAAGACTTCGTATGGGATCCAACCTTGGATGATCTAAGAATAAGAAAGATGGGCACTGGGTCATTCTCAAGTATGTCTAACTAACCTACACACCCCCTGAGATTGCTATAGAGAATCAGCCCGCACCAAGACGAATAAAATACTTATTCAAATAAACCCCCAAAGACTGACATCAACCTATACAGGTCGCAAGAGAAAACACGAAGAGATGTTCTCGGATGCCGTGAAAGATCCTTTAAAAGACGATCCCAGATACATATCATCAAACACGACCATTGCATCCTGTCGAGCAGACGGCCTTCGAGGAATCTACAACGCCGGCGCTACATGTTATCAAAACGTTGTCCTGCAGAGTTTTCTTCACAATCCCCTGCTGAGGAACTTCTACTTGAGCGATGGGCACCAGAGCAGCGACTGTCAAGTCCCCCACTGCTTAAGCTGCGCCATGGATGATATGTTCCAAGACTTCTATGCCCTCGAAAATACTAATGGTTATACGGCGGCTAACATATTATCCGGATTTTGGATATCCGAAAAGAAGGCGTTTGAGAATCTAGTCACAACCAAGGAGCAGGATGCACATGAATTCTTCCAGTTCCTAGCCGAGGAGTTGCACGAGAGGAATGGGGATGGCAAGAAGCCAGAGACGGGTAGTGAACATAGCTGCAATTGCATCATCCACCAGACCTTCTACGGCAAACTCCAAAGCCAGACGACTTGCCAGCATTGCGGCGGTGTTACCAATGCGATAGAATCCTTCCTCGACTTAAGTCTGGGATTGGAGAATCTGTCCCAAAAGAGGGGCAAGAAGGCATCTAAGAGCGCGGCGTCGCTAACGCTGCAAGAGTGTCTCGATGAAGAATACATCAAGTCTGATAAATGCGAGTATCGCTGTAGGAACTGCAATTCGTCACAACAGGCTCGGAGAGACCATAGCATCAAGCTTCTGCCGAACGTGCTCTCTATACAGCTCAAGGTTAGTATCAGCCCTCCCGAGTTTCCGTTAGGAAAATTGCTAACGTATATGATATGTCCAGAGATTTGAGTTCAAGCAGGGCAGTCGTGATCGGGTTGCATCAAAGATCAGCACGAAGGTACAATTCCCGCTGCAACTGAACATGCTTCCATATACGACGCGTGGTCGAACTGCAGACGCTCGCGAGAGTCAAGAACTCAGACGATCCTGTACATATGATCTATTGAGCGTTGTCGAGCACGTCGGAGAAATTGATACGGGTGAGTTGAATCCTAACTTCTCTACTGATTCCATCAAAGTCAAGGCTAACTTCGATAGGACACTACGTAACATATTCTCGAGTCGGAGATCAAGTAAGTCCCCTAAATAGTCGGTAACTACGGGCTTGGAATCCAGTACTAACATGCGTTTTAGTGGTTTTCGTTCAACGACCATAGAGTTGAACTAGCCAAGAAATCCGACGTCCTGGGTAGCCAGGCTTATCTACTATTCTACATCATCCGTTCACTGGCGTAAAGGAAGCGAAGGTGGTGGCATATTGCTATTATCGACGGCAATCAAATATATTGGAACGGAGTCGAACGGCGGTATTTTTGACGACGCATTTACACGGGTTCGGGGGGCGCGATGACTTTACGTTTCACTTTTCTTTTTTCTGCTTCTATTTTTGTTCCCTCCCGCATCATCTGTTTGAATAAGATAGAGAGAAGCAGCGCATAGAGAACACTACGGACACACCTCTATTTCTCGAGGGATGGCCCAAGTCTCTTTCTCGTCCTATTGACTAGCGGGTATTTTGCGGTGTGTTTTTATATCGATATAGACACTTAAAATAGCAACAGCGAAATGGAAACACCGCTAGTCGGCTCGAAGATCATTTCTAGTTATCGAAAGCATAACTAAAGTTAAAGCCAAGGTTAGGTACCTAGGTATCTATCTAGACTCCGTAGCTTTGATATCGAAGTGTTTGATCTGAGCTACACACTTCCACGTAGCAATGGGCGTACCTAATGTATACTAACTACCCTAACCTAGTAGTTACGCGGCAGATGGAAATAGGAAATACGATAAAGATCACACAGGATGGATGTTAACACATACAACAATTCGATCCGGTTCGCTAGACGTTCGGAGTGATATTACTACTTTTTTTTTTCTACTGCTATCGCCACCGGACCACCCTACCTTAGGTACCTATATACAAGGACTGCGGTGTGGTGTATGCCGGACGTTATTCTTTCGCAGCACAACGGGGCTCTCAGACTACCTACCTAACCTAACCTAACTCCTCCTCTTAATAGAGTTAAAGTAAATAGGTAGATGCTGTTAGTTTAACCGCTCATCCAGTCAGTCAGTCAGTCAGTCAGTCCTCTTCCTCTTCCTCATTCATCATCATTTTCATCCCCTTTCCCCGCCCCGGTACTTCCAAGCGTCGCACTCGAAATTCGCGTAGCAGTAGAACTCGTTGCTCAGCCCGCGCGCGTGCACGAGCTCGTACGTCGTCGCCCGCGCCCCGAGCGCCCGGTACAGCTTCGTGATGAGCGGCTCCATGCGCTCGCCCGTGCAGACGACGAGCCGGAGCCGGGGGCCGGGGCGGGACATCCAGCGCACGGTGAGGGCGACTATTTTTGCGCGTGTGTGTTAGATGGTGCTGTTCTTTTATTTTATTTTATTTTTTGTTTAAAGACGGAGGAGATGAAAAAAAAAGAAGAGGAGAAGAAAAAGAAAAGGGGGAAAGGGGGGAAAGGGAGGAGGGGGGAGGACGAGAATAAACAAACACATTAGGTAGGTACCTACTTTTTGTCTGGCAGTCCTCGCTGAGGAAAGGCGGGTCGTAGATGATGCGGTCGACGGCGCCTTTGAGCTCCGCGGGGAGCTTGAAGGGCTGCTGGAAGTCGTAGAACACGAACTCGGGGAACACGGAGAAGCGCTGGTCGTGCTCGAGGAGGAGGACTTTCTTGGGTTTGGGGGTGTTGGCGTCTGCTGCGTTCTGTGCGAGGCGGGGAATAGTTAATGGTAATGTTAGTATTTTGAATTGGGCTGGTTGTTCGTGGTGTGAGCTTGGGGAAGAGGGGGACGAAGAGGAAGACGAAGAGAGAAAAGGGATGGTGTGAAGAGATATGATGAGTGTGACTGGACTATAGCAGTTTCTTGTATGCTAGTATATATAAGAAGTATAGGAGGTTGTGATGTGCTATATCGAGACCTTGGGGAATCATAAAAGAAGGACGCAATGTTCAAGTCTTGCTCCTGGTTCTACTGTGATCGAGAGACAGACTCAACCTTCCTCGCTGCAAGCCTCGAGACCCTGGACATAAAAAACGATTGATATATCACTCACCAACAAATTCTTCAGCGCAACGAACACGCTCGGCGTCGACACCACAGCGATGACCTCGTCCTCGCGCACGCCATCTAGCAGCTGCTTCGCGAGCAGGGTAGCCGTCTCGTCCGAGTACTGCGACAGAAACATTAGTCCCCCCCTCTCTCTGTCTGTCTCTCTGTCTCTCCTCTCATAAGCACCCCCAACGCAGCAAGCAGACCAAGCAACACAATAATGAATAACAGCGGGGAGGGGGGGATTGGTAACGGACATACCCAAAACTGCGACGCGTTCCAATCCTCCGTAAACGCATCCATGGAAAGCGGCTGCGCGGCGGCGGCGGCGGCATCATGCTGGTCCTCGGTCGCCGCCTTCAGCTTCTCGAACTTGTCGGCGCGCGCGTCGCGCTCGCCATAGAACTCCTGCAGCGCCGCGAGAGCGTGGGACGAGAGGGTTCTGTAGCGGAGAGTTAGTATAGATTCTCTACTTGACTGAATAAAGGAGTGGATACAGAAAGCACACAATGCCTATGCCGCCGTACTCGGGTAACAACTTCACTTACATCGGTTCGTCGTCGCTATCGGCCATTTCTAACCCGGTGCTTATTTACTTATTTACTTAATTGGCTTTGATGGGAAGATTTATAAATTATATGTTGATTAATATGTATGACCTTATTGAATCTCCTCGTTGTGTTGTCAACTTTGGGAACAAGTTGAGTTTTTTCGGAGCGCAAAAATAATAATCTTTAGAAGCAAAATCTCAGTCTCGGTCGCAAACTCAACAAGGCTACAAACAACACAGCAAATCACGGTCGGCGCTAGAACATCATAACGCCCTACAATTAGGGAAGCTCTTACAACAAGTGCTATTCGTGACTTTTGAAATAAGGGCGAACTACTACTAGGTCTAGTATAAGGTAGGCATGTACAGCGCAATACGAGCGTCTTCTTTTTTTCCCTCCATATTTGCACAGAAGATGGCCTCGAGAAGTTATTTTATTGTTCGTCTAACACGTGCACGTACTTCCTGTCTTCCCGCTTCTCCTTCTCCGTCGCCGGCGGGAGGTCGTAGTATGCCGAGCTACGATATCCTTGCTGTTTATAATGGTTAATACTGTTATATTCATTTATCTGTATTGGCTGTCAAACTTACCAAGTAGTGGTATGTGAAGTCGCTGATGTCACCCGGCGTAATGCCTAGGTCGGCAAAAGTCTTGGCTGTAGGATCGATCTTCTGGTCGATGAACTCCTTGTCTACTTCCTCGGCGGAGAGGATCGGCCACCACAACGCCTTGTTAAGAAGGCCGGCCACGGGCTTTAGGATGGCCTTGGGCACGTTGATGTGTCTTCGCTTCTTGTAGATTTCCCGGTCGACCAACTCGGCGATTTCGGCTGTCGAGTAGTTCTTAGGTCCGTAGAGCTCGAAGGTCTGCCCCGCCGTGGTGTCATCGTATAGCATAGCTTCTAGAGCTTGGCCCACGTCAATGGACTATTAACATTAGCAATCCGGTTCGTAATTTAGCCGATCTATATCAGAACGGACATACGTGAACGGGCCAGTATCTCTCCTGCATGTTGTTCGCTGTGAATAGGTTGCCGGCGCTAGCCAATCGGTGGAGGAGGTTGTCCTCGAAGCCGAATAAGGGTGCCGGTCGGACGATAGTAGTCTCCGGGAAGATGCTTCGGGCGACTTGCTCGCCCCTCCCCTTGGTAGCGAAGAATTCGGCGGGCGAGTTAGGGTCGGCGTTATAGGATGAGACGTGGACGAATCGGTCGACGTCGTACTTGGCAACGGCTTCGGCGATGCGCTCGGTGCCCTCGACGTGGACGTCCTCTAGAGTATAGTTCTTTGTAGGATAGTTCCGGCCGACGAGGTTGTACACGATATCGGAGTGCCTCACGCTTGCCTCGATCGAGTCGGTGTTGTATAAGTCGTACTCGATAAAGACGACGCGGCCCAAATCACCCGTCACCTTGAGGTGGCGCTTGGCCATTTCTTCTCGGAACGGAACGATAACCTGGCATCCTTGGCGGGCTATAACATGATATTAGACACGGCTAGAACCGCCGGCTCTTCGTATTGTCCGTACCTAATCGGTTGACGATGTATCTTCCGAGCTGTCCCGTTGCGCCAAATACTGTGGCGACATGACCTGTAGAAACCGTCAGGATCGGAAGGGCTCTGCTATAAATCGTAACGGCTGCTGTTTACCTCCGAGAGATGACCTATAGACAGAAACATGTCAGGATGATAGCCATTGACGAACGACAAGCCGGGGGGCGACTAACCTGCCACCTTGTACGCGAATGATGGGCTTGCCGGTGCGGGTGATGGTTATATCGGAAACGCGTCGGACCTGGTTTAGATTGAAGGCCAGCTTTCGAGTGGACCGCACGGCGGCCGGAAAGGAAGCCATTCTTGCTCGTATAGCCCGGGTTGCAAGAATGACGCAGCCTTTCCAATTGGTAGAGAGAGCCGGTTATTGTTTGAAGCTTTTGGGAATGGGAATGGCAACTGACTTCCCACTAAAAGTGGGATTGAAGCTCTAATCGGTTCAAGGAGTCAAGCCACAGCTTTTTTTTTTTTAATACGTCGAGTTTTAGTCAGAGCTAATGCGCTTGGAGAGATTGGCTGGCAGCATTGAACATTAGCTTGAATGCTAAGCCACAGATTACAGAATACATCATACCTACATAGACCTAACCTATGTAACCTAAGGTAACATAAGGTAACTAAGCCAAGATCTGATATGGAATTGGATCTCGTAGGTACAAGATACATCATAGGTGGTACATGCATAAGTACAAGATTGACATTGTACAAAGGTACATCCTTGCTTCCCTGGACAGTGGACAGGCTGACAGGCTGCACTAGCTGCGTACTGATTGAATGAAGCTTCAGAAGCTTCGACCTTTCACTTACACCATTAACACCATAACCCCGAACAAAAAACCAACCAAACCCAAATCTCACTTATAAATACCTAACTCCCCCAGGACCTACATATAAACAACAACTCGGAAAAATATAATGAACGTCGACACAATCGCCGATTTCTTGGCCGACCAGCGGGACGAGACCCCGGACGAGCTTCAATATCTCATCATCCAGTTCGAGAACTTTTGGGAGCGCAAGTTATGGCACCAACTCACCGACGCCCTGCTCGAATTCTTCGCCAACCCCAAGAGCGAGCCGCAGCGCCTCAAGTTCTATAAGGTCTTCATATCGAAGTTCGCTGATAAGATCAACCAACTGAAGCTTGTCGACCTGGGCTTGAAGGCCGCTACCCAATGCCGAGGTCAGATCTACACACACATATATATATATACATATTTCTTGTAATGTTTGATAGACGTGGTGCTAACCCCTTACGACGTTGTTAGACGACCAGGAACGCCTCACCTTCCTCACAGACCTCGCTAAGAAGGTCGACAACGAAGCCTCCCAAGACGCCTTCGTCTACGCACTCGCCGCCGTCGCCCGAGTGGAGCTAAACCTGCGGGACCTCGAGGCCGCGCGCCGGGATCTGGACAAGGCCGAACGCATCCTAGACTCCTTCGACAGCGTCGAGACCAAGGTCCACGCCGCGTTTTACCAGGTCAACGCCGACTACTACCAAGCCAAGGCCGACTTCGCCGCCTACTACCGCAACGCCCTCCTCTACCTCGCCTGCATCGATCTCTCCTCCCTCTCCCCCGACGAGCGCCGCGCCCGCGCCTACGACCTCGGCATCGCCGCCCTGGTCTCCGACTCCATCTACAACTTCGGCGAGCTGCTGCAGCACCCGATCCTCGCCGCCCTGACCGGCGACGTCGCCTGGCTGCGGGAGCTGCTGATCGCCTTCAACCAGGGCGACCTGGCCGCGTACGACGTGCTGTCGGGCCACATCTCGTCCAACTCGCTCCTCCGCGACCACCTCGAGGACATCCGCCAGAAGATCTACCTCGCCGCCCTGACCGAGAGCGTCTTCCGCCGCCCCCCGCACCAGCGCGCCATGACCTTCGGCGCCATCTCCGCCGACACCAAGGTCCGCAAGGACGAGATCGAGCACCTCGTCATGAAGGCCCTCAGCCTCGGCCTCGTCCGCGGCACCATCGACGAGGTCGACGAGCTCGTCAACTTCACCTGGGTCCAGCCCCGCGTCCTCGACATGGCCCAGATCGCCAGCATGAGCCAGCGCCTCGGCGAGTGGGGCGAGAACGTCAACAAGCTAGGCAACTGGATCGAGGCGACCGGCCAGGATATCTGGGCCCCTTGATCCCTTTTGTTCCCCCTAGGTATTCGTATATCTACCTACCTAAGCTTACTACGGAGAAGGAGAAAAACTAAAGTGGGCAAGGGTTTCGAGAGAAGGGTTGGAATTGCGAATGTGGATGCGGATGTGGATGTGCAAAAGCTGGCCCTTCTCTTGCATACACGACGGCCGAGGAGCCCATGTATGTATGATAGATAAACTAATAGACGACGTGCGGTCCCGGTATGAGGACTAGACACGTATTGCTGCATAATGACCGAGTCTATGAAGTAAGAAGATATACATTACTAGGAGTGTTTGGTACCAGATGTAGTGGTACTTGATGCTCTATTATACTAATTACTCCTATTATACGTGACGTGACGTATTACGATGAAGGGCGGTATTTTACTCCCAAGTCTCCTTATTCTGCTTCGTCTTTGGACTGTCTATAGCGACTGAACGCAGTTATACGGGCGGTCTTGTAGGTAGATGGGAAGAAACAAACATCGGCAGCTCCCCTTCTACCATGTAAGCGTTATACGACGGAAAGAAGTTCCGTGTCTACTCATGTCACTGGATTGAATATCCAACAAGAAACAGTAGGGTTGAAATGTATTTCATATGATATCGCTGCCTACCTATTCTGTCTAGCAATGCCAGTCCTAAACCCCTTGGGTGTGTTTCAGGACATATTATTCGATTTTGCTTAAGTTGGGTCATAACCCTTCCCACCGGTCTTGTTATGAAGACCAAACTATATACCTACCTACCGGATGATTAGGTAACGACCAGGTAGGTAAGTTCAAGTAGATAGACATGGTAAGTCTAGACATAGCACGCCGGCGCAGCAGTCGCAGCAAAAGCACCACTTCCTTCCTTCCTCACAAGTAACAAGCCAAAAAAATCACGCATTTTTCTTCTTCTCGCCCACCACAGCCTCCTCCTTCTCCTCTCTCGGCTGCCCGAGCACCACTATCTGCCCGACCAGCCAGGCGGGCCACCAGACGCCCCAGACGAGCAGCGGCGTGTACACGCCCCAGACGTGCCAGCCGAACGCCGCCTCCTCGAGCACGTGCTGGATCCCGACGCCGGCGAGCGCGCTGCCCGCGAGCAGGACGGCGGGGGGCGCCAGGACGTGCAGGAGCGCCGAGTGCGTGTACCGGAGGACCGCTGCGTTTATACCCTTGCCCTTGTCGGAAGAAGAAGAAGAGGAAGGGGAAGAAGAGGGCCACGGGCGGGAAAATGATAACGGGCTAGATAGGACGCCGATGAGGAAGGCGAGCGAGAAGTTGAGCGTGGCGAGGGACGAGAGGAACATTCCTAATAGCAGCAATGAAAACGACCGGATGAGCAGGTACTGTTGGGCCGTAGGCGGTTTGCGGATGCCGTTTGTTAGGAAATACGAGGCGAGGTGTGGGAGACCGGCGTTGACGACGGCGAAGAGGATGAACATCGGAGTGATAAGCTATTTTTGCGTTAGTTATTAATACGAAAGGACAGTGTTGGGCATGAATAGGGATTATTCAGAATCAAGAGCAAGGGCAGAAAAGAAAACTTACGCTGGAAGGCGTCTGGTTAAAGGCAAACAGGGGAATGACGGCTAGGAATTGACATCCGGCTACAAGCGTAAGCGGAAGAAGAATTTCTCGCTCAACCGGTACCGAAACCCGCTTCGTATCTGCCTTGACCTCCTTAACACCCTCGTCCTCTTTAGCCTCTCCTATCTCGGGCTTCTTCTCCTGCTCGCCTTTCGGTGCATCAACCTCTCTGTACCCGCTCTTGACCCACGACGCAATAGCCGTGATGGTAAAATTCGCAGCGACCAGCATGGCACTAGGCAGATACGTGCCAATGCTGACGAAGCGGTGCTTATGGATAAGCAAGTAGAAGAAGAAACTCTGGTGCAGCTTCTCGAGCAGATTGTTCAGACTGCGGAACAACCCCTCGATCAGGCGCCCAAGTCCCATCTCGTCGTGCCAGCCGTTGCCCACGGGCTTCAGGGTGACGGCGTCGACGTGGTACGGGATAAAGCTACTGTGCGGGCCTGTGGCATGTCCCAGCGCCTGATTGAGCATGCCTCGGACCACCGTAGCGAGATTATCGTCGTACTTCTGCGAGTGCTTCAAGATCCCCTGAAGCGCGCAGCCCATGCCCATCTGCCCGCTCGCGATGTTAACGACGGAGTTGATCAAGTCTAGGTTGGGCAGCTGTCCGTTGACGCCGTCGTAGGCGATGGAAATCGACTCGAAGCGTCCCTCTTGCGCATAATCGAGCGCGATGGCGCCCTGCAGCGCGCCTGACTTGATGGGTAGAGGGGCGACATGCGACGGATCGTGAGCATCGTGGTACGCGTCGACCCAAGCTTGCATACCCGCCTTGCTGTCGGGCGGTACTACTAATATGATATCCTTGGACCATAGCGACCAGCGCTTGAAGTATCGTGTAAGGGCCAGAGCCAATGCGAGACCGTTGCGGTTGAACTCCTCGTCGACGTTCTTCCAAGCAGCAACCAGTACTATGGCCTCCGTAGCGTCACCACGGGGGGCTTGTAAGATAGCATACACGTTTTCTCCAGCATACGTTTTCCCCGACGAATGGTATGTATAATTCTGTCGCCCGACCTTAAGGCCGAGGCCCTTGAATATAGTCTCGAGGTCGTCGTTTACTCGGGTGTTGGTGCTATTCTCTAAGGCGTTGATCTCGTGCTTGTAAGCACGGAATACGTTCTGGTCGCTGCCGCCAAAATAAGTATGGACTTGGCCAGGTAACAAGGCGTTCTCGCTGATATAGGTGCGGCGCGAGTATTCGTCGAGGGGTAACATGAGTAGCCATACGACGCCGACGACGATACACAGTAGGGACAGATATGGCGGGAGCTTCAGCAACCGCGGATCGCGGCGCAGAGCCATGGCCGCAGCTGTTTTTCAATAACCAGTTAGCCAATTACTTTGATTTTAGTCACACAGCTCTATTAGGTGAAGCTAACTTACAAAGTAGACGCGGCATGGCTTCTTTAGTCCCCTGAGATCAACTGTGCGCTGCAGAAAACTTGGGAGTTGAATGTTGTAACAGCTTAGAAGCTTGAAGCTACATTAAACCGTACACTAAATTCAATTAGAGAGTCCCCAAGATTCGCGTGTAACACGAGTCCCACTGCGATTTTGACTTTTCAGGGGTCCAATTGTTAATTAAGCCGAAGTACCTACTCTAACAATGACATAATCAGCCTTACGGCCTGCTTATTATTACCTATTAGCTGCATATCATTTATCGAGACAAAGCTACCTTGGTACATACCTTGAAAGTTGATATATCTTTTAACATCTTGAACCAGATTCCAGGGAGTGTATAGAAGCTGCAAGACCAAAAAATATAACGGTTCCAGGAAAATCAAGAAAATTAATATGAAGTACCTAATCACAGTAACACATGTATATCATTCTCAAGGCATTTAGAAAGGTTTACGACAACACAGGTAACCGGCCTTACCCCCAAAACAAATGTCATGGTAAATAAAGTATTATACTGCCTCGTGATGCGAATGGTATTTTCCCTTCCAGAAACGCCAGTGTGATGCAATGTTGGAATGCCCAATAACCACGAGCTATATACAGGAATAGCATTCACCAAATCTATCTCCGCTCTTCTCAAGCTCCCTCGGAACCCACGCTAGGGACCTAACCGCTGCGTAGAACCCATCAAACCCAACGGTGTCATCTGACTAGTCGAATTGCTTGTCGGTAAGACGCCGAATCTACCGTACGTCTTCTGGTCCACGCTAACGTAGTGCGGCAATATTCCTAGCAGGTTGAGACGAGCTTCGATCCATCGTAGAATTTTCTCCGGAGGTGAGAGGAACTTGAGGTAACCCAGGCCGACTAAACAGGATATCATTAGTGGGATCTGACCAACATCGAGATACCCAAGGTTCACTTACACAGATAACCCGTGCCCACGCCGCACAGATGGCCCATGAAACTAGTATTAGGGATCAATGCCTCAACTACCAATACCATCATCAGAGGGGTGGTCCACGTCGGGACGTGATGTGTCCCTATTACAAGGTACGGGTTGGTCTTGTACGTTCGAATAGCCTCAATGCCCAGTAGCAAAAATACCCAGAGGCTTTAAGCTCATATATTAGCGTCATTCCCCATCCCAAAGCGTAGATTGAAAATACCTGGCTCCCATAACGGCTGTATTGCCTTTTATAATGAACTTCTCCCATATTATATAGATAAAAGCCGGAATCGTTGTTAAAGCTGCAGCAAGTGTTAACCCAATTTGCGCGGTCGTATGACGGTTTTTCAAACAGGCACACTTACGGCCAAAAAACAGCGCAAGGGAGGTCAAAGTGCCAAATTCGTTTTCAAATCTCTCAAGGAGCGGCGTCAAGGACAGGATATTGAAGAGGGCGTGGAAGAAGTTGATATGTATTAACGGGAACGTATTTATTCGATACACTATGTAGAATCCGCATTAGTTATAAAGGCGCGCGCGCTACATGGTATATTATGGTATAGAAATAAGGGGGCACCGACTGGTTGACAGAGTCAACTCGTTGGGAATCAAGGCACCCCACTGTCGCACATCCCAGGCGGACTGGAGAGAGACAATCCAGAAGGTGGTCATAATAGCAACCATGCAGCGTGTGAATAGCGGCAGACGGAACACATACGAGCGCGCCCGCTGCGCGCTGAGGCCCTGAACGGTAGGCATTTGTCGGGTTGTGCGGCGGAACCGAGCCAACCGTAGTGACGTCGAGGTTGCGATATTGCCAGATTGTCAAAGCCGATTGATTGCCTAGGTTAGGTACCTAAGGTAGGTAGTCTAAGGTATGCTGGCGAAAAGGACACGGCTTGCCGCAAAACGAGGCTTGAAGCTGTTGTTTATTAGCGCCTTACTCGAATCTCCATTGAAAAAAAAAAAGGAAAATAAAAAAAATTATGGAGGCGAGTTTGGTGAACGGACGAAAGTTTGAGTCGTTGTGCTTTGCGACTTCCGGCCGCAAGACTGCTAGGTACAGTTTTACTTTCTATAAGCAGGGGTTTGCATGTTGCTGAAAGCCTGAAAGAGGTAGCGAGTAGCGGAAGATGACACGCTAGAAGGAACTTGATCTTCGGCACTGCCTTATCTGGTTTATCGATAAATGCATGTACCTGGCAGTAATACTTTGTTACCGAGGTACGGGTGTAAAGTACCTAACTATAGGAGATCAATCCAATATACGGTATCCATGTTCCTACTATGTAGATCAATATCATTGGGAATCCCATTCACTAGTATAATATGTTTCCTTGGTAAGTCCCAAAAGGAAAGCGACCCTATTTCGGCGGCATCATATACTCTCTCTAGAAGGATGATTTGATCACTAATTGACTAGTGTAAGTTAGGGCTATTACTCTCTAGATCTCGAGAAAATCTAGTAATCTATAGAGGCGATTTATTTAAACTACTTACAAGAAATTAGATGGAATTTATAATAACTAATATAGATTTCGTTAACGCCGATTTGGTCAACAAGGGTAGTATAGTCTCAAAGTATACTTGATTGATATAATTCATCGTCTTTGTAAGTAGTCCTCACAGTTTTAGCAATTATATTGTTTCTAATGGATTTTTGAGCGGTTGATAAGAACTTATCTTCTTATAAAATATTATAATCATTATTTTTAATATAGTTAAGCATGCTATTAAATAGTGTAAAGGTCCGGAAGATAGCTATCAAACTACTACATTACTAAAAGATAAAACGATGGTGACTTTAGGCGTTGACGTTACTATTTCTACCTAGGTATAAAGATAGTATAAGTAAGTACCTAATAGAAGATACCTAACCTAGTTGATATAAACTAATCCTTAGTCCTACCATTTAAACTATTACATGTATATTAAACATTTAAGGCTATTCCCTAAGTCTCTTTAACCATAGACTTAAGGACTAGGAAGTAATAATCTCTAAACATCCTTAGCTATCTATTACTTAGTATCAAAATCTTTGATAGTGTATGAGTGAGGAGGGCATTACTTTTTAGGAGGCTTTACCACCTGTTCACCATATATTTTTCCTTGGTATACCGTCTTTGAAACTAAATAATATGTTCTTATAGCTATCTAACTTACAATTCTAATTACTGTACATACGAACTTCGAAGTCTTGCCAAATTGTCCTGCTATATGTCCCTCTTTGAAAAGAAAATGAAAACGTCCGCACTTCATCCTCAAGATTTTGGTCATTTGCGCTGTTTCACTTCATATAAGCCGGGCAGACTTTCGTTCCCCTCGAAGAGGAGCTTCTTAATATTTGTTAGTATATCGGTTGTATATTAAGTTAAGGAACGAGTTAGGAACTTATCTAATGAAACTACTTAAGATTAGTGAGTGACTTCTGACCGTGACGATATTTTTCTTTCTTCAAATTCTCTTCTTCTCTTCTCTTCTTTTTCAAATATATAACTACTCTATAATCGTAACTTTATTTGACATTGTGTCGTATATGACATGGAACAATTTGGCGATTGTAATTAATTAAGATCCTTAAAACCCTTAGTTAGGCTTGAGATGAGGCTGATCGAGAGTTAGTGATCGCTAAGCAAGGGAAGTTGGCCCCCGAGGGGCAAGATCTGGCATCATGGTATACCTGTAGAATCATCAGAATCATCAGTCCAAGCCAAAAGGCTTAGGTCAACAACATGACACGAGAGGTAATGAGGGAACCGCAATAAAGCACCTAGATCGACAATGCATTATGAGAAACACTATAGGTAGAAACCTACCTACCTAGTAAACCTAACATACCTGATATTTGAAAGATTCACAGAAGAAAGTCGAGGCATAAAATTTAGAAATTCTTTCATCAAGGTTCGTTTTGTACAAGCTATAAAAATTCTAGAATCGGCTGGATAAACATCATGACGGGTTAGAAATGATATAACATGACATCCGTAAAACCAACCCAAGTTCCTATACACCCCGAGTGCTGTAATTCTAGCAGGCCTCCCCACAATGCGCCCGCGTGGATTTCTCCGATATTATTGATTTTGTTCGCTGCATTATCCGTTAGACTTCTTATTTCGCTTGCTCGGCCTTCTTGGCCATTGTGTTGAGCGCGCTTCCATTCTTGAACCACTCGATCTGGGCCTCGTTGAATGTATGGTTCAGCTTAACATCGAACGGCTCCCCGTCCTTAGGGTGCACCCGCATCGTCACAGGCTTGCCAACAGCAAGCTCGGTGCAGAGGAGATCGACCTAGATAACGCGAATATGTTAGTAAAACCAAGTACAATAGTATAGATACTCAGTTTATCGGAACATAAAATCACTTACCTTGTCATCAGGCTTGATCCTGTCGTAGTCAGCGGGATCCGCAAATGTGAGGGGAAGCATGCCCTGCTTCTTCAAGTTGGTCTCGTGAATACGGGCGAAGCTTCGGGTGATGATGGCAAGGCCACCAAGGTGGCGAGGCTCAAGAGCGGCGTGTTCTCGAGAGCTTCCCTCACCATAGTTCCAGTCACCAATGACAACCCACTTAATTCCCTTGGCTTTGTAGTCACGGGCCACAGCTGGGACAGCATCCCACTCGCCTGTGGTCACATTCTTGATCTTGTTTGCTTCGCTATTGGCCTCGTTAATAGCGCCGATCAACATGTTGTTGGAGATATTGTCTAGATGTCCACGGTACTTAAGCCAGGGGCCAGCCATAGAGATGTGATCAGTGGTAGTCTTTCCCTTGGCCTTAATCAAGATGGGCATATTAAGAGCATCTTTTCCATCCCAAGGCTGGAAGGGTTTGAGAACCTGGAGACGGTCCGAGGTAGGAGAGACTTGGACGTTAACCGAGGAGCGGTCAGCAGGGGGGGCTTGGTAAGTGTTGTTTCCGGGGTCGTATCCTTTTGCAGGGAGACCGTCGCCGGTGGGAGGAGCCAGTAAGAACTCGTTGCCGTCCTTGTCCTTCAACTTGTCGGTTAGCGGGTTGAAGTGCAGGTTGCCAGCAATCGACAGGGCAACGACCAGATCGGGGGAGGTAACGAAGGAGTGAGTGGCGGGGTTGCCGTCGTTTCGGCCGGTGAAGTTACGGTTGTACGAGGACAGAATCGAGTTGGCCTCTCCCTTCTTGACGTCCCGTCGATCCCATTGACCAATGCAGGGACCGCAAGCGTTGGCCAACACCATGCCACCAAATTCTTCAAACGTCTTAAGCTGTCCGTCCCTGGCAATCGTTGCTCTGATCTGTTCGGAACCAGGAGTAACAAAGAAGGCCGACTTAGCCTTCAAGCCATGGTTCAGAGCATCCTGAGCGATGGAGGCAGCTCGGGACATGTCCTCGTAGGATGAATTGGTGCAAGATCCAATCAGGCCAACCTTAAGCTCCTCAGGCCAGCCATTAGCCTTGACGGCCTCTGAAAACTTAGAGATCGGGGTTGCTAGATCGGGTGTGAAGGGACCATTGATATGAGGCTCGAGTTCGGAGAGGTTGATCTCCAGGAATTGGTCGTATTCGGCACCCTCATCCTCACGTAGTTCCTTAGCATAAGAGCGGGCGAAATCACCAATCTCAGTTCGCTTAGTGGCCTTCAGGTAGTCGTACATGCGGTCGGTGAACGGGAAAACAGAAGTTGTGGCACCAATTTCAGCTCTGTCAAAAGTATGTTAGCGCTTGTTCAATCCATACTGAATTTTTCTTTTTTTTTTCAAAAAAAAAAAAAGAGAGACTAGGAAGAAGACGAGGAAAGGGCTAGGAAAGAAGGGAAAGAGGGAAAGAGGGAAAGAGGAAGTGGTGAAAAGGGGAAAGGGGGTTGGGGTGTTGGAAAAGGGGGAAAGACAAAAAAAATCAGAAAATTTTATAAAAATGAAAAACCACTACCCCATGTTAGCCACACTTCCTAGGCCTGTACTGCTAACGCTGTTAAGACCAGGTCCGTGGTATTCGACAATAAAGCCAGTTCCGCCTTTAACTGTCAGTTTTCCAGCGACGGCAAGGATGATGTCTATAAACTCATTAGTATAGCTTAGTCAGCAAGGAAGCAGCACTATAGATTACCTTTAGGGCTAGTCCAGCCCTTTAGCTCTCCTGTAAGCTTAATCCCTAGTATAAATTAGCTAGTTGTTATTATTAGATACCTGGTATAGGCTTGATGATAGGCCGGCCTTACCGATGTATTTGGGTGCCTTCAGCTCCCAAGGCAGATTTGCCATGACGTCAACAGCATCAGCACCGCCTACACCAATGGCAGCCATACCTAGACCGCCGGCATTGGGTGTGTGGGAGTCGGTGCCGATCAGCAGACCACCGGGGAAGGCGTAGTTCTCGAGGATGATTTGGTGGATGATACCGGAACCGGGTCTCCAGAAACCGATGTTGTACTTGGCACATGCCGAGGAAAGGAAGTCGTAGACTTCCTTGTTAATGCTGACAGCTCGCTCCAGATCCTTCTCTCCGCCAACCTGGGCCTCGATCAGGTGATCACAGTGTACGGTCGTGGGGTTAGCCACGGAAGACATGCCGGCAGACATGAACTGGAGGATAGCCATCTGGGCAGTGGCATCCTGGCATGCGACTCGATCGGGCCGTAGCTTAAGGTACGACACACCTCGCTCGATGTCCTGGTTATGCGGGTCGTCAAGATGGGAGTATAAAACCTTCTCGCCGTACGTCAAGGGGCGATTTAAGCGGCTGCGAACGATCGCCAGGTTCTCTGCCATCTTCTTGTAGTTGATAAAGTTGCCTTCTTCCCAGTTGTTTTGCCTGACCTATAATTTGAGGGAAATATCAGCCTCCACGACCACCCCCACTAACAGCGAGCTTTGATGCTTTTACAGCAGAGGCCGGCTTACCTTCTTGTCGAGAACCGAGTCGGAAACGGAGGCCATGCACCTGCGCAGGTTCATGTTGGACATGACCCGCGATCGGGCAACGTTGCCCAGGACCTGTCGAGTGGCCAACATGTTGACAACTGCGGTCCTGAGGATAACTTATGAGGGGTTCAGATATAAGACACGACCTAGACCAAATTCAACTCCTATAAAAATGGGAGGAGTAATTTCAACAGGGAGACGATATGCCTCTTGAACCTGGAGAAAGAAAGGAGGAATTGGTTCTTGAAGAAGAAAAAGAAAAAAAAGATTGTGATGGGAAAAGAGGAAAAGGTGGAGAGTTTTTGTGGTTTGCGATTAAAGATGATACTTTTGGCCGCCGGTACTACGGTAAAGGGAAGCTGGTAATGCCTACTGGCCAAACTAGCAGGCTAGCAGGCTAGGCGTGTTAGGGATCTGAATGTATCGGGGTACTTCGGCTAAGATGAAGAGGTACCTCCACTAGTAATGGTGTTGCCCGGCTGAATGGACGAATCACAGCAAATCCGATTACTTCAGGTCGAAAACTGTGACCTCACACTGCTTCCCTGGGAATAAGCCACCATATGTGATAACAAGCGGCGCACATGTAGAAAACGTGCATTTAGGTAATTACCATTACTATGTATACCTACGGTATGTAATACATTATATTGCTCTATAGCATCGGTACAACTCTCAAGTAAATAGTTTACAATTTACACCACACGTGGTCATATCTATCTTGTACTCATTACCTATATAAGACTACTGTCATTGTTACAAACGTCCTGAGAAATACACTTACTTATCTATACCAATCTGAGAGGTCTTTGGAAACGAGGGGCATTTTCTCGGCAATAAGATGACGCTAGACCAAATATGTTGTATTATGTATACGAAGCTGAAATTTCCGCAGAACAGAATGCGCGGAATGTAGATGGATGAAAGCGGTTGGATGGAGACTTTTCATGTATAACGGCCCAAGAAGAGGTATGTATATACGTACCTCTATGTAAGGTATCACTAAGGTAATGCTGGACTGAGATATAGGTTAGCCGCAAATTTTAATTCTATAAGCCAATTCTTTTAGATAACGTTTGAAGCATCATGTATAGAAATGTAGGTACTGAGGTATGTCGAAACCCATAAAATTGTCATTCAATCAGATTCATGGGATTGGTCAGACTATAAAATTGGACCATGTAAACCTCACTTTGACGTCGCTCCGAGTATCTACAAGTCAAGTCGAAGTAGTTTGTCAAATTTGATACCTACACTAGGCACATGTAAAACCACTTGTGCGACTTTCTTGTTTTCCTGTAGGATGCAGCTCAAGTCTCATTGGAAGCTGGGACGATCTATGACCTAAGATTCTACCCCATCCCTGCCTATCTCTGAAGCCTAGAGGATTTGTACATGAAGAGGTAACTTGCAAGCGCTGCAAAATCAGCCCCCTTGAGTCAAACATCCTGACAGCTCCCAAATTGACGGTAGCCTTGCTGCAGCTTGAAACTTTGAGACTCCAAGTTTCTGTATAACTACCTAATACACCAGCTCCATGTTTTTACTTGAATGCGGCTATAGGATATTGCGAAATCTGAAGTGCATCTAACAAATCAGAGATAAACAAGTAAGTATCTCGTTTCTGATCGCAAGTACCCTGGAAATAACCGCAGGTACCTCTTCGTCGCAGACCAAGTAACGCCGTAGTGTATTATGTAGTGTAGAAGAAGCCCTGAATCGCTTCACGAATGCGCGCAGGTCCACATTTCACAGGTCTGCAGGCCAAAATCGACAGGCCGAGACAAATTTTGCTCAGTCTGGAGACCAAACAGGTGGGACCCAATTGGCCAATCGGCGATACCACTAGGATCAATGGACAAGGGAGATACCCCCACGGTTAGACTTTTGCCTCGGTGAATATTTGGCACCGAGTAGCTAACCAGCCAACCCATTTGACACTGACACATTACGCATCGGCATCAGTTTAATGCCACACACCTTTGTTGCTAGGTAAACAAAAATTGTGCAACTCTTAAAATAGTGCATCTATGCTCCAAGGTTGAACCCGTTTAAATATTATTCCATATAGGGAAGAGCTTTGCATGCTTGCAACATGGACCTGAGTAACGACCTTGCTTGCTGTACTTAGGTAGGTACTGCCGCTCGCCCGGAGATGCGAAGTGGATAAGAGCCGGATCAAATTCGGGCCCGGAATATTAAGCCGTAACTGCCACGCTGCTACAGCAAATTACGCCCGGACCACCTGATCGCCACTGCCTAACTACATAGTACTAGTAGATTGCTAGACTAAAAATATTCACCCCACCAAAATTTCTACGCCTAGGAAATCTTCGACTCAACTTACCTAATACACTATATGTGAAAGCAATCACTTGGTGACCTCTATCACTACGGCTACGAGATTCTCGTCTTCTTCAAGAACGTAATACCTATAATACCTGCCATCGTATTTACCATCCAAGTAGTCGCCGCCGCCGCTTGCCATGGGTGTCACTAACAAGCGCACTCTCACCAAGACTCGTCGCAAGACGAGGGACATCGACCAGATCAAAGCCGACCTCCGCTCGCCGAAACATCTAGCCCAATTCAAGAACACGAAGGCGGCAGAAGATCTCCCCGGCCTAGGAAAATGGTACTGCACCGAATGCGCAAAATGGTACGAGTCGGAACATAGTCTCGTCGTCCACAGGAAGGGAAAGCCTCATAAGAGAAGGTACGTCAAAGTTAACACACACTTAGTGTTGTTGCATTTGGTATTGGGCATATTTTATATTGGGTATCTAACTAACAGTGCATACAGAGTCAAGCAACTTCGCGAGGAGCCGTACACTCAGAAGGAGGCCGAGGCCGCTGTCGGTATAAGCACCGATAATCAAGGCCCCTACCGAACCGAGAGCGGTGTCGATAACGAGATTACCATGTCAACATGAGCGGCTAAATCCCACCGCGAAAACTTCCTATGATGACAGGCATCTGCGACGTTCAATTAATTCATAAGCGTTATCCATGAAGCATAAGTTGGGGCGCCTTATGGAGTGCGCCAATGCGTTACAATACTTCCTAAAGTATTTTCTGGTCAAATGAGGGCCGATGCTCAGATCTTAAGCTTGCAGTATCTCGAGGGTTTTTTCAAGAAGTTGTCCGCTTCGCTTACTTCAAACCGCGGGCTCTGGGCTTGACGAGACCACTAGCTCGACCTCGGCCCGTGCCGGTTCTACCTCTTGACTGCGAGCCGCCTCTCGAGGGGGCCGGGACGCGGGATTGACGAGTATCTGGCGCCGCAAACTTCTTAGGAGTCGGCTTAGACAGGGTCGGAGGGTTCTCTACGAAGGAGGTGTCCGTAGTCCTAGAGATAATTAGTGTTGGCCCTGAGCCCCGTACCAAATATAAACATACATGAATGTGGTTTCTCCGTCAAACTCGCCACCTCGCTCTGTGCTTCGAGATCGGGTTACTGCTACTGGTGATTGCTCCTCTCTAACCTTCGCTCGGCGGAACGACTCGGGAATCGGTCCCTACAGTTCCATTCCATAACTTATCAGCAGCTATTTAAAACCCGTAGATGTGAAAAAAGACCCTTACCTCCGGAAAGTCGACGCAGAAAGCATTCATGTTGAGTCCGTACATGAAACTCGCGAAGCTCTCGCTGAAGCGCGAAAGGCTTTCGTGCATCAGCTGGAAGTGCATCATGTTCGCCTCCAGGTCGGCCATGGCGTCGGAAAACTCGGCGAATGCGGGCTCGAAGGCGTTCAGCGGAAAGGGCTCGCCGCCTTGGACGCTGCGCTGCGCCGACTCGCGGAAGGAGGAGCGAGACGAAGGGCGGAGGGGCGTGGTGGGACGCGAACGCGAGGTAGAGCGCGGTCGCCGCGCGTTATCGTGGCCTTCGTTTCCGGACATGGTTTCTGGTTGTTAGGCTGGAAATCCCAGTATATTTGGGTGAGCGTGTAACTGCTTTAACTGCTTTTCTTAGGACAAAGTTGATGCTTGGCGAATTGAAACGAATTAAGGCTGCCAGGGGTACTCGAGATGTAGTGGGGTTCAGCGCCAGGCGTTCAAATTTCAGGGTACTGGGCAGTGGACACTGGGCAGCTGGACACGTGCTAAACTGCTATTTAAATGCTGCTCCTTAGGTTAAAAGTGGTGCCTAAGCCTCAACATGACGTAAACTGGACCTAATAGGTATCTCGAAAGGAAGGGACGGAAAGGTGTTCGGCGCGCAGGTGTTCCTGCGAAACGAGGTACTCAATTACCTAAGGTACCTCTAGTGTAATTAATTTTTTTGCGCACTAAGTAAAAGTAAGAGCCTTGGAATTCGACTAGTATTTTGAAACCCTGCCGAGTTGCTTAGGCATATGAATGCTTTTTTTATTTATTTTTTCTGGTCTCTTTAATGATCACCACTTTTCTATGTATCACTATTCGTTGCATACATACCTACCTCCTAAGGTACCTAAGGTATAATCGAGAACTTCAGGTCTGAATGCGCCTAGAAAAATCCAAGAAACAGGATACATAAAAAGCAATTATTTAATATAGGTATTTTGGGGGTGGTATTTCATACGATCGTACCCCTCTAACTAAGTAGATTGGAGTGGGTTAGATCGACTCGTACTACTTATTCGTATAGCTGCTCGTACTCGGGTTCAACGAGTAAAAAGGATACCTACAACAGAAGTATACAAACGTCGTTTTACACAAGCTCAGCCCAACCTCTCCAATCCCACGAGCTCTGTGCGGGTGGTACCTAGAAATTCCCTTGTCTCAAGGGTCTTGCTGCTTCGCATCTTGTCAGCCAGCAAAGCCGGGGAACTTTCTGACTTTGCGACGGGGTTGATCCCGCCCCCCAGACAATAATAAGACAGCCAGCCTCAATCAATACGTACCTGCATAACCTACCTAAAGCAAAAGGGTAGCTCGGCTCCGTCGGACATTCATGCGACAACTTGCGCTATCTTGACCCTTATGAAGACACCAGCGCCTCTTGTACCGCAACCCTTTCTCTTCTCCACAGTTCCGAGATTCTACTTTCTTGTTAGTAGTCTCTCAACTCAACAAGCCTCCAATTTGCAACAGTCTCTTCTACACGTATCTCATCCTTCAACAAGAGCTTTACGCCCATTGACCAACCCCTCCCTTGTTCTGACTCGCCCGTCATCAAACTCTGCACAGCCCCGCGGGTCGTTATTACTACATCCTAAAAGTTATACATATAATCGCAATTTTTGTATATCATCATTACCATTTGCAACTCGTTACAAAAGACGAGCATCCCCAAGGCGCAAACAGAGACCGATACAGCTCTTGAAGAGTCAAATCTCGCCTGCGCTATATTTTGTACCCTTGCTCATATTTGGCATCTTGGTACTTCACGGAATAGTGCCTTCTCACCTAGAAGCCTCACCAACATCTAAAGATATTGCTGGAAACCATTCCAGCGAGCCCATAGAAGAAGACATGGAACTTCTTCCGGGTAGGCCGGGGAACTTGACCCCTGAAGAGGATGAGAAACTGCGCAAGTTTTGGGAGATGTTTTTGCAGGTATGCGGTGTTCTAGGCGAGGAGACCTCCGGCGAGGCGGACAATGCCTCCGAGAGCCAAGTGAAGGCGGGTACTGCGGGATCCGAAAAGACTAAGAAGAGTCGAATGTCTCTATTTAAGAAAAGGAAGGACAAGAACAAGGACGGCGCGTCCACTCCCAAGGTTCCCGCTATGGACAACATCAAGGAAAACGACCCGGAAGATAAATGGGGTGAGAACAAGGCCTACCTCGATACCTTGGCCACGCACGCCCCGGAGCAGATAAGAGCCACAATCTGGTCAATGGTCAAGCACGACCATCCCGATGCTCTCTTCTTACGGTTCCTAAGGGCTAGAAAATGGGACTTGCAAAAGGCCCTTGTCATGCTGATGTCCACGATGAACTGGAGGTGTTCCGAGGCACGTGTTGACGATGAAGTTATGGTGAACGGCGAGGAAAATGCATCTGTCGACGAGAAAAGCGGCAATGAAAAGACCAAAAAAGTAGCGCAGGATTTCCTGGCTCAGCTGCGCATGGGGAAGAGTTATTGCTATGGTACTGATAAGATGGGAAGGCCCATTTGCATTGTCAGGGCTCGCCTGCACAAGGCAGGTGAACAGTCTGAAGAAGGTCTGGAACGGTTTACCGTTTATTTGATTGAGACAACGCGGTTTATGCTTCACCCTCCTATCGACACTGCTGTTAGTAGTATATCCTAATCATCCCAAATGTTTTCTCAGCTAACATTATACACTATAGTGTATCGTTTTCGACTTAACTGGCTTTTCATTAGCTAACATGGTGAGTTGAGGGGAAAATACAATAGTTCAAGACGAAGCAAGCTAATGTTTACCAGGACTATACCCCGGTGAAGTTTATGATAAAATGCTTTGAAGCTAATTACCCCGAGAGTCTCGGTGTTGTTCTCGTCCATAAGGCCCCGTGGGTCTTTCAAGGTTTGTCGCCATTCATATGATACTTAATGAAGAATATGACCTAATCCGAAATAAAGGTATTTGGAAGATCCTTCGAGGGTGGCTAGACCCGGTAGTCGCTAGCAAGGTCCATTTCACAAACACAGTTAAGGATCTGGAGGAGTTTGTAGCAAAGGAGAGGCTGCCCGACGAGCTAGAGGGTACATCTGGCTATACCTACAAATACGTAGAGCCCGTACCCGGAGAGAACGCCAAGATGAAAGACTTGGAGACGAAAGAGAAGCTCCTGCGGGAACGGGAGGCTCTGTACGAAGAGTACGAAAGCAAGACGATCGAATGGATCAACGAGGCAGATACTACGAAGAGGGCCGCTATTAATTCCGAAAGGAATAACATCGCCAAGAATCTGAGGGAGCAGTATTGGCACTTGGATCCTTACGTCAGGTCGAGATCTTTCTACGACAGGATAGGTGTTATCAAGCCGGACGGAAGCCTCGATTATTATCCTTCAAAGAACACTAATGGGACGACAGCCGCAGTAGTGGCAGGGGAGACGTCGGCTGACGACGTTGATTGAAAAAAAAAAAAAAAAAAAAAAAGTTTAATGTGCACGTAAAGGAATGGAGTATATCAATAAACAAGGACACGGGAATGGGCAATAGCATAGACTAGGCATTAATATTACCGAAAGCAATGACGGAGATATATAACTTTTTTTTGCCTCTTGTGAATTCTCCTAGTCGAAAATCTATCGACTAGACGAGAAGTCTTTTAACCATAATTACCTAACATGAACAGATGTGATGTGACTATTTCAGAGAGACATCTCAAAAACACCTTTCACATCTTCGCCTTGATCTCTTCGTGCAAGATCTTCAGCGCATCCATGTCGGTAGGTTGCTGGGGCCAGCGTATTCCGAGTCCTTGCTCGTCGTTTGGCTTGGGGATCTAAGGGATGCGTTAGTAAAGAAGGCATTGAGATAGAATAAGAGGTAATTGGATGAGTGTGGGTATGGGTATGGGTATTGCTTACCATGTGGAAGTGGACCTAGAATAGGGGTGTTCGCAGTTAGCTGTGGTTATTGCTCGCTCATCACACACTCATCCTCCTCTTGACAAAAGCAACAAGGAGACTTGTTTCGATGTTGAGGGGTTAGAAAAAACTCACATGATCAACGACCTGGTGGGCGATGCGGCCGTTGTTCTGCAGGATGTTGTAGTCGGTAGCACCGGTGGCGGTGACAAGCTTCTTGGCCACGGGCAGGATCTCGCTCAGCTGGTCGTCGGGAATATCGGTCAGCTTAGCGCCGTGGAACTTGGGGATGACGAGCTGATTATTATTGTTGTTGTTGTTAGCCTTGTATATATATATATTTTATATATTGTATGTAGGTGGTTTAAAGTGACTGAGACGTGGATTGATAACTTACAGCATGGCCTCTGCTCAGAGGACTAATGTCAAGGAAAGCAAAGGTCTTCTCGCTCTCGAAGAGCTTTAAGGAGGGGATTTCTCCTATAATTGACTACTTGTTAGTTGTGCTGTTACATTTCAAGAGAGCTATTACAACCTCATAACAGGTCATATGTGAGTGAGTGAGTGGGTGAGTATCTTAAATATGAGTTGAATTCAAGACAATCCATCAAGATCGCAAATGAAATCCAAGATTAGGTACTTAAGTAACTTACCCTTAACAATCTTGCAGAAGACACAGGCGGCCATGTTGACTTGCAGGAGACTATGAATCAAATTGATTTGTAGGGGGACGTGGACCTTGATGGCTTGATAGCTCACTAGGTTCGATGTTTCCAGATATACGCTCTCGTCGGATTTGATAAATGGTAGGGCAAACTGCTGAACAGGGCACCGAGATCACACCACAGACGTCACCTGGAGGGGCACACAAGAGCTACCCCACCTTCGGAATACAAAGCACAACATCGGCATATTTTCGGTAATCGGAGCTAATTGATGCTATCGCGATATGCAACACCAAAGAGTTGGTCGTGATATACAAAACAGGTACCTAACCTAACCTAACCTATAGGGGGGTAGTACCTACAACACCACAACATGGTTTACATGCTCATCATGCTCATCATGCTCAACTTCAACTTAGTGTTATTATAATAGGAAGATAAAAAGAAATGTGCGGGGCCTTGCTTAACTACACGAAGCCGATAAGCGTATGAAGAGGGCGCCGCAATAGAGTCAAATCAATACATTCGTCAAATCCGCATGCAAACACATGGGAAAAATAAATGTGCACATAGGAAACATATAAAACACATCCTCGTACATCCAGACGAACAATTGAAGTGATTGCGACGTCCAAAAAGTCAATAAAAATTAACCCGCGGAACAAAATTGAATCTGGGAACTCCAGAATATTGTTTCCAAAGATTAGTGAAAGGAGCTTTGTGGGTCACACAAGGTTGAGTCAGGTAAAAGGCATGAGTCAAGTACTTTTATGTAATCCCGCTCCTAATTGTTTGTGTTTGTTATTTGGCGTTATAAGGGTTACTTTTCACCGTAGATTTGCCGGATCAATCACTTGTACAGTGCATCCTACCGTACGTGATTATCGGCGAAGACTGCACTTACAAGTTCATCTTTCCCAGTTGCAGCAACCCAATAACAATTGTTATTTTTAAACTATCGTAATGGTTCCTATAATATATTTCAACGTTTGGATATGAGCTTTTGTCAAATATATTTGATGGACTAGTTTCTTATGATCTACTGAGCTTCTATCCAAAGAATACACTATCAGCTTGTTTGGTTAATGCCCGTCATAGAGATCGTGCATAGTACCTAGAGAGCGTAGTATTAGGTATTGGTAATCTAGTAACGCCTAATACCATATCTCCCAGTTAGAGTGTTGGAAGCTCTTTGTATAGCCAGTGTACTCGTATGTCCACTTATCCTTAGCCTATGCCCATAGCGACTATCTTCTATTAGGTATACTTAAACTCCTATAAATGAGATGCACAAATAAACATATTTATACAAAGGGTAGCCAGCTCCCTCGTAAGAGAACATAAGGTTAGTTGTTACTAGTCCAACCTAATATACTACATATACAACTCTGATACTCACCTTATACGAAGTATATGACAACCATCACCGGGCATAACCCGGCAGATTGAAGCGATGGTATAACACCAAAGTGTCTTACGGATATATTTATTCAAAATTCTGGCCCCTCCTCCAGTATATAATCCCACTATCAAGTGCAGGGACACTTACTCTTTGGTATATCGCCCAAACATTCCTATAATATACGTTGACAATGTCTCAACGCAATGTTTACCCTCATTTAACCCGACTTACCTATTCCCTCCTATATAAACAGCAAGTGACTAGCTAGATATCAGTAAGTGAGAATAAGAAAGAGTTAGACTCAGAGCAGTACACCAAGGCGTGATAGATACCTGCTAAAGATGATCATCAATTGTTGCTTCCTGGTTCTTAAGTCTCTGATTAGAGAGATTTAAGGCTTGGTTAATAAACACGAAATGGAAAATATTTCTGGCATAATGTCTACTTGCAAACCTGAGTATTACTGGATCGTAGGTACTTACAATAAATGATATCGGCACAATAAACTTGTTGGTAAGTAAGTATAGCAACTATTATAGAGGTAAATATTGAGCATACGTTTAGTCAAACACATTTATAACTTTACTTCATCAAATCAAGCTATTGCTTCAGGAAATTGTCAGATCAGCGGTCCCGTTGGAATCCGGCCAACTAGAAAGGGTACAAGGTAGTAATCTTGTCGGTCATGATATCCAGTAAACTATTATCATTACACGGTAGTTAGTTAGTTAGTTCTATTCGGCATTCTTCTAAGTATCTCATATCTCATAACTCAAGATCAAGCGCAACAATAAAGCGATGCAGGCCTTCGGGTCAACCAGCCGTCATGATATAAAACCTCCCTCTTACACACACATACACACACACACACTCTCTCTCTCTCTCTCACCCCTCTCCACTTAAACACAGGTAGCTTTACTTCCCCTTCCCCTTCCCTTTCTCCCCCTCCCCCTCCCCCTCTTCGTCCGCCTCAGCCAGCGGTATCCCCTGGGCCTTCAAGAACTCGACGGCGTCGTCGATGCCCTTGGGCGCGTTGATCCAGTGCCCGCCGTCCTCGTACTCGTGCCACTCGACGCTCATCCCGAAGCTCCGCAGCCCGCTCCGCAGCTGCCGCCCGTACTCCACGAACACCAGCGAGTCGTCCGCGCAGTGCCCCAGGAACGCCGGCGTGTTGCGCACCACCGCGTCCCCCCGCGGCCACCCCCCCTCCATCCCCAGCACCTCCCGCGTCTCCTCCAGCGACCCCCCCGGGAACGGCAGCCAGCACGAGAACCCCATGATCCCGCACAGCCGCGACCCCGAGGAGGTCGCGGCCGCCGCCTGCTGCTGGAATTCCCCGTCCGCGGTGCCCCCCTCGGTTCCACCACCACCACCGCCGCCGCCGTCGTTGTCTTCGTCGTTGTCCAGGTGCAGGAGGGTGTGGAAGGCCGTGGCCCCGCCCTGGCTGACGCCCGCGAGCACGACGCGGTCCATCCCGCCCACGACGCGCGCCTCCCGCCGCACGATGCGCCGGATGCTGGCGATGCTGCTGCGCAGCCCGAAGACCTGCAGCTCCTCGGAGTCGGTCAGGTCCAGCATGTTGGACACGTCGAACCACTGCGGCCACATCTCCTCGAGCGTTTCGGCGGCGCGGAGCTCGGCTTCCTGTGGTGGTGTTAGCGGGTGCATGGAATGCGAAAGGTGTCGGGTGGATAGAGGAGTGGGTGGGTGAGTGAGTGGGTTGGTGGGTACGGGGAGGTAGATGTAGGGTGTATGTAGGTAGGTATGTATGCATATCAGTTTATTTTATGCTATGAGAATAATGACGACGACGGCGACGATTCCTCTAGTCAAATAGCTTAGATAGGTAGGTAATTGAGAAGGCGTCATGGGCAGAGGGAGCGCGCTGGCTACTCCCCCCTGATAAGTCCGCGAGGTGTCTGAGATAGATAGAATACAATATGATGATATAAGAGCAACAGACTGTAAAAAAAGATAGTTGTTATACGAAGTACGAAGGGATTAATACGTACCGGAAATACCCAGCGCACCGAAGGAAACTCGTCGATGAGGGAGCGGCCGCGGGAATCGCGCGACCACCGCGAGAGCATGGCGTCGGCCATGTTCCGCGAGGTGTCGCCGCGGCCGTGTAAGAAGATGACAGTATGGGTGTGCTTATGAGGGGCCAGCGGCGCTATCACCGAACATCCGAGCTCCATTATTAAAGCTGCAGAGATGGATGCTTTAGAAGGTACCTAATCTAAGGGAGGTATAATCTTAGAAGGTATCTTATAAGGTAGGTAGAAGGTAGGTTGAAAAAGGGTAAACTATGATATAATATAACTAGGTGCCTCCTTTTAGGGAGAGAAGGTTGGTATTAATTAGGTTAGGTTAGGAGGTAGTTATGATTAGAGTTATTCGCCTAGTAGGTTAACTCTTCCTAAGTAATAACGGTGAGTGCAAAATGCTGCCTGCTGCTGCTGCTGCTGCTTATGCTGCTGAGGTGAGAGTGAGCGAATGAATGAGTGAGTAGGTATGAATGAGCGACTAGGTGAAGAGTGAGGAGTGAGTGAAGTAAGGGTTGCGCATATCTCGGGTCCTTGTTGCGCAGGTACATACCGCTGGGGGAATCTCACGTATATGGAATATAGGTAGGTAACCTAATGAAATATATGGAATATATGGGTATTGTACCTATCGATGGGATTGTATGGAGTCTGGACGGTCCTATATCGATACTTAATCAAGAGCAGTGGATTGATTAGCGGATGCCGGTGCATGAAAGAGGCCGGGGTAGTACGCCTGTGCTTAGGCATCGTTATTAATGCGCCAAGCCGGACGAGGATGGGGATCACAAAGAAACCGGTACCTAATCGCGTACGGCTTATGCGAATGTATGTATAAATCTGCTGACGGTATACGACATTATTAACCGGAAAAAGAAATATGTCATGATTTTAAAAATGCACAACAGTTCAACTTAGGCGGCTTCGTCAAAAAAAGACTCTATCAAGTCTATATAAGGCGCGTTATATATCTATAAAAAAAAAACAAAAACCAAAAAAATCTACAATTCGTCTTTGGTCCTCGTTTTCGCGTCAGATTTCTCCTCAAGCGTCCTGCTCTTGGTGTTCTTTTCCTCGCCACCAATCCTGACCACCTTCTGGGTATCACCATCCGTAGCCAAACCTCTCCGCCGCCGATCTAAGGCTGCAATCTCGTCGTCGTACACCGTCCATTCCGGAACCTGCCTCCTAGCCCGGTCGAGCTTCGGCTCCTTGGTCTGCGGGTTGTTGCACAGATCGATGGTCCGCGCTTCCTTCTGGCTCTCGTCGCTGCACCACGTCTCGCACCACAACCACTCTTGCGGCAGGCTATGGATCGGAATCACGAACTGCATGTGGTTTGGCAGGTCCTGATCTAGGTTAGAGAGCGAGTTCGGGTCTGCCGATAGCTGGTGGTAGTGCTGTCTGAGCCTGTCGCCCGCGGCTAATTGCCTAAAGCGGCGAAGGTCGACCACGTAGAGCGCGGAGATGTGGTAGGGATATCCGCGTAGGTAATTCTTCCAGTAGCCTTGCTTCCAGAACCGGAAACCCTCCATCTCGGTCCGAGAGTCACACATGGGTGTAAATCCGTAGGGCGCGCCCTGCAGGTCGAGATTGACAAGGTCCATCATATCCGTCCGGACGACCTGATCCGCGTCGACGAATATGACCTTGTCGAGGGACAGGGGGAAGAGCACGTCTAGGAACAGGATCTTGTACCCCCAGATCTCGCGCTGCTTCTCTTTCTGCTGCCGGAGCCAATGCGGCCACTTATACGTAACCATCTCGTATTTGAACCCGTACTCTTTAGCCAAGTGGGGTATGAAGTCTTTGAAGGACGGAGATAGGAACTGCTCGATAAACCAGAACTTGACCGTGTGGTTCGTGTTCTTCATGACGGAAACCATCATGATGTTAAGCATGCGTTCGTAGAGGTGACCGCTCGCCACCGAGAAGATGTTGATTTCCGCATGCTCTTCATCCGACGCCGGCTTTGCTTTGGGTTTTGTTCCGAGGATACCTTCGGCAAACTTGAGACCACGAGAGATGAGATCGTCGCCGTCACCTGAGGAAATTTCGGCGAGGACGTCTTCCATCTCCATGCCGGGCTTTCTCTCCAAACGCGGGTATAGAGTTGTACCCTGGAAGTCCATCAGAGCAACTTCGGTGCCTTCGTCACCCGGAACGGGATTATAACCTTTCGCGCCTACGCTAATTATATTGAAGATTTCCGAGCTTCGTCCTTCCTTAAGGTGAATATTATAGTACCCAGGATTAGCTTTGAATTGGAAATATCCAATATTGGCCATGATAATCGTATCATCGAAATGCGGATCACGCTCGGTTCCAAGTAGTAGCTGAACGCCGCGCGGTGGACCGCCTGTGGTCTCTCGCGAGTGGCCTTCGATGAGGATATGTTCGAGTTCATAGATAGCTTCTACGTCGGTCTTCATGTAGCTCAACTTCAAATTATCTAAGTCGTGAACAGATATCTTCGCCGCTACCAGCCAAGCAGGTGGAACATCCATACCGAGGTTAAGAAGAGCCTCCGAAGGAATTCCTTTGAACGTAGCACCTAGAGCTCTGACCTTCCCATCCTCGTCGAAAGATGGCGCCGATTCCAATACGTAGCGGTAAAATCTCTTGACTGGAAGCTCCTCTATTTTCTCCTTCGGGTTTAAGAATATACGCATGTAAACACCGTCTAGCTGGGACAGAACCTTGAGAATGGGGGCCCATTTCTGTCCCACCTCGCTGGCGGGATTGATTACGGCAACGAAATGAATATTAGCTGTGGAGGCGTCGCCTACGTCGATCATCGTATGCGTTGAATTCCACCTATCGAACAATGTCGTTCTGAAGGTCGGGGCGGAGTCGAAAATTCCCTCGGGCAGGTCTGATATGGTAGACAGAGCGGTTATCGAGGTAAGCTTCGCAGCAGCTAGAGGAGACGTAATCTTGTCTGCTAAATTTAGAGCGTCTGCTGCCTTATAAACCGGGAGTATTCTCGTCTCCTGCTCAAATTCGAGTAGTAGTTCGAAGTCACTTTCCTTAAATACTGAGTTGTCGAAGAATGGGCCGATCACGCGCCCGTTTAGGATGAGAAACTGTGTGCCTGGGGCGACGGTGGCAGCTGTCAGGAAACGTGATAGGGCAGCATTATATCCGTCATCCGGTACGTCGATCGGGCCTGATAAGAGAACTTCTAGCGTCTCCAAGTTTTCGATTTCCAAAAGCTTGGCGACATCTTGCTTGAGCAGGGCGTTGATCTCGTGCGCGCTGCTCGATTCCAAAGCATTATTGACGATATCAAGACGCACGCCAGGGTTGTTACGCCGGAACGACAAAGCAGACAGGAGAAGGCGGAGACCTTGTTGCGAGCTTAGATCTGCGACAACTGTTAAAGTAGCCCAGGTCTCTTTGCTAGTTTCCTCGCCTGCTTCGATGACAGGAACTTGTTCGAATAGATCCTTGTGCTCGATGTAGAGTTTATTGACATCTAACACGATGAGGGTGTTCTCGTCATTGGGGTAGATGTAGAGGTTGCGCCGAGTGGCTGCTCCCTCCAGAAAGAGTTGCGGAACCCACGTCTCGTCATCAACTGTGCCCATAAAGAGTCCCTGTTGCACTAATTGTAGATCGGTATTCATCCTCATGCTCATGATTTGAAGCCAGTTGTCATCCCGTGGTATGGCCACGCCATTGAAAAACATCGGAGGCACTTCAGTATCAGCGTTAAGTCTCTCTACCCAATGATTCGCAAGTTTGAGCTGTTTGGCGTAGTTTTCCGACTCGAAAATTTCATTCAGTGAAAGGAGGGTGGCCTCGTCCTTGAGAGTGCGGTTTTTGATGGCCTTGTCTAAGTTTGCTTGTTCAGAATGGTCTCCCGTGCTGCAAGCCTCCAGATAAGACATGAAGCTGGATAGGCCGTAGTTCTCCAGTAAGTAATAGGCTATCTTTGCTCGCTCTTCGGCATTATTCGTTGGTGTTAACGGTACCAGTCCGAAGCGGATGGGTAGCAGTCTCTTTATGAAACTCTGAAGCCGTTCAACGACTAGGGACAGATCTTCTGGTTTACTCAAGTCAACCGGGACGACAAGATTGAATATATCCTTACGGACTGGAGGAACCTGTCCAGGATAAGTTCTTTGCATAAGCTAAAAAAATGTCAGTAATTTGTAGAAAGAGGTGCTCTTTTAATTCGTCAGTACTTACGGCCATGAGGCTCTTAGGATAATCGGCATATCGCTTGTCCTTTTCGATGTTGTTAAGCCAGACGATGACTCGGCCTTCTTCAATCTCGTCTCTCCAATCGAATCTACGAGATTCGTCGTTAGATTTGGCAGATGTTACTTCACGGTGACCAAGCAGAGATACGGCCTCTTTTCCACTTAAACCTAAACTCGTAACGCCTTCGATGAAATTTCTCTCCCGTCGAATGCTGTCGACGAGAGTGAACGGGTCGACTTGTCGCTCGATTAGCTGGACGCCGTTCATCCAGAGCACATTCATCCCAGCAGGTACGCTCAGGGCCCGATTTTGGCGGTGCTCCTGAACGAAAGCATCCGAAGCGTTATGTGCGGCTATAGAGGTGGAGAACTTGGGGAAGTCCTGTGTTAACTTGACCAAGGTTTCAAAAGGATCTTCGCTTTGCATGATAAAAGAACCAGCTTTGAGTCCTAGCGATGACAACTCGGAACTTGACAACGGCTTTAGGTCTGTTACCTCCTCTTCGCCGTCGAGTACTACTTCGGTAGGTGCGGACTTGGCAGCGGAAACCGTCTCAGATTCAGCTTCGCGGTCGTCGATAACGATATAATCCGTTCGCTTCAGCTGAAGCTCTACACCGTACCCGCTGACTGGTAGCGGCTCTCGTTCTTCGGTTGAATCAATACGATATCTCAGACGATACGATATCTCCCCCTTTTGGGCTCTCTCTGATAAGGATTTATGAAATGACCCAAATTCAGGTCTGGTGATATCCGCATACAATATCACTTCAGACCCGGTTCCCAAAGAACGGTCGAAAGGAAGAGGTCGTGTTTGCCTATTTCCATGTAAGATATAGTTGGAAAATTTAAAAGGTGAAATACTTACGAATCGCCCGAGATGTGGCCGTCGACATGCGCAAGCGAAGCTGAGCAGTACTGCTTTCCGCTTACGAGAACCCAATCAGCGCAGTCCGTCCTAGCGTTTTCAAGAGAAGGCGCTACAGCGGTATCGTAGTATTGGTAATGAGCCTCGATCCTAGGAGCTGCCGACCTCATGGAGAGGGCAAGCTTGAAAGTGGACAATGCCTCTAGACTCTCCATATGCCCATCTTGTTTTAGTATTTGGAGGAATTTCTCATACAGCTCCTTGTCTGTCTTGGTGTCCGCAAAAGCGCCATCCGCGATCCGGTCCAGGAGTGGAAAATAAGATGTTGCGTTTTCCCCGGCAGCAGTCTCTCTAAGCTATGTTTAGCATTTATATGATCTGATTGGACTCTTTCACAAATGCAACCTACAAGAGCTCGACGAGATAGGGAGGTGCTGGAAATGCAGCTCTCATAGCAACATTGACAGAGGGTCCAGCTACAACATGACCCGAGTTCAAGCAGAGAGTTGCCAGGAGAGTGGCGGCAAGGCCACATGGCAACTGAAATAGTCGTCGTATCATGATGTCTTAAAGTCGTGAATGGTAGCATATATACCATATATATATAAAGCTAGAGGGTAAGAAACGACGTAGCTCTGTCGCAAGCTCTGGGCGCGTGCGGCAGAGCTTAGAGCTGACGAGTCTACAAAACCATATATAGTATTACGAATCAAGTTAAGAGCCTGATTTCGAAGTCATTGGGACGAAGCTTACGTCTTATTGTAAATGCAAAGTGGCTTTTTGTAGGTCTGGACTTTTTTTGGATGAGGTACGAAATACAGTACGTTAAGCTGCCGTGTAAGTGATAAGATTAGGTAGACTTCGGGAGAAAGCAGCTGCAATTGAACCAGGCAATTGAACACCTAACCAGAGATAAAATTAATTGGAGCTTGACCAATAGAAAGATTGAAAAGATTGAAGCTGTCAGGGGTTCAGCTAGCGGCCCGTTAGCAGGTAAGTTACGGGCTGGGCTGCATGTAACTTGGGTGAGCTGCCCCTCCAAATAGTATTTATACAACAAGAAAGGCCTATAATTGGTGTATAGCAGATGTACCCAGTACTTCACTAACACACAGAGGATAATGGTTGTTCCGTAGCGGGCACAATTAGGACAGCTGGATGGGAACTTGGAAAGCACAAGCCCAGTCCAGAAACACAGCAACGTTTACACTAGAACCTAGTCACGAATTAATCCACCACCGTCACTTTTGGGGCCACGAATTGACTTGTACTTACTTCACGAACCATCTTCAAGAATCCCTCCCCCCCCAAGAGTTGGTGTTAGGAGATTATTTCCAAGAGCCTCACAGCTCTCCACCATCCAATAACACTACCACCTCCTAATTCTTTCTCCGATCGCCTCTTTATAGTCGCCATCTTAATTGGGCGCATCTCTTCTGCTCATTCATGACACAAGCTTAGGGGCTTCCTGCTGCCTCTACCATCCTCACAATGCAGGCCTCTTCGGGAATGCTAACAAAGGTACATACCATACCGCATTGATATGTTTTCAACGTTTTCAACTTGGTCGCATACCTTTAAGACACATACTGACCTTCTACCCTTATAGTTCGAGTCCAAGTCTTCGAGAGCGAAAGGCATTGCCTTTCACCCAAAGAGGTTCGACCATTCCCCTTATGCCATATATCCATCTGCCTATCGTCACCGCTATTCGCTGCTAACCGGGAGCAATCAGACCATGGATCCTCGTATCATTACACTCTTCAACTATACAGCTATGGGATTACCGCATGGGAACCCTTATTGATCGTTTTGAAGAGCACGATGGCCCCGTCCGAGGTGTCGATTTTCACAAGACACAACCTCTATTCGTCTCCGGTGGCGACGATTACAAGATCAAGGTCTGGTCTTACCAGACGAGAAGATGTCTGTTTACTCTAAACGGACATTTGGATTATGTACGAACTGTCTTCTTCCACCACGAGCTGCCGTGGATTATATCAGCCTCCGACGACCAGACGATTCGAATATGGAACTGGCAAAATCGTTCATTAAGTATGAGCTGCGAGGGAAGTCTAGCTATTGGGGAAACGTGCTGACAGCCCATCTAGTTTGCACGATGACCGGTCATAACCACTATGTAATGTGCGCCCAGTTCCACCCGAAGGACGACCTTGTAGTGTCCGCGTCACTCGACCAGTCCGTTCGCGTTTGGGATATATCTGGCCTGCGAAAGAAGCATTCCGCCCCGACGTCTATGTCTTTTGAGGATCAGGTTGCCCGATCGAACGCTCAGCAGACAGATATGTTTGGCAACACCGACGCGATGGTGAAGTTTGTGCTCGAGGGTCACGACCGAGGCGTTAACTGGGTCGCTTTTCATCCTACAGCGCCGCACATCGTCTCTGCTGGAGACGATCGTCTTATAAAGTTGTGGCGGTTTAGCGAGACGAAGGCCTGGGAAGTAGATACCTGCCGTGGTCATTTCCAGAATGCTTCCGGTTGCTTGTTTCACCCCCATCAAGATTTAATTCTGTCCTGCGGCGAGGACAAGACGATTCGAGTATGGGATTCTCAGAAGCGCACTGCTGTTCAATCCTTCAAGAGAGAAAACGACCGATTCTGGGTCATCGCGGCACATCCTGAAATCAACCTGTTTGCTGCTGGTCACGACAATGGTGTGATGGTATTCAAGCTGGAGCGCGAGCGTCCTGCCTCGGCCGTTCACCAAAATACGCTCTTCTTCGTCACGAAGGAGAAACACGTCCGTTCTTACGACTTCCAAAAGAACGCCGAGAGCCCAACATTACTGTCCTTGAAGCGACTTGGTAGCGCTTGGGTCCCGCCTCGCACGTTATCCTACAACCCGGCCGAGCGCTCTGTCCTCGTGACCTCACCTGCCGACGGAGGTAAATATGAGTTGATCAACCTCCCTCGGGACGGTTCTGGCGCGTTGGAAGCGACAGATTCGAAGAGTGGAACAGGAAACTCGGCTATTTTCGTAGCTCGAAATCGATTTGCTGTACTTGACACGGCCAATCAAACCATCGACATTAAAGATCTTTCTAATAATACGGCAAGGACCATTAAGCCCCCTCCCGGAACTACTGATATCTACTTTGGCGGTACCGGGAACCTGCTCATCATTACTCCTACGGCGGTTCATCTTTACGACATCCAACAGAAGAAGAGCATTGCTGAGTTGGCAGTGAATGGTGTCAAGTACGTTGTCTGGTCGAACGATGGCCTTCACGCAGCCCTTTTGAGTAAGCACAATGTCACAATAGTGACGAAGACCCTCGAACAGGTTAGCACTCTACATGAAACTATCAGGATCAAGAGCGCGACTTGGGACGATGCGGGCGTTTTATTATACTCTACCCTGAACCACGTCAAGTACACCCTTATGAACGGCGACAACGGCATTGTAAGGACACTTGATCAAACCGTGTACCTAGTTAGAGTCAAGGGCCGAAATGTTTACTGCCTTGACCGTGCTGCTAGGCCCAAGATCCTCCATATCGACCCGACCGAGTATCGCTTCAAGTTGTCGCTAGTAAAACGCAACTATGAGGAAATGCTTCACATCATACGTACTTCCAGTTTGGTCGGCCAATCTATTATTTCGTATCTCCAAAAGAAAGGATACCCCGAGATCGCTTTGCAATTTGTACAGGACCCTACTACTCGTTTCGAACTTGCTATTGAATGCGGTAACCTCGACGTAGCTGTAGAGATGGCAAAGGAGCTGGACCGACCTAAGCTCTGGACGAGATTGGGCACAGAGGCTTTGGCGCATGGGAACCACCAGGTTGTCGAGATGGCTTACCAGAAGCTTAAGCAGTTTGACAAGCTCTCCTTCCTATATCTCGCAACTGGTGACCATTCGAAACTCGCGAGGATGGCCAAGATTGCAGAGCACCGAGGTGACTTCACTGCAAGGTTCCAGAACGCGTTATACTTGGGCGAAGTTGAAGATAGGATACAAATGTTCAAGGAGATTGACTTATGTGAGTTGCACCTTTCAATTGTTTTTAACGCGGGTGGGAGCTAATCAACTTGTAGATCCTCTGGCATACATGACTGCTAAAGCACATGGACTCGACGAGGAGTGTCAATCAATCCTAGAAGCAACTGGTATTTCTGAGGAGCAGTTGACTCTACCCGCCTTCGGCGAGAACCTCACTCCCCCGAAGCCGGTTGTTCCGACATTCAAGGCTAACTGGCCTACGAAGGCGACTTCGCAATCCTTTTTCGAGAAAGCCCTTGCTAGTCAGCTGGAAGGCATAACTCTTGAGGATGAGCCTGCCGCAGCTGGAAACAGTCTTTTAGATGAGGCTGTTGACGAAGATGTTGCTGCTAAGCGAAATAGTGGTTTGGAAGTCGAAGACGACGAGGATGCGGCCGGATGGGATATGGGCGATGACATCGTCCCCGAAGCGGATAGCGACTTCGTCAACGTCGAGAGCACGGATGCTGGTGGAGCTGGTAGCAGCGAGGCTGATCTCTGGGCTCGCAACTCGCCGTTGGCTGCGGATCACATTGCCGCGGGTTCCTTCGAGTCTGCGATGAACCTCCTTAACCGACAAGTTGGCGCTGTCAACTTCACTCCGCTCAAACCCCGTTTCCTGGAGATCTATTCTGCGTCAAGGACTTTCCTCCCTGCGTGCGCCGGATTACCACCACTGGTTAACTATATTCGCCGTAACTTGGAAGAGACGGATCCTAGGAAAGTCTTGCCCATCATCCCACGAGACATCGAACACCTTGCCACTACCGATCTCCATAAAGGATATGATGCGATGAAAACGAACAAACTTGAAGAGGGCGTACAAATTTTCAAGAGCATCCTGCATGCTATGCTTGCAAACGCGGTCGCGAGTGAGAGTGAGGTAGCAGAAGCTAAGAAGCTCATTACCTCGGCAAGTGAATACACCGTTGCCATGTCGATCGAACTTGCACGAAGAAAGTTGGGCCCCCCGGATGCCATCAATGGCAACCCCGAGCTTCTCAAGCGAAGTCTTGAGTTGTCAGCATACTTTACAATTCCCAAGATCGAGGTGCCTCACCGACAACTTGCTCTCTTAAACGCCATGAACCTAGCATCTAGGAGCAAGAACTTCAGTTCCGCCTTAAGCTTCGCAAACCGCATCCTAGCTAATGGCGGTGCTCAAAGAATTCTCGAGACTGTAAGTCTTTGCCTATTTCTTACCTTATTCTCTAACAGCATAACTAACCCAATATACAGGCGCGAAGGATAAAAGCGCAGTGCGAGCGCAACCCACACGACGCGGTGGAAATCGAATACGACCAGTTCGCCGAATTTGAGATCTGCGCTGCCAGCCACACGCCCATCTACAGTGGAACCCCCTACGAGGAGTGTGCATTCGACGGATCCAAGTACCATAGCAAGTACAAGGGCACCGTCTGCACCGTCTGCGAGGTGTGCGAAGTTGGCAAGCACGGTAGCGGCCTTAAGTTATTTGCTTAGATAAACAGGGATGTCTGATAGCCCTAACCTAGCTACGGAGTAGGTAATAATGAATTTTACGAGTTGTACTCTGCGGAATGTGGCCGGAGGAAGAGAAGAGAAAACAAAAGTCATTGTCGCCGGGGCCGGGGCCAGGGGGCTAAAAATGACCCGTATATTTATGTAGAAAGCCAGGACGAGGAGTTCTCTGAATCAAATGAAACTTACCTTCATACGTTTGTTGACTTGAGTACGATTAAATAATAGTGTTGGAGTTGTTGTATTGCGTAGTGTGAGATGACTGGTGTTTCTTAGATCAGTGTAATGGATGTTGATTGTTTTGTGCATAGCACTCATGGACAAAGCTGAAAAAGACCTCAACCAAGATACCTACCTCCCACCTAATAAAACTAACACAGCAATCATTAAAAGATTAAAAGGTGGTATCCTAACACTTACATATCGCTTTGATATCTTATAGTAAAGCCTCTTAACCTTTCCAATATGTTACCATCCATACATGCCAAAAATCAGGTAAAGGCGATACAACAGGTCAAGTTGAAAGGCGGCCTCCCCTTTTAACCGTGTAGCAACTAAAACCTTCCAACTCCGAATCAACGCTACCTTAGGCACCTTCATTAGTATCACTAGCAAGGTCTCGTCTTTTACCGACACAAGAATCCCACTGGGTGTCACGGTCTTTACTATGTAATGTCGGAACCTTACGGTTCGGAACTGGGGCAATATCGAGATTATGCCATAGCAGCGGTATGTGGCTTAGTTACAGGTAGGTATGTATTAGGAACGCCTAACGAACAAACTTTGGTATGATGAGATACGGTACTATGGAATATAGATGTTACAAAGGTATTTAAATATGTTAGTAATGCATTATCTAAGCTAGAGGGTGTATTCGCCATTAACATCAGGAAATGTGGGATCAATAAAGTACCTCTAAAATACATAGATACTTGCAGGTAGAATGCCATTATTGCCATGGCGTACGACAACGATCGAACCGCGCCTCGAGGTCGAGGCTTGAGCCAGAAGTAAGGCCCGTCGGCTTCTGGCCTGGCCCCCAAGTGTTCTCAACCCCAAGGTAACAGGCGGGATAAGCTAAGCCGTAGTTAATACCACCACTATCTATTCTATCTGAAGCGAGAAGCCCCATCAGGAAAGTCCCTTATGATATATATTAGGGGTTTGGCGTCCGAGAGAAGCTTGTTAGCCGGCTCTAGCGTAGCATCAACCCCTGGGACGAGATTAGGTAGGAGTAATAATTACTGTAACTTAACTCTTACAGGTAGTTAAGGGTCTTCACTTTCACTTTTACTTCCATAGATATATACGTGACGGTGGGTGTTGGTGCTTAAAATCATATATTTATTCATACAGAGGCCGGGGGAGCCTCTTCATGGCCCTGTTTCGTAAGTAGAGCCCACTTGGGGGCTAGCTTATTTATCTATCTCTGTGCGCTTGCCGTTGCCTCCTACGATAATTAATTAAGTGTATCGGAACTCCCCTTCTTCGTAGCACCGCCAGTCATCCACGTAGCTAGCATAACTTCGGCGACTTTTTCGTTTCATTTTCTAAGTTCTGGGTCTGGGTCTGGGTCTGAGTCTGGGCCTGGGTCTCTCTCGTTGCGACCTCAGCTTTAGCCTATTCGGGGATACAAGGAGAATAGACTATATGTGTGGTTTTCTCTCTTTCAACTAGTTCCCGCCTTTCAAACGGCCTTGATAGGTAAGCATAGCTTGATTGAGATTAGACGATGGTCTCCAGCTCGCGAGCGTAGCCGAGGGTGTTCTCGATGACCATGCGGCTGAACTCCTTGTCCTCGACAGCGGCGGCAGCATCGGTCTCGGAGGCGATGTTAACGGGCTCGCCGTCGACGGTGGCGGCGGATGTGGGGAAGTAGATGTGGCCGTCACGGACGGTCCAGCCGCGTTGGCGCGCGAAGTCGATGACGGCGCCTTCGGAGTCGAGGAAGAGAAGGGATTTGGTGCTGCTGAGGGGGAGGGAGGGGTATGCGCGCTCGCTGGAGGAGGCGATTTCGGAGCGGATTTGGGATGTTAGAATCTGTGTGGGGGTTATGAGTTAGTTTGGATGTTTTTACGTCGGGCTATATATGTTGGGAATATAACAACGGGTATAGATAGTTGGGGTAGGATGGGGATAGAAGAAATGGATAGATAAGACAGGTAGAGTATACGGATATGGATATGTGTATGGAGTAAGATGTATAAGATGTAGTAGTATAAATCGTTAAAACTCACCTCGGAGAAAACACCATATTCCTCACTTGGTACCTCTCGGCTCTTCATAGCCTTCCACACGCGGTCATAACTCCCCTCCATGAGCCAACGCTCGAGCTTGATCGGGTATCCCAAGAACCTGTCTCCCTCGATCTCGCCGGTACCGCCCTCCTTGGCTCTCGTGCTGAGCGTCTCGAGTTCGGAGTGGAACTCGGCATAGCGACCCTGCGTCAGCAGCAGCAACAGGTACAGTCCGGTAACCTTGTTGCGCTCACCGCTGCCAGCGATGTCCGGCAGCTCGTAGAAAGGCTGCAGCTGCGATACGTAGCGGGTGAAGGCGTCGGGGTTCCGCACCCGGATGCTGAAGAGTGCGCCCTGCTCGTAGATATCCCGGGCTAGGGCCAGGTGCTGCGGGGAGGCGCCGGGGGTACCGGGAGCGCTGGGCGTCGCGGCCTTGAGCTGCAGCAGCTGGATCTTGGCTTTGGAGAGGAGGGAGGAGGCCTCGGAGTAGGGCAGCGTGGGATTCGTGCGCAGCAGGTTGAGGAGCTGCGCGGCGTTTCGTTCGGCCATGTTCTTGTGCTGTGGGGGTGGTGACAAGGCGGAGGGCGGAAGGACCGGTGAAGATGGCGCGGTAGAAGGTAACGACGAGATGGCTATGGGGGTGACGGCTTCGCTGGGACCGTTGGGCTGCTGGAGCTTCGAGGTGGTCGCCGGGGAGGGGAAATACGAACAGGACAGTGGAGCTTTCCTAAGCTCGGGTCTCCCAATCGGTACTTCGGAAGGATACTCAGATGAGGAGAAATCTATACGGCGGATGGCAAGTGTTGGGGTTGGTACTTGGTCTTGCGGATTTGGTGAATGTGGATTTATCGGTTTGGTGATGAGGCAAGGCAAGCAACAACAGGCTGAGAGGCTGACGAAAGAACCCGATCCACTTTGCTTCAAAGAGTGACGAACTCTGCGCCATATGTGGCTTAAGCTTCGTACATGTATTCCTGGAGTTCCTGTAGTTCTTGTGGCTGGTGAACTTGGTGGACTTGGGGGATTTGGGGGACTTGATGTCCCATTTTTTCTTATCCGTACTTTCATTTCTCCAAAAAAGAAAACCTTCAAAATTCTTATTTTTGTAACTTGTGTTTTGTAATAATGTAATGTTTTTTTTCCCTACCCTAAACAAAAAAAATGTTTATTATTAAAAATAGTATTTCTTACCTTCAACAGAGATGGCCTCCATGTTGTCACTTTGGGGTAATTGTCTTATTGTCCTATCCTATCATATTCCATTCTATCCTATCCTATCCTATCCTATTAATATGAGCTCCTTATCACCATGTGTTGAACGTCCACTAACAAAATAGAATGGTTGGAAAAAATGGTTATCTCGATGGGTTGTCACCTCTTTCTGGGGCTTGTCAGTTGACGACTTGTCCACTACCCATTGTCCACGAGGTCCTGGTCAGGTATCAACCAGTATCGATCACCCTCTGTAACCCATTTCGGACATTTTTTCAATATTGTCTACTAGTTGGCATGCTAGCTGCTGAAGACCGGCATGGTGAATAATCTGGTCCACATGACACATCAGATACAACCGTGTTTTACTCCGTCCTGCCAGCTGTAGCAAATGGGTCTTCTATACAACTTCCTTCGTTCCTGCGTTTTTTTCGGGAGTCAGGGAGGACAGCAGCTTTTTGCAGCATCATGTTTGCGTCAAACTTTGTCCGACGCTCTTTTATGCTACTTATCTAGGTACTACTAAAAATCGTCTGCATTGACCCATCTATCTGCTCATGCGTAGAAGACTTGGAAGGATCAGCGGGGGGAATCAGGATTGCTGTCAACTTGTTTGCTACCTGTGGCAGCCTGTGGGTATTCTGCAGCTAGGTATAGGTATCCTATTCAGCTGCGGCTACGGCCGTGCTGATCCAGAAATAGAACACAACGAGGCTGTGGTGAACTAGCTACGGTGGTGAAGAATGTAGTGCCGGTCGTGACACCTGCATAATAACTTTAAGCATTAACGCAGGTAAATCTCATTTTCTTTTCTTTTCTTCAATCCTGCCTTTTATCAAACTTCCTTTGCTGGATGACCGACGTCTCGGCCGCTGATACCGAAGATACCCCTTTTCATCTCGTTCTGTATACTACCATCTCTTTCTTGAATGGAGCTAAATATGTCAAATCTGCATATACACACTATGTAGTGATTGCTGGGGTGGAGATGGATCTGGATCTAGAGAATGGAATCACCTAAGAAGCTCTGAATAGTTATCTCAAATAGTTCTAGGTAGTTACATGTATCGATCGCATTAGGTAGTTACTACGTATTATCAATTGACTACCTCCTTGCTTCAACTCTCGATATATAATACGGCCTTGATTTCCTCTCCTCCAAATCGGCAATTTCAACATCGGTAACAGGGATTACGTAGTCGTTAATTAGACTAATACGATCGATTTTCGTACTGACCAAGATGACGAGACGGAGGCCCAAGCAGAAAACGCGCGGTCGGGGACAACCAGCTGCGGACGCGCAGTCCAAGACTGACTGGCCAAGGTACGTGAGAAGATTCCCCTTTTTATCCCTTCCTTAACACCCTTTTCTTTATCACCCACCACCCATGCCACCTTTGGAGACCCTGCACGGATATCGATTTTTTTTTTTTTTTTTAAGATTTCTCGGATCCCTGAACTTGCAACTTCCGGAACCAAACCTTCAAGTAACGACCCGTCATCCGGGATGATCGTGCAGCTATGCAGGAACATCATCTCTATAAGGCCAACTATTATTACCTTAAGTACCTAAGAGGCCATAATATCAGACTAGGCTATGATCTCGGAAGACAATTCTTCATTCACTCATTCACATGTCCGAAATACGATCTGACATATTCTATTTGCAATGCCTGCTTTGTACGGTTTCGAATACGTGGGGGTTGATTTCCATCTGTTGAGGATGCCGGCGAATCTATATAATACGCGGCCATGTTCAATAATTGATTTTGGGCGGTCTTTTTCTTATTAGTGGTGCCTAATAACTGGCCGAAACTTGGGTTAATGAGGTAGAGTGGTACCTATAAAGAATTAGGCAGTTTAGGTCCTTTAAAACTCGACGCTAAGGGGGCTTAGCAAACCTTGTTTAACCTATCCGGGGAAGTTGGCGGGCCGCGGCAGGTCCAGAAGGAGGTACCTACCTCCTACCTCCTAAGCCCCTCCTCAGCAGTGAGAGCTTCTGGACTTCTGGACCACCCCAAAGCACTTAAACAATCGTCACCCTGAGACTTTTTAAACGTTAATTCAGAACCGATAAAGCTCCCCCCTTTTTTATTACATCACTGGGCCTAGGAAATTAAAAAGTCAGCAACTTCGGCCAACAGCATAATAGATCTTACTCTTCTTACCCTCAGCTGGCGCCTGGTCGGACCCAGAGGTATTGTACAATACATACCTAAACACTTCGTCAGAGTTACTTTGTCACTTTGCATCCTCGAAGAACGCAAGAACATAGGAACCGGACAAGGGGTCTTGTATTCCCTGTTAAAAGCCTTGCGAAAGAGAGGGGAAAAGAGACAATTATTAACAACAAATCTCCAATAATCCATAACCCATAACCCATAAAATCTTATTGCGAATTACGTCTTTTTTATTTTATTTTATTTTATTTTGGGCCGCACACCCGGTCGAAAATAGGAAAATAAGGGACCCCGCCACAACAACGGATTCTTCCTTTTACTAGGCTCTAGGCTCCAGCAGCTCCAACAGTCTAAGTCAGATCAAGTACTTCTTAGCATCCATCTTACGCCGGGCTGTAGCCGGACTGGCGTGACCCATTGGTTCTAGAAGCGGCGGGCTAACAAAGTACATTTTTTCTTTTAATTTTATGCAGGTCCTCACCAGCCGCAGACAGGCGAAGACGATTTCAAAATGTCTAAATTTGGAGCTACATTCTACCCAGGGGGTATGGACGACTATTACATGCCCGAGGTTATAGCCCCATCACCACAAAGGTGCGTTTAAATGTTTCTAAAGAACTTATTAACCCGATGGTCTAAGAACTTGTTGAGACTAAGACAAGACTTATACCTACATCACACCTACCTATATTACCCCTACATCAACCTACACTTACCTACACTTATCTATATCCAACCTACATTGCCTTACATTGCCTTACGTCGCCTTACATATTTTACCCATTAACCTACCTCTTGAAACAATATCCCGCTTCCAACCCTTCCAACCAACAGCATGCGAGACCTCTACCTCTAGGCAACATCTATGTGACTTGATTGTCAGCATCTGACTCGAGCCAACCTGACCTGACCTAACCTAACTTTTTTTTTCGCATTTAATAGGGTAATGCCAGAAGTTCCCGAGAACATGCAACAAGGCCTTCAACGCATGGAACTAGAAGCTCGATCAGTAGAACCGAGAAATTCATCGTCGCGAGCACCCGGATCCGGTTTTGGGCACACTCGCGAACCGTCATTGTCCACCGTGCTAAACACCAGAGTTAATAGCTTTGGGCAGCAATACCAACAAGACCATAACCCCGCCACTGATTATAGTCCCGCATCCAATTTCAGCCCGTTCCAGGAAAAACAGGACCGCGCTCCTCAGTTCGAAAGCGACCTTAGAGATATGCGCGAATTACCTTCTTTTTCGCCTTTCCCCAAGGTTCAAGGGGAGCACATTCCTCCCAGTGACGAGGAGAAGGAGGCGGTACTAGCCGAGAGCCGCCACCATGTTCTCCATTCCAACGATCCCAACATGCAGATTTGCTGGGCCCGCGACGTCCTGTCCTACGTCGAGATAGCTGCCGAGAATGCCATTCGTGAAGAGGAGGCCACGCGCAACCCGAATGACCGAGAGCTACCAATAAGGACTGCGACGCCCAAGATTGAACACGAGCTGCGCATCGACGCTGTTAACATAATTAGCTACCTGGCAGACCAAGGACATCCTGAAGCTTTATTTATTAGAGGCAAATGGCTGGAATTTGGTAAATTCGGTAAGCGACAGGATAAGAAAGAGGCCTACACTTGCTACTCAAATGCTGCCAAGTCGGGATGGGGCCGCGCCGACTATCGCATCGGTATGCTGTACGAGAACTCCAACGATATGGACAAAGCTTTGCAGCATTATCAGCTTGGCCTATCTGTCAACGATTCCGCCGCTTCTTATCGCCTGGGTATGATCAACCTCTTGGGCCAACGTGGCCAACCCAAAGATATCGTAAGAGGTTTAGACTTGATCCATACTGCCGCTGATACGGCCGACGAAGATGCTCCCCAGGGCGCTTTTGTGTACGGCATGTTAATTGCAAGAGATCTCCCGGATATTGCCATCCCCGATGGTATTTTACAGTTCGACGTCGGTATTGCCCGACAATATATCGAAAAGGCTGCCTATCTCGGGTTTGCTAAGGCTCAGCTGAAGATGGGACAGGCTTACGAATTGTGTCAACTCGGATGCGATTTCAATCCGGCGTTGTCACTACATTATTATGGTTTAGCTGCCAGACAGGGTCAACCCGAGGCGTGTCTTGGTGTTAGCAGATGGTTCCTGTTTGGCTATGAAGGCTCATTTGCGAAGAATGAAGCGCTTGCCTTCAAGTACGCTCAGCTAGCTGCTAAAGCAAAGCTACCAACCGGAGAGTTTGCTTTAGGCTACTACTACGAAATCGGAATATCAGTCGAAAAGGATCTGCGAGAAGCTCGAAGGTGGTACGAATTAGCAGCGGAGCATGGTAACAAGGACGCCGTAGAGCGATTAGAAAGTCTGTCACAATCTAAGACGTTGTCGAAGAAGGACCACGAGACGACGGCCTTAACTCGAATTAAGTCGAAGCATGGCTCGCAAAGGGGTCAAAGGCCCGAGAGATTCAAGCAACCTAATAACCCGATGCCGGCGCTGTCGGAAGACCAAAATTCGCCCAGGGCGTCGCCTCACCCATCGCCTAGAGTGCAAAACTTCAACCACACAGATATGCCCGACCCATCCCGACTTGCTATTAGCGGTGGTAATCGACCTCCTGCTTTTACTGTTAACCTCTCTGATCAACAGGCATCAGCAACCCCGTATCCAGAAGATGACAGGCCTCCGGCCTTATCCGTACGACCAAAGCCAGCTGCTGTACCTTATCCCGAAGATGATGTGGGCGGGAAGCCGCAACTTGCTCCTCTTTACGGTTCAGGTAGTCGAACGCCAACCGGCCCTATTGCGGATCGACCGGGGAGTTCCTTTGGGATCCGCACGGGATCACCCGGCAACGGTGGTATGCGCCCATCCTACTCAGCAGGCCAATTGCCTATCCCCCCAGCTGGTATGGACCCTAACCGTGGTCGCCCAGTTTCCGCTACCTGGGGTCCGCAAGGTCAGCAAGGTCAGCAAGGTCCGCAAGGTCCAGCCGGCTACAGCCCTGGAATGGACCCAAGAGCTCGCCCCACCACAGGGCAATTCGATCAACGACCACCGGCCGGGTATGATCCACGACTTGGACCCAACCGACCCACGAAACAGGGACCTCCCCCCGGGCAATACCCAGCCGGTTATGGCCCGAGAGAATCATCTATGCAGGCACCTCATGCTCCTGGTCCCCGGACCGCTACTGCTCCTTACGACCATAGCGGTCGCGGATCAGGCCCTTCCTCTCCAACTATGAGCGGCGGTCTTGGACCTCGTAACAGTTCCATGCCAGGAGGGGTACCTCAAGGGGGTTCTGGTGGTCAGAGAATACCAAGTGGCGGCCGAGGAGGCGGTGCGCCGTTGCACGACTACGGTCGTTCAAGTGCCCCACCCCAACAGGCACAAGCCAGGCCCCCATTGTCAAGCCCACCACCGACTTCTGGCACTCCCAGCTCAGTGGCGTCCGCGCCAGTTTCCAAACCCCCGCCCAAGGTTAGTCAAGGACCTGCTACTTTCGAGGCGATGGGTATTCCCCAAGTGAAGCAGAGCGATGACTGCGTAAGTTTTAAATGCCCCCCCTCTTTTTAATTCCAGAATCTTGTAACCCATATGCTAACTTATCCTAGGTTGTTATGTAACGGGTCAGGCATATTGTATTGGGCATAAACTGGGTACGGCTTTCTCACTTCTTATCATGATACCACTTCTGTTGAGATGCCGACAAACCTTTTTACCTTAGTCATCAAAGCGGCGGAGTGTAAGAGCGTAGCTGGACTGGATTAAGTTGTGTAAAGGAGCTGCATAGTAGGTAGGTAGACGCGGGATGTCGACGCCGAAGATTTCTTGCATGGTAGATCATGGCGTTTATTTGAAGGAGGGCCCTATAGATAGATGGATAGGCAAATTTACATCTGTACGGTCTTGGGTGGGGGATTAATCCCTGGTAAATATAGCCGTATACAGGTTCATCTACAAATACTTATCCAATGATGGATCTGTGTTGTGAATCTTGTAATTGAGTCGCTGCTGTTGCTCGTGAAAACATGTATTGCATGCTCAATAGTGGAGGATAGGGTATGAATAAAGGAGCACTGAATACCTTGCGGCTCGACTTGGTGACGACTCGTGCCTAGTGTTACTAGTAAATGATTGATACAGTTGACTGAGTAAGTATATGAATAGGAATAGTCACGATAAGGTGTTAGCAAATTACGGCAGCTGTAGTAGCCATATAGACTATTCTATTCTATTGTGTCTTGGTTTGTCGTCTTCTAGTAACAGCTTTTTCGTGCTGATAAGTTGACTTTGATAATATTACCTGAAGTCTATTCCCTTGAGAATAATTTATTTCAATTTAAATACACATATACGGGTGAAACACTCTAGCTAACGGTAGAAAATAAGTTATAAGTAGAAATTTACGGCATCTAATCGGTGTATATAAGTCGAGTATCAAGTCAATGTTTAACTATTGTTAACTTAGTTCTTATAGTTATGGGAAAAGCGGAACTGGTTGTGAAGCCTCAAACGTAAATTCTACCTAGCAAAGCCATATTAACTAAGTAAGTCATAACCCATAGGCCATGGTCAGTTCTAAAGAGAATCATGACGGAATGGGTTATATCATCAAATACATACCTACCTAGGTACCTAGCTATCTGATATATATTATATTAGCTATTCGAAAGGACCCAGGATCATAGGTGGCCTGTACATATAACAATCCCCGATGTAAACCTGACGCCGGGATGACGTCAAGCAACCCGCGATAGTCTTCGCCGTAGCTACCACGATCGACACCCTACCTAATTCCTCATTATACGGCTATATAAATCTCCGCATAGTTAACAGGCACGAAAGTAAAAGATTATGTCTATTCAATAACAAGCACCTAATTTCTCACCATCTACCTACCTACCTACGTAGCATACTCTCAGAGCCATACTATAAAAAACATACGATACCGAAGCCCCAAAAAAAGGAAGAAAAAATCGATACACCATGCCGTCTTCGCAAGTAGACGACAAGCAAGGCCAGCCCATCCAAGAAGGCGACGTGGTGTGGACCAGAATCCGCGGCGGCCGGCGCGAGGGCCGAGTCGACCGGGTCGTCGAGTCGGGCGCCGAGGCGCGGGAGGCCAGGGTGAAGAATCCACCTAAGGTAAGTGATTTAAGTAGTCACTTGTACTACTACATTTTACTTGTCTTCTCGTTTCTTCCCTCCCTTATTTATTTATTTTTTAAATTCGTGTATTTATTTACCTCTATAACCCTGTTATGAGATACCTATCTCTCTCGTGAGAAGAGTGAGATTCAAAGGGGGAGAAGAAGGGGATGAAGAAGCAAAACCGAAAATCGAAGCTGATATTGACGTTTTTGCAGGTCCTCTTCAAGGATCAGCACGGCCATGATGTTGCGCATAATCCAGGGACGCTTGAGCATAAGTGAGAGAGGGGCGACGAGATAATATCTAGTATGGTGATGTGTCACTTGTACATATAAGAGGTACCTAAGGTAGAGATACGCATAGAGTATTAGCGATGACAATAGGGACATGGGAATTTATTTACACTCGAAGCAACGAATAGACGAAAACCTACGCATCAAGCCATATAATTATCAAGTGCTCTCATCAAGTCTTTTGCGATAGACACTATAACGCCATGCAGCAAGCAAGTCTACCTACCTAACAGAGCAACAATAACCGCGCCCTAACACCATACTATTGCAAATGTCGTGGACCCATCCTCTAACGCTATTCTAGCATGCTAGAACTAGAAACATCATCATTTAGACCTTCCTAATCTCTTAGACATATATGTATGTAGGCAGGTATGTACCTTAATGCGAGATATACTGGAAAACAGCCGAAACCTCCCTCTCCCCACACTCCTGGCGCAGCAGCAAATCCTGTATAGGCTTGAGATCCTTATTGACGAAGTGATTCCAAGTACTCGTGTCACCATACAACATAGCCGGGGCTTTAATGAACTGGCGTCCGTCGGGTTTGCACCTCTTGCACTTGAACGTGTCGTGCGTATCGCTCAGCGTGTCCGGTCTGTACTGGAACAGCTCTCTCAGACTGTCTAGCGAGAAGTGGCGTTCTACGTCTTCGGCTGAGTCGACGACGCACGACGACAGGGATTGCTTGTGGCTCTGGCGCTGGAAGATCTTCTCCTCGATGGTGCCAGTAGCGATGAATCGGTACACGAAACAGTCCTTCTTTTGCCCGTCACGCCACACACGGGCTAGCGCCTGCTGATCGGCGGCAGGGTTCCAATCCGGGTCGAATAAGACGAGGCGGTTAGCGCCAATGAGATTGAGACCGCAACCGCCAGCCTTGCTGGAGAGTAGAAAGACGAATTCACCACCATCGGGATCGTTGAACTTGTCGACGAGCTTTTGCCGTTTGGTAACGTTCATGGTACCGTCAAGACGCAGGTGACCATATCCGCGATGGCGACAGAGTTGAGAGAAGAGGTCAAGCGTCTGAGTGTAATTGCTGATAAGGACAATCTTGTCGTTCGTGTCTTGATGAATGCGCGCTAGCATACGGTCAAGTACCTGCATCTTGCCCGAGTACCACGGCTTGATATCTCGATCACGACCACGCGCATCCTTCGGCGTATAATCCTCGGGCCAGAACTTTTCACATCCTGGTAAATCTTCCGATAGGTTAAGTAAATCTGGGTGATTGCACAGTTTTTTAAGTAGAGTAATAGCCTTGAGCGGCTGGCTTCCCTTGCCACGTAGGAGAGCCTGGATATCTGGACTCTTGATGAAGTAGTTATACAAATCGAGCTGGAAGGGGGCCAGGTTGCAGAACACAACGTGCTCGTATTTGACGGGAAGATATTTGGATAGAATATCGTTCGTGCGTCGGATAATGAACTTGTTGACAATACCGAGCAGCTCACCTAGACATTCGTCACCTTTCTTGCGATCATGTTCACTTGCATCAGCATCGCGACCTCGTAAAATGGGAAGCTCAAATCGCTTTCGGAATTCGAGTCGATTGCCAAGCAAACCGGGATTTGCGAAGCTGATTAGAGAGAAGTACTCAGAAAGATCGTTCTGGATTGGTGTACCAGACAAGATAACTCTCCTTGTAACTCTGAGGTTGTTCAACGCCGTAAATGTTTGACTGTCTCCATTCTTTAATCGATGGCCTTCGTCGCATAACATCAGACCGATTTGAGTATTTTTAAGCTCCTCAACATTCAGCCTAAGCGTCTCATAGGAAACTATAATTACTGGTCGGGTAACCGCCCGACCGCTAGCAATGGCCCATTGGCGCAGTTGTCGTGTTAACTCCTCCTTAGATGCCTTGCCATCGATTGCGAAAGGGGTAATGGCGTCTGCGCCGAGCCACTTGGTAAGTTCGTTCGCCCAATTTCGGACCAAACTGGATGGACAGGCAACAATGGCCTTTTGTATTGTCGTTTTCCCGGCATCGGGTGATTGCTTTAGAAGAGTCCACAGGAGTGTAATGCATTGGAGCGTCTTTCCGAGACCCATTTCATCGGCCATGATACAGCCGTTGGCCTTTTCATCAATCATGCCGGTCACACATCTATACATAAACTTGACACCTTCGATCTGATGTGGTCGTAGAACCTTGGCAAGTCTCGGGTCGATTACGACTGGCACTCTTGGATGTTCATTGTCGACCTTCTTCTTGATACCCAAGATCTCAGCTAGACTCTTATGGACTAAGGGCGCATCTAGCTTTTCCTGAGTACTGCTCTTAGGCTCATCACCTTCTTCTTTGCCAGTCTCCTTCGGCTTATCGTCAACAGTTGGGTCGTGAAGCACGATAGCAAACTCGCCGCTCGGATCGTGTAAAGGTTTAGCAACAAACATGGCTCCTTGTCTTAGACCAAGCGTTGGTGGAGGACGATTGGGATTGTAAGAACCATTGTTCTTGTTGATGAGAGGAACGCTGAAAGCCTTCTTGAAAACCTTGTCTTTATCTTTGGCCTGGAAGACGGGAAAACGGTTGACATCTCGGTTCGCTAAAGCCAATCTGTCGGCGTTCGTGTAGGGTTTATCTTCCGAGTCGTCGCCACCGGCACCTTTATAATCGACTTTTCTCTTTTTTCGAACTGGGCGATCGGTAGCTGGGGTCCTGAGAGCCGAACCAGGACATTTGAATGGCTTGAAAAGTTGGTCTCTAGATTGCTGCGAATGAAGACGTTTCCCTGGCGTATTGTTCGGCTTTACCAAAGGAGTGGTAGGTGCACTCGCCCTAAAATGATAGTGTTAGTGGTCAATGTCAATTAATCATTCGAATTGGTAGAGAATGGCAGGTAAATACATTTTCACCCCCTTACAAAAAGGGTTATTCTTTGAAGGAGCGAGAAATGGTTCGAATTATGGTGTAGCAAATTTGGATAAAGTATAGGAAATGGTATAGGAAAAAGTATAGAAATCTAGAGTTTGCCACTTATTAATGATGACTTATTAGAAATTACTAGCTGCTAGGTAAGCATTTTGTTGACTTGGAGGAAAGCGCGTCGCGCCTTTGCCTAAATTTGGCGGGGAATTGGAGGAACTGTCACCAAGTCACGTGGATGATTACTCTGCACCCCCCATGCTGTGTTACTTGAATTACATATGAGGTACTTGATATTTTATCCCGTCATTCAGCTGCCTTTCCTTTTCTCTCTTCATTCTTCCCTTTCCCCCCTTCGTCTACCTCCTTTTTTAATTATTGATATCCTACGCGAATTCCATCTCCTTATTACCATATCGGATACTTTTAGTATTCTATCTTGATGATTTAACAATGAGATCCACTATGTACCTATTTAAGGTTATCTCCGCTGCCCCGCGTTGGCGCTTCGTTGCTCTCGATCCTGGATAGCGGGGTTTCTATATTCATCTCATCTCACTCCCTAGTCTTGTTTGGTAGGTTTTTCTTAGTCTTCATGTCACTCTCCATGTACACTGAAGTGATACATGGCTTGTAGGTGACAGGCAGTTAGACGTCCTTCACAGAACTTGTACTATCAAGACTACAATTCTCGTGAATTATTAGCCGTAATCTTTCATAAGATCAAGTCTTTTTTAGCTATGTCTGCCGACTTCTGGGCTGGCTACATCAGCGGAGCCGTTGGTATTCTGGTCGGAAATCCCCTGGATCTCATCAAAGTACGGCTGCAAGCGCGCGATAGCATACCCACTCAGACGGTCACATCCTATGCCCGACAATTTGAAAACAAATATGCTCTAGTAGCCGGGACTGCTGCACCTATACTTGGCTATGGCGCTCTGAACGCCCTCCTCTTCGTCTCCTACAACCGCAGTGAAGCCGCTATAAATGCTGCCCTGAATTGCCAGTCAAACCTTTGGGCTACATGGTTTGCCGGTGCAATTGGCGGCTTGGCAACATGGGCGATCAGCACCCCGACTGAGCTGATCAAGTGCCGTGCTCAGTTGGCATCACCTCCGGTCTCGAGTTGGAATATCGCGAAGGAAGTATTTAAGACTGAGGGTATTAGAGGACTATACTTCGGTGGTGTTGTTACGGCGCTGAGGGATAGCATCGGATATGGATTCTACTTCTGGTCTTACGAACTAAGTAGCAAGTGGGTTAAGTCCAACCGGCAGAATGCCTCCGACTTCTCACAAGATGTAGCAAAAGTTTTGCTCTGCGGCGGTCTGGCTGGTATTGTCACCTGGGCTAGTGTATTTCCTCTTGATGTCATCAAGACGAGAGTCCAGACGCAAACTTCTGATGGCACGAGAGCATCACTGCTTAACTCCTCTTTGCCAGTTCAACGGCGCCTAGGAGCGATGGAGATTGCTAGAGCCGCATATAGAGAGGAGGGTGCGCGAGTGTTCTTTAAAGGGTTAACCGTATGTAGTGTCCGGGCCTTTATTGTCAACGCTGTCCAATGGGCAGTTTACGAATGGATTATGCTTAAACTTGGCCAAGGGAGACATAAAAGGCTACAGCCTATCTGACCTAGTAAGATCATTTGCTCACGATATGGGACCTAGACGAAGTTTGGAAGATTTTAATACCAAGACCAAAATAAGTGTTTAATCCTGTACACAACTATCGACCCAGTACGAAAAGCTGGTCACGACTATTTGTAGGGAAACGAATTGGCTTTTTTCGAAATCAACGAGTGGATTATAGCAGTGTCTGTCACAAAGACCGTGATGCCCTAGTAAACCTTCGATTGCAAACGTACCCCAGCCCAAACGACGTATCCCTAAACCATATCTCCGCAGTTGAGGGTTCCTCATCTCTTCGGAAAGCATCGACCTGTATTCTCAGATGATGCCATCTTCATCTTGATTTAAAGTTCGGGGGCTTGAGGAAGGATGATGTCGTGGGAAAAACCCCTAGTCCTCTTTCTCGCCGAGTCTGGCTTCTAGCATGGTGATGCGTACGCGGAGCATGGCATTCTCTTTCTCAAGTCTCTCATTGTTTTGATGGGAAGTGTAGAATGCCCAGTTACACGCCGATAGATCCCTGGCAGCTTCATCGGTTTTCTTGGCGCATTTATCGATCTCGTAATTAATTCGAGCTATCGTGTGTTCTACTATGGCCCTGGCATGCTTCAAGCCGGTATTGGCAGCTTCAATGTTGCCAGAAACTTCCAAAAGCTGTTTGGAGATTTCGAGTTTGCTCATGCAGTCTGTCTTTTGGACCTTAGCAGGTCTTGCTTCAAGCGCCTCATCTTCCGACTGGAACTGTTTAGCATACCCGATAGCTATGGAGGAGTCTAAATGGCGAAGAGAACTGAGGGAAAACTTACGTCAGACTCAGTGAACTTGCGAGGACCAGTGTGAGACATAGTGTTGGTCAAGTTCCCGAAATCTAAGTCTGCCTTTTCTGCTTCTTCTTCTTTTTCTGCTTCTTATGCTTTTCTTAGACTAATAACTTCTGAGAATCGTGCAGGTTGACTGACCTTGACTGTCCCGAGGGAAGGGGGGCATTTCAAAGAAGATAACGCGATATCTGTGAAGGGGATCTCGGTATTGACGGGGATTGAGAAGCTGAAGATTAGAAGAAGAAGAAGAAGAAGAAGAAGAAGAAGAAGAAGAAGAAGAAGAAGAAGAAGAAGAAGAAGAAGAAGAAGGAGGAGGAGGAGGAGGTTCAATAGCATTCACGCGAGATATTTGACGGTGGCTTCTTGCGTGCACGCATGAATGTGAATTCGTAGCATCTACTATGGGTGCATTGACCTGTAACTTCAGTCTTATTGGAGATCCGGATAATACTTAAGCCACTTGGACTGTTCACACTCACCTAGCATGTATCATATAAAATAAGAGAGAAACCACAGACTTGAGTGCAAGAATATGAAGGCGGCCATTCCGCACAAGCCGAGGAGAACTAATACAAGTATCTATGTATTCTCTCATGGGGTGGATTAGGTAGGTACTTGACCCCTCTGTGACTAGATATAGGCCTACAATACATACTTGGAAAGATTATAAGGGAAATGACAATTGAGGTTTTGACTAGTATAAGCTAAGAACTTCAAAGCAATTGGGAAGGGGACAAATGTCACGATCGCTTTATTATACTTGATAATGAGTCCTCTTTTACTAGAGTTAGATAAACTAATCTTCCTCCTATGAATACTTGACATTAGAAATTATGAAATGAAAAGAGCCGTGTTTGTAGGTAACGAATATGGTTTTGTATAGACGTTCGGTTGAATAGATACCTGTTATCAGGGAGAGTTCCTCGGAATTCACAGTCTTAACATGAATGAATCTAAAGCAGTTTAAAAAGTACTTGGTACTTTGTACAAAGTCAAACATGCAGGTGTGTACCTAACTACGGATGTGTACCTAGGTACGGAATACCGATGAGTTAAATCACATGATCATGGAATGGGTCACCGTACCTTTTCACGTTTTATGCGGGGCGCTTGTGCCGGGCAGCCGGGAGGGTCATTATGTAAAACAGCAATGACGTATGTCTCTCAACAGTGGACAACTTTCTCTCCTAATTCTCTCTAAGTTAATTGTTCGAACTAGAGAAATTTGGGGACAAATATAAAAAACCAGATCCAAGTTGTAGCCTCGTCCATTGTTCCCAATTTAAAATAATGGCTGCTTTTCTTCGAGGACGCCAGGCAGGCATGCAAAATGACCTGTCTGCTGATATCATCCCAGACTCATTCATACCGGACGATCGCGCTCGGTATGGGATTAATTCTCAGATCAGGTACGCGAACATCCGTGGAGATCTTTTTTTTTCTTCTTCTTTCGTCATTTTCAAGTCATCGAAATGATATTACTATATTTACCTAATCTATATTTATCTACACTATTCGGTTCCTGAGACTAACTAACCGTGAAGCTGCATTGCATTTGAGCCTGTCCAATCACTTCTCGCCATTGGTACAAGTGAATCCAAATATGGAAGTGGAAGGATATACGTTTTCGGCCAAAACCGCGTCCAGAAACTCCTTATTCCATCTCGATCCTGTTCCTTTTCGGATATCCAGTTTACCAAAAATCGCTTGGTAAGCCTTGATACCAAGAGTGAGGTTGTCGTATGGGATTTAGATACCGGCAACAAGATCGTCGGCTTTCGTGTCCCAGGCGTCGTTTCTTATATGTTAACTGACCCCTTACTGGACTGGTGCTTTCTGGGTACGCAAACAGGGGAGATACACACATATGATCTTGACCGACATCGCATGGCACCATTTCAAATTCCTAACCTATGGGCCGAGAAAGATCCTAGAGCTAGAGCGGTAGCTCTGGTCTCAATGCAGCTACACCCGCGCGACATAGGAAAGTTGTTGATCGCTTATACGCATGGCATAGTTGTCTACTCATTCAAGCAGAACATTCCGACAAAGTTTTTCGAGTATGAGGTGCCCCCAGGAGCTCCTGGAGGATCGAATCAAGCTGTCGAAACTATGAGGAGGCCAAGAGTCACACATGCATTATGGCATCCCACTGGCACATTCATACTGACAGCTTATGATGATGAGAGCTTAGTATTCTGGGATCCGAGAGACGGACGCATAGTGTTAGCCCGGACTCTCTATGATATCAATATCAACCAACCCGTGCCAAACCCAGGCTCCTCTTCGAGCGCCAAGCATCCGTACGCTCGCATTGCCTGGTGCTGTAAGCAGAATCCAGAAGATAGCGGCTTGCTCATCGCAGGCGGCCGAAAGGTAGAGGAATCCTCAAATGGCCTAACATTCATTGACCTCGGAATCACGCCTAATTATGCTACATCGTCATGGAATATTCTGTCGGACTATCTAAAAGGTAAACGTCAGAATACCATAGAGACACCAGCCGGGGTCGGAATCGCAAATTTCTCCCTAATTCCACGCATATCACCTTACTTTGCTGGTGCTCAAGACCCTATTGCCATTATGACCCTACTGGCATCGGGAGAGATTCTAACGTTGAGTTTCCCGAGTGGTTATCCTATTTCGCCAACAAACCAACTTCACCCATCCGTATCATTTGCTCACCCATTCGCAACTAAATTCGGGATTACCGTGCTCGATCGAGGAAGATGGCTTGGAATGGTTGAAAATAGGCATCAGGGCGAACCATTATTAAAAGGAGGCGCCGAGGCCCCACGGCCACGCCGACGTTTTGAGGGGCGGACTGTCATTCAGGTTGCCCATGCGGATAGCACAGTAAGAATATGGGACGTGGGCCACGGTGATGAGATTGAAAACTCAACCCAGCTTCAAGTCGACGTTGCCAGGGCTCTTGACCGTTACGAGGATGTAGAGATTACGGCTATGACTATGGCTCCTACCACCGGCGAATTCGCTGTTGGTACAAGCAAGGGAGAAGTTATCATCTACCGATGGGGCGGTAATTCGTACTTTGGAAAGCCCCCTGATCAACGTGTTGAATCGAACCCTGGTGGTATTTCTAATATTAGCACGAGAGCCGAACCATCTCTCAAGAGCGGGCTTCAGCCCCTATCATTATACGAAATGATGCAAGGCCCAATTAGCGCCATAAAAGCTTCAGATGCAGGCTTCCTTGCCGTTGGAGGTGAAAATGGCTTTATAAGTATTATTGACCTTCGAGGGCCTACGGTCATCTTTCAGGCGCCAATGACCGACTTTGTTAAACGCGACAAACGATCTTCGTTTTTTAAGAGTCGATCTAGCGCACCAGCTCCCAAAGAATGGCCCGTGGTACTTGAATTTGGTGTAATGACTCTCGACGAGGACAAATATTCGAGCATATGTTGCTTTGTTGGCACAAATTTGGGGAAGGTCATTACTTTCAAGATTCTACCATCTGGTGGTGGCTATACAGCTACGTTAGCTGGTGTGGCACATCTAGATGATAAAGTTGTGTCTATATGCCCTATAGTCGCTGCGGATGGAAAGCCCGCTCTGGCTACTGGCCAGGCTGTCGCCGGGCTGAGGGAGGGAAAACATGTCAACGGCTTACTTGTAGTCGGTAAGTAATCTAATACGGGGGACGGCATTTATACATATGCTAACGTCATTACAGTCACACAGAGCGAAGTTCGTATCTTCAAGCCGGCCACGGCTAAAGGAGCTTCAAAATCATTTGACGACTATCTTTGCAATGCAGCTACGGTCGCCGAATTTGAATTGCACGGAATGGCCTTGGTCGGCGTATTTGGGGACCTGAGGGCTAGAGCTTTTAGCTTACCAGGACTCAAGGAAATTGGAAGCCATCCACTTCCAATGATGGATGGTAGCCGGTCTGAAGATGCCATAGTGACAGGGGATGGCGATATATTCTGCTGGACAGGTCCGTCTGAAATCGCATCCCTTCATATGTGGGGTACTGGCTTGCCATTAGAGAATACGGCCGACAAGCTCATTAATCCTAACCTCCAAGTACCCCCAAGGCCAACTATTTCAAACGTGCAATGGATCTCAGGTACACAATACGTCACACCGGCAGATCTTGACCTGTTAATAGGTGGTCCTGATCGGCCTCCCAGTAAGCGCACGAACGCTTCGACGGCAGCAATTGAACGAGAGCTAGCAACAGGGCCTAATTCCGGATCTGGTAGCCAGGAGGGCTGGGGTGAATATCTTACCCGACAGCTTAACGAGCGAACAGAGAAATTAAATCTAATGAACGACAGTTTGGATTCCGCCGCGGATTCCAGTCAGAGATGGGCTGACGATATTAGCAAGTACGTCAACCAACAGAAGAGGAAGATGATTTTTGGTAGCGTTGTGGGGAAGTTCTAGGTCGCATGCTTCTACTTCTATATCCAGCGCTTGAGTTTCGTGTTTGAGACATTAGATATACTGGAGTTACGGGAGTGAGCCGGTAAAGGTATTCCTAAGATCATCAGCGACGCATAGACTTTAAGGGTCCAATGCCACTACGGCTACTTTATCGCGTCTTGTCAAAGCATTATAGTTCCCTTAAAGAAAGGGCCAAATTGGAGAGGCGGCTTACGCCGTTAAGATACTTTTCTGACTTTACCCCTAGACGGTAGATATCCTGCATTCTGCCGTAAATGAACGACCTAATTAGGCAAATCAACACTTCGTTTAAACTAACCCAGAGCTAGCTTTATTTATTTTTTAGATTGATTCCCTGCGGGACCATGCATTTCTGGTCTATACATAGGGTAATTAGCTTCGATCTAGATTTCAATGATGTGATTGCCACCAGCTTATGTATGAAATAATAAACCTACGCTCACCTCCACGCTTTCTTAGACCCCGTAATCTCTTGTCTATGACCTTTAGCAGGGCCAAATAGGGAAATCATATAGACATCATGCGAATCTTATCAGCTTCTCTGGTTTCTATAGCTGCTCTTGGTAGCGCTCAGAAAGCTACGTTCGAGCTTTCGTACCCCTCGCCATGGGGAACGGGAGGTCCGGGATGGGATGAGGCGTACGAAAAAGCGAGGGAATTCGTTAGCAAACTTACGCTGCTCGAGAAGGTTAACTTAACGACCGGTACTGGCAACCAAGCGGATCTGTGTACGGGGAATACTGGCTCGGTACCGAGGCTCAATTTCCGCCACCTATGTCTACAGGATGGGCCTGTGGGGGTTAGGTATAGTAAGTTGATATGCCTCTCAAGTTAATGGGAAAGAAATAGGGGCGTTTAGGGGATAGTTCGCTCACTTACGTAGAGAGTACACGTTAACAACTGCTATTCGTCGGTAGCCGATTTGAACTCGGTGTTCCCGGCGGGTATTAGTGCGGCAGCAACATGGTCGCGATCTCTCCTTCGAAAACGGGGAGAAGCAATTGGCCAGGAATTCAGTGGTAAAGGCATAGGTGAACAGCCCCCTTACACCACAAGCTTGCTTCCCGTTTTTGTTTCGCAAATAAAACTAACCCCCCTGAGTACCTAGATATCCACCTAGGCCCCGTAGTTGGCCCCTTAGGGCGGGACCCCGCCGGAGGCCGAAACTTCGAAGCTTTCGGACCAGACCCGTACCTCTCCGGCGTAGCGGTCGCAGAAACGATTATTGGTGCGCAGAGCGCGGGGGTAATAGCTAGTGTTAAACACTATATCCTGAACGAGCAGGAACACTTCCGCAGCGGTATCAGTTCAAATCTCGACGACAGGACGATGCACGAGGTGTACCTGTGGCCGTTCGCAGACGCTGTGCGTGCGGGCGTCGGAAGCGTTATGTGTTCGTACAATCAGATCAACAATACCTATGCGTGCGAGAACTCGTACGTGCTGAACAAGCTGCTGAAGAACGAGCTTGGTTTCCAGGGGTTCGTTGTCACCGACTGGGGCGCTCACCATACTAGCGTCGCAAGCGCTCTCGCGGGTTTGGATATGTCTATGCCCGGGGAGGGATTCGGAGCGGGCAAGTACGGATCGTACTGGGGTGGAGCACTGACCGAGGCGGTGCTTAGCGGTGCTGTCCCTCAGTGGCGACTTGATGATATGGTTATTCGTATCATGGCAGCTTTCTATAAGGTAGGGCGGGACACGAAGCAAGTCGATATCAACTACTCTTCCTGGACGACTGAGACGACGGGATACCGGTACTGGGCTGCTAAACAAGGAAATACCACGGTGAATTACCATGTAGATGTGCAAGCCGACCATGGTGAACTGATCAGGGAGATTGGCGCAAAGGCGGCGGTGTTGCTTAAGAATGTTGGAAGAGCCCTCCCCTTGGTCAAGCCAGAGAGTATCGCTGTCATCGGCGAGGACGCACAGGATAACCCCGACGGGCCTAACGGGTGCGTGGACCGCATCTGCAATAACGGGACGCTTGCGATGGGCTGGGGCTCGGCGACAGCCGAATACCCCTATTTGATCTCGCCGGCAGCTGCACTCGAGAAGCAGGCGAAGGCTGATGGTACGGCATTTACGAACATTAAGGGGAATTTTGACCTCGATGCTGCTAAAGCAGCTGCTAGCAACGCATCTGTTGCGATTGTCTTCGCTAATGCCGATTCAGGAGAGGGATATACGACATTAGACGGTAATTTTGGAGACCGTAATAATCTCACCCTTTGGAAGGGAGGTGATGAGCTGATTAAGGCGGTTTCGTCGGTTAACCCTAACACTGTAGTTGTTATCCATAGTGTTGGCCCGGTCCTAATCGACCACATCAAGATAAATCCCAACGTGAGCGCTATCGTATGGGCCGGGCTTCCAGGTCAGGAATCGGGTAACTCGTTAACAGACGTACTATACGGCAGGGTTAACCCGCAAGGCCGAACCCCTTTTACCTGGGGCAAAGGGGCGAAAGACTGGGGGGTATCGACCCTGTTCAACTCGACATCATCCGAGCCGCAGCAGGACTTTGCAGAAGGCTTGTTCATCGACTACCGGTACTTCGACCGCGAAGAAATCGAGCCGAGCTTCGAGTTCGGCTTCGGTCTGAGTTACACTAACTTCACGTACTCGAACATAACTGCCACTCTCAGCAACTCGGGACTGTATAAGCCTGCATACGGGGCCACGTCCCCGGCGCCTACGTACGGCGAGCTGGATTGGGACCCGAAGAATGCGGTTACCCCCGAGGGCTTTTCCAAGATCCCCAGATTCATTTACCCCTATATCGACAACCCGAACATTGCGAACACGACGGAAAGAATTCCTCCGGGTGGCCATAACGCTTCTGCGCAGCCGATCCTACCGGCAGGCGGTCCGTCGGGGGGGAATCCCGAGTTATACAAAACCCTCTACGTTATCAGCGCGGACATCACCAACAGCGGCGAAGTACCGGGGACCGAGATCCCGCAGCTGGTAAGTGTTTCTCGAATCCCGCACGAAATAACTGCCATATATGTAGGTACCTACCTAAAATAAAGTTCATCCGACTAACACGGCGTGATTGATTGTCCCTAGTATATCTCGCACGGCGGCCCCGCGGACCCAAAGGTCGTGCTGCGCGGCTTCGACGAGGTGTACCTCGGGCCCGGCGAGACGAAGACGGTCGTGTTCAACGCGACGTACCGCGACCTGAGCAGCTGGAGCCCCGAGGAGGAGGACTGGCGTGTTACGTCGTACCCGAAGACAGCGTATGTGGGGGCGAGCTCGAGGGATCTCAGGTTGGAGAAGATATTGCCGCTACCTAGGGCCTAGCTACTTGTTAAGGTCTTGGAGCTCTTGGGGAGCTCTTCCTTCTCTTGGTAAGCCTTTTGTGAAAAAGGAGAGGTAGCCTAGGATTATGATGAATGAATATATGCCGTGATATGCGAGGATATTAAGCGAAGCCCTATCTTCTATTTGGTGTGCGGGCTTGGTGATACTGGGTTAGATACGAATATTATATACGAAGACGTATTGAATCGCCGCTTCAATTTTGTGAAGTTATACTACGCTATATGATAAACGTTAAGTATGCCAAAACCCTTATATCCAATAGTTCGCTATTTCGAGCCTTGTTCCTCCCGGGCGCGGCAATCGTCACCTTTTCTATGCGCGCGTTGTTAAATTCGACGCAGTACTCTTGCTGCGTCTTCCGCTGCCCCACGAAAAAAAGTGCCCGCTGAAGAATTCCGTCCACCAGGGACTGTTCGGCTTGCTGCTATGGTTTTAGCGGCTGCTCTCCGCCGAACGTGTACCTGCCTAGCGGCCATATAGGAGGAGCAACGCAAATTACGCGCGTTTCTGTAGGGACTTACTATGCGAGTATTATGATTAGCAGCGACACATGAGAATTGACAGCAACAAAAATTAGGGGTTCCAAAGGGGAAAGAGAATACACGTACCATATTGATCACGACACCCGCTCTCCAGGAATTTCCAATCCCTCGCAGCGAAAGGCCGCTTCAATGCACTCGCACGCCGACCCATGCAGAATGCACGGAGTGCCGACACGTCGAAGCGTAGCCAAGTCTCCTCCCGCCGCCTTGTAGTTATCGACTATCACATCCCTGTGCCTCATTCTCGGCTCTGGCAGGTACTACACATTGATGTAGTCGGTGGCGTAGGCGAAGTTTGGCAGGGAGATGCTGTATATCGTGACCGTATGCTTTCGTGCCGCTTTACGAAGAGGCTTTCCTACGAACTCGCGTCCCCGACGTACTCGGCGCTCATGTATTCCAACATCTCGTCTAGAAACCTGGGTGTGTTGCAGAAAACGCCCCTAGGCATGCCGTGGTAGGCGATGCTCTTTCCGTGCGAGTGGGACATGCTTGCTTAGGAGCCACACGTTCTAGATGTCGAATGTTATTAAAAGGAGTCGTCGGTTACGTAGGATATGTCTAGACCAAGGTACAAGGTCAGACGCTAGGTATACGAGCATATAAATAGGAGGGTCTAGATCTGTTTAACGGTAAATACGGAATCCAACGGCTGTAAATATATTTTTTTACGTAATTTTCTTTTTTTCGGTATTGTTGAGTCGAAGTAAAGTTCTTCGAAAAGGAGGTCGGTGCTGTTGTTCTACTAAGAGGTAGGTACATACCGTACTGATCATCTTTGATTGCATCTTTACTTCCTGGTTTTATACGAATATTCTCGCTACGGGTTATTCATAGTGCAGTCACCAAAAGGAGTCGTATCTGGATTTTGTATAACACCACCGCGCAGGCTCGAAGGGCGTTTTATAAAATATCTTATATACTAATCTTCTGCTCGACTGGTTTACTACATCGGATCGAGTAAGGATGGTGTGGAAGATAGGTGTCTAGTATGGGGAGGTTTTTGATTCTGCTGGGTAATGTAGGTACGTAAAGTTGAATAGGACATGGTTAGTTTATCGATTTTATTTTTTATTTTTTTCGTATGAAGAATAAAAAAAATTACAAAAAGAAGAGAGAACACTATTATGAAATAGAAAATACTTAACAATATCACGGGCAGTAAAAAAGAATCCTAAAAAGAGTTGCAAAAAAAGCTCGGCCCGGGAATTGAACCCAGTACCTACGAAAAACTACTTTGTAAAAGTCGTACTATCGAGTCACGGGCATACCGGTCTAGCATATGACACCACAGTGCAGTTTTCTCTAGCCTCCAGTCACCCAGGGATGCTTCCTTTTTGCGGGGTCGGCCGAAAGGTTTGCATTTATTACCCCTTATATGTTAAAGTTGGTTGGTGTGTACTTTGGTAGATGTACCTTGCTGCCTTTGAGACGGCGATATTCAATTACTGCACCCATGGAACTCGTGCTAATACCTGTTTACTGGACCTACTGGCCGTGCAGCAAGGACTGGCCATGGCGATATTACCTGGCGTTGGATTCAGATAAAAAATAAAATCATACATGTAAAAGCCCCCAACACATCGCCAACCCCCTATACTGCACTTTGAACGGATTATGTAGATTGTTATTCCGCCCCTTAGCTTTTAAGTGACCATTTAGTTGCATCTAATATTCAAATAGTGGTTTCTTGGCCTCTGCGGTTGATTTAAATAATGGTCACAGTACGCTATGTTGTTTATATCTGGAATCGTGAGTTTCAGCCTCAACTACAGCTCGTCACACCAGAGGACAACGCTCTGATCTCTACTTATTATCAATCGATTTATGTGATGTGATACATCTGGATTAATAATTATGATAGTGGTTCCCTTGAGTTCCAAGTCAACTTTGACATGTTTACTATATCGGAGTTTCGGGAATGGCTTGAATACCTAAATGGGGGTTCAACTTCAAGCAACATTTAGATATGCTGTTCGATAATGACTTCGCTTTCAGAGTCTATAATTGATGTATGTGCGAAAATCATGATCGCACTGTACTGCCCTGCGAAGTGTGTTGCGAGCCTTTGGGGGAGATTGTTCAACCAATCTGATTTTAGATCCCATACTATCTTCTGCTTACACCAAGATTTACATACGCCTTCCTTCACTTACAGAACACTTTTTTTTTTTACCTTGTTTAATTTATCAATGCCTGGAAACCACTGCCACTCGTATAACTAACTATAACCCCTAAAGTTGTGGCCGTACAGCAGACGCAATTAGCTCTATACCTAGGTAGTCAATATCAGATTTCCCGCGTATATATGAACTCTAGAGATGGATGGTTGATCGAAATTCTGATCTCGGGCAGGGGCCCCCGAAATCGACAATACGAAAAGTTTGACCCATTTACACCTCCGCCAGGATCGTACGTGTTAGCGTCTCCATAGCCCCATACAGATTCCGCAAGTAACTTACAAGGGGTTTTATATAGGAAATTCCCTAGCATTTACTTGCTAATCTAGAATCTTCAGTCTTGGCCTGTGCGAAGAAAGACGTCTTGAACTCATAACGTATTTTTATCATAGAAATTACTTTGTAAGTTACTTGAATGATAAAGTATGGAACGGTGGAGACGCTAACACGTACGATCCTGGCGGAGGTGTATGAGGGAATGTGCCTAATGTAGATCGGCGAGACGTGGGTCTAAAAAGTCTATTTTTAGACACGGACCGGTCCGTCATAAGATCTACCCCGACTCTTTAGCGTAATTATGGAATTAACTTCAGATCGACGTCAGGCGAACAGATATCTATGTCACAGGAGCATACCTAGGTATCTAGGTATGTACCTTATGCGAACAAGCCTTATATTGATCCCGTCACAGCATTTAAAACGTCGCGCGGACCAGGATAATGCTTCTAAATTCAATTCAACACCACGAGTCTGCGGCTACGGACTATGGATCCCTTGTTCTTGCGCAAAAAAAATCCACTTTAAATCAATACACTTCTGGAAGTCGAGATATTTTGCGGTAAGACGGCAATGAAGCCCACTTTGAAAAGTGGAGTTTGGCGATAATCGCTTACGATGGCGCGTGGGTTTCTCTAAGAACTGACTTGCTTCTAAATGCAAAGCCCACCGTGCGCCTCGCAATGTAAAACAGACCTGATGTGCATTTCTCCGTCCCCGTCAACAACCTCCCTAGCATCGTCATGCCCTCCTCTATCTTTGGTCTTCCATTCTTCCACAAACCCCGAGATTTCGTCTTCGTCTGCGTATGCCGCTAGTGAATGCATTTACACACCTGCGTACCGCAGTAAAGGACGTTATCGGTACGCAGCGACCCGTCGCCGGTGCAAACGGTGTTGTATCTGCTCGTGCACCACTTCGTCGTGTTGGGTGTGCGGCAGTCGAGTCGATAAACGGTGGGTTCTTCAGCCTCGGAACGACGCCGTGGCTGCAGAAAAGCAGCCGTGGACGCGCTGAGGGCGAGGAAGAGCAGGAAGAGGAAGAGGAAGAAGGTCTAGAGGAGGGGACCGGTTAGCATTTTCTTTTGGATGGCTCTGTATAGGTTAGGTTGGGTAGATATCTGCATGTGGAAGATCGTTCGCTACCTTCATGTTTACAAGTAGCTGATTTCTTCAGAATGAACAGCGATGATGTTCTGTTATTATGAATAGTTGAAATGCAACTTCTATACCGTTTTGCAATGTGAGTTATGATTTCGTTTACGTGGGCAAGCGGGGTGACGTGTTAAGTGCGGTTGTTTAGATATACGTGGGTCTCTTGCAGGTCGTACGGGAGAGGTTTGCTAGATAAATTGTGAAGAGGAAAGATTTAAGAAGCTTACAGGTGCAAGAACTCGGCCAAGTTTAACACCGTAAATTCAGAGGGGAAATAAAAGAGACGAAAGTACCTAGTCCTACATACACACAGGCTTATAAGAAGCCGCGTTGGCTTCACCCGTTAACTTAACACGAACCAAACAAGCCCAGTAAGTTTCAAAGAAAATCCTATCTTAGTTTAATCAACCTAACTTGCGGTAGATCCGCTTCGTTTGGACCTTATAGCAGGCCGCTGCCCACCGCCCCTTCCAGAAGGTTGCGTCTCGGTGCCAGAGTCATCTTCCTCGGCCACCGGATGTAGTTCTGATTCGTCATATTCTATCGTTATCTGTTCCTCATCATCATCGACTTCTGCAGACGGGTCGTAATTTCCTAGATCCATCATGTCTTCAGCTCCCTCTCCGTCTTCGTCGTCTGGTTGAGCTGTCCCCACAGGTACTAAGTTATGATTACGTCGGATAGTATCCGCACGACGGAAAAACGGGCTCTCGTGGGTTAATGGCTTCCCGCTACTCAAGAATCCCATGGGTGTGTGTGTAAAGTCCTGTCCACGCCGGCGAGCAGCCAAGTATTCTTGTGTAAATGTGTAAGGCTTGCTTGTGAGGGTTGGCGCGAAATTCTTTGATTTTGATTGTGCTACGTCTGAGGGGATCTGGGAAATTTCCTGCGATTCTTCAGAGTTTTGAGATGTTACTTCGCTGGACTTTTCCAAGGTAGAAGTTGAATACTGCTCAGTAGTGTCTGTTTCTGAGCTGTCAAACTCATCAATCCCAGACTGAGATAAATCTATGCCAAGCATCCTGCAAATACTGTCGTATTCGGAGAATTCGAAGTAAAGTCTTCCGGCAAAGAAGCCAAGCTCAGTAGTGAGCCATTCCGAAGGTAGCCAGTCCGGAGGTAGAGGTGGCATAGAATAGAACCTTAGTTTATTGAAATGCATCATACGCCGAGTAACTGGGGCCGCATATGTTATAAGATGGGTTGAAACCCGTCGTTTTGTCTTTTCCGCTGCCTGGATGATTTCGAGTAAATGCTCCGCTTCCTCGGGTGTGATGATGACGGCTGCTTCTGGGGAAGTCGCATAAAGAATCCACTGCACAGGGCGCTATTTGAAGAGATTAGCAACTTCGATGAAATACTAAAATAGGGAAGTCCTACCAGGAAGTTGTCATTTGCTCCTTCAAAACCCAATCTCACTGTCCGTTCGAATTCGCTTGAAACGAACAATGGAGAAGAGCTGGCTCCATGGTTTACCTTGTATTTCCTGCCAAGCGCCGTTCTTGAAAGAGCCTTCATGATATGGTTAAAACAATCCGAACCGGCAGGAATCCGGGCTGTTCTAGCGAAAGTCTCTAGGTCCCTGTGTAGTCCAGGGAATTTGAGGGGTGTGTAAGGTAAGGGCTTTTTGACTTGGCGCACTGTCTCCACCTCGATCTCAGTCTCGCGTTCCTGTTCAACTTCTTGTAGGGCCGAAGCATGGACAGCTTGGCCACTGTCCTGGAAATTCTTCTTCTGGAACTCGAGTTCCTTCGCAAATCTTGCAATTTTAGCATTAGATTTCGTGGACGTATTTCCTTTTACCCTAGGTTGGATCCCATAGAGTTGCTGCAAGGTTTGCCGTTCCTTATGCTTGATAGCATCAATGAATGCCGTCCTATCCTCGTCATTAACTAGAAAGTTTGGAAAATCTTCTGCTGCTTGCATTCTGTTGCAAAAGTCCGTTCCTTGTGAATAGAACAGGGGCTGTAACTGCTCAATTCCATCACAGGTATTATTGATGAGCCAGCGGATTCTACTGCTATGTCAGTTCTTGAATATCGCGGGGTACAATCTTGGGGTCTATGATAACCAAAGAAGTCGAACTTACACATCGTATGAATCTACCCGTTGACTTTCTTTCTTGCCGCACAGGTCTCGAATGCTTTGGTTGACTTCCGGGGGTGCAAAGAATATAACAGATTGTGTTGTTCCAAGTTGTCGGAGTCTCATAGCAGCTAAGCAATTGAAAATATTAGTCTTACCATTCCTGTTAACTTGGCGCATTAGTGGGCATACCTTGCACAGTATGGTCTTTTGTCTGGCCTAAGCCAAGGGTGAGAGCAGCGCTAGCCCTTGGACCAAATTTGAGGTCTGTACCCCGCGTGTGGGCCTGTGGAAAGTGAGTATTTGGAGAATAGACCCCAAGAGTGGGTGGGATAACTTGTAACGTACCTCATCTAGATATACAAGTACCTCATTAAGGTTGTCTGCGTAGGGCGAAGCAAGCAAGGGCGTCCTAGTATTTTGCTTTGAAAGGATGAATGGACTATCCCCATCGAAATAAAGTGCGGCGGCTGCTCTTCCATCTATCTTGAGCCAGTTTTCGGCCAGTTCCTTATTGGATTGCTCAAGGATTTGAGCTCCGGAATCGATCAGAATACGGATACCATTATCGAATTTTTTAAGCATCTGTAAGAAAGCGATCTCACTGAGGCGCTTCTGATTCTGGTCAGCCATAACAACGTATCTCCTCGAACGTTGCTGTAAGAGGTACGTGAGGACCTCGGCGTTCGTATGCGATAATGCGGGTAAATCATCTTGTCTGATAGTCAGGGGTAAAAGTGATTTGATATCGTTTGTACCTGAAAAATAGAACCCGTTAGCAGGATCATCACAGAAACACGTTTTATGGAGTCATCTAATAACAGCTGTTGAAATAGTGAAGTCTATGTTACTTACCAGAGAAACCAGTGGTAAGGCCTCGTGACTTGCTTAACGACGTATTCTTGGCTGATTTATCAGACTGCACATTGGAGAATAGAGGAATGTCCCAGCCATTTGATTGCAAGCGCACTCTAAACTGTTTCGCATGCGGCGGGAAAACAAAATTGTTCATGAAATAGTCGATTACAGGCACCTTGAATCGAACGCAATTCCAAATTTGACTCATCTGTTGGGAGTCATCAACGTTGATAGAGTGCCAATCTCTTAAGTAATCTGGAAAGTTCTCATCTTCGGTCCATTTATCATACTCGGAAGCAGGATCGTCGGATTTTAAAACAGCTTCGAGAGCCTGGCGAGCTTGTAATGGATGAATACCGCGATAGTAAAAAGCCAAGGCGGTCAATAGTATGGCAACCTATTTAACATTAGTACTTGAAATTTCATTCATAGGAAGCTTTTCTATATATCGGATGCGAAGCGTAAACTAGCGAAAGTAACTCACATCTACATGTCCAAATTCCGATTGCTCACTTGGAACCCCCTTTGCATGGAAGGGAACTGCAACAGGATCTCTAAAGGGATGTAGGCCGTATTGGACCCCGTATCGTTTCTTGAGTGCCATTATGAGGATACGATGCACGAAGAGTCCTCGAAGTAAATATACTGTTTGTCGGATATGTGGACGATCAGGGCATAAATGGCTAATTCGCTCCAGACTAGATGGGCGAACCTTGCCGCCGGAGAGAAATTCTTTGATGGCTAGGCGATCAGCTGCGTTGAGGGTGTCTATTGGTAAGATACCTCGGGTACCGCGACAGACATCAAATTTTAAGCGCTTGATCATTTCTTCCTCTACATCTGGCCGAAGGAAGAAAACGAACGGAAATCCCACGTGCGAACGTCTCACAACTTCGATCGAGTGAGGAAAGCTAATGGCAAGGTCGTATAAATGCATGTCCGTCAGGGCTAAAATCTGCTCAATTACGAGCCAACGATATGGATGACCATCGACAGACATCTGTGAGCCGGAGGGATATATCAATTGCGTTTTCACTGCTAGCGTATGGTCACTTTCGTCGAGCACGTCCCGAGCACAGGATTGTAGCCACCTTTGTACCCGGATCATCATGCTAGCTTCGGGGATTCGCTGATCTAGAACCCGCTGAAGACCGCTCAGCATGAATGACATCTGGTGTTCTGGGAGGCACAGCATCACCCCACGTTTTCTCTGAATGTCGCGATGCAACCTCTGAAACAGCTTAATGTGATCCTCTTTGGTAGGTGTTTTTCGAGAAAATGGTACGTGACTGATCTCTCTACCTACAAGACCGCCTAGTCGCCCGTGGAGTAGTTGCGCTGTTTGATGTAAAAGTGCTTTAGGTACGGACACTCGCACAAGATTCTTGCCATCGGCGAGTAGCGCTGCGACCATCGGAATGATACAAGATGTCTTGCCCTGCCCCATGTTCAGTTGGAGAACGCTATTTTCTTGTGATTCCGGCGCGATTATTGCTAACGCAACCTTGACTTGAGTTTCGCGGATGAGTAGGTTGGACTCAACCTCCAACAACAGCCAGTCAGGATATTCCTCGACCCGCCAGTTACGATGCCCTAGGTTCAATCTCTCTTCTTCATAACGAGCGTTTTCTTTGGAACGCTGATATGACTGCATTCGCATTTTTCTTTGCAAGTGTGTGATTGATAAGGCAAAGTCAAGAAGTTTTTCCTTCATTCCGCTTCCAAACAGGCGCCTAGCGGTCGTTCGAAGCTGTTCTAGAATGGTGATCGGGGTAACTGCAGGCCATAATTGTCCCTGCTGGAGCCACCAAATTTGCCTACTTGAGTAAGCGTCACTGCGTTGCTCTATAGCTAATTTGATCTCCGCGAGGTGAGCTTTGACACTGTCCTGGAAATACGACAGTGAATATTCGTTATATGAAGGAGGGATCGTCTGCGTGCGAAGAGTATAAAATGAATTCAGGCTTTCTTTCAGGTCCCTGGCATACCTCCGCTGAATGGTAGACTTTGATTTGGAAAATGTTTCGATAATTTGGTCCAGTTCGCCCGAAGCTCCAGGGTTTTGACGAGGACCGTAAGAAGGGGCTTCAAGCTGCATTGTATGCCCTCGAAAAGCATTTGGATAACTTTCAGGGCCACGTCTTATTTTGGAAATGGGCATTTTTATCAAGTCGTTTCCCAGTTCAGGAAGTGCGTAGCCCGGTAGTTGGATGGTGTGCGTCATCTCAGATGGTATGAATTCTGCCCTTTGAAATCTCAGGTCCGAATGTCTCTGGCGCAGAATCATCTGAACCTCTTGAAGATGGTTATAGAATTCATGATTATGGTAGAGCCTCTCCCACTCTGGTTTTAGCCCTTCCAAAGCTACAGGAATGTTCACTAAAGCTATGTTGTCGATATCTGCGCTTGGGGCTAGGGAGGGCCACTTCGAGATGAGATTCTTTCCGAGTTTTTCGCAATCCTCTTTTGCTTTCCGAATATGGGCAGTCTTAGCTTGCCAGAGCTTCCTCTGATCCTTACTACTCGCGAATTCTACTAGAGGCGGATCTTCCGGTGGCGGTACTTGAAAGGGCTCGATGAGCTTGACCAAGATTTCAAGCTGTGGTGTTTGGCGCGGTCGGAAACTGCGGTATTCTGCATGGTCCGGCAGAGCCAATGACTGCAGCCCGTCCCAATATGAAAATGCAATCAGGGTTTTGATAAGTGGTATATTGGCATCCGACCGGAATGATATTATGCCCATGAAAAACATGAGTCTGTACTGATCGGGCATCTTTTTAACCATGCCAACTAATGGGCCCCATTCGCGGCGTATATCGATATTAAGACGCTCCTGTAGTGTTATATTCTCCAGTATCTGGTAATAACCCTTTATATGAAGTGATTGTGATAGAGCCAATGGAAGATTTTCCACTGTAGCCATCGTCATAGGTTTATCGCGGATTATGTTGAGTGCCTCGAGTACATTCGAGTACCGTAAGCTTGTAGCATGAGGATTATGTCGGGCCTCATAAACAGTATCTTCAGGACGATCCAACGGTAACTCATAGTTGGAACGCCTCTCATAAAGTCGCCGACGATGCAGACTACGTAAATTTAAGCCGTGATCACCAGATGAAGGTATTTCCGGCATCTCAGACCCCTGAAGATATTCTGTCTTCTGGGGGTAGAAAGCCGCAAGCCTATTAGACTGTGAAATGATCTGAGAAACAAGGATGCGAAATTCATCCCGTTGAATCATGGTAGGTAACATATCATCCCACGTTTCCTTCTTCATAACATTTAGATCCGTGGGGTAATATTCTCGAACTGGTGAAAGACTTGAAATAGAACGAAGAATACAGATAGTAGGGGCAACTATCAAAGGTGACCATGGCTGAGAGATCCCGGAAGTTAAAATCCCCAGAGCACTTTCAACTCCAGTTAGACCAGTAAGAGGATCCGGAAGGATGAAAGATGTGAATGCATGTATCTCTGCCCTTTTGTATACTAATGCGGGCTCGGCCGCGGACTCTATGCGTCCAAGTGTCTTGTTAATCATGAAGCGGAGGTACACGGCCGTCGACAAATTGTGTAGTTGTACGCATACCTGAACGTGGCAGCCCCTTCTTCTTGCCCTCAGAGATCCTAAAGGGACGAGAACGAAGCGCTCCAGAGGGTCCTTCAAGCTGCGACAAACAAGTTTGCTGTCGAATCCATACCATGTGTCAATGGATTGACAGGGATCTATTTCGGCTTGTAGATGCGAGGATTGTAGTAAGTTGTTACTGTTCACAAACCACTTCAATTGCATGCGGGGCATCTCTACTATCAGCGCGTACTTGCCGCTAGGTTGGTAGATGGTCAAATGCATTGCATGCTCAAACCATGCGAATGTCTTTGACACGCGAATGAAGATAGGACTGTAGGGATCTACCAATGTTTCTTTAAATCTCTTGGGTGTAAATCTCGTGCATATGGAAGTCGAAATATCCAATTTCCAATTGTGTTTGTGCTCACGCCAAAAGTTCTTTGACTTTGGTCGGATTTCGAGGATGCCGGAGACAAGGTCACTAGCATTAGTTAGTCCTAAGGCCAAAGCGCACTGAGGAATACAAGGTAGTTCGCAACTCACAGCCAATGAATGCAATTATCAATTAGGTGTGCGGGAAGGTCAAAAGAAGTTCCGTTTCGAAATACTTTTCTTGGGATGAGTTCTAGGACCTGCGAGCCTTTAATGGCGCGGATGATGGTGTCTCGTCCATCATAACCTATGTGAGTATGGTATCCTTCTTTTTTAAAGGCCAACACTGAATTTTGCCGTGCATTAGCTACCTATATAAGGGCAATAAGATGTCCAAGAGCGCCTACCGTGTGTCATTCCAGGACTAGATGATGGAAACTTCATGAGGCTAGTCTGACTTCCAAATAACTCCTCTAGGATAATTGTGCTCTCCGGGTCTGTTGGGAGTCTCTGTAGTCCATTATCGTTAACAGGGCGTATATAAAGTTCATTTATGTCATAGGCACTTACACCAAGTGGTTGACCGTTTACTAGTAAAATACCAAAAAAGTAGTTATAACTAGCCATTTCAACTCCATCGTAGCCAACTAGTTCAACCTGGATCCAGTTGTCAGCTTCGAAGGTGACGTTATATATGTATTTTGACTCTGCCGCGGGCCAAAGAACCTGCAATGTAGTAAGAAGAGCACTTTGTCCGTGTGCCTCGATAGACAGGCGTATTTGATCTTTGAGATCGTACATCATTCGTAAATCTCTAACGAAGGAGTTCTGAACTATTTGTCCAAGGGAGGAAATATCTTCTGGAATATTGTCATAGACAGTTGAGCTGCATTCTAAGAATGTTGAAAGTTCATCCTCGTCGAGGCTTCCAGTCTCTGTCATTTGGAGAGAAGCAAACGTCCTCTTGCAGAGGAGAGCAGCCCAGAGCAAATATGACTGACAATTCTGCGCATTACTAAGGTTACTTGCACAATACATTTCCTTGCGTAACATCCTGATCCATTGGAAGGTAATTTGCCTCGCCTCGAGGAGGAGATCTTGTGCCGTTTTCGCCAAGTGATTCGTATCTATGAAAGGTGCCGTGAACGCGATTATTCTCAACGCTAAAATAATGACAATTTCCATAAGATGGGTTTCACGCCAATTCGTAGCAATGGCTTCTAACCTCGTTTGGAGCTGCTGGATTAATTTTTCGCAGAACGAGGCATCCCGAAATATATAGTGTATAGCTCCCAGAATTGCTTCACCCTCTTCTGAAGGGCCAATCTGGTGTGCTAGGTGGTCAAACAAAAGAACTGTCGTTTCCGTAGAAAGATTGAGGTTCGAAGACCCGAGCTCTGTTAGGAGGGACAACCACCGTCGACGTTTTCCGGATAAGAGGAATTGGAAGGCCATATGTTCGTGAATGCTAAGGCTTGAAGGGCAAGATGAATGGGAAGCAGCGATTTCATAAGAGGTTGGCCCATTACCATAGGAATTAAAACTCTGTGATTGCAGAAGTGATGAAAACGGCGAACCTTTGGGTAACGTCAATTTGCAATGGTGCTCGAACGTTGGATGAATTTCCCTTCTACCCGGCCAAGAACCAGTGGCCGTGTCAAAGTATGCGAATTTAAGGCCGTTTGGAAGGCAGACTTGATCAAGTTCAACTGGAAACCTCTTCTGTTCTCTGTAATGCGTCATGAGGACTAGGTACTTTGTATCAGTAGACGTTACTTTGTTGAAAGAGGTATAAGGTGACTTACAGGACTTGGTTGTCGATGCAAGCGTTATATGCCCTGGAACCTTTTCGTAGAGCTGTAACCCCGAATAGTCTTGTAGACATAGCTTTGGCTTGACTCCTGGCTCCTGTGTTTGTCTTGCGATGCGATACAAGATCGCCCAAGTGGCGTCGCGATATTGCGCAAGAGCTTCGGGACACCTAAGCTCAAAAATCACAACCTTTGCCATGACGGGATTTTCGGGTAATAGTGATTCAAAGGCTTTTATAACCATACGAGATCTACTCTTTTCGAGCTGACATTTTCGGCAGGAAGACAAGTCATGCACTAACTGTAAACCAGCTAGTGGTTGAACATAGATGCAAGTTGAAGACTCGTATTCCCTTGTCAGTTGCTCATATTCAGCACTTAACTCCTTCCATTCCTTTTCTTTCTCCTCTTTCATTTTTAAGGAGGCTAATTGTATCTCGGCGAGCAGATTTCCGAGCGCAGCGGAACCTGGAGATTCGTTAAAGTACCTCTCTGCGAAGCACCCCTTGCACGGGTCGTCAAATAAGGTAGCCCGTGTTTTGGATTGAGAGATGCGATCCTGTATATATGACTCCACCTTTCTTGCCCGAGCCATGTCGGATAGAAGGGGGAATCGAAGCACTTCAATCAACCGCGAAGTAAAGGCCGGGTGAAAGTCGTTCAAAAGAGGAAACATGGAACAGGCCACTTTATCAAGTGACATCCATGTCTCCAATAACGTGAGAAGCATGATACTCTTCTGCTCCACATTGTTTTCGTAGCAACCGCCAATTTGATCGATATAGTCAAGAATGTGTTTATGCAGTTGTCGAACTTGGGTCGAAAGGCTGAGTGACGATGTAGATATATTAGTAGAAACAACATGGAGTTGCTCTTCTTTACTAAAGAGAGCGAAAAGTCTGCTTCCAAAAGCTTGAATGTGTACTTTAGGCTGTTGCGGCGTTGTTCGAGTTGGAGGCGCCATACGTGGAACAGCATCTTGAAATCTTTTCCGAGCGTTAGTCAAATACGAACGACTTGCGACTAGACTCAGGCGCTGCGCCTGTCGAGGTGCTTTCCGGGGTAGTGGCAGGATGGGCCTGATCATATTTAGCTTTTCGTGTTCCCAAGCCGTATTGATCCTTGTTGTTGTAGCACCAATTATTCTCTTAAACCATGGAGTCAGCGCCCTATTCAATAAAAAATATGATTCTTGGACGGCTTGAGGTTGCTCAAGGCTGTCTCGGTCGAGCTTGAAGAGACGGCGACAAAGCTTAGTCTTGAGAAAGGCTTGGTCTTCCAGGGGAATAGTATCTCTGGTGTCGTTAAGTACCATGCTGTGAATTATACACATCATGAACTTAAAATGAATTCTCCCGTGGGCTCCGCCAAGTACCATGGCTAAGTAGCGCGAGATGCCCACTCGAAGAACAAGCCAGTACGGCAGTCTTCGCCAAGGCACGCTACTGAACCAGCAAACATCGTCTCTGACCCTTTTTCGAAGAAGAGTAGGAGAGATGCGTCTTCCGTTCGCCTCAAGGATTGCAGTGAGGAGCGATGTGATCAAGGCTGGATCTGGAGTTCCCCGTTCTTCTGCTACTGCGCGTCCCGCTTTTATACCGTATTCAGAGAACTTCTGGGTATGTTCCACTGAAGCCTGTTCAAGGAAGCCCGAGAGGCTCTCAATGAATGCATCGTTATAAAATACCGAGGAGGGTACCAACACGGCAGTGCCAGGGAATGTCCACGAGAGAGTTTGAGATGCTAGAACGGGTTCGCGTCGGGGAGACGCCTCGAATGCTTCGAAGAGAATGTTGCCATGGAATTCAGGGCTACAAAAACTTTATAAGTATAGAATACAACTACTTCCAGGTAGGTAATCTTGGTGGAAGGGGTAGTGAGAGTGAACTTACTTGACAGGTTTATAGACAAGAAGTCCTGCATTTTGAGCGCCCAGGTGCAGTATAACAAGGTCAGAATCCCGAAGCTGTCTTAGACGTGAGGCAAGTTGGGTTCTTTCCAACTTTCCACCAATATTAATTGTTTTACATGAGAGGAGTGATCGCCTGATTGAATCCCAGGTTTGCCAAAGGGGGCCTTCCATAACATTCTGCATAAGCTTAATGGCAATGACAAGACGATCTAGAATCGCACGTTCGACGTCCTCTGTATTGGATGCCGAACTTTGAGGTAGCTTCGCAGGTAGCGCAATATGATGGAACAAGGCTTTCAGAACCCCAGCTGGGGTTTGGATCTCGTTGACATCCATCGCGGAAGATCTTGAAGTATCGACGTCAAGCCGTGTACCAAAGACAGGAAGGATAATAGCTATGGAAACTCGATGCAAAAAAATCACATTTGAAATTTATTTAAGCCGTGAATGAATTAAGAATGTTGTTTCGATAGCGGGTAGTTATTTTCGTCAACCGGATAGGCGTGAAAATAAATATTGGATATTGGAAGTGTATCGAGGTTGTCTTCACGCCCAACTAAAATACGTTGGGAGAAAACATGGAGAAGAGGACATGGAGAAGAGGACATGAAATCAATAACAGGCTACATTTCGGCAGCGCGTTTGACGTGTGAAATAAGGTTGGTACCTCTCAAACGCAAGCGTGATGCACCGGAGTGAAAGTGAGAATTGAGTTGGCTCTGTTAGTTGATAGATCATTTAGTGGAACCACATGGCGCCTAATCAAATTCAATCATAGCGAATCAATTTCCTTGGCGCTGCTTGTTTGGGCCAAGATGGAAATAGGCAGCCGTCACAAGGCTCTGCAGCTGAAATGCTTGAAAACCTAACGTTTCCATCCCAAGAAGGTGCTACTTACATGTATTGTACCTAACGTAGGTACCCAGTACCTACCTAGGGTACTTAGTTAGACCTTCCAAGATGTACCTAACCAGAGGTTACCTAATGCTGTTGTTGCTAATGGTGGCCGAGGCTAGAGCTTTAGAACCGTCAGCAGCTATCTGATAAGCGAGTACAGACTCGAAGTAAAGTACCTAGGTACTGCTTTGTGTTCGGAATCTTTCTATTTTCAATTGATCAACAGGCATTACTTATCAATAGGTAATATACAAGGTTCTCCCACCCGCGCTGGGACAATATTTTAAATTCGCATCAAAATAAGTATATCTAGCCTAAATATATATGAAGATAGCCAATATATCTACGATGTGTTGGATAAATCTTTGCTTTGATAGGTAGAAGGTACGTCGTATAAGTGGTACTTTACTATATCAAAGGGTAGGTACATGCATTTAAGCCCGGTGTGATATGTGATAGGGTATAAATACCTAACATTAGGTAGGTAGTCTGTTTGTTGGTGATGTCGGGTTGGCGCATTGCAAAATTTCATAGGATAAGAGAAGAGATAAAGACTGGAAATCAGGCGAGATAAAAAAACCTGCGGTCGTAGAAACGGCAAGCTGAATATAATATATGACAGGTAGCTTGATCCGCCTCAGGTAAACAAGTCCCCTCCGGTTTGCCTTATTCTCATTTGCAGAGCAGCAGGCAGAGAAAGTATAGAAGTAGCCAATTAAGTCAACGAAACTTTCTTCTCAGGTACCTACCTGATAACAGGCCTATAATTTACCTAGGTAGGTACCTAGGTACCTGCTGCTTGTTCGCGTCTGCGCAATTTTCCCTCCAAACGATCGAGGGATGAGCGTTAGCGCGAGGTTCAAGGCTCTGTACCCTTGTTGCTAAAGAAGGTAAAGCAATCAATGCTGAACAATATAAATATAAGAAATCAGGACAAAACTGAACTTTAAAGAAGGGGTAACAAGCTTAAATTGTGAAGATTTACTTTTCTTAGGTAGGCTATTCACGCCTCTGGCTCTTATCGGCTCCAGGAAATTTAAATGAGAACTTATCCTTACGTCTAGGTATTTATGATGAATCTCAATGGTTGTTCATCTTGGGAGTTTATATCGCATATTGAAGCCTACGTCTTATCTATACGACACTCAAACTACGGAGGAGAATAATAGGAACTAAAAGCCAGTCCTTAACATAAGCTATACTCTCATGGACTCATAATTTACCGCCTAGACGTGTGGTACCCTTTTTAATCAGTTATGTCTAGGATCGAACGATTTATATAATACGAATTAGATAATGTACCTAACTAAGGAGCAATGACATGTCGCCATTGCGGAGCCACCGAATGTATATATATGGCTGAAGGACTATCTCTCTCAGGAGATTGTCACGGTGTACATCGATTCTGTCACGTAGGATACATGGTTCAATGTCCATTAGGTAGGATACCTAACTTGTTGCTAATATAAATAGATCATCTTACCGTATTATCTTGGTACGGCAGAGCTTTCCGATTCTCTTCTCTTAGCTAGGCCCTGGAACGTGATAGATTCGTACAAGTAAATGTCTCGTACGGATCAACTTTGGCGTGGATACGCAGATTCGTAGATTTGTTTATAGGATCTATAAAATGCTTGAATCCGCCCCGAGTATATTCGTCTGTAAATCCGAAAATGGCATCGGAAAACGCCGGGGTGCTTTCCGGTTGTCAAGTAGCTTGACGGCGTAGTAGTATAGGAGAAAAAAACCCTGCTTGCTTGGATTTGCTATTATGCATATCCATCATCTTCTAATTATGTACCTGACGTATTGTTAATACTGTCTCAATTTAGTCTTTACAGCCTCAAATTCTCATATGAGGAGCTAGAACTTAGCACATCTTAGCATATAACAACTTACTCGTGATACGGTGTGATGTTGGTAGAGAAAGCGAAAAGCGCCACCAACCCTGAAAGCGGCTATTCTCGTGTGGCTACAGCCAATCATTTTCTCAAATATGTCAACTCGGTTTATGTGAGGGGGGGAAAAATAATCCCACGTTTTTTACGAGTTCTACGTAAGCCGTGTTCATCATAGCCAGCGCTGCGGCTCAGCCGTGCCACATGTATCCTGCTAAGACATGATGATCTGATAGCGAGATTAACTCACCCGTCACATCGCATTAAAAACAGTCTTTCCACTCTATAGACTCGTTTACTTTATGTATTATGACGTACTGGTGGCCGAACGCGCGGATAAAGTGTAATTTTCCGCATCGATGGTCACAATGGAGCCCGGACAGTTTTTTTCGAGTTCCGGCTGGCGCTGACCGGGATCCATCCATGCATGGGCAGTTGGGGGCCATTGATTCATAGGGCTGAAGTAGATCCACTTATGTACCTAGGTACCTATGCAGCTATGTAAGACCCAGTACACTTCTGAAAGGCGAGATATTTTGCGGTAAGACGGCATATAAAGCCCACTTTGAAAGGTGGAGTTTAGCGATAATCGCTTACGATGGACCCCCTTGTAAGAAGGCGGGGGCGGAGATCAGGGGCATTGGGTGATCCGAGATTCGGAAACCAGGGGTTAAATACGATAACCGCTAAGACTTCAGTTTAAAGTTCTTACCTAAAGCGATTCGATGTTATAATTATCCCAATAACAGGTACTTAGGTAGGTACCTGTCTTGAGTCCAACATTCCTCATCTATCAAAATACATGTAACTAGGTACCTAATTGTAGCATGAAAAAAATTGACAAAACGTTTATTGCTGTCTTAGGTACCTAAGGTAGGTACTCAAGCTATCTATCACAAATAATGACAAGCACTACGTCCCCTCCATGCTAATATAGAATGATTCTTGTGCTCCATAACTCCTATCTTCCGTCATAACCACAGTAAGTATTAGCCCATAAAATAACCAAGTGCTATGCTTCAACTTCAAACTAGCATAATATTCTTAGATGTGATGTAGATCGCCTTAACCGGGAATTTGGCTTTGATAGCATCGACAACGTGATCATTCGCAACGTCCATAACGGGTAGTCTGCTGCTTGATGACCGACTCGCAAATCGAATCGCAGTGGTAGGGAAGCTTATGTGCCGCCCATCGCTGGAGTTTATATTTTCTTCTGGGACGTTGATTCTCTGCCTCATCTTCCCAGACCTCAGATCAACTTCAGCAATGAACTTTTCTATGGTCCTTTCCCCACTCCTTCTCCCCTGTGCAAGCTCGAAGTTGGTGACTGTTCTGGACTTGAGGTCGACCCAAATAGCCCCTCCGGTAACATAAACGTAGAGGTAGCTACAAGATGTATCTAGCTCTATGCAATGTGGTCCTGCGTAAGGGCTGATATCGATCGAGGCAGTAATGTCGCCGGTTGAGATATCAAAAATGTGGATTTCGCTAAAGAATTCGATAGGTGCAAAGTTGTTACCCTGTCGATGCCGCTGACTGATGTATACTTTGGGGATGAATATTAGTACTTATTTGGTCACATTTATGATTCCGTAAATTCTAGAATTGGCCGAGGGCAGCGAAGGGGTAAAATTAAATTTACCACTTACGAAGATTTCGAGTCCAATCGTGGACTATTTCCTGGGGCTCCGCTAAAATATCATCAAGAATGTAAACTCGATACGAAACTGCAATGTCTGGAAAGGTGCATGGTTGGACCTCCGAGCGACTCATTTTAGAATTAGTCTTGGGATGCGACAAGACTTTTCTAGCTTTATTGTTTGCGTCGGAGAAACCTCGAGGGCGGTTTGAATAAGGAGGTGCTTGGACGACTCGGATGCCTTGTTAAACATCTTGCAGCAGTGCCATTTTGGCGGGCGTGTTTGAGCAACTTATAAGACTCAGAATTTGTTCCTCTAGAAGGCCTCCAGCATGCCTGTCCTCGTGTTGGTCAGAGGAGGAGTTTTCTGGAGAAAATGATGAGCCACTCCATTGACTTCGCAGAGACAATTTTCTTTCACCTTCGTTCACACCACCAAAGACTGAGAGAAGAATATGAAGGAATCCACCTGCTACGCCATCTGGAGTTCCTATCATAGGACATCCCGGCCGAAGTTAAGCATTGCGGCTAAGGCGTATTATCCTGCTTCCTGCCACGTGCCTAGCCGCCATTTTCCAGAACACCGGTAAGGGCTTCTCACCCTGGTGATCATGGCTCTTGGAACTAGGTAGTTGGGTACCAGCCTCATGCTACTAAGCCCGCCAATCATTACCCTGCAAGTTTATGCACCTCGTAATTGGTAACCAATCAAAACATCCTTAGAACGAACGCTGCCTCAAAACGGGAACAAAGTCGTCGAGTGGGCTGGTAGGATTCGGACGGGTTTAAAACAGGATCCGTATTAACACCATTTAAAGCATAGAAACACGGAGTTGGGAACTTAGGTTTAAAAATCCCACCTCGTTAGAAGGGGCCGTTGACAAATACCTTGGAAAAGCCATCAGCCCCATTGTTTACCTTGTACGAACAACATGAAAATAAAATAGATTAGGTAGATAGATTACGTTGGATCCGGAGTAAAATAATCTAAAATATTACGGATATTTAATTGCTTGTCACCTTTTTTCTGGTTTAACGTTAAGACTTTTGAATGTATGCACTTGTGTACCTAGGTACCTAGATATAGTTAAGATATTTCGCCTCGCTCAAATATATAGCGGTTAAGTGTTGAGTATACGACTTTCCTCAGATGATCATTCCTCATAGGCGGGAGAAGAAGCCGATATGGTTCACAATCGTAGTTCATACCTTAGGTACCTAAGGTACCTTAACCGTACCTGACCTAACCTACCACCTCTGACACACCAAGGAATGTGATACTACCTAATCTAGGAAGTATTTTTGGGAACATATTTCCACGTCTGTAGTAACGAAGCTTCGTAAGCCTTTATACCAAGTAATATTTTATACATAGGTACATACCTCCTACTATTCTTCCAATGATGAGGATCCACATAACAGGTAGATGATTGTTGTCTTAGATAAAGTATAAGGTAGAAAGCTCTGAGTAGAGAGGTCTTTAAGTGCCTACCCATTATTAACCTATATAGGGGCGGTAAATATGTTACATACCTCATCTAGACTAGGTACATGTAAATGATATAGTGCTTCTTATCCTAGGATTTTATATTAAGATTTCAAATGATGAGGTGCCATGCAGGTCCCTAAGGCGAGCTATCTAGAAGTCATCTATTCGTTGGATGCCCAACACAAGATAAAGCACTTACGATATACACTAGGACATTCGGTACCTAATGGATTGCATGGTTTGTGCACCCAGGTACGTCGTCACATGGGTAGGTACCTATTTAAGCCTACACCAGTGTGGAAATCTTAACCTTGAGGCATATAATGCGTGCTTGCCTTACGTTTTCAAGTTGAGATAGATCAGGTAGGGGCAGGCAGCTCAAAAACAAGGCAGGTACGCGATATAAACAAACCCATGCCTTCCTATACTTAGGTACCTATAGGTGTAGGTACCTAACCTAAAGGACCCAGTTTGTTGCCTGCTACCTCTTGACCAACTCCATTTCCGTCCGGAATTTTTCGATTGCCATAATATCTAAATCAACTCCTCGAGGCGCTCGTCCGCTTTCTGGACTTTCTTTAATCTTTATTTCAATCGCCGCCCTGCCCTTTGTCTCTATTTCTACTTATCCATTATTGTCTTCCAGGTACTTGAGGCATATTCTATATGCAATCCGGAGTACGCTACTTCATTACTTCTCATTTAACACCCAAGCATTCACCAACAACCTTCCGATGATTTTCATCTCGATTCACATGAACGTCTTGATGGTGAACTAGACGATTCGACATGGCGCCTTCTAAAGAGTAAGTCCTATCATCCGGAAGAGTCGACCTTCATTCTTTCCTAATGACAAACTGGATTCTAACTTGCTGAAGGCGGCATTTGGGGCAGTGCCGCTTTATTAACCACCCAGGCGGCTGCAAACAGGGTGCTTTCTGTAAATTCTCACACAATACACAAGGCTCTCCGAGTATCGAAAAACCAACGACATCGACTGAAGCCAACCGGTCGACCACTAAAGATGTAAGCAATGAAGGCTATTTCTACAAGTGGAAGAGAATGGCCAAGAAAGGTTCTGGGAATCAACCGTTATCCTTAGGCTTCAAATTGCCTCAATACTTTCAGATGGCCCGCGACCTAGTCCGATGTGACCTCGATGTTCTTCAAAAGACGGTAACTGAACTTGCGACGGACTCGGGAGCCTTAGCAGTGCGCGAGATGATTGACGAACGTATCCCACTTTGCGATACCGATATCAAACGCATAACCCTTTGGCGTACTTGCATTCTGCCATTCTTTGAAATACTCACCGAGCCACGGGTGAGCCGTTCGGTTATCTTGGAAGTTTACACCGGGACAATCTATAATGTTATTTTTGGTCCCAACGGGTTTCGAATGGAAATTCTCTTCAACTTTTTGGTCGAACTGGCCTTAAAATGGGAGTCACCTCTCACCCAAGACGATGACAAATCCAAAGCTCAGTTCCTAGAGCTTGAGTGTGCAATCTTCGCTAAGATGATTAGCTATAACTCTCAAGCTCTCATCAGCGAGAAAGTCCCACCAATTCTTAGTCGAATACTAGAACTCGTAAATGATGTTGATCAGAGCGAGCATAACTTTTGGACCTTACAAGCGAGACATTACCTTGAGTATATTGAGCGCCGTATCGGCGTTATCAAAGAACTCTCCCAAGATGATGTCCACAAACCCCAAATACTTAGTCATACGAAGTTCGAATTGAGTCGTGACCTTCCTGGAAGCTTATCTACTGAAGGCCCACGTCATGACAATGACCATGAGGACATAACTAAGATCCGGATCCTACCAACCTTGTCAGAGATCATGTCCACTCGAGCAGATTACAGGCCACCCCAAGACCCTTCACAGCTACACTTACCAGGAATTCAAGGGTTGATTGATCGTCATTTTCGACTGCTCCGAGAAGATATGGTTGGGCAGTTGAAAGATTGTATTGCTGAAGAGTTGTGCATTCTTGACCATCCTGAGAGCAAAGCTACTGCCAATTCACAAAATCATATTCGGACGAACTCCTACAATATCGCAGAGATCATGAATATCAAATGCACCCGCCGTTGTGAATTGGAATTCCATTTAAAAATTGACCAGCCTTCTGCTGCAGGCAATTTGAGTGCTGAAGCTCGAGCAGATTGGTGGAACCTATCAAAGCGCTTGGAAATAGGCGCTCTTGTGTGTCTCCTGGAGGAGAATACTGTAGTCTTTTGTGTTGTAGCTGAATCTACATCGAGGCCTGATCCATCTCGCCAACGTATACCAAAGGAAGACAAGGATGGAAATGCCGTAAAAAAGAATCTGTACAGCAATAAGGATTTCGCATACGTGAATCTCAATTTAGCAGAACCGAACGAGATGGATTTAAAGATTATGTTATCTGCAACGCAGTCACATGAACCCGCCAGGAGATCATTGGTTGAGTTCCCTGGCATCTTGTTGCCCTCCTTCAAGCCTACTCTATCAGCCCTCCAACAAATATTTCAGACTTTGGATCTTCCATTCGCCGAGCTCCTCGCGCCAAGTTCTGATGGGCCCACAGAACTTAACATTCCACCTCCCTTATATGCGTCGAAACCTGGGTTTTATTTTAACTTGGGCTGCCTTACATATGACGGAAATGAACTGAAGTTCTCAACGAAGGATACGGTGGATTCAGAGGAACTTTGCAGCAGATCAAGCCTCGACGAAGGCCAAGCTACTGCCATTCTGAACACCTTAAAAAGAAGCCTAGCACTTATTCAAGGACCTCCAGGTACAGGAAAAAGTTATACTGGCGAGGTAAGTCAATACATTTCCCTTAACAACATCTGGATTCGATCTAAAAATAGCTTAAAAACGGAAACTTGGAAAGTATATCTAGGTCAATTAGCTAATTCATTCAAAGGCAATTATCAAGGCCCTTCTAGCGAACAAAGAACAGGCTAGCATAGGACCAATCCTCTGTGTTTGTTACACCAACCATGCATTGGACCAACTTCTTGAGCATCTTGTTCACAGAGGAATAAAACAAGTTATCCGTATTGGTTCAAGATCCAAATCATCAGTCCTTACAAACCTAAATCTACGTAATGTAGGAAAGGATATGGAACGTACAAAATCGGAGAGGAATGCTTCATGGAAGTCGGGTTCAGCCTTAAAAGAAGTCGGAGACGAAATGAAAGCTTTTTTAACCAAACTCAAAGCGTCGGCAATTCATAGCAAGGTCAAGGAATATCTCAAGGCAAACGAAATACCGTTTTATAACGCGATATTTGGTATAGAAGAGGACGACTGGACCAAAGTTGCCAACAAGGAGGACCTAGCCTACTTCATGGACTGGGTTAATAAAGGTTCCGTATCGAAAGAACCAGTTGGAGATATTGATGCACTGAAACAGAAAGATCCAACACTTTTGAGTCAACAGGAAAGATTTGCTCTTTGCACTGCGTGGGGCTCTGAAGTAGCTACCAACATACAAGATGAATTTGTCTCTCTTCACGATGAATATCAAGAGGCTAAGATAAAGCATGATACCGTGTCCCGTGAGGTTGACCTTCGTGTTTTACAAGAAGCTGATATAATCGGTGTTACGACTACTGGCCTAGCCAGAAACTTGGACATTCTTCGAAAGCTTGATAGTAAAGTGCTACTTTGCGAGGAAGCCGGTGAAGTCCTAGAGAGTCATATTCTCACGGCGTTGCTTCCCTCTGTGGAGCACGCTATTCTTATTGGGGATCATCTTCAACTCCGTCCTAAAATTTCGGATTATGAGCTTTCCATTGCAAATCCTCGTGGTCAGCAATATTCACTAGATGTGTCACTTTTTGAGAGACTCGTCCAACCGATCCGACCAACAGACTTGAAACTACCATTCGATATGCTCGAAATACAACGGAGGATGCATCCGTCAATATCTAGTTTGATAAAAAACACCATATATGATACTCTTAAAGACGCCGAGAAAGTCAACGATTATCCCGAAGTAGTCGGCATGGGGAAACGATTGTTTTGGTTCGATCATGAGAAACCTGAAGCACGATCGGATCCCAACTTTCCTACGAGTACTTCTCGGACAAACGATTTTGAGATCGAAATGGTTTCCGCCCTCGCCTCTCATCTTGTCCGCCAAGGCGCGTACGGGCGTGATGATATTGCTATTTTAACGCCCTATCTCGGACAATTGCACAAGCTAAGAAAGAGGTTGCAGGGCTCATTCGAACTTGTGGTTGAGGCTCGGGACCTTGAAAGTCTTGAGAAAGAAGGTTTGGACATCTCATTAGAGGTACATAAAGAACCGTTGGGGAAATATATACGGCTAGCGACGATTGATAACTTCCAGGGCGAAGAAGCGAAAATTGTCATCATTTCCCTAGTGCGAAGTAATTTGGAACGGCAATGCGGGTTTTTGAAAACTTCAAACAGGATAAATGTACTCCTTTCAAGAGCACAACATGGGATGTATATTGTTGGGAACTCTAGCACCTACGGCGAGGTTGAAATGTGGGCAAAGGTCATTTCCATGCTAAGCGAAACTCAAAGTATCGGGAACAAGCTACCCCTTCAATGCCCGAGACACAAGGATACACCCATTGAAATATCAGGACCCGATGATTTCGTACGCCTATCGCCAGAAGCTGGATGCAATCTTCAATGCTTAGCAGAACTTGACTGTGGTCATCTCTGCCGGAGTAAATGTCACGCAGATCTCCTACATAAAGCAGTGAAATGCCTGGAACCCTGCCCTAGGCTAAAGCCCTGTGGTCATGGCTGTCCTAGACTCTGCGGAGACGATTGTGAGGAGATATGTTCCACTGTACTTGAGGGAAAAAGCATTTTCCTTCCTTGTAGTCATATCTTAACATCGCCTCGATGCTGGCAAGTTCAGAACCTGCATGAAGTTCGATGTCTCACTCGCGTGGAGAAGATTGTCCCGGTTTGCAACCATAATGTTAATGTTGCCTGTTATGAAGATGTAACTGATGATAGTTTTGTTTGTCCAGCACGATGTGGCCAGCCTCTCCCATGTGGACACACCTGTCAAGACGCTTGCAGATTTTGCAGCACTCGTGGCGGGGCGCATCCACCATGCGCATCGATATGTGGTCGGAGCTACAGTAACTGTAAGCACTCATGCGGAAATCAATGTCATCCGGATAAAAAGTGTGTCCCTTGCGTTATGCCCTGCGATAAAGGGTGTGCCCACACGGCATGCACTCATCTATGCTCAGAGCCTTGCACTCTCTGCACTTTGACATGCTCATCAGCCTGCGTGCACAGTCAATGTTCTATGCCGTAAGTTCGCCGCTACATGTGGTCGGTGATATATTTACTAACTATCTTGATAGCTGTTCTGCACCATGCAACTGGATTCCTTGTTCAAAGCGCTGTGAACAGCAACTACCTTGCGGACATCAATGTAGGTAACAAGTTCCTAATGTATCCTTTATATGATACTCGCGAAGGCTAACTTTGGTATCTAGGTCCGTCTGTTTGTGGTGAGACCTGCCCAGACGTGAAATACTGTCAAATTTGTGCATCTGAAGAAATCAAAACCGCCGTGGTCGATATATATCCAGCAGCTGAACTCCGTGAATATCGTAAGGTTGACCTAGCGATAGAACCGTGCCTTTTTCTGGACTGCGGACACGTATTTGCTATATCAGGTATGGATATATTTATGGGAATGGCCCAATATCCCGATAATACTAGTCGTGATCTTATTGATATCCATGATTCTGTTGGGCCTTTAGCAGGTACTACCAGATCCTGTCCACAGTGCAGAGGCAGTTTGAGAAGTATCTCAAGGTACGGGACGGTCGTTCGTCAGATGATATTGGCTGAGTCAACTAAAAAACTCGTTATTTGGTCACACACGAAGGCATTGGAACTCGAGCGACAGCTTATTGATGAACAAGAGAAACTTGCCAGATTTGAGAGATCTGACCGCCTTCAGGAGTCAGTTAGCAGAGCAAGCAACGGATTCTATGTCAGTGGAAATCCCATTGACCAATTACTTGCTATCGATGATTGGGTTGGCCAGGACAGATACAAGACAATTGTTCACCTTTATTTTACTATTTTCGAACACCTGGGCCGCGTTACTGCTCTGGAGCAGTCTTACTTTAAGGTGTATGATCTCGTGCGACGCACTAATCAGAATGAAGGTTCTATGAATAAGCCGGACCTGGATATCCGCACACGCGCCCAACTCACAGCTAGAATTGTCCTATTTCGGTGTTACCTGTTAGTGATGAGCGACTTTGTCTATTTGAGAAACTCGACTGAATGCCGCACATCCGTAAACTTCAACCTCGGCAAAGCAATCGACGAATGCAAGGGGCTAGTTAAGCTAGCACAGGAGGCAAAATATGTTCGACAAGAGGCCGAAGGCCATATCCTTTACTCGAAACTAATTGCAATAGCTCGTCGTGCGAACAATACGGTGAAGTCTGACTATACGGGCGGAGATGAACATAGTATCGAAAAGGCCCGCAGCCATCTTTCCAAGGCAAGGGCTCTTATTCTTGACTTGCCATCGGCTGCACATCTCCGAGGTGAGATTCAAGCTATAAGAGAAATGGTAGTTGGCGGAGCTTTCTTTCGCGATGTTGCAGTGGAAGAGAAGCGTGTGATCTGGAAGGCAATGGCTGAGGAAGTAAAGGAAAATGGTCACTGGTATGTATGCGTCTGGGGCCACCCGTTTACGCTGCTCGATAACGAGTTGTTGGTCGAACCTATCAAGTGCACAGAATGTGGTGCGTACGCCAAGAAATTTGAGAAATGTCCGGGATATGCCTAATAAGAAAACAACAAAGACACGTTCAGTGGCATGGCGGTGGTGACCTTGAACTTGGTACACTGAGCAGTGTACTGGTAGACGTCAAACATGTTTCTGAGGTTTAGTTATTTTACGACGCCTAAGTGTATCGATACCATCCTTCGTAGTATGCTAAGAACCTGGGGCTAACGCAAAGACTTGCGCTATTCAAAGTTGAACTGAGCTGTATATAGACGACCGACAATTTCTAGCTAGGTATAGCTGTTCGTAATTCGAAACTCTTACTTGTGGTTCGCCTTTAGTTAATACAGACTTATCTGAAAATTTCTCCTTTCAACCCTTAATTGATTATGAGTGATTCGTAAAATTGTGCCTTGTAAGGTACCTGGTATGGACACGACATCGGCATCTAAAATAGGGGAAAATATGTACACATGTACTATCGATAAGCCACAATTGAATTATACACACCAAACCAACATGAAGCTAACACTGAATAGGACTAAAAGGTAAGATGTGGCTAAGCAAACTTGGCGCAACCTTAACTCTACATAAGTACATGTATTATCGCTTCGTACTTCGGAATCAAAACGTCATCAAATCAAGAACGGAAACTTGAATTCTTGAATGGAAGTTTATAAGAATTTTTGTACCACTTCTCATTAATGATAGGTACCTACCTAAGGTAGTCTAGATCTGACAATCTAACATATCCCACTATGCCGACAATAAGTCTAACGGCGCTAACTCTTAGTCGTGGGTTAAGATCGATTAGCGATCGGTCTCGACCTCGGACATCTCCGCTCGGCGCTAAGAAAGACGCCACGAGAAAATCAGGATTGGGGAATTCTGCGGATCGGTGGTTGGTAGGCGTTCCGAGATTATTACTCATGTTCATGTTCATGTTCATGTTTGCGTTCACGTTCTACGCGCAAATATGCCTGCGACCGGTGTCGTGACGAGGCGCGCCTCGAGTGTCAGCACCACAGAGTTGGCTAGACAGCGTGATCTTCATAAATACTACCAGCCATGGGTCGACTCCAAGAAGTTAAAAGCTGTGCCTGCGGATATGGGTCCGGATGCGTCCCGACCAGTGCAATGTTCTCACGATACCACACTTACCGCCCTTGCTCAGCTAGCTACATTAAGACTGGACGTCAAACGCGGTATGGTATCTCTGATAGATTCCAATACGCAGATTATTCTCGCGGAAGCCACCAAAACTTTGTCGCTGGTTGACGAAAGACGGCACGCTCCCGGGGATCACATCTGGCTAGGCCATGTGTCTCTCCCACGTCGGGATTGTATGGATGAGCATACTTTCGGCTCCACCATCACCTATAAAGACAATGAAGGTAACGACGTCGATATTCCTGCATTCGTTGTAAACGACACTCTGGAAGACGACCGCTTCAAGCACAGGCCGTATGTGACAAGTGGAACTAGTGTAAGGTTTTACGCTGGCGTACCTATTGTCACCAAGCTAGGACACGCCATCGGCGTTTACGCCGTTTCCGATATTCGACCGCGACCTCAAGGCCTCAGTCTTGACGAGGCTCAGTTTATGGAAGATGTTGCGCAGATTGTGGCAGACCATCTTGAAAGGGTCAGTAAGTAGCCCCTAGTATCATTGTTGCTTCCACGGAGTCAATTATAAATATAGGTTCCATCTATCGCAAGGGTCTACACTCATGCCCAATCCCAAGCATGTCCGCGATAAATCAACTAACCAAGTGTATAGTGGATACAATGAGCCGTGTTTCGGAGAGGGATTTCATGAGGGGTATATCTTACTTCTTAGAAGATTTATCCGAGTATAAGTTCCAATTAAGCAACGCCGATCGCTCCATACACGCCGCCAAAATGAGGCAGCAGCCGGATGTGCAAGCAACTGATCCTCAAGTTGATCCTCCACGTGGGAGAGCCAGCGAGCCGACATCCCCAAATTTAGCGCACACGTCCATTTCTCCTACTAGGGATGCGTCCACACATAGCGAAGCCCCTATAGGCCAAGGTCCTCGATTCTCTAGGGATGGCAATTCCCACGGCAAAGAAGCTCCTGACTCGTCAACGGATAGTATTCGTAGGATCTTTACCCAAGCCTCACAGTTACTCCGTCAGCAAGTTAAGGCTACAGGCTGTATATTTACAGATGTCGCCTCGGGTCTATTCTCTAGTCAACCGGAGGGGGCGATGTCACCACTACATTGTACCCACCCGGCCGCCTCTTTGGATGTCAATTTTGAATCAACTGAGGACGAAGAAATAGATGGCGACACAGTCAGAGAAGATATGCCATCTCCAGGATATGGACCTACCTTGTCTCAGGCTAGTGTCGGCGATCGACTAGATGAAATGGCTGATGTCCTTGGCGGCGATAATAATGATTTCCCTCAGGGTATAATTAAGCGTAAAAATCTCAAGAAATTCATCATGCGCTATCCGTTCGGCAAATCATTCTACATAAATAAAGGACGCACGATGTCTAACCACACTGCAATCCGTGACGAAGTAGTCGCCGGTGGTGGTGCCAACTATACAGCGTTGAAAGCGCCCGCGGAAGATGTAGAGGATCAACCCCATATGCTCTTACCACGGGAACTTCTAAACTGTATACCGGATGCCAAATGGCTGATATTCCTACCTCTTTTCAATTACGCCCAAAGACAGTGGTTTGCAGCAGGTTTTATCTGGGGCGATGACTTTAAGATGGGCGACCCTGCCGACGCCTTGCCTTACATTAAAACCTTTGGGTCCTGCATGATGAGCGAGGTGGCGAGCATGGAAGTTTTGAACACGAATATTGCCAAGTCTACGTTTATTGCTTCTATATCTCACGACTTGCGTTCTCCGCTACACGGGATGCTCGGAAGTCTGGAGTTCCTCGAGGATACCATCACATCAGCATACCAGACGAGTCTGATCGGAGCGATTGAGACATGCGGAAAGACTCTATTGGATACCATTGACCACCTTTTGGATTATGCTAAAATCAACAACTTAAACCGCACAAGCGCGCGACTTAACTTGTCTAAGGAGACGAAGACGTGGAAAGGCTCGCAAGATATTGGGGAGCCACTATCCACCAACTTCGACCTTGCCCTCCTATTGGAGGAAGTTGTAGAAGCAGTTTTTGCCGGCCAAACGTTTCGCAAGATCAATCTCCGACATCACGACCTTGTTGAGGATGCGTCCGAAAAAGGTAAAGCAATAAATGTAGATCATTCGTCAACAACTGAAGAACAAATTCATAGTGGCAGCGTTAAGTTTTCTGGAAAGGTTTTCCTGATACTTCATATCCAACGTTTGGCGTCTTGGTGTTTACAAGGTCAAACTGGAGGTCTTAGGAGAGTTATAATGAACGTTGTTGGAAATGCCATAAAATACTGCAAATCCGGATACATCGACGTTTCATTGGAGGCAAAGGAAGTCACACCATCTAATTACGAGGTATATCTCTCTGTCAAGGACACGGGCATTGGCATGTCCAAGAACTTCCTCACAAATCATTTATTCAAACCATTTTCGCAAGAAGATTCCTTCACACCCGGTACTGGTCTCGGGCTTTCCATTACGTCCCAGATAGTGAACAATATGGACGGCAAGATTCAAATCGATAGCGAAAAGGGAGTCGGGACACATGTCAATATCTCCATTCCCATGAAGACTGCAACTACCAATGGGTCTTGCGGCGGCATTCAAGACGATATCCAGCGCGAAGCTATGAAACTTACTTCAGGAAAGAAAGTATGCATTTTGGACCCGTTACTAGGTACGCATCATGGAGAATTGTTAAAGCTGGAATCTTCCATCTCCGCCTTCTGCCAGGAATGGTTCAATATGACCGTTATTGAAAGAAAAACCGTCGAAACCGATCCGGATACAGCGGTTTACATATATGCTGAGCCGCCGCCAATAGAGCACCTATTAAGACAACACTTGGAGCGAAAGGAGATGGGCATTTCGGGGAAAGAGCCCGCTCTTATAATTGTTTGCACGAACGCTTTCGAAGCTGCGGCGTTGCGTGCAGCCGGTATCAAGGATTTGGTTTCCCTTGGCAGAATAGTCGAGGTTATTAGCCAACCTGTAGGAGTAAGAAAACTAGGGAAGGTTCTACTTCAGTGCCTTCAACATGTCGAGGCTAGCGAAAATCAGCGGGCCCAGCTCGCTCGCTCTAGAGCACCCTCGCCATCTTCCGAAAGCATCCAGGCACGTGGATACGCGTCTGAGGTTGGATGGAATACTTCCTCAGTTGTCTTTGACGAGAAGGAAGGGAGATACCGGCCCTCGATTGACGCTCTGAAATGGAAATCCGATCAGCAGCGGTTAAAATCGCCATTGGGAGAAACTATCCAACCAGAGCTATTACACCCTAAAACGGTTAGCGACCAACACGGCCCCGCGACAATACAGCATGGCCGGTCTCGGTCTGGGGAGCACACGAGACGGCTACCTCGCATCCTTGTGGTAGACGACAATGCGATAAACCTAAAACTCCTCGTGACGTTTATGAAAAAGATCAAGCTGCCGTATGCTGAGGCTGTAAACGGGCTCGAGGCTGTTACTCAATTCAAGGAGGCCGAGGAGCCGTTCGATTTCGTGCTGATGGATTTGCAGATGCCTGTTATGGACGGCCTCGAAGCAACTCGGCATATCCGCGAGTTCGAGCAGGAGAGAGCGGGGGACCGTACCGCTGCGCCACCATCTACTATCATTGCCATCACAGGCGTTGGCAATGAGGCTACACGCCAAGAGGCCATGGATGCGGGCATGTCGCAGTTCTTGACTAAGCCTGTCAAGTTCAAGGCTTTGCAGCAGCTTTTGTTGGAGCAAGATCAGCCATCATGAGGTGGCGTTTACAAGCGAGTGAATATTTTATTTTGGTCGGGTCAAAGAAGAGGTCAGGTACAATGTTCGACCGCCGGTCCGGGTTGACGGTACGTCCATATATGCAGATGGCGGATAACGATAGCCCGAGCGACATATCTAATAATATGGGATATTTTCAGAGACTATGGCGTCACAGGGAAATGCACAGATGAAGTCTCATGGAGTATTATCCATGGTTAGCCGCGAGGCGCTTCACGGGCATATTCGAGCGTATATCCAACTTGGCAATGCCTCCAATTCCAAGTTTTCTTAACCCCATGACTATCTGTGCTCTTCGTTGGCCTACCTAGATGGTCCAACGTGCGGCCTCCGAACTTGCAGACCTGGCCATAGAGAGTACACATAGAGGCTGTGGGGGGTGTAGTTGGAGCGGTTAGGAGTGCTAGTCATTATCCTATAATACAAGATACAACTAGATTAGCGTAAAATCATGGTTTAATAACATTTGGAGACCTCATTTTGAGGGTAATTTTTTGCACTACGTTTTATTCCGCATTCACGAACTAAATATAAGCCTATCAATGAACCTGCAGGGACTTCGGAAATATTAGAAGGTAACATTGCTACAAGTCAAACGTACTAGTGATTCGCTGGAAATTGATTGCCACTAATTAACGGGTCTTTAATGTTGTTGAATAATTTAGGTAGGTACGATTGTAAAATGGCAATAACAATACGATGGTAGCTTTATTCCATTGTTGTATTAGACAATCTGAACAAGGTTCCATTTAGAAATAGAAACCCTCATTGTTTACAGGTACCTACCTAAATCATGTGATATCCACGTGCTGTGCTCGGTTAGAGTAACCTCCCAGCTTACCAGCTTAGTACCCCATATGTTTTGCGCTTCGATCTTTTTGTGCCACTTTGGCTTTCGTTCCACTTAACACTTTAATCTTTCCTTAAGGTAATCAAATGTGAACCCACATGGCCTTTAAAATCCATCCGGCTCTCATGCAATACAACCTACCGCATCTAGTTACTTGTATGCAAGCAAGATATAGGTTACCTACCTAGGTACCTAATATCGTGGCCAATAAAGTCAATGGAGCCAAGCTTCCAGGGACGGGTTCCTGCTTTAGGCGGCCGCAGGTATTTCTGCACAACTTCAAGCGATTGGCCGAGAAGTCCCATAAACGCCAAGCGTCAAAAAGTAGCTGCCAGTAATATACAAGCGCGCGTCACCATCTTCAATTAGCGAAACGTCAAATGAAGGAACTAAAAAAGTACTCCTCGCAGCGCTTAGCCAACCTTTTTTCAAGCCCGTTTGAAATACGATACGAAAACGAGACGAAAACTAATAAGTGGTAGTTCTCCAATACTATGTTATTGGATGATTTACACCGATTCATCTGGTCCTCTCGATAGGTCTTGATGATGTGATGTTGAGTTACTAGCAAATTCGACGTGGGACGTCCCATCCAGCCGAAACTTTGGCGAAACCCCCATGTCCGTTCTACGTCACGATCTTGGTCCCAACAGTGGGATTTCTTAGCGCAGGAGTAACCAGCTGTGCCTAATTAACCTATTTGTTGTTCAATACAAGATGAAGGGTTCTCCCTCCTCCGGGCCAAGATCGTCAATGCTTCAATGCTTGTAATCATTAGGTTAGGTACTTTCCAGATTTCGTTGGTCGTTTCTTGTGAATTGCGGCTCTTTATTTTCCGCTACTTTTTTTTTCTTTGTCGTTTGTTCTCTATACTATAACTATTATCTTGTTCACCATTGTGCCGTATATCCGATCTCTTGTTCTGTTTTGAATCCGACTTGGCATTCCTTTAAGATCCTTGGGACCCTTTATTACAGACACTAAATAATATGAACTGCCGTTCCTCCATGCCGCAGGCATCATAAACCATCTTCCGCCATTTTCGCATTTTTTTTTCCTTTTCCTTTTTCATTCCTTTTCCGATAGACACTCATTTACTTTCATCCAGAAAAGAAAAAAAAAATTGATACACAAAAATGCTCATTTTAGTTCTATTTTCACACCTTCTCTTATTCTCCGAGGCCTCGGCGGCAGGTCCGCTGAGGCGAGGAGAGAGGTATGTTCTCGACGAAATAGAACAGCATAATGATGGCCAACTGACAAGTTTTAGATTGAGACACCGTGGTGCGCAGGGGGGCTTGAAGGTTTATAGGTCGGCGAATACTACGGGCATTCCTACCGCGACGACTACGTCCTTGCCGAGTGAAATCCAACCATCGTCAGTTGTCTCCACTTCGAGCGCGAGTTTTACTTCAGGCCCGGCTGGATCTAATTCTTCCGCTCCGATAATCCCGTCGCCCACGGGCAATCCTGCTACCATTCCTACCTTTAACTTCTTCCCATCTTCCACAGTTCCTGTTGGCCCTCCCCCTGCGTCTACTGCAGACTTGGTTGCCTCAAGCTCGACCGCGGTCGCCATCCCGTCAAACTCAACTGCAAGCTCATTTGCAGCATCTGCAGGACTATCTCTATCTACGTCCTTGTCTCTTCCTCTTGCGTCAGAATCTTCAGTTGTATCTCTTACCGAGTCTCAATCAACCTCGACAGCCCAGAGTCAAATCTCGCAGTCCACACAATCAACGCAGTCCACGCAGAGTAGCTCCGCGGTTTTGGTGTCTTCCACTTCCATAAACTCGAGCGCTAGCACCACCCTTCCTTTAGCGACAAGCTCTGAAAGTGCTAGTAGTCTAAAAAGTCTAACCGCGTCGGCTACTGCCACATCCACTCCGCTTACAACTGCTTCATTTGAGTCAGTTGTGAAATCATCTTATGTATCTCATCCAGTAACGCCGACAGGGACACTAAATCCTCAGGTTCCCACCATCATTAGTTCCATCCCTCCTTCTTCAACGACAGTTTCGCCCGAAGTTCTTGCTAGTAACCTGGCCGATGCAAAGAGTTATAATCAGGTCTTCTCAGGTTTGACTGAGAATTCTGCTTGCGCTTCTGGGCAGGTGGCCTGTGTCCACGGGAATATCGCCATGTGCTCTAGTGCCGGCGCATTCGAGATTACTCCCTGTGCCGACACTTTGACCTGTTATGCCTTGCCTATGACGACTGTCAGGGGCGTTCAGATTGGTTGCTGGAATGATGCGACCGCTCGTAACGCTTTGGGTGGTGCTGTGCCCCCTGCAGAAAGCGCAAGTTCTTCTGCCTCACCTACGGAAACCGAAACGTTTGACGGGTCCTCGGTCATTGTGACGTTCACACCAACAGCCACCCAGACAGTTAGGACCACCATCAGTCAAGACGTATCCACACAATCCTCTCCAGCAGCCAGCTCTCCAGTTCCAGCTCAACCTTCGGAGAAAACAGTAACAGTCACTTACATACCGACTACTTTTAGCACTGCGACGCGACCTTCGAGCTCGCCCTTACCTCCCAGTATAGTCACAGTTTCTGTGACAGTAACAGCCCCCAACCCAGCTCCCACGACTGCAACACCAGTTGAGACCACGCCCACCGACTCTGGCCTTCATGTAATCCCAATTGAGACAGATGCATTCGATTTCCCGGGTCTTCGAGGTGATGGTGGGAACGACCCTAAAGATGTCCCATTTTTTACGAAGCCGAATAACTTCGTTGCTAGTTCGGCGACTCCAGTTACCGTCACTGTCACTGTAACCGAGAAAGAGACAGTGACGGAGACGATCGTCGTTCCCACACAAGGCTGAAGTAATGGTTGATGGTATTTAGTAAATAGGCATTGGACAGCATATGTGGTGCATTTACAAGCATTCAGCGGGAGTTTGGGACATGTTGATAACTTGATGTTCTTAGATGGTACACCGTGCAGGAGAACCTTATACCCTTCAAAAATAGATATTTTTCCACCTACCTACAGTATTTTAATTGAACAAACATTTCGATTCTAAACTTGATTTTAATCTCGATTCTCTTGTCATAAGTCCTATTACCAACGATAAATCCACGAGCTTCGAGGGGGTATTTATATTACCTCGCATCGAACAAAGTATCTCCTATGCCCGATGGATACGACATACGTGATATATGAAACTATGCTCATTGGTCCTGCGCAAAGAAGCGGGGTTAGTAGGCGTGTATAGGAGGTTTTATGATGCAATACTCTCTCAATACCAATCATATAGTTACTCGTATAAAAACGTCATTATCCTCATTAATCATCGCAGTCCTTTCCATCTAATTACAGAAATCGGTCGGCGAGCTGAAGCCAACTAACCACTCAATCGCCAACCATGGTGTCTCGTCCTCACGTCATTGGACCCCCCTCCCAGCATGCGGAACCTATCGACTCGCCCACAAACAGCACCGCAGACGAAGACAAACGGCTGGCGGACAAATTCGCAGCGCACCGGCACTTAGTCCCCCTCGTATCCCAGGACCCCTCCGTGCTCTTCCTCAACGCGGCCTCCGCGCCACCCTCCAACCTAATCGTCCACGAGGCTATCGCGCGGTACTCGGCGCAAGCGCTGTACGACCCGGCCCCGCACGCGGGCTGGCGGGAGACGCGCGAGGAAGCGCGGCGCCTCGTGGCGAGGTGTATTAACGCGGAAGACGACGGGGCGACGACGATCGCTTTCACGCGCGACACCACGGAGGCCCTGGGTACTTTTATCCGCTGCGTGCGCTTCCGCCCCGGGGACAACGTCGTCGTCGTCGATGCCGAGCACCCGAACCAGACGCTGTGCTGGCTCGCGCTGCGGGGCAGCGCGGGGCTCGAGGTCCGACAGGTCCCCACCATTCCGGAAGCGGGGCCGGGGCCGGGATCGGGAAAAGACCGCATCGAACCGGTGACCGCGGAGACGCTCCGGCCGTACGTGGACTCGCGCACGCGCGCGATCGGCATCAGCTCGATGACGTTCGACGCGGGGCAGCGCAACGACGTGCGGGGGATCTGCGCGGCATACCGGGCGCGGGGCATCCAGGTGCTGGCGGACGCGACGCAGCAGGTGGGGTTCGCGCGGCTCGACGTGCGGGCGCTGGGGGTGTCGGCGGCCGCCTTCAGCCTGCACAAGGGGCTCAACGCGCCCACGGGGCTGGGCGCCTTGTACGTGTCGCCCGCCGCGCTGCGGGAGCTGGGCGACCCGGTCCCGCCCGTCGTGAGCATGGAGGGCGTGGCGAATCTCGACCAGAGCCTCGTGGTGCGGGTCCGTGGTGACGATGACGAGCCGCTGGAGCTGCGCCCGGGCGCGCGGCGCTTCGAGCACGCTAATGTGAGCTTGGTGGCGGTCGCGGCGGCGGCGGCGTTTACCCGGTTCTACTTGGATGTCCTGGGGCCCGCGGACGTGGAGGCGCATTTGTACGGGTTGACGGAGGGGTTGGGGAGAGAGTGCGATCGGCTTGGGATACGGGTCGTTAGTCCGAGGGAGAGGGGGGAACGCGCGCCGCATATTGCGGTTCTAGCGCTGCCGAGGGAGTGGGGGGATTATTTTAGGGGTCCTGGAGGGGCGCGTGTGACGATGAACAGGTTAGGCGCGAGGGTGTCGTTCGGGTTTTATAACTCGGTAGAAGATGTGAGGAGGTTTGTGAGGGTGTTGGAGTTGGGAATAGCCCAGGGGTTGGGAATTTGATATCAGTGTTAACTGTTTCGTTGGTAAGGAGTTTAAAGATGAGGTATTAGCTTGCATTTCCAACAAATTTGCGCACCAGCTTAGGTCTAAAACTCCGTTCAATTCGGATTTTTAATCAAAACCCTTCACTGGCTCAATGAAAGCAGTTCGTTCCCAATTATCAAGATTTGCATAGTATGAGTTGCATGCTTCCTCTCTTCTAGCAAGAAACGGGTTGCTAGCTTTATGGAAACGTCAACAGTTTGAATACTCCTGTAGCTTGGATTCTCCAGTTTTGCCATCAGGATTTTGGGCGAACTCGCGGAGAAGTTCTTCATCATTATCTTCCAATCCTTTTTGCAGTTTCTCCGTGTTGAAATTAGGAGATAACCAGTTGTCATTTTTGCTTAGACGGCGGTACGTCAGTAGCTCGGCTTGTACGGCTGCCCACATATGACCATGCTTCGGATTCGCACAATATATTATTTTCCCTTGTTCACCTCTATCCATTAAATGATCCGGACTATCACAGTCGTGGAATTTGTCTTGCTGGCGATCTAGTTGTAGAATGGAAATGAGAATATCCCATCCGCGATGAACTTCATCAGTCCATAACCCTCTACGCTGAGAGCGTACTTTTGATGCCAACTCTGCCGGAATCAAAGCGAAATGTTGACAATCGTCTGTCAACCCATGTCCTAATAGCTCAGGAATCGAGACTTCCGCGGTAAAAGAGGGGTCGGCCCGGTAGGCTATCAAACATACAAGACAACATATCATCCCAAAAAGATTCTCGCCGTGCATTCCCTTATCTGCTAGGAAGAATGCCGTTAATATCAAAGCATGAAGTGGTCCAAGTTTCAGCTCTAGCCCACAGCAGCTACATCGCCGTATAAATAATCCGCTCGGTGTGTTAATTTTTGGTCGCCATGGAACGCAGAACATAGCGGATATGGAATGACATACGGCTTGCACCGACGTATGGCAGAATATGTGTTTCCACTCGTTTGGAATGGACGGCCTCCCGGAAGCATACAATTGTCGGATACAAGGAGAGTCAGCATCCCATATTCCACAAGGATCGACATCCTGTCCGGAGTATTGAGACGGGTGAATAAGTTTCCCGCACACAATTTCGAGTGGTAATTGGCTATGCGATCGTAGAATTGAAACTAATAATGTATCCAAAACTGTAAATCCAGAATCGTCGACATATCTCATATTTATCGTGTTGGCGCCGTGTAGTATATTTACCAGTGTATTCATTACGAGGCAGCAAGTCTTAGCACCGTCCAAGTACCTTGCTGTTACATGAAACGGAAATATAGAAGGATAGGCCTCAGGAAGCTCTCCACCGTAGGACTTGATAATTTGTTCCATGATATCTTTATTTCGTAACCTTATGGCGAACCCAAAAGCCTCTGCTTTTAGCCCATCGGGCGATTTTTGTACTGCCTTTACAATTGCATCTGCAGCTAATGGGAGATCCTCCGCGTCGATTGAACTGAATGGATTCTCTTGAAGCCCTTGAGTTATCGTAGCTACGATACTTCTCTGGGGGCTATTCGCGCGCCATGCAGACCATGTGGACTCGTCATCATTGTCAAACGCATCTTCAGATTCATTCCTTTCTGTCGGCAGGGGAGGAAGTGGTTCATAAAATGATTGCCTGTGGTGTATGCTCCATCGGCAAAGTTGCGTCGGCTGTTCTAGAATTGAACGACAGCTAGATGGCGGGCTAGATCACTGATTTATGTCTGGATTTAGAGGGGACGATGTAATCATTCCGGGAAATGACTTAAATTTAATAAGGGATAGAGTCCATATCTTTGGCCCCCTTCCCCAATACTTCGTAGTCATGAAGGAATATATCCAAAAGTCGTGAAGCCATGTGGCTAGAGACCTAGAGCGAAATGGATAATCAGAACCGCCCGATATGGTTTTGGGGTTTCAAAAAGAAACCCGAAAACTTACTCTCGTTCATCTACTGTTAGCTCTGCCAGTAATTCTTGTTCTCTGCCTTCCAAGAAGAGACGGGATCTGTCTAACAGCACGTTTCGTTTTACTAGTTGCATGGTCGGTGATAGCGCACTATCGAGTCTTGAGCCAGATGTCGTTGCTTCTGGACTTTTGGCAGTTATGTAAGACAGAGTATGAGGGCCAGTGCTAAGTGTTGAAGAAGTAACCCGCTCACCAAGGCCGTGGGTCCTAGCGGCGTATGGGATGTTGTGCCGAAGGAATCTAAGAGTGGAATTAGATATATCAACTTTGCAAAAACTTGAAAGGTTCTCAACTTACGTTCCAGGATGCAAGATCAATGGATCGCTTCGACGGATAGTGTCATTGATATACCGCTTGAGCTGCTTCTTGTCTACGTTCTTTGAAGAGCCACCTTGGCTGATGGTTACGTCAGATGTGCTGATTCCATCTTGTCGGAGACGCTTCCCTAGGACACTGATTGCAGCATTCTTCTCTTTAGTTGTTATGCTTTTCTTTATGCCCCATCTCCTGAAGTGCGCTCGGTATTGATCTGGGCTGTTTATTGACGGTAATATAAGTAAATGGAATAAAAAAGATGAGCGATGCAACACTGACTAGGCGGTGAAGCTATACTCCTCCTTCATTCGCTCCGAGATGCGTTTGAATGTGTTGTTCTCGTTAATATACATACGGATGAGAACAAGTTTAAGATATTCCCATCTCTTATCATATGGAATATGTAAGAATTTATCCACCATGCCATTGTTAGCTAAGGAGTTCGAGGGGTTCATTTCTATTGAAGGCTTGCCTCTTGCATATAAAGATGTATCTTGTGGGATCAGGATATGAGCGAAGAAAGCTTAGAGGGGTAAAGGATGGAGGTGTGTTGTTATATTACCGATCAATTGGGGTCCAGGACAGCTCAGGCAACAGTGGTACGCGGCTCGATAAAAGATTGCCATAGATCACTCTAGTCGGGCGCAATAGACGAACCAATCGCCCAAGCGATCTTAAAAATTGTCAAGCTTACCACCCAGTATCTAACGGTGGCCCCTTAATGGCCGATAACCACACTTGCCCACATGAGTTGGCATGCATGACTGCTGCAAGTACGGCATGATGTTCTGTACATATGTAGTATGTAGAGGATTGCCTTGCAAGGCTCTGTTGATTACCGAGAAGTCCAGACATAGCTGCAGCCTGCGACTGGGGTCCTACTTACCTTAGGTACGTACCTAGGTACCTAACCTAGTACATCTGACTATCGCATAGTGCACTTGCCTTCATAGTAGATATTAAAGGCACGATCTTATTGATAAAAAAAAAGTAAAGCTACTTTCATTTGGTTCTTTCATGCCAGGTTAGTAGAGTTCATATACCTGCTATGTACCTAAGGTAACTAACTCTAAAGGAACTTTAAACCCGACCTGGTTGGCCGTAACTAGAGCTCTTCATGTGGTAGTCGGTGAAGTATGGCCTCGATTCTAGGGTGGAGTACACTGCGGCTTCAGAGAATTGTGTTTCGGTTCCAGATGTACCATCCAGATATACCATGCATATGCATCCATATGCAGGTGTCACGAAAACTTGCGGGTGATACGAAACTCTGTATGCAATAATCCATCGAACATTACGGTTGTAGCCAATCACACAGACTATATGTCAAATATTCAGCGAATATTTTTTATATGGTAAACCAAGCCTATTATGCAGGGAATAACCGGAGAGTAGGTAATAATACATAGAATGAAGAATGACGAGACCAACTGGCGAAGGGCCTGATGTAGGAGGGGACTTAGACAGAAAGTGCAGAGTAGCCCGTGTAGAAAGTATAAGTAGGTAGGTATTGGCTGTCTTTCTGATTTCTGATCTCATTCTTTTCTTCAACCCAGGACAATATCAACTCGACTTGAAGCATCGATAACTTGACGACTTATACTTCATATATCCTCTTCCAAGCTTCTTCCATATAATTATACCTCTCCATCACTAGAACCTTGTGTAGTTAGCACTACCTTGTCAGCTATCTATCTACTTCTTTTCACACTTACTACGTCGAATACTTATACCTGTTCATACTTGCTTTGACCTATACTTACCCCCACTCATACAACATCATCCATATCACTCTACATACTTAGCCTCCAAGCCAAAATGCCCCAAGATTTATCCTCGATCGACCGGGAAATCCCTTCGTAAGTGTTTTACTTTGGCGAATACCCGTGTTCTTTAAGGGTGTTATTTCTAACATTATCATCCCCTACATATAGACACCTGTCTGAAGTAACGAACGACAGCACTAGGACTGAGCGTGGCTCACCTGTGCCTGATCTACCAGATGTCCCCGAGCCTAATGACGCTCCTGCAGATACCCAGGGTTACCAATCCAACATTGACCAGGATCTACTCGGATTCGGAGCTCAGTTTGACGATAAGAAATAAGACTGTTGATGATGGGGCTATATAAAATAATGTTAGTACAACACATGCTGTCATCCGATAGTCTTTAGATTAACCTTAACGTTAGGGTCTTACAGCAGCCTTCTATGTCTGGGCAACGCTATGATTACATCTGGATATGCTATTGTGGGATGATATATGGACACATGGGACACATTGGTTTCTAACGTTGCAGTGGTATAGCTTCCCGTCTACTTATTGGTTCTGTTTTCTTTTATTCTCTTAGCCTATTTGATCTCACCTCCTATTAGGGGGCCTTTGCAGCTGCTATTGGTATTTTCTCTCTCGGGTTCATACCTTTCGGTATGAGGTACCTATCTAGGTACCTGTTATTTGTGTGTTAACGTTGTCTTTCCCCTCATCCACATAGCCCAACACTACCTTCCGTCTGGATACTACACGTCACCCTTTCCTTAAGCACATGAGGATCAAGTTGTCAAGGGGCATGAGAAGATGAAACTTAGTGTAGAGGTATATATATTACACTTCAGAGAATAGCTGAATAGATACCTTAAATACCTTTGAACCATATAAGATTGTCTCTGTAGGAAAACTTTGTTAATGCTAGTTGAATCTCCGATTTTCGTTTCACTTTATCCTAAGTTAATTGCCCCATCGAAACTGGTATACCATACAAGATTAGCCAAATCGGAACCAGCCTAGTATGAGGTATATTACACCGGGCTGGTACTGGGTAGGCGAGGTCAAGTGGCTACGTACGGCGCTATTCCTAATTGAAGCTTGTTACGCAGATGAATTCTACTTGCCAAGTAATATCACATAACGGTGGATATAGGTTAATAAGATCATAACGCTTAAGTACCTAGGTACCTAGGTAACTAAATAAAGTCCAACAAATATAATCATAGCCATGGAATGCGGTAGTATCAAGGGCTTGTGCGCTTATTTATCTACGGCGCCGGAATCTACCTCCGAACCCAGTCGGGGGCCCTTTCGCTCCATGATTCTTCAGCTTCAGTCTCTTGAAGTTCGCGTGGGCTAGCTCGTTAACCTTCCTTACTGCCTTTTGGACCTTCCCGTGTTTGTTCTCCGCCTTATTTTTCTTTTCAGCAAGCTTCTTCTCTTTAGGCTCTTGGCCTTCGTCCTCCGTGGGGTCGAAGTCAGAATCGGAGCCCAACTCTAGCGGCGGACTGTCACCCTCCTTCGTCAAGCCAGCCTGCGTCTCAGGCACAACGTCACCTTCGTCTCCAGTCCCCGGCTGTTCCTCCGAGGGCATCTGCGGCCGCTTGCTTCTAGTAGGCCGCATATTGACTCGTCGCGTAGTTCGCTTCTGCCCCTTTTTCTTATAGATCTTTAGAGGCTGCCCGTTACGGCCCACTTGTTCTTCTGTCGGACTATCATAAAGTGCCTCATCGTCAAATCCACCAAGGAGCTGTTGTGCCTGACTATCCGGCTCGAGAATATTCTCGCTTTTCTTGGCAGGCTTTGAAGGGGCCGGCTGGTTAGCATCATTCTCCACCTCGCGTAATGCTTCGAGATCGTCATCCAGCGCTTCTTCCTCGAGCTTCCGCAGACTTGCCACTGCGCTACTTAGACTACGACCTAAAGGTTTACGAGGAAGGCGTAAGGGTGCCGGAGCTATGTAGTCGCCATTCTCATCCACTGTTGTCAGGGGCGCTCTTCTGAGGAAAGATGGTGTAGTCAGTTGCAACTTGCGGATAGAACTTGGCGTTCTACCTAGAGGAGTATTTCTATCCCGTCGCGAGGGTGTTGTAAAAAGCGTGGTGCGCTTGTTCGATGTGGGTGTTTTATTCAGTTTGACGGCGTCATCAACATTCTCACTAGTGGCATTCTTGCTGGGAGTGGCATGGATTGCGCTGTCTCCCAAGGAGCCGCTCCTCCTATTTTTCGAGGGCGTGTTTTCATCGTTCTCGTCCAACAAGTCAAACAAACCTAGAATACGTCCATCCCTCTGAGGGGTAGGCCCAACTGACGTGGGCACAGCTGGACTGAACAGTTTCCGCGAGGATGGCGTCGCAAACATCTCTGGATCTATGATTCGCTCTCGTATATGAGAAGGTGTCTCGGCAGGTCTTGGACGTTTTGAAGGTGTCACTGCGGAAGCTTCTTCCGGCTCACGTTTTCGCGAACTTGACGATTCCTTCGATTTGTTCTTTGGAGGGGGAATCTTCCCCGACAAGATATCACGGACTTGGTTGTACTTTTTATATTTGCGAGCTTAATGATATATGTTAGTACACTCTGTAACGAACAATTTATCACTGGACTGGTATCTAACCTATTTCTGGATTGTTCTTGATGTCCTCACGACCTGGCTTTGCGCCACCATTGCGGCTTGCCCAGTCGGCCTCGAAATGCTTGAGGTCGGCGCGTAATTGCTTACACGTGTCTTCATATTGGAGTTTCTCACTTTCATCCATGTTGGTTTGGAGATAACCTAATTAAAATTATATATTTTATATAGAATTGGACGTGCTTTATGAATGGGCTTTGCTGAACAGTGAATTTAGTTGTTAGGGGAAGAGATGGATATATTGATAAGAAATGGTAAATCGCCAAAACGCGACAAGCTTTAATGGAACGCGACGCGAACCCAATTTTAGGTGGTGGGGCAGTTTAATTGACCTGCATACCTCCTATGTACGATGTCGGTACCCGCTGTTGTACCTGCGCTACGGGAGAAAACTTTACGTCAGCAACGCTTCCTTGAATACTTGTACTTTGGTACCTCCCGGGGTCATTATCCCTGCAAATCTACGGTGGGCCCTAGATCCCCGTTTCTTTGTAGTTTGCCTCCGACCCAGCGACCTTCGAACTCATTTACCTCTTACAACTACAACCTTATATGCCTGCTGTTCCTCCTCACAACAACACTTTCTATCTATATGGACACAGAGTTGGATGCGACGGACATACAATCTCAAGTACTTCAAAATACCCTTCTGGAGATATCGTCATCAACGAAACGGTCCGAAGCCGATAACCCAAACGAGACATGTTGCGTCATCTGCCTCGATAGCATTACCGAGGTCTGTGAGGCCCGGCCTTGCAGTCATCGGAACTTCGATTATCTTTGCCTACTAAGTTGGTTAGAGCAACAATCAAAATGTCCTCTGTGCAAGAGTAATATAGACGAGGTCTGGTATGATTTTGAGAGTGATAGCCCGGATGCGAAAAGCAGGGTGTACCTAGTTCCGCCCCCGAAGGCTTCATCGAAACAGCCCATACAGCCTCCCGCTCAAATATACCGACCGCGCACTTTTTTTTCGAGACCAAACCGTCGTCGATACGAAGAAGCACCACCACGGCCCGTCACTATCAGTGAGCCTATTCTCCGTAGACAAGATGTCTATCGAAAACAGCTGTACTCCTTACACGTAGGGTCAAACCAAAGATCAGGCTATCGAGATTTGACTCCTCAAGTATTCGAATCGGATCCCGAGATGATATCAAGGGCGCGAACATGGCTCAGGCGGGAACTCCAAGTTTTCGAGTTCCTTCGAACTCCGCCCACCGCGCAATCAAGCGACGATGCGACGACGAGAAGGCGCGCAAACAATGCCGAGTTTCTACTCGAATACATTATTGCTATCTTGAAAACTGTCGATATTCAAGGAAGCCAGGGGCAAGCCGAGGAAATGTTGAAAGAGTTTCTTGGTCGCGACAATACCAAGTTGCTCCTTCACGAGCTCAAAAACTTTCTCCGTAGTCCATGGTCGTTAGAGGCTTGGGATCGCAAAGTTCAATACCCTACGGCGAGGAAGCGGCCGATCGAGGAAGATGATGCGGAAAGGAACCGCCAGGAAAGAACAAGGTCTCGAACATCTGTGGCAGAAGAAGGGATTGACAGACGGAAACGGCGGGTAGTTGATTCCTACCGCCCTTCCTACTCAAGCCGTCGCCACAATAGGACAGAAGATACCAATCAATATATACCTGATTAATCTCCCAACCTGGTTTTTATTTGAAGCACTACGGTCTATTCGATATAAGCCTAAGACTAATATGCCCAGAACCCTGAAAGCCGAGTCAAGTCTCTTAGGCTGTGTGGCCAGCCAGAGCAAGGTGGATGATAGAGCGTGACGAGGCGGTTTCGTCATCTTTGGTTAACTCGGCGTAGCGCTTGCAAAGCTCCATTGCTATGCAATTGTTCATTGGGTGGCTGTTGTGCCACTGCACTTAGCAAATACCTACAATAACCACAGGGCATTAAAAAATGTGATAAGCTATGCCATAACGTAGCGCTTTCCACAGATTAATCAAATAAGTCTAACTTATTTCCATCCATCCTACTCACCGTGGATAGATGGTGAGCAAAGGTGTTATATAGGTAATCAATCTCTCCAGATTGCCTCATTGCCAGGTATGTCGGTGATGGATGTCATATACAGAGTGAGTGTCAGGGGCTAGTATGCAGTCTATTGCAGATATCTAGTAACGCCCAGCCTTCTAACCTCCTTCAAGGGAGATGGCTACCCTTTATATAGATAACACACCCTTGTTGTATCTAGCATCCACATGTCCTCATCCCTGACACTCACCGTCCTTACTTGCCTTTTATCTTGTGATTTTGCTTTCTTGCTTTTCAAGTCCTTGGTGTCACAAATGAAAATTGCTCTATTTGCAGCGGGAGTTCTTGCAAGTTTTGACCGAGGTTTGGAATTTGCAGTCCAGAATAGGTCTTGACTTGTACATCGTACTCAACAAGCTACCGCTTCCAGGTATCGTAATACTGGTGCCTTTTGACCTACTACCCCCTATCCTTCTGTGGGCTCTCGAAAGAATGCGCATTATGCATGATGAGTTGATGTGTGTCCTCATATTGTCTCGCAGTGACGGTGCTTTGCTGAGATATGTCAGTTAGAATCGGATCGCGACTGTTGCACCGGATGAAAGTGCGCATGCCCGTCATAGTGGCACGTGGAATATCGGGGAACCCATTCTGGGACTCGATATCTATGTGCTCCTTTTTAAGGCGCAAAAATCGCATCCTGTAAGAAAAGCGTTCGTGCGGCCGGAGGCCTATTACTCCGACCCTGTTCCCGTGCTGTTGTTCATTGCTGCTCTTCGTTGGAAGAGTAAGTAAGTTGCGGAAAACAGTCAGAGAACCCATGATAACAGCGACCGAGGCCTCTATATACTGCCAGAAAATCTTCTGTGGAATATCTAATCTCGACGCACCGCTAAGCTTGCTCGTGCGGACCATTGAAATACAGACTATAACAAGCGAGAGACATAGGAACAACCCTAGCCTGATTTTCTGGCTGTTACGTATTTTGACTCGATGTAGAACTATGATAGGAATGCTCGCGACTAAAGGGAAACTTGGTTGGCAACTTCTAGGACTCATTCGTAAAGCCTTTCCTAACAAAACATACTCAGGACATCCGAAAGTGCATCCAAGCCAGTAGTCACGCCGGTGAAGGATTCCAAGATCCTACTTCTGGAAGGATCCAAGCAAACAACTGTTATGACTGGGATTAGACCTGCAATGCCGCGCATTCAAAGTATCTATGATCACATACTCGATTTAGCCCCAAATTCCGGGCATACAATAAAGGGCGCTGAAACCACAAATAATCAAGAAACGACGGTTAGAGTAACCACCGCCCAGTAGAAGTAGTGAATCTTTTGTACTTGACGTATCAACTGTTTGAAAAAGGCTAGGAACGAGAACTTGACGTAGAAGACAGATGTCCAACTAATTACAAGGAATATGTCGTAGCTCTGAGTAAATTTGTTTGTGAAGTCAAGAGCGGCTTGCGTACTGAGCTGGGAGACGGCTGAAGGGTCATTCTGGAATGCTGTAGCAAGGTAAAGCCAATCACAGAGGTGGTATATTAGGCCAGTAGATCCCACAAGAAAAGCCGCTGCGATAAATAGGAGATAGCCGTCAACGAAAATGCGCCTCAGGGTTTTAATTCGAATTGCTGCTCTGGCAAACACAGATATCGTAGCAATAGTAAAGATCACGCCCACGGCCACCTATATTCTAGACGTGAGCTCATTGTATCGACCTGGCAGTTCATTAAAGACAATACATATCACAAACCCTGAATGTCCGCTTCTTAATACCCGCCAACTCATCGACTAGAATATCGTGCGATTGCTGAGATTGGTCCATATTAGGCTCCCTATGAGCACCTTAGTTGATCATGGCTTTCTAAAGGAGGAATTTAATAATCGGTATCTTAACTATAAATTCTAACTTAGTTTTAATTTACTATCCCGCCGTACGGGACAAGGACGTGGCCATAAGGAATATATAGGAAATATGGTAGTAATGGATGGATTGGTGCCTATCATCTATCCTTGGATCATCAGCAGCCCCCAACATACAAGAACCAACAAGAAAATCCAACACAAATGCTGTCCACCCAGATTTGCATGGCGGTGGTGGTAGTGCAGATAATTTCATATAAGCCGTAGCATTACCCCAATCTCACCGGCGAGGCTATGTCGAAACTCCAATACCACCCCACCGTCGATTACCACGAGGGCCAGTCCCACTGCATTCTTCATGTTCATGGCATTTCGTCTAAATCGAAGAGACAAAAATTTATGAAGTAGAAATCATTTCCGCTCTTCTCTCATTTCCCCGCTTGAACCAACTGGTATGATATATTCATTGTCGGGGTAAGTTCTTGTACTATCCCCGCTTCGAATCACATAATACCACATTTTGGTCCAGCCACGTGGAACCTAGGGTTCTAAGCTTCTTCAAATACCATTTTAATTCTCCACTGTGCTGTGACTCTGTGTAAGTCGTGAAACCTACGCACTTAACGCTCGTCACATCCCACCAAGAAATTTTCACGTCATCGCTGGTTTAATTTCACATCGATTCAGCTCGTGCTTTGGGAACTATTAGGGATTTCCATAAACACACGGCCAGTTGGGCAATGTAAAAAGCTCATGAAGTGGGGGGCGGATCTTTGATAGTTGAATACCTGAGAAACATAGCGGGGTGGATAAAGTTTTGGCAGCGATGTGCCGGTATGGGAATTAAATTTCTTACTGGCAAAATCATTAATACAAGGCTCGGTAATAGAATATCTCTAAGTACTGGAGTATCAGATAAAACTTTCTTGGTGGTAAATCACCTGTCTAGGTAGGTCGTTTTGTCTAGTGTGATTATCTAAATAGGCCCTCGGCGTACGGAGGAGCGTCAATGTACATAAAGATGCTAGCTTGACTATTTTATTTCTAGTACTAAGACAGCGTTGGCTGATCCTAAGAATAAATCGCATCATACATAATTGGTAAAGCTTCATCATAATTCATGTACATTTATGGCCGGTGCTGTTCATGGGCAAGATATTACTGCTTATTGCTACGGTATGAGTAAATGCACGGTACCTGTAATCAGACCTGCCTGCGCGTGGCAATTGCAAAATGTCAAATATGAAATTATTTGATTGGTTGATAATTCTCTTTATCAGTTACGTTTGTCAAAATACAGAAATGTAAATGATTTGATTCTAGGTACCTTCGTAGTAGGGCTGAATGTTGTCTGCGAAAAGATAAAAATAGGAAGGTACAATGTTCCACTTAGTGGGTTGATTCCATTTCCGGATTTAACAAGGGTGTTTGATTGGCCAATTGATGATGTGCATTTTTTTAAAGTTTGGACCTTATCTCCACTAGTAGAAGAGCCGCAAAGCTCTAACTACGCACCTTCCTTGGGAAGGTACGCAATTATTAAAATCAACTGGAAAATGATTTAATTTTTAGACAACTGCAGAATCAGTAATGCACTGATTCTGATTAGAATTTGATTTGGCCGCCCCCCCAACAGGTATAAAAGTCTGGCCATCCTCCCCCAATCTGGCATCTTTCTTCCTCCTTCATTCTACCATCCTCTTCACCAATCTCACCACAAGTCTTCTACTTCATACAATCATCATACCAATATATTTTCCAATCCTTCTATCTTCACTTGCTATCTCCTACTTCTACATCTTTTTACTTTTTACTTTTTATTTTTTACTTCTACCTTTTACTTCTATCTCTTTATTACTATACTGTCCTATCTTCTCATTATATCATACTTATTTATTTCTCGCTACCTATTTATACCCATCTTTCTTTTCCTTTTTTTTTTTTTGGATACGCTACAATCTTTGGATACTACTCTAACCTCATGTTACTTACCTAGCTCTTGTGTTCTAGACTTCGCCCCGGACACGATCCTCCGGCGATCGATGGAGACTGCCCTTGGTCGCCTACGACGAGACCTTGGCCTGCCTCCCGACCCGCGAATCCCTTCACCCGAACGACAGTGGCCTCTATTCCACCGACCGGCGAGGATCGTAGCCGTCTCACGTTCTCTGCCCGTTCCCCCCCCTAATGAGATTCGAGCCCTGACCTACTAATGTCTTGTGCCTTGGCCTCATAGGTACTAGATTAATGCTTATCTTGGGTACCCACGCGGTATCTAAGGAGGTGTGGGATGAACCTAAATACACGATACAGTGGAACTCTACTCATAGATCCATGACAAATATTGCCCTCGGCGTCCCGACATAAAAGTTTGCTGGTGAAGTATTTCTTTAATGCATACCTAGGTACAAGTTGGATATGGATAAAAGGTTTCTGTTTTTACTGCTTCAGTTCCATCTCTTGACTAGCGAAGCATATATTCATGTATCTACTTCATGCATGCTAGATAGCTAGGTACAATAATAGAATTTGTTGCGAAGTAGAATCTTGCTGAGGGCTTTTGGCCCGAGTAAATGCCCGTGAACTGCACACACTCCAACCTCTAGACAATGCTGAGGTACTTAGTACTATCTTAGACTTTGACAGGAGCGTAGAAGCGCGCCTTATTTCCCCTGTCAACCAAAGTCGAGGCCTAGTCCACGCGTGTACGCACACTTCCTAATTGTTTTGTGGGTACATTATAAACTGTAGTCAAACTAAGCTTTAAATATCATCATTCTAGAACTTCCGCATCCACAACTTCCATATCTGGGACGTCTTACTATAGATACTATAAGAAAATCAGTTTTTCAACGTGGTATTTTTAGTTTTTATTTCCCTAATTGTGATGTCGTTCCCTGTGAAAGTTAAAAAGTTTTGCGATCCGGCTTAGATCGAACATCGATAACATCCCTGTACCTACTTCGAGTACTAATGCTACCCTAGCCATAGAATCAAGGCTACCTAATCTATCTTACGATCAAATATCATCCACAATGCAAGGGAAAGCCCGACCGTCCAAAGAACTACAGAACTGTAACATAGAAACAATAGTTTCAACTATTCCTAAACATATCACCTAAGGTACAGTGGCCTCCCTTTTCGGTCCCAAAACTCTGGTATCCACGGGGCGTACTTGGGTTGCGTGTGGGCCAGGTCGTTCACGTACATCTCTCCGACCAGTTTCCAGATGCGTCTGCGATTTCGTAGCCCGTTAGGTATTTTCAACGCGCTGCCTTCCACGTCCCACATCCGCCAGGCCACCTGGCTAAGCTTACGGACGAGGAGTTCCCAGTTGGGTTCTTGGTCGCCATTAACACGTCGCCATTGCGCATAGAATTCCTTCACGGTAGTGACGTCGATGTCGTAAAGGAATGGTACGATTTCACCCCCTAATAGCATTTCACGCCACATCCACTGGGGTAGGAGCCCGTTGCATCGGCTGGGAATCCCGTTCTCTGATACTATGTAGGACCGAATAAGAACCTGTAGCTCATTTGGCAACGCTACGAGAGCTTTGTGAAATGTAATGGTCTGTGCGGTTGCTGGCCGCGCAGTTGGTAGGCTCTGCAGGTTGTCAAGGACTGTGGAAGTTAATTTTGGTATGGCCAGAGGGTTGGCCTCCTAGATACATGCGCGTATTAGCGAATCGTTAGTAGGATACTACCAAAATAGTGAATCGTGAATATAAGGGTTAGGTATATCATGCATAGGTACATACCCACCACTCGCCCTGGCCTAAAGGGTCGATATCGAAAATATAGGGCTGTGAGGGTATATAGTAACCGTGAGGTAGTTGGATTCTGTCGGTCGGCCAAGTTCTATGAACTTGATTGGCAGTATGGCTGAAGGTCAGACTAGCAACCATTCGCATGCGCAAGACTTTCCACAGGGTACGCAGGTCGCGAACTACAATGTTGTGACAGCGGCACATAATGGTCTCGGCCAAATCGATACAGGCTCTATGCACCGGCATAAAATATGGCGACGGGCCCCATGGGTCGTTTTGGCCATATATGCGTTCATACATATCATATGGCAGAACTATTCTACGGTGGTCCTCGTCACCAAACGTGGTGAAAATTCGGAAATCTGTGCCCCCCACAAACTCTGCACGAGTTTTCTTGATTTCTTGTAGAATCCGAGGGCTTGGTAGAGGCTCATTTTGGGTTTTCTCCCTATTGAGATTTTTAGATAGCAGTTCAAACTCGCGTTCTGGATCACTTAATAGTACGACGTCTGCCAGCCATTCCATAGCTTTGCTGAGCTGTGAAGTAGAAGGTAGAAAAGCCACATCGCAAATGGCGCAACAAAGCTGATTATAATAAGCTCTCGACATGGCTTTCTATGATGAATGTCCAGTACGTCTGTTAATAGGCTTTTTCTTCCCTTGCTCTTGAACTGAGAAATGTAGAGACTATGGATCTAGTGTTGATGCCTAATTGACCTTCGGATCGGAGCAACTATCAACCTGCCAAGGTTATAGGGAAGGATTCCTGCACGCATGAGCGTTACATCGTGCCAATGCCGCATGCTTTAGATAAAACGATATTGATTTAGAAGATAGCAACGGCATGCAACAGTTGTAGATCTGGTCGATTGTGATAAAATGGGGACTGTTAGGTACCTAACCCACCAATCAAAGAACGTTATAGGGCCTAATTTGGTATAACTTTTAAGCTTAGATAGTTTACTTTATTTCTTCTATAAAGCTTCATTATACCGATAGCTGAAAATTTCAAGTAAGCTCACCGGGATGAAGGAGCCAAAAGAGAATAAGCGATTATCGGAGGGTGAGCTGACAAAGCTTTACTAACCTATAATTGGCTATCGTTGGTGAAGTCCGAAGCTGAGTATTGAATCCTAGCATCTTGATTGGCCATCGGGACCTTTTCGCAAGGAATCAATGATCCCGTTTGCATCCCTCCGATTACCATCCGCTGTGAACGCGGTTCCGGACTTTTTGATAACGAGATTGATAGCTCACCTGGGCACCATCTACCTTCTACCATCCGTCATCTGTCATCTGTCATCCACACCCTTTTTTTCTTTTTTCTTTTTTATCGCATTTGGTTTCCTACCACAGCACTTTAAACTCGAGGACTAAACTTTAATTATCGCTCTGTGTGCATCAAGTAAACTTGGTTTGAATCTATACGTCAAATAATTATATCTTTATTTGAAGTACCTTAGCACAAGCATCAGTACTGTTTAGTACCCGTGTTGCATACCTATTATGGCGACAAACGGTGAAGATGCGACTTTGCATCTACCACGCATCCTCTGCTTGCACGGTGGCGGAACCAATGCTCGTATCTTTCGGGCTCAATGCCGAGTGGTGTCGCGGACGCTAGAGCCTTATTTCCGTATGGTGTATGCCGAGGCGCCTTACGAGTCTAGCGCCGGTCCCGACGTTCTCTCAGTCTACGCAGAGCACGGCCCGTTCAAAAGGTGGCTGCGTTGGCTTCCCGAACACCAGGAAGTGGAGGATGCCCGTGCGATCGCCGACGTAAACGCCGCTCTGAAAAGCGCCATGGATGCCGATGACCATCTGGGCGCCACAGGCCCCTGGGTGGGGCTCCTCGGATTTAGCCAGGGCGCCAAACTCGCGGCAAGCATATTATATCGACAACAGATCCGTACCGAGAAGCTGGGGCCGACGCAGGCAGGCTCCGACTGGAAGTTCGCTGTCATCATGGCTGGCCGGGCACCGCTGGTGAACCTCGACCCCGAAGTGTTCACGTCAACTATGTTAAGCAGGGCATCAGAAGTCGGTCTTACAGGCGCGCCAGATCTAATGGAAATGATGAGTGGAAGTCACATCTTAAAACTCCCGACTATTCATGTTCACGGCCTCAGTGATCCAGGTTTGAATCTGCATCGCGAGTTATACGAGGAATATTGCGATTCGGAAACAGCTAGACTGGTTGAGTGGGATGGGGCGCATAGGGTGCCACTGAAAGGAACGGATGTGCAACCCTTGGTGGATCAGATTCTAGACGTTGCGAGAACGACAGGAGCGCTGAAACATTAATGAATTTCATTTTCGTTATTTTGATTATGGTACAAAGAGGCCGTAAGCCTTTCTGACGAAGATTAAGAATTAGTCTTAGGTATGAGCTATATTAAGGAAAATGAGTATCTTAAGGAAAGGGGTTTCTACTTAAAAGCACACATCAGTACCTTACGTACCTAATGTATCTAACAGGTACCTACCAAAATAGACGCAGGGAACCCGTCATTTACAGATAGATTTGATACACATATAACACTTACACATCGCACTTGAACACCTTGCATTCAGATTTGCCAGTGAACATTGGATGTCCCTGACATAGACAATGACTGTAACGACACATTTGAAAACACGTACAATAAGACATGTCTAATACATATTCCTGTTCCTGGTGAATGTTAGAAGCTATGAGATAGTTAAAGACTCATCACATTCATATTGCATGATTGATCTCAAATTCCGTCTTCATCATTACCTGCCAAGTATTGAATCAATATCAACGTATCAATTATTCATCTCAACGTCGGTTATCCGATCACTACACTGGTCATATCCAGATGTGGCCAAGCTTCATTCCTGGTGTGGCCTTTAGCTAGGCACTATGGATGTCGTAGATAAAAGCACTTTGGGTTACGGCTCTTCTTTCTCTTCCTGCATGTCTCCCGCAAACCCATAAAACCTACCCAAGTTGCCTACCACTCTTCTCGACGGCCACTTCAAATCTATACTGCCTACACACACACACACACACACACACACACACACAAAGAGAAAAAAAAAACACATTCCGAAAGCCATCAACCCACTACCTACAATGCCTCCCTCCAGCGATCCCGACGAGATCAAGTCCATAGATGACCTCGAAACGGTACTGTCGAACATCATGGACCTCGAGAGCGATATCGAAGGCGATATTGTCGAGGACGAGATTCTACCGGCGTGGAAGTTTCGGAAGTTCAACGAGTGCATGGACTGGATCGTGGATACCTGGAAGAAACTCAACGAAGCCGAGGACCTGGATGTCTTCAGAGGGGGGTACGAGCAGGCACGAATCTCTGCCGCGCTGAAGACCCTCAAGTCGATCGAATCCAAGATCCAAACCGCCTTCGACGAGAGCACCGAGCAGGAGGAGCTCCAGGACTCCGACTAATAGGATGAGGGCAAGGGCACGATCGGAGACGGACGAGAATTCTTTTGGGCTGAGTGATCGGAGCCGATGGTTCCGATGGATAATACCTTGGTGCTATACGCGTCTACGCCCGGTCAAACCTGGCACGATGGCGCTATTTTTTTTGATTTGCAATGTTCTCCTTACTAAGTCCAAGTACAGCCTTTCATCTTGAAGCTGAGAATGCAATTTGTAACACAAGATACACTGGCTGTCTCGAATAGTTACCTGCCTACTCATAGCTAGCTACTTCATGGTAATAACTATATATCTTAATTATAAAATTATTACAAGCTGCCTTAATATCGTAAGAACATGAAATTCAATATAGAGATAGCAAAATTCAACCCTAGATCCGCATCTTTCCGATAAGATATAATGTAAGGAAAATATTTCAAAGTTAACAATCGGCACTCTGGTAGCTTCATAGGTATTTAAGCACGAAGTTAGGATTGAATAGGGGTTACATTGAAGCGGTGGCCTTAGAGAAATAAGCATCAGAAGGCTTATCCCCTTGACGGATGTTATATGTTGAACTGATACCCCCGGATATTCTATTCTCTAACAACGGATCTGACTCCCCTTGATATACATAGCCCGTAAACCCCTGACACTTAGACAGAGGTAGATACCTACATACCTATCTAGTAGAGTACGAACGCCTAGTTACCAGTATTATATCAGTGCGCGAACCGGAAATCCAAGCGCTTATTTCCCTCGTCAGTTGTCGTCGAGAGATAGTCCAATTTTTCCTCGGCAGTCATCGCGTTCCACTTCCGGTCCCTGTACCTATTTCGGAGGACGTAGTAGACCTTGGTCAGACCGTAGATCCCGATGTTTCCCACAAGGATGCCTATGAGCTGCCTGTTGCCGCGTCGGTAGAGGGGCGCGTCGTCTGCTCGGTAGATGTTCGATGCTATGATGCCGCCGGCTTGGCAGAACATGTTGTAGCATGCGGCTGAGACTGTGCGGGATCGCACGGTGTTTGAGTTTCTCGAGTTCCAGGCGACTTGGATGGCATGGGCTGTTAGGAGCTTGTTAGTATTTCTCTGCCGGAATAGAGGAAAAAGGGGGAGGAGGGGTAAACAGGGGCCGTCGTGTACCATTTGGATATGAAAGCAGGAGAGTTGTCACGGTCCAGATGACCCATCTGCTAGCACTCGACGTGTCGGCCACATTCAGATATATTAAGAACGGCAGAATCCAGAATTGCCCGACCACTGCAACAAGGGTGAGGTTGCCGAATATTTCGGCCGCGTACGTGTTTGCAAGCATCGTGAAGACTAAACCTAGTTAGCGGATATTATAGTTTATGTTTTGGTTCTTGAGGAGTCCCTTACTGTGGATTACCGTATTTGGAATAGACAGGAGGTTTGACGAGAAGGTATCGAAATTCATTTGTCGTAAGGACAGGGTTAGGTACTGCTGCTCCGGAACAGCGGGGATCTGGAAAGTAAACCCGATGATGTATAGTGGCCAAAGGTCAAAATCTTTAAGACATTTCCATAACAGCTTCGGTGTGATCGGTTGGCGATTGTGCATGCCGCTCTTACTTGGGTCTTCCCGTAGGACTCGGTTGACGATTATAGTCTCCTCCCGTGGCGTGAACCAACCATTCTTCCCTCTGAACCAGCTAGCAGTCTGACAGGGGCCGGCCGGCATCAGGACAAATGAGAATAACCCAACAATCAGGGTTATTAAGGCTTCCAGTAAGAAAAGCCAGCGCCAGCCAGCGTACCCGAGGACTCCTCGCATCTTCAGCAGGCCAGCACCGATGAGCGCAGAGAGGATATCAGCGACGCTCATCATAGTCCAAAAGAATCCGAGCCGGATGGTAAGTTCATGATGCTTGTAGAAGTACGATAAGTATAAGATAACCTGTATCCAATAATAATTAGGGTTAAAATCCCAAGAGGAAGATATCAGATATTAAGGTACTGACATCAGGGATAAATCCGCCTTGAAGTATTCCTAGCAAAGCTCGCGTAGCCAAGAACGAGCTCCGACCCGAAAGCCAAAACTGACCGCCAGCTACGATAGACCACAGCACCATTTGGCTTGGAATCCATCGGTCGGGTCCCATCCACTTCGACACAAGTTGCGAGGGTAATTCCGCGCAGAGAAAAGATAACTTGAACACCGTGTTTCCGAGATTGTAATCTCAACTCATGTCAGTGGGATAAAAAGCGGCGTGGACTTATGACCAAACACACCGTTTGTAGAAAAGTGAAGATCATTAAGGAAGTTGTCTGTGAGAGCTTGTGCTAGGTTCGCCCTGTCCAGCTCGAGTGCCATGAACATGACACATGCCCAGATCATAATTCTCCAGTCTATCTTCCGGACGATGGCATATTCCTCCGCCCATTTCCATCGCGCCTTGGGATCGAACCGGTGCAAGTTCTCCCTATTGCTGGATGAGCTTTTCATAAGCTGTCTACAAACCAATGTAGGACATACCAGTCATCGCGGGGTTGGTATTTTTCCGCCGTCTGAGGATCATCAAATACACTTGGCTAAACACATATAACTATCTGTCAGTCGCTTCCATTGACGATTCCTACTTTCGGTTTATGAGTTCGTTACCTGCGTCGCAATCGCGTTGATATCGAAGTCCTTTGTACGTTGGAACCAAAAACGCTTCTCCTGCTTCGGAGCTCCTAATGGCGGTACGCCATCACTATCAAGTGAGATAGTTGACTCTGTAGCTGTCTTCTTGTCGCTGATGTTTTGGACGAGAATAGTTGCCATCGTGACGCAATGTCCGCTTGAGATGGTCGCTTTGGTCGATCATATCTGGAAAGCCCTCAAGATATCTAGATAGTACATTATATATGCCTAGTATGGGATTAGGTGTAAGGTATCACGACGTAGGTGCTATGGTATCATCGATACTGATAATTAGCTATATGCCGCCACCAGCCAGGGATCAGGGTAAGAGTCCCCATGCGTGGGGGGCGCTGGGTCTCGATCACGGAATTATTATTCGAAAAATCTCTAGCGCGATTCACTATCTAGGTACCTATGCATTGCAGCTGAATGGTGATTGTGGGGTGACGATCGATACGCATACGCCAGCATGGTCTAGAATAAGCATTCTTGCCGCCGAAACAAACTTGGAGATAAGAAAAAACAAATAACAACTCAGCATGTGCTTTCAATTATGATAGCTGTTTGGATTAGGAGGTTACAAGATTCCGGGTTACCTAACAAAAAGTATTCAGTAATATAAAGCTATACCTGCAAGTTCAAATAGATGGTATAGCTATGGGTGTCACTTAAGTGCTACATTCGACCTAACCTTTACCCGAGTACAAGTCCTCAATCGCTGGGATTTACAGATAAAAAGCCGAAGCTACCTATCTATCGTCTAAGCCATTTGTCAAATCGAATTGCAATAAAAACGTTATTGCCAGAGAAGAATTTCAGCGATGAGAAAACGCTGACGAGCCAAGTAATGTGTATAATGTTGAACCGAACCGTATGATGACAATTGGAGGTGGAATGTCGCCATGTGTCGCCATCCGGTCTTTTCTCGATTATGAGTTAAAGTCGGACCCCGCTACAGGGACCTGTCACAGAGTATCTAATGTACCTGCGTACTCGAACAGACGATAGGCATTATGTCTGGTTTGGTTCAATTGAACTTGTAATAGTAAAAGATGGTTTCTACTCGCTGGGCTGGCTACTATCATCTTACAACGAATCCAGAGTCAGTCGGAGCTCTTTTCACATCCATGAATTACTGTTCCGTAATACTAAACTGTCTTACCCTATAACTTAATGGGTCGGCTTGGTCTCAGGGTCATCATATTTACTATCTCGACATTCATGTTCGTTTGTGAATCTTGATCTTGGCGTGTAACCTGGTAAGATAAAATAAGCCTGAGAAGGCTTTATAGGATTACTTGGCGTTTCTTCGTCTATGCTTAACGTAGCCAACATTACCTAAAGTCACACGCATACATTTTGCCCCTGAATGGCTTGCATGCGTCGAGGCTGTGCCCCACCACTAACGGCGTTCTTCATAGTCACTAGGATAGGTATCTAAGTTAACCGGCTCTGAATGTTTCCTGATATAATATACACACACCATCAAGGTATGTAATATGTATATACAAAAGGTATGCAAAATATATGCCCAAACTTAGTCGGTGAATACATATGTACAAGGAAATATATACAAGAGATACTTAAAACCTTTCCAAGCCTCGCCTCTACCAAACAGAGTCTAATTCTATATATAATATATATCATATATCGCACTAGATCTTATCAAGGATCTCATCCTCTTCTATGTCCATATTATCAGACATGTAATCATACTGGTCAAGCCCAGCGGACTCGTCGAAAATGTGGTCATTGAACTGCTTCTCGGCAAGAGTAGCATTACGCTCCACAATGTGGTATACTAGATCGCCGGGCTGTAAGTCTTCGGAAGATGTGATGGTGTCACCACTATGGCGGAGCTTGTACTCTGCCACGGTCTGCGGCCTTTGGGGCTCCTCGCGCTTGAGTGGGCCGCTCTTGTTCCACTGGTTGCTGTCGGCCTTGCAGTCGGGCTTCGTCTTGCAGGGGCCGATCGTCTTGGTCTTGCTGCCTTTAAAAGCAACCGTGAAGCTGCAATTCTTCCTGCCATTACACCCAGTTTTCTTATATATTCCTCTGGATCGGTATAACTGGCCCAGGATTGCCCCTTGGCCTATGTAGGATAGAATATAAGTAGATTGCTAATTTTGCTAACGGGGTGCCCATGGCTTCAACTTACGGCTATTCTCGCTTCTTGGCACGCAGCGGTTGATCTGGCCACCTCTATCTGCCTGCTTGGTCGTGGCGAAGGGGTACTCATCACAGTTATACCCCTTTTTCTTCAACTTCTTCTCGCTGCAGCGGTTGTTCTGGCCACAGCCTGCTGACAGCCTACGCTTTCTCTCGACATCGTAGAGAGGCTTATCCCAAGTAAGTTGCTTAGGCTTGTGTTTGCAGTGGACAGCTAGGTAATCAAGTCAGTTATTTAGCTGAGATATTCAAACTTATACTAGTTGAAGGGGGGCTAAATCTTCAGTGAGTCGTACCAAAGCACATATTGTGACAAACCTCTGGCATTCGATCACAATCAAACGTTACAACCCTTTTTTGAGTGGCCCTGATGATAAGCTCTGCACTGTCCAGAGAAGACTCCTGGCCGAGGGCCAGGGCCACGGGAGTCGCCGCGATGATTGAGAGAATCCAAGACGCCTTCATAATAAATATATATACAATGAAAACAAGGAAACAAGGTAACAAGATGTAAGTAGTAAAAGGGATACTGGATGAGCGTATGGAATTTGTTTAGTCTTCTATCTATATGGCTAAACTTGGTTAAAATATATATCCCTTTATATCTTCAATATCTCAACCTTTCTTAAATAGGACTCAGGACGGAATACCAGTGTGCCTTCGAACAACTTGTGGTAACGGCTTATGGCTTACAGTGATTGGGATAACTCGTTTCAGAAAAGCCATGGTAGTGCCCAACTCTTGCTTATGGATTGTATCAGGTAGGTAACCTCCTGTGGTAAGCATATCTATCAAGCTGTTGTATCTTATGTTGGCGGATTTGCCAAATACGGGAGGCGCAAAACAACTCGTTACGCGGAAATATTTTTAGTGGACGCCATAGATAGAGCAGGATGGGAAAAGGTCCCTTGGCTCCTACCAACTCGGCTGTTTCATTGACTTTGCGAACATTTGTTCGCTGACTGATGCTCAGATGCCACTAAAGGATGAGAAACAAAAAGGTGTTGGTTTACTTTGTATCTCAGGGATATGGTACCTAGGTATGTAGCTGGCATATGATAGCGGAATTTCTTTTCGACGAAGGTAGGTGGCTTGCCCCTTTTCGATCGGCATCATATAACGTACATATTCAATAGTTTGGGGTAGTGTTCATAACCAAGACATTCACGGGCCTGTACTACATAAGGCTGCACGCTGTTATATTTAGGGAACCCTCTAGCTTAAACTAGAAGGTTAAACAGCCCTACCACACCACTGGTCTATTCAGCTGAGCTGACATATGAAGTGAAGTTCTCAAGTACCAGGTATACTAGGTAGGTACTATATACTCAAGGCTATACGTGGAAATGTCAAGGATTACTCATGGGACACAAGCAGATAAGAATCTCACGAGTAATTAATTGAAGGAGCCTAATTAAGATTTGTTTCCGGTATGTCTTACAGGTCAAATTATGGGAATCGCAATCCTTTGTTTGACGGCACAAAAATAAAAGCTTGGTAGTACATAAATAAAGTGGCGGAGGATAGGACTCTTAATGGCGCATTTTGAAGGGGATACAACCAACAGCTGTATCTAAAAGTATCACTGGCTTTTAAACCAACCAAACCAACGGCCAAACGCCCAGCCATAAAACAATCCCTCCTCTGTACAACAATCGCCATTTCTGCGCGGGGTCCTGTTTAGGACTTGAGTTCTTACCAACATCAGAAGCCAAAGAACCAAAGAACTACTCTAATCATTGTCACTGTCCGACTGTTCTATTTTTCAAACAAAAAACTCAATTCAAAATCCGAATACACTACAACCCCACTGAGAGCAATCAATAACACGAAAAAATTACCACAATCCCCCACCATTCATCATCATGGAGCCTGCATCCTTGGATCTGACACTTCCTGAAGCCGCGCCCGAGCTCATACAGTTCAGGAAGTACGCCTGGAGCGCGAGCGCGTTCTACCTTTACACGCTCGTTCCCGGGGTGGACCTGGACGAGGTCGCCGTCGTCTTGCAGGGAGAGTGGCTCGAAGACGGGGACGACATGCCCATACTCAAAGTCGCGAAGCCCGAGGCCGACTTCTCGGGCAAGACCCTCGCGGACGTGGTCGCGGCGCACGTTGCGACGGACAAGGGGATCAAGCGCGACAAGAAATGGCGGGGCCGTGGGTCGAAGGGCGACGTAGACGTGTATCCGGAGGCGTTCGTGGTCGTGACGAAAACGGACTGGAAGGAGGACCGCGGGCTGCTGTTTGTGTACGTGATGGAAGGGGTGAAAGGGAGGGGTGGCAGGCTAGATAAGTACTTCTTCAAGTATGAGGACGGATATATACTGCTTTCGAGCGTGTGGCTTAACGACGAGACGATGGACGGCGCAAAGGAGGCATTTGATATCGATGGGAAGCATGATTTAGATGACGAGGAGGAAGAGGAAGAAGAAGTGACGACCGACGAAGAGGACGATGAGTGAAGGATACGGTAACAGGTAGAGTAAAACACACATGTACAAGAGCGCTTTAGACATAATATATCAGCGATTTAGGTGCATCAGATTGGCATCATGCATTAATTAGGTAAAACCTATAAGGATATGAAATGGAAATAACTATTAATCGTTGAGGTACTTATCAATATCGTATGAGTGTATTTAGAGATTGTATATTGTACCTAATTCGTAAGGCTTTGACAGCAACAGACATTAATTACAAGACATACCAAGATTCGCTAGTAATATCTTAAAAAGTCTCATTAAACCATTCACGAATATTCGTGTATAATGCAGCGCTCCTATATAATTGGAAAAAAATTAATTGTATGTTAAGCGATATCCCGGCAGGGATACGGGCTCTAAAGAGTTTTACAATTACGAACGCAGGAAGCATCTTCTTTGAGGCTGATACCTAAAAAGTTAGGAAGCATCGAGTCCACGGGCCAGCCGTGTTCAATGACCCCTATCTTACCTTTGCGAACAAGTCAAGATGGCAGATTCGAAGGCCGAGGAGGCCTGACAACCGAGAAACCCCTTTCCGTGGTGCGCGACTCTCTAGACACCCCTGCCCATAATCCCTGCAGGGAAAAGGATCGTCTCGAAGACATCGACGTCGCAGCCTCGGGAGCTCTAAGCGCGATACGTCCTGTCTCCGTCGGCCCTGGCGTGCCGTAATATAGATCAGATTCACGGAATGAATAGTCGCCCCATCGTGGATGTAAAGACTTCGTATCGGTATCAGTAGCCGCCACTGGGGATGATGACCCACTCTCCGAAGACCCCGAAGAACCAGTGTCAGAAGATGGCCTCGAGTAATTTGCAGAGTTACAATACACACTTTGATTTTCCGAATATGTCTGCTGCGATTGAACATAATCCTGAAGGGGGTTCATAGAGTGTTGCGGAGAGATGCGGCTGTGTCGCGGAGGTCGATAGTAACTCCAGCTTGAAGTGGAAGCCGAGTCACGATGGGAACCGCTACTGCCGCCCGAGTGGTGTGCAGATTCAAGATATACAGAGCTATCTCGATAACTGTCATTTTCCGGAGATGGATAAGATTCGGGGCGGTCCGGCAAATTAATCCTTACAGCTTCACGCCGGCGAAGTTGGCGAAGACCATAAACCTAATATAACTTATTAGTTTCCGTGCAACACATACCCCTTATTGGACTTCCGGATAACGTACTGAAGGGGCTGGATCGTCTGAATGTTGATAACATAACTTTCCAAGCTGTATTAAAGCTGGGATAAAAAACCCGAAAACGAGTACACACGCATGTGTAAAAAGGATTAGATAGCCGACGGCACTTCTCGCATTGTCTGATGCGACTCCAGGCACAAAAGCGACCATGCATAATAACGTCCCAAGTCGAATGATGGCAGACACCGTATCAATCGAGAATAGACTATAGGCCTGAAACTGAATGATGGATGCTAGTAAGACGAGTTCGCACGCTGCGAGGACTACTAACTGTGCCTTTCCCGATATCTGAAGCCCCCCGATGGCGATACCGCGGATAAATACTAGCACAAAAAGAACAATGATGAACGATTTATGCTGCTGAGTTAGGCCATCCGATGAAGATACCTGGCGGTATTGTTTGCGGCCATTGAAGATCAGAATACCTAGACTTCGCATTGGGATCTGGAAGAAGAGCCAGACAAATGCGACAAGGATACTGAGTATGAAGGCCGATGCATATAGAATATGCCAGTATGGCAGATACGACGCATTGTCAAGTTGATAGCACGATAGTGCTATTAGAGGCAGCATGAAGTAAGATAGAACAACGTGCAAGGTGCGATTAAAAGTCCGAAGTAGACCAGTATCGGAACCATCAGGTCGAGTTGAAAGCCAGAAAATCTCCAGGCAAAGAGCGGAAAAGGCCGCGATAACAACAATAAGTACGACCATATTCACCCATGTGTCCATTATGGTGGGAGCACCAACAATTTGAGTCATCAACTCGAGGCCGAACGTCCCTCCATAAGTACCGTTTATCTCGTAGATCCCATCATGGATGCCCTTATAAGCAAACCTGCTTGGGACCAAATCATCTGCAAAAAGCGACATCCATCCCAGCCGGCTAACCGCGGGCTGATAGAAGCCTGGGTAGAACAGGCTCAAACTTCCTGTGAGGAAGATGAACTGAAGGTACTGCAAACAATCGGCAAACCCTGGAAGAACGGCCCTGAGTGAAGCCGCTGACGACTTGAGACTGTCTTGGACAGACCTAGCAATGCCGATTAGTAGAACGAAGAAGAGGATGCTTAACGGCACATATCGCAACGCCCCTCGTAAAGCAGGGGTAATTTCAGGGGTGATGTTAGCTTGTAGACAGCCGTTTTCATTTGCATCATGGTCAATTAAGTGAATCGTAGTGTGAAAGGTAGAAAATGAATGGAAAGCTCTTGTATCGATGGCTGCCTCCATGATCAAACGCGATTGGTTTATGGTTGGGATTTGTTGGCAAGTTATATTAGGTGTAGTACGGCGAATACTCGTGGAGCGAAGCTGATCGAGTTCAACGTCTGTCGCCGCTATTCTCGTAGCCCATTCTTCACATCCACTGCCGCTCGTCCGGCGGCCGACGACTAGGGAAAGTCGGTCATGAGTTTTGTTGGTGTGTATTAAGCTGGTAGATAGAGTCTCCGGGACGAATCTACTCTCATCAGGTGTGTAACCATCGCAATGTTGCCATTGTACGTAGGCAGCTGAAGCATAAGAAAGGAAAAGGTGCAATAAAGCAAAGCGCATAATCGCGGTATATTAAACGACTTTACCGTCGTCGCACGCGTCAACAAGTGCAAAGAATATCAAGTATTGTACACATTTGTTTAGACGACGCTCAACCCCTACTCAAATAAAATTTTTACTGAATGAAAGTTGATTTTTCCGTAAATGCTGAAAAGCTCACAACATGTTTATATTTGTATCCTTGAAAGAATTTCTTGAGGCTTCGGCACTTCTGTTGTGCTAATGCCAGGATATTCCCAGCTAACGTCAGAGGGAGACCCTTAACATGGGGAGTTTTCGGATATAGGGGTATGTAAAAATACGAGGTGGACCCAGCTGAGTAGAAACGCATCATACACGTGATCCGTATCCAGTACTAATATAGCACTAACGTCTTTTAGATTAGTTCCATGTTGTGTGCAAGGCGGTGCCAATGGATTTATTGACCCGCTCCGGCCCGCTTTCGCTTCTCTCCGATCAATAAACAATTGCAGCTGGGCAGCCCGGTTAGCCCTATGAGAGCTTGCATCACATTACACATAATAACGATCTTACTATTCTGGTTGGGTTAGGGCCATGAGTTAGGTCGCCATATTCACGTAAAACTCAGTCAACTTTTTTTCATGATGCTAAAGGGAAAAAAAAAGACAAGAATCCATATTATAAATCTAGTCCTACATTCTCCTTCACCATAAGATACAAAACATTAAGTAACATACCCACTTAGCGTAGGGGTTCAGTATCGTTAAGTCCTTTCGAAATGTCGGCGTTTTCCCCCCTCTCTTCATACATCCTTGGCGCAGCCTGCTTCGCTCGGGGGTTTATGGCCATCTTCTCCCCGGAGGCCGAGTATAATAACGTCGGTCTACCAATCGACATTGATACTAAGGGTCCTTCTCTAACGGACCAGGATGGCGATGATGATGAATCTATCACCAGCTTCACATCGCCGCTCATGTACTTTAAGGGTATCCGTGAAATTAGCTATGGCATGACTCTAATAGCTTTAGAGTGGCAGGGAAATACGGCCGCTGTCACGACATTCGCAGCCGTCCTATCTCTGGTGAGGTTTGGAGATGGTCTGGTCGTTTGGCTAAGCGGGTGCGAGAAGCTGAAGTTCAAGGCGTTGGGCCATTGGATCACAGGTCTCAGCTTCCTCGGATGGGCAGCCCGGAGGTGGAGGTAATGAAGCCATTCCGAATGCCCGCCTCAACGGTGGCGTGATCCGACACATTGAAGTAGGGATGGCTCATTCCCGTCGGTCGCATACCAAACTTTCCAAGAATTTACCTCTCCATGACTTTTGATCTCATAAGGCACATTCGAAATCAAGCTGGGAGGGGGCAATGTGAACAAACATGCAATATTACTTTTAGACACACATATCATCCATATCGCATCCAAGCATCTGATTGCTAGACGCTTCCGGACGGCGGGTGGTATGATGAGATAGCCTATCACTACGGAACCCGGAACTATTCCACCATATCGGACAAAGAGCTTCCAACGACATACAACATCTTCGTTAGTGTAACGCAGATTTATAGTTCAAGCAGAGGATAACTTGATGTGGGATTTCCATTGTCTGGCATCAGGAACGTTTTGTAAAAAGCACCAAGGGAATACGCTCCCAATCCTTGTATGCAACAATAAAACTCGGCAATAAACTCAAGAATAAACTCAGGAATCATAGCAAAAGTTGTCAGAGATCCCGATGCTCCAAATCCTCACCACACAACCAGAAATCGTTTAACTTAAACCAGCACCCCATTCCTTAACTCGCCATCGTATAAAAGCCGCCCGTTCAGACAGAGTCTATTGCCTCGACACTAGGCTTGTAGCCAACTCGCGACACCCCTAAAGCGGTACGAACATGCTCAATAGTCAAGGCGCCCTTCTCGTGACTAGCCAATAGTTGGGCAGTCTTGATAACATTCTTGATCTCGCGTCCGTTGAGTGGAATGGACTGTAACTCGAGGAAGTGATGCGGAAGTAAAGTTGACTCCTGGTAAAAGTTCTGGACGAACCGTTCCCAAATCTGCCGGCGCGCCGGTACGTCCAGGACGGGATAGTGGATAGTCAGATGTATTCTGCTCTGGAAAGCCGGGTCCATGGCTTCGACTCTGTTCGTAGTCATGAATAGCATGCCGCGGTAATACTCGAGCAGACGCAAGAATATGGCGACGATGCTGTTTCGTCCAAGACTGTCATCACTGCGCTCGGCAAGAATAACGTCACACTCGTCGATAAGTAGAACCGCATCCCATTTGGCAGCTGTTTCAAGGATCATGTTGAGGTTATCTTCGACTATGTCGGGTTCGGCTCCGAGTTCCCCGACGCCCAGTTGGTAAAGTGGACGCCTCAGCTTTTCTGACACTATATTGTTGTTAAGATGTCACGTTAGAAACCGCACGCTCAACATGGTTCTTAGGCTTTGCTTACCAGCCTCCGCCGTCAGAGTTTTACCAACTCCAGGCGGTCCCTCGAGAAGCATACTGATACCCTGGCCTGTGGATCATTCACTCTTGTTAGTCACGCCGTGCTCGTTGGAAGCTCAAAATCGGGGTGCCTAGTACATACCTTTGCCCTCAATCACGTCGTCAAACCTGTCCTTATTCTCGACATGGCTCTCGACAAACGTCATGATCAAGTTCTTGTACCCGCCAGCCAGCACGAGGCTCTCAAATGCGTCGTCGCGCCATTGGATATCCTGTATGTTGTCGACGTGGAATATGACTATATGAGATCTTGGTAAGTAACAAATGCAGCCATGGCCAATTCTTCGGGATACTTTATTAGAAAATACTCACCCCACTTCTTGATCTTGAAGCAGTATCCCCGTCCATACCCAGTGCATAAGTGCAGCAAGTCGTCACTCAGCTCTTGGATTCGCGCTGTCGTATTCAAATTTAGTGCCTTTCCCAACCGGGCTTCAAAATATCACTTACAATCACTAGCAAACCGTCTTGTCCCAGCGCTATGGGTTATAGATAGAAATACAGGTGGCGGAGGGGACAATAGGGGGGCCTGTCTATGATCAGCTCGGAATCTCTACATTAGGTACCTCTATCGTAGAATAGAGCTCCTGCAGCGGTTCTTACAATTGGTCTTCCAACAGGGCCCGGTTGAGGAGGCGCATTTTGGTGCGCTTGGTCAGTTACCATCATTCCTGGTATCAAGAAGTTGGAGTCCAGGGGTATTAAGTCGATACAAGTGTCGGTGAAGTTTTCGTACGATTCAGGATCGACCACGATTCTTCCGTCAACCTAGTTATACTTGTAAGATCTTCATTTTCACTCATTCGTTTCCATCAGTACTCACGTTACGTTTTTGCTTTCCATCTATAACGATGCCTTTGTATGCACCATAGTAATACGGTTTAAGGTGGATGTCTCGGAACTTCTCGCCTCGCTTTCGAAGAGTTTCCTTAACCTCGCTTAACCGCGGGTGGTAAGAAGCAGGAAAGATATCAAGGTCGCTGATTTTCATCGTTCCCGGGAAGCTGGAAATCGAGAGAGTCCTCGACTGATATCCACAAGTGTCTCCATCGTAATTGATTTCGTTGACTATCACGCGGAATATATGACTACCGGCTCCCATGTTGTACTGGACCTGATGAAGCTTGTAAATGCGATCATACCCATCTTCGAAGGCGTAGACATCAATGCCAGGCTTGAAAATCGTCCACAGATAGTCGAAAGTGATGACTCCGTTTTGACTCAGATCATTGCTTTGGGAGATGGTTTCTCTCAACTCGGACCTCAGGACCTTGCGCAGTAGACGCGCATGGCTCTTAGCCACGGGGTCTTCTATCTCGCGGACGATCTTCTCGAGGCGGTCCCATTCGTAGAAGAAAAAGTGAAACGGAGCTGTGAACACCAGGTTCTTAAGCGTTGTAGTTATTCCTGAGTACTCTTCGAATAGTTCTCCTAGGATCAACTTGAGGTGGGAACTCTGTATGACGATGGAATGAAGAACCATCGGTTTTCCATCGTTATGGCTTCTTTGCATGCGTATTAGAAGTGCGTGACGCCTGCTTTCGTTCTCTTCTTCTGCCGATGGGCCTATGCCTTTTGGCAATTCATCTACCCAATTAATGCAACAAGTACATTTGGATTCTCCCTCGTATAAGGTTTTGACATTGCAAAGTTCCCCAGGGCGATCATTGGTAGGAGCATCATCTTCAGCAGCAGATGCGTCTGAGCCAAGCTCCAACCAGTCCGCGATGCTGGTTTCTAACATATTGTGAAGCTGATGCTGTGGGGGCTAGAAAGAGGTTAGCATATGATTCAACAAGGCCCTACGTATAGTATAACTCACATCCCCAGAGCTGCTTTCTATGTCCGACTCGGCCATGGATATAGATTCTTGCTCGTGTCTAAACTAGGGAACAGGAAAGAAGAACCTTTACAGCGGCCGTCATGTCATCAGGACTTAGTTTTGTACCAATACTGTCAAGTATAGGATTATACGTGGTGTAACAGTGGAACACAAGGGCCTCTGGCCTGATAGGCAACCAGTCGCAAAATCGAGGAATCCGCGTCTTGTACGACGCATGTAATCATATAGTGAGACCACATGGGCTATGCCTATTGGCCCTATGCTCATGCAGTATCAGTTGCCTCACTGCAACGGCAATCTTACAGACTCATTGGCAACTCGGTCAGCAGACTCTTCTCAAGCAGGCTCTGGTTATCGATGGCCTATTTATATAATATGTGTAACTTGACTAGAATGAATCAGCTAGTTATAGGTATGCTACGTAACAATTTGACAACATTTGTGCTTGCTTGTGTCCTATAGTCGTATCTTTCTTCCACTTGAAGGCATCATTTTAGATTAGGCATCCAGTGGGTAATGGCGCTGTTGGTGCCTATGGCCTTTGCAGAATCAGATTCGAAAAAGCGGATTTGCGTATGACAGTATATTAAATGGTAGGATACGCAGCACTGATGAGTGAGTCCTGCTACCCATACCCATACGTCCGGGTCTAATATAGTTACTCCACTTGATCGTTTTTACACATCTGAGATATTGGGGGCCAAAAATCCCCGTCTGATTTTTAAGGTCGCGGACCACTTTCCAACTCGACGTCTCCTGGAGGATGACTCTTCCTTGGACAAATACTAACTGAATCTTCTAAGCATAGATCGGGTTAGATACGTCGGCATATCGCAATATCTTACTTGATTAGGATTTAACTTACTTGGGTGTATCGGCTTTTCGTCTTCCTGATCGTACCCTGTTGCAAATGCACAGTAAAGTCGGAAGAGAAAGCGGCCAATAACGCCAACCCACCCCCGCTCTTCCTGCAGCTCACGTCTAAAGTCGCTTCGTGTCGAAGTACGATCATCGTTGGAGCCATCATTTAACCCACCTATTAATTCCAAACGTTAGGGTTCTCTATACGAAGGGTTACTGGGGTTCGCGAACCTGCAGGAGCTGCTGCATCCTCGTCAAAAGCATGTCGAAACCCACGGCCCAGTCTTATTAATGTCGTTCCGATAACATGCACTAAAAGCCCAAGGGCTAGGACTAGAGGTATGAGCTGACTGGCCGAGTTTACGGCGTTGACTCCTTCAATGCCATTATACCGAAGTGTTACTTCGGCGCCGGTGACGAAGATGACAAACGGTAAAAAGCTCCAACCCTGCAGGAAAATGTGTTGAAATATGTTGTAAGCAATGCCTTCTTCGCCAGCATACCTTGGGAGCGCTTGACGTGGGAAGCGAGCGTCAGCACCGGAAACCAACACCGGAGCTGGGCCTCCACCGTCTCCCTCTTCCCGGACCATCTTTCTAAAATATCGGGACACTAAATGAGCAAATATGAGTATATCTTCAGCCCGAGCTTGTTCCCGAGCTGCAGCTTGCTTTTGCCGAGGATCAGTAGCATTTGGACTGATTCGCCACTCACGCAAGCTTACAGACACGACTTGAAATGCAGTTGACAAAATGGCCATACCAAACCCAATATCAGATACCGTCCAAAGGACCTTGTTCAAAGTCCTAAACCAGCCTCGAAGGCTGATTTTGGTGAAAAAGAACCCGAACTCTTCTTCGCAGCCGGACATCGGTAAGACGTCTAACCCCACCCACCAGAACCAGGTGAAGTAGAAACAAAACGCCCCCCATAGCAAAAGGGCGATGGTACCGCGGATGTGCACGAAGCCGCTTGGTACGTCGGTGTTTATGACGTTCAACACGAGCTGGGGAACAAGGAGGAAGAAAAGGAGATAGGCCTCCGGAGCAAATAGGGTTCTCGACGCGCTCTCCCTGACAAGTACGATGAAATTGGCGAGGACGAAAGCAATGGTAGAGCTCGTGATGGCTTTGAAAGCCGGTTTCACCGACGGTCTTGCGAGCACGATGGCGATGAATTGCAAGTAAAGACCGAGGCGCAGTCCCAGTCTAGATGATAAGTTTAGTATAAGTCAACATGACATAAATAGCGAGCAGTGAACAAACCCATATAGGTCTGGCTTGCCTTGTATAGGGCAGCCATGATCGGTATCCGCCATTATCACGACGTATTGTAAAAGTTATGTTGGGAATCCTAGTCAGAGAATCAGCGATCAATCTCTCATCGCGCTCTCTCTCCAAGTCGATTAAGGTATGCTTTGGGGTCTCCAATAGTATCGTAGTACCCGTGAGTGCGGCTGAGGCAACGAGCGCGATGCCAGATAGAACAGTCCAGACCGCCGTCCCCAGCAACACTATAGCAACGCACTAAGGCCAATTAGGGTGCGAGTATTTCAGCTTCTAGTCCTTTTAATGATAAGATTCCATCCTCCCTTGCCTGGTTACCGCGCATGACAGTTTGCCAATATGACACACCATGTCAGTTCTCCGCCTTGAAGAAAACACTGGCCTTTGTAAAAAGATAAACTTCAGCGCTTCAAGTAAGCATTTGAATCAAGCGGCCTCTTAACGGACGAGCTATCTAAACGCCCCCTTTACCCCTGAAGATGGCATCTTTGGACAGCTGTGAGATGGACGGCGATGCGGACTTCTACGGCATCGGGATCCGGCTCGGCCTCTATGCCCAATCGTTAACGACGCTACTCGTAACACTGTTCGTGCAGGAAGAAGAAGCCGTAAACAGAATCCTCAACTTACTCCTGCAGCTAGCGATCTTCGCCGGCACGCTCCTCTCCACAAACGCAGGGACTATCCATGCCTTCGAGGTCATCATCGTCTTCTGGCTGCTCGTAGGCGCGCTCTCCAGCCTGACGGGGAGCGGCGTGACCGGTACCCATTCCTTCTCGGGCATCTGCCGGCTCCTATTCTACATCGCTCTGTCGGCATACGGGTGCTGGTTCTTCTTCGAGGGCCAAGACGCTATGCAGGACACTCCATGCGTCCAGATCGTATTCTTCGGCGAGTCGAGCTTAAACGGCTGGTTCCGAACTTTCGGAAAAGCAGCCTCGATTATCAGTCTTACTATTTGCGTTGGATTACTCGCGTGGGCTGGGACTACTTATGCCAAGCGAGGAGGTGGGGAAAAGCCGCGACGTGTTTCCTATCGACCTCAGACTGAGATTACGCTCATGCTTCTCTCGATCGCTACGGTTATCTTGTCTATCACGTCAGCCGAATACGTCATAACAGCGAATCATCTCAGTGGCGTAGATGATATATTCGACGTTGGACAGGTTCTGGCATTTCTCGTGGGGGTTTTCCAGTTGCTGAACGTCCTGGTCCCTATTTTTCTTAAAGGTCATTTATGGGCCCCTCGATGTTGGCTTCTATTTGGGAGACATCTAACCTAAGTAATAGCATACCTTGTATTATGATTCTAATAGATTATTTCTATGGGATGGTTACTCATACCTACGCATATTCTATGTTAGGCAGATGTGTGTTGAAAATGTCTCCTGCGCCTTGTTATATCGTAAAAGCTTAATCCTTACTTGATTGTTTCTAGAATCTTTGTGATGGATATCTTATAATAAGTCCTAGCTTCGCTACAGGTAATTTAACAAAGTAACAGCGTTTCCCTTTCTTTTGATCTATCCCCAAGAACAAAACTTCAATACTAAGCAGGATACCTCTGTAATTACGTTTAGGCAGGTATACATCGACATAGCCCACAAAATAGCTCGAAAAACAAAAAGCAAAGCTAGTAGACTTTACAGTCGTGACTTTCTACAAGGTAGACGGCTCAGGGGTGAAGCGAGCAGATCCTTCTACTAGAGTCTACGCACTCTTCTTCAAGCTCGCATACCACGAAGCCGTAACAAAGAACGCGCTTAGCAGCATGATACAACCGGCCCATATTTGCATGTACAAGTATCGCCCATCCGCAACATCTATCAGCGCTCCGGCAATCGGCGGCCCCGTCAAGCACGCGAAGGAACCAACTGTCATGATCATACCCGATCGAGTACCTACTTTGCTTAGATCTTTAGTCAAAGACGGCAGGCCAGCCATAGAAATTGTCTGGACACCGCCGTTGATGATACCGGACAGAACAGCAAAGACATAGAGAGCGGCCGGATCTCGCACGCCAATCCAGCCGAAATACAAAACGCTCGCACTGATAGCAAGCGGTACCAAAGTCCGGAACGGGCCGAAGTACGCATCAGAGACGAGCGCTGGTATTATTCGCCCTGGCACACCGACTGCGTTCGCGATGAAGAGCGTATTAAGCGAAGTTGAAGGCTCCATGTGTAATATTGTTCTCCCATAGTGGTTTATCTAGCTAAAATGTTAGCTTTTGCAGGTGAAGATTTCTGGTAGTTATAAGAGCAATAGGCAAGAATTATAACCACGGATCAAACTTACATAATTATAGATTAAATATACACTCCATAGGATGCAGAAAGCACCGGCGCTATAGAGTGAATAAGGCAACTCCTTGAACGCAGCCCACTCGACAATTGGTCCCCTTGGTCGCGGTGGTAGCCGCGTGCGGGCAAATATTAGCATTACAGACGCGTTGAACATGACTACGAAGCCCATGACTCGCATAGTCCAGGGGAACCCTATCTTCCCCGGGAGCTGTTGCGCGATGATAGGAAAGACGAGTCCACCAGTGGCGCCACCGCTCGTAACAAGAGAGATAGCGAGTGCACGCTTTCGAGCGAAATAGGTAGAGACGCATGCGATGATGGGGCAGTAAAGAATACCGGCGCCGAGTCCACCGCATACGCCCTGGGCTAGGAAAAGCTGCCAGTACTCGGTAGCAAGGGACGCCATGAATATAGCGAGCAGTTGTAAGAAGGAGCCGATCAAGATCAACGAGCGGAAGTAACCGGCATCGAAGAGACGACCCGAGAACATGCCGATGCAAGCTAAGAGGAAGACCTGCACGCTACCGGTCCATGACACCGCTGATAACGGCAGATTCAACTCCTCCGTGTAGTAGTCCTGGAAGATGCCATAGCTGTTGAACCAGCCAAACGTGTTGAATAAGGCCAGACTTGAAGAGGGGTTATTAGAAGCATTATCACTACGGTGGTGGTCAAAGATTCTTACTGTCCGACAAAGACCTGAATCCACCCAGTACCACCATCGGGTGGTGGTGGTGGTGCAACGTTCACGGGACTTCTGACCGGAGTTGTCTCATTCTCACTCGATGGCGAGGCCGTAACAATTACGGAGGTCTCCTTCTCCAAACTCATTGCCTATCCAGATTGAAGTGGTCGACTAATTTGCGTGAGTTATAAGAAAGACAATTTAATTTTACAACCGGGGAGGACTTTAATAAATTAGGAGCTCTTTGTTTTTGTCTGGTATGTGCCGGAAACTGAAGCGTTGCTTACAACTATGTTACTCAACCTGGTTATCGGCAATACCAGGCTAAGTACCTGGGAAGGTAGATAAGGGGTTGCCGACAAACGGAGAGCACCTGTTCTAGTGGATCGTGCTGGTGAGATGGTGAGATACCACAAGTATAGTGTAAGTAAGTACCTAGGTAGGTACATACACTTAGTCGGATGTCAAGTGGTTGCTGTATGTAATATCTAGTTCCGGCTAAATTCTTATAGAAAAGATCTTTGCCTAACCTCGGAGTAGTTATCGAAACATTTGGTTAGGTAGGTACCAGGTAGGCGGTAAGGTTAGAAAGTTGTAGATGGCCCACGGCATTTACAACTATTGGGGCTGGATAAAGGGGAGAGATGTGCTTTATAGCTTAGGTACCTAAGCCTAGTTGCAACTTCCATATAAGCAAGGCTCATCTTACTATACCTAATATTGGAAGGAAAGGCATGAAAGGGTCTAGGTTAGCAAGTACTATCCCTACCTACCTAAGTACCTATTGTAACACTTGCCCTATCTTGACTACCTGAAGATGTAACATGTGTAACATTTGGGGGTAGTTAAGTTGGAAATTTTAGAAAATCCTTTCTCTTAAAATCGGTAAACCCTTGTCATAACGCGTGAGAAAAAAGAGGCGGGAAAAGCAAGGGTTAGGCATCCGGGGTAATGATATGATAACCGTCTCCAGTAATACGGAAAACACCCCCCCTCGTCAGGAATATCCCGAATTGAATTGGCCAGCATCCCCCGTCAAAATATTGCGGAAGGATTCGCGCTCAACCATTCTTTCGGGTATATATAAATGCATGCAATGCCTCCGGTCTATCCCTCCTGGAGGACATGTAGACTGGAATCATACATGAGGCTTCGCTTTCTGTTCCGTCTAATTCCTGAACCTTCAAGCAAGCTCGGTGCTTCCCTCCGACTGGGGCTTCGAGTCCCCGGAGAATATTCCTCTAAATTTCAACAAACCGGCTCCATGGAACGACTAGATGTGGATCATATCAGTACCTTACATAGTATCGCAGGCTCTGCGCTGGCCTTCCTGTAGCGCATTTCAAAATGACAATAAAGGTCTGTCTTGTCCTTCTTCATCCCAGACCGCTTGGATCATGCAGTTGTTGATGCAAGACGGGGTTCAATTTCCCGGGGATAACATACCACGCTAACGATGCCATCCTTTCGATACCGCCTTTTACAAGGATCTTGTGCTTTGTTGAAGTATCTACAGCTCATACCCTTTAAGCCGACTTGCTTCCGCGCAAAGACGTCGTAACGCCCGCGTTATTGGATAATACCTCCAAGTTGCCCCACCCCTGGAACTCTGGAAGAAACATTTCGGTCAAGTTTTCGATGATGGGCAAATCGCTAAAGCCCAGATGCAGAAGCTCTAACTTCCCTGTTGATGAGGGAGACAATAGTTCGGCATGGTGGTGAGCAGGTCGCATAATGGTGAGATGAGAGAAGATTCTTCTACGACGTCTCGTCTGCCCCGCGCTGGTAGATTCTGATAAGTGTTTTATTAATACAAGGTTATCTCAAAGCAATAATGTTATGATATCTTTTTAGATAATCATTGCATATGCGGCATGCATATATATTAGTGCATATGATTTGAAAGTCCGCATCTGACGACAAAAACCGCTGCAACACCGAGTCAAAATAATAGATGAGTACGAATCCGATACCGATAACCAACGTCCTTCATTCATGTTGGCTGGCGACTGCATTTTAGCCGTAAGGGGGGTATATCTCCGTTTGCCAATAGACTTATGAATGCAGGTGAATTTTTCGTTGTGGTAAGAGAGCGTACAAACACCGAGCTACTGCATGTAAGTACCTGGATTATGCAGATATGGAGTGTGTCCAATTGGTTCGCCGGGGCCGGGGATGTTCCATGTAGGATTGATCAGTTCCGGGTAGGTACCTGGCATATCTGAGATACCTAACTCAGCTCTCCAGGAAATTATGGAAAAAAAAAAAAAAAAGTCAATGGCCATCTTTCGGTTATTCGGTATTATTGCTACCTTCAAGTTATGCTACATGATTGATACTTGTTAGATTTTCCCAGCCAGGTACGCGATTAACGGCTCGTGATGATATGATAGTAGGTGACATGTCCTGCTGTATCACCCATAACTCTTAGGCCTAATCACCCTAATGATGGGAGCCGTGCGGGGGCTAATGCAATGCTGGCTGGCTGCCGGCTCCGGCGGGTATCGGGTATCTACCTCTTTGGGTACCTCGCAGCTCGATGCTTATAATCTCGATTCTTGAAACCCTCTTTCTGTCTAACACGGGATGGGGGGGCCGGGCCTGCATCATGACATTCCAACGACTCAAATGTCTCAAATACTACGTCAAGGGGCAGAGCGAATGCCAGGCACGACGTAGGAGAAATGGCAAAAACCCCCTTTATAACGTCTGCTCACGCTGCGACGGCTGAATCCAAAACCCCCCAATTTGGTAATACCTAATAAGGACTTGGTAAGGCGGTAGGTGGGGAACTCCGGTGCGGACTGCGCTCCCCCAGACTTTCTTATACGGCCCATACAGGCGGATCGCAGTAGAATTCCAGCCAGCCAGCTAGTTGCGGACATCCCTATTTATAGATCGGACCTGTCGGGGGATCCGTGTACGGATATAAGTAAAAGGGTTAGCCGCGTACCAATCGCCTTTAAGGCTGAAATAGAAGTATGAGGGCACCCTTGCTACATCTAAGCCGAATATCTTGAACCGAACATCTACTCCGAATACCCCGCAATCGCACGGCTCTCATAAGATCCCATTTCAGGATGGCTACCGGAAACATTAGCTTCGAGGGTATGGGGAATTACATCCTTGCTGGCATAAAGCCGCATCAAGTATTGGATCATGTGCATGCTGACTTTCATAATTAGACTACCTCGCCTTGCAGGCCTGTCTGGTCGAGTGGGCGGATAGCTACGACACCAAGGATTGGAACAGGTTGCGGCAGTGCATAGCACCCACTTTACGCGTGCGTTATAACTTATCTCCCAACAACAAGCGCGAGAGCTTTTTCTGTTGACGTTGCGGACTAAAAAACTTGCCTAATAATTAGATCGACTACCGCTCCTTCTTAGACAAGCTCTGGGAGGCGATGCCGGCGGAGGAGTACATCGCCATGGTGTCGTCTCCGGCCGTGCTGGGGGACCCGCTGCTCAAGACGCAGCACTTCATCGGCGGCACCAAGTGGGAGAAGGTGTCGGACACGGAGGTCATCGGCACGCATCAGCTGCGCGTGCCGCACCAGCGGTACACGGACCTGACGCGCAAGCAGGTCGCCGTCAAGGGCCACGCTCATTCCACCAACGTCCACTGGTACCGCAAGGTAGACGGCGTCTGGAAGTTCGCCGGCCTGAATCCTGACATCCGCTGGGGCGAGTACGACTTCGACAAGGTGTTCGCCGGAGGTCGCGAGGAGTTCGGAGAAGCCATCGCTGCGAAGGCGGAGGGTATCCCGGTGAACGTAGATGGGCTTTCTGCCAATGTATAAATAACAGCAAGGACTTTGATGGGAAGCCTTCAGGTTGAATATTCATGGTAATACTTCGATGGTATTCAAGAAGTTATACACGATTGGCATGGTTTCATGTATGCAGGACGGATGTGTACACATAGTAGATGACGGGAATGGAATGTGGATTCCCGTTTCTTCTCGCAGGGGGTTTTACCGGCGTTCATATTGGTAGGACTTACTTTCGTCCTCGAATTAAAGTTAAAGAAAACTGGAGAAAAACAAGACCCTGGATCTCATCTCTTTACATGTCTTGGGTACGATGTTAGGTACCTGTATCAGGGTTGAAGCAGGTACATTCAACCTACATAATGATCAATTCATGTGACCTGGCGTAGTTGATAAGATTCGCGATATTGCTGTTTTTACAAAGCGTTAACCGCCTACTTATATTTGCTTCGCAGTTCATTATAATTATGTCAGTTTTACGTATGCATATATACGCGAAAGAGCTTTCCTTGCGCTAGTTACCTATCACTAGACCTGTGTCGATTCCAAAGAAATGAGCCGATGGGCTTCATTAACGATGCTTCCTAACCTATTGGCCTACTCGAATGTTGGTAATTCGCTGGGGTTTCTGGTTGGACGCCTTTACCAAAGGACACGAAGAATGCAGTACAGTACATTAGGTTTAGGTACCTAACCTATTATACAATTTGTAATTCTTCGTGTCTCTGCGCAAAGATCCATCGAACTACGGATCTGGTGGCGATAGCGGGACTACCGGACCAACTGCCAAGAAGCTGAATCTCGGTCATAAAGATGCGAAACCCAACGTTGGAAACCATTTTACGAGATGAGTGAAAATGCTGCATCGCGTCATCAGTGGGCCCTTGGATAACTCTACCTAGATACGAGGTGCCTTAGGTACCTAGCCATGAGATACACTAGTTTACAACAAGTGACGCATACGTCTCTCGCGAACGCGAACTTGAAAGCAAGTGTTTTCTTCCAATTGACATTTGGACACATTATTATTCGTCGCATGCGAGCGAAAAGCTAAGTTGAACACCATGACGAATTCCGTAAAAATATTATATAGGTACCTAACATAAGAGTAAACTTGTGAGACAATAGAAGCAGTTATCAGTTATCGCAAAATCCGAAAAAGTTGGGTTGAATCTCGCTGTCGTCGGCATTTCTCAACGAATTAACACCGATGGTTGTTGAGTTGTTGAATTTCTATTTAGTTAGAGGGACCGTAATCCCGGAACTTGGGAACTGCATGCGCGCCTTAAACAGATACCGCTAGAAGCCGACTGGCGGCAAGAATAATCACAACGTGCCTACCTCTTCCTACCCTACCTAACCTTTGGTACCTCATATGGATGGACTAGGTATGTATGGGTAGGTAAGTATGGGTATGGGTATGGGTTGTGCCCCGTTCAATTTCGTGCCGCAGACGGACGTTCAAATAATCTCGTGACCCGATCTCCTGCTGTGCTTTGCGCCCAAAACAAAAAAGCACCCAGCCTGCGTGGTGAAACCTGCGCAAGTTGGACAGCAACCCCCCACGTGCGCCCGGTGAGACATCCGGACACCGGCATGGCCGGGGAAGCAAGGCCGGGGAGGGAAACGGCTGAACGGTGAAACTGGGACGAAGTTGGCAGTGCTACGGGTAGCCTGGGTAAGTACCTCGGTAGATACAAATTTCTCTTACGTATTGATATCTGAGATCTCATCTCTTGTTGTTTCTTGTCGTGGTAGTGAAGAACCTCTGCATACTGAAGTAAAAAGCTTGCACAAAGCTTGCTACAACGTCTTCTACCCGCTTAAAATGGCAAGAAAACCGATGGCAGCGAACGGATTCCGTTTGCCAATGTCTTGGGTCTTGGATGCCCAGAACGCCGAGTCCGTGTAGGCCTTGGGCACTGCTGGGAACGGCGGAGGCATGTAAGCGAGAAAAGACGACGTCATGTGATGGGGACGATTGGCGTTTTGCTAGAGCCGCCAAGAAGGCTAGATGTCACGTTTGACATGGGCATGGTGCGCCACGGCCTTTTCTTGGTGTTTTCTTTTCCTTCTTTCTTTTTTCTTCTTGAATGTTTCTTCTTTTACGTTTCGTAGCGCCATTGTTACGAATTAATAGGCCATAGATTAAAAGATCGGTCTCGAAATGAAACCTTGGTGATATGGTTCAATGATAAGCCAACAATTGTTTTTTTTTTTTTTTATATAAGTGGACCAATCAATCACTTTTGGTAGTTGAGAGGGAAAGTTTCGGAACACGGCAATGAAAAGGTCGAATGTTGAAGAAACATTGGATCCGGCGACGAAAGTCTTAGACCGTTCCTATTCCTCGTGGAAGTTGAAACATTTAAGTACCAGTCTTGTACCTTCCGGGAACTCGCTTTTCCGGCTCGAGTTTAGCGCCCTGCTGCCTTATCTCTTCAGCAACCTTCTAACCTTAGGTAGCAACTTTTTAGCGAAGTCTATTAGCTTCAGCATACACTACTGAGCATAGCCTGCCTTTTCCTTATCTTGATAATGTGCGTCCTCGTTTTAAAACCAGATCTAAACATCACATCTGCGAGCTAGGTAGGTATGTATGTTAGAATGCAGCAGTTTGATAAACACTAGGTAGGTAGATCTACAAATGGAAGGCCCATCATATATCGTAATTCGTGTATCTTTCTTCTTCCACCTGCCTTCTGCCTATATTCTTGTTTTTTCCCTATCTCTAACATGACGATCACATGCATCAAATAATATCAACACGCATGCCGATCTATAATGGCATCATCGTCCGCGGGACCTTGATGACCTTGATGACCTTGGTGATGCTACCAGGCTTTTAAGAGTCTAAGAATATTCTCCGGGAACCCACGGCATCTCGGCACAAACGAGGCATCTCCAAAGTTATATTTGAACTGCCTGAAATAACAGCCTAACCTATCAAGCAAGCAGGAGCTCGACACCGTGGGCTGTGTAGGCTGTGCGGAATGACAAGACGAGTTCCACAGCATCGGAGGCATCAGCCGTCGACAACATTCCGCCGGGTCAATTTCGAAGTCGCGTGTCTCACGGTATGGGACGGGACGGGGGCGTCGGCTAGGATTTATACATGATATATACCATGTATACCTACCTCATAGTATAATCCATATCCTACCATATCCTGAATGCAAACGGATTTGAGCTTCACTGGTGTCTTAGGTTGGTGTGTGTGTACCCCCGCAATCTTTCCCACTCCACATCTTCCATCTGGAATTCCAAACCCCCCGCTTCGTAATTACAGGTAGGTTACCTTTTCTTTTCGGTTGAGCCTCAATTGTATCAAGTCATTGGTCCGTCATCCTTCTGCAGGTTATTTTGGTGGTAAGCCGGGCCATATTTAGGTGATCCGGGTCGACAAAGATGTGTTACTAAGAATGTTGAAGTGTGTAAAAACAGCAAGGATTTAGTTGCTCTCGAAAAATGTACTTGATCGGTACTCACCGCTATGAGACCTATCAAAGGCCCGCAAAGTACCTAGCCAACGCGCATGAGATCCATGCATCGTTCTGCCCAAAGGCCCCACTAGACGTACCAGGGTGGGAGCTAGACTACTAGGGTTATAGCTAGGCTGGCTAGGATAGCCAGGTAGGCCGAGTAGGCAGTGTACATTAGTGGCTAGTACATGACTAGGGTCATTGAGTCGGGTCCATTAAAAACCCCAAATTCATCATTACGAAAGGCCGACAGCTGCTGCTTAAGAATTGTACTTTTTTTTAATATTTTTTTTTTTTTTATATTATTGATAAAGTAATCTGTACAAAAACTTCGAAGCTGCCAGTTCTTTCTCTGCTCGTGTTGCTTCTTGTACTGTAAACAACCCTCCTCTTCGGGGTCTTTTTTTCATATTTTATATTTTTTTTTTCTCATTTCCTATTTACAATACATATTTGTCTCTTCTCAGCTGGGCATCAAGAGACAAATAACCTGATCTTGCCCCTCCCCCTGCATCTTCTATTTGCTTGATGCTCATGTCGCCCGCAGCGCATCCCCCTCCTTCATGAGCGGCAACCCTACGCGTAAACAAAAAAAAAAAAAAAAATCAAAATCAAATGTACACTTACACTAGCGATCTTCAGATTATCGCGCTCAGCGGCTATCTCGGTTTTTATTTTACTCGCGTCTCATCTTAGCCCATTGTATAGCTAGTCTGCCAACTAACTTGGCATGCAAACCATTGTCCTGAATGCATCTAGATCAGAAATTCCCCAGAGCCGTATTCATCATAAGTTGGGGAGTCGCAAGTTCTGCCTCACCTCCTGGACTCTTCTCGTTATCCGCAAAGAAACCGGTATACACGCCTTCGTCCGACCAGCGTCCTCCGTGAACCTCGACTCTTAGGCCGCGGTCTTCCTTTCTTCCCCTGCGGACATCCCATCCGAGTCGTCCAGGGGACGCTACTATAAACAATGGCGTGGGATCACCTCTCTATCACCAAACCCCATTTGGTGTATATCATATTGGGAGGGTTCACTTCACTTTTCATGCTTTGTTCTTCCGTCATCAAGGAGCGCATGTACATTGGTGAGGCGACAGTCGCCACCGTCTGTGGTGTCATTTTCGGTCCTCATGCTGCAAATCTGATAGATCCCGCGTCGTGGGGGAACGTCGACGAGATCACCCTTGAGTTTTCCCGAATTGTCTTGGTCGTCCAATGTTTTGCGGTCGGAGTAGAACTGCCGAGATATTATATGGAGAAGCACTGGAAATCCGTGGTATTCTTACTCCTTCCTGTCATGACCTTTGGGTGGCTCATTACAAGTTTGATCGTCTGGTGGATGTTCCCGGTCTTATCTTGGCTTGAGAGCTTGGTTGTCGCAGCCTGCGTCACCGCTACGGATCCCGTTCTTGCTTCATCAGTTGTTGGTAAGGGCAAATTTGCGAAACGAGTACCGAAGCATCTGAGAGATCTACTCTCTGCCGAATCCGGTTGCAACGATGGCATGGCCTTCCCGTTCATTTACCTTTCCCTGTATCTGCTACAGGAACACTTGGACGCCAAGCAGACAACCTACCATTGGCTTGTCTATACTGTTCTTTACGAGTGTATTTTCGGTGCCGTGTACGGATTTCTAATAGGGTATATCGCACGACATGGCATTAAATATGCTGAAAGACACGACTTAATCGACCGTGAGAGTTTCCTTGTCTTCTACTTTACCTTGGCCCTATTCTGCGCAGGTTCGGGTAGTATTTTAGGCACGGACGACTTACTTGTCGGATTTGCTGCGGGCGTCGGCTTCTCAAACGATGGTTGGTTTAGCGAGAAGACAGAAGAATCGCATGTGTCAAACGTTATTGATCTGCTACTCAACTTGGCTTACTTCGTCTATCTCGGGACTATTATTCCCTGGGAGCAGTACAATAACGTGGATATTGGCCTTTCCGCCTGGAGGCTAGTTGTTATGGCCATTTTTGTCATCCTTTTCCGCCGAATTCCAATTATGATGTTGCTAAAACCATTCATCCCCGATGTTAAAACGTGGCGAGAAGCTCTGTTCGCCGGACATTTCGGTCCAATCGGCGTAGGTGCTATCTTTGTTGCCCTACTTGCTCGAGCCGAATTGGAGACTGAACATACAATTCCCGAACCAGAATTGCCGCCGAAGGGTGCCGAGTTCTACAATGTTATTCTTCTAGTGTGGCCTATCGTCACTTTTATGGTGATTTCCTCCATTATTGTTCATGGTTCTTCGGTGGCGGTGTTCACCTTAGGCAAGCGTATCAACACTTTATCACTCACCATGTCATTTACTACTGCTACAGAAGAAGGGCCTGCTTGGATGAGTCGCTTACCACGGATATCATCACAATCACGATCACAAGCTCGAACAATGTCGGATACAGATTATGAGGAGAAGATGCCTGAGTTTCCTCCTGGCACGCTACCCCCAACTGGGATGCCTGGGCAGTTCCTGCGTAGGCAGCGTGAGGAAGACAACCCCAGTCGGGCTGGGAGTAGAGCTTCTTCTCGGCGCCGCGGCAGAAAGAGGTGGGATGATGGTATTGGGCCTGGTGGACCTGTAAGCCAGTCTGCCATCTACCCCCAGAAACGGAGCCCAAGTGAAGTAGTAGAGCCAATGTCACCATCCGAATATGTACAGCCTACTTCTCCAAGGCAAGAAAGCCCCAGTTCACCGTCAGATGATCTGCACGAGAAAGATGGTGAGAAGGACACCGAGAAGACCATGACCGTAACGAAGGAGGCTCGGTCAGGGCCTGAGAGAGGCCATGGGCAGCCATCTAGAGGTCACCAGCACGAAGAACTAGAAGTGTTTGATGAGGGCGACCATATTATAATCGAGGATCACGACGGCCAAGTGCTCGCAGTTGAGGAGACAGGACGCCAGCCGATTCAGGATCTGAACAAAGTCATGGAAAAGGCCAAAACTGCGACTCAAAGGCCCGGATGGACATACGATTCACTGAAGAAGAGCATTGGAAAATGGCGTGAAGAAGAGGCCCAGAAACGTAAAGATAAGGCAAAGATTGAGCGAAAGCATGAGCCAGCTCGAGCATACCAATTTGGCAACACGGTAAGCATGATCCATCGTTCGTGTAGTTAAGACACTAACCTAATTCATTTATAGATTATTGTGGAAGACGAAGATGGAGAGGTCGTCAGAAAGTATGATCTTCCTACCGATCGAGGTGAAGGTAAAGACTACGTGGCTACCAGTTTGAAATATATGGGAATGGGCGGTCTGGTCAAGCCGAGCGATAAAGGAGCACCCAAGACTGAGGCGTCATCCGAACAAGGGCCTTCCCAGACTGGCAGTGGCAAACCTGGAGATAAGACGAAGGCTGGAGGGTGGCCAGGATTCAATCGTGGAGGTGCTGCTGACCAGAGAAGGAAAGACGCCGCTGTTCCCGCTAAAAAGAGCGCAGAAGAGGATCGAGGGATCCGGTTCACGATCGGTGGTGTTGGACAACGCATGACCAAGGATGATTTCCTCAAAGAGGTGCGAAAATTGGATGCTAAAACCCGCCGCGAGGTAGTAGACCAGTCCAATGCAGATCCGGCGGTGAAATCGATGGCAAGAGAAGCACCTGGTGCAAGCGCAGGCCGACGACCCCAGACCCAGACAACAGTCAACCCCCGGATTAGTGTGACTCAGGCGAGCGATAGCAGTACTCGGGACACTAGTAAATCCCCTTCTCGGCCCGAGTCTACTCGTGGACGCAGCCCAACGACAGAGCCAGAGCAGGCTCCTACTTCGAACACACCCGAAACCGCGGCTGAGAGAAGGCGAAGATTAGCAGCGTTCGCTAGTGTCCGTGAGGACAACGATCTTGGGGAGACACCGGCAGAGAGGAGAAGGAGAGAGGCCGCGTTAGGGGTGGACAACGGCAGGGCAGACAGCGATAGCGAAGATGATGATACCCCTAGAGTACCGCCCGCAAGACGAGGGATAAGATTTGCAGACTCCCCGCCCAACAAGGGCTGAGGCACACGCTTCATGAGACATGGTTTGATTTTATTTCCGGGTTATGAGGATATGCTGCTTGGAATAGCGGAAAGTAAGCACTACTTTGATCGGTTTTATGAGATAGAGTATATAGGTTAGGTATATATCCTTTTTCGTCTAGAGGAGGATGTCTTTAATTCATCAGTGTTAATATATTTATTACGACTGCATAACTGAGCATGGTAGGATTCATAAGAGGGACTCGGGAGTTACTGATTGTATTATTAAACAGGTGTACGAAGTATTGCAATTTGATACCTCAGCTCAAGACTCGAATGACGTCACCCTCAAGTCCTTACCTAACCTATCCTAGGTTAGGTGCCTGTAAGGTACTTCGTACCTGACCAAACAGTCGTTTGGAGGGGTAACTTGAACTATATGCATTTAAACGTTAAAAATATGTATTTAACGATTCTACTGTGCGTTACAAAGTGCACCTGCTGCTTTTTGTCTAATTGCACTCCACTACGCAGATACAGTGTAGTTTATCTTGGCGACTGTCAGAATGGCGCCGTTTCAAGCTACAGTACTCCAATGAAAACAAAGCTAGTATATAAAGACACACCCCTGCTTAGCCGATAGCGAGCGATGAATTCTTTATCGAATTTTGAAGATTTTCCTCCAAGTCCTCCAATTCCTCCTACTCCTCCCAATTCTCCAGTCACTCCGGCTCAAGACCAGCACACAGAACTTGACCTACGATTATTATTCTTCCACGGCAACGGAAACGGGAACGGAAACAACGTAGATATCATCCCAATGGTTCAGCTTACAGAAGTTATCGACGAGCACTTCCAGGAGGGTCAGCTCGGTCCTGATGAGGACGAAGATTTCACTGACACAGGTACGTCATGAGGTTGTAGAGATGCGACTTTTATTTTATTCATTTTTATTCTTATTCTTATTTTATTTCTTCATCTTCTACAGTACTAACGAAGAATCCATATAGACTCTGAAATCTCGACCGAGTCTGACTATGACCCTTCTAGCGAAACCCTCGCTGAGCGCCTGTATGCGCTTCGCGACATAATCCCACCTCACACCCGCACCTCGATCGCCAATAAGGTCAATGCAACAACTAGCGCAGTCTCAAGCTTCTTCTCCTTCAGCGGAAAGAGTCTTTGGGTGATTAGCACTTCTGCGCTGATCCTGGGTGTCCCGTGGGCTCTGGCCTGGGCTGAGGAGCAACAAGTGATGGAAATGGAAAAGGAAATGAAGATGCGCGAGATGGGCGGAGAGGTAAGCTCCCATACTAATAAATAGCACTGCTTTCCTAGGTAAAGTTAAGGGAGAAGTAATAACTAACCGCCGCAATAGATCCTAACAGCCGGCGCCAGCGGTCCCAACTCTTCGACGGCCCAGCAGGTCGGCGCGGCGCTCGACCGAGAAGCAAAGCCCGCCCTGTAAAGCGTGGCCAGCATCAAAATAACTCATATGTGATATACTCTATTCGGAGATATGCACTACGCCATGGTCTACTGTTATCCATAGCCAAGGCTTGGCCTTATTTGGCAACCAGTCTTCTTACTCCCTCTACTCGAAATGATAGGGCAATGCGAGGCGTAACTACAATTACTGGCTCTCGAGACAAGCACACATCTTTCGAAGTGCCTACAACATGGTTTTCACTGAAGGGAGGGGGGAAAGGGAAAAAATCTCATCTCTTACGATACGGGTTCGCCAAAGAACCTCCTTACCTTGTATCATAATTTGGCATTACGACCGGTTAATTAGTAGGGACTTGTTCGCAATAGGCTGGAAGTGCTCTAGGCTATTCGAATTGGATTAACTTTTCTCAATGATTGAGCGCGCTTATCTTGGTGACCACGTAACCCATAAACCTTGGTGCAACTCCGTTGTTCGCCACTATAGGCTCATAAACGATTGGGGGGAAAGTCAAAGTAAAAGTAGTGGCAACCTTAAGATTCGGAGAATTTCGACGTAAATGCGGATACTGTTTTAAAAGAATAGGATTCATAACTCAGATTCGTTCTATCCCAATGCGATATCCCGTCGTCAACTTGAAAGTGCTCAAAATGGAAGTCTATAAACATCTATATTGGTTGTAGGGGTAACTTATTAATTCTAGGTACAGTGGAATATTATTGATACAGTTCATAAAAATACAGTAATTCTCTCGTTCGACGCTCATAGCATCAGCCACAACAGGAAGCTCTACTTCACTTCCGCAAACTGCTGCAACGCGTCAAACAAGCGTCCAAAGGTGCCCCCATGCCAACTAACCACCTCGCGCCACTCCTCCTCGGGCAGAGTCCCGCGCATCATGCACACCCAACCGCCGACAACCAAGTCCGCATAGCTCGCCTTCTGGCCTAGGATAAACGGTCCCGTCGAGTCCGTTTCAAACAGCCTCGCGAGGCCCCCCAGCGTGCCGCGGAGCGATTCTACCATCTTCTCCCGCGCCTCACCCTTGACCTCCAAGTCGTCCCAGGACTTCGCGCCCGCGCGCCGCAGCAGCGCGTCCCTGCTCGCCTGCGAGTCCAGCCCCAGGAACGACCCCATCAGCCCCACGTGCGCGCTGAACGCCCGGTCCACGTGCATGTTGAACCGCGCGTACTCGGCGTGCCTGCCGTCTTCCCGCGGCGGCGTCAGCGGCGGCGCCCAGGTGGGCAGGTCCTGGTCGTAAGTATATTCGAGCTGCTGCTGCTGAGGGGGGAGGGGAGGGAACAGATCGCCCGCGCCCGAGTCCGGGTACGTCGCCTGCAGGTACGCGGCGATGTCGAAGGAGTCCCCGACCGCAGAGCCGGTGTTCGGGTCCGCCAGGACGGGCAGCGTGTAGAAGTCGCTGCCGTCGGCGAGTCTGCGGCACGCGGGCACGCCGAGGGCGCGCCGGACCGTGCCGATTTCGGGGACGGGGACCCAGGTCGTCTTGTAGGGGACCTTCTTGAAGTTCAGCGCCAAGCGGGATTTCCAGGGGTTCACTGCCGCCGGCGGGTTCATGGCGATGTCGTAGAAGTCCATGGTTTTAGGGGGGTTCGGAGGCGAGGTGGCCATGACGGAAGATGGTGAGAAGGAGACAACCACCTGTTCTTTAGCCAATTTGAATATAGGAACGCTGTTGATATATGTATATATGGGCTTCTCTATTAAAGGCTATGATAGAAAAAGAAATCAAATTTCGTACTCCTTTCTAGACGTTATTCTGGTAGTTTATTATATGACTTCCCTTCAGATATCTTTATGTACCTAAGTACCTTACCTGAAGCCCCTTTAGTCACGTGAATCTACATCAAGAATGAGAGGTCATTATGGTTCATAATGGCTAGTTAATCCGGGCGCAGTAAGTTTAATTCTGCATTTTGCTGCTTCGGAAGCCTTCAAGTAGAACAGCTGAAGGGCTGTTGCGGTCACTGCGCCACGGGGCAGCACAGGTACGATGATGACTGACTCATCTGTCTCCAAGCCCAAATTGGTATTATCTCAGCTTAGAACGTAGGGTGCAAAAGTGCAATACGCTAGGTGCAGATCGCATATTGTTATCCTGTGAGGACAACTACTGCAAGTAAGATTATACTCAAGCAGCGGAGTATGCGACGTACTAATGAAAGGCGTCAGCAAGGCGGAGTGGCTATGAGAGGGGTAAACAAGTTCTGTGGCCAACTCTTGTCGAAAAAGATCTTTGTGCAGTAGTTGTGGAAGTTGAACTAGTTATCCGAGACAACATTCTGTAATTATTGGCGCTTGGAAGTTCGGGAGATATAGCAGAAGACCCGAGGTTAGCCGTCAGGCAATAAGTAATAATGGTAAGGTAGCATTTGTGTGGAATTCCCGTTCATACATACCTCCTAAGGTATTCGGCCGGATAATTCGTCGAACGACTTTATATGGCTGCATACCTTATAGATATCTGACCAACTCGCATATTATTTCCAAATATAACAGAGAGTCGGTTTAAAACCAGTCTCAAAAGCAAATTATCCGGACAGGTTTTCTTGATCATTTCGCAAATACTCAACAAACCTTTACTCAAGAGCAATGGCTTCTACTATCGTTCTAATCAGCGGCGCCAATCGAGGTATCGGCAAAGCCCTCGCTGAGCGCTACCTCGCCCTACCTAACCACACGGTCATCGCTGCTAACCGCGATCCGAAGCACCCCACATCCAAGGATATGGAAAAGCTACCGAAGGGCCCCGAAAGCAAACTGATCCTCGTCAAGGTCGAAGCTACGAGCGACACGGACGCCGCGGATGCTGTCAAGGAACTGCAAGATCAAGGCATTGATCACTTAGACATCGTAATTGCCAACTCCGGAATTACCTTCGGTTTCACTAAAGCGGTCGATGCGAAAGTCGAGGACATGCGCCGGGTTATGGAGGTCAACGTCTACGGCGTGCTACGGCTATTCCAGGCTACTTTGCCGTTGATTCGCAAGGCCGCCGCTCCGAAATTTGTGACCATCGGATCTGGCGCGGGAAGTATAGAGGTAAGGAAGATCGATATAAAACCTTGCAACCCACAGCTGCCGGTAATATAAGAATACTTTAGGTACTAAGCGGTTTTCGCTCAGGAAATGTATCCGTATCCCAACGCTGTTTATGGCCCTTCGAAGGCCGCTGTTCACTGGTTGACGAAAAGCATAAACGAAGACGAGGACCATATCATTGCATTCGTAATAGATCCAGGGTAAACAATGAAAGCCCAGCTCAGCCCCTGATAAGACAGACCTAGAGGTAACTAACCAAATTGCCGTTAATAGATGGACCCAAACCGAGATGGGAGATACGACGGCGCAGTCAGTCGGCCTAGACAACGCTCCTATCACCGTGGCAGAGTCCTGCGACGGCAGTTTTAAAGTGATAAATGAGGCGACTAGGGAATCGGGGGGTAAGTTGTGGACTTACAACGGAAGGAAGAGAGCTTGGTAGGCGATGATAGCGCCGCATATATGATGATATTCGAAGATGAGACAGCTTATTACGAAATCCGCTATGCGGCGCCCCACCCCCTGGTTAAGAGCTTTTCCGATCGCGGCCTAAAACTAGTCCTAACGACGGCGTATGCTACTACTACTATTACTATTACTACCTAACCTTAGGTATGTAGAGCTCTGTTGCGTACGATCGACTTGTCACTTATCGGCCTGTTTAGGGCGCGCCAAGTACAATACAACGAGCCGCGGTAAGCTAACTATTTAAGGTAAAACGGCTTTGCATTACCCCAGAATATGCGGAGTTTTGAAAGCCATTCATTACCTAGGTATGTACTTGGTAGGAGGAAGCAATATATAAGAAATGTATGCACCAGGCACCTAGGTGAACTTCTCAGAATTATAACTCGTACCTACCTACCTAAGGTAAAATAAAAATAAAAAAGCTCAAGTTTACGAACAGGTTAGGTAACGTAACATAACGATCGAACGATGGATGGTCCAGGGCGAGTCCTCGTCGAGGACCCGAGTGTGGAATTGATTGAATTCGGACATTCAGGAAGAAGAGAAGGAGGAGAAGGCCAGGAGACAGTACCGCCCGCTCACGCCTACCCGGAGCCGGACCGCGGCAAGCACGCGTGGCTTTTCCTCTGGGCCGGCTGCTTCCTGATGATCGCGCTGACGTGGGGGTTCCCCTTCTCCTACGGCGTCTTCCAGAGCTACTTCTCCACGCACCCGCCCTTCTCCGACCACCCCGGAGGTCTACCCGCCGTTGGTACCACGGCGCTGGTACGTTTCCATACCTACCTCCTAGCCTGTTATCCGCCTACCATAAGAAGAAAAAAAAAAAAAGAAAAGAAAAGAGGCCACATTTTTCGCCGTGCGCTCTACTAACCGTCGACCCCCAGGGAATTCTATACTTGTCGTCGCCCCCGTCCTTCATCATCCTGCAGCGATACCAAGCCTACAGACGATCGGCCCTGGTCGCCGGTTCGGCCGTCACCTGCCTCGCCGTCCTCGCGAGCGCGTTCGCCACCGAGGTCTGGCACCTGCTTCTCACGCAGGGCGTGCTGTACGGCCTCGGGGCCAGCGTCGTGAACACGGTGACGATCCAGTTCCTCAACGAGTGGTTCGTCGAGCGCAAGGGCCTCGCCTTCGGCATCCAGGAGAGCGGCGCGGGCATGGGCGGGATAGTCGTTCCGTACGTAGTAGAACCGTCGATTCATTCATTTGCTCGTTCGATATTTTTTTTTTTTCTTCTTCTTCTTTCTTTCTTCTCCTATCTACCTATCTATCTGCATGGTAACACTAACAGCTTTTCTTCTTCTTTTTTTCGCAGCGTTCTCATGACTTGGGGTCTTGAAAAGTACGGCCACCGCACTATGCTGATAGCGTGGTTCGTCGCCGTCACCACCCTCTCTATCCCCTCGATTTACTTCCTCCGGCCGCGCGTCAAGCCGTCGCGCGCCGCCCCGTCGTCCGGGTTCGGGACCTTGGGCTTTATCGTCACGCCGATCTTCGCCGTCCTCCAAGCCGGGAACATCTTCCAGGCCCTCGGCAACTTCTTGCCCGGTATCCATCTGCCGTGTATGTGGACTATTTCCCCTATTCTTCGGAACTACCTACCTAACCTAATGTCTATCTATTCTCACACAACTTCTGTGCGCGCATGTGTATGTGTGTGTGCTGATACCAAGTCTAGCATTCGCCCAGAAATTCGGCGCCTCGCCGCTGGATGCGGCCGGGATGCTCTCGCTGTACAACGCCGCGACGGTTATCGGCGCCATATTCACGGGCTACCTAGTTGACCGCTACCACGTCTCGGTATCGCTGCTTCTCCTATCTCTCGGCGCCGCGATTACCGTGTTCGTCGCCTGGGGATTCGCGGCTAACTTCGCGGCCCTGTGCGCCTTTGCGTTTTTCTACGGGGTCTTCGCCGGTGGCTGGAGCTCGACGTGGGTCGGCGTAGGCCTCGAGATACAGAAGCGGGCTCCCCGTGCCGACCTGGGCGTGCTGTGGGGGTTTGCTGCGGCGGCGAGGGGTATCGGCAGCATTGTGAGCGGGCCGATAAGCGAGGTGCTGATTGCTAATGGAGAAGGTAAAACACCTTGGGGGCCACGGAGCTACGGGTCGAGCTATGGCATATTGATTCTATTCAATGGTGTCATGCTGACACTGGGTGGCGTTGGTTGCGCAGCTCGGGCGTACGAGCTCTTTAAGAAAATGGGCCATCGACACAACGAATAGTGTCTTTCGGGCCGGCAGCGAATTACTATGGGAATCTTGACGATATAATCTTTTGCACTTAGTACAGGACCTCGGTATTATAGATGAAAGGTTTTATTTTATACAATCGTCTGATTCATGCTAAGTACCTAGGCACCAGGTATCCTTAGAGCAACTAAGCCAAAAAACTTATTATTTCTTCAGTGATTTCAAGAGATCAGAATTAAAATTAGCTACCTAAAATAGTACTTGATATAAAGAATATCATGCCTGGCTTGATCGCCAATACTCATTGAGCCCTTCGTTAATCTGTCCCCAGAAGTCGCAAACGGTATAATCAACTACACCAACCTCCATTGCATCATTCAATACCACGCCTTTGCTTTCTTTCGACGCCCAGGCAGGCCATGTGTTTTCATCACCCGGCTTCCCCGTTTGCGCCATGTTTGTCCAAGCGCGGCTCATGTCATGAGCCATAGCCTGTTCTGCTTTCGTGAAGGTGCAGTTTCCGTCTGGGGGCGGCATCGAACTAGTAAAGTTGAATACAAAAGGAATCTCGCTCGTGTGTGTTGCCCCTAGGAGAGGTATGTAGTCTGCCTTTATTTGTCCATACCAAGCGCAACTAGGCTCATGAGCAAATCGATAGCTCCAGACAGGGATTCCTTTCTCTTCTGCCTTTTGGAGAGCACGGTAGGTCGGACATTGGTACGACACCTGGGTCAGAATGACTTCCATAGCAGTAAGTGTTGACCCGTTAAAGGTAGAAGCCAAGGGAAGCGTCTCGTTTACTTGTGCGGCTAACGGGCCAAAGTTCAGGTTCAGAAAATCATAGTAGTCGGATTGACTAGGAGCTTTCCCCTTCCAAACCGTGACGTAGGAGCCTAAGGTAAATATAGATCCCTCTCTAGTATTGGCTCCTACTATCGAAGGAACTCTAACTCCGACGGTAGATGGTTGCTCTTTGATCACCTTTCCATCGATCAAGGGAGACCAAGAAGATCTTGTACCGTTATTGACTAGGGCTGTGTTGACCGTGATTATGTCGGAGCTTGGCATCGCAGCGACCGCAGCCTGGATTGTATCTACTTGAGCGTTTCGAAGACATGATAACTGGATGTTGGTGAGCATGTATCATCCTTAATCCTGGAAAGAGCCGGCAAGAATGGGACTTGGTACATACATCATGTTCCGTACAGTTCATCGCGTAAAGGAACTCGGAATACCAATCTTTCGCATCGTCGACAGTTGCTAGATCTCTTCCAGCTCCAGACTCCAAAGCAGCGGCTCGCATTAACTCGGGTGCCTCTGGTAGAGAGGCAATAACGAAAGAGTCAACAGCGCCGGCGGACTGTCCGAAGAGCAAGACGTTCCTCTAAGATTGAATTGACGTTAGTTTTTGGTATTCTGTATACCGGTATATATTTTATCGTAACGAGGTATAAACCTACCGGGTCTCCGCCAAAACCTGCGATGTTGTCCTGTACCCAGCGAAGACCGAGTAACTGGTCCATAATGCCGTAGTTTCCGGTCAGGCCAAGATCCGACAAGGCCAGGAACCCAAGAGGGCCCACGCGGTAGTTGATGGAGACGACGATGGAGTCCACGGCAGAGAAGCAACCATTGTATGTCGGGTCTGAGATTCCGCCACCTTCGTTGCTCCCTCCATATACCCATACCTTCACGGGAAGCTTGGAATCTGGAGTAGCAGATGCCGGGGCCCAGATATCCAAGAAAAGGCTGCATTGCGTGGGTAATTCCCAGGTTAGCAAAGTGCTAGGTATGATCCACATTAGGAAAACGCGCAGAGCTACCTACCAATCTTCACTCGTCGCGGTGTTCTCGCCGAATAGGCTCGAGAACTGAATACATGCCGGTGCCGGCGCCGTAGCATTTATTACGCGGCGGGAATTATAATAGGGTTCCGGGGGCGCGAAGCGGCGTTCGCCCACGGGGGGGTTGGCGTACGGAATGGAGTAGAAGTAGTTTACATCTGTCGTGCTGCACTGGTCTCCCTGAACTTTCCCGCTTCGTGTCTTGACAACCTTAGAGTCGGCTAAGCCGGCGAGAGCAAGTAGCCCGCCTAAAACAGTACTTCTGGACAACATCGTGAGAGATGTATAAAAGCCTTCGTTTAAGGGGTTATAAACCAGAGAGATGTGTTTCTTGGCCAAGTCACTTCGAAAGTCTAGCTTTCCAGAGTAGCTGAAAAGCTTGGAGCTTTATATTCAGCCATATTTGGATCCCATTGCGTTAATACCTAGTACATAGCGATGGTGGATTTTATCGCTTACCAAGCTGCGTGGCTGTACAATCGGACTCGCTTCCAGTGAGTTCGTTCTCGGTTAAGGATGTGAAGGTTAAGGATGTGAATCCTATTGTTTATTCCCGGTAACCCCAGCGGTGTATAGGTTAAGCTTTCAGGGGGTTGATAGTGCCAAGTGCCTTGGCTAGATGCCAAAATGCCCTCCCGTCAAGCTTTCCTTGCAGTTATATGTAATACCTCGCATTAATTAGTATCATCGACTCAGCCCTACAACAAACAAGCTTCGACTAATTTCGAAAGAGAAAAAAAAACCCCCCCGACGCAACGCATATACCTAATATATAGTAGTAAACATGCATCGAATGTGGGATTGGGTTTTTGAATTTCGCATGCTATTCTAGATTGAGTTCAACTTGCAATTTTATTTATTTCGGACTTGCTCTCTCTCTTTTTCAAATCTATACTTAGTAACAGGTACCTGGCATATACATAGTACCTATTTTATTCATTCTAAGTTTGATTCTCGGACGAATCTAGCTACCTTGTATCTTAGCTTCAACAAAAGTTCAACACGTCGGTAACTCAAGGTCCACATTCACATTAGAAGCTAATGCGGGGGGGATTATACCACGTGTACTATGTAACAGATACCCCTTAGCTGTCCCCTAGGATACCTAGATGGTCAGGCATGAAGCATCATGCATCATGCCGGTTAACCCCCACCAAACCTCACATCTGCAGTGTCACCCTTGAGTGTATAAAGCACCTAACATAGCAAATCAACGAGGCCGCCGTGTCACAGGTATCCAGTTCGGAAACACGGCATGGCTACCTGTAGAATACATAGTAGGTATTCTTCTTTTTGAAGCCTGCCATTTTCTTACGTCCTCAACCTCTCCAGATTCCTTATTACGCCAAGTATTTTCTTTTTAATTTAGCATCGCCGTACGATAACAAACCTGGTTCCTGATAACTTGCATCATGCCGCGTAGGAAGGCTCTTCTTATCGGGATCAACTATTTCGGTTCCGAACATCAATTAAATGGCTGCATCAATGACGCCGAGAACATTAGGAACTTCCTCGTCGAGGAGAGAGGCTTCTCACCCAGCCCTCACGACATGGTCATGCTGTCGGACATGCCAGAAAACGCGGGCACCCCTTTCTTTCCCACAGGCGCCAACATCTTAGCTGCCATCAATTGGCTCGTAACCATGAATCGACCCGGTGATATACTTTGGTTGAGCTACTCTGGTCATGGAGGTCAGCTATCTACGGTAGTTTAGGAGGAAACATGCGGTCAGGGCTAACAAATAATCCATACAGCCCAAATAAGAAATTATGCTGGTGACCGACCTTCAGGGTAAGCTTGTGGGAATGGAATGCGGAGACGATTATATGTGGAATTTTCGACCCCTAATGTGGACCAGTTTCGACGATACAATATGTCCGGTCGACTTTGCTGAAAACGGACAAATTTCGAGCGAAATAGTAAGTTCCTAAGCAATTCTCATGCCGAAAAGGATTAACGCCGATATGATTCATTGCCTTAGCTGCATCGAGCAATCGTCTCCCCGATGAATCCCGCCTGTCGTCTTACCATATTATTTGATTGCTGTCATTCCGGTTCGGCCTGCGAATTGCCATACGTCTACCGACCCGACGAGGACGGCAATGTGAACCTAGTGGACACGATCAAGCAAGGTATCGGATTGATCCGTGCAGCCGAGGGGCTTTTTGAGGGGGGCTTCTCCATGTCCAAGGTGGACGATGCCAAGATGCTATTAGGCGGTGCGACCGACTTCTTCAACGGGTTGCATCACCGTCGAGACCAGGAAGTCGACGAGGATGGGCTCGTTGCTGAGAACTTCCAGGAACATTGGGAGACGGAAGGGAAAGATGTCTGGATGTTCTCTGGATGCGCCGACAATCAGACCTCGGCGGATACATCCATTGCCGGTGCACCTACCGGCGCCATGTCGTGGGCGCTTCTTAGGACTTTGAGAGAGAACCCTCAACAGTCCTATATAAACGTGCGTCTTAGCCTTGAATCCAGGGTAGTTGATCAATTGCTGACGATGCTGATCTCCAATCTAGATCCTTCAAAATACCAGAGAAGAACTAGCGCGAAACTACTCCCAGGTACCGCAACTCAGCTGCGGCGGTAGATATGACTTAGACCAAGTCTTTATGGTAAGTAAAGCCATATCCGGTCTGATATAATTAAATCCGTATCTTGTACTAACTAAGGGAAAAGCTATAAGTTCTTAGTATCGTCTAGGTTGAGATGTTTATAACAAGATTGAAGTAGGAGACAATTTTGTCTTAAAGACTTATAAATTTTCCTGCCTTCGTGCTGATCTTAGCTTAGATTTGTAGCCTCAAGGGGGCTTGATGGAGCTGAAAAAACCTTCCATATCATAGAAGAACCATCGAATTGAAATCCCTGAGCCTCTCTTGTTGGCGTATTATCAAAGAGAACTGACTATACGCCATGTACGTATAAATGACGTAGAGATCTCTACTATATATAACTGCCAAGATCCAGCAAATTGTCTAGGCGTAGGGCTGAAGTGGGCCGCAATAGAGACGAATTGACAAACCAAGGTCCCGGGTACAGATACGGCGTATTCTTGGATTTGCCAAGAGCCGTAAGAATCTGACGGTGCAGAGGCTCTCATTGGCCAGTATATCCAGAAACAAAAGAGAAGTTGAACTGATTGGCCGTATCAAAATAACCTTCTCCAGGTTTGCGTCGATTGTAAAGGGGGCTGTGATACCGCATCGTGACATAGCAGGATGGCAAGGTTAATTTACAACTATCCTTAGGCTGATTTTATACGTATATATAAGACGGTTTGATTTGCCTCAAATGGAATGATAGAGTTTTCTGTCACAATTCAACTTGAAGAATAATTCAAGTCAAGACTCAAGATGATGTCTTCAAAGACTTTCTTGCCCTTACTTCTTTCGCTTGCGCCCCATGCCAGCACGGCGGCGGCGACCATCCGCCACGGTAACAGCACAGGAATCCAATGGGGACCCTGCGAACTAAACACGACACTTCCGGTACAATGCGCCCAGCTGCCCGTCCCGCTCGATTATACCGACAAGAGTCGCAGCGACATTCTCGTGCTGGATCTCATCAGGTATCCGGCTCAGAAGCAGCCGAAGCGCGGCAGCATCCTCCTCAACTTCGGCGGCCCAGGCCAAGACGGCCTAGAAAGCATGCTTGCTTATGCAGAACTCATGGGCCCGTACGTGCAACGCCAGTTTAATACCATCGAGCTCTCTCTCTCTCTTTCTGGCTCGGTTTAATTTGAAGAACGGTTGGTTGACTAACAACTCGTATCGCTATAGAACCACTGGAGGTTATCATGACCTCGTAAGTTGGAACCCAAGGTAAGACCCTTTCTTAAACATGATATCTTTTACATCGACATAGACTAACGATACGGTATCGCCAGAGGGACTGGTAAAACTCTTCGGTTCTCCTGCTGGCCCGAGGATACCACGGGATATTATGCCGCCATGGGAAATGCCCTAGCTGGCGGTGCGGACTCGGCAGTGGGCAAGCTCTGGGCGGAAGGCGAGATTATAGCGTCTCAGTGTCGCGAGCATCAGAAAGAGACCGGCGAATACGTCGGCATGGCGTTCGTCGCAAGGGATATGATGCAAATTGTCGACGCCCTGAACGAAGATGGCCTGCTTCGATACTGGGGTGAGTGTTTCTCTTAATAGCCTCAAATCAAGAGGTTGATCCTAGCGTCAGTAAGCTAACTTGATTGTTTCCAGGGATTTCGGGTGGCACTACGCTGGGAGCCACTGTTACTGCGATGTTTCCTGATAGGGTAGATAGGGTCGTTCTTGATGGAGTGATGAACGCGCATGAGTATTACAACTCTTTGTATGCACCTCCTTTTTTCGTCAATATGACCTCATATAAGAAACCCAACTAACAAGCTGAAAACCTAGTGGTGAACCTGAGATGGTCGCATCGACGGACGCTACTTGGGAAGAGTTCATGCGGGGGTGTATCGCGATGCCCGAAAACTGCGCCCTTGCAAAGAACAGGACCTACGAAGAATTAGAAGCGGCCATGACGGAGCTATTCGGCACCGTCCGAAACAACCCGCCAGCCTTTAACGGCACCGTCGTGTTCCAATACGATCTGTTCAAGTCCCACATCTTCAGCACGCTGTACTCGCCATCCAAGTGGCCGGCTCTAGCGCAGGCGCTCGAAGATGTGCTCGAGGGCAACCTAGAGACCTTTGTGAACCGCGTCCTATCGTTTTCGATTCCGTCCCAAGACCAGGCGATCCTCGGGATTCGCTGCGGCGACAAGAAGCCACGAACAAACAAGCTCTCCGACCTCGGACCCGTCTTTGAGCAGTACCACAAGGCCAGCAAGTGGTTCTGGGACTGGGGATGGGGATACTACGTGACGCCTTGCGCGCAGTGGGAATTCCAGGCCAAGGAGCGGTACGAGGGCAACTTCCAAGTCAAGACCAAGAATCCCATATTATTCGTCGGCAACAGTTTTGATCCTGTTACTCCGCTCACCTCGGCCAAGAACATGAGCTCTGGTTTCGAGGGCAGCGTCCTACTTACACACAATGGTCACGGCGTAAGTTTTTTTTTTTTTTTTTGTTTTTTTTTTCTGCGCTTATTTTCTTAACCCTTATCCCTTACCATGTGTCTTGGGTATAGGCTAAGAGTTAACCAATCCATACAGCATCTGTCTCTCACGCAGCCGTCAAACTGCACGAACGCCGCCATCCAAAACTATTTCCTCGAGGGCACACTACCGGCAGAAGGAACCGTCTGCGAGCCCAACTTCCAGTTGTTTGACCCGGCTGCTTCAATGTAATAGCAATGTGGTATATTATACCTTTTGCATTTTAACTTCATGTCGTCTGTCGTCCACTTCACGATTTGTCTTTTGGTTACATAGGTACCTAAGTACTTAACTATTTAAGGTACCTTTTATAAAGAAACGGGGCAACCTCTACAATTTATTGAAATGCCTACCTGGTAAACATTTATTTTTTTTTAAAATCATTTGCTGCCTACTATGGATAGCCGCATACTAGTTTCAATATGGGCCCTTAACTTCAGTCATTTACTCAACAGAAGGTTCTTGAGTAATATTTCATAAACACTACCTATTGTGAGCTAGGCAATGCCATGAGGGCTACATGTATGAGGCCATCCCCTCAAACTAAACATACAAACACGCCCCGGGGGAATATCTAGCGTTACAGGGGGCGCTTGTAAAAGATAGTTGTCACTGAATACTTGGTGATCCAGTTATAACCTACTAGCATTACTTGCAAACATATCGGACTAGGGGTATTCCTCCTCACGGTGACCAGGTTCCTGAGTTGCGCGGAGAAAACACTCCATAGCTTCGGCATCGTTTCCGTGTGATTCATAGGTCCATTTCATACCCCCTCCAGCCACCTCTTTCCAGACTAGCGACTTGACTGTAGCGAGGTTCTGACGGTATTTTCGGAGATCCGTTGGATTCCAGAACATCTCCCGCTGTTGATATTCTGGGCGGTCATCCATAAAGACGTATTGATGGATTAGGATTGCGTTCCTTCTATACTTCTTTGTATTGACCTGGTAGACCTTCCACTCGGTCTCAGATGGCGGATCCGAGTGCTCAAAAGACTCTCTGTGGCATTCCAAGCTCGGCCATGTGATGTGGTATCTGCTTGTTGTGCCGAGAATCAAGTCGTAGAAAGCGCCCATGCGCAGCCCGTCGGGAAACTTGAACAAGGCAGTTTTCTCAGGCCACATGCGTCCCCCAGGTTCCGGTTGGTCTTCTCTTGTCACCTTCCAATGGATCTCCTCGATTGGCGGCTGTGATACGAACATTTTTCGCCAGGACGCATTTCTGGTCAGCCACGTTCTCCGCATGTCTTCATCATGGAAAAGCGAGCGAATACGGCCCAACGACAAATTGGTGGTTCCGGAATGGTGGAGTTCAGACTCGTTTGAGGCCATGTTGAAGAAGGGTGGGATAAAGAATGCGATAGTATGGTTTTTCGTGTATCTTTGCCCGGTCAATGGCTTGGGACTTTTGCGGAAGAATAGTTTTGTCTGGAGTCTGGGAGACCTCATGATGATATTTTGCCAGCGCTTACATACCCGCTGCACATTGATAAGGACATCTCCGTTCTCAACCTATAAGATGATGCTTTCGAGTAGCTCGTTGATGTTCAGGACGCGACTCCGAGCTGTGGGCATTTTGGCAGCGAAGAATGCGTTGGTAGAACTTAAGGATAGAACTAAAGGATGAAGGTCTAATACCAGTAAGTAGAGTTGCTCAAGTAGTAAACATATGAATAAATTGACGGGTGAAGGAGTCAACAGAATACCTCGGATACTACCACTACCTATGGGTTTGCCTGGTATTACTTTTGTGCAAAGCTTAGGTACTTGCACTTGCCTTGCACTTACAGTACCTTCCCCACTTATGTACAGTACAATGCATCAACAATCAACAAATCAAACACATGAAAAGTCTGAAAACATACCACTTTCGGAATAGTTCCAACTGCTCAGCCAATTAAATCTGAATGTAATAACGTATCGTAGCAAGATGATGTACTTAAACCGTAGGTACCTAAGATACTTATAATGAGGTCAACTAATATATACAATATAATATATGGTTTGACCTTAAAAGAATAAAAGAATTAAACCAAGGGAAAACCAGTTTGAGAAACAAGTGAGCCACATAGTACCTAACCTAAGGTAGTCCCGAACCGTGCAGAGAATATATCCAAATCATAATCCAAACTAGAACCATCGCTCTTAGCTAGATAACTGCCGAATGATGTCTCTCTTTGCTTTCCAACCCCTCCGACACTAAGCCATTCCTGCATGAAGACGAGAACGCTTCCTCCTATCTATCATCCCTGGCGTCTTTTAAGGGAGAAAAGTGAGTAGTACCCGGTTGGCTTGAGGATACTACTTGGCTCTTGCCATCGCCACCATCATCAACAACCTCATGGCTGAGACACTATCTATTTTCAGGTCCATGCCGCTCAGGAATTGCGCTTCCGCCGCACCGACCCCCAGAGCCTCTACCTGCTTAATGTTCTTGTGGAGCGCTTGAAGATCGCTCGTAGGCAGATAGGCCTCTTGCTTTACGTCCAAATCCATAGTATCACCCCAGGTGAGTTGCTTGACGAGAATGGCGTGCTCCTCGCGTGCTTTCCGTTCGAACTCGGCCATCGACTCGGCTTGCTCATCCGAAACGGAAAATCTTTCACAGGCCATGTTCGGCCATTGAATCGCGTAGTAACCTTTGGCGCGCAGCAGGAGACTGTACAATTCACTCATTCGTAGTCCCTCGGGGAATTCAAGCTCTGCCATGTATTTAGGCACTAGAACTGGAGTGCCTAGCCGACCCTGTCGATAGATACACCAATATATTTTCTTGATAGGTGGCTGAGATACTAACATGCGACGCCAAGAAGCATTTTCGACGAACCATTTTCGTTTAAATTCAGAGCTGAAGTTCCCGAAGATATCATCCATCATAAATCTTCCATCACGCGTAATATAGCGCTGGCTTCCTCCCTCAAAAGAGTGTGTGCTCAAGAATGCCGGAATGATGGAGGTGAGGCAGGTTAGGGTGTACGGCTGGTGCGGGGCCAAAAGCGTGGGACTCGGGAGGAGGAATAAAGACTTTCGAATCGTGGGAGAAGCATGGATAACGTCTCTCCAACGTTTTGACACCCTCTGCACGTTGACGAGAATATCTCGATTGTTGACAAGCGAAATGGCCATTTCCAGGAGTTCAGTCGTGCTGAAGACGCGATCTCGAGCGGAGCCCATTGTATTGGCCGTGTTAAGCAGAACACTGAGGTTGCAAATTGGTAGTGGATATGTAGGGTAAGAGAGGATGTATATGAGAAATAATGTCCTTGGTAGATATGAAGTAGTTTGGTGTGATCTTGATGAGAGGTATGCAGAAGGCCTTTCCAATTGATCACTTGTGAGTAGGAAATTGAGAAGTCCGAAAGTCGAGGGGAAGGCAGTATTCATACTATTCTTCCCCAGAATTAGAGCTTGAGGCGAATCGACCAGGGTAAAGTACGTAACGGCCTAGGTGGCGGTTGGTTCAACTTAGATCTAGGTTTCGAACGATCGCCTAACCCTACCGGCCGCGCGGAGTGTTAAGTTGAGTCGCCCCCCAAACAGTCAGTTTGATGCATGCCTCTGTACCGGCTAATGCCAGAGATAGAAAAAATAAGTTACAGTGCTGTTGCTAAGTTGCCCATCTAAGAGGTAGGCACCGAGGTGCGTTCAATGAATAAGAGCTTAGATTTTATGCTAACGGTGCTCGTATGATAGAACCGTTCCCAAGCTATACCTTAGATACTAATACTATTATATACGTTTAAGGGTAGATTATATTAAGCACGTATCTAAATTGAAACACCATAGGTAGGTGTATACATCGTATGCAATACATACCTTACATATTCCCGAGGTACATCTTCGCCAACAAGGTGGACACGGACAAAATTATGAACTAAATGATAAGAGCGACGAATATAATGCGTAAGCAGTTTAAACTAGAGTTTTCAGTTTAGGCGGACAATTATCTACAATGGTATGGTAAAATACCCTAAAGCGTTGTAAAGCGTTTGATAGGGAAACAACTTCGTTGTTCCGCGAGGAACTCTAACTAAGTTAGTTTTTAGGTCAAAGCTATATACAAAACATATCACACACCTAACAAATAAACTTTCCAGTTTACGTGGACAAGTCTCTAATATAATGGTATGATAAGGTACCTGATACCCAATCTAACAAGACGCGAAATAGGATATATCGGATATGCCGTATCATACTAGCACATCGGCAGTAGTGAACATTACTATTTCTACGGTTTCCTATGAATAGGGCCTAACCTGGCCGAGATATAATTATGTACCTCCTTTAAGTTGATCAACGATTGGGTATCTGTAACTCTCAACTTAGAAGTTACCTAGAACAACACGATAAATAAACAAGCTGCAATGGCTCGGGAAAACAGCTATCTCAAATCAGTACCTAAGGTACATCACCGAAAGCTAGAACGACGTTAACTCGAGGGGTTTGCATTGTTATCTTTACCCACCTAAGGTACCTCCTATATAAGGACCACGCCAATAATAGGTACCGTAACCTAAAGGTAACTGTGGATGAGATACCAACCACTACAGGGCGCATACCTATCTATCTATTACGGAGATTGCGATTGGGGACCTGTATTCAACATGTCCATGTTGTCCCTATCCGCGAGATGGTCGACAGCCCAGACCGCCTACCTGCGACCCCGAAGGTATCCAGCTCGGCGGCGGCTTCGGTAGCAATACTGGTGCCGCTGTAGCCCCTGAATATCTACCCCTATAACCTACGATAATAGCAAAACAAATAGCAAAAAATATAGTACCTAACATTTTAAATAAAGATTTGCAAGCTATATATACATGACAATAATATTTAATTGAAGTTGAATTGATCGCATAGGATCAGAGAAAGGTTAGTCAGAGTAATATCTGTTCTAACAAATAAACGAACTTTTTGGTGGGGAGTACGTTTTATTAAATTTAGACATGAATTATACTGCTCGTTTTCCCCCCTCATTTTCTAGGTGTTTAAATCGTAGAGTTAAGTTGGTACGTTTTGGTGAGGTTATAGCGGAGTGTGCGGATAAGATTCAAGGATGGTAGATCACTGTACAATACAATTACTTCTAGCTCGAAGCGTACAAGAGGGCCGGAGTCGAGGCAAACCGTGTGATATGCGAACTGATACGGCAGTACTTATAGCGGTCGTCCGACGGAGAAACGTAAAACGATTTAAAGACGATCAGCCCGGTCCCTAACGCGAATCGGTCGTATTGTACAGCACCTACCTACCTAAGGTAAAGGATATTGTACGAATCCGAGCTGTTACCAGTAAACGCGGAAAGATCCCCTACCTACTTGATGTAAGGTGGACCCCAGAGGATGAATGCCAGGCTCTCTCCTTAGGGGAGGTAAATAATGATGTAGGAGCGAGCTCATTAGCACCCGCTGTTGAAGTACAGACAGACCTACCCTCTACACAATATTGGAAGACTTGCCTATTATTCTGCATTTTTGACATGAGTTGAAAGGGATTCGGCTTATAAGCCACTCGACAGCTACACTTGTCATCAGCCCTCTACTTACTTGTAAGCAAGGGTTGTAAGCAAGGGGCTCGATAATTCCTTGTCCGTTCGAGTCCGAAAGTGGAATTAAGTAGGTAGTGAGGGTTAGACTAGAATACTTCATGCGATAGGGTTAACGCAACCAAAAATCATTTATCCTATAAACCAACATTTATGTGTAGAAAAAAAAAAAATTAACCCAGTCACATATTATAAAGCAATACCATAAAATTGGTGAGGTATTCTTATAGAATTGCGGCTAACGCTTTTTGATATCTAATCTACTGCTGCGACGACTTTCAGTCTGTGGTGGTATATTCTACATGGAATTTAAACCCGGCCGGCGCAAGTGTAAACGCAAACGCGAAAAGGGGTAGATAAACGCCAAAACGCAGCTACGCATCTCGCCGTCCAACTCTTCATTACTTTATTACCCACCATACATACATCACTCCCACCTCGGAAGGAATTCTCCCTTACGAAGCAAATACCTCCTTCCCTTCAACGCGTGAAATATCTAGTCCCTGCCCCTACTGACCCGCCTAGCGCGAAGTGGCGGCGATCCAGTCCGGGATCTGCTACGGCTGGAGCTGTATCGTCTCCTCTTCTTATCGACCGGGGTAGGTGACCGGCTATCATATCTTTGTCTCTTCCTCGGAGCGCTGCTGACAGAGCTGGTATTTCTACGCCGCCTTGCGGGTGATAATGGTGGGCTGCGACTCCGTGAAGGCGTGTAAGAACGGGATCGTGTGGAGCCGCGGCCACGACTATACGAACGAGGCCTACCAGCTCCGCGTGCCGCAGGCGGGGTTACCGACCTATACCGCGAATAGTTGGAGTCACGGCGGCCACGAGGCGGACTAGGGGAACTAGAATACCTCCTAGTGGATCGCCGAGGAGATGGACTCCGAGATGGACTCCGAGATGAACTGTAAGATGCTGATCTAGCTCGTCTCGGTGGGGTTCGAGATAATGACCGACCCCTATCAAGAGCCCTTCGCGGCGGTGTACGAGATCTGGACCTGGATGAATAAGAGGAACCTGTGTACGACGAATAGCTAGACACAGAATCTGAGTCGGAATCGTCGGCAGCAGGGGGCGCAGGAAGAGTTGGCTTCGGCATATTGGCCAAGTACTCTCTCATCTCCTCCGTCAAAGCACCCATACCGATACTGGTAAAGTAATTGATCGAGAACCGTACATTGCGTGCATTGTCGCGCGGGAACAGCCCTGTAAAGCTTTCTTGTAGCACGTCGTCCCGCATTCGTGCCTGTAACTTTGTCATACCTAGCTCTTCCGAGATTTCCTGGAACAAAATCTTGATGAAGATTCTGCTAGCAGAGGTTGTCTCTTCTTCGTTTAAGTGTATGACAGACATAGCATGCCAGCCAATAGCGTCGGAACCAAACATGTGACCGAAAAATCTGGCAATATTCCGTAGCCTATTCGTTTCGTATCTGTGGATTGTCTCGTAGTATTTTTCGAAGCTCTGAGTAAAAAGGTCGCACCATAAGCGATTGATCTTAGCAAACCTCTCTCCGATCAGGCCAAAGAACTTCGAGTAAGTCTTCTCCTGACTACAGCACTCTACTATCATAGAGGGTAGCTCAGGCTCTTGGCCGGTTGGGAGGTTGATCTTCATCAGCTTATGGACACACTCTTCGGGATCCATACTGCTCATAATGGTGAGGTAGATGGTTTTCCGAAGGTTGACAAGATCCGTGTTGGACTGATCCTTGATCTCCATAGCTTTTTGCTCCTCATCCTCTTCCTCGGAACTCTCATCTTCGTCGTCCTCCTCATCTTCGTCGTCCTCCTCATCTTCGTCGTCGCTTCCCTCCCCAAGAATCTCGGCTCGCAGCTTCTTATAAGCTTCCTCGTTTTCCTCCCATTCCGGATCAAATTTAAATATGTTCAGGCCCTCTTGGACGTCAAGGTCCGCACCCAAGTCGACCTTATGTGTGATTTGGTCTTCCTCCTCAATTAGATCTAGCTCCTCCTTGATCGCGGGATTATCTTTGAATTTGTCTTTTCGGACTTGGAATAAAACCTCGATCATGAACTGCACTCGTTTGTCGATATCCGCCTCGTGTAAGATATTCCTGAACTGGTCGAACACAATTCCCGCAATAGCTGGGTTCATGTCTTCTAGATGCTGTCCCACTTCCTTCGTTAGGCCAACCGCAATCTCCACACTATCGTCCGTCGGTTTTTGTAGTAGCAAGATCAGCATCTGGGCAGCCAACATTTCGTGAACTACTTGCTGGTTGACCAAATGCGCAATGAACATAGTCGATGATAAACACACGGCTTTGTCGTTCCGCTTGAAAGCTTTCCTGAATTGTATGACCAGTCTCTTTACGAGCAGCTCGCCGACCTGCGGTAACTTCGTGTTGACGATGGCCGCCATAGCTGCTAGGACGGGGGTGAAAGGCAAACTTGCCGCTTGCGCTTTCATGATACTTCGGCAGAACAATCCCCGCCCTCTGACCAAGTTCTCCTGGAACAATTCCGGAACGATATACTTGATGTTGGATACGTTGACCTTGTTGATAAGACCGTTGATGCTCTTCTTTAATGCCTCCCAGGCCATGCGCTGATATTCCTTGCTTGTCTTATCCGTGATCTGGGCCTGCAGCGCCCGCAGACGCGCAGGGGGAATATACGTTCCTCCCGATCGCATATTTAAAAGTTTCTGATACTCGGCCTTTGCAGCCGCCTGCTTCTCCTCTTCGGTAGGCATCCTGGGCGGCGTGCGTTGACGAGGTGGCGACCGTTGCCGGGGAGGCGGTGAGCGACGGTCACGGTCGCGATCGCGGTCGCGCGCAGGTCTGTATGTGTCGCCGCCATCACGACGTTGGCCTCGATCGGGATCGCGACGGGGGGAACGTGGGATGGGAGGTTCGTTGGGCGACCGTTCACCTAGATGGCGCGTCTCGACTTCCGCCATCGTCTTCCTACTACCTTAAAATAAATTATTTAGGCTGGTGTAGTAAATAGATGAACCGAGGTCCAAGCCACGTCCAACGGGTGAATCGTCCCCGCAGTTGGGAAATTCGCTTTTGAAAAAGGATGGAATTGACGATGGAAAAAAAAAAGTTGAAGCAGGCAAGGCAAAAAGATGAACGTGACGAAAGTTTGAACGAGGCTGGGTAGCTCATTCGAAAGTGGGTCTTATAGAGGTTACCTTAGGAACCTAGTTGAATATGATTGGACTATCTCTCGTGATGCGATGCACCTGCATAACTCGTATTAAATTAGCAGCTGAAGCCACATAAGATGTATTCAATGTTGTACTGAGGTACTACATGTATGTACGGTTGAGTATAGCGGCCACTCGGCAAATGACGTAAAGTTGAGATACAGACACCCTAAAGCTAATAAAGCAAAATAATAAAATAAAATATGGATTTATAATACATTATGCATGAAAAAGGCTAACGCCTTTTTGAGCTTTTAAAATACGTATTTTTTTATTAATTGTATTTTATAATATATTTTTTATTTACGTTTTTATAATTAATTTAATTAAATGAATTTAATATAAATAAATTATTAGATTTTTAATTTTCTTATATTAAATTATTATATTTAATATAATGTAATAATTAATTAAAAATAAATAATAATATTAATAAAAAAATTTAATTTTTATTAATTTTTTAAAAATAATATTAAAATTAATTATTATTATAATTATAAAAAATTAACTATTATTAATATTAAAAATATAATATTTATTTACTTTTTTAAATAATATATTTAAGCTAAAAGCAAATCCTTTATACCTTTAAATACTTTTTTTAATGCATAGTGTACTATTTTAAGCGCAAACATGCTTTAAAGCATAGTAAAGCATCCCTGCAATTTAAATATACCCCACCCTTTTAAGGGGTGACCTTATAAATTTTGATCAATTTTAGGGCATTTGCCGAGTGGTCGCTATGCTCAACCGTATGTATGTATATATGTACCTAATTTGAAGCAAGCCACTGGCCATGGAGAGTCATGGTCCCCGTTTTAATTATTCAATTCGCTAGAATTCGTGTCGCGTCTGATTTCACGGTAGACTTCAATTTCTAGCCAGGTCATCATCATCTACCTCAAAAGCCAAATTCGGGCGAAGCCAACATTAACTACCTACGTAGATACTTCTTATTTTTCGACCACGTTCTTTACTTACTAGTTAAACCTATCAACTCGAACTTGTTTGCCATCTTATAATTGACAATGGTACGTCCACGTCCCCTCCCCCGTTCTCCCCTTGCGCATTGCGCATTGAGCATCATACTATCAATCCATTGTATTATAACTAGCTCCTTACTGACGACTCAATAACCGTATAGCTCGGCACTCTCGTCGGTTTAGCCATGTTGGTGGCCGCCTCCGTCGTCTTTCTCTACTACTCGATCTGGACGTTGGCCATGGTACGAAAGCCTTCCTCCCCCCTCCCCCTTTTTTGGTTTATTACGAATCTCATTCTAACCACATCACATCTAACATACAGCCCTTCGTCGACTCCGACCACCCCCTCCACAACTTCTTCCCCCCACGGGTCTGGGCTATTCGCATACCTGTTATCCTTATTCTTCTCGGATGCGCCGTCGTTGGCTCGTTTCTGAGTGTCGTCATGATCCGTAGCAACAGGAAGAAAGCTGCCAAGGCCAAGGCCGCAGCAGCTAAGAAGAAGGCGTAGATGATATGTAGCTCATATGATCAGAAAAGAAAAGAAAAACATATAGTTGACGTGCGTGCGGGAATTGGGCAAAGTAGGGCTTAATTGGACTTTAGTTATGACATTGCAAGCGTTGCCCTAAATCAGCTGGGTGGTCTATGTTGCTAAATCTACATCTTTAAAAAAAAGAAAAAAAAACCTCGAAAGAAAGAATGAATGATGGTCAATACAGCTCACAACCTGGGAGATGAATGCCAGAGGTGATTTGACGGTATCTAATTGAGTTACGTGCTCAGCTCCGTATTGATAGGACTATATATTTCGTGTCTGTAATGCAATAATATGTATGCAAGAGACGCCAAACCCACCCGGCCAATCCCTTCCGAATCCAAAGCAGATGAGCGAGGGTCTAACAGGATGTGTTCGTAAATGTAGTTTCGTCTGTTGCCTCTCGCACGTGTTTGCGCAGTCTGAGAATCCAACTCCAGTGTTGAACCAAGACGCCTATACAACAAGTAACAGGACCGATTCCTTCGAATTCGGCAATTCAAACCCTCTGGTCCGCAAAGTCAAGTACTTCGCAATCATCTTCAAAGAATCCATCCTCATCAGCGTCTGCGGACCTATTTCCGCCTCTACGACGTCTGGTCGTGACAACAATTTGCTCATCATTCTCGCCAACTTGCAGGACCCGCTCCATAGCCGAGGCAGGCAAGGCGCGGTGGTCATCGACGCTGGTGCTGATATCCTCCTCATCGAAGTTTATTATCCCCGTATTCACCCTTTCCACGTTCAAGGTTTCTCCGAAAGCCCACGGCTGTTTTGGAGGTGTCCACGGCCGCTTTGTTTTGCCGCCTCCCGGCGTATTCTCTAGTGTCATACCTTGCAAATGTTCTGATACAGAAGTTGCAGTAGCAGTAACATTAGCAGATCCGTCGCCATATACATATAGCCCCACCCGCCTGTCAGTGTGGAACGGCTGGTAAGGTGCACTTGATTCTATCTCAGCCTGTGGTATGTAAGTCTCGGGACTATACTCAGAATCGGCAAGTTGCGGTCGAGGGTTGAAAACCAAGGTATTGCCGCCATCGTGCTCTTGACTAATGGGGTCGAGATCTTCGATAGGGTCTGTGATCTGCTTAATAGATGGCGCAATCAAATCGTCAGGCAAGTGGTTCAGCTTGAAGTCCCTGTACTGGTTACCACGTTGAAAACGAGATTTGTCCTTCCCAGTCTTCGGCCTTCTGCTTTTCCCAGGAAAAGTCCTAACCAACCCATCCCCTAGCACAAATAAAGTATGATACTTCTTGCCAGTAATCCATGTCGCACAGAAAGGGCCAGGTGACATACTACCGGGCGGGAGGCTAACACGGTTCTCGCCCGTATGGCGTAACTGACTGATGGCGGTCCCTGCGTTTCCCAAGGAATGACTAATTCCTGCAGCAAGCACCTTACCTCCATATCCAGCACGGTCCATGATAGTAGACGGCGTTTGCGAGTTCGAGCTTATACGACGGTGGCGGGAAGTCAAAGTCCGAGTAGCACCGTAAGCAGAACTAAGCGCATTTGATGCCAGCGAAACCGCTGATGGCGCGTTTTCAGCACCCTTAGGCAATTCATCCTCAACTCTAACCCGACGGCGGGGAGGGGGCCATGTAAACGCACTCGGTGGCATATCGAGCAAGTGTACTGTGCCTCTCTCGGTGACCATCGCAACTCGCTCCCCGTTTGGCCTTGCCCACGCTACGTCAACGATGCGAGCGACAGTCATACGCGAAAACTGTGCGACCTGCCTTACTCTCGTTGTGTGGCCGTTAGTTAACTGCGGGTTCTGCAAGGCTGAAGATTTTGTGTGCTGAATACGCATCAAATCCCACACTGTCTGCACGTCTCCTTTGCTACTCGCAGTGAATATAGAAAGACCAGTTGGGGAAAACGAAACGAAGCTGCAACCGAGCGGTGCTTTGAATGTAGTAACGTGATGGATTGCGGCGGAATTTGGTAAACTATGCAAATCCAGAATTGATACCAGACCTGGTTCCTTAGTTACAGCCTGACCAGGAATTCCGTATGTCGGAGGAAATTGTGATGCATCCGATCTTCCCAAGTACCCACCATTCCAGGGTGGTGAGCCCATCTGGGACTGGCGAGGTTGTGCCTGTTGACCCGGCTTGGACCAGTAGTTTTTCCAAAGCTGAGCCGACTGTTTCGTAACCCACCGAGCTCCTTGTATGAAATCCTGGGTAGTTTCCCTCATTATCCGGTTCATTACGCCGTCGGGGACGGGTTGGTCGACGTCCGCCGTCTCATTTGGCAAAATAGGAGGAGCAAGAGTTGTTAAGCCGGGCGCTTTGCCTTCTAGCGGTACAGGAATATACGGACTAAGCGATTTCTGAGGTGACGGTGCAGGTGGGCAATACGCCAACCATCTGCCATTAATTGCGACAATGGGCATCTGAGGGCGCTTGCCTGTGGGGGGCGAGCTCTGGCTATCATCGTCCTCAGGTAATAATAAACCGCCGCTCAAACTCGTCCATACCTTGCCTATACAACAAAATTGACACCCGGGTTCCTGCTCGGATTGCACCTGTCGATAGATCCAGCATTCACCAGTGACTCCTGAAGAAACTATGATATTTCCAGCGTCGGCGCGAAGTTGAAAAGCACCCGTTGGTGGTGGACTTCTAAACACTGGGTTTGTTACTAGGGTCTTGATTGAGGTTTTTGGTGCCTGTAACAGCACATCAATAAGCATATTCGTTGTTAAAGAATATACCTCGACAGTGGTCTGGTAGGCATCAATTATTGGTAATGTCTTCCCAACGTTGATTTGTCGCTGATGGCTGTCTGATTGTGGCGTATTAATGCCACCCATTCGCGGACTTGACGACTCATCAGAGTGTTGGTCAACAGCAATCTCAGGGGTCGCTGGTGGTACCACCGGCCCATGAACAACAAGTGCAATCAAAGGAAAGATGCCATGCGGATCGGACATGCCATTCCACGGTAGAATCTTCGCATTGTAAACCCCGCCCCGCAGCCCTTTCAAGCTAGCAAGCGGTTCAACAGCATGCTTTGTGGCGCTGTAAATATCGATACCGCCTTCGTAACCCGCGAGAACAACATTATCACTACCAGATGACTGGACCCCGCTAGGGTTGGGAAGAATGTCGAATCCGAAGTAAAAGCCCCTCTCACCCGGTTTCAACCCAGTTTTACCATTCAAATCGAAGTCTATATCAGGAGCTCCGTAGAAGTGCGCTTGCGGCTGATGAGGCAATGGCGGGTGAGATCCAATCCGGGGTGGTGGGTATGGCGAATGCATTGAGCTTCTTCGCGCTCCAGGCGGCGACGATGCCTGAGAGCGAATGTCGTTCGTGGCATAGTGTGCATCTAATTGGAAACTCAAGGGTCGTTTAATACCAATAGGAGGGGAAGCTGAATAAGCATGACCATTCACAAAGTGTTGCCGTTGCTGCTGCGTACTCCAGTTATACGGTAAAGACCGCGGATCCTCGTATGAGGACGGTTGAGTCGGTGGAGAGTCGCCCATGATACTTATCAAGTTTGAAGGCGAACCAGCTAGGTGACCCATTGCTCGCGCCCAGTCATTGGCACTTGGGGCCGTGCTGGCAGAAACCGAGGCTGTTGAAGCGGCATCTGACATCGGGGAGAAGGCTGCATTGCCGTTCCTGGGTATTGATGCGGGACCGGTAGGTTTCAGCTCCGGAGACACCAGAGGAGAGTCATCGGGCGGAGATGCATCGCTGGCATCAATACTGCTCCTAATTTACAGACAGTTAACGCGAATTCCATTCAGAGCCATACTTAATCGTAAGCAACGTAAGCGACTAACGAATTGACGACTTGCTCGACAACAACCGGATAAGGGGTATTATATTAGGGTACGTACGAGAACTTAGCCCCATGTCTCGTCACCGCTGCGACAACCCCGCCGCTTTCTTTAACATTCTTATCCTTCTTCTTTGGACCTGAGGTATCACTTCCAGTAAGCTTCGAGGTTCGTTTATTACGACTCTTTTTCCCCACGGAGGAGGACGAGGTGGGAGAGGTATCGCGGGTAGACGAACCGGGCATAGGGCGATGCTAGCAGGATGGCCGGGGCAGTTTCCTGCTCGCCAGCGGAGGAGCTCGGTTAGGAGCTCAACTCGGATTGCAAATTATCGCAACGAATATCGCCAACGGGGTAGGCCAGAAGGAGGAAGGGAGGAGATTAAGGACTGTATCGCAAATGAGGTAAACGTCGGTTTAGGTTATTACGTCGAAGAGTTGATTCGACAACTCGCAAGAGGGACAAAGACACACAAGCGCGTTGTACGCGATCGACCGCCGAGGCTAGGTTTAGGAGGGGAAGCACAAAGGGGAGGAAGACGCAGGCAGCCGAACACAACAACGGCTGGGGAATGAATTATTACGATTTTGTAAGATCTTTCTTAGACGAAGTTATCGAGAGATTATTGCCAGCACTGCTGTATAAGTAGTATGTATGTTTGTTTGTATGTACGTATTTAGAAAGAAGGGTATCGAATCTATGAGAGTTTTATTCCAAGTATGTTATGTAGTTGTTGTTAGAAAGAAAGGTATCATAGTTGCTGAGTGTATGTACCTAGGTAGGTATGCTAGGTAAGTATGTAAGTATAGAGGGAGGGCCGAGGGGGGGAGAGAGAGTGGCCAGGAACCTTGTAAGATACGTACCTCATAGTGTAAGGCACATCCTCAGGAACGTGGATGTAGACGTGTAGTACGCCATGCCCGGCTGAAGTACCTAATCTAGGTACATAACATGGAATAAAAGCAGGTACCTAAGGTACCGAATCACCTACAGTGCCGCTTTAATCAGAATTAGGTACCTTGCATAGATTGCATAAAACGGGCAGTACCGCGTCTTTCCGTTACCGCTCCCACGCAAAATATATCATATCCGTTTTGTTAATACAGGTTTTCTTATGTTAGTTATGTGTAACTAATCAGAGACGCAACAATTATAACTTGCTTCATAAATAATCGATCAATCACATGCGCTGTTGACTTATTTCTATCATGTCCCTACGCATACCTGTAAAGCTATCTCATCTTGCGTTGCATATCCTATCTACGTCACGCGAGACAGGTCATCAATGCCAGGCATTCCGACGGGTTAGAATGGTAGGTACTTACCATTGATGAGATTGTCTATACGTACTCGGCAAGTGACTCAGGTCTTCCGAACAACCAACGTGCAACTCGTATCGGCAGACTGCAGCTCGGAACGAAGATTTGCAGATGCTACCAACATCTACCTATACGAGACTGTTGACGAAGTAGGTACCTTACAGGTCACAATCTAGGGTACGCTCTCTCTCTAATTACATAGTAGTATTGAGCAATAGACAACCTTATGTCTCAAGTCTTGCTTAAATGGCTCTTAAGAGATTGTAGAGGGAAGGACTTGTCAAAATGAAGACAGGAAGTATGTTTCGTCATTTATCATATCCTACTTCGTACACTTCACAATTATATCCACAGATGTCGGAACGGGATGCGTTGATACAAGCGAGGCTCGGGAAGCCTCTGCGCAAACACGCAAACGCCAAGTCCACGTCTTATCAAACAGTAGAAAAAAAAGAAGAAAAAAAAGATATATCCAATTAAGAATAAAGGAGGTGCCATGACAAGAGTGGGATTCGAACCCACGCGTTTTGCAACACTTCGATCCCCCTTTCACAGGGTTAAGTTTGGTAACTTGAGCGAAGCTCCATAGACCGCTCGGACATCTTGCCTGGGGTATAGAATATTCCATGGGCTAATATTGTTCTATATTCAATAAGTATTGAAGCTATCGTCGTGGGGTTACCATTCTAGTAATAGTTGCAGGAGCTAGAATAGCTAGAGTACCTAGCAAACTACCTTAGGTAAGGTAACGTAGGTAGGTTAACTTGCTAACAGGTCAAACCGTTTAGATACCTAGGTACCTAGCTTACCAATCAGAACCGTTTTAACACACCGTTCCAGCGCATTAATCGCGTAAGAGTTCACGATTCTGTGACTCAAGGCATGTGACTGATAGGTAATACAAGCGGCAACGGAGGTGAGCGGTTAACGGTATCTAGGTACATTGTGGTATCTGATATCTGAGTACATACAGTTTAAGATAATGTATCTGAAGAGGGGAACCCCATAGTTTATGTACTAGCAATCAACAGGGATAAGTCTACGTGTAAGTTACTAATCCGGTAAATTGTAGCCTGTAAATAGGCGCGATAGGCACATGTGGAGGGCATGCTAGGGGGACTTGAGGCGGTTAGAACTTAGAAACAAGGAACAAGGATACCAGGCATGTATATTCCGTATTGTTAGATACAGGTAATGGGCATGTATCTTAGGTACCTCCTATCTAACATACACCTACCTAGGTACGTAAGATAGCCTGTGATGCATTATACCGACCTGCCTCAGATATCGTGCAATGCAGCACAATGCAAGTATAAGGTACGGTTTAGCGCTGTACATATTAATAACTCGAGTTAGGTACAGTTTAAAAGAGGGATGATAAAAAGGAGATGCAGGTCTTCCATTTCCCCATCGTTGGAAAGATGCACATGCACAAACCATCTGCGAGAGCCCCTCACTATGCCCAGCCTGGTATCCGTGGCAGCGTGGGAGGTTACTTGAGTGGATCGAGGAGTAAGACAGCATCAGCATACCTACCCAGGTACCTAGGTACCTACATATGCATACATAATTGTGCTTTGTTTTAGCTTTTCTTGCATATGAGCAGAGCAATACATATGAACAATGATGCCTCGATCAGCTCGATGCATTCATGTGAGTTTTCCTTATCAGTAGCTCCAATGCTACGTCATCAGCTCTTTTTACGACGCGTGCTCCGAAAAAGGAGTTTGACTTTCTTTGAAAATGGAAAAAAGGGGGAACAACAATCCCAAGTCACGTACGAAGTACATCATTTAAAAAAAGGAATCAAAGAGAATACAATTACCTATGACTTCCGAGATTCTCAGCTCAGCTTCAATGTTATAATAATAATAATAAAAGGAGGGGAGGGGGTACTAGACGCTTCGAAAAGGTCACGGACCAGAAATCCAAATAAAATGATGATGTTGATAATACTAATGATGATGATAAGCAACTAAGTACTATATTGCCCCGAATGATTTCCTCACGGGACCTTATCGTCATCCAACCAATCCAACCCCCATTCCCTAATATACCCAACTCGTCACGCCCCTTATCCGCCAGCCACCTGTCTAAACTCTCAAGACTTTCTCCCACCTCATCGTGATCAGGGGCCGTAACCACCCAAGGTCAGCTGACGCTAAGCTGAAAGATTCGTTAGTGTTTGATGTGCACTAGTTACAGTCTACACTACAACTAACACCCGGCACGAGAGCCGGTTCTTTCGCTATTTCTAGAACAGTTTAAAACCTACCCGACTTAGGCAGTCTTTCTTGAAAAAGTAAAAGGTTAGTGTGTCGAGCGTACATAGTACTATATAATATATAATACACTACATTAGGTACGATTTATGATTAGATCTCCAGGGGTGCAGCACAGGTAGGTTTAGCAAATTCGACAAAAAAAAACTCAAATCGTCCATCGTAACAAAACTCATATTATGGCATCATCCCAGCGCCTAGCATCCAGCAGTACAACAGAACGGATGAGACGGAACCTCCTACCATGAACTACCATGTAGGTTACTAGATTACGTAGCTCCTATACCCGCGCAATCCTATTCAATGTATTGTGTAATACCTAGACATATATCCGAAGAATCATCTATGTTAGGTACCTAGGTAGTCATTATATATGTAGACGTGATCAAGGTCCTAAGCCAGGAACATCTTATATAAAACACCCAGCGCAGCGAGCAGTAGAAACGGTCCCAGCCATCTGCCCACGAGCACGCGCAGCCGACCGCGCAGCGACGCGCCCAGATCGTCGTCGTCGCCGTACGTGCCGTGCTTCTTGTTCAGATAGACCTGGTAGACCCGGTATTTCAGCCGCCCCTGCTCCTCGACCAGGATCGCGTGCGCCGCCCACGACATCTCCTTGCACTCGAGATCCTTCCGCCCGATCGTCGAGACCTCCCCTTCGACCATGTACTCGGCGGCGGGCGCGCGCGCGGGGTCGTCGGCGTACGCACTCGCCGGGTAGAAGGTCACCGGGTATACCCTCAGCAGGCGGTGCTTCCGCGCCAGCACCTGTTCCCACATGCCTTTGCGCAGATCCCGGATACCTATTACAGGTAGCCCAGTAGTGAGTAAGTAAGCATGTAACCTCGCACGTTACGCCTCGAAATACAAACAACTAGATAAATAGAGGTAGGTAGGTAGACGTATGTCTTAACTATCCATTTCGATACGAGTTCAAGTGCCTACCTACACAAGGTACCTTATGTAGATAGGTATGTAGTTTCTCAAAACTTCACGTACCCTTAATATCCGACGCACTCCTATCCCCCACAATGACGTGGGCGCGGAAGGCGAAGCAATCCACCCACTGCTCGTCCTTGGACGCGTCGTCGGAGATGGCGTAGAACCGCGATATGAAGTCCTTGACTCTCTCGTCGACGGGATGGCTAATCGGGTACGACGGCTCGTACTCGTAACGCTCCATCGTGAGAGTAAAGCTGTAAATAGGGGCTGTAAGCTACCGGTAGGTATTGATGTATTAAAAAAAAAATCCCGTTTAATTAGGATGCGATGGATCGGGGTATTATTATTGATAGGCAGTAGTTGGCTCTACAATAAATTAATCGCTGGCTACATGTAGTGATACACAAATGTTAGGTTGGTAACCTTAACTTGCATGAGGGGTATTTACTTCATTTGATCCCATCTCCCCAGGACAGAGAGCGGTACAATAGGCAAACAAATAAACGCAGGCAGTTTTCTTGCAAGACACGTAAGAGTACCACAAGTTTAAATTACTATTGGAGATATACATTATACCCGTCTTTGTCACTAGGCAACTGCTCCTCAAACGAGAAATCTCCCTCCGGAAGATCATTCAAAGCTAAAGCAAAGCCACTCTTTCTGCGACTAATATTCTCAGTTTAAGGCTAGTACCGTAGCCTTAGGTATCTTACAGGCCAGCTGTAACCGAATAATCCGGCTGGTATCATTCCTAAACCTTTACGACGTTACACTTTGCCGCCTCTCCAGGTGTTCGAAACTTCAGGCTTTGGCTGATCTTGAGACTGTTATACTTCAAAGTGAATAGGTTATAGAGACGTGAGCATAGTAGACATATATAACTTTGTATATCTAATGTTGGAGGTGGTATGTATGAACCACAAAAGTGATGCTATAATTGAAGCCCTAAGCTCCTGACGTGTACAAAATAGTAGTCCTCTCGAAACCCTCAGAACGTTTAGAACTTTGTCCTTCGGGGTAGTGTATATTCGCGCATCGCCCCAAATTCGTGGATTTCCATGTTGGCATATGCTAAGACCGGTTAAGGCGAGGTGTTTGGCAGTCTGGTAAAGAGCACTCAATGACTAGGTTAAGAGTCAAATAAACGGTATGGGGGTATCAGTAAAGGAAAATGCATGTCGAATGAAAAAGAACATTAAAAAGAAACTGTAAGGTAGGTACGAGCCGCGATGCTCGAATAATTAGAAAGATTAGCGTCGAGGGCTAAGCATCACATCTTGACGCCACGCGAAGTCACTTCTCCTCTTCCTCCGATATTTAGCAGTTTACGACACTCAGGGCAATACCACTTCGTCGTACGTGCCGGTATCTCAGTCAGTCCCACGCACTCAAGGTGGAACCATTCTTGCTTGCAATTCTGTACGTGGTGGATGGTTAGTTTCTTCTTGTGTGCTTTCTTGTCACCACGTGCTGGGGCTGCAGTAGTAGTAGTAGTCTTTGTTGCGCTCACATCTACGTTATCGCACTGTATCATAGTGCCGAAGCTGACTCTGTTGCAGAGGCAGTATCTTGGTTCGTTGGGATCGATTACATTACCGTCGTCGTCCACCTCCACTTCTACTTCCTGCTCGGCCTGCTGACTTGCACCCCTCTCCTTTTTGGGGTTGCCACCGCGAGCTTTCTTACGTGGAGCTGCCTTGCGCTTTCCTATAGCGCTAGTACCGCCCGAGTTGGTCGTCACGACGCCTGGAGCAGGTCGTTTGGTACGTTTGCTGGACTGACGAAGCTCTGGAGCAGGAGTATTTCTAGCCGTGCTAGTACGGCGAGGTCGTTCGGCTGCAAAAGTTGGGGGTTCCTGGCTTGCAGCTTTCCCGCGTGAGGTAGGCCTACGCACGGGAAGAGGCTGAGACTCAGGGGCAGGTGTAGTTGCCGGCGTATTGCTCCGGGAACTGGACTGCTTGTGGTTAGCTGGGGTCGAGACCGGAGCTGCTTGAATATTCTGTCTAGTTTCCCTTTTGGGCATCGGAGGGGGGATAGGTGTAGTCGAAGTCTTGATAGGAGGCGGAATGGGCGTCTCTGCCGGGGGTTTGACAGATGCCGTGGTGGCAGCATTAGATGGTGGAGCTGGACTTGTCGCCCCGGAGGAGGAGGCAGCAGACCTGGTAGTCACCATAGACGTATCAGAAGAAACCGGAACGGGAACCGGTACTGGCGTCTTGGATGTGGGAGCAGCCTGAGCGATCTTGCCTAGCTGCGGGACAGGGACGGGGACCGGAGTCTCTGTTGGTGCAGCAGTTGCGGGCGGTGGAGGTGGTACAGATGGAGGCCGAGGAGTTAACTGAGGCAACGGAACAGGGGTTTCGGTCTTAGTCCGCTTCAGCGGGGGTCTCTCGGAATGACTAGGCGTCTGGCTCGCCGGCGGATTCGCCGGCAGACTTTGAGCCCCTTCGGGCTTCTCAGCAACAGGAGTTTCCGACATCGAGTTGCGCTTTCGCTTCCTACCCTTGGTCTTGCCGGTCTTGCCTTGATTCTGGTTTGTCTCAGGGGCTCTATCTTGCGTGCTCCCGTTCACAGACGGCGAACCTTCATGGTTAAGGAACATGCGAGCAGCTTCTACCATTTTCCTCGCTGATTCTTCTGCTTCCTCGGCAGCAATCCTTGCCATCGATTCACGTTTCAGCTTCTTGGCCTCATTTAACTTCATGCCGCGGTTGCTTAACTGTACCTCGTCTGCTGTTAAAGCCTCGGCGCTAATGGCACCTTCAGGTGGGTGCTTAGCTCCCGACTCGGCATCAACCACCGGAGTAGGAAGGGCAGCATCAAAAGGTTTCCCCTCCTCCTCTGCCTGCTTCTGGGCGGCTCTATACGCTTCGACGCCACGACCCAAGTTTTTGAGCTCTCGGGCTATCATAGTATCGCTGGGATTCCACACGGCATTTTTCTTCATCCTCTTACGGAGTTTGGCAAGTTCATAAGGTGTCAATTGAAGCCATGGGGCGTCAGCACTACCGGGGATGGCGTTCTCGGGAGGTGGCTGCAGTTGTGCCAAGGCCGTGCTTGTGGACATCATGGGAATCGCATTCTCAGACCGGTTAGCTGGAGTTCGAGGTGGCCGTGGCGGTTTCGGAATCTTCTGCTTGGGAGGTTTAGGAGATTTCGGGGGCCGAACCACCTTGATACGAGTCGACGGAGTTGGGACTCGCCTAGGAGGCGACATAGCTATATCTTCCTCCTCTTCTTCCTCAGAGCTCTCGTCGCTCAAGGAGCTGTAAGCGTTGAAATCGATTTCATAAGGCGCGAGTACCTCACCCGGAACGGTGATGCGAGGTGGCCTCTGGATCTTCTGTCCATTGCTGTCAAGGCGAAGTGTGATCTTAGGAGTGCGAACCGTCTGTGGCGACTTAACCTGTGTAGGGCTATTTTGTTCCAAGGCAGTAGGATAATTATCGCGCATTGCCAGTAGCTTTGCATGTATGGTTTTAGCTCGGTTATAGTGTCTGACTACGTTCTCATGGATGCGAACAGCCTCGGCGTGAGAGAAGATGCGCGAGCTGACAGCGCGGTTCAAATTCTCGGATATATCTTTGCGCAACTGGACCGGTGCAGGACGCTGGTCGGCTGGCAAGGTTGGCAATTTTGCCCATGTGGAAGTGAGTTCGTTAACGGCAGAGGATGCGTCGATGTAAGCTTGGTCAAGTTTTCCAATCAGTGTAAGAGATCGCACCATGTCGGATGGCAAATATTCTGTAAAGTCGAGAAAATCGGTTACGGTTGCTTGGGCGTCCGGGTCAGCGCGCATGGTGAGCGACTCGAGGCCATTACTTGAAGTATCTAAAGGCGGGATAACGTGCATCAAAGAGCTAGAGTTCTTGTTGTCTGGTGAAATATCGCCGTCGAGGTCCCTGCCTCTTTCGCTGTTTGCTTCTACTACGGTCGCCATGGTTATAGTGCAGACCGCATAGAGCGCAGCGGACAAAGGTTGGAAGTTGGAAATGGTGCAGAGTGCAGAGTGCAGAATGCAGAATGCAGAGTGCAGAGTGCGGCAGTTAGCGAAGTATAAGGAGAAGTAATTGATATGTCGCCAACAAACTTTTGGTGCGATAAGATCAAAAAAAAAGCGCCGACGCGAATTTGCTGTCAATCGTTACGATTAAGGTGAGAGGTTGTCGCGTCAAGGTTTGGGCTTGAGCTCCCAAAGTTCTTTCTTGGCAAGTTATTGCTAATGACAGTATTAATAATGGTAAGAAACTGTGTGTCACACGTTGTGCTTACCGAACTGAACTAAGCCTGAGGTAGCTGGGGTACATTAGGTTAGTACCTGCCCCGCATCTGTTTTTGCCCCTGTACTAGGTAACTTGAGGCTGGAGTGGCCGTCAGGATTAGGTACCTAAGTACAGAACGTGCCTGTAATACCTCAAGCTCTATTAAGTAAAACAAGGAACTACGCGCACCTGTTCGAGGTATCAGGTAGGAAATCATGAATCAGTTACTAAATTTTAACATAACAGTCTCTCGCAAATAACCTACCCGTGACTCAATTTAGAGTAGATTAGGTACTTCTTAAAAAAGCTATTCCTTCAATACATTTACCCCTGGAAATATTATATAGTATGTTACCCTTCATCCGGGATAAAAAATCACCATTTCAGAACCAAAGATCATAATACGTAAAACGAATTAAAACTTCACTTACATATGCATGTTATTCCCTAGGTTAAGCCTTCACTTCCCCGGGTTCTAAGAAATTGTCGTTGTGGAGAGATCTCGGCTGAATGAAGCCATCCTACGCCTAGAATCACATCTGCACCTGCATCTGCAAAGTCCCCTCCCCCTATTAGTCCATTGGAGACGCAGACCTGTCTTACGTAGATATAACCAAAGATGCATTACGAGGCGCCGGCAGTTGTCAAGGTAGGTCAAAATACGAACCCCAAGAAGAAGAGAAAAAAAAATTCATATAATAAACTCTAGGTAAGCGTCAATGGCGACATGTCATATTCTCAGTTTATACACGTACAATAGCCGGTAGACATTGAGTACCTAGCATCCCAAAATGTTAGTTATCCTTATCTTACTCGGGCTGCTCGTACCATCACTAGCAAGGGGTGCGGCCGTGGCTCATAAAGAGAAGCGGCAACATGGGAGACGGCCTATCATGCTAGAAAAATCAGGCGGGTTCACGACGGGAGGGAGAATCATCAACAGCCCGATCTTCCTTCCCTAACCAGACCCTCTCCTGCGACCACGGGTACATGGAGTACTTCCTCCCGTGGAGGCCGCGCAAGACGAGCATCGTCATGTGGCACAACTCCAGCACGCAGGTATGGCAGAACCGCTGGGACGGCGGCGAAGGGTACAAGGACATGTTCCTGCGCCGCGGCTACCCCGTCTTCCTCTGGGACGGCCCACGCGTCGGCCGGGCCAACTGGGCCTGCGAGCCGTATTACTACGCGCCGTCCTATCGAGACCGAGGCAACTTCGTAGCGTGGAATTTTGGGCCGTCGTACCCCAACTTCTGGCCGGGCGTCCAGTTCCCGATCGAGGACGAGGAAGCGTGGCGCCAAGCCACCAGCTCCCGCTACGTCGAGTTCGATTCGAACGCGAGCGTGCATCTAGAAACCCAGGCCGCCGCCGTCGCGGCAGATTCGGGTAAAGTCGGCGACAGCATCGTGTACCTCACGAACTCGGCATCCGGCCTCCGTGCGCAGATGACGGCCGTCAAGAGCAACTCGACCAACATAAAGGCCATAGTCGCATACGAAAGCTACGGCTGCGTGTTCCCGGACAACTTCAACATCACAGCCGGCGAGCCGTTCGGGCCCATGATTGTGCCCCTCGAAGATTTCAAGAAGCTTGCCAAGCTCGAGGCTATCCAATTCATATGGGGGATCACAGGGAAGAAAGCTTTCCCTTCCTCCGGCAGACGAGACTGGCAGCCAAGCTGATCAACCTGTATGGTGGGAATGCGGAGGTCTTCTTCCTATCTAAAGACGGGGGCCTAAGTGGAAACACCCACAGTGCGTTCGCGGACATGAACAACGACAAGGTTGCTGATCTTCTGGATGAGTTCCTCGAGGATAACGGTCTGGACATTTACCAGGACGGGAATGATGAGATTTCGAGGAAGGAGGGTTAGGAGGTGATAACAGCTAGGTATCTGATATTGGTTAAAGATTTCTAGTATTAATGACGAATTTCCCTCATCGCATCAAATCAAACAGGAACCTTTACTTCTATTCCGCTATGAATGTTCCTTCCCTCGGATGCCTATCAATCCTAGTAAGAAAGGGAGCAATCTTTAGCCAAGAGGTGTGACGGATCTAACTATTAGAGCGCGATATAGTAGGTAGTCAATGTAAAAGAAGCAAAGCTACAGCATCTTTTCAAGGTGTCTTGTATTCCTTCCGAGATGAGGAGAAAGAGGATACTTCTTGTCCCGTATACGAAAGAGACGCCACCAAGATCTTCTCTTATTACAACAACGAAATAGTATAATACAACAAGAGAGGGGAACTTATATTAAGAAGTAGGTACATATATGTCGAGGATGGCGAGTTTATCAACACCAAGCAATACATGAAAGAGCTATATACTTGCTGATCCCCATTTGTGCATTAAAGCCCAGCGTCCATCCAAAATACGTGGGTAACATTGAAGCCCCAGGACAATCGTTACTATTCTTAGTACCATTCTCACGTCAAATAAATGCTTCGATCTCGTCAATTTGTTCTTCTGTGTAATTTATTATGTAGTACCGTAGGTAAACTCCAATAGAGTAACACTTCGAGTCTAACACCTTGCTGGAAGCGCGTCTGGCGACCGTATTAAATTGCTCTGGGATATAATTATATGACAGGCGTCTAAGAGACCTGACACCAACTTCTAGCTCGACGATTCTTGCTAAAAGGTCTTAGTTTATAATAGGTTCACTTCGGTAGTTCTTCTAGCTGTTGGCGGAATAGTAGTTGATTGAATGTGTTATGAAATGGTGGGTAGATAGCGAGTTTGTAGTAATGGACATATTTAATTGGGAATGTATCTTGAGCTTTTTATGTAGCTTAAGTACTTTTTCAAGTGCCAATATAATGGCAAATAAAGTGGCCCTATAGCTGTTGGCCGGATTGTTTATAAGGTCTATGTTATTGTCGCTCGTTCTGCTTTAGAATGTGACAGTCGTCTTTCGTTTCCTCACGCTTGCCCTCTCGCGGGAAGCCATGAGACGGGGGGGTCTCATATCACCTTTCAGCTCTGGAGCAAGCTCGGTCCAACGTGCCCGAAATTCCCTTGGTCTTCCTGCTCAGCCCTCCTTCACGAACGTACTACTTTTGCGACATCATCGCTGTAGCAAAGCGGAATAAGAAGCATGGAAACAATTTCGTTGTTTCACGAGAAAATTTGACTGGATAGCTTTGGGAAGCAGCTATGCATACAGGTCGTATCCTTTGTTTTATATGTCTCATCTAGAATCCTGAGACTCCCAAGGACTCATCGTATTGCCCTACAGCCCGAGCCGAAATACCAACGGCCGGCTATGCCGGCATGCTTCCATAATGACGACTAAATAGTTCATATCTATTGTTCGTTGTATTGTTGTTGGTATTTGTTGATGTTTGCTTCTCAGCCACTGTGCGCGGATATTGGAGCAGCGTGGCAGAGCCAGGAGGGCGTCCATGCCGAGAATTTTGAAGATCAAGGATTTTCAAAAGCGTGTGAAGAGTGTGAACAAAGCGATCATTGTCTCGAAACCACTCCAGTGCCGTGCGAAGGGGTTTGGGCAAGTAAACTGTGTTCATTCGTTGGACCAATCCTGTGGTTTTGGCCCTTGGGCTGCCAACGAATTACTCTCGGTAGCTTAGGCTTTATAGCGTATGGATGTGGCTCGTGGGTGGTCTTTCTTACCCATGGAGTGGCTCTTGCGGTTGCTTCCAAAGCATGTCGCTTATGGCTGGTGACGCCTTCTGAGGGTATAGTAATGTGTTCTCTCCGAGTTGAGCAAAAGGCTTCCCCTGTTGTTTTGCTTCTTCGAAGGTATTCAACATTAACGGCCTAATAGAGCATTTCTACTTTAAGGACAAAGCAACGAGGTACTATAATACCCGTCCCTGCTTGGCCTCCAGCGGATGCTCGACTGGACACGGTGTCGGCATCGTACGTTGTCAGGTTATCTTCATTGTATCAATCTTGTTGTTGTATGTTAATGTTGTAAAGGTTACTGTACAATATCCATTAATGGTGGAAGTATATATACATTATGTCATGTGACATAAGGTTATATGCATATATGGTTGCGTGTTATAGTGTTTGGGTTTAGAGGATGGTGGTTATAGATAACGGTTGGATAAAATAGTTAGTTGATAAGAGGGAAATAGGCAGTGATCCAGAGACGTTCATGAGTCAAGTGGATAGAAGTTTTGGTGGAGTAGTTGAAAGATGTATGGATGTAATGTGGTTGAAGAATTTCAGATTTCAGATTTGACCGAGGGATGTCCAACTATTAAAATGTCTTTGCCTTTAGGCACTAGGTACCTAGACACAGCACCTACTTCCTAAGGCAGGATGACATGTTGGGAAAGCAGGTTCAGCATAGTTTTAAGATAAGAAGTACGTTACCTAACCTAATCTTATGCTTTAACTTTGGAAGTTACCTAGCAACTACCTTAGACTTTCGTAGTAACTCCAACACGTAATCTCTTTACGAACTTGCAAGGTAACTTAATTGCCTGGAAACCATAAAAAAATGCCCCTTCAGAGTAGTCGGGAGACAGCTGCCCAATCTATAAGGGAGGTGCCAAGAGAAAGGAGTTACTACCAGTATCGTCACTATTTGCCTTACCTACCTGGTAGGCACCCAGTCCCTTACCTCTTACTCTGCAACACCACGTTACTTAACCATAACACATGATCGTATATCTTTTTTTTTTTTTTTTTTTTTTTTTTTTTTTTTTTTTTTTTTTTTTTTTTTTTTTGCAAAACGCACAACGCCAGGCAGCCCCTTATATGATCTCCCCTATAGTCCTGATAACATTGTATTCTTCCTTCATTCCCAACCCATATACGCTGCTAAACATCCTCCCCAGTTGATTTGTTAATACATTGTTCGTATTTTGTTGACTAGGTCGAGAAAAAAGCCTGCTTCAATAAAATAACATAAATAAACATTAACAAGGACAGAAAAACTCCTGGTGCTAGGTTAACACATTTGGCTCCGCCGACACGTTACGCCCCTTATCAAAAACAACACACATTCCTTTGACCATTTTATATAAACAGAGCTCCCTCCTTTCCCCCCTTCCCCCCTTTGTCCAGGACCTGGAAATAATTCACATTGTTACTACCACAGCCACTACCAATTTCTGCTGTTGACCATTTTTATGTCCTGCACTATTCCTTTCCTTCCCTTTTCTTTCCCCTTCCATCCTCCCCCTTTTTTTCTCCTTTCTTTTCTCCGAGCAGCCAGTCGTTCAGACCCTAAACACTCCCCACAGCACCAAGCGCAAGCCCCGTAACCGCGGCGGCAATAACCCACACGCTGCTCCAGGCCGCCGCGCCAGGGGTTTCGACACCCTTGATGGTGAATAGCGTCTGGATGAAGGTATCCACGCCTGAGACAAGCATCAGGAGCGCGGTGCGCTGGATGACAACCTTGGTCGGCGCGCTCCAGCCCCAGAAGTTCCAGCGGACCGTCTCGCCCAGGGTCGCGGTGGTCGGGTTGAACGGCTCTTCCTTGTCCTTAGCCGTCGCCCCGGCGGGCGTGAAGATGAAAGCGCGGGCCGCGAAGCCTAGCACCAGTGTCACGGGGAGCAGGCCGACGTACGTGGTCTCGTGCGCGGAGGCGACGGTGGGCAGGCTCGTAAAGTACATGACGAGGTACGAGGGCAGGTACGTCGCGTACGCGAGGAACAGAGTCACGCTGTAGATGGCGCCCGCGAGCAGCGTGGTGAGCAGCACGATGGGCCGGTCCGTGACGATGTCCGCGTTGGGCGCGTGGCTGGGGTCGGCGTGGACGGTGGAGAGCGGCCGCAGGAGGCGGAAGGGGATGTAAGTAGCGAGAGTCTCGATGGCGAGGGTTATGAGGAGGGCGTTACTAGGCACCTGGTAAAAGGTATTCAGGAGGTATAGCTGTTATAGCTGTTAGACTTTGCTTCCTTCGGCGTTGGTAAATCTATACTTACTAGAGGACCGTGGGACAGGATATTCAGAGCTGTAATATCGTAGCCGTCGAAATTACCGAACCAGGCCAGCGCGAGTTTAAATCTACCAGAGAGGCCAAAGAGATGAGTAAAGTGTCCGTTGGAATTACGTCATGAATGCCATCTGAAGCCAGATACTCGCTCCAAATATTAGCAAAAAAGTGCAACTCACACACTCCATCCGGTAACAATCGCAACATCATCCCAAGTAGTCAGGAGCCTCGTGTGCGGCGCGATTGGACCCTTTGTGTATCGCCACGTCAACGAGTAACCAACCGCAGCGAGCGACAAGCTCAAGATGGTTACAAGCGGGAACTGAATCAGCTTCGGTAGTTTGGACGGCGCGCTTCTAGGCCGGGAAACTTCGCGCTTCGGAGGCGGGATGACGGCCGCGGAGATAGTCGGCGCCTCGACCTTGGTGATGGATACAACAGTCTGCCTTGCCTCAGCCGCATGTTCCTCCTCGCGAGTCTGTTTTCTGGTCCGCATTTTTTTTGTCTGTCGGGCCTGTTTTGTACCGTTGTAGTAGGTAGGTAGGTACCTAGACCTATAACCAATGCGAGGGGGAAGAAAAGAGAGGATAAAAAGGTTGTTGACAATAAAGTATTAAAGGACGCGAGTAACTAAATACAAAAATACAATATTAACGCGAAATACAAAACTGCTATATACCGTGTTAAGAGATCCAAGCCTGATTTGCTCACGTGCTGAATGTATTATTGAAGTTGACTAGGAATAAGTCGCGATAGGTTGTTTACAAGTGCAAGTTTTTGTTGCTAATTGAGGTAACAAGCTTAAAAAGAAAAGGAAAAAGGAAAAAGCTACAAATGATGATACCGTAGAATGGCGGGGGCATAGGTAGTGTGGGGAAACTCTTTAATAGGTACATGTACTTTAGCACCAGAAAAGTGACGTCTCCGAACAACAACTCTTGAGAAGGTCGCCTTACTTGCGTAGTCTACGTACCTGCTAATAGGTAAAAACCCCACAAACCGGCTTGGATCGACAACAAACCTCGCTTCTCAAAAAGGTCTTCGGGTCCTCGATCTTGCTCATTTTCTTCTTCTCTTACTCTCGAATTCTCCTCCTTGTCCCTCTAATATTCTATGTGAAAAAAGGTAGAGTTGTTAAAGCAACTCTCCCTGAACTTATATCATGTCTTCCGTTGCCTCGCCGGCTCCGTTTGCAAACCTCCCCGTACCAATCTGCGTTCACATGCAGATCATCATCACTGGCATCATAACTCCGCAGCTCCGCTACCTCAAGCATAGTCGGCACTTGGTAATAATAAATCCTGGAAACCTACCGCCTACTATTTATTAATAGGTACCGAATATCCCAACTGCATTTGAGATTTAAGCATATTCCAGTAAGTCAAAATTTTCGTTTGAATAGGTTTTCATTCATAGTAAACAAATGGGTGTTTTCGGCCCCGTTAATAGACATCACACGCTTTGCTTAATGAAACCCATTTTCCCTACGGTTTCGACATGTCCGGGTGTTCACTCGACGCTTTTCTCCGATTCTCACTTTAACCTCTTGGAGTATGCCTCTGAGTATTCGTACCTAGAGTTCTCCATTCTTCGGTGCTGAGATTTCGGCAGCGGAGCGGAACCACCTCGTTTACAGGAGTTGATATACGTAAAGCAAAGAAGAAAGAAATAACCAGAGCCATTCATCGTTTCGTGCCGTGTCTCCAGTGAGCGAACGAGCGATCAACCTCAAGTTTAATCCTCCATACGGCCAAACATCATATCGTCGTCTTCCTCGCTACTTCGCGCCCTCGAACGTCGTTCCCCTTCGTCTTCATCCACTATACTGCTTTCGCTGTCTTCCATCTTCACGTCTTCGGTGAGGCGGAGCTCACCCCGGGTAAAGCTTTCAGGCATCTGCCCTGATGGAAAGCTGTTGATAAAACTCGTGCTAGCGAAAGCAGCGTGATCGAGATATTGAACGGGTAATGGAGGTACGGGAGGAGCATCTTCAGGAAGCCTTGAATCCCGCGCCCCCCCATTGCTGTTGAAGCTGCAGCTGAGTAATTCGACTGCTGCTGCGAGGTCGCGATCATCTTGGCCCGTGCTATTCATTCCTGAAGAAGGTGGACGTCGGTCCGAGCTGGCATGGCGAGCGTGGCCGAATCCATACCCGTTTGGCATACTGCCTGAGAAGAATGACCCCGAAACGGCCGATTGGTACGATCGTGCAAAGCCACTTCCGTTGCTGTCCCTCTTGGGAGTTGCATGGTAACCAAAGCTGTTCATCGTCCCGAATGTGCCTAGATGTGGAGGCGGAGTGGTATCGGCTGAACTACGACCATCATGGAGGTCCGAGTACCCAGAGGCGGTGGAAGAAGCTGATTCGGGATCGCTGGCAAAGTCTTTGGCCGAGTCTGGCGGAGTTGTCGTCTCTGTATTCATGGCGACGAGAACCGAGGCCGCTTCGAGCAATTGAACTTGTTGGTGCTTAGATATAAGCAGCTTGGACGTGAGAGACCACTCGGGAGTATGTTCCCACCTGGCAAGCAAATTCGTCAACAAAAGTCCACGTTCATTTACTCAGGGTTTAAGGGTCTCGGCCAGTCCTTGCTTGCACCCCGGGGAAGGGAGATACTCTATCCGCAGGCCTGGGCAAGTGAATGCATGAAGGAAGCAGTGGGCAAGAAAATGGGCACCAACAAATGCTTGGTCAAGCAGCTGCTATGCTTGTATCCTTTTCCGCACTTGTCGCAGCGGAGTTCAATTCGGTTGCTCTTCCTACCCTCTTTTGTCAGCGGCTGACCGTCGCTCGCTCGCCGTACACGAGCTTGTTGTGAACCCGGCTCCCCTTCATCGGCGGACATGTCGTTCGAGGAGTCATCGATAGCATTTTCTGTGCCTTCGGATTTCATATTCATCTCGAACCTATGGGTTGGCAAGCTAGCGGGCGGGGAAGGTAAGCTGCCTACGATGGCAGATCGGGTGGGGGTAGATTTGGACATAGTACCGCGACGGGAATTGACAGCGATGGGTAACGGTCCGATTTTATCTCCCGCTTCTTCGAGAGCCGCCGCGACGGCTGCGACGTTGGCAGCGGTGCCACTCATGCTCTTCCGGCGTGTTACGCGGTGAGTGGCATTGAAGGCGCCGGACAAAGCGGAATATGTGTGGGAATTATTGCGTGAATGGGACAATGGTCTCGAAGCGCCCAAGGACGACGCCGAGGCGGAAGAGATTGATTGACGGTGTTGAGTCAATGGCCTCGTTGGTGTTTGCATTTCCTGGAGTGATAGACACAAGTGATCAGCACGACTATCCTAGTGTTGGGGGGGCAGGCTATGCGGGCTATGCGGGCATGCTAAGTAGAGGTAATATAATGTAAGGTGAGGTATGTGTTAGTGGAACTTTGTTGGTTACCTTGGAAGAGGCCATTGCCGACCACGTAGAGAATGAAACGACAAAATGTTGATTGCGAGAAATTTATTTATCCTTTCTGAGGTACAGCTTGTGTCTTACTAGGTGAAGAAACTATTCAAAAATGGACAAGAAAGAGGAAGCAAAAAGCAAAGCAAAGAGGGTGTTCGTCGGCAATGGTGGGTGGACTAAAAGAGGTATTGGCTGGATATAGGGTCTGATGGTTGGAGGACGGACGTTGGAAAAGAAAAGCCGTCCGATGATCTGTAATAATAAAAATAATAAAAATAATTTTTTTTTCTTTAACCCTTGGAAAATTGAAGAAGGAACAAAGATCAGTCCATTGCACAAAAAAAATAATTTTTATGGATTTCAAGTGCGAAGCAACTGCGGATAGGTATGTAGGTACGTTTAGGCAGGTACGGATAAGACAGTACAGTACAATAGATGCCTACAATACAATACCTGGGTTGGGTACGATAAACCTAGAAATACCAAGTTACATCACGTACAATACCTACCTCCCTCCCCCTTTGGTTCGTCAAGTGGTCAACCCGAGTTGAATTATGTAATTACTAGGTATTAAAAATTGGCTTTACATACTATGTAGGTAGGTACATAAGGTAGAAACTGCGCCTTCATTTTTTTTTCTTAGCCTGGTTATTACTTTCTCTACCTACAAGATTGTACTAGTTATGCTAGGTATGCCGGATGTATGCTAGAGGTACACAATTAGAAAAAGCCTTAAAGGTTGGGCGTGTGCCATGTGGTATGTTGAATGGTGTGGTAGTGGTCATGGTGGGCTCAAATGCTCAAATGCTCAAATAGAAGTTGTTCACCCCCCCTCCCCCATTCAACCATTCGGCCCCCCCATCTTCCTTCCCCGTCCTATCTTTCTAGGTGGAATCCACCAGAGTGCATTGGAACATTGAAGTTTGGAAACATTTAACTAAGTACTTACACTAGCGAGGTACTAACCACCTAGGTACATAACGTACCTACGGATGAGGTACCTACATATTACAGCATAACGCACGCGCTGCGCGATAACTAGATAACTAGGTAGGTACAGGTTAGCGCGGGCCCCCTGTACCGAATAGCGGCAATCTACGAGTTTGGTGCTAGCTGACTGTTGGACAAGCTTCAATTCCGGTTCAGGGTTCTGCCAGGCACGACTCCAAACTTGGAAACAAGCGGGAGCGGCGTAAGAACGGACGAAAGTCCAAACCTGCTTTGACGAATTGTCAATCAAAGGCGGATCGATATAGGGGTAGGGAATTGGACACGGGAAGATGAATAATTGCATCTGAGTACATAGTACGTATATCTAAGTGCATCAAGATTGTAATGACAGGTGGGAAAGGATTAAATATATCTAACCTAACTACACATAATTTCAATTGAAAGAACCCCCTTAGGAATCAGTAGGGTTAGGTACAGGGGAGATAGATAGCATAAAGCTTTGACTACCACCTCGTATATTCAGACGTGATTATTGATATACTAATACTATGTACGTAGGTGACTGACTATATATCATACCGCATATAAATCAGAGACATAAAAATGACAAAAAATGGCCGATTTCAAGAACTAACCCAGGCCAGGATAGATCTAACATTGTCATGTCTGAAATAGGACGTAGTAGGGACGTAGCAGGAATTCAACTGCCTACTTTGCACATTCCTGCTCGCACGTGGATAGCTTCCATGCTTGAATGGAAGCTGGTAGAGGTTAGGTAGATTCTCTAGCCCTGGAGCCCTGCATATTCCTACGTCTAGGTAAAGATAGGTAGGCACCTAGGTAGCGGGGCCAGACAAATATTACTAATTAATACCTAACATAAAGAGGTAGGACGCGGCTTTCGAACTCTCATCAGAGTCTCTTAGGAAAGGTTAAGATGTAGGCAAGTAAGTTATCGTGAGGTTACTGAGCGATACGCAGTTGCGTGCCAGTGTTTATGGTTTATGCGGCATTTGCCTATCATAAAGCGACAGCAGTAAATCCGTTGTGCACATCTGTATTAACAAGTGGCAGTATAACGTGGCATATCATTCTCGAACAACGGGCTCTACCTATGTACCTATGTACGAAGTACATTTGGGATGTACGGAGTGATGCCGACCAGGGGGTACGCGCAATAAATAGGAGGGAGAAACAGGGGGTGGCCAGTTATTCTTACATTAGTTACCCATAAATACACCCCCTAAGAAGATATTAACATATGGTATTGTACAATACTTACATAAAAGTTGGAGCTGCTACCATATGAATTCCTAAAAGCTGAATCTACCTAACTATTTGAGAATCATCTGCTTATAGACACGTATTAAGCGAAAAATAACAAAGGACATCGTCAAGTTAGTTTATCTAAAATATAATATACATAAGCATCCATGAATGCGTATTAGTAACATATGCTTTGACTTTACTCCACTCCTTCTAGTTGGTAGCAAGACTCCTTGTAACCCTTGTAACCCTTGTGACCGGGCCGGGTCTATAAATTGACCAAGGACCAAAAGACCTTTGACCCCGGACTGCGCGGATCAGCGCTACGATCGTAGGCGCGTCACCTGGCGGGTAAGATTCAATTTTCTCCCCCTAATATTTCCTAGAACACCACCTCCATAATAAAGCTGCTAAGAATATCTGGCTGTGTACGCGATACTCGGTACTTCGTATTCTGCCTGTTTGATTTCAAAGAATTCCTTTTTCTTCAACTGTCAAGAAAAGTCATATCTTACCTGGCTTATCCCCGTTTACGTAGTAAGCGATATGAAACAAGTATATTAATGCGCAGTTGCATAAAGCCTAACAGACTTCTAAAAGTGCGGTCATAGAAGCTTCGAAATAATTACTATGTATGTGAAGATGGAGGAGGGGTTTGAATATCCGTACGAGATAGATACACTAAAGGTAGTGGTTACGCAGCATGAAACTAAAGTCTGCGCTACAAGAGGTATTGAAACACAGTGCTATAGAATTACCCTTACCGTACTTACCTAGGTGGTAGACTGTATTTCAGCCATACATTATGTAGAAGCGGCACTGAAAACATTACCTCAGCTACAGAGAGGCATACATATTTTACGCCAATAAGAAGCATTAATTCACTATTAATAAAAGGACGAAAACAAACCTAATGGTTCATTATGGTGAGTATCCTAACTGACATTGGAATAACAGAGCTTAGGGAATAGATATGCTTCTCAAGAAAAAAAAAACGTTCCACGAGGTCAGCGAGGCCATTTGACCTTTCCGGATGCAGGTACTTACACGCACCGGTACATGGCAGAAAATTTGGAGAAACAAAATTCACTATTTACACCCCGGCCGTGTTTTCTTTACACTATACCCAGGTCGATCTCATTGGATACTAATAATGTATATATTACATAATTATTTAAGGTATTTTAGCGTATTAATAAGGGTTTATTTAATAATATATATTTAACTTAATATATTAAATTATATATATATAATAATAAATAATTTAAATTTATTAATTAAATAATATTTTTATATAATTTAATTAAAATTATATAAAATTACTTTAAATTATTTAAATTATTATTTTTCAAAAAGTTATTTTAAAATTTATTTATATTAAAAAATATTAAAACTTTATTTTAAATTTAAACGTAATTTTTTTAATGATTAATTTATTTATAAATTATATAAACGGTTTAAAATTTTAAATAGCTCGAATTTTTAAGCGGCTCAGCCATTTTAAGCCGTAAATATACGGTAAAAAAATTTTAAACTGCTTAAATAGGTTTAACGTTTAAAAATATAAGCGCGATGTTTTCCATTTACGGTATAAAGCGTTTCAATTTTTTGAGTCGTACATAAGCGGTATATATACGGTTTAAGAAACCCCCCCCCCCCCCCCAAGATGCTAAGGTACCACTACATACAATACAACCTACACAGATGCGCATTGGGTAATCAACGAAACGGTGGCTTATGCAAAGCAGTAGCAGTAGGTTATGTTATGTACTATTACCTATGGTGTCTATCATTCAACTCTCTCTATCAGATAAAAGAAAATCCGAGTTCTTTCTATGAGATTCGAACGCGCTCCTACGAATGAGACCTTGCTCAACGATACAAATGGACGATACTCTCCAGCACAGTTAAAGTAAGGGAGAAATTTCGACCACAGGATCAAAAGACCACAGGGCTAGACTCAGATTTTAGAGCATCCTCGCAGCTCAACTTTTTTTTTTCTATCCAGCTCCTTCGACACAAAAGTGGACAAGGAATTTACTGGTCTAGACCATAAGAGATGCATACCAAACAGCTTCTCGCATCTCGGTATTAAAATTTGTCCAGCCGATGAAGGAAAAAAAAATAAAAAATTCGCAGGTTCCCAGACCACGGCTCGTCTTCTCCTTCCTAAGTGAACCATAGCGTCCGCCACCGTGACAGTCCATTCATTTTCCGACTTGCACCATCCGGACCAGTTGACGCGGGGTCTACCATCTAAACCATCTGCGCTCTCTTGCCACGGACCAGGTATCGAAAGAGTATCATAACAGACAGACAGACAGACTGAGGTATCGACATTGTCGTCCTGTTACCCTCTTGTTATATCTTTCGGTCCACATGATTCGTTATCTTCATTTTCATTCTAGTCCACGATAATATCATCATTAGCCAATGGAAGTGTCTCATAACTCCATGGTTGGCGATAGGGTACGGTACTACCCTGCCAAGGTCGAGGTTTAGTTCACTTATACGCGATATACTTCAACAAGTGTCTCGAAGACTTATTGCTAGTTCGGCCATTTACATAGTAGTTGGGCCGCTATCTCCTTATTACGATAGATATGATCAAGCCGGTAAACAAACCCTCGCTAAGGATTTCCCGAGCCCTTATTATTCGCTATAGCTACCAAATAGAGACGCGGTTGGACAGGTAAGCTCGCCATATCAAGGTGAAGTATACCAAGGCCCCAGGTTCTTTTCAATTTGGAGAATATCAAAATATATTAAACCCTAATTCGCACGCACCACACGACAACTTAATACCTCGAGTGATACTTGGTTTTTACTAGTGTATCCAGCAAACCGGAGGGCACCGACTCGGTCGTTTTTAGCCTTGATTCCGTATTTCGCTCGCCACTATAAGTCAACCTATCGACGAAGAAGTGGTATTAGGGTTAACGCCAGGTTTCTTAGCCTGTTATTATTAGTCTAAGTATACTATAATACTACACTCGTTAACTGCCTAACTAGCGTATATCGAATATTTGCTACAAGTAGAGAACGAGTTCGTTTAAGAGGACAATTATATAAGTCCTAATATCTCAAATAGAGTGAGTGGACAGTGCGATTTCCAAACCAAAAAGAAAAAAAAAGAAAAAAAAAACTTTTTCTGACATTATTCCAAGGTACACTACTTACCACCTCGGTATTGTACGATGTCAGCTAAGCAGCATCACGCTTCCATATGATGGCAGACATTGAACGTCAAGTGACTCCGAAAGCTCATACTATGCCTTATTGGGATAACGCAAAATCAGCAGCTGACAACGGATGTTAAGCGCATAGCATCGAGTTCCCACAGTTAAGGAAATACTTGGGATGAAGTAGCAAGAAATGCGTTCCAAGTTAATTTCAATATTCCAACTAACCAACCAAGCAGCCAAGTATTTGATGGACCCAAAATGCAATGATTTTGACAAGGCTACGAGGACAATACGAGCTGTATCGAATTCCAAAGCTGGAAGTAGTGCTTCCGTTTCGAGAATTTGTCGATCAAAGGATCAACACCGCCTTACCCGTCCTACCCGGTTGCGCATCATTTCACTAATAAGATTGACGTCGGCGCTCGAAACCACATATGGAAATGACTAAATGTACGTGTACACTATCTAACTATACACACGCCGGAGCGCGAGAGAAGATCCTTTGCAAATACCTATGTTAACTAACTTAACTACCTAAAGGTACGTACTAACCGAAGAAGTTTAAAGAGTCACCGTCTCGCAGAGCCGCGCAATAAGCCCCGTTTCTCTGCTGCCCACCAAAGGTCGGCCAGCCAAACATATTCGAACCCGTACAATAAACTCCGAGTTATCTGGGGCTTATGTAGAATCCTTAGGTTTTAGTGCGTACATACGAGCCAGTATGCATATCTATACAAATACCTACCACACACACGCTCACTCACACACAGGCATGGACACATGCCCATACCTACCTAGGTAGGTAGGTAGGTAGGTACATTACATATAGTTGCCGCTCTATTCGACCAGACGCAGGTACATATATGTTATAAGAACGCCGGCGCAACCCGTAAGGCTTAGTACCTGAATCCTGTTCCGTCTGAGGATGCACAACGGTGTCTTGTGTGCCCACCGAGCTGTTCCTCCGCGTGTTGTGCTGACTGATATATCATTTATAATACCGATAGATTTCCTAGGAACGATCGGATACTAGCAATGTAACTTTTGCCAGGTCCACTCTTATTTCCACCTCTTTGCAAGGTCGATTTGTTATTGAGGTAGGCATACCACTTACTTGAATAAATAGTAATAGTTAACGGAGAAGAAAACTGAATTGGGTACTTATTATCATTAGTGTTTATACTTCCCATTTACTAAACTTATATATTTCTGTTCGCTTTGAAATCTGTTATAAAAAAGCGCAAACGATCTTGATAGGCCATATAAGATCAACATCGAAGCAACTGCACTATTATAGTCGATATCCCACCTTGCCCACTTAGATAGGTACCTACCTAAGGTAAGGCTACATGCAAGCGTCTGATCACAAACTTGGAAGAGCCGAAGAGGAAGGTTAGTTGGATGCGATGCCCCTCCATGACGTCGTTCACCTTACCTACGTAGTACCGGAAATTCGATTGGGTTAAGGTAGGTTGCACAAACAGACAAGGCAATGGTCACACGAACGCAGGCAGCCGCTCCCAAACAACGTCCTAGCAAGTTAAAGTCCGTCTCCGTTTCGTTTCAACACTGGTAAGTACATCCATGGATGTAATTTATCCTAAAGCATTCTTAAACTTTAAATGGGGAGAATTTTTTTCAAATTTTTTTTTTCTAAATCGAGATCGCCACCACCATCACCCCGCATCCCATTTTAGTCGTTCGCGCGGTCGATTTTTTAATTTAGGTACCTAACTTGCTCACGAACATCTCGAATTGACAACCTACGTGCTCGGTACCCCCTCACTTTCGGTAGAGTAGTAACTGTTTGTTTACTGGATTTACTAGCAAGGCGGAGCAAGTTCTCCAACTATACATCTATATAACTACCTACCTAACCTAAACAAAACAAAGCACATTAACTAAAGTACCTGATATATACTACTGCTTTCTACCGCGTTACGTAGGTGCGGACGGGCTCGATGTCGGATGCGGTGTATCGTCGTAGCGGCCGGGGCGGCGCCGGCAACTTCTACTCGCAGAAAGATATCGATGAGGCGGCTAAAAGAAAGTCGCAGGTAAGGGATCTCTCTTGGTTTTAGTTCTTTTTTTTCTTTTTCTTATATTCGATCGCGTCTTAACTAAGGACGGGAACCATCCGTAGGACTTAGAGGCGCAGACACCGCAAACCCGCGCCGACGACGAGCCGCTCGCAGACCCAGCCGACGGCCCCGCGCAACCCGCTGCGACTCCCACCGTAAGCTCTGCCAGCAACGGCGCAAGGACGTACGCGCGCGCCGGTCGCGGCGGCGCGGGAAATTTCGTCGATGTTCCGTCGTCGTCCGAGGTAGCTACGGTTACGGTTGCTGCTCCCTCGTCTACCCCCACAGCCCAGGACCAGGCGCACATACAACCGCCGAGGCACTCGGGGCGCGGGGGAGCAGGCAACTGGACATCTGAGCACGCGGGGGCGGAGCCGTACGACCAAGAGCAAGAGCGCAAGCGCCGCGAGGCTCTCGACGCGCACATCTTACAGGATATCCGGGACTCGCTGCCGCAACCGCCCAAGATCCACTATATGCACGGTCCGGGTCGGGGACGGAAACCGGATCTACCTGCGGTCTAACCGGGCTGGAAAAGGATCGTTAAAGAATTGTGTCGATATTCACGAAGTAATTTCTCTCGTTGAAATCCTACTGTCAGGACCAAGCATTGTGGTCCATATACGAAATGGATAATACGTAGGAAGAGACACCATCTGAAACTCTAATGTCATATAGTATATCTCGATCGTATACACCCCCTGATAATGATAATGGTAATACACAACGAAGAAAAGGGGATCATGCTCCATTATGATTTATAGTATCGGCAGTAAACGAGTCAGACACGAACCCATCTCCTCACAGGAACCGGGCAGGCCAAAAGTATGTGTGTGTTTCATTCATTTTGTGGAAAGGAAAGGAATCAAAATCCTAGAATCCCCCAAACGCCATGGCATGCAGAAGAAACGAAACAACAACCCTCCCATACGCATGAACGCCACCACTGTCCGTGATCTCTTTTTCTCTTCTTCTTTTTGGGGCATCCTCATTCGCGCGACCTTCCTCTCGTAGTACCTTTACCGTTCTTCTTCCCTCGCCCCGGAACTGTAGGTATGTATGACTTCCCCCTTTTCGTAGGAGCGAGAAGAACGTGAATTGCGAATTATCATCGTTATTACCGTAACCGTAACCGTCACAGTCGACTCGCTTACTCGGAATCCACATCCATACCACCCTCGTCCTCGTCCTCGTCCTGTCCCATAGCCTCGACGCCCCCATCCACGCGGACCCGCTGCCGCACCTTCTCCTTGCCGAACACCTTGGCGCTCTTCTTCTCCGCGACTGCCGCGTTCCTCTCCAGCTCCTCGATCTCCTCGGGCTGCAGGCCCTGCTCCTCGGCGAGCCTCCTCTTCTCGCTGCCGCGCAGCCGGGGGAGCAGGTGGGCGTGGTCCTGGACGAGCTTGCGGTCGGCGGCGAGGTCCTGGGCGCGCTTGCCGGCGCGGCGGCGCTTGGCGAAGACGCGCTCGCGCTTGGCGCGGATCTCGGCGACGCGGTCCATGGCGCGCAGCGTCTTCTGCACGAGCTCGCGGTCGTAGCGGACGGGCACGTTGCGCCGCGCCGCGAACTGCAGCGTCGAGTCCACCGTCATCTCCTTGCCCGCCGCCCGCCGGAACGCCTTGGTCCACCGCAGCTTCCGCGGGTTGCGCTTCATCACGAAGTTCTTGTGGCACTTGCTCCGGCAGAAGCGGAATTGCTTGGCGTCGTTGCGGCAGAACATCTGTAGGAGGAGAGAGAGAGAAAGGAAAATGGGTTAGAAATTCTGATTTGAGGGAGGCATGGAGGGGAGGATGGATGGATGGATAAAATTGGAGGGGATACTCACAATTCCCTTGCCTGGGTAGGCAGGTCTACTGCAGAAATAGCACGTCTCGATCCTGTAGGACAGCTAGTTAGTAAATACGATCACGTCTGTTTTTCGCATAACGAATCGAAGCCATTGAGTCTCGGGGTTTCAACGGTAGTTCAAGATCGAAAAAAAAAAAAGGAAAAAAAAAAAAAAGAAGAACTTTGACGGCGTTCAAGTACAAATATTCGAAAAACCATCATATGACAAATAAATTTCCAAAAAATAAATATTTGTTAGGACGTACCTCATCTTGACGGTAGACGAGCCTCAAAACAGACTTCGTTGACAATGTTGGAGATGGTGTATGTATGTATGAATCGGGACAGAGAAGTCTGGTATTTCGTGGCGGCCCCTCCGAAAACTTCATACCGAAATTTTAATGGGTCCTCTGGTCTTTATCGGGGATCGATAGGCGCTGGATTAACTTTATAACGCCCGCAATCTGCCTGCCTAGGTACCTCAGGTTAGGTACAAACTCCCGTCAATTGCCATCTATCTCCCTTATCGATAAACGGTCCCGCAGGCAATTCTACCATGAGGTCCGTGCGTTTATTCGAAAAGAATCGCAATGCGACCCTCATTCTACCGATCGACATCATACTAAATACCAAATATAATACTCTTTTTTTCTTTGCTCCCTTTTTTTCCCACTCCCTTCGCCAACCGATTTAACCCCCGTCACCATGGCCTCAGCACTCGCTATCGGAACCGGCGTTGCGGTTGCCGCATTTCTCGTACGCATATACTTCGTTACTTGCCTCTTATATACCTAATATATCTACCCATCTACCTTATGTATCTCAGGTATCTATCTACATGCGCATCGGCTAACGCAGAACAACGCAGGGCCGCGCCGGACTCGTCGCATGGCGGCGCTCTCGGGGCGGCGTCGGAGCGCTGGGCAAAGCCTTCTACAAAGGCGGTTTCGAGCCGCGCATGACCAAGAAAGAGGCCACTCTCATCCTGTCCCTCAAGTACGAACGAACGCATACAGCATTGCCCACGCTTACAATGAACGGTATTAGCTAACAGAAGCTTGTGTGTGTGTTTGTTATTAGTGAACGAGCCGTCACGAAGGAGAAAGTCCGAAAGGCCCACCGGACCCTCATGCTCCTGAACCACCCCGATCGAGGCGGAAGTCCTTACTTAGCTACCAAGGTCAACGAGGCCAAGGAGTTCTTGGAGAAGAATAGTTAGCATTAGGCAAATCTAACGAAGCCCACACGACTTGCAACGTGGTCACGATCCTGGTTCTACCACAAAATGTATAATACCATAGCATCCATGGAGCGATGGCGTTTAAGGTGACTTAAAAGGGATTTTATTTCATTTGGGCTGTATATTGGTTGTATATTTTATCTACAGTATCAATACTGCCCCATCTTGGAGCAAAGTCTCTTCTCAAACTGCTTTCTTAAGTCAACCCTCAGTCCCAGAGCTAAGGTGGTTATGAATTGCCCTTTTCTTCATCCTTGCCTGCCTAAAGGATAGTTTCCCAAGCGTCTGGCGATGTCGATGTTGGAGTGGGGAGGCGATTTGCCGGGTGCGCAATGCTCTGTGGGGGATTGGTCTTGAAGATTTAGCATCCGAAACGGAGCTCTGCTATTTTTTTTCTTAAACGCCATAGCAATCATAGCCTGCAGTGTGTATGTTGCATCGTTGCCCGCGTTGTGAAGGTTGTAATACGACAAGTTGAAATATTCGCACATGGCGCCGAGGCTACGCCCTATACCCGAATCTTTAAACTGATAGAACATCGGGAGCGTGTCGATCGGATTATGGGTCGTCTGAATAACCTGTGGCACCTTCCAAATATTGTATCCGAGCTTCGTAATGTATTCTAGGTCTCTATCGACATCGTGTCCCACTAGGATGACTGGCCTTTGATCATCAGACTTGTCGTCTCCGATAATCTTGCCGATTGCCCTATTGACATGGTTGCGAGAAATAAACTCAGAAACCCTAAAAAATGTAAGCATAACTATTCATTCCGAGTGGAGAGACCATACCCGAAGTTAAATGACATGGGACGCCCGTTGACAAATCTGTGATTGACCATGTGCTTATTCTCCTCGATTATGAAGTGGTACGACTTGATTAAGGGGAACCATCCATGGCCGTCTGCACCAGAAAGAGTGTCTGCAATGTCCCGAGTGTCAAGGACTGCTAGGCCGACTTCTGTGACTGCGAGCGGTGACAACTCCCATACTTCAACGTCCACGGCGATAAATCGGACGGAGTCTTCTGCTTTGGAAGGTGTTGGCGTGTCCACTTCCGAATCGGTGGTCATAATATCTAAGCATGGTTAACTTCACTGCTTATGGTTGCCTGTATGATTGTCGTACTCACGCTTTTCGAGAGGCTTTCGAAGCTTGAGGTAACTCTGTGCTTCATCAATCAACCGCCCACCAATAAGCGCGTAATGCGACTTTTCCTCGTAGCGATTTTCCCCTTGTGGCTTTTTCTCGTCAGGTCTTTTAGACGGGCTTTCCACATCGAGTTCCTTATACAATTCATCAATCTTCTTTCTGTACTTCTGCAAGGCATCGAGGGTGAGCTGAGATAAATCATCTACAGGCAACCTGTGAGTTTTACGTGTAAGCTCTCTAAAGGCGTCCCGATGAGAAGCGCGGCCTAGAAAACGGGGAATAGGCGTGCCATTCTCTCCGAACGTGACGAAGAAGTTGACGCCGGGTCCGTCCTTCGGAACTTCGAGTTGCAATCCCAGATGGGCGCTGATAATCTTGAGATATTGCTGGAATTGAGAACTAGGGACAAGTAGAAGAGGTTCTCTATCCATTGTGCCAGGATATGGCAGACAGAAACTACAGGAATGTTAGCATATATAAGTGCTTAGATCGCCTAGGATATGGTAATAAAAGGGCATGCATACAAATCCCAACAATGTTTTTCAAACAAAGTCAACTTAAGAAACTTTTGTACCTAGATTCAAATAAGCCACTTCACAAATAGGCTATAGGTACGACGATACTCTTACCTTTTTTCTTTGACCGATGTCGACTATGAGACGGGGGTAGTATTTGACGAAACGCCAGGGGCAGAACTCTTGGTCTTTGGAAGACTGGCCTCCCATAACCATGGCGGAGACAGATTCCAAGGCCACGTTGTTGGGGCTGGGCGGAATCAGCTGTTGGGTTTCTATCAGATAGGTACCTTAGTTAGCTAGAGCCGTAGCTAAGATGCCTGGGTTGTTAGGCCTCTGGAAGAAGTAGGGATGAGAGAGGCAAGTTTGTTTTTTGCGCGCTTCGCCTGATGTGGTGGTCTTCCAGAAAATACGGTACCTAATATACCAGATAAAAGGGGAATTATAATACGCACCTTTGCCGGGAATATCATTCCCTTTAAGGATGCTCATCTTGCTCGGGTATAGCTGAGGAGTACCTCGTCAGACTTAGACTTTCGCTCGGAACTTCGATTTAGTTATGAGGAAGGCAACTAAGGTAGGTACTAAGGTAGGTAATTTTGGAGTGGAAGAATTTGGGAGAAAAGGCGTCAAGACGCAGGCACGGAAGAAGAGAAGAAGGAAAAAGGAAAACGTACCGGACGTCTTGAGCGCAGGTAAAAGTTGGAAGGTAAGTTCGATGCTCTCCATCTTCTCCATGCTAGTACCTTATGTACAATACGGTGCTTTCCCATCTCTGGGCTCTTGCCGTCAACAAATTTACGTACCCAACAGGTGCACCTTCTTTTCCCTTTTCTCCCTTTTCTCCCTTTTCCATACACACTGCAACTACCCGTCTTCGGATAGATGTGGCTGGTCTGGCAGCTCGGTAAAGTACCTAATGTATGAGGTACCTAGGGTGTCAAGTAGAGGTATGACGCCATTCGCAATCTTACCCCAAGTACCTACACACACAACGTATACAAGAGGAATGCTTATAGTTAATTAGTAAGTATCGACACTTATTGATAACTACCTAGGTAGGTACTTAACCTTCTTTCATGAGTTCGCAGCTTCGAAATCGGGACGCACATCTCATTAAAGGTTGGTTAGGGAATATTGAATAACAGGTACCTAGAGCCAAAACAGTTACATGTACACATCGAATCAGGATCGAATGCGAACGGTGAAAGCAAGGTTACATTAATTGCTACATACCTAATGTATGTACTTCAGTGTGACACAACGCCTCCTTCCTTAGGTACAGTCTACAGGTACCTTACCAATAACATCCAGTTAATGCACAAAGTGTTATGTAAGCACAGAGCTTTGTTTGCTCCGGTTCGCTTTACACTGCAACAATTGCAACATTCTCCTATTTATTTAACAGGTACCTTAGGTGTGAAATCATCACGACTCCGATACATGTCCTTTTCTTAGCTTTTCGTATTTTTCGAGATCTAGATGGAATTCCTGTTCTGGTTTCAACTCAACTTTTGACTCTTATAATGTTTCTAAGTCCAGCAACAAGCCGCTTAGAGACTTCTCGGAGCATATCCACGGGAAGTATCTCCAATAACCCATCTCCCCCTCTGAAGCTAAAATATCCCCTGCAGAATAATTCGACGAGGCCTAAACGAATATTGGAACCAGGAGGAATGGCTTCCCATACCCTGATCGCGGAGTTGAAGTCACGCAGCGGCCTTGTACCTAGGGTCACGGCGACATCCCCTCGGAACCCCTTTGCTTGAATAAACTCACTAAAAGGCCAGCTGTATAGGATAGAATCATCTTCAGCCTCCCGAAATAGGTCTTCATCAGTATCCCCACAACAAGTTCTCATACTGACCCAATCGACGAAGAGGGAAACAGCTTCCTCAGTAGCATGCTTAGTCAAGGGGAATTTCCGCTGCCCGGTTTTTTGACGCTGTTCTTCTAGTGCCCGGCGGAAATACTCAGAATTTCTAGAGAGTAGATCCGCATGTACCGTGAATGATTTCCCAGATGGAGTGGTAAGCGTAACAATATACTCAGAGAATGCTTCATTCCATTCATATAATGCAGACATGACGTTGAGTGACGAGGAGGCTCTTGGTGTAACAGATATGTATCTGGGCTTGGTTACAAATCAACGACGCCAAATAAGATAAAGTAGGTTGAACGGATCGCCGCGATGGTGTATTGAAGTAATTAGGTCAGTGATACTAATGTTGAAGTTTTCTAGACTCTTGCCACTTGAGGAGAAAAACATATCGCCTCCACTGGTCTAAGTTGATGATACACCCTACTAATATATGTCAAAGGTTTGCTATTCCTTACCTACCTAAAGTCATTAAGCAAGCAAGACACTCTGATTTCATACGCCATAACTCCTAAATAGCAATTTGAAATAACTCTCTGGGCAACCTACAAAGCTATGCCAACCACTACACACCTTTTCCTCTTCATAAATACTGCCGATATCTAAAGGGCTTGGCTCCGACAAACCAGGACTCCAGACACTCTTATATGCCTCACTGCATTATGGAATCCAAATGCTACGGCGAGCATTACTTCTTGAAGAACTAGTAAGAGAGTTAGTAAAGGTTTAGTAAAGGGCCAACCGAATAGCTACTAAGGACATCACATACCTCTGCGGCTTCCTCAGGGGTTACATTAGACGGCTCAGATAGGCTCTGATCGATTAGACCTAACGAAGCTCTAGCTCCTTTCATCTGCCACCATAACTCCCTCCTATCGCCGCCAAGCTCTCCAGAGAGGAGACGATTCTTCAAGTCCTTCAGGAACGAGTTGTACAAGGCCGGCATCTCCCACTTAACCATAGTATCCCTGAACACGCCGAGGTTTTCTATAGCACGGTCGTACCCGCTGTCTCCCAAGCTGTTCGTGATTAACGAGCGAATGATGCTGCCCATCTGCTTCGCAGCGCTTTCGATCTCGGGCTCGTCGTTGGCATATTCAACCATCTGCTTGAACTCGGGAATGGCGTTTTCGGGGTTGATCTTCTTACGCTTATTCTGAGGCTGGCTGAGGAGTGCGTCGATATCGAGACCCGAGATTGGCTCAGGCTTGGTCCCCTTTCGTTGTCGGCCCTTCGCTTTGGGCGGTACTTGACGAATGTTAGTTTGGTACATGCGGATGCTTTGATCCAAGAATAGACAATACCTTTCTTGACATTAGCTTCAGCTATAAGGTCTTCAAGCTTCGATTTGGCCTTGATTACTAAATCTTCAGGTGGGTTTGAATATTTGAGTAAAATGGGAGCAACTGGAGGAAGCGGCTGGTCCGAATAGATTGCTCGGTGTCGGACGACCTGGTTAATACGATGGATAGGAGGACAAAACACATCCTCCACGGGAGCATATTCCATGGTACGGTTACTTAACACTGTTAGCGGCTATACCTCCTTTGGCAGCTTATAATACTCACCCGTCATCATCTTTTGCCCAGCTTGAGATATCCATAGCGTCCACGTAGTCATCCATGGCATCCGACAGCTCCTGACTGGGCAGAAGCCGATGGTCTTCGCGCTTGACATTACCAGTAACAGTAATCACCTTATCGAGAGGGGGGAACTGATAGTTTCTGACATCTTCGGCAAATGGTAAGGGTACGTCGTATAGGCACTCGAAGTTGGGTTCGATGTGGGGCGCAAGTAGAATGAGGGATGGTTCCTTTCCATCCTTTGTTACGATCCGGGCTACTGCATAGGATTCAAGTTCCTGGAGGGAGTGTATGAATGATGAGAGTTTAAGTGCGGCAGCATCGTTTAGTTTCTGAGGGATTGTTTGACACGCCTCTCCCATATTGAAGAATGGTTCATACTAGAGATATCAGTATATGAAAGGGACTCCGACTTAAGAAGCTGAGCCTTATTTACCTTCTCTTGATGTATAAACCCTAGTATAGTGAAGCATTTTGTAGTCTCAAGCTTTGTGATATTGTATTCGGACTCGCTGATGTGTACGGCCGTTCTCCCATATTCATATCCCTTTGCCAATGATTCGAACTCGACATCCCGTTTGCCTCCTGGCGCGTCGGGATCATTGACTTTATATGTCCGAGCATTCTTAACCGCAGAAAATCCGTTTGTGAACTCTACGCCTTCTATTTCGTCACCCTCGGCAGCTTGAGACGGACTAGGATCGGTCTTGAGTATTACTCGGCTGGCTGCCGGCACTGTCGCCTTATGTGTCTTGAAGTACCGCTCCACGCTGATGCTCATAGCATCCGGGTGTTCCTGAGGGTTTCCAAGAGTGAGTTCTCCATCGTACGTCTTATACAGCCTGACAGGTTTTAATCTTGGCATCTCGAGCTCATCAATGGCTTCTGCCATGGTGCCATATAACCCGTCGCATTTATCAACAAGGCTTTTGAGTAGCCCCTCGTTTATTCTCTTTTGGCTTGACTTATCTTCTTCTTTGAATCCGAACTCGGCATCATCAAAATCTACACCTCTGACGAAAGAATAGGATTAGTGGAGCCGACGGTCTCGATGCAATTTCAACTTACAAGACGACGAGTTCAATACCGCAATTCTTGATCTTTGCTGATATGTCATCGAGGTCATCAGGGTCAACAGGGCCCTCGCCATTTGTCACCAGGATGATTTTCCGCTTGTACTTCAGCTTCTTAGTATACTTCTCGATCATCTCCACGGCCACTATTATGGCCGAGATAGCGTCGCCAGTATCAGTATCACTAGGCTTTATAAGGTCTTGTAGTTCGCGTAGATTGGTTAGGTTCATCGGTCCAAGCTCCTGCAGAATAGATATATTCTCATAGCCTTCTCCGGTTTGCTCTTGTATAGGATTGTTGGTCTCGTCGGTTCTCACACCAACAACTCCGACGGCCCATGTCTTCCTCGACGCACCAACGGTTGTGGTGATCTTGTCCCATACGTAGCGCATACCCCAATCGAGATCGGATTCGATCCTACCATTATGACAATCGCCCATCGACGACCCGAGGTCAACGATATATACTGTAGCCTCCTTGTCCGCCATTGTGAGATGATATTGAGGGTTACCAGCCGGAATTAATGATGAAATGAAATGGGATGAAAGACGAAGGCAAATAGAAGTCGTAAACTATCAGGCCATAGACCTTGGTTTTAGTTTTATGAGAAGACTCATAATAAGGGAACTTTACTGAGATGGCGTTGAAATTGATCCATAAGACAACGGCATCTGCCTAGAAGATGTAAGTGACATGTAGGTAGGTACCTTTAGCTAATAGAGCTTAGGTAACAGTGGACTTGTGTGCCTAGTGGCGCGTTCCTGTTCCATCAGGCAGTCGCGCAAGCACCTGACCGCGTGCCGATGCGCCTAATTGACCTGGACCAATCAATCAACCAATGGCCCAAGCTCCTCGGCCGAGGGGTAGAAACAACACACCACCAAATTCAAAAACGTCATCACATTTATAAAAGTTAACTACTGGAACTGTATCCTTCGCTGAAATTTAATATTTAAGATTTATATACTATTTACTTCGCACTACCTCTTAATCCGAAATAGAAACAAGTATAAAAAAAACATGTCGCATATCCTTCTTACCTTAGCTCCTTACCAGGTCTTAACGTAAGTTCATCACTATGCGACAACCACAACACCAAAATCAACAACAAGCCCATACCTTACTACCTAACCCTAACTAACTCTTCTACAGCTACGGTACATTGCTTGGAACGCAGGTCTTCCACGTAAGTTACTCTAACCGCAAATACCGCCGCGACCTTTCTTTTCCGCATTTACTTCACACCTACACACACACCTACACAACGAACGAACGAACGAACGAAACAAATTAACTAAGACCGATAACTCCCCTAGACTTTCATCAACTCCATACTCTCCTTCAAAGTCCTCGAGCGACCTCAATTCGCTACCTTACAACGCGCCGTCTTCCCCGCCTATTTCGGCATCCAGACCGCAGCCCCCGTGCTCCTCGCCCTGACGTATCCTGGGAGTAAGAACCCCTTCGGCGTCCCCTCGAGCTTAGCAGGCGTGTTCCACCCGTCAAACCGCTGGGGGGTGCTTGTACCGCTCGGCACCATCTTCGTAACAGGGCTCGTCAATTTAACGTACCTACTTCCCGAGACGAATAAGATGACCGACCTAAGGCGAGAGCAAGGTAAGATGGGGATTAGCAAATAAAAATTAAGCGGGGTTTTGTCTCTTTCGACTATGTACTAATATAGGTTTGTGATTTAGAAAAGAAGGATGCCAAAGCAAGCTACGAAAAGGGTGCCCACTCCGAGGAGATGGCCGTGCTGAACAAGAAGTTCGGACAACTCCACGGCATCTCTTCGCTTACTAACCTCATCACGCTCATTGCGACAATCGTCTACGGAGTTAACCTATCTTCCCGCCTCGAGTAAGACGGAAACCAATAACTGTTATCTAATGACTCACGTGCACATGAATGAAAGGAAATGGGAGATGAGGTAAATATTCAACATTGGAAGCTGTCAATTATCAATGAGTCTAATACGAGGTATTTCGTACATATGAAAATTGGGGAACCAGACTGTCAATTTATTATAGTTAATATAAAATAAACATCCGACTATCGCGAACTAGTTCCAATGTCCTTTCCGTTTAATAAAATAATAAAATAAAAAAAGAGCACGAGCTTCCGGGAATCCCAGTAGATACTATTTATGTACCTCTTAAAGATAATCGCTCTCAATCTCCGCTTAGTCCCCAACAAGTACGCCGGTTTTAAAAAAGCATTTCCGAAACAATAAGTGTATCCAATACGCACCGATCCCTGGGTATAATAATAATAATGCATACAAAGGGAAAAGCTCACCTAATGCGTGCGATGCGATGCCAATTCGCCATAGTGTATTGTCCTCCCTCCTCCTCCTGCTTCTCTTCCCTTTCATATAATTTTCCCTCCCCCTTCTTTTTTGCCCCTTATCCACTACAACGCTCTAGACCCAACATACATCCCATGCAATGTAATGCAATGTCCATACTAGTGGTTCCCGTAACTACCTAGCTACTACGCTAGGTAGATAGATGGAAAATTCCTCAAAGCTTCTAGCGTGGTAAGAGTGTACCCGCACACACACACCCCTCCACTCCATTTTTTTTTCTCTTTTTGCCAAATTTGTTAGCATATTTTCCTATTTATAGGTAGGTTATTATTAAACCTGGCCGGCCAGGGCCAGCAGCTCCCTCTTGGCGGCCTCTAATTTCAGGCGTCTGGTCTCCTCGTCGTCGACGGGCGGGCGGCTCGCGGGGCGCGAGGCCGCGCGCTGGAGGGAGCTGTGCAGCGAGCGCGGCAGCGGCTTCTTCGCCAGCTGCTCCGCGACGTCGAGCTCCTGCGTCGGCGGGCTGTACTCGCGCTCCAAGGGGGGGATCGGGTATTCCGCGCCGATCATGCGGTTCGCCTTGGGGGCGGGCGTGGTGCTAATAGCGGTAGCAGCAGTAGTAGTAGTGATGATGGTAGGAATGGTAGTGGTGGTAGTCATAGGACTGTCGTCTTCGCTCTCCGATACGGATGAGGTGGGAGACGTTGCTCGCTCGGGGAAGTAGCTGTCGGCGCTTTCGGACGGTTGCTGCTTGGATAACCGCCACCCCCTCGCGGCGGATTGCGCGGGAGAAGATGATGATGATGACGGCGTCGAGCCGTCGAAGAAGGACATGCGGCTGCGCATCATGTGCATAAGTGCGTCCCAAGTGCCGGCCATGGTGACAAGTGACTAAAGGAGATATTGCGGTAGGTAGGTAGGTTATGGTAGATTTTATACAAAGTGAAACAGGTCGAGATAGCAGTCGGACGTTTGGTAAGTAGTAGAGACTTATTTTTTTTATAGGAAGTATGAGTCAGTGGTTAGGTAGTGGAATATGTTGTAGTTATGTTATGTAGTCTTCTAGCAAACGTCTTCCTCCCGCTGTAGTAGATAATAGAGAAGTCAGAGGAAGAGAAGGGAGAGGAAGGAAAGAAAAAAAAAAACAGAAGGATTTTTGAAGAGGGCACGAGACCTATGTATACGTCTCGTGTGAATGAGATATATACCTAGGTAATCATGTAAGCCAAAAAAAAGAAAAAAAAAGAATGAGGGCTAGAAAGAGGGCATTAACTACCTATTCATCATATTAATCATCTTAATGGAACCCCCACTCTCTCTTTTGAGTCTTCTGGGATCGGAAAACGGATCTAACTAAGCTACCTAGTCATGCATTCTTGGGTCGAACAAGCATATTTGCAAGCAAGGGTATCGTCAGCGTCGAATTACCTATTATATTACCTAGGTAGTTTGTATTATTTTATATTAACTTTACTTACTAGCTGCAATTAGGGTCAGTTAAGGGTCAGTCAAGGGTCCCGGCCAGTAAGGGTCCTTGGTCCCACTCTCCTACCGGGGGTTATAAGCATAATCAGATCATAACAGATGCATAGTGTATACGTAAGGTACTATCGTGAAAAAGTGGTGTAGTTTGTTGGAGGTGTGTGAACCTGGCAGCTTGGGTTTGGGTGGCTTCCGGCGGTGGAACCCTCGAGGTGGGATAGCTTACCATATGCAAGTCGACGTTGATCTGACGATCTCCTACCTTAGCAGGTTATTACTACTACCTTGTAAAAACAACTATCTCGTTACCCTCCTCTTCGTTTACTTGTTACCGTGATCTCCAAATATTAGGTATTGTCATAAGTATAAATGGGCACGTGATCAACTTCCCTCGGTGAACTGGTAGATAGTAAAAGCCGTAGACCATAAGCTATAAGCTCATAGGTTATATGTAAGATCGTACACAGTAAAACTCGTGGTTAACGAACACAGCATCTAGGTATCTAAGCGAAGCGGCTATCCGTGGATGCATGTGTCACTTCTTAGTAGATTACTAGTGAAGTCAATCCGGTCTTCGGCTGCTTAAAGCCGAGTTGTCTACTAGTTTAAGTAGGTTAACTAGTCCTTTGTAGAATCGTTACTAAAGATAGTAAATTACCTAACTTGAAGACTTCTGGGTCCTAAACATCTCTACCAATTAGGTATAAAGCTATAAACCGTTCGGCTTAGCCAGATTACTGCTTCAGAGATGTATCTTTCCGTGGGGGATATATTCCTAAATAAGTCAATCTGGGGTAATCTAAATTGGCAAGACAAGGCCATCTCCTCGATTTCTGGAATAAAACGTAAAAAAAGAAAGAAAGAACTAAATAAAAGACTTGTGATATGGCATGGACTGTATTCTGGCTATGATTCAATAACGATAGACACTTGCGTCACGAAGCGAGTAGTGGCGTCAAAGCAAGTATGCGATGAGACGCCTCCGTATGCTACTATACCCGCCATCATCGTTTGCATTGGGTCTTATCGGGAGTCCGAGCAATGGTGGGGCTGTAGGATCGTGGCCTGCGTAGCAAACCTGGTCTCTTCCGGTATCATACATGAGGGGCGCGCCAGCCCGCATACCATCACCTGCAATGTATTTGAAGGGGAAATTGTTGACCGACCACAGATTATTTTGTTATTTTGTTGAATAAAATGGTAGGTCCTGCACAAAGACGGTCTATCTAAGATCAACCATCTACCCCCATGAATTAGGTAAATCAACACATCTCCCCCCCCTCCACCCTCGCTTCCCCCCGCATCTTGGGAAAGACAAATAGATTATCGTATTGAGGCTTTCGCGCCCCGGATGGGGTTGTACACCTGCGTCACGTTGCAGTAGACTGCCAAACAGATGTGAATGCGAGACCGTCGTTGTATGCACACATGGGCTCCTACTTCCCACGCCACCTACTCACTAATGATTACATACTATGTAGTTATTGGAGGTGGCTTTTTACTTTTGCTTTGCCTTCATTCGCTTCGCTAAATCGCTCGTCCGAATTATCTTTGGCGTCTTCTCCGGAGTTTTGTATGAAGTGAAGCTGGGTATGAGAGCCCCGACTCGCTGTTGGTAATACTTGTACTCTGGATACTTTCCAGAACTGATTAGTTCCGTGAGCCAAGTAGATCCCTGAAAAATCATCATTAAAAATAGAGGGCCTAGACCTGCCCAACTGTAGAAAGTCTTGCTTGCGTAACAGCTCCATTGGTATAGAGTCAACCAGATAGTCTGCTCGGCTGCAAAGTTAGGATGCCTGCAGAAAGCCCATAACCCAGAAGTGATGAAACCTCGGTCAAGCTCTTCCTGAGTGAAACCGCAGCCCCGTGGCACCTTTGCCGTCTGTTGGTATTCCTTCTTGGCTGATTGGTAGTCTAAAATGACCCTTCATTAGTAAAGTAAAGGTAAGGTACACAAAGCAATGAAGTATATCACATACCCCATTGTTGCTGGTCGCTAAACCATTCGGATACTATGAGACCGATCTGAATTGTAGTGAAAGCTAAATCTGCTGCTGTAACCTCTAGTTCAAAGTTGGAAGTTAGGAGGATAATGTATGTTGGCGCTGCAAGAAGGAAAAGCAATATGCTCTGAATGAAGGAGATGAAGGTGATATTGAATAGGAAGAAAAGTACCGGGTGTACTTTGCTGCGAATTATTTCCCTGCAAATTAAATTAGATGGTTAGATAGGGGCAAATGTGACAAAACGACACACCATCTATAATCCTCAGATCCGACGTTATAACCACCTTTCCGGAAGTAATTGAACGTCAAACGAGCCTTACGAACATTAGCTACAAAAACCGAAAAGAATATTTTAGATATTTATGAGTTTACACACGCTCCATATTGCGCTCCATAGCAAAATAAGGTCAACCCTCCGGCTTGGAAGATGATTCAGGTGAGACCAAGCAGCAAAATGTGCATGATATATCGTTGGCAACAGACTCCACATGCGATCAACCTGGGAGTAATTACGATTGATTTCGGACACAACTAAGAAGATGACACCGAGAAATATCGAAAACGCAAGCCCGGAAATAAACGGGTTGGTATTTTTGTATAATTCGAGAATTGATTCGTGCGTCAACAAGGTATGGTATAGCTTCCTAGGGAGTTCGTAAAGTTGTGGTAGGTATGGCTCGATTACTTGGGAGTAGTCCGCGCAATCTTGGAGCTTCTTAACCAAAGGCAAAGCCATCTTGTAAATTTGTAACGGATAGGAGCGTGTCAGTACTCAGTATCGTTGAGAGAGAAGACGACGAGGTTTTATATTTCCTATTGTGCTTCCAATTGTTGGAAGTAAAGTCATGACGTTGCTTAAGGAAGTCGACATTCAGCTCAGGTACATTAGGTACTAATACCTAGGTAAAGAGAGCACCAGTCGAGTTTACAGCACGGGCCAATTTTATGTCATTTCAGCCTTTCGAACATGGGCAGGGGTAAACGGCAAACGGGGCTATTAAGGGGGGGGAGGGGGGTGTAACCTTAAAAGCCTTACCTAAGATAAACACCAATAAAAGAGTTCAAATTTTTTGTTGAAGGTATTGGCTGAGAAGTTATCGCCCAATCGCTTAGAAGAAGAAAAAAAAAAGTTCAAAATTTCGAAAAAGTCGGGAAGGCACGCAATGAATAAATACCTATATCGAAAACTGAAAAATAAGGCTAAGGCAAGGTAGGTAAATGCACAGTATTTATACAATATCTACAGTACAGCGACTGCTGGCAATACCTACTTCTAAGGTATCAGATACCTCACAATACCTTCTAATATTTACTTGTTTCTAATACTCGACTTATACAACTCTTCGTTACCCATTTTCAAGACGGAATAGATACCTAATCCATGTGATCTATTTAATCATTTGCCCGTTCCCAGCAGTTACGAGGAGCAATCGTCACCTATGAGATGTTTGCTTAGCTCTTCGTGTCGTGTGAGAGGCGCACGTCGAGTATCGCCGTTAACGTTTTGCTTCGACGCTTTTCGTACACGATTCCAGTCGACCATGAGAGTCCTTTGCGTTGCCGAGAAGCCCTCCATCGCGAAAGCTGTCGCAGGTCACCTCTCAGGTGGTCAAGCCCAAAGTGTAAGTCTTAACTCATATTGGCCCGTCTGCGTGACTATCAACTGTCGACCTGCTAATATATGTCTAGCACAACACACCCGAAAAGTACATCAAAAATTATGTTTTTGAATACGATTTTGGGCATCCTTGGGGTCGTTGTCATGTCACCATGACCTCCGTCCTTGGTCATATCACCTCGGCTGTATTCCCTCCCGAGTATAAAAGATGGGAGCATCCGCCACCCGACCGCCTATTCGATGCACCTGTAAACATAATCATCGCCGAGGTACGAGTTGCGTCCCTTAGGTTCATACGCCCAGTAGAGTTTAACGTATCCCACAGGACAAGACCAAGGTAGCGGACAATATCGAAAAACAGGCACGCTATGCCAATGCGCTCTGCATCTGGACAGATTGTGATCGTGAAGGCGAACACATAGGATATGAAATATGCGAGGCCGCGAGAAAGGGCAACAGGACTCTGGATATTAAGAGGGCCAGGTTTAGTAACATCGAAAGAGCGTATGTCTATCGACTCGAACCCTAACTGAATAACATGTAGCTAAACACGAAATTTAGGCATATTTTGAACGCAGCCAGGAACCTAATAGATCTTGATCACAGACAAGTCAACGCTGTGTCTTCTCGGATCGAATTAGATCTTAGGATAGGATACGCGTTTACCCGGTTTCTGACCACGAACCTACGGACTTTAGGAGGGCCCTTCAAAGAACTCGTATTAAGCTATGGTTTGTCGTCCTAGAATTTGACGGGTAATCCAATTCTAACGTATTAGGGTCCTGTCAATTCCCAACGTTGGGTTTCGTAGTAGATCGGTACTTTCGAGTGAGGAATTTCAAGCCGGAAGCGTTTTGGAGCATCAAAGTCATGCACAAGCGGGAAGGCATGGATGTCAACTTCAGTTGGTCACGCACTCGCCTTTTCGACAGAGCATCGACCGTCATTCTTTACGAAAGATGCCTTGCTGCTAAATTGGCCAAAGTGACCAAGGTCCAGGAGAAGCCAACGAAGAAATGGAAACCTCTACCACTAACTACAGTAGAACTGCAGAAGATGGCCACTATATTTTTGCACATGACGGGTCAGCAGGCGATGGAAGCTGCAGAAAACCTTTACAATAAGGGCTTCATCAGCTATCCCAGAACGGAAACCGACCGTTTCGATTCTGGTATGAATCTCCGCGCATTAGTACAAAAGCAGACGCAATCCGACTCGTGGGGTGAATTCGCGCAGAATCTAGTCAATGGTGGATTTCAGCAACCTCGACAGGGTCGAAATGACGATAAAGCACACCCCCCTATACACCCCATCACCTACGCAGCACCCACAGTCCTTGGTGATAGAGAAAAAAGGGTTTACGAATTTGTTGTTAGACGATTTTTGGCATGTTGCTCGGAGGATGCCAAAGGTGTTGCCACAGATGTCGATTTATTATATGGCGAAGAATCCTTTCATGCTCATGGTGTCGTCGTTCTGGAGCGAAACTACTTGGACGTATACATATACGATAAGTGGACTGGTACTGCACAACTACCTAAGTTTACGGTTGACGAGCTTTTTGAGCCTACCGAAGCTCTCATGACGGAGGGCAAGACTGCACCTCCCAATTATCTTACTGAAGCTGATCTAATTGCTCTCATGGACGCCAATGGAATCGGAACAGATGCTACAATGGCAGAACATATTCAGAAGATCCAAGACCGAGAGTACGTCCGTGCTGTGCCCCGAACCGCGCGAGCCGCAGACGATGAAGGCGGAGATGAGAATGAACCTACTGGACGAGGACGAGGTACCCGTGGTGGCCGTGGTCGAGGTGGTCGAGGAGGCGGATCGGCAGCCGGTGGGAGGGGAGGAGTGAAAGAATTCATCCCAACAAAATTAGGCGTGGCTCTAATCGAGGGATTCGATAGGATGAATTTCGAAACCAGTCTTGGGAAACCGTTTCTACGCAAGGAAATGGAACTCAAAATGAAGGCTATCTGCGAAGGCCGTACAACTAAGGAGGCTGTCCTAAACGAGAGCATTCGGCAATACCGCCAGGTCTACTTGCAATCACAAGAGAAGTTAAATATCCTCAAAGCGGTAAGTGTATATGATAACCTCATATAGATGCGAGCAAGAACTAATCACAAATTACACAGGCATGTCGACAATATGTCCTCCAACAAAATGGCGGTTGAAAGAGATGGTTGGTTTATTTTGGCCAATTGGTACGGTTGAGGTGCCATTGTGTCCCGCGAAGGAATCGCAAAGAATCCGAAAGTTTGACCAGGTCCTACCGTTTGATAGTAACATATGCGCATACAGCGCAATATTTTCGCGGACCGAATCCCTACTGGAAGATGACGGCTGATGGAAGCAACGCACTGTAAAATGATGGCCTACTCCGAATACCGGCCCTATAATTACTCAGAGGATGACTCTCAGCCTGATGAAGGGTTTCCGGCAAAATAGGCGCCAGCGGATGGGCTGAACTTCGTTGAGGCAAATGTGCGTGCTTTTCACGCACTCTCTCGAATTGGACGAAACGTAGGCACCTAAATGCAGGACCTAACGGCATAATTCATAAGAGTTACGCCTATATGGTAGACCTAAGCCATGGGGTATGGCGAAACTACCTGCTTGCCTGGTAACATATATGTAGGTACCTAGAGCAGCAAGACATACATACATACATACGCACATGTATGTATGTAGATGTGACACCCGCTCATCTCCACCGACCTAACCACCGACCTAAGAAACATGTCGTCGGATCGCGTTATCCCAGAACGTGGGGGAATAATACTGGATGATGGGTTATTCTCGCGGAACCCTCTAGCGGGGTAGTTGAACTCTAGGAAGTCGAGATACATACTCCCTAATGGTGGAAAACACAACCCCTCTCCGGATACGACCATTCACGATCGTGTACTACCCGGCTTAGATACGCTCTTTCATGCTCGTCCTAACCTTAGGTATTCATCGACTGCTAGGTAACCATTAGGTTGCTAGCTACGTATGTAACTAGTAACCGGGCTTACATCCGAACTTCGTGACATATGCGCGGCTGGTTCAGCATCGACTCGACTAAATTATAGGACTAACAAGCCGGCGGCAAGTCATGGAAATACGTCTTAATACATTATTCCGGTGCGTTCTTTCGCCACTTTTTTGGCACTATGGCTAGCTGAGTGTTGGTGAAATGGGGCCTGGCTCGAGCATCACGATGGTTATTTTCAACCAATCACATCACCGCGCTTGCGCAACGTGAAGCATTCCTGGGTCCATGGCTGTCGAGATTTGGGGATCATGTGTTGCCGAATTCGACCTACTTACCAAATACCTACTTAATTACGCAGCCTCGAACTCAATTTTTTCCCCAAGATGTGCGTGTCCTTTCCAATTAGCAAGTTGGCTAGCGAAAAAAAAAACCAGTCAAATTAGACCATTGAATCTACCTAAAGTACGCAAGAAAGAAGGGGGGAAAAGTATACAGAGCCACCAGGATAGCCGATGGACAGGCGAGTTTGAGGCTGCACATACCAACACTCTAGTGTTCTGTTTCTCAATTCAATTGACGAGGATTTCATCCTCGACCTACCTTCTTAACCTACCAAACCCGAAAATGGATTTTATTGGACGGCGCAGTGTGTGACGAGAAATGTTCCTACTATGTATATGTAATAGATCAGACCTATACTTCTGCTGCCGGAGAGTTCCTGCACGTTGATAACGAGGACTCCTATTCTCGGCTTGGCTACAGGGCTTTCTCCGGACGCGGGAATCTAATGGGTTCTAAGAGATAGCGGCATTCCATCCCTTGATATGCGAGATAGCCGGGGGGGAGCAAATAGACGGCTTTTGTCCTTTTCGGCTCAATGGCGGTTTTGGGGGTTTTCTTTTTTTTAGTAAGAGAACCCATCCCTCGAGGGAAACTTGGACACACGCCCCACGAGTTTCTTCGCGAGACACACCCCAGATTATTCACCATTTGTACAAGAGGATGAGGAAGGGATACGGCTCCATGTCTAGGATATTCCATTTTTATTTTTGTCGGCTTATTACTGTACCTCATGTAGTGCTTATGTATTTCGCATATACCGTACATATTAAGGTATGTATTGTAATGTATATACGTAAGGTTACCGGGTAAGCAGGCTTAAAAGTCGTCATGGCTGTTGGCGTCTTATTAATGGCAACTAACTTCCAAGGTTGAGTCAAGTGCCATGCCAAATAGTGACAGGCGAGTTGATTAGATAGGTTAGGTACAGGTACCTACCTACCTAGGTAGGTAGTGAGGTCATGCCCTCCTCGTACTTAGCGTACTTAGCGTAACCCTGGCTTTGTGCCCTTGTCAGTCAACATTTCAAAAAAAAGGTTGAATGATAAGACCGCACAAAGACCATCCATAAACGATAATTCGATAACTCGCCACAGTACAACATCAACACACCCAGGTTGTTACGTTAGATAATGCCACCACCACCACCACCACTACTACTACTACCATTACTACTACGTAGTTCAAAAGGTTCAAAAGAGAAGAGATGGTAGGTCCACTGTGTTTGAAGCGGTCGTGCTATAATTATTGTACTGCCTCTGCTGCGGTTGTACGTATGACTCCTTTATATGGAACTCTTACATAGGTATGTACCTAACACAGGACTAAAAGAAGGCTGTACCTATGAGGATGAAGTACCGTCAAATTCTAATATTATATTAGTTAATGTACCTACACTAGGTATGTAATATTTGGAGACAGCTGAGCAGGAAACTGGAACACGTTAGATAGATTTAACTGTATAGGGGAGCTTGGCTTGGGGGATGATGATGGAAGAGGATTCCATGTTTTTTAATGGTGGAATGTTTTTTCTGTTGCTGTCAGGTACAGAAAGTACGTATTTATTAATACTACGTACCTCATTAATAACTTACATAAAGTACTTATACATATCTCATATGGCACATGCCTTGGATCTATTGTACAATACATATTGGAATAGACATAACTTTCATTAAGTACACCATACACCTACCCCTTTTCTCTGCTAGGACCACGTCGTGGCTACTGCTCTTTGAGCAATCAGGTGCGTGCATTACGCCCTGTGCGCCATGCGACACCTGCTGACCCTGCCTTTTGACAACACCCCCCGGACACCAGTAGGTAGAACCAGCGGTAGACCGTAGGCGTAGTAGACTTGTGGTAGGCATACCTAGCGGCAGAGAGCGGTTAGCGTAGAACCTTCTTCCCATTGTCTTAGCGAAAGCACAAGCAATTGAAGATTACATTAGTAGGTCGCAGCCGTCGCTCGCTCTTCACGTTGATCTTTCCTCTCACTAAGGAAACATCAACAACACAACAAATTGACATCACTGCATTGTTTTGCACCCAAGAGTCATCTTTTGTCGCAGTCAAGAGAATCGCGTCAGCGCTGCCATTTCGCCTAAATTTTCGTTTTTTTGTTTTCTCTCTTTCCACTAGTTAGAGACTGAAAACAAAAACAATTCTGTCGCCATACCGCAACTTTTCTATTACTTCGGGATTGTTCTTTGTAAGTGACTCACCGCAGCCTCTCTTATTATCATTTCATCTCATCATTTCGCCTCATTCACCATTTCTTTTCTCCTGCCGACTCTATGGTCGTGTTCGCCTAAGCAAACCCATTTCATCCAATAGCATAATTTAATTCTATACTAACGTTATATCGCCTCTCCTTCCTAGACACAACTCGAAGTATCCAATCCCTTCGAAATGGCAACTATGGCATCGGCTTCTGCTGCTCGCGATATCCCTAAGACCTCCCCTCTCAGCCGAGACAACTTAACTGCTGTAGCGGCTGCTCGGAGCGTCCCTGTGACACGAACTCATTCCCTCCCGACTCCTCCTAACTCCATCTCACCTACGCTGCCGCCCCACGGCCTAAAGGCACAGCTACTCAAGGCCAAACTCGACTGTGTCGACTCCGACCTCGACCTTCACGAGGGAGTCGACAACAGCCCTATCGGCTCGCCAACATTCGAATCTACGGGTGCTATTACCCCGGCCCTGCTAGCCAAATATCATCTCCCCGAGATTCTGCTGAACCACGGTCCCTTAGCCATCCGATACATCATGGGTTATTTGACCACCTCAGTACCTGGCTTTGCAGGGATCCCCCCGCCGAAGGCACGAAGGTTAGTTGTGGCAGCATTAGAAGGACGTGGACAAGGGCACGGTGTCGAAGGAGGTGGAGTCGATGGTGACGTGGAATTCCAAAAGGTCGGATGGGGTCGGTGGGACGCTAGGCGACGGGGTCAAGCTGCTCGAGATGCGGTGTCTCGCCAATCCATTGCCCAAGGCGATTCTAGAATCCCTCCCACTAGTATACCAATTTCAAAAGGCGCAGGATGGAACGCTGACCGATCCCGGTTAAATGCACGAGCAATTAGTATTGGAAACTCGGCAGCATTTTCCCACGATGACCGGGACGTGACCATGACGGAGAATGAGGCCGATAAAATGTCGCTCGACTCTTTAGACGGACCCGCTTCGGCTTCCTGCTCTTCGGCACCCGATGATGAAGATATGATCATGAATGACGATCCGGAGGATGCCACGGACGACGAAGACTGGGCAGCTGTAGGAGCTGCCGCACTACGGGCCGCGTCGTATTCAAATCCGGCTGAGGCCCGTCGAAGTGCAAACTACCCTTCCCATGTATATAATTCTTGCGGTTTCCGGTCCTTCTCCGGCAACACAGGTATGCTTCGGGAGCCACGTCTCGATAATATCGACTTGGATGCATTGGCGGCATCGTCGGATGCACAGGAGCGCGAGGCAATCCAGGCTCTTTTACAACTCGGTTCTGTATAATAATCTAGCATGGGCGGCGTTTCAGGGGACATCTCGGCTCGGGTGGACCTAGTTTGTTTTGTTGGCCAGGCTGACCAGGCTGGTTAGCAACATGTCATTTCTTATCGTGGCGGACATTCACCTCGATCATCATTATTCTTATTGTCCGGCATATTTCCGACGTCCGACGTCCGACGTCTCTGGTTTTCGCGGATAATCAGAGGCACCCCATCATTTCCACTCTAAGGATGTCACGGTTTTGGAACATTGTTCTTGTCGACGGCATGTTGCATGGATAATCAACCTCGGGGGTCGCATCTCCGCGGCTGCGGGCGGTTTGGAGTTTTGCTTTCTTGTTACCTTTGTTTTACCAGTTGCTACGCGATTTAAGAATCTTGCGGCAAGCTGGCCTGATGTACGTTATCGGAGCTTGCCGACATCAGTCCAAGGAATACGGCTACCTTGAGCCAGTGGTTAGGCCTCGCGTGCTCGGTGCTAGGTGCCTTCGGACAGTATCTTCGTTTGAAAATTATACCCCATTGCGACGTAAATATTCGATTTTAATCACTTTATTTTCCGCTGGCAGAAAATACCCCTAGCTTCAACAGCACACACAGAAGGAGCAGAAACACGACTCGTTCGACGGTTAACGAGCATCAGGAATTGCGCTTGCGTCACATACTTGCAAGAGCTTGAATTAACATATTTTAATTAATGGATGTTCCCGTACGCGAAAAAGATGGACAGGAAAGGGATAGGGTTTAAGGGTGTTGGTATTGTTTACCTGGATAGACGGAGCGTAGCCAAATTGGCAACAAATTGGTAGTGCGAGGGAATAGAGCCAAGCCGATCATCGTAAGGCAGTTCGTCTCGCGGCATATTATATTATTAACAGACGAACAACAACAATAGTCTAGTCATGTCTAGTCCTGTCTTGTCGAAAACATGCGAAGACTCACTCAGCCAGCGGAAAGAGAAGGAAAAAGACAAGTAAATCCCTTTTTTTGGAGGATAGTTGGGCTAGCAGCTTTCTAGCTCTGCGTTTATCACCACTCAAAAATGAAATGAGAGCACCAATCGTCCAACCCACATATTTCGTCTTGTGTCTTGTGTCTCGTATCTTTTTGTCGGGAGAGCTAATCGACGTGCTTATGTCAAATACCGGGCGAAGAAATCGTAGGTTGTAATGCTCCTCATACTGATGGGACCGATAGTTATAACAACCCTTACGCGATGGAATATGTCTTTATCTCGAAAAAAAAAAAAAAAGAGGGGGAATACGATAGCAACGAAGATTTTCTAAATTGTGTCTAGCTTTTGATATATTAGGTTAGTACCTAGCTACCATTAACTAAAGACTCAATGACGTAAAGTTTGTTGATTTCGTTGGTCTCGATTTAACCTCGACGGGTGGATATTATTATGTGATGTGGTATATATAAAGGAAAACTAGTGAAAGCATGGGAATCGACGGGATTTTCATCACATCACGCACTAACGATATACCATCGATGGGAATTGTAATATCGAGTTTTTATAACTGCCTACCAAGATACTATGGAATGTCTTAGGTAAATATCAAACCTAAGGTAACAATTATGAAGCGTTGCAAGCTAGTGTTAATGTGAAGATAGGCGGCAAGTAAATAAATGTCAGTTAATTTCGGTTTATTTAGTTGCTCACTTGTAGTCTCACTTGTGGTTTTCTTGGATTGTTAGTCTAAGTTTGAGTATTTTGGTGCTTATTCTGCTAATGCTGTTCAATCACATTGCCTCCCGTATATATAAAAGATCGCTTAGTGAAGTTGGCTGAGGCTCGGTAGATGTTGCATGTTTCTAAGAGTTTTGACTCTTCACTAGTCTCAGCCCAGCTTAGTTTAGCCGTGTCGTGAAGGATAAAATCTTCATGTAGCCGAGAGCGGCTGTTATTATTCAAAATATACGTACAAGTTAGCATTCTATCATTGACGGGTTCGCCACTTCTAAACAGGGTTGGAGCGTCTGCTTAGGAGAACGTAATATCTTTATCATCCCTTATCGTTCATTGATTGCGCAATCGCCAACTAATGCGCGGCTAGAAGTATATTGAACTCTACTTCCCTGCCTCATAAAGCAGTACATAGTGACAGAAGAGAGAAACAAGATATCTCACTTAGATATGACCATGCAATAATTGATCCAGGTACAACAGTAACTGATGGAGTCAGTAAAATGCGAACATGCGAACATGCGAACAGAGTGCTGGTAAAACATGACGATTCAGCTGTCATCATTCATCTGCAAGAGGTAGACCGACGACCGACCGCAAGATCTGGAGGGACGCGTGCCGCATAAGAGATTTTATCTAGATGATGTAGGGCGTAAGAAGCAACGGCTGAGTCAGATCTGATGGGCTACAATTGTAAGAAAAAAAATAAGGAAAATCAAATAAGGAGGCTGCTTGATGTTGTAGTAGTAGATTCGATTGAAAGCGCGAGGATAGATAGGTACCACTACGGTATGTAATATCAAAGTCTTCACCGAACGGAAATCGGCTCAGGTCCTTTATTTCTTGGCTTGCGGCATTCTACGGCTGTAATACCAAATGTAGTAAGAGATGGAATTCAGCTTCTGTGTCTCTCTCGTCTTTCGTTAAACCTGAATAGGCACCTAAAGTTGGTGGTCGGACGTTCGAGGACGGAAGTTGTGCCACAGAAAAGCTGGGTATATGTGGATTTCCCAAGGAATCATCGCTCAGCCTAGATTATCCCGACGTTGAAGTCAAACAAAAACACATGTCGTTTGTCTGTACCCCGTTACTTTCCCAACGTTGCCGAGATGGCAGAAGAAGTAGTTTCAACGAAGCGCATGGCCAAGAACTTGGCGGGCGGAGAGGAAGACTAAGGCTTGGCCACCGGCGGAACGTAAATGACCCCCCCTTTTTTTTGCTGTAAAGTGAACACCATGTCCAGAATACCAAGAGATTACCAAGACTTTCCGTCCGCCGTCATAACCGACAACGACGTTAGGTACTACATACATTAGGTACATAGTTCTAAGGGGGTGGGATGGATTTACTACAAGAATCGGGAGAATGGAGCTGGATATTCGGCACGAGGATGTAAGATAGGCTGTATAGCACGCCGCTGTATATGTAGACCGGCCTCTAGGTTATCTAGGCAGGTATTATGAAGCTGAAGAAACAAACGAATAGCTTCTTAGGTATAAGACAAGATGATAACTACCTAGGTAAGGTTAGATGGTTAATATTAAAAAGAAAAGGGGGGAGACAGACATGACATAGTCAGAGAAGACCGGATATACCTACTTGAACACCGAATTATATTATATTAGGTAGGCAACTACGTAAGGTAACCTTGAGTGCCCAAGGTAAGTAAGGAAGGCAAAGTCAGGAAGACAAGTCAGTATAAAAGCAGCGCATGTCTTTTCAACGGCCTAGGTCTAGCCCAAGATCAAATGTTGGTTCACGGATGTAAGATGCCGACTGATAAATTACTACAAGAAAGCCCGAAAAAAAGGATGTTTTCTGAGACGATTCGAGGAACTCATTCGCTACTCATTAGATAAGAAGGTCATCGTATGTAGTACATTGGTACGTAATAAGGTAATGATCATTGATGATTGACGATGAGCTTCTACAGTACCTTACACGGAAGGTATGCGTAAGAAATACCTAGACCTCGCTAGTGCAGGTTGATATTATGCAAAAGTGCGAAAAAGAAGAAGAAAAGAAAAGTAGGTACGTACCACGTATTAACAGAATGAACAGAAGGTGGGCGCAGTCGAGTCTCGGCGCAGGAGGAACCAGCGTCCAAGGTTTTTTCCAAGCTTTCTTCCAAGCATCTGTAAGCATTTTCGTGCATTTCTGGGCAGATATGTCGAGACAATCATCAAATGCCAAGGCCCGCCAAGAGCTTGGCATTCCCTTGGCACGGAAGTCACTACTGAGGAGGGGTGACTCGGTCTTGGTAGTCACCATGCGCTGTAGATCGAGTCACTTTCGGTATAAGGTACCTGACTCGTTTGCCCCCATTTCCCTTAAACCAATCAACAAGGGTCACCCGCTACACCCAAGACCCATTGCCAAGACTTTCCGCCTCGATATCGCCAAGGTCAAACGTCCATAATAAGGAGCAAGGACGGCGCGCTCGATTTACATAAACTCTACGTTCCATCTCTTTCTCCAGACAAACAAGTTCAGGCTTCTTTTCTCCTTTTGCTCTTTTGGGGAATTGAAATCTTAACATTTATCAATTTTTGTTGCTCCGATTTTCGAGAAGAGAAACCAAAAAAAAGAAGGCATTAAATAAAACGGGTTCAGTAGCCTTCCAACTATTTAAGGAACCCTTTTCGGTTTTTAGACATTACCGCATTTGTTAGTCGCATCCCATGTCGATGAGCGTGGACCGCCAAGAACAAGACCAATACCAATACCAATACCGTTTTTAGGTACCGCACACAAGCACAGCCAAAAAGCCCGGAAGACCGAGAAGAGACAAAGCAAAATACCTAAGTAAAAACGGTCAAAGCGAAAAATATTACCCGGCGGATTAAACTTTTTACCGCTTACAACTTTGACGATCACGTGCATACATATTTTGTTATCACGTGAAAGAGATCGCCCCCCGGTACCCCCTTTACTGGTTTTAGAATTCTAGGACCGAGAGCATAGCCATGTCGGCAGCACCCGAGAGCAATCCGATCCAATCGGGCGGCGAGAGCTCAACCTCTAACGGCACTACCCCAGCGCCTTCAACAGCTACCACCGCAACTTCGCAGTCTAGTGCCCCGCCGGCTGATGACTCCCTACAGTGCCGTTGGACTGGATGCAGCGAAAAGTTCGCGTCGGCCGAAACTCTCTATGTAAGTTTTATCAACGCCATTACTCAAAATGGCATTTATTTTTGGGATTTTAAGCAAGGGTTCTTCTATCATGTTGGTTCTAAACTAACAGCTATACAGGAACACATTTGCGAGAAGCATGTTGGGCGTAAGTCTACTAACAACCTCAACTTGACTTGCCAATGGAATCAGTGTAAGACAACTACTGTCAAGAGGGATCACATCACATCGCATATCAGAGTTCATGTCCCCTTGAAGCCGCATAAGTGTGACTTTTGTGGAAAGTCATTCAAGCGTCCTCAAGATTTGAAGAAGCATGTCAAGGTACGTACTTTATCTTGAACTCAGTTAGCATACGCCGCTCTTCCTTCAGCTCTCTAATTCCGATTACAGACACATGCGGATGACTCTGTTCTTGTCCGCTCGCCGGACCAGCACGGCCCCATGAACAGTGGCTACCGAGCTCAAGGAAAAGGTATGTATCTCCCTTCAGTTCGAATCCCCCCTCCTGATTCCTCATTTGGAGGCTAATTTGCCTCATAGCTCCGTCCAGCTATTATGATCACAATGGTCAGATCCGTACTAACTCGGCCGCCTTTGGTCAGCCGCCTCATCCCGCCGGCCACCCAAGTAGTTACTATCAGCACCACCCTCAAACTTCCTTTGGAGGTCCCATGTACTATCAACCTATGGGTGGTCGCGGTGATCACATGGGCTATCAGGCTTCTGCCGAATATGACAACCGCAAGCGCACCTACGATGTACTAAATGAGTTTTTCGGAGACGCCAAGCGTAGACAGCTTGACCCGAACTCGTACGCCCAGGTTGGACAGAGACTCCTGCCATTGCACGGAGTTCTTCCTATTCACTCAGGCTCCCTCGGGGCAGAGTATCTCCCGAGTCCGGGTGTCATGACGGTCGATGGACCCGCTGGCCATGGTCCGTACCAACAGCATTATTCATTACCCCCTATGCCGAACGTCCGCACTAAGAGCGACCTTATCCAGATCGACCAGCTCCTCGAGCAGATGCAGAGCACGGTCTATGAAAGCTCTAATACGGCCGCCGCCGCAGGAGTCCACCAACCCGGCTCCCACTACCTCCCTCTAAACTTCCGTCACAGCCAGTCTCCACCGCACTCGACAGCGCCACCTCAGTCCGCTATGGCCAATAACGCATACTCGGCCGCTCATGTGGCTTCACCCTTAACTGCCGTCTCTTCGACCCACTCGAACGGCACTCCGGCTGTGACGCCCCCGTCAAGCTCAATGTCCTATACTTCCGGACACTCGCCCAGCGCCTCTTCGTCCGGTCTATCGCCGTTGACGCGCCATAGCTCGACCACGTCGGCTCTGTACCCGACCCTACCCGCCGTCACGTCGGGCTACCCCGGCCAATCAACGACGTCGACTCTCGGACCTACATTCGACCCCGACCCTCGCCGTCGCTACTCGGGCGGCGTGCTGCAGCGCGCCAACGCCGCGCAACTCGACCGCGAAGCAGCAGTATCGTCATCTTCAGCCCACACCCCGCGCGGGTCCGAGTCCACCGCCATCTCGGCCGTCAGCTCGCCGTCCGCGGAGTCGGAGGCCAGCGCCGAAGCCCGCGAGGACCAAGCATACGAAGCCTGGCTCGAGAACGTCCGCGTCATCGAATACCTGCGCGAGTACGTCATCGACCGCATCAAGCGCAAGGACTACGACGCCGAGTCCCCTGTCTCGGCAACGCCGTCGGCAGGCAGCAGCAGTGGTGGTGGTGCAACGAGTGATATGGAAGTCGATTCCCCGACTAGACCGCCTAGTCAGCCGGCGTATCCGGCGCTGCCGCTGCAGTAAGTCGGGGTGCGACAAGGGGTAATGGAAGGATGAAATGAAATGAACGAAAAGGGGGAAACAAGAAAGGAAGCGAGAGAAGCGAAAGAAGCGAAAGAAATGTGACAAAGTGCAAGGAGGATGTATATAACTAAGGCTGGGCTATACGGCGTTTGACGAGGTGTATGAAGTTACCCAACCTACCTACCTACCTAGGTACCTTAGCTACCTATGTTGATTTGATGTCGACTGAAATATGCGGCACTATTGTTACGTTTTTTGTTATTTTTATTTTATTGTATTCTCTTCACTCTGCTCTGCTCTGCTCTTTGCTCTTGCTTTGTCTTCTTCTTTTCATGTGTGTATTTCTTCCTAAAAAAAAGGGGGGGGAGGAAGGTGAAAAGGGGGAAGGGAAAAGGGAATACATGCATTCATTCGCTACCCGCGCTGATAGTTGACCAAGGCAGGCAGGCAGGTAGTTTAGATAGGAACATGGCTATCTATGTCCTGCATTATTACGACAAAAGGGACGATGAGTAGTAGTTAGTTAGTCCTATGGATATATAGATACCTATAAATGTTGAGTGGACAGTTTTAACCAACATACATATTGGCTGCTAAGGTTGTTTCTTGTTATGTCCTTGATATTGTTGATATTGTCGGTAACTTAGTTCTATGTATGGGGTTAAGCCTACGATCTTGACGACATAGACATAGGAGGTATCTATCTCCTTTTCTTCGTGTATTAGAAGAGGTTAAGTTGAAGGGGCATTGAAATATCCTTATACCAACCAGATTCATATTGATATTTGGATGGGTAGACAGAGCTTGTGTGGCTTCGGCTTTCTAGGTTCCTTTTCCTTTTCCTTTGCCTTAGGCTGAGCTCGCTATTAATCTGTATAGCGGGTAAATTTAATTATCATAGTATTTAGATTTGGAGAATAGCATCACGAGTCTTGCTGTTGCCAAGTGTCCTTTCCTTTATTTCCTGTTTCTTTCTTTCTTTTCTTTTCTTTTTCTTTTTCTTTTTCTTTTTCTTTTTTTCAAAAATAAAAATAAAAAATAGGCACGTTCTCCGTACCACTTACTAGGTAGACAACTCATACGATGACATGTCCACTCCAACCTCTTATCTGCAATGTATATGAAGTACACTGCTATTCAATGTGAGAGTTTAGGTCACTTAGCTAGGTAGGTACTTAATATATGTTAAGTCAGTCGTGTTTGGACGAAGCAATCAACTAATCCAGCAGTACTCATCATAATTACATCGTCTTTCCACTAGAAACAATTCACTTAGTAGCCTCAGACAATCAGCAAACGAATAGATACCGAACGTATCCCATAGTATATCGGGAACCATCCCTATTCTATTTTTGGTGGTATCATTCGTTTACTGATTAAAAAAAGGTATGACTAGAGGTTACACTTAGTCTCCAGAGAAAAGAAAATCCAAGCCCTTCTTCGTTTACGATACACGATATTTGTCCTTCTATATGATAGGCATTCCGCCAGCTTTGGGAAATGGTTTTCATATTACTCAGATACAGTCGTGTGCGAAAGGAAAAGAGTGAAAATCCTGAAAATAAAGAATAACGGAGCGGAGATTCGAAAAGAAAAGGAGAGATGACGTCCGCTAGAATATTCGTTTCACATCCGACCCCGAAATGCTTCGCTATACCGTCCTGTAAGCACGAAAAGCACACACATACCCCGGGCACCGAACCTGTTTTGTAGCAGCGAGCCAGGTTAACCTGTCTAACCTCGAGTATCTCCGCCGTCTATCCTCATGCACAATCCTTGACCGCAGCGGAGACGGGGGGTAGTAGGAAGGGGTATAATTATCCAGGGGTCCAGGGGAGCCAAGTACTTCGAGGCGAAGTGACGAAAATCGCCTAGTCGGCAGTCATGAAGCGTGTATAATCATGAAAGAACCAGACTTAGTACCGTAGTATACGTATTACCCGAAGAAAGGTGAGTTGAGCGAATTCGAAGGAACGACTTGAACAATTATCCAGGGGAGTTGTTCTGAGAGTTAGAAGCCTCATTTCGGCATCTACCACACATGCACCAGCCACCAAGACTGCCGCGCGCCCATTCTCTGCGTTCTTTCACGGGTAAATTCACGTCGCAGTAGTGGTTGAGAATCTCTTCCCCAGCTTCTATACCGCCCGACGCATTCCCAACTACCCGCGTTTCCCGTGCTTTCAATACCATCCGACCGCCCCATTCCCAGGTAACATTTGGGTTGCAGTCGTGGTTAGCAAGGCACCAGTAAGGGTGCACGGCGGCAACGTCGGGTCGGCCATCCCTGGGGTTCTTACGAGCCGACGCAGTGCCACGGAATTTGCTATAAAGGGTGTTAAACACCCATATATCATAATTAGCAATAGCGGCGTAAATGTCGATATCCATTTTCTCAAGGATGTGGAGTGGTGTCTCGATGTTGTAAGCAAAGGAGAAGGGGAGTGTCCAATCCGGTGGTGGGCCAGCTTTTGGCGACAAATCAATCTCATTGGTCTGTGAGGAAACGAAGTCTCCCCATATATATTTGATTTGGTTGACGTCAAGCGGGTGTATTTCTTGGTGAGCCGCCATGGCCAACACACGTGCGAGCAGTAGAAGATACAGGGTTTCGTCGGCTTCTTTCGCATCTGGGTCCTTGGCGACAGAATCTGTATCCTTGTCGCATACTGCTGGGTGGTAGAGTTTCTGGGCCTGCTCATAGCAATATTGGGTACAGAACACAGTATCGTAGCATTCTGGACAGTTGACGGCAGTCGACTCGCTCCCCAAAGGTGGGAGCTCTCCACTACAGGCATCACAGACCGATTCCTTTAGGCGGTTATTGGCCGTGACCAACGAGTACTCCACAAGTACATCTTCTCCCGGCGCAATATATTCCTTGGCAAATACGCCGAGTTGGTTACACGTCGGAATTATATCATACCCATCGGTACGGCTCGGACATCCGAGTAGTATGGGGAGTTGGGCTACTTCGACGGTACATTTCGGTGCTATCTCAGCCAATCCAGCGTTAAGAATGGCTAAAGATTCGTCTGAGAACCGATCCGGTTCATAGCTGTTCCAAGGATATACTTCTCTACGCACCATGCCCCAATCGGGAAGATCATTCGCGGTGGAGATGGGCTTGCGTATTCTACGCTCAGCAACTGTTTGTATATAGCTTCGCGTGTTTAGAAGCTCTTGGTTCTCTGGCGATACGGCAAGTCCACGCTCACAGAAGTTGTAAGCACTTTTAAGACAACCGCACAGAAGAAGGTTCAAGGATAAAATTTGATAACAGCGGATAGACGCCAGCCAAGCAAGCGCAGGGACATCCTTTTCGCCGCTATCTAATTCGGATAAACGAGACTGTGTTCCCGCCAAAGAGCCATGGTCCAAGACTTCTAGAAAGGGACCTTCCGCGTGATTTTCCAAGGCCTCGAACGCTTGGGTATGGTATTCAAAGCTATCATCGCGAACCTCATCGGTTAATAATAGAGCGCGGTAAGCGTCGCCGGCCGCTAAGTCGGGATAAGCTAAGTCAGAGTAAACCAATGCGCGTCTTAGGTATAGGACTAAGTCGTATGGATTGTCCAGTAGCTTATCAGTTAAGGATTGACGTTCGCGCAGAAGCGACTCGGTGCGAGGGTTGACCTCTTCCTCGGACTCGTCCATCACTCAAGCACCCGTTGGTGCTCCCTTATAGAAGAATCGATATGGGTTGTCGTAAAAAGGGGGGGCAAAGATCAGCAATGGTTGGGTGGGGGGATTGAACCGCACTTCTGATCAAGGGCACGTCATTTCTTAGTCGTTTAAAGATCCTGTTCGCACGTCTTCTTCTTCTTCTGTAATATGCCCTGTGATTTTTGGCGCGCGTTTTGGTTCCAGGTCTAGTTGCCGTCCTGCAGTTTCTCGGTTGCGATCGAACTACTCGGATCGATCTCTACCTAACCTAGGAGGTAGTAGAGAGGTAGTATTGTCGATCGATACGATGTTTGCTTTGTTTAATAAAGAAACTATTTTGGGAGATGGGAGTTGAATGGGGTCTAGGAGACTGTTAAGGTTAAAGAAATAAAAAATAAAAATATAAAAATCAATATTAAAAAAAAACTTTTTTTTTACCTTGCCCGAGGATGTTGAAATATTCTCATAAGCGCAAAAAGTTGTACAGGTCCGACAGACCCCTCCAAAATGTGTGCCCTAGGTTGAATGTGGCACGACCCTTGGGTGGAACAAATGTTGGAAAATCTGGATGGGACGATCAGCCCAGAAAGGACCCTTGGTGCTTCAAGGGTTCTAAATTCAGGGTCCACCGGGGGGGTTAACCAGCCTGCCAGTTAGTATGGACCTCGGGAGGTACCTAGGTAGTATTATATTATACCTCAAGCGGGGTCGGCCCTGCGGGGTTACGGGCATCATGCACCCAAAGCACCCAAATACAAATACTTACATTAAGTACATGGAAGTCGATATGTCCTTTATGATTTGAAAAAGCAATTCGAAGTGCTCTGATAAGATGTCAGTATAATGTTAAAATTTCTTAAAATCGGTCTGTATCAATTACTTTTTCATAGTTTAAATAGTATCTCAAAAATAAGTAGTCGATAGTTGAAAGAAAAGGCAAATATAATAGTTTTTTCTTCTCTTTCCGATCATTCCGATCATCTAAAAAGAAGATCACTTGTCAAAAAAGTATTTAAACTTTATGCTATATGATGTGATTTAAGCTACTGCGGAACCTTGCTGCAATGCAACTTTATAGTTCATGACATCGCTACTTCACTGCTACCGGGCTCCACACTCGCTATACTCTTTCGTCTTCTTATCGCGTGAGGCTCTAATATGCTAAAAGTCCTTATGGAAAAGTACCTACCTAACCTAAAGCAATTCTCAGAATAAGTTTTATAAGCTGGTTAGTAATTAACTGACTGACTTAAAAGTCAAATGCGCATTGTGTAGTGAGATTCTTCTAGCTAGTAGCGTCCCGATATGTGGTACGAACAAGGGATTATCAAGAAGGAAGTTTGAATAGATCGGGTAAGGGAAAGAAAAAGGAGGGGAAAGACCCAATAAAGGGGGGGTATATAAGATAATTCATTTCTTTTTCTCAAGTAAATTTCTAATGCGACGTGTAGTAGTATTGCCTACCAGTCATACCAGCCATTCCAGTCATTCCCCTGCAGCTTTTATTGCCCGTGAGTATCTTAAACCTTTTGGTATTGTACATGAGAGTCTAGAATTAGAAGTTTTATCATTGCTCACACAAAATGCAAATAGTTATAATAGTTAAACCAACAGGAATTTTTGCTGAACCATGAGAGCAGCTACAGCGATATTTATAACATACTCATCATAGAAATCAGATGTCTTGATACCATATCTAGAGCTGCCCTTAGTCAATAGTGTCAAGGGCATTTTGCCCAAAAGAAACCTAAACATCAAGTACCTTTGAGGGTTTACCTTAGATGTATGTGAGTACGTCTTGAATACAGACATATACAGACATATACACAATACAACGCGGATCATAAATCCAAACCTTCCGGAATGCAATACTACCCCCTTTATCCCCTTTATTGCTACGGACGCGATAGCCGACGATAAAATCCAAATGAAAGCGCCTAAGGTAGTCTTCTACAATGCTACCAATTAGGTATGCTCAACGTTGAACGTTTTCATATTCCTCTATCAAACCAATGGTAGGCTCTAGAACACACTTGAGAGTAATGTACACTATGTTGCAAAGGTCACGGGATGGTTACCGTAAACATCCAGTGGGTATGGGTATGATATGTGGCTGCTTTCTCTTCTCTAGTCGGATTTCTTGCTGGCTTCTCCCTCCTTTACCATGCCTTCACAACCCGTGGCCTGACCTAGCTTCTGCTCGGCTTTGCCGAACCCTTGCGACGGATCACGGTTCTCGCCGGCGGCCTTCATGGTGTCTATGGCGTGGGCCTTGGCTTGCTCTCCGGAGCTAGTCCAAGCTTGTGATCCTGTTACACTACCGATAGTAGACTGCTCGTTATTAGCGTATGTGGTAGAGATAAAATGACTTCGTCATTATAGACTTGAACTCACCTCTGTGGCACCCTTGATGTATTCGGCGTGGCCACCGACAAGAGAGGGCTGCTGGCTGTTGTTCTGTGAAGACATTATGTGTTTAGGTGGAGTAAGATAGCTAAGGCTTGCTTTCTATAATGCTTGACGACGAATGATTGATAGATACGAAGAGATATTACACCAAAATTCAAGATGTAATAGAGAACTTGGGTAAACAAAAGTTAAGGACAAAATACTGAAAGACACCATCTTTATATAATAATATATTTTTCACTCAGCCTCTACTCTGACCCAAGTTGGTGACGTCAGTGAATATATGACGCGATTGGGTTACACATCAGAATACCTATTTCATCTTCAAACTGTGGGGGCATTTAAGAATCTGGGGAAGATCTGGAAAGACTGTTAAGGACAGCAAAGGTCTTGGCATCGTAAATCCATGCAGCCAATCGAACCTTTCTAGCTGATCTAAAATGGAAGGTAAGATTATAAAAAGATCTTCTTCTATTCTAGAATATTAGTAAAAATCGAGGCAAATAACTGCTGGTATATTAAGCATGAACTATAATACGCATAGTTATACCAACATAATTACTGTATATTAGTATTGTGCAAGGTATACTTATGTGGAAATGGTTGCACTTATATACATGATCTAGTTTTATGTACATAATGTAATGCATTGCACTAATAACGGGAATTGGAATTGTTACACTTTTGTTGACCGTCATATCAAAAATATAGTCGATACTGCAGCGCCTTCCAAGCATCTAAATCCTAATGAGGGCCGGTACCTAACCAAACTTGAGCCCGGAGACTAGGTTTTCTAATCGTTCAATAGTGGATACAATCAATGTAACAACCCGTACGAGATATGAGTCACGTTACAGGGGTCATCTCGTACTGGCGGAGTTAGTACCAAGTAAGTAAGCTCGGGGATTACAGGTACCTTAGGTAAGTCTATATAACTGCTTCACCTATGTACTTTCCAAAACTCATCAATTTTTAACTTGGACATCAGAGCATCTTCCTTCTCTTTCTTCTCTTGGATCCCAAGCAAAAATTTGACAATCCATACCTGATACGTGGTAAATCGAAAACAATCAATATGACGACTTCGGTTGGGATTACGGCCCAGGGACTTGCGCCTCTCTTGCGTAGGTTAAACTTGCTAGCTGTATTTACAAGGACAATGCTAACAGCCATTGCAGCGGTTACGGGTAGCTTTGCTCTGCCATTCTCGGCGTACTTTACTTTCCTGAGCCTCCGGGTTGTATATCACCGTCTCAAGGACCAATGTTATATCGGAGACAATTCGTCTAAGAATAACGACCTGAACAACAAATTGTACTTGGCTAGCCGCTGCCACCAAAACTTCACCGAGAACGTACCGATAGCTCTTATCATCGCAGCATTTGCCGAGCTCAACGGCGCAAACCAGAAAACACTCAGCAACGCCCTTACCGCCCTCTTGACCTTTCGGGTTCTTCATGCGGAGCTGGGTCTCATCAATGGATTAGGCTTGGGTCGGCCCATCGGATATTGGGGCAGCATGGCTACGACTCTGTGGTTGGGTGGCTATACTGCGTATTTGGTGAAAGGATACTGGGGCTTCTGAGGGGCTGACTCTTAGAGGAACATTCATGAGGTCCTGGCATATGCACAAAGTACCTATAATAAGGTATACAAATATGTATATTCACTGCTTTTATTCTATTATAGATGAGGTATGTATATGTACCTAATAAATATAAAACAGATTCACGAGCGATTTCCTGTTGGTAAGCACCTTATATTTAAACTTTGCGGTTAGAGAGAATCATTGCGAGTACCTAGGTACCTAAGGTACCTTACCTTAGGTAGGTAAACAAACCAGGTACCTCCAACGTAACAGACTTGTACCTAAATAATAAGTCTTGGCAAACCCGATAAGATAAAACGGTTCTCTAGCGGTTCGCGAATCTACGCGCCAAACATCTTCGCTTTAGCGTTGTAATCAATTGCATTTTCGTTTCGTAGACATTATCGAATTTAGAAGACACCACCCGCCATCCTATCAAACTACCCTATGGCCGAGGAACCATTTATAGACGAAGAATATGCATCCGATGAAGATTCCGATTTTGCGCCCGATGCGGCTCCGTTAGATGTCGACCCCGAAGCTTCAGAATCCGAAGAAGACGAAGTCCAACTCATTGCGGTACCTAGCAAGAAACGTGCCGCCGTTCCCGATACCGATGTCGATGCCGATGCTAATGATGGATTCGAAAATTCCGGGGATGAAGCGATAATACAGAAGGGCAAGAAGAGACAAAAGAAAGAAAAGCGGAAAGATGGAGATGCCAAGGATGATGAAGGTGGTGAAGGCGGGCTCATCAAGACCCGGAGTATGCGAGCAGCAGAGAAAGTCGAAAAGCAGTCGCGCTCAACCACTGGCCCTGTAACGATTGACGTAGATGACTTATGGGCTAAAATGACCGCTGCCCCCTTAATACCCTCCAAGGCGGATGCGGATGCGGATGCGGATACGGGGAAAGAATCCCAAAAGACGGCTCAGGAAGAGGGGGCAGATGGACAACCTCGAGACACAAGAGACAAGGCGCAGAAAGACAGATACGGCGGAGAAGAGCCGGCGGCGATGATCAAGATAAAGCGTACCTACAACTTCGCTGGTAAGGTGCACACGGAGGAGAAGTTGGTACCTCGGGATTCGGCGGAAGCCAAGTTATACCTAGCATCACAAGATCCGAAGTCGGTCGAAGAAGTCGAAGCCGAGGACGGTAACGGTCAGCCTAGGCGGAAACCTCGAAAGGCGTTCCGGTCTATCTTCGAGCCCGTCATCGAGGGGCTGACGCAACGCGCGGACCTCAATCTCGGCATGGATGCAAGGCTGCGACTGCGCGAGCAGGCAAAGGCCAAGAAGCTGAACGTGGTCGAAAAGAGCCGTATGGATTGGGCTGGATTTGTCGACAAGGAGGGCATCAAGGACGAGCTCGAATTGGCTGGGAAGTCGAAAGACTCTTACGTCAACAGGCAAGACTTCTTGGCTCGCGTTGCGGCTAATCGGGACGAGGAAGCAAGGAGAGCGAGAATTGCTGGCCGTGTTTAAGCCGCATCTGATGGAGCATACAGGAGTATTAGGCGTATGGCGAACGATTCGTAATATCCGACGGGTTGATATCTTATCCTTGGGTTTTTACGTCCAATACAGTATACCACTTATTTAGCTAACGATGCTGCTACGGCGAGTTTATAACAAATAGCGGATGATATAAGATACCTGAGGTAGGTAGGTTTGACAGGTGAGTCTAGGTAACGGATTAATATGAACGAAGATGCAACTATTATATACCTATACCCTGATACCTATACACATCTAATTTACGGTAATTAAATGCATGTATTATGAACATGCATGTACCTAGGTACATATGTACTATGTATTTAAGGTACTGTACCTCTTGCTGCCCAGGTGCTCTGCTGCAGCACCGCCAAGGGGAAAGAGGTATCTAAGCCCCACCGTGACGAAGCTCAGGTCTGCCCCTCCACGCCAAGCTTTATCTTAGCTTTACATAGTACGTTTGCTTGTCAGCTTGTACACGAGACGAGATACATACCTTAATTCTTATTTCTTGGAGCCTTACTCATAATAGTAAACCATCCCAACATCGGACGTCTCTTAAATCCTACACAATAAATCTCACCAACACTAAAAAAAAAAAAACTCCAAAGGTTGGCGCCATGGCAGCTCACATAACCTCGCCCAACGAGCCCTTCCCACGGCCGGACCACATCGCACAGGCGACGACCTCGCACCGGCAAGGCGCCTTCGTGATCTCGACGCGGAAGCTGCCCATCTCCAAGGCAGGGCCCATCGAGGCCATGGAGCGCGACCTGGGCATCCCCGTGCCCGAAATGATCTTCGGCGACAACCTCGTGTCCGTGCGCCACGCGCCCTCCGGCTGGGCCGTCGAGTTCAACGCCCGCGACGCTCTCGACGCCGTCGACAAGACCGACCGCCACATGCTCCAGGTCGCCTACGCCAAGGACTGGTCCGCGAGCCGCGAGCAGACTAGCGCGGGGATTAAAGATGTGGTTAAGCCGTATGATTGGAGCTATAGCACTACGTACCGCGGCACCGTCATCCCGCCGTCGTCTCCGCCTCGAGCTCATCCTCCTCCCCCGTCACCACTACCACCACCACAAGCAGTGGCTCCGGCCACTTCCAGCAGCGAGGGTAACACGAGCGAGCGCTCCAATCCAAGCGACACGGAAACGGAAACGGAAACGGAACGAGGGGCGCGAAGTAGCAAGTTCGAGTTCGCGCCGACGGACAAGCCGATCCCGATCGAGCTGCTCAAGCGGCGGGACCCGATCCTGTTCTTCGACGAGGTGATGCTGTACGAGAGCGAGCTGGACGACAACGGCATCAGCGTGCTGAGCGTCAAGGTCCGCGTGCACGAGCGCCGCATGCTGCTGCTCGCGCGCCTCTTCATGCGCCTCGACAACGTCGTCGTGCGCATCCGCGACACCCGCGTCTACGTCGACTTCGCCGCCGAGGAGGTCACGCGGGAGTATACGGCTCGGGAGCTAGGGTTTGAGGATGTTAAGACGGTATGTTTTCTTTTCTTTTCGTTTCTTTTCTCTCTCTCTTTCTCTCCTTTTTCTTTTCTTCCCTTTGGATATGTCCTCAAGCGCGGACTAAGCACAAATACATCTCCACATATATCAACAAACCACAAACTTCAAGATTATCAAGATATACACACCATTATAAGAATCGTGGAAGAGCGCTAAACCAATCAAATTGGGGCGAACAATACTGTGCCGAGTTCGCATTTGGGATGGATAAATGATGAGATTGGAGAGGAGAAGAAGAAGAAGAAAAATTGCTGACTTGACGCCGTGTACTAGAAACTGCGCATGACGGGACTGGTCCCCGATGCCGTCACAATAGCCCTGCGCGACGCTAATAAGATTGCCGACTTGCTTCCTACGGTGGAACAGACTTTGGAACGTGTGTCGCTGAAATCATAGCCCGAGGACGAGTCTCTCGAATCTCGGGAACTTACCTATATGGACGGGGGGTCCTGTAAGAGTAACGAGTAGGTAGACTGGTTTACGAGTTCTACGAAATGCATGGCTTGGCGTTTGTGGAGTTGGACATGGCTAGAGAGAGAGAGAGAGAGAGCTGGGGCTTTCCGAAATATGACGTTCATAAGTGAATGTTCTGACACATTATTATAGGTTCGAAAAGGAGGAGGAAAGACATGGTATGAAATAAAATTATGATGCATAGCACATGCAGACGGAAACGGAAACGGAAACGGCTAGCTAGCAATGAACGAGATGTTGAGCTATCATTTCATTCAAGTAGTATGTGGCCTTTGTACCGTTTGGCTTTCCTAGCCCTGTCGTAGCGATAAAGCATAGCTGACTTATAAAACGCTAGCAAGTCAACGAAGGCCCGGTGTTAAGCATCATGGGTAATATATATCATAACCAGGCTGCCCTCAGCCCTCAGCCCTCAGCCCTTTTCCATACTCCCCGCCGAAATGGTAACGTACTTTGTTATAACTTAGCGACTGTCCTACGGAGAACTGGTCTCTGTCACCTCCTCGTAGTCAAGTTGCCACTTGTCCACCTCCTGAAACTTGCGTGCCGCGTTTTTGAGCTCCTCCTCTACTCTCGGGTCCATATTCCGACTACTCTCCTCTCCGTCTCGCTGTTCCCTATTGGCTTCGCCGTGATCCGTTTCCCCACCCTCGGACTCGCCTTGGTTCTCCTTGTCCGATGTCCGCCCATACGTGATTGTGGCACGTCTATTCGTGCCCTGAGTTTGTTTCGCTGTCTTACCGCGCGAAGCTGGACGTGCGCGCCCGGCATTTTGTTTTTTAGAGTGTCCCGCTCGAGAGCCCGGCCGCGCTGGCTGTCGTCGAGCTCGAACATCAAGGTAGGAGAGCTCGTCGTCGTCATCACCCAGGCCGGAGATGTCGACTTCTGCTTCCGAATCCTCGTCGTCGGCTCTAGCATGTCTACAGCGTCGACGCGGTAACAAGCTAGCTAATTCTAAAGTCGACAAGCTGGCTAAATCTGCAGTCGGTGCCTTAGGCTCCGACTTGGCGGCACCTTTGCGTTTGGCCTTTGCGGCCTGACGCGGTGGCGGAGAAGGTTTGCGGTAATTCGGAGAGTAAGTAAGGGAGGGCGGCGAGGAGATATCGGAGACATTGTCATTTGCAACTGGTGTCCTTTGGAGGGCCGAAACCGGCCGTCGAAAATGAGTTCGTGCAAGCGACTGGAGAGGTGGCCACACATCTGAGTCTCCGGAGGAGGAACCACTGCTCATGGGAGGTGCCATGAGCTCCTCGTCCATGATAGGTGTTGCAGGCCTACTGCTTTGCTGTCGAGGCGGAGGAGTAGAGGGAGGAGATGACAGTTCCGAATCCGATTGTTGCGGTCCGGGATCCTCGACGGGGTCCTCATCTTGAAGTGGGGATGATTTTGCGCGGCGCTCATGGCCTTTTGTAGATTTTCGCTTACGCGAATTTGAGGGCGGTAAATCCTGCGGCGATGCTGAGCCAGCTTCTATCCCTCCGGAACGCCTCTTAGAAGGTTTAAGTGGGGTTGATTCGGCCTCAGGGGCGAATCCATCTTCTTCGATTGCTTCTTCGTCTTCATCCTGGTCAGATTCGGGCTCGGACTCGGGCTCGGGCTCAGGCTCTAACGGCTGAGGACGTGGTTTTTGTGCAGTACCGAGAATACTAGGCTCGCGTACTCTCCTTTTAAACATGCCAATGTTAAATGTCGAGCTGAATGCAGGCGTGTTGGGACCGGCTCGGCTGCTAGGGCGAATATGACCATCCTCCCTGCTTAAAAAGCTTCCGGCGCGGGGCCGTCGTTTAAAAACGCTGGCTGACAGGATAGATGTCTCAGCTGATCGCTGGGCACTTGCTGGTCCTGCGGTGTCAAAAGTGGTATTCAAGTCATCAAAGGCTGAATCATCTAGGTCCAGTCCTGACATATCCCCTATTCTTCTCTGCTGCGGAGTCCCGGCTACTTTGCGCCCTAATTCAACCGATGGCTCTTCGTGCTCATCTGGCTCATCTGGCTGGTTGGTTGAAGTGGAAGTCATATTTTCTAGCCTATCCATGGCAGAGTCGCGTCGCTGTCGCGCGGCTTCTAATGCCTTTAACTGATGTGAAGATGTTGGTCGCGTGCGGGTAATAGTATCCGCATCGCGCATTGATTCACGTCTCTGCTTCGCCTTCTCCTTTTCCCGGTCACTCACATCGTATATATCAGAACTGCTCTCGGCTGTTTGTTTCGGTACCATGACATGCTCGGGGCTTGTGGCTTTTGCGACTATTCGAGTCGACGCGACGCGTGTTCTTTTAGGTCGCGGCATGTTTGATGAAAATTGAGGATTATTGTGTAATATGTAATTGGGCGAAAATGATATATTTAAAATCCGGTAGTCATGGAAGTAGAGAGAGATGGGTTATGAGGTATGAGGTATGAGGAAGATAGAGGGATATGAGATTTGAGTGGGGAGAAGGAAAGTTGTGGGCGCTGAAAGCTTGACGCGTTGAACCGTGTTAAGGTGGAGAGCTAAGAACCCCACAAAACGGGTACGAGGACCTAACGCCTAGGTTTAGGTACCTAGGTACAATACAATACGTACATCTCAAAATCCCACCTCGGCGGCAATATTTTCACGTGATACCCTTCAATTACACAACTCGACACATCAATATAACCCAATTCTCGATGACAATAAAATAAATCTATTGAATAAGCTAAGTATTTAATAATACTACTAGCTGGTAGATATGTTAAGAGCCACTCTCGGATAGTTACGGTAATAGATAGTAAACTCGAAAGGAAGCTCCGGTATGGATCTAATTTGGCAGATAACCCGTACCAGGAATTGACAATAGTTATGAAGGGTGTGGGCTTTTTCAAAGAGTCTCAAGTAAGACCCCCGGCATATACAGTAGAACTAATGATATGCAATATCTGTGGATCATCTAAAAAGGAACGCGCGTTATTGTCTACTATCTATATAAAGGGGCTAGGGGTATGGGATATCAGGGACAGATCTACCAGGATAGTAGTATATAAGGAGCACACAGCTTCCTCGAAGGTGCTTGAGGGGCAGGAACTAATAGATCACCAGTCTGCACACTTGCAACTCTCTCTCGTATTCACTCCACGTACGACATACATCACGGGACCTCTCTGGCAATAGGTACCTCTAACAAGTATCAGCATAAAATAGGGGAGTGCACACAGACTTTTAGTAGGCAATACATTGTGTTGATAAGTATGTTATGAGGTGTGTTGCTATGAAGAACTAAAACTACCTAGATACCCAGCCATGTATCGATTGATCGAATCTAGAAATATTGTTAGGGGAGGTCCCCATATCCATATCTAGCATTGCTATCTCTAGCCTGCCGGGCTGGGGAGCGGCTTGAACGGCGAGAACGATGGGAATGACGAGAATTGTGGGAATGGTGAGAGTGGTGGGGGTGGTGAGAATGACTAGATCCACGATGAGAGGAGCTTGACTCGGCCTGACCTGCGTAATATGAAGGACTATCCTGTGCGAGGTTGGCGGCTAGAGCCGCTCTCATATCGCCTGGGAAATTTCCACCGAAGCTAGCATTCTGCCCAGCTGCTTGCGAACTAGAACCAGGTTGACCCTCGTCAGCCTTACTTCCTGCGTTGCCTGTGCCTTTCGCGTTCTTTTTGAAGATGTGCTTCGCAATACACACTGCTCTCCCGCGCTACTGGCTCTTTACAGCTTATACATATTCCTTGCCTCTTCCTCTCCTGACGCATATCTCTTACGATTTGGCGCCTATGATCAGTGTGCTCTTCGCAAAGGACAGTGCTGCTGGGTCCCACCTGGTTATCACAGTGCCGGCATGTATTATTTCTTTTCTTTGTTCTCTCCGCTTCCTGGCGAATAGTATAGGTCTCTGTATATAGACCGTAGTGATAGGCACATAAGCTCTTGCTTTCAGGGCATAGCGACTCGCCACAATGTTTGCATCCTCCACTAGCTTTATGATCGATTTGCCGTTTTTTTTTCCTTGCACCACTTACACTTCTCCGGATCGGGGCATTGATGCTTTTGTGTGGAGTTTGGGTTCAAATTAGGCCAGCCTCCGCTAGACATGTTGAAGAGGGTTTGGTGTGGTAGTGGTTAAAGTTGGTAGAAAGCGATGGCGGTTTGCGATGCGACTAGACTTGGGGAAACCAGACTTGGGGATAGGAGATGCTTCGAACGGGAAGGTCCCTTGGGGAATATATAGTAAAGGCATGGTAGCCGTTCTACTTGCAGTTTAAGCTGTAAGATAGTGACTTTGCATTTGAACTCGTGAATTGACATGAATTCAGTGTCAGTATCAGCGTCAGTCAGTGAATTTCCGTTTTGGTATCCGAATATTTTAGTTGCATCATTCAGACTCATATATGATGGAAATGATAGCTAACATCACCTAGAACCTGCCTGAATATGGGACATCCTGACACTCTTGTCATCCTGATTCCTTGTATGTAAGTGTCGTCTTTGGGATAGGTACTGAAATTGACCCCCTTTCCCTCCTTAGTCGTCCTGGGGATGGTTGGACTCTGCGATAGCCGGCAAGTAAGTTAGTTATTTCACCTCTCCGGTAGTAGCCCATGATGGCCCGTGACTTGGTGCTCCTGTTTTATCACGCAGATATTTCTTTCACGATCTCCTGTTGCTTTACTCAGACATAATCAGGCACTACTCAGGGGGGTCGGCCGTAGCTTATTGACAGCTTGGCGATCACCTCAAAAACAAATCAACAACAATGTCAGGGATGAATACCTAATGTAGGTATAAAAGTGATAATTGAACACCTAACCTAGGTACCTACCTGTAATCTACTTCATGTATGGCCCTGACACTTACTCTGTATACGACATCCATCACGGGCATGAATATCTACTTGATAAATCCAAATCTTTGTGATATTCATATATCCTAATTTAACAACTAGACTAGGTACTCACTGATTTACTTTGTCATAAATCGTGCCAATTTTCTAGGTGTCATCTATAACGGGAGAATCAACATAGCCGTGACTACCTCCACCTCTCTAGGTACCTAACGTACCATCTCAACTTCCTTAAGTACCTGTTACATCCCGACATCATTTCCCTCCCCGCGCGAACAACCCCGGCGAGATGTAAAACGAATTCGACTGCTTTCCGCCGCTACCCTGCTTCAGACTCACCCAAGCGTGTATCCCCGTCCCCTGACCCAGCGGTCTCCGCTGCACCGCGCTGACCGCCTTCCCGTACCGCCTCCTGAAGACCGGCGGCGCCGACACCGCGGCCGCGTACCGCTCGACGCGCCCCTGTATCTCCCCGTCGTCCGCAGCGTACGCGCCCACGGGGAAATGCACCGTCCCGACCGGCCGCCCCGGCGCCGCGCTCGTGAACGCGAAGCACGAGAGCAGCGGCTTGCGCTCGTACGGCCCCAGCCGCCGCTCGCCTGCCATAGCCTCGCAGAACCGCTGGATCTCGTAGGGGTTGGCGTGCGGGCAGATGGCGGCGTGCTTCTGCGCGATGGCGGGCGCGGTCGACGCGGCCCCGTGCGAGATGTACACTTTCACGCGCGAGGTGCTCGCGTCGGGGGACAGGTCGAGCGAGAAGTATATGACGGACTCGCCGGGCTCCATGATGCTTTCGACGAGGCCCCACGATTCGGCTAGGCCCAGGCGTTCGAATGCGGTCCGGGTTGTGGCGATGGCGTTGGCCCGGCCGGGCGTGCAGCACGGGTTCAAGTAGACTTTCCACTCCCCGCCGTCTTTGCTCGATACGTAGCTGTACCACGCGGCGAAGAAGCCCTCCGACTGCGCGGGCAGGAATAAGTCCCGGAGGGCATGGAAGCGGTTCAAGGAGACCCGGTCCGCGAATTCGCTGGCTATCCGCTCTGATAGCGCCAGTGCCTCCGTCTGCATCTGCGCTAGATTCACGGGGGCGTCACCCCCTGATGGCTGGGCCTCGATGAGGAATCGCAACTCTGCTTCTCCGGTCTCTTGGTCTAGCGCTACTGAGTATTCGAAGGGCGAGTGGTCGTCGCTAACGCGAGAGCGCCACTGCGACGAGCTTAGGTCTCGAGGAACGGGTAGCTGGCCCCAGCCCCTTGTTGCCGTGTTCAAAGCTTTGCGCAGGAGCCCGTCTTCCGCGACGTCTTTATCAAGTGCCCTAGCTAGATGGGATAGCTGTCGCGTTGCTTCGCCTAGATACGTTGCCGTTGCCGTTGCCGTTGGGGTCTGATCCACGGGAACAGGCTTCATACCGGCTGAGAAATGTCGAAGTCGCATGTCTTTGCCTCTGGTGATTTTGATATTTGGTATGGAATGTCGTCTATTATGTAGTTCCTTGATAGCTGCGACCGTGTAGTTGATATGCTGGTCGGAGAGCACGTGTCGTGGCACGGCGAACCGGACTAAATTTGGTATCTTGGCCTGTAGCTCAGGGTTCTTCTTATCCCATTCCCAGCCGAATGGCCCGGCTTCCGCCGCGCGGATGCCGAAATCTTTAAGGAGCTCTAGCGTGAAGCCTACGGCAGGAAAGTCTCCCGCATATCTATCACAGCCGTGGAAGAACTCGTCCATGTCGAGAAAAACCGCGTGACCCCCAGGAGGTGAAAGAACCGAGAGGCCGCTGGCTTGGAGCTTCTGGGCAAAGGTCCGTACCTGATTGATACGGTTACGGAGATAAGGCTCTTTTGTGACTTCGTATAGGCCCATGACAGCTGCCATCATATCCCTGCCGCTCACTTAAGAGTTAAAAAAAAGGTTAGCTTTCCATATGCTTCTGATCCATTTTCTTTGGGCAGTATAACTTACTTCCTCCGTAAGAATCGTTGCCGTAGAACAGGATCTGTCGCTCTTTCAAGCGAAGCCCGATCGACTCGTACTTCTGGGCAAACAACCCCTTATCCCTGAAACTCAAGATGCCGCCCATATTCGAAAGGCCGTCCTTCTTCAAACTAAGAGTAAATCCGTCAACGTACGAAAACATCTCATGAACAATCTGGGGAATCGTTTGTTCCGAGTATCCGGGTTCAAATTCGCGAATAAACCACGCGTTTTCGGCGAAGCGGCAGGCATCGAAGAAAAGGGGTATCGATCTCCGCCTCGCCAGCTCGGCGGCCGCGCGGATATTGGACATCGATACGGGCTGCGCGGCGGCCCAGTTATTGGTAATCGTAATCAATATCATGCGGACCTGTTGCGGTTCTGGATGTCGATCTAGAAAGGCCTCGGTCGCCGCAATATCTAGGTTCCCTTTGAAGGGGTTGGATTTTCCAATGAGCTCCTCGGGGAACGGATCAGTCAGCCCAGGCTGCGTAAAGGTCTCGAGGGAGAATCCCGCGGTGCTGGCATTGGCTTGCGTAGTGTCAAAGAACCCGTTGCTTATTATTACCCCCTTCGACACGGGCGAGTTGTTTCCGCTTTGCTCTGCTATCACTTCACTAAGTGTAGAGAAGAGCAGAAACTCGGCACAGCGCCCTTGTGGGACGATGAAAAAATTAGGACTCTCAAGTTGACGAGACCCGCCGTTGACGAAGCCACCTTCGTGGAACTTCAAGAACGTGCTCTTGTATAGTTCACTGTCGGCCATTCCAGTCAAGATGTTGTGGGATGCATATTGTCGGCTATTGCCTCTCTCGAAGATGTCTCGGCATGTCTCGAGAAGACAGTAGTATCCCCAGTTGCGACCATAACTTTCATCACCTCTTATCACTAGAATACAAGTTAGGGAACTGGTATATAACGCCAAGCCCAGAAGGACTTTTAAGGAGGTAGAATGTTTTTTTCTTTCATATATTCGATTTGTAAAACTTGGAGTAAATCTATGAATTCTTTCTTACATGCGGACCATTGTATGTCTGTCATCGCAGAGGTGCCCGAATCCGAAAGGTAATCGCAAGTGACAAGGCCGGCAGGGAAAGCGAATATATTGTATTCGACATCCTCTAGGATCTTCTCACGCTCATGTGCCGTAGTCTTCGGAAGATACCTGACAACGAGCGCCTGGTGGGACGGCAGCTGTAGGAAGTAGTCTGAGCTAGGCGAAGAGGAGGTAGCCATTGTTTACGGCTTGGATAATACCTATTACTAACCTATTACTAGTGGTGTCTATAAAAGTTCTACGATGCACCGCTCCGGGGATTACTGTGCCTTTATTAAGGAAATGGCAAGTATTAATTAAGGACATTCCCGAAATACGTACTTCCACATAGGCGTAATTCTTAATTACCTATTTCGAGCTATTTTTTTTTCACATGTTGATAGCATTTCACAAAGTTCCACAACTTGGGTACCTTTTCAAGAAAGCCGACACTGGTCAAAATAACCTCTCATTGGCAGCCAAAGTTTGGTACGCTAGTCTCCCGACCTGTACCTATTTACAGACCGCTTCCTTGCCTAAGGCGTAGCACTCCCTTAGGATGCGGTTGTTGAATATATGCAGACAGCCCTAAAACGTAAAACAGGTAGTTGAAAGGAGCGATAGAACTATGATTTTGTGAGCTAGCTGTTATATTTTGGGAGAAAGGCCTGGTGTTTTGCCGACGTAAGGAAACGTGACCGGTACGTAAATATATCAAAGTAAGCGGCTTAACCCATTACTGGTGAAATGGCGCCGCCAAGGGATGCATGTCATAGATGCTTCTCACGAGTACTACGTCAGCTATTCAGCTAGACATTGTCCGTGGTTAGCGAGGCCTTAGAGACAGCTTCATGCCGCGACGAGGAACTCTAACTTGCCTTAGGTACCTACCCAAAATAGGTTCGGGCTTTAGGGGCCGCATCTATCTACTGACGTGTGACTTTGTTATACCATGTGCCTGATGTCTCACCTAAGAACCTAGAACGTCCGTGGACGCCACGTTTGAAGTAGCGCGTCTACTTTTACCGTATTTATACGTCGATACGCACGGCTGAGTATAGAAAGGAATACCTTACCTGAAGGATTTCGCAGCTTTTCAATAGCTCAATCACCGACCTTTCATCATGACTGGTTAAGCTAAGGGCTGCGTAACACTACCAGGTCCATATCCATCTTGTGAAGGATCATATCTAAGTTACGACGTCGTACAAGCAAGGCGACTTAGATGTATCGGAATGTCTCGGTTGGTGGAGGAAACAAGGAGTGTGACAGGCACCGTAATACAGATCTTTGAGCCGATCAGCCTAGCCGCCGATAAATCGCCGATGTTTGTGAGATCAGCTCAGTCCTGCATGTCTTCAGGTTCCACCGGAGCCAACAGTCTCAGGCTGACTTACCTTAACCACCCTGTTGATACATTGGCTGTATACCACCCTTATACGGTACCTAGGTATTTTATGTTGTGGTTTACTACCTAAATGCGCCAAGAAATACCTAACCACACAACCAAGAGGCTTACGCTAGATACCTACTATCAGAAAGAGGTTATATTGATGACAGGCATTCTTGATGATCTGATTAATTGAGCTGAGGCTATGACTAGCAACGTGGCCTATTTTCATGTTACACTACCGCTTTAGGTAGGTAGGTACCTAACGTATTACTTGATTGGAATTCCTTGATTTGCATAAGCTATTGCGAGAAGGAGCGTGTACAAGCTAATGAATGAAGGGGGATGGATGAACGAGGCCAATCCTAACGGACCTCTCTATTTGGCTTGAGTTTTCCCCATCAAGAATCCGCAAGAATCATGCTGACTAGTTGCTCAGCCATGGCATATAGCGTGGCTTGCGGATGCCCACCCAGGGGTACCGGGATGATACTTGCATCGGCAATCCTAAGCCCGTTAACGCCTAGGACTTTGCCTTCCCCATCAACCACTTTACCCATGGCCGCCGTACCGCCGGAATGTTGGTGCTGCTCTCCAGTCAGTTGGAGTCTTTCCAATATTGCTTCGTCACTTGTATCGACAGTAAGCGGAGTTAACCCTTCCAGACCTTCCTTAATAGGTGGTGATTCGCCCACGACGATTGGTTTCATACTTTCAGTTGCCGTCATGACTTTGATAGTTGTACGGACGGCTTGAATAAGACTATCGCGATCTAGCTGGGTTGAGAGATAATTTGGTCTTACGGACGGGAGGTCTGTGGGCGAGTTGGACCTAATTGTAACCTTACCACGGGATGTTGGAAGTAGCAGCATAGTTGAAGTGGAAATATGAGTGCCATCAATGGGAATACCAGGAATGCCTGGCACAACGTACGCATCAAAGACCTCGTAGACGTTGCGTTTCCCCCAGCCAGGTTTAGCCTCATGCTGGTTCTTGGCGAGAATTTCCTCTGGAAGGGACTGGTTAGCAACCCAGTCCCACGGAAGGCCTTTTAGGAACGCAGGGTTCTGGAAACCAGCGCTTCCAAAAGCATAGCCAAGTGAAGGGTTGCGCAGACGATATGCCAGATGGATAGCATAGTGATCATGGAGGTTTTCACCGACATGTGGAGATTCGTGTAGTAGAGGAATACCGTGTTGAGCAAGGTCGGCTGATGGGCCGATGCCTGATAGCATAAGAATTTTGGGAGTCTGATAAGAGCCAGCAGAGATGATAACCTGCTTCCGCGCAGAGACTTTGCGGCCGTCAACCAGTTCCACGCCGGTAGCCTTCTTGGTGTCATCGAAGATGATTCTATACACCGGGGTATCGGTAAAGACCTTGACGTTGTCGAGTGGGTAAACAACGTTGGATGGCTGCCGCGCGCCGTTTCTGTCACAATTTTCGTGCATTTCATTCAAACCGCCACTGGCGCCATTCTTCCTGTCTATGTTATGGGGGACGTCAAGCTCGGCCCACGAGTTCTTGATAGTCTCTCGAAGAGGGTATTTGCGTTGTCCCCCCTCAGCTGCGGAAACTGCGGTAACGTGCATTGGCCCATCGAAGCCATGTTCTTGAGGGTCTGCACCAGAGTCGTAGAAGTTCTCGGACTTTACGAACCAAGGCTTGAGGCCTTCGTAACTCCAGCGCTTATCTCCGACTACTTCGGCCCATTCATCGTAGTCGGCAGCATCTCCACGGAGCCAACCTCCGTAGTTAATGACAGTGCCTCCGCCTAGACCCTTGCCGGAGCTGAGATGGTGCACACGATCAGCTGTAGTGGGCACAGGCTCGGTGGGATAAGTATAATCGAACTCGCCGCCTTGAAGAGTTAAACCACTTAAGAAGAACTGGACAGCGGGGTTATTCTTTGGATCGGGACCTGCCTCTAGCAGAATGACATCCTTGCCGCTCTGACTGAGACGTGAGGCTATGACACATCCAGAAAGCCCACCGCCGACGACAACGTAATCGGTAATCAGGTTGGCCATGACGGAAGGATAGTTTAGGGGTACCCAGGTAGGTAGGTAGGAGGTAGGTATCTAATATTTTTTTTATAGTTGGTAAAATTGGCTATGGATGAGAAGATGCAAACGGGATGAAATAGGAAGTAGCAAAATAGTTAAAACAACAAGGGAGACGGACTTTTCTTCTTATATCCGTCCTTTGTGATATGTGCGTAATATGTAATAGGTTGGTACCTTTTCTAGGTACTTTAGGTAACCTTAGGTGCTACCGTAAAGGTAACCAACTAACCCAAGGTAATAAGGCAAGTAGCACAATGTATTGTACAATGTTTGTCAAATTCCTACTCGTGCAGTTATGCATTTGTGTGTAACACAGTATATCTAAGAACCAGTGCTAGCCAGGTGAGCAGAAGTTACTTCCAAGGCTCGAGGATGCTTTCACACATGCAATGCAGGTGGTAAGATGTATGTTTTACACAAAATTATACAAGGTATATAAAACACCTACCTCTACCTCCTAATGTACGCAATCTGTACCATAGTCTTCCGGCACGTAAAGTGCTTACCTGACTAGGAGGACTTCAACAATATATATAAGCGTAAGGTAACCTAACGCATCTATACTAGCTTAGCTTACTTCTACCGACGCCTCAGTTTCCAATAAGAAGCCATCCACAAATCAAAAAATGGAGGATCCTATAATTAACTCCAACTCATCCTGTCAGCATGAAATGCGCTTGTGAACTATTAAAGCAAGTAAGATACATTCCTTGTCCAACCATAGAGCTTCATCGGCGTCCGTAGATGATGCCCAGATGTGAAGCGAAGTCCCTCTCCCAACCAAACAAAAAGAAAAAGGAAAAAAAGGAGTCCGTTGTGAGATCTCTGCATCTCTCATCCCAGGTACTCTTGTCTTCATATACAGTTTAGCCCTCCTCGTGCATCTTCATTATTCAACTGTCCTACTAAAGACCTCCTACCAAGGTAGGTACTTAAGGTCAGGTTAGGTACCTAGATAGCCAGCATGATTGGCCCCTACAGCGAAGAATTGATGATAGGTCTGAGCGTTGGTTGCATCGTCTTGCCTACCATATTTTTCGCATTAAGACTATGGGCACGAAGGTTGAAGCACAAGAGGTTATCTGCAGATGACTGGTTGTGCTTATTGGGGCTACTTGTTGCATATGCTTGTTGCGCTTTACAGCTATACGGTAAGTCGTTGGTAATACCTACCTGACCTACCTAATCTTTTATGCGCATCTCGAACTCCATAACTAAGAATATTATAGCCACTGTTGATGGGCAACTAGGTAAGCATCAGGTACTTGGACCGGACGGCCAGCCTATCCTAGATGATCCAGGCTTCCTAGTATACGAGAAGGTAAGTAGCGGGATAGACTATAACGCTTTACTGGTACACATACTTACCTAGGTAACTAACTATACTCTTCAAGACTAAACTCGCCGTTAATGTTATAAGTCCTGTTGGTTTCGGTCTTGTAAAAGCATCCGTTATTGTCCTTTACAATGGAATCTTCCGCAATATTCGCCTTTTCCGATGGACCGCCTACGTTATGCTTGCACTGCTCTGTGCATGGTCTATTTCCTTCTTCTTCGCCAATCTATTCATGTAGGTCAACGTTCTCTGAACCCATTTTATAGAAAAAGCCCTCACTGACTCTCGTTATAGATGTTACCCCGTCACTCCGTTGATTGAGCCGTTTTATAACAATAAATGCGTCAACGAACAAGCTCTGTTCCTCTCTACCCTTGTTACCGATTTGATATTTGATATTCTGATCCTGGCGATGCCAGTTCCCGTTGTGTTAGGATTACATCTACCTCTAAGGGACAGGCTCGGGGTGCTTGGAATGTTCCTGTTGGGTGCCATGTAAGTTTTCAACTTAGCAATATACTAAAGAATCGCCAGATGCTAATAAGTCGTTTTAGTGTTGTTGCTGTCAGCATTGCTCGGCTCGTCCAGTCATTAGAAGTCAATGCATTATATCGTATTTATACCTATGATATGACATGTACGTACTGAACCAATGAGACCATAGTGCAACGTACGATTGCTAAAGCATCTCTATAATTAGACCTCACATCGCCTGTCTTCTTCTGGGCCAACATCGAATTGTCCATTGCAGTGGTATCAGCTTGCCTTCCAACGCTGAAGCCGGTGTTGGTTTACTTCTTTCCTCCCGCCCCAGCGAAGACGCAAACAACATCAACCAGTTACGCCAAGATCACCGATCCAGAAGCATCGCGTCACTCAAGCAAATACTTCGCCGAAGCAGGCAGCAATTCTATACCATTACATCCTGTTTCCCACCTCGGGAAAGACGAAGATCCGTATTTCCCGGGCCGAAATTCTCAATTCTGACTTACAGATTGGTTGGGGGCTATGTTAGATAGATGTAGGGTATCATATTAGGTACAATCATAGAGACAAGATATCATAGAGACAAGATAAATCAGCTGTAGCTAGGATTTGAATTAAGTCATAGCCTAGCATAGGTCTATGCCACCTTCTAGGTATATAATAGTATATAGGTAATCCTAGCTCAAAGGAAGCTGTCGATCGAGTATGACAAATCTGGGAAGCAAGGGAGCTAAGGGAGGGCAAATGGGGCTGAAAAGTCTTTGAGGGAGACGTTTTTTTTTGTATCCTTGAATTCCTAGGGCTTAGTTCCCTGTACCATATTAGTGGTAAAATCTAGTTTGGCTAGAACGGATAGCTCGTATAGTTTGAATTTGTCATTCCCTTTGTGTCTTATTAAAGGCGGCGTGGAGCTTAGCTGATATTATTGCTTATTTTTCCAACACCAACCCGCCTCAGCTGCATCTGATATCCATTATGTCCGTAGCTTACGGACCCGCATTAGGTTAGGCGATCTATTTGATTCATTATATTTAGTACAATGTGATCGTTGTACGAGTTGGTGATGTGACAGAGGTCATCGCAGTATGCACAATAAACCAACCTATAACCAACCGCTACACGCAGGATTTATGTACCATCGGCCAACGCATATTATCAGACAAGTATCATCAGACATACCTTCAAACAATATTCTTCAAAGCTATCACGTTTTCTAACTGTCGGGAAAAAATAATAAATTAATAAATCATGAAGCTTTCTACTCCTCTCTTATGGGGGTTTCTGACCGGGTTGCCATTAGTCCTTGCGGGCGCTAACTGTAACTCACTTGCTCAACGTTTGCGGGTCGAATTATCACCTCATCTGTCGGGCGAGAATCTCATATCCGCGACAGCACCGCCACGTTGGAGCGACTTTGAAGCGCCGGACCCGGGTGCTGTTGTCAATGTTGCGACTGAATCCGACGTTGTAGCTACGGTATGCACAATTCCTTATTCCCGCTCAATTGTCCCAAGCACAATGTCGGATTTTACGGCTGGAAGATGCACTTACACGCACTGACACTACTTATCACACGGCATATAGGTCAAGTATTGCGCAGAACGCAACATCCCCTTTTTAGCTCAGAACGGAGGTAATGGATGGGCCACGACCTTCCACCTGGACAAAACTGGCGTAATCATCAACCTAGCCGGTCTAAACGAAGTCACGTTTAACGCCGATAAGACCCAAGCGACTATCGGCGGTGGCTCCAACGTCAGCAACACTATCGACCATGCTTACGCCGCCGGAGCCCTGGTCGTGACGGGGAATTGTAATTGTGTCGGCACGCTCGGTGCTCTGTTGGGCGGCGGCTACGGCAATCTCGTAGGGAAATACTCCCTCGGAGTCGACAATATTCTCTCGCTTCGCGTCGTGACCGCCGACGGCCTGCTTCGCAACGTGACGGCTACCTCGGACCCGGATCTTTTCTGGGCGCTCCGAGGCGCCGGGCCTAACTTCGGCATCGTCACCTCCGTTACTGTAAAGTCGTATCCTGCCTCGGAGGAGGAAATGCAGGCCTGGACAGGCAGCTTGGTATATGGCGAACACCAGCTTGAGGATGTCGTCCAGGCCATCCAAGACCTCGTGCTTACTCCGGATATGGTCATATTCCTGTATCTACTCGCAGATCCGACTACCGGCAGCCCAGCCGTAATCGCGGCGCCCTTCTTCTACGGCGGCAACGCGACAACGGGCAAAGCCGCCTACAGCAGCCTCTACGCCATCGGGCCCGTCGCGGATTCCACCAGCGTCAAGCCGTACAACCGCTGGAACGAGGGGTCGGACGGGCTGTGCACGCGCGGCTCGTTCAAGCCCGGGTGGGCCGCGGGGTTCCAGGACATGGTGCCCGCGACGTGGCGCGGGATCTGGGACGCCTACGTCGCCTTCCAGAAGCTGCCCGGGGCCGCCAACAGCGGCGTGCTCCTCGAGGCGTATCCCCTCGGCAAGGCGCGGTCCGTGGCTTCCGGCTCGTCGGCCTTCCCGAACCGAAACGTCAATCTCAACGCGTTTGCTATCCCTTGGTACAACGACTCGTCCTTGGATGCCCAGGCGGCCGAGTTTGGGAATACGGCGCGCGACTTGTTACGGTCTACGAGCGGCCTGTCGCGGCCCCAGACGTGCGTATTTTACCACCACCCCCGAATTGCTTATTTAGGTACCTTTTACTGTGCCGCCTACTGACTTTGACTTAGTTATGTAAATTTCGGCTACGGCGACGAGGATCTTGATGTGATATATGGCAGCAGTCTTGCTAGACTGCGGGACATCAAGAAGAAATACGATCCCAACAATGTGTTTAACCAGTGGTTTAATATATTGTGAAATATTATTGTAGGTACCTACCTTAGGTACATACTTCTTAATTCATAACTCAAACGATGATAGGGATGGAAATAATTATACAAAGAATTATGTACCTAATGTATTTAATTGTCAATATGTAATAGAGTTACTTTATGCTAGGTATCAAATCAATACGGCAAGGAAACTAATAGTCTAAGTCGGTTTAATGCGCGTGTATGTATACCTCTAGTTCCCCCCCTTTTCCGCCACATTCACAATCCAGTCGATGGTTTCCTGTGGTTTGGTGAAATTAGGACAATGGCCAGCTTGTAGAGACGTGACGTCGACTTTATTCCCGGTCTCCTTTTCGATGAACTCGATCCACTCTCTCTGGTACTTCGGCAGAAGAAGGGCGTCTTCTTCGCACAATAAGTACGATACCGGCACGTCCTTGTAGCCTGCATGAGTCAATTCGGTGGCAAAGCTGGCAGACGAGTGAGTCTGGAGTCTTGCGACTAGAGCTTCTCTTTCCTTCACGTCGGGAAGGTCTGAGATTATCAATGGGGCTGCCGCACTTATGTCGACATAGTCCATCCAGCCTTGTTCCTAGTGTGAAGTTGTTATGTTAGACGGCGTATGCGCAAATAGCAGAGACGTGTGTATATATTGCATGTATGAAAGAGAAAGAAGAGGGACTAACATCAGTCTTATACTCGATGTGGTTTGCGGGTGGTAATTCTGCTAAAAGACTCTGAGCAGAGCGTCCCACAGGCGGTACTAAGGCGGTCATGTATGCAAGCCTGATGACTCCGCCCGGTTTCCCTTGACTCTGTCTCTCTTTCTTCGTGAGTCCCTTGGTGCTCTCGGAGGCTGGAACACCTCCGTAAGAGTGAGAGACTAGGACAACTACGGACAGCACTTAATGTCAGCATTTATCTTTTCATACCTTGATCCAAGTACCTAACCTAACCTAGGTGTAGGTACAAGTTTAGGTTTTTTCAGGTTGTCTATATAATTCTCACCTTCTTTCCCCTCGTCCGCGAGTTTGGATATCTCGTTAGCAACGAGAGCAGCATCGTCATACATGGTCGGCAGCTTTTCTGGTCTTGGCCCGCCCCTAAAGGCGACGCTCGGGTGATGCAGGGCTTTTATATCATAACCCTTTGCTTGAACGGCGTCGACGATATCATCGTATACTTCGGCCGGCGCGAACGAGCCACCGACGATTAATATAGTAGGCTTGGACATTGTTGTAAGTTATAGGACGAATTTACCGTTTAGGTTTCGGACATCTGTTTTAGGGTTTTTTATTAAGAATTATGTTTTAAGTATCGTATACTAGAGGTAGGTTCCTAGGAGGTAGTTATATATAATAACTGTTACGCAACTTCTAGATATAAATCCATGTAATCATTTACATTAATTACATCTTTAACTCCACACATGTAATATGACCAGACTCTCCGGGTTGTTCTGTGCCCGAAAAGTCGCTCGAAGTGTTTAAAAGCCAATACGATGGATACCAATTAGGCCGAATATTGTCAAATCGGAAAGATATATCCTCCGGAATCTTGCCCAGATGCGTTGATATCACGTCGACATCTCTTGGAACAAAGCAGGTCCCCATAATGCTTACAAATGGAAGTATTTCAAAGACTTCAACTTATAGCAACTATAACCGCACAGCCAAAATAGGATAACCGCATAACCAATCTATTTTGCACGTGACTACCTCTTCCTACTAGACATTAAACTTGGCATTAAACTTGGCGTTGAAGGATGGGTAATTTGATGTTGTATTAGTAAACGTTTTCAAGTACCTTTACCTAGACGGCCTCGCCTAGCAAAACTTACATCCCTGTAATAGGTATCCACTGCTTTAAGAGGTACTATGTACGTGGTAACCAATCACAGCCTCCGTAAAATCTAAAAATAGAAGGTTACGAGCTAGTCTCGACTCTTAACTGCAATTGGTATGAGCCTCAAGCACACGAGAAAAATAAAATAAAATAATTTACACGGAAGGGGAAAAAGATAGAATGGTCCCAGGCGGGCTCGAACCGCCGGCCTTCGCATGGACTAGATACTGTCGTCGGATCACGATCAGTATTAGTACGACGCTCTAACCAACTGAGCTATGGGACCTGTGATGGGAGGTGTCACACGGCTACGTTGCCAAGGACTGTTGGACAACCAACAGCAGTATCAGGGTGTCGTTAGAAAAGGCTATTAGATAACATGTATCAACCGGAGATGCAAGTCTCAGCCAGATGACCAACATCGGAGTTGGCTCGGCGCTTAGGCTGTAAAATACGTATGTCAGATTGTTTACAAATAGTCTTGAGTCTCGCACCTCGAAGAAGAGGGAGGAGACCAAGGCCCTTGAGACTATTAGAAAATTATTATTGAATTGGATACTCTATTCCAAGCCCTTATTCCAAGCCCTTGTCACAGGAGGTTCAAATAAAACCATGCACTTTGCGGGTTAGAATATCGAGGTCAAGTTAATTTTGCTGCAAACTCTGCTTCCACTCGAGTACTTTAATGCACGAAATATTCTAAATATTTCTCTACCAGGCAAGAACAGTGTTACGAAGGTACCTGTTATACCTCTATGAAATGGCTATCCTCACTTCGATTTATCGCTTTTAACGGGTGTGTTCGGAATCTCTGTTTCAATTGGGTCAGCCCACCTGACAGTTTTAGAACCCTCTCTTCCAGGCTGATCTTTGGCGCTGCCATTCTGATTCTCCGTGTTACTTCCACTGGAACTCTTGTCTATCTTCTTGCCGGTCGGTGTTAGGTCTCTTGCGATTAAGTAGTATATAGCAAGATTTAGGGCGCTATCGAGATCACTATCGTTGGAAGACATCTTGGGATTGTTGACAGTTGTTGCGGTTCTTGCTGTGGTTGCTTGCTGCTTCGGTAGCTGTGTGGGGGGATTTGGCTTGTGTGGTAAGTAAAAAGAAAAGTCGTCGAGATGTCGAAGAGAGGTTAAAACTGGAGGAGGATATCCAGGAGTTTATATAATCCTGTATAAAACTCTACCTGCGTACAGAGTCTCACGTTGTCTCGTTGAGTGTACTTGACAAAAGAATGTAACCCATGTGGATAGATGCCTCATTTTGATGACTCCATAAAACAGAGAATAAATACCGAGTGCAACCGTTGTTTGACTCAGAAGAAATAAAAGGAAATAGTGTTGATGTAGATTGTGTAGGCTTGTCATGACGATTCTAGCCTCATCAAGTATCCTTAGGTACCTTACTTATTCTAAGGATGAATTTGATGATAAATATAGCAAACTACCGTGGTTGATGATTCACTTTCACTGAATCCTGTTGATTCAACACATAGTTGCAAGTACGTAGAACTAAATTCGAAAATGATTCTGTCTTTCCGCAGCGGATTCTAGACTCAAGTTTCGAATGTCTATGGCCTTCCCCAGTAGACTCTAAAATATCGATTGTTCTAGATATCCTATCATGAAACAATAATAGCCAATACATTCTATGATATGTTTGCTATAATCCTCAAGTAATTAGCCACCGTTAATCTCTCGACGTCAATGTTTCATGAAACATACGCTGAGTTATATCGTCGAGATCCCTAGAAGAAACCATGATTAAGAATCCGACCATAATTGCCTAGCTCAATAATATCCTCTCCGTTTCCACGATCAAGAACAAGTACAGTTACTGCATTTCACTATGTCGGACCCTAGTCAATTTAGTAGAGAAGAAATTGAAAGCACCATCAAGTCGTTCTAACGATGTCTCTCAATTCGTCCCGATTAGCAGGAATCGATTGTGCAAGGGTAGGCTCTATAACCAACTGCAAGTTTGATAATGCTTCAGGGCCAGATGAGAGCCAAATATAAGAGGATGGCACAGAAAAGGACACGAATAGCTACCCGTAAAGCCCTGCATTCACCATATGTCAAACATCGACGCTTGTTTTCGGAAACAGGGGAAACGAAGATAGCTGGCGACAGGGCTCAAGCTGGTAAGCCACTGCTAACCAATTTGCCTTTGTGCCCATGTACGATACCGACTTGCTGGCTAAGGCGATGGTCGCCTTGACACGATCATTCTTGTCGAATTGGAGTAGGTCTAAATCGGCCCCGATTAGGCCCATGATACTGAAGACCATGTCTACGGGACGAGATGAAGTACGCATTAAAGCGCAGAACCATATCATCTGCATCTTCATATCTTTTTCAATAAAAGAATGCGTATTCTGCTGAACTACAGCCCCGTAAAGCGCGGAAATAGGCGCCCGTTTGCGACCAAAGATGCGACCCGCTATAACTACAAGAGAGCGCAGCAGAACACACATGGTAGAGGACGTCGAGACTGGTCGGGTCACCGGTCTCGGTGCCCTTGACGTTGAAAGTACCAAGCTCTTCAACCCAGTACGAGGGGCTGGAAGGATCAGTAACTAGCGGGTTCCCTCTCCAGATGTAGGAGACGGCGACGTATCTATCGCTGGTTAAGCTAGAGGGATATTCGTATATATCGAGTCGACGGTCATTCAAAAAAGCGTTCATATCAATGAGCCGATGACGAAATACGGTAGCAACAGAGCTTAAGTCGACAGTGCTGTCTCTAAGACTGGAAAATGAAACATAAAAGATGAGCTTCGAGTTTGGGATCGAACTCGAGGAGTCGGAAGCTTTGTCTGAAGACAACCCCATCTTTGGAGAAATTCCCCCGATGGAGTTTCATGAAGCTATATTTATGGTTTATATGAAAATGTAAGCTTTGCTCCAAAGGATGTTTACCTTGTTACGACTTATTATCTTCCAGGCGACCTTAGACCAGACCAGACCAGACCAGACCAGATACATGGGCCGATCTATTGAAGAGCCTCTTTGGGTACAATAGCTGCCCAAACCAATCACACGCGCAAATCTTTAGCCACCTGCCTGCGACCTATCGACCATTCATCCTCCAGAGCTGAATAGCAGGTATTCAAAGTGGGGTACAGCTGAAAACCCATCTCCCCGTCAATACTGCCCAAAACAGAGCGTAGAACTATGGCTAACAGTGCACGACAGCCGATTATTGTTTCGAAAAAATGCAGTCTAGAGTATTTAAGCCCTCGGTATGGTTGAATTTCAACCACGATGGATACCCTTTGGTCCCCTTTGAACAGTATTTGGAGGTTAGAAACCAACATCCTACCCCGAATCAGGATGAGTCCGCTGAGATGGGCGTATCGAATACGGCTGCACAAATGCAAAGCTTATTGACATTTGGCCTTATAGAGGGAGTTGTGGAGAAACATGTTCCCGAATGCGCATTGACGAGAAAGACCTCAAATGGTGGCACCGTCATCACGAAGGATGGCTTGGGCCACATAATCAAGGATTGGGCCCGACGGATTTGCAAGAACAAAGATAATTACACACCCTGGCTCGAAAGAGCGCATACCACACTTAAGCGCGCAAATTCGCTGTTGGCAGGGCTGGTGAGCTTACAATTCCGGTGCTTTGAGCCCCTTGGAGATGATGCGCCATCTACCGTTTGCCTCATTGCTATGATTGGTGAAGCATTGGCGAATGCAAAGAGAGCATTTAAACAGAGCCCACCTCGAGAAGGCTTCGCTTGGGGGATGGTTTTGACTCCCCACTACCATAGCTTGTTAGAGGAAGATATGCTTGCTCAGGGGTGGTGCCCTTCTGTCATCAGCTATCTTACCAGCACTGTATCCGTTTCGTCGCTGGAGTATGCAGTCTCGTGCGGACCGATGAATGATGGAAAGGATCATCAACATTGCTCCCCACAGTCATGTGCTACATATGTAGTGGATACTACAACATATGCTGCTCAGCATACATCCACTTGTCGGTCCTTGCTGGGGCGACTTCGAGATACATGCTATAATATTTCAGTTGACTTGCGCGAAGTCGAAGGTCTCTTACTAGCTGGTGAAATTCCCGTCATAAAGCTAGACAAGGACGAGGATGGCCATGGTTACAAATTAAGTGTGCACAAAGGTCGTGATGTGGAATATGTCGCCATATCACATGTTTGGGCAGACGGACTCGGAAGCACGACAGAAGACGGACTTCCAGTCTGCCAGATTCGACGACTAACTACGCTAGTAGGCCGTCAAACCGCATTTTGGATTGACTCTCTATGCATCCCTCGGGCGGAAAGCGTGCGTAAAAAGGCCATTGGCATGATGGCTCAGACATACAGCCAAGCCAAAGCTGTGTTGGTACTTGACAGGACTTTACAACTGTGTCAGTCGACAGCGCCCTTAGGAGTGCGTATTCTTCGCGTCCTGACCTCGGGATGGATGCAGCGGCTCTGGACACTGCAAGAGGCTGTGCTGTCCAAGGCTCTCTATCTGAATTTCGCTGATGCGCAAACCCCATTGAATGGTTTAATACCGTCTACCAGCGTTATGCTACTGTCATCACATCTGACTGACTTGGCTGGGGGGCTATTCCGACTCACAAAAAAATCAGCTCATGGAGTATATTCTGTCGGTGATATTGCCCGGTCTCTTCGATGGAGGACTACAAATCGCCCGTCGGACGAAACTTTAGCGATAGCAAGCCTACTCGGCGTCCAACCTTCTATCCTCGTCAACATCAAATCGGAGTTGCGGATGATTCGACTGATCCAGGAACTGGGGAGCATTCCAAGCAATGTCCTATTTCTGAAGGGCAGTAAATTGCAAGTCCCGGGATTCCGGTGGCTTCCATCCTCCTTTATGGCTGCCCAAGGTGCGAGTTCCGGCGGGTCTCAGCTGTCTACAGGAAGTCCTGACGGACGGGTAACTCCACGTGGCCTCGAAGCTACTTACTATGCCCTAAAATTCCCAAAAACAAGAATCGAAGAAGGCAAACCTTGGGTACTGAAGGATACTAAGTGTGATAGGCTCTATGAGGTTGTCGATCCGATTCATTCTGTAGGTTCTTATGAATGCGGTATGCTTTTGCTCCCGGGCTGGCTCTTTGCAGCTAATCCTAGTGCATGTGTTGCTGTCTCAATTCTGGGCCATTCAAGTGAGAATGATGATGGCTCGTTTGTGGTTTATACTGAGTATCAGCGGAGGCTTCTCATCCGCAAGAAACCATTTCTTGGAGAAATCACAGCAGCAAGCGGCCCAAGCGCTATTTCGGTAGCTGTGTCGGGGAGCATTTGTGTGTGTGTAGGATGATTTATATAACATGACGGGAAGGATAATGATTGAATAGGGGTAAGGGTACAGGATTTCAAAATTATAGTATTCCAAGATGCCAGTGGAACAAAAAGCAGATATATAAAATAATATACGACCCATGGTTCTACTAGATTATAATAGCTAGGGCCTCCATTCTATTTCTTTGCGACTTGTCCTTCAATGGAGTCCCAGACGCTGCTATTTGGAATCATGGTCCGCCCCCTAACCGATATCCCACCACTAATCTTCAAACCAATACTGAAGCCTTGCAGATCCCACAGCGAGCTACATACGAGTATAAACTGGTCTTGTCGAGCCGCCAACCTCGTTTCTCTGTGGATTATAGCTAACAAGGACCCGTGCGGCGTCACCGCACGCACAACTTCTGCCATTTCTAGTACTCTATCTGCAATTGTCAATGATACCCCACATATAAGGCAGGCCAGAAAGCGCTTCAGCTCACGCGCAAAAACATCCTCAGGAACCTCTGCTATTTTATTGAAGGGGAGGATCTTGTTGGCTCGAAACTCTAACATGTCCATCTTCTCAGGAGGCAGGTATCCTGACACAGAAATTTGCATGAACTCCTGAGCAAAATGCTGCTGCAGGAGGCCGACGACTTCATTGGGATCTTGCCGGGTACTGCCGGTGCATGGGCCAGAGGGAGACAGAAGTATCACATGCCGGTTGATATTCGCAGTGCGTTTCCAGTCGTTCCTGAGAGTTTCCAGCCCGGAAGAAGTGGCGTTTATATCTTCTAACTCGACATTACCAGGAACGGCGAAATTCCGTGTCTTTTCTCCTGAGCGTGTCGTATCTGCAGTGAATGTGTCGTACGCCTCGCCGATGTTGAAGGGCTTATCGACGAGCCACGGAAGGATGCTTTCTGTAGCTTTTACAGACGAAGAGACTACTCCTCGTGGGACTTTTGGCGCAACTTGAAAGTGTGCACTTACTGCCGGTTGGTGGATGGCATCGAGCAGAAGGTCGGGGAAATTCATTTTTCGGGCCCCAGCCGGTACCTTGTACCCATTCACATCCGGAAAGACCGCCAGCACGTAATCTCGCGCTTTGGCCGTGCTTCTCAAGCTCCTCCACGCCTCCCTGATAGGGTTGTACTTAGGATCAGGCCCCGGCTCACAATCATAAGCAGCTATGTTGACGCAGCGTCTATAGATAACGTCGAAATAGATGGAGAATAGCGACCCTTCTGCCGTCGAAGGTTCTACTCCATGGTAGGCAAGCTTGTCCATGAGAAAGGTTTCCGCCCTGAAGCGATGTGCCAGGAGGGATCCGTGTGAGATCCAGTCGCTAGTGGGATCGCGGCGCTTGCGCTTACACGGGACCGGTTTTAGGACAATAAAATCCATCACGCGCGCATACAAGCCTTCTTGTCGCGTCCAAAGCCTCTCGAACCAAGGATCCGTAAATGCAAGGTGTGGGCATGTACTTCCGTGGGCTAGCTCTTCCTCCTGGAACCCTTGTTCGTTGATCGGCCCTTGCTCGAAGGCCCGCATGGCAGTCTCCTGCCACTGTTCGCACACGGGGCTCTCGAGTAGGACTTTGACACACCGGCTGCACTTGTATATCGAGGGTATAGCCATGAGTTGGTCGGAGATGCTGATAGAGGACGACTCGGACTGGTCGATGCAGAACAAGTCCATCCAAAACCAGCCGTCGCCGCAGATGTCACTACGCCGGAGGAGAGGCAGGATATCTTGTTTCCCGGGGCTCAATGATACCTTCCCTATTCAGGAGTGCGCTCGCGAAATACGATTAGAATATTTTACGAATTTGAGCAATAGGTTTGTATCTCGAATGAAGGGGGAACTCACATGCGATACCGTCCACCACGTACTTCTGGACGGTGTCTGGGGTTCCCCAGACATGGGATATCGCGATGTAATCATCATCGGTGGTTGCATGGGGTTTGCGCTCGATATACAACGAACCGTCAAGCCGCTCGCGTATTCGTACTAGGAAGATCTTCATTATAAAAGGCCTCCCGGCGGCTTTGCTATTCTATGCGACCTAATACGGACGGTCTCTTAAGAAGTATCGCAAGCGGCGTCGCTTTATATACCTGAGTATTGCACAACTGGTGACCCTAAAAGGATAATGCGGCTGGCTATTGGGCATCAAATTTATTAGAGCCTAGGACTTTTATTCGTACCCACGTTTCACTGGACGCCTCTGGCCAAGTACCTGATATGCATGCAGCATGGCATCCGTCCAATGATAGTATCGTGTAGGGGATTCATCAAGTCATAGTACAAGACAACTACTTGTTACGGTGAATGAACTAGGCTTTCTTAATGCTACATCTATAGTTCCTAACGGTTCTTATATCACTGTGCACGCTGCTTAGCTGAATGCAATGTATATTTGGGAGCGTCCGACGCAGAACTCATATTTCTTCCAGGTTGGTACTCACTTAAGAGCCTCATGACTGAATAGAAAGTATGAGCGCACGTAATATTTGTCTTCCGTACACCCGGTTACAAGCATTACGCAGATTCTGTTTCCCGTAGCCGCCGCTGGCATACCGCTATAGAAATCCAGTGTCAGCGCAAATGAACGAGGCTTTTCCAGGAACTTAAACCTTAATTCCCAGGTGTGATTTAATAAGGCTTTATCAGAATTAATAGTTCGAATGGAACTGTTTACCGCTCTTAGTTGGGTAAAGCTAAGGTCCGGATTAATTACACGTAAATTCATAAATATATTTAAAATCTTAAAAATGTAATTTTAAATATACATATTTATTAATTATAAAAATAATAAATAAAAATAAAAATATATTTAATTATAATATTAATATATATTAATAATTTTAATAATAATATTAATAAATTAATTATAAAACTTTTATAATATATTATAATATTTAAAATAAATTAATTTATATTATTAAAATTTTTAAATATTTTTATTTAATAATATATAATATAAATTATAAGTTAATAATTTATAATTTTATATTTTTTAATTATAATATATGAAATTAATTAATTATATAATTAATTTTTTTTATTAAAAAATTTATTTTAATTTAATATATTTTTAAATTATAATTTATATTTTTTATAAATATTATAATATTAAAATGTTTAATAATATTTATTTAAAAAATTTTTTAAATTATTGCATTTTTTTAAAAAAATTATAAATTTTTTTTATAATTATTTATTTTTAATTTTATAATATTTAAAAAAATATATAATTTATTTTTTTAAAAATTATGTTACGAACCAACAGCACGGGAACCATACCTTGTGAGGAAGCGGGGTTCCTAAAAACGTACGATCAAGCGGCTGAACCTCGGATAACTTGATGGAGGGGAGTGATCTCGTTGATCTGGTTGATCTCGTTGATCTTGGCGAGATCAACAAGATCACTGAGATCACGACAACCTCAGAACGAAGGATAGGGGAGGCCTACGGGATATTTAAGACCACCATGTATTTAGACATTTATTTACGTTTCTTTAGCTATTAATCTAAGTCTTATATCTAACCCATATAAGGGGAAGGACTCCAAGCCTTCCTGACGAACACTTTCAACGTTCTATTAACACTTGACCCGTATCGCTACTGTTTACCTAAAATCAAGACCCCTGTTACTACACTCTAACGGACCTAAGTGTAGGTTCGTCACAAATTATTAGTTTTTTTAAATAAAGTAATTTTATATGATAAATAATATATAATTTTATTATTATAAATTAATATTAAATGTAAGAAAAAAATAATTTAAAATGTTTAAAAACGGGGTTTAAAAATATAAAATATTAATAAAACTTTAAAAAGCATTATTAATATTAATAAATTTATTAAATTAATTAAATCTACTAAATTAAATAAATTTATAAAATATTATAAATAAAAAAGTTTATAAATATATTTAAATTATTATATATTTAATTATTTATTTACATTTTTTTAATTATTAATTTAAATCTTATATTTAACTTATATAAAAAAAAACTTTAAACTTTTTTAATAAATGCTTTAAACATTTTATTAATACTTAACTTATATTATTATTATTTACTTAAAAATTAAAACCTTAATTACTATATTTTAATAAACTTAAATGTAAGTTCGTTATAATAAAATAAAATTTATAATAAATATTATAATAATTAATATAATTATTATAATTTTGGAAAAATATTATAAATTTTATTAAATAATTAAATTATTAAATATATATAAAAGTAATAATAAATTATTTTTAATATTTTAAAAAATAAAATAATTAATATATTAATAAATATATATATTTTTTTAATTTAAAAAAGTTTATTTAATAAATTAAAATATAAAAAAATTTATTTTTTAATAATTTAAAATAAAATAAATAAATTTTTTTTAAAAAAAATAATAAAAAAATAATATTAGAAATTTATTATTATTAAAATAACATTATTTATTATTAATATTTAAAGCTTTTTACCGCCCGGTAGTAAACAAGTTATATGTTAATAATGTACTATGTACTTAAAAGGTAATATATTAATGCAATATATCTCAAATATGTCACTTACATTTGCTTTTTCCCAATTCCCCATTGCGGCTGAGCGTCGATGTCACATTATTTATTGGCATTTCTACATAAGGAGTAGCCCAGTTGCATTAAAGCTGCGCATCTAGGTGGTTACTCCAATAGTATCATAACCATAAAGCCCAAATAAGTGGTTCTTATGTATATCTCGACATTGCTATAGCATCAAGGAAGAGGCTTTATCTCGTGTCTTATTGTATTTCGTCGGATCCTGTCGTATTTCGAGACCGTTTGCATAGTAGAAGCACTGGTATGTCTATCTACACAACGCATTTCAAGGTTTCAATAATTTCTGATTGGACATATCTTGGTGAGTTACGCCACTCAGCCTTTGGGCTCCCAATTGTTACATTGTAAAAATCAATAGAGTAGATACGAAGAGAAGTTGGTCCATTTAGGTATATTATTGAAGCGGGGTACATGTACCAATATCCCAGAGAGTATAAAACTGCATATCCTGATCCGTGTGGGATAAAATATAAATTAAACATGTCCAGTCGACAGCGGCCAATGAATGCATGGTGCTTTCGTATAGTAAAACTCAATGACTTACTTTAAATGATACAAGAATCCTACGATATATCATGTCGGAGGTAGTCGATCTTGCCGGCGTTATTGGAACATGGGTAGGAGCAGGAGTCGGAGTCATTGCCCTCATAGGGATTGTCGGCCCTGTTCTTATTTGGCTCGCCTCTAGAACAGAAAGGCAGCAGACGCTCAACGCTATGGGGAGAGAGACGAATGCCTACATCTCACCGGGATACCACTTAGGACCAAACATCTATTTATTCCAACGGGTACAAGCGCCGCTCTTGAAAACTTTTAGCCACCCAAATCCTTCTTCACCGGCCACTGCGCTAGACAGCACATTGTTGAAGGAAGTTGATACGAACTCTACTTGGATTCTGTTTAGTGTTTTGATTGAAGCGTATGGGTTCAACCCGCCTCGAGGGGATAGCCTCATAGTTAAAGACCGAAAGACATACCTCCCCGTCAATCGTCTCTGGATCCTTTACATCGGGTTGCTTGGGAGATACACCACGGAGGGAGACTCAAGGCGCTCACCGAGTAAGAGAAACACAGTGTTCAATCTTCCAAATGTTACTGGTCATAGGGCCGAGCTTCAACGCGCTCCGATTCGATCTCAGAGGCTAGGAATCGGATCAGAGGTCGAACTCGGATCTGCTGATTGGCCGTCTGTTACGCTCTACGGTATTACGGGAAATTTGCAGATTTTCAATCAGAGTCAGAGGCCATCAGCCAGAGATATTCCAGTCCTAGTTTTCCGTCCCGCCCCTATTAATGAGATCCGAGGAATACAGAAGGATACCCTGTCACCCAAAGATCTGCTTCTCCTCGCGATAGGATTCCTGCCCCTATCTGAATCTAGCTGCGTCTGCTTAACGGCTAGTGTCAATTTCGGCAGCGACACGGATGATTTTGAAGAACACAGGCATGAGAGAAGAATCAGTACACGTAAAAGGGAACCTATGCGTAGTTATATCCGCAATGGCCCACGAGAAGTGAATCCCGTGGAACTACAGTCGTCCAGCGTCGGCGAGATTTCCAACATAGGAAGCGGGTTTCTTTCGACTCGCAACCACACCTGGTACGGGTTCGAGACGATTAACAACGCTACCGCCCAGGAAGCGGTCGACCATCTTTGGGGCTTTACTTACGTGCCCACGAGTTCCGACTGGATCCGCGTTTTCGATTCCCAGCCGGAAGCCTACATGCGTCGGAAAGAGGCGCAAGAACTGGCACTTGCCTTGTTGAAGCTTCCGTGCCACCCGGAGGGATATCTCCTCGGCGGGACAAGTCGAAAAGGGACGGCCAGGCACCTTGTTTCGATGCTGGTTCGGCTGGAGCAGAAAACCGACATCTTAAATCTTTCTCAGCAAGACAAGCAAAAGCTAAACAGAGTACTGGACCCTGCACTACAGTTTCTGGATAAAGAGAACGTATCCCCAAGAGCTTTCCAGGTGATATATGACCTGGATCTAGTGTGAGGTGAATTAGGCAATCAAGAGGGACAAAATATAGTCGATAGTGTCGTCGGTATTCTGGCAATCACCAATCCTGAATTCTTGGTACTCGTTCGGCAGTCGCTAAGGAATATCAGCGAAAGCACGAACTCGACTGTTCAATTAGATATGTGGTCCAAAACACTAAAGGTGCCATCTGCGTTTGGTGTCTTCGAATCGTTCATCGTCGATTGGGATTTACTCCGTCCCGATGATCCCCGAACACATGAAATTGTCGAAATAAGCCATACCGTCATAGCTTTAGCGACTATAAGAGCGATTTTAAGATGTAAAATGTTAAGTATCTGTTTTGATGCGGATCCGTTGATTAGCGTGGTCGGAGAATGGGAAGACGTTATACACATTCAGTAATGATACCAGTTCTCAAATCCAGCAATACCTATTAGTTGGGGTAATATTTTATGAATACAAGACATAAAAACATAGGTATCCGATGAGGTACCTACTGGTGCGTATCTCCGTTGTGGCCCTACATCTGCATCAAGAATCCTTAACCGTATAAGATAACAGATAGATCACAGCGCATTATTAGCAGTAATATTCACGAGGTTATATAATACCGAGGGACAGGCTAGGCCTTCCTCTCCCCCTTTTCTAGTAGGTATATGTCGACTACCTCATCCTCTTCGCCTAGCTTTGGTAGTGGGATAGTCTTGAGAACGCTATATCGCCAATCAGCGGAGCTTAGCAGGCCGAATAGAGCCTGTTCAGAAGAATGCCTGGGCTTTGTCGCTAAGATAACCGACGTCTTTGGATCCGCTTCCGCTTCGTGGAGGTGTTTTACATTTGCAGCATGTAGCGCGCTCAGCGTTCCGACAAGCGCGGGTAACGAGTCAACGTTATACGTACAGTCGCTAAGTATAACCAGATCCCACGGGCGCGCAGAAGCAAGAGCTCCAAACCGGCCACGTTTACCCTCGTCCCAGTCCAGGTCTTCGTACTGAAGAGCTACTGTGGAACCGTCGGGATTTATTTGGGAAAGCGCCACTTCGGCTCGCGCGATGTTCGACCTCGCACGCTCTTCCGCCTCTGAGAGGTCTGTTAGCAGTACGGTAGCCTTACTGGAGGTATGGCCATAGACTACGGCCCTTTCTAGGACTTGCGCCAAGGTAATCCCGAGAATACCCACGCCGCTACCTAGCTCTAAGACGTTAAAGCTGTCTTTTCGTATAGGCAATATATCGCAAATTCCTTCCTTACTACTACATGCATCCCCGAGAAAGGACGCTGTCACAACACCCGCATCCCATATGTGACGCGCGATGCTCTCCCCGACATCTTCTTCCAGGTCGATGTCCAGCTGGTCCTGGGGCTGAAACCTAGAATTGAGTCGGAGTGTCCGGACGGCAACGGGAGCGCAAATGCCCTTCGCCATGTCGACGGAAACTGGCATAATGAGACCCTTGCTCGCGGGCGAGCCTCTAGTAACGCTCCACGGAAGCGTATCCCTACCCTTCAACACCCCCAACGGTGGAGTTTGCGTCGCTGGATGAATCCTAATGGTACACGTGACGTCGCTCTTCTTCAGATGCGGCTTAACGGGGACTTTGACGTCGAGGCATCGCAGCCCAGCAGTCCACCTCGGCGGCCGATCTATTTCTAGTATAATTGACTGGCCCGTTGGGTTCTCCACCGAGATAGTCAAGTCGACGGGCTCGTCCGGGTAAAGAAATGAGTCACCTAGATCCGTGGTGATGGTAAGAAGAATTGAGATGAGTGGTCTCCTGATGTTTGATGTGTCTAATTTTGGGCGGCGCAACAAGCGTATGTAATGCATTTTTTTTTTTTTGTGGATGTAATGCGATACCGAACCTTGGATATGGTAAATCGTTTAATCCAATGATTTGTCTATTCGGTGGTTTTTGGGTATTTGCGCCTTGGCGAGATGCATCTTTTCCGTGCCCAACATTTCAATGCATCTCTATGCGCCGTCAAAAATATTCACCGCTAAGCCACGTGAGTCTAGTATTTTGGCGGCACGGCATGGAAACTTTATCGATCGAGATCCACTTCGGCCATTGTCGCTGGACGAACAATCACCATAGTATTATGTAGTAGCGTTGTTGAATGGTTGGGAAAACGCAGAACGCAATTGTGTGCGTTCCGTTATATTGGAAATTTCTTTTACGGGTCGAAAAGCGGGATTTGGAGGGGTATAACTATCAGCTTATCAAAGGTTGACATTGTCCAATACTAATGTACGTGTACTGAATCTCACGTAATAAATCTACCTTGGTAGTTTATATTCCAGGTTGATGTACCGCCTGACGCTTAGCACATGTACATGCATATGACAGCTGAATTGCTGGAAGGTCTAATAAGCTAGCATGCATACCTAACCCTACCTCAGTACTTGCCTACATATAGGTATCTAGGTACATTGTAGAATCTACTAGGGAGAGTTTATTAGATTGGGCTCTTATCTGCAAATACGGTTTAGACTTTTGCACCATTGATCGCGAAGTTGAGTTTTACCCCGTATTCACAAATGGGAACCCGTCCTTTAGCTCCTGTTAGTGCCTAATAGACCTCATTTCGTACTGAGCTAGTTTGATAGTGCTAGGTATGACATATGTTGTCTTAAAGATTCATTAATACTTTTGGGGCCGATGATCTGTCGAGATGATACAAAAGTTGACGAGCAGTGGAATAGTCTTTTAAAAGGTCCATTACTCGATGTGACTTTACTGAAAGCATACCTACCCATACCCTCCCCCAATCTACCTGTACACGTGGCTATGAGACAAACATTTTGATATTGGGTACCGTACCCAGCCTACCTCGAGATCGCCACAAATACATGTGAATATCTCCGCCTGCAGTTATTACCTATTACCTTAGGTAGTCAATTACGATTATTCCTTGAAGTTGATCAATATGGTGAACTTTAAACGTGACCATTTCGAATAGTATCTAATATAGGTAGGTATTAGTTTAGTAGTTTATAAGCTTGAAAGCATACATTGGTATGAGAAACCGCAAACCCAGTTGGTAGTCACAAGGAATTGACTATTAAAAAGCGTTGCAGATTCCTTAAAGGGATTCCTCTTACTATAAGCGCTCTAAACGCTAACCGTATCAGTGGCGCCAAGCAGCTTCAGGTTTCCCAATCCAGGTAACAGAATTGATCCGATAACGCAATTCGTGGGGTAGAAGGGTGGGGCAATTGACGACAAAGTGGAATGTCTACACCGTGCGAATAGGATAACTAAAGAAGCACTATTGCGTGCGGGATGACCTCAAGGAAGAATACGTATTTGCATCCCTACGTACATTAGGTAAAGTTTAATATATGTGTATTTATAGGTCTTATAAATGAGGTAGACAGATCTCTTAATAACATGGGTAAATTATATAAAAAATATATATACACATGGTTCTTCTACTGAAGTAGGTACTAGTAGTACCAGTGTAAAGATTTTATGAACCAATAACTCATAATAACTTGTGGCAACCCGTTAAATACCTGGGCGGCATAGTCGTTTCAGGTGTTCTAAAAATTGAATGAATTGTAGGCAATTACATAGTTCGCAATTCATAACTCATAATAATAGGTAAACTCCCACCTCGGTAATCCATGTGGTGTTTCTCGAGAAATGTCTCACTAGGTAGAGAGACCCATCTTTGTGTTACAACTTCGGCATCTGCAACTCTATCTAAGCCCCTACGTATTACCGTGGGTACCTATGCAGTTAACCCTTTCAATGCAAGTACTGGTCTGCAGATATCCTCTCTTGAATGCGAATAGGGTACGATATAAAAAATTAGGTTAGGTTAGATTAGGTAGAGAAGCATTGAAATCACTTCCTAGCGCGATAGCCACAAGTGCCTAATAAATGCAATCTTTCTATTACCTACGAAGTTGAGAAAGTAACGCCCTTATCTACCAACAATAACCTATTGCTTAGCCGAAAACGAGGAGGAAAGGTAGAGAGAAAAGTAGAGAGAAAAGAGTCGGCCCAATAAAATCAAGAGCAACCAGGGAATACCAACGCCAGCCCCCTTTTGAGGGCATTCATGTAACCTTCATGTAATCATACAGTACCCACGAGAAACTCCTAGGCCCTCCGGGCGTGGGCATCCCATGTAACAATATTCCTATCCGTCCAAGTCAATGTACTATGTATGATGTTGGTTCCTCCAAGCCGCGCCGCGCAATAGGAAAATGCCGAGATTGATATCCACAATCCATCCAGGCAATGATATAGCCTGAATCCAGACGCCGAAGTATTCGTGAAAATGGCAAAGGTATCCTCGCGAGGGTTATGTGTATCTAGGAAGAAACGACGCTCCGTGAGATCGATTGTAGTGACGCTAAAGACAAATCCCGTAGCGGGCCTCTAGACGGGGTTGCCAGTTATGGTAGCATCCCCTTGATCTCTTCGTCACTAAGTCGAATCTCATGTACAGGCTCCCTACGGTTCTCTAGGGGTATATAATCGCATTCGACGTACGAGGGGACGAACAGCTCGGGGTTCCATGCGAAGCCTTGACTCGAGGCGAGGTACGAGATCTAGAGCGAGGGGATATTAGTAAGACGGCCCCTCAGTGTTACTCCAGCTGCGATAGCATTTTCTTACCAATCGAGGTGCCCCATCAGGGTCTCCGATGTTGATAACGGTGCACTCGTCCTTGCAAAAGGCGGAGCCTATATGGTGTGAGCAAGCGGATCCTAGCCGGAGGACACCATCAAGGTGCTCTCTCATCTACAGTCAACACACGGGGAAGCAGACATACTCAATAAACTAGGTCGACGGTGGTGGGTTGATTTCGGTTTGCTTGCGGACTGCACTGACGACGCTTCACTAGGACTAGGGGTTTGCGGAGAGCTTGAATATGAGGAAGATGAGCTGCTAGTAGTAGCCTTGGGAGATTGGCTGTAGGCTGTAGCCGAAGATCGGACAGCCGGAATAGCAATTGTTTTAGACGCCATCATTATAAAACCACAAGACAGTTCTTCTCTCTTCTCTACCGAAGACTCTTAGGAAGACTCTCGGGAGACCCGATTAGCAGAGGTGTTATTTGGACACGGAGAGAGGGGGCGCTATGGAGCCGGGATGATAATAAATAGCGAGGCCAAAGCCAAAACTCCCCGCGAGGAGTAACAAGTGATTATGCCAGAGAGTTAAGAGGGAAAAGGAAAGGAAATTAATTTCCACGTTTACTCTGTAAAGCAAGCAATGACGAGGTAAAAAGAAGTGATGTTTGGGAGAAATGGGTAATATTCGCAAGGTGGAAAAAGGACGAAAAAGAAGAGATCGAAGTCAGGTGGTTGAGGGAAGATGAGAGGCTAGAGCCTACAGGGAGTCTACTCCGTATTGAGGTACCTAATTAATGTACGAATGAGGTACGATGTTTTGTACAGTCTTGATGTACAGTCCTAATGTACGGTAGAGAAATAGAGAGGTAGAAAAGTCGGACAGCGTCTGCGCCTGCATTGATGCGGGAACGGTCTTTGGTACATGTAGTGCTGCCCGTGCTGCCCGTGCTGCCCGTGCAATGGTAGGTATGGATGTATATGTATGTAGGTAATCTGAAGTAAAGGCAGGCGGGCAAAGTGGGCTAAGAATGGGCTGCGAATGAGCAAATGATACAGTACCTAACCTTACTGTATAGTGGGTGAAGGTACCTTAGCAGTAGAGATGTAGGTAGATAGATGCAGGTCAGGTAGGTATTGTACATGTATGTTGGAAGGCGGGAGGAGTTAACCATAGCCCAGTGCGAAACCGCTAGTTTAGGTATGATGACACATCGGGAAACGAGGGACCCTTGCGGGTCTTTCTGGGTTTGTGATCAAATTGGATTGGTCTAATAGAGTGGAGGTTGTTGAGAAATATGGACGGGCACTGTGCTGTAAAGTGACTTGCCTCTACATCCACAACCGCCTGAGGAAGTACGTTAGGTACATATACATCCATACATACATTATAGAGGTTAAGATAGATGCAAGATGTAAGAGGGATGAGCTCAACTTGGTTCCTTCTTGTCTCTTTCAGTTGCCGCAAAGCCCGACATCTTTATTTATATGCAACATATTATCTATATTTAAGAGACATAACTGCCTATGCATAATTAATATAATTAGGTACCTATTAAGTACCTCAAAGCTCCATTAGTTAACATTTAGAAAAGTCAAAGTTATAATGGAAAATAAGACTTATGAACATCTCGCTCCTAACCTAATGCTCTTTGTCACAACGTCAACGATAAAGGTACACAGTACCATATATACTATGGGAATGTCACCATCAAATGGGTTTAGGTAGATCTAGGCCAAGCCATAGTTTTGGTCGGGCGATGCCGGAAGATGATCACCAGTAGGCTAGGCGGGTTACACTGCAAGATGAGTGGCCAAAAGCCGACCTCTAAAATGGGGAAGATTCAATGTTCGCCTTGGATTTGTAGGTGCTGGGAAGTGAGCAGCCAATCCGCCCGATGCTCATGCATTCAAGGCGATGCCCTACGGTGGGGGCTTCAATGGCTGAACGGATAGCGGAAGATCTATTGATCCTAGACTTTCCAAAGGTGGATTAGTTGGATTTAAGGTACCTATTCTTGGCATGAACCCCAAGCTTGTAGTTAGGTAATCAGTTCTCAAGGCTGCAAGGCTGGCGTCGGCACCCGGATCATAGAAGCTTGTAGCTTGTCTTCCACTAACCAACGTAACTTCAACCTTCCAAACTCAACAACCAACACATCATAATCATCATCCACCAATTTTCTATATTAACAACAAGAAAAAAAACCTGCCCAACAAGGACAAAGACAAATTCAATATTTGACCGACCGACTGACACCCACAAGCCATTCTTCTACGTATTTAGAACAACCCCACCGTAAGAGTCGCGACCATGGGTGACGTTCTAGTAGAAAACCCATCCAATGCCGTGGCACCGCATAATAAGCCGATCCCGTCAAACATCCCGAATATCGAGAGCATCGAGGGTATACCGGCACAGGGTGGGGATGAATATGCAGTTTTAAAAAAGTTACAGAGGCACTTGGAATATATTCAGCTACAGGAAGAATACATCAAGGATGAGCAAAGGTAAGAAAACGGCGGGAAACAGCAATCGTCTGCTATATTATCAGCTTTTATTGTAAGACACGAATTCTAACTGCAAACCTACATAGGAGTTTGAAGCGTGAGCTTGTCCGGGCACAGGAGGAAATTAAAAGGATTCAAAGTGTGCCGTTAGTTATCGGTCAGTTTATGGAAGCCATCGACCAAAAGTAAGTCCGAGGAGTTTGACTATGTTATGTATTAAACATAAATCACCACTGAAAATCCTAACATAAACACCAGCACCGGAATAGTTCAGTCCAGTACAGGATCCAACTACGTTGTCCGTATTCTATCTACCCTCGACCGCGAGAAGCTTAAGCCCTCGTCATCTGTCGCCCTCCACCGACATTCCAATGCCCTTGTTGATATCCTGCCTCCGGAGGCCGACTCCTCCATCGCTATGCTTGGCGCCGATGAAAAGCCAGACGTGACATACGCCGACGTTGGTGGTCTCGACATGCAAAAGCAAGAGATTCGCGAAGCTGTTGAGCTCCCGTTAACCCACTTCGACCTCTACAAGCAGATTGGTATCGACCCCCCACGCGGTGTTCTCCTCTACGGCCCTCCCGGTACCGGAAAGACTATGCTGGTCAAGGCCGTTGCCAACTCGACGACCGCCAACTTCATCCGAGTCGTCGGCTCTGAGTTCGTGCAGAAATACCTGGGTGAAGGTCCCCGCATGGTCCGTGACGTCTTCCGCATGGCCCGTGAGAACTCGCCCGCCATCATCTTTATCGACGAGATTGATGCTATTGCCACCAAGCGTTTCGACGCCCAGACCGGCGCCGATCGCGAGGTCCAGCGTATCCTCCTCGAGCTGCTCAACCAGATGGACGGCTTCGACCAGACCTCCAACGTCAAGGTCATCATGGCCACCAACCGAGCCGACACCCTCGATCCCGCCCTCCTGCGTCCCGGCCGTCTCGACCGGAAGATCGAATTCCCCAGCCTGCGGGATCGCCGTGAGCGCCGCCTCATCTTCAGCACCATCGCCAGCAAGATGAGCCTCGCCCCCGAGGTCGATCTCGACAGCCTCATCGTGCGCAACGACCCCCTCAGCGGCGCCGTCATCGCTGCTATCATGCAGGAGGCCGGTCTCCGAGCCGTCCGCAAGAACCGCTACAACATCATCCAGTCCGACCTTGAGGACGCGTACTCTAGTCAGGTCAAGGGAACGAGCGACGAGAACAAGTTTGATTTCTATAAATAGACGGAGACAACTTGGTCTAAATTCATCCCAGCTTCCTCGTGGGGTGGAGTGGGACCCGAGTAGGAAGGAAGAGAACCCGCGTCTTATGTCGACGCTGGATACGCTTCGGTCCTTTTCCTGAGAAATATGATGGAAATAAGGGACCGCCTTTACAAGCTGTGACGTGATGGGGTTGGCCGAGTGTAACACTATCATAGCAATACTACTAAACAAACTAATAAGTTTTGCTTCCTCCTGCAGTGCCACTTATTATAGGAGGTATACCTACCAGTATTTTGAAAATTTAAAACGTGTTTATGGACTTGCAATAGCAACCTCTTGTTTGTCTAACCATAGCCTGCCTTTATCTAAAACGCTCCCCTAACCGACTCCATAAAACGCGAAGAGGTGCCAATAACGCTCAAAGATTCATGGTTTCGTAACCTGGTATTACAATGGTCTACTACATCCTCGCTCTCCCCTAACTCGTCAACGCCATCCAATCATTCCTTCGAGCCGCCTGAGCTCATCCGTCTACCTATCCCCCAGAGGATATGATTTTTCCTTCGTATGCATTATCCGACCTTTTCTTTTGTACGCCGTTTTACATACCACGCCATGCAATAGCATACAACAAGAACGGCATACCTTCAAGCGTAGAACCGACTCAGAAATGCACGACAATAAACCCAGCGAGGAGATAAGTAATAATACAGTAAGGGTGTGATCCTTAAGAAGGTAAAAAGGGAGATGAGCGCCAACTGGCACAAAATCAATTGCTTCAACTTGAAGCGTGGGTATCATAGAAGTCAAGGGTGAATTTCGCAAGGAATTTGTCGAGTCACCGTAACCAATGTTCGGGAGTGAGTAGCTTTCAAGCAAAGAAACCTAGTTGGCTACCCACTCAACTCGACAACTCGGGTATATCCTCCCTCATTACGTCTGTATCTGGGTATATTAAGTTGTAGTTATTTCAGTCGCTCGGAGGACAACAAATAGAACATCGTCGTTTGCCAGCTCTACATGCAATGCAATTATAGATCGATAAGTTCAGGAGGATAGCACCACGCCCAGCTCCAGCAAGAGCTGTACAAAACGAGAATGGAGCTCAATGAAGAAGTCGGGGAGGCCGACGAGCTCTGCGAGCCCGCGGGCTTTTGGCGCAAATCCCCCAGGACCCATAGTTCCGCCCATGCGTTGCGTTAAGCCGATGCGGCCACCACCAGTTAAGAAACTAGTTGAATCGTTGGCCCTATCTCTTTCACGTTCGCGGTCCAAGTTTGCTACACTAAACCCGCCCCCAAGGTTTAGTCCTATGCCACTGTCACGTGGGCCGTCGCCACCGAATCCACCGCGGCTATACGCAGCGTTGATCGCAGCAATTGGGCTGCTAGCTTCCTCCCGTTCGCGCTCTCTCTCGGCTTCGGCCTCAGCCAACTCTTGAATCCAGTTTGCTAGATCGCGGAATGCAGCTGATATGAAACTGAAAGTCTTCATGGCGAGACGTTCACGGTGCGTACTAAGCGCTAAGAACGCATAGACTCTTTTGCGACCACGTGCATGCACATCCGGAATACGGAATATGTATGCCGTCGTATAGCCTGCCAAGGGATCACCAAAGAATATCGGGCCGCCATTGGCAGCAGATTGGGGATTTGGTGGCGCGGCGATGTAGCCTGGACCATGATTCATTGGCAGAGATGTGAATTGTGGCAATGGCGATGAGAGAGACGGAATTTGCTGTGTAGTCTCAGGGCGTCGAGGGAGGGTTTCAAACGAGAGCGTTCGTAGGCAAGATGCACGAACTATGGAGTACGTAGTTGGGGCTACCGGCTCATGAGCGGATGTATAATCAAGGTAGTGCGTGTGCTGTGTCACGCTGGATTTAGACGAAACACTTGAATGCGAAGTTGAGGTGGTAGGCCGTTGCTGAGAGCTTGGGCGCTTGCTATTATCTCTGGGTAGAACATCGTCTTCTGCATCAGAAGTATACGAGGAATGTGGATTCGAGTTTGGTGGGCTGAACTCGCTACTCCCCCCGTAAACACGAGCGTATGGTGCGCGTGTACGCAATACTGGACCGCGTTGATCTAATTTGGCATCTGTCGCAGTATTTGCTTTTTCTTCCTTTCCAGTTTTCGAATTTTGTCGCTTAGGAAGGGTGAGGGCACAATTGTCACACGGGTTCGCCCGTCTGGTGACGTAGTCGTCATAGGTTTTACGAAAGCTCGAGTCGCGCCGTAAGCCACCCTTGCCGTTAGTCTCGGGGAAGTTTTCTGGCGCATTTCGAGGACTTTGCGGTGGAGTCTGAACAGCCGAGGCTGAGTTGAGAGGTGCTGGCGTAACGGACTGAGCCGTAGTACCAGGACCCAATTTTGACGTTCGAAGTAGCGATGCGCGATGCGCCTGAGCTTCTTGGTCGGTTACAGAGGTGGACGAACTGCGTGGAGACCCAAGTGTCATCTTCCGGAGGCTTTCGGTAACGGTTGCATGTTGGCCATGCCCAGCAGTGCTGGTATGTGGTCGCGCTGATTCGGTATTATCATCACAACATTGTTTGCATGGCACAGGTAAACCTTCAGTGACCATGAGAGGTGTTGGTCCATGCAAGTCGCAGTAGTGCGCCAAACATAGCTGGATATGGGTTAGCAGAGGCAATATTGCTGGCTTTGGAGAAACAGTCATGGTCAGGCAAAATATTGTGAAAAGAGGACTTGGCGGGGACTGGTGCTAAAACAGCATCTCAGGGACAATATTATAAAGATCAGGGTATAGCGGTTCCAGAGTTCGGGCAAACGATAATAAAGGTGAGGAAGAAGTGGGGGTCAAAGCTTCACAGGAAACCTTAGCGGTCTGGGGTAGACGAAGGGGTAGGAGAAAAGCAAGTATTAACTAAGAGATAAATAGGATGGAGTTTGGAGTTTTGAAGGACTACACTTGGAGAGCCAAAACGTCACTGTCGAGCAAGGGAGTAGATATGCTGAGTCGATATTCCAAATTTGGCAATTTGGGCATCTGCGACAATCATGACATCCGTACCAATCAAGCTCAAGACTTGGCTGACTTGGGGCATAGCGCAACATCGCTTCGCTCCGTGCCGTCGTGATGGGAATAGGGGGACCATCTAACATAAGCATTCTAAGTAGGTAAGGCCCGGGGTTAAGGGGCTGACGAGACGATTGTATGTGTGAGGGGACACGAGGCTTCCGGGGTGATCTAGACGGGCGAGGCGGTGAAGAAATTCAACCAGGTCATTTAAGGACGGGAAGATGGGTGGTAGAAACAAAAGAAGGTGTGGAACACAAATATTCAGACAAGTTAAACCAAAGCATACCCGGAAGCCAAGGTATGCAGGTCAGGCTAGTGTGCTGAATGTGCTAGGTACCTTGGACTGGACTATGTCTTGTGTCTAGCCGTCTGGGTGTACAAAGTTGGAAATTGGTAAATGGAGAAGGTAAAAAGAAAGAATAAAAGATGAGATGAGATGTGTAACACGACCATAAAAGCTAAAATCACGGTTGGGCTAACGAGGTATAACGAGGTATAACGCAGAAGAGGGAAAAGTGGTGAAGGAAAGGGAAAAAAAACATGGTGAAGAAAATTGTAGAGAACGATAATGTACTTACTATAGACGTCATGACGTTTCCCCAACACGACAGAGGTCACAGAGGTCGCAGCAATCTGTGGAGCGTCACACAGCGGGGTTTGTTCGATTGGATATTGGATTTCCAATTCCAACAACCAACGAGACCGGCCAAACGTCCAGTAACAACTGCCAGTACCAAGGAAAAGTGACCCCCAAATAAACCAAATCTCCCTCCCACGCGCGTCCCGCGTCCCGCGTCCAGCCCTGGCTCTTCTTGCCTATCCAAGCCAGCCAATGACAGTTTTTGGTACCGTAGTCAAAGTATTATCTCATCGATGAAACAGTAGGGAAACCGCAGGGAAACAGCAATGGCCGGATGCGGGAACAAGCTAAATGAGTTGCTCAGATCTAATCCGTATCCTGGACCGGAATCTCCTTTGCCCGCATATATGCGTCGGCGGGTGCGTCGGTGTTTATCCAGTTAACTAAAAAGTCGATGTGAAGTCCGAACTGCGAAATGAGCCCTTGTACTCTCGCCTTTGTACTCGCTATCGTGTATGCGTCTATGTACAGTTGATCACAAGCAAAAATCCGAGCAAATGCGGCACAGGATGACAGAACACAGCAGATATGTCACCAATCGGCTCTTCGTCCTGCAATATCGATCCTTGTGTTTCCTTCTGGTTGGCTCACTGAATAAGGCGATCGCGAAGGAAGCCCTTCACGGATTGGCGGGAAAAGAAATAGCGCTAACAGCTGCGAAGCTGACCTCCAACTTGTGCGATCCAGATGAAGACGTAGGTTGGGGGATGAGGTCATGTGCCAAAATGATATTCGACAAGAGCTCCAATAGAAGAAGGTTGTGACGAGCTGAACTAGACGCACACACAAAAAAAAAAAGTTGTTTGTCAGTAAATGAAATTCATATTCATAGAGTGGGGAAGAAGAGGAAAGGGGGGGGGAGAAGAATTGGAATATTTCCAAAGAATCTGGAAGTTGACAATAAAGTTGAGTAGCTAAAGGTAAGAGCAACTCAAGATAAAAGAGTAACTCGAGGTAGGTTAAGGTATACCTAGGTAGGTATAGGTATAGGTATACAATACATACCTCCTATGGAAGGAACGCAAGTACGTACCTTTTTTAGTTCAATACCTTTATACAATTTGAAGTTGTTTCCCTTTTTTTTGCTGCTTAGAGATTTGAGGAAACCGCCGGTTGGTATGTAATAATATCCTGGGTGAGGTAAGATAGCAAAGAATAAGGTAATTGAGCTTTAACTTAGAAGCTAGAGGTCTTGCAGCCCCTCACTTTCCCTTTTGTCACTTTTTCTTTTTTTTTTTTTCTCTCCAGTCGTATGTATTGATGAGGTAAGGCCAGTTGGAAAAGAGAAAAAAAAGTTGACAGTACAAAATGTGAGGTACTTATTTTGAGATGGGTTCTTAAAACCCTCCTAGCAACAAAACAAAACAAACAAGCAACCCACAAGCTGCAATGGCCACGACGACTTCAACGATGAATTAACAACAGTTCGTGAGCTCAGTCTTCGCTTCGGATGTGTCGCCAATGGGGTCTTCTGCCTTTTTAATCATGTACTACGACCGTTGCCGCTGCTCCAGAAACCCGACCCTAATCCAAGCTAGCCAGCTAGGTTGTCCACTACGACGTGGTACTGCCGGGCCTTGGGTCCTTTGGTTGCGGAGGGAAGATTTGCTGCGTGGACAATACGACCGTAATCGCCCTAGCTGGCATAGCTCACGTTAAACGGGGATGGTCTAGCCTGTAGGGGTGGTCTTCTAGAAGAACCACTAGAATCGCATGCAGTGTTAGCCCAGCTAGGAACTCCTAGTCATAGTATGCATATGCGGGACTGCCACACCGACGAGACGGTGCTCTCACCTATTATTAACCAGGTTCTTTGGCCCACTTGTCGCGTGTCGGCCTAAGCCGGGGGGAAGGAAGGGAGATACGACAATTGGATTTTGGAAGAAGAAAAAAAAAAGAACGATTATGGTCCTTCGCTTTTTTACATACCTAGTATCGTCCCACAAGATGGGGTTGTTATTTTCCCCCGACGGATTTTCGTTATATTTATATGTGTCAGCTTTTATCGGCGATTCGACCCAGCCCTCGAACTATATCAGCTATGACCAAGGCTAGCTGCTGCTCAGATCCTCCTACTATCTATTTGGGGCCACTCAGGTATTATGTATGCAGTAACCTAATTACTGCGCTCGTACAAGTTTGACGATGGAAGTTTGGGCGAGCCGGGATAGCTGGATAGATCTCGGTCGAATTCTGAGCTCTTGGCACGACGAAGATATTTGGAGAGCAAGGGAGGTTTGCCGACAAGCTGAAACTCGAAAGCCTGACTCGTCGGCACGTAGCATGTGAAGAGGGCAAACTCCAGTTGAATAATAAGTTCTAATACACAGACAATGCGGGACGGCGGGATGGGAAAAGGCTACTATATAACACAACTTAGTAGCTATGATTCATCCTCTAGCAAATATCCGGCTATTTTCGAGACGAGATTTCGACCAAAAAAGAACCTCATATCTATAGACATCCTACCTGAGACAAAATTACGGCCACGATGAATATTATCGGGTACTGCATCACTAAGATTATAACTGTTGAATATAATTGGTCAAACCATCATTACTGGTCGGATATCATCTCCCACATCTAAAATCCAGGAACAGTCCAGCATACCCTACCTAGGTACTGAATTCCAAACCCGAAACTACCTAACATAGCCACGGGATTATCCCAAATCCCAACTATGCGATAGTAGAGAATCTGAGGAACGGTGTGTCGGAGTAACACCTTGTCCACGACAGGGAATTCGGAGGCTGGTCGCTTCTCTGACCCCTTCGAGAGGAAAAGTACCTAAATAAACTACTCCGAATTGTTGCCAGAGAATCTTACAGGCATTCCCCTACCATTATTTGTCGGGAGTTATCACTAGACTACGAGACTACCAGACTACTAGAGCACCCATTACGTACCTAGGTAGGGATCATAGAAGGTAGTCAGACACATATTCTCATCGCAGGAAACCCGTCAAGCATGCTTGACGAATCGGAAAAGATCCTCTATCTCAATGTGAGATAACTATACCTGTCAGCACTCCAAGTCAGGCATGGGGAAAGCTTGGTAAGAGTTCCCGAACAGCTTTACACAAACTAACGGCTCAGCTGTCGTCCTACGATTACACGAGCAACTTGTGCTATGTAAGAACACGCATAGGTTAAGATATATTACATTCTGGTGGGCTATTACAGAAACGAGCTGTCATAATGCTCCTATACTTCCATGATCATTACATCACTTTGTCTAGACTCCAACTAATTTAACAAGCGAGTCTCTCGGGCCAGATGTAGATGGGCAACCTACATACACCTACATATACATAGATCCATGCATGTCAGTCGCTTCACATGCTTCCAAGGTTCAAGCATTCTATATTCGGCCGCATACAATTAATTATCCATGCCGCCTGGAGAGATCTTAACTACCGTTATTATTACTACTACCGCACTACATCCCATAACGACCTAGCAGCCGGTTTGAAAATGACAGCACATCCAACAACTCTTGACATACGTGAACGGATGGATTACACCAGAGAGATCCTTATTTCTATTCAGCTTCTAGTTTGGCTCCTGGCTTTCTATCTGCTGGAAGTCTATTCCATCGCAACCAATAGTTCGGCTAATTCTAACTCTCGGAATGTGCGGAAATGCCACGCATCCATGATCCTACACATAATCAACCGAGTCTCTCGCCTGTTATTCTCGTCGTTTTCTTCTGTTGTTTAGAGCACAGGCCTATCACCAACCAGCCTATATTTTTTTTCTGTCGCGCCCATCTCCCTGCCGCATCCACATGGTTCCATGTTCTCTCCACCTATTAAATAATACTGAGCAAGGTCTCGGGTCTAAGGGAAAGCGTCTGCTCCACTCGGAATCCCGTTGATCTATCAAGCAAACGAGCAAAGCCGTCCTGGTGACTTATTAAACGAGTGGTTTCTATTGGTTTGACGCTCCCATTGCTCCAATTAGTATTACAGGATTCAGCCAGCAAGCTAGTTTGTTATGTAGTACTTGAGGCGTTTTTTCCCAGGTCTGCAGAACAAGCCATTCACCGGTTTCGATGGTGTTAGTAATAAGTCCGACTCCCAGAATCTGATGATCAATGCTACTTCACCGGATGGGCGTGACCGTGCGCTCCCAGATCGGCGTATGGCCCCTCATGAATCCGGGATTACCAATCTCACAACGCTTTCCTGCATAGATACACCCCTGACCGAACTGCTGAACCCAGAGAGGCTGGAGCTTGGGACAGTGCTTGCCTGCTAATACGGTAGCAATGGAGTGGAACTGGGTGCATCGCATCTAATACGAAATAGCCGGCTCGTCGCTGCAACTCTAAGGGTCGTTATGAGAACAGGACAAGAAGTCCTCTCGTGAGGTTAGCCTTTCAGTATCCTCGACTCGGTTAAATTAGGTAACCTTTGCCTCGAGTTCGTCTGATCTCGACCCGGCCGTCTCGACACTACGTGATCCGGGGAACGTCAAACGGCGCACACGTGCGCACACGGGACATAATGTAACCATCATGTCCGTAAGGTAGGGGTTAAGAAAACCATACGCTTATTTCTCATTTGAGGATGACATATTTTCCATTGCGTATTCCCGCCGGGTGCTTATTGGATTCTCTTACGTAGTACAAGACTGACTTGCATCGCGAGCCGTCCCGCTCCGTATGACCTCACCTTCGTACCCGGCTAGGCGCAGAGGGAATCCGATGTCATCTTTTCTTACGCCCGTATACCACGAGTCTAAATTATGCTGCGGCTCGATGCATTCGCCTATGCATGTCACCCGTCAGCGCCGCACGTCTGAACGCAAGAGTTTGCTGTCACTGTTGCCCATCCTTACTAAAGACAGAGCGATTTTCAAGTTTCATTAAAAGAAACGCCTCCTCTTCCGGGCTTTTGGGATTCCTTTCTCCGGGCCGTTTGTTCAGCCCCCCCTGAACAACCTACCTCAGCCGGTTCGGCTCCTTGTCCCGCAATCTCCGCACGCTTTGATATCCGGCCCACGGTTCTCAAACGATATAAAGATCTGACGAACCATTAATATCAGACTTGGTAGCTTGACTTGTCCAATGAAGTGAGCCCCATTCGAGTCGTTCGCGTCACTAACGTTCCTTCGGATGGAGGCCTTGAACACATACTAATCTCCCCGGTCTCCTTGCTGTTTTTGTCTTTTAGCCTAAACGAAACCCTGCCCCCTATAAAATAACGGATTTGGAAACACCCATGTGCTATATTGTCCGTGCTAGTCCAACAGAGGAGAATCTCGATCTGATAATACGGACTAATCAGGGCGCAATTACATACCAAATTACGACAGGAAATATGCTCTCCCATCCTGATTGGGCCATTGTATAACGGATTGGGAACGATGTTCCTAACTAGGCAAAGTATATTTAGCTTCGAAGCTGTGCGACTCTCGGATGACGCTCACTCTAAGTTCAAGCGTCTAAGTATAGATTACTGATGTCCGATTTAAAATCCCTTTCTAGACCTCAATGCCATCCGCTTGGCTTCAGTAATGTTACAGTTCCAAACTTCACTTAGATACGATGACCTCCAACTATGGTCACGGGAGAGCAAAGCTTCCAATCCTTTCCCACATTTGAGTAGTTGTTCCATGGAACCATACCGAATAATTAATTGCCATATTCTTCCCGTAAATTCCGTTGCCACAACCTCTTCCTTTGGCATCTATACCTTAGGTACGCAAGTAGGCACTACGTATCAAGGATTCGCCACGTCCTTCGGTATACGAACCGTATAAGAGATGTAATATCATATAGGAAAACGGGCGAAGCGGCCTGAGAAAAAGTTTACGGAATAAAGTCTAGATGTGAATAAGGCCGGCCTGGGTTCACGCCAAGACTTATGGCGAATTGTCTCAACTCCTTCGATATATTATATTATGTTATCAGAGGTAAGTAGTGGCGGAATCATGAATAGAAATTTGCTTATTCGTTCGTATGCTAAAGTTCCACCAATAGCTTTTGTTATAGCCCCCGATTACTAGGAACTTTGGCACTTTATAGAGTTTTCTCATTGTAGTTACTAGGAATTTTAAGCACTGATACTGGAAATACAAATCTACTAAAATAACATGATATTATCTTGAGCTTCTGGATTTTAACAGTAATAATCTATCCACCTTTGAGCATTCGATACTCTTAAAGCGCCATCTATTTTTTTTTTTGTCCATGTAAGGATATACTATATACCTTGAATTATTTACTTAAGTACTCTCTAATAGTAATTATATACTTCCAACAATCAATATAGTGGCAAGCCTCTCGTTATGCTATATTACTCGTTTGCCGATTTAACATGATACTGTATATGCTTCTTGCTACACCATCGAATAGTCAGACTGAAAGAACGTTACTAGAGAAGGGAGAATTCCCGCCTTCGTTTAAAGTCGTATTTTGAGCAGTTTTTAATTCTTGCTAGTATATTGCTATAGCATGTGAAGATTAATACATACTAGGAATATAGTCATACCCTTAAAATATCCTGAGTTGGTATCTGCCTTAGGAATACCTGTCATTTAATTCTGGAAAGCCGATGGTGTACTGGTTAATGCTATATTATTCTTCTCTGCTAAGGCACTTAGTTCTCTCGAGGTAGTAAAACGTACTAACAGCGTATTGGAAATGAATGAACCCGTTAGTTTGATATATATCATCCCTTTTATACAAGCTGATAAAATGTACCTTTTGAATTTCTTTTTCACCCTCTTATACTGACCGCCTGCCTTGACATTGAAAAGTCCTTTGCGACAAACCCCAAACATACCATCGCCTATACCAACTATCCCTAACCACACTTGTCCACGAGACATATATATCCCAACTCGCGTCGATCGCAGCATTCACGACCAAAGAGTCTTCGGCCTCTGCACCAGCTCCCCGTCAATCCTAACCTCAACCCCTTCCTTCTCGTGGTAGAAGCACAAACACCCCGCAATGCTCGCGCACTCCAGCGTCGGGGTCTTATAATACCACACCAAATCCTCAAACTTCCCTCCCCTTCCTTCTCCCCCGGCATCCACCTCGACATGGTAGTAGTTCGCCACGCCTTTGTACGGGCACGCGGTCGTCGTCCCGCTGTCCCTCAGCCTCACCCCGTCCCGCGCGATCACCGCCGTCGGCGGCACGTAGTACCTGCACGGCAGCCCCGTCTCGTACAGGTGGTACGCGGAGCCCGTCTGCGCGACGACCCGCCCCTGGACGCGGACCTCGAGCGCCCGCGTCGAGTGCAGCACGTCCACGCGGCGGAACGGGTCCTTGGGGTGCACGTAGATGCGCACGTCCTCCTCGAACCACGCGTCCGCGGCCCCGAACTCCACCCGCACCATGCCCGCCAGCATCTGGCTCACCGGGTTGCGCAGCGAGTATCCGAACATGAGCACGCGGTCCGTCGCTCGGTCGCCCACGCTCAGGATCGCCGTGCGGCACTGGTAAGGGCTGCCCGGGACCCAGGAATCCGGGTCGCGAAGGTGCTGCAGAATCGACAGCTCCGACACGTAGTACTGCGGGTAGTACTCGTGCTCCCAGACTAACAGCGCCATCGTCGTGTCCGCCACGTACGCGCCGTTGAACAGGATCCGCACGCGGCGGGGCGTCGCGAGCGTCTTCACGGGGCCGTCTTCCAATAGCTTGTTCCCTAGCTTGAGGAGGTCGGATTCCCCGGGTGCGTTTGCCATGTTGGATTTTTGATAGGTAATTTCTAATTCGCTTTAAGGTAGATAACTGGCAACGATTTACGGTAAGTTGACAAATATTTAGAATCGAGAGTTTTCCAGTCAAAATTTTCTTGAAGTACCTCGGCGAAGATCAGAAGGTAGTACATATACCTGGTCTACTTAACCGTCCGTTGACAACTAGGATCAACCAAGGCGGGGTAAATGTGCCTCGAGTCAAACCAGACATGTGGCTTTCAATGCTCTTACATCATGGACCTACATGATAGGTGGTGACTTTTGTGATGTATCGCTAGCTGAGGATGCAAAAAAGCTTGCGCCGTCTAACTTAGGTACCTAACTTTTTGGTTGTATGGTGCAAGCCGTTCCTATCAGTTAACAATGGCCATAGTGAAGTAGTCCTAAAAGACCTTAATCGTATAATCCAATGCGACTGCTAATCTGATATCAGCTGATCTAATATAAAGGGTATCTCTTAAATAACAATATCTTCCGGACTCAGAGGCCTTGTAAAAATATTCCTCCTATGCGTACCTTTTCTCTGCTCCTCATGAAAGGCCTAGTTCCTAAAATTCTCTCTTGTACCGTTGGTTTTCGGAACGCCCCTGAACGCATATCACTCCCAATGTAACCGCATGCCTTCCCATAATCCTGTGCCTGTTCTTATGCTAGAAATATTAAAATAAGATTTGGTGAATGAAGAGAAGTACCGAAACCCAATCATGTCCTCTAACGCCTTCGCAATGCCGTACAAAATGGTGAATGGTGTGGTGCAAATACCGCTTCGTGGTTCATCTTCACCGTGTTAACTTCTTTAATCATCAAGAAAAGGGTCGAAATCAACCTCCAACCTCTTGGCTGCGGGCTCCTCCCGGATATCCTGCTCGGTAAGCCCATGCTTGTCTAGCCAGAGCTTGCGTAGCACCTGGTAGATAAAAAGGTACTGGGCCTCAGCTTGGACCATCTGTTTCCGCTGCTCCCTGAGCGCATCGACCGTCTTGTATACAATATCCTCCCCACTCCTATTAATGTCCATTTCGAGACGATCCACGTCACCTGAATCTATTTCTCGCATTAGATGCTCAAGGGCCATGAATGTTCCACTTCTTCCCACGCCCGCTGAACAATGGATGATCCGTGGGTTATCTTCGCTCGCATTCTTCTCTTTCGACAGTCGCATGAGCTCGAAAAAACTATCAATATCCTCCAGGGCCGGAACGCCGAAGTCGGGCCACCTGCGGTAAAGAAGATGCCATACAGTCATGTCGTCCTCTCGCCCTTCGACGTCGATATTCAGTTTCCGGACCTCGATCGCACCGTCAGCATGTTCCTCAATATCGACACATTTAACCTTGGCGTGGAAACCGTCACCAAACTCGTCATCCTCTCCTATCACCCACGGTTCCTCCTCAATGGATCGAGGAAAATATGGGAAGCACTTCTCCATTCCGCCCTCGTGCGTTTCGGTCAGCATCACAATTACAGCTGGACTCTCCAGCTGCTCCACTACCATTCGCCAAACGTGATCCGTAGTCCCGGACTTGGGTCCTTGCATGGCGATATAACGATGCGGTGGCTTCGATTGGGGATCTAGGGGAGAACGAAGAGTTATGGGCGACGCGTTGATGTAATCGAGGCGACCATCAGGGACCTGTAGTTTGATGCGGTTATTGGCCCATGGCTGGATATTCGCGTACCGGTCGAGAACCTTAGTCTCGGGTGTGGTGACGCGGGCGAACTTGAAGCTTGGGGATGGGTTGTTCATTGATTCCTGCAGACGGAAGCGCTCAGCCCAGTTCAGATCGTGGAACTTAGCCTCGATATCTGCAATTAAAGTAGGTAGGACTCGTTAGCATTTCAATACTATAAAGGAACACAAGCGAAAATGTTGCGTTCTCGATGCGACATAGACATACCCTGCTGGGACTGAGTCAGGAAAGCCGGAATCTTGGGTCTGGGTGTTTCCTTGATCATCTCCTTCTCGTTCTTGTCTTCGACACCACTAGCTGGTGTTGATCTACCGAGTTCGACTGCGTTGTCTTGACTTGCTACTGCGGGTGCGGGTGAAGCAGGCATAGGTAATGAAGCTGGAGCGGGGGATCGGGCGCGCTTATGCGAATGTCGAAAATGGAACCCTCGACGAAAAGGAGACTTGGAAGGCATATCATTGCGAGAACTATGGGTATTGGGGATAGTTAAGGTTGGCAATGATCCACGACGGCCCACAGGACCAAGTTTGCTTTCCGAGGATGATTTGTCCGGAGGGGACCCAGACAGCACTCCAGAAGGCGGAGTAGTGGGTGAGGCTTTCTTAGTGCGCCGGAAACGCGAAGAAATTGACTCCATTGTGGGTAGATGACCCGTAGAAAAACGGTATAGGCTGATAGCGAGGAGAGGAGGAGAAGGGTGGAGGCGTGAGGGCCACGTAGACTCCGTAGCGGCTGGTCGCAAGAGTGAGGGGACCAATGCAAAGTAGCGTTTCCCTGAAGAGGGAGAGAAGGGCGGAGCTTGTCCACAAGCTCCAAGTAATTGGCACGAGGTAGTTGATGGGCAAATTCCAATGAGGCAAGGCAAGGCGAGGCGAGGCGAGGTGAGGCGAGGTGAGGCGAGGTGAGGCGAGGTGAGGCGATGCAAGGCTATCTACTAGGTACCTAGGCTAAGCCTGCGTTTTGAAGAAAATGGAAAAACCGTAGATGGAAGAAGATGGTTTGGTTTATATTAGAAGTTACCAGCAAGGATTAAGGCAAGATTTACCTATGATTATGGTAGAGTTATAATAACGTTAATCGATTTAAGACAATAAGTAGAAAAAAAAAACTTGTGAATTGTAGAATGGGAACTGACGTTTATTGTTTTTTTCAGTGTTGCTTTCCAGAAATTAGCTGGAAAAATATGTACCATCAACCTGGAATTGGAAAGACGGCAAGGCAAGGATGGGGGAGGCAGGGGAATTAAATAAGAATGTGGGTCGTCATTGGCAGTACAATCGGTACCCCATACATACCTGTACCCTAGGTACCTAAGTTAGTAACAATAAATAATAAGAAAAGTCCATAATGAATGAATGAATGATCTGGAAGTCACAGCCTGTTCGGCCTGTTCACATGTGCCTGACCAGCTGAAGTGGATTTTTAAGCCGAGATGCACCTAGGGTACATTTAGTACCGTTTAGTTAGGTACACTATAGGTGCAGTAGTTCGTCAACATTTAGACCTTGCAAGGAAGTTATTGATATGCCCACACATGAGGCCTATCACGTTTCAGCAAGAATACAAAAAGAGTTAACAAACCCGTCTGATAATTATATTTAGCAATATTCAGCATAGTATACTTAGCTACCAATCATTCCATCTAACTCATGAGGGTAAAAGGGATGAACGTTTTGGGAGAGTTACAGATTGCACCTTGCACAAAGTAGCTTTTTAGGTATTATCAAGCAGTTTAAGGTTTACCGGCGGTATTGAAGCGAAGCTGCAGAGCGCTTAAAATTGGTCCAAGCTTTAAGTCTAACGGCTACCAGCAATAAAGCAGTTAAGCGCCATAACTTTGTCACATGCCAAGTTGTCATATGGCCGCTTCTTGAAATTTCATACGATATAAGTCTGGTGACTTGTGAGTGTAGATTAGGTACCTACCTAAGTATAAGTACCTAGGTATCTATGAAAATAAAATTGGTCATTACTTATTACTTAATATTAGTAACCAATGGTTAATACTAGTGAGAATTTAAGCTCAAATATTTCTTTTTAAACTTTTCCTGTTAAATAGGGGCCCGCTAATGTTTGCTATGTGGTGTTGTCATCCGCCGTTAGCAAGTCGTTTGAAAACTTTAACAAATTTTGCCAATAATAGCCTAGAACACCTATGATTCAAACTACTGGTTGTACAATATCGAAAGACAGAGGACAATACGTAGCCCAAACACCTGGTACAACCAACACTTAGACACGAACTGCTGAACTAAAAGGAGATTTCTTCTTATTGGCATAATTTCTATTACACTCTAGGCATCTGACCTATGAGTGGTACACTCATACCAACTTTGAGCGTCTCTAAAAATATCTAGGTGCCTCTTGATGTACCTGGCTCAAGGTGCGCGCAAATTGTTTCCCTACTACAACAGCAGAAATATGCAAAGCAATTTTATAGAAGGCACCTAACCTACCTACTTGAACTTCCATTCTATTCGATCGTTAGGCCTTCTTTGTCTATTTGTTGATACGCACCTAGAATCAGGTAGGTAAGCAAAAACAAAAACCCTGTTGGATGAACAAATTGACTATAAAAGTGTAGACTATTTAATACGTCTTATGTTAGAAGTTACGCCTAGGTATTGAGCTGGTATGTTTTACTGTATGGCAGAGCCGTGTCCTATAGATACGCATATCGCCGTACGCTTCCGGATCTTAGGGTTACTTATTAGATATACGCAGCCCAGCGGACGAGAGCACGTTTCGCACGAACGAGTTCTCGATCGTAAGCGCGGAAGACGCAGATCCACGAGATGTACCGAAGCTACACGTTCCGTATGGTTTACATTGTTTCTCCGTTCGGGACATACTCACTTGTACCGCTCAGCCAAGAGACGGACTGGATACATCGGGCATAGACGTTGCAGGAGGTCGTAGCGCCCCCGGCCGTTACCGTGCTTTTTGTGTGGAGTCGCGGTGCCGGCCAGACGTATGTAAAAGTCTCTGGAGAAAGTTCGTACGGCCAAATAGAGGTTGGGTACCCAGTTACGCCTGGAAACTTGGCTATGATCGGGTTGGCAAATGTACATGTGGGTATGTAGATTTTACCCTTGATGGCTACGAGAAAGTCACTGCCTTTGTTAGAACCGAGGCCGCGCTTTACGACAATCCGGCATGCCTTACCCAAGATCCGGATCAATTAAATACATCCACGGCCAACCTTTTTATGGATGTATGTAATATATATATATGAAAATTGGTTAAGTATGTGTATATGCGTGGATTAGTGTAAATTATGTAAATTAAGTTATAATAAAGTGTTAAAAGCTTAAATTAAAATTATTTTTACTTATATATATTATATATTTAAATTTTATTTTATATAACGAATTTACATTTAAATTTATTAAAATATAATATTAATAAATTTTAATTTTTAAATAAATAATAATAATATAAATTAAATATTAAAATAAATGTTAAAATATTTATTAAAAAAGCTTAAAGTTTTTTTTTATATAAATTAAATATAAAAATTAAATTAATAATTAATAAATTTAAAATAAATAATTAAATTAATTATTTTAATTATTTTATTTTTAAAGTTATTTTAAGGTTTAATTATAATAAAATCGTTAATTTTTTTTAAATTTTTAAAAAAATAAAAATAAAAATTACTATTATTAAAATACTACTATTATTAAAATATTATTATTATTAAAATAACATTATTTTTAATAATACTTTAAATGTACTTGTACATTTATAAAAGCTAGGTTAACCGTTGTATGATTTATAGAAATACACTACCTAGGTGCTCAGGGGATATACCTGATAAAACATTCGCAATCCGTCTTTTTGCATCACAAGTTCCATCCCATCAAACCAGCCAATCACATATTCCAAAAGGGCGAAATAGGGAAACACTAGCATCTAGCATCTCATTACCGCACTGCTTGCACTACTACCGCACGTACAGACATATTCATATTGCATTTGCGGCTAACTGCTATCTCCAAATCCATTCACCCCATTCGCGTTTCTCGCAACAGCGCCAAACGGAGAAGAAACACGGAGCATTTTAGGTCACTATCTAGGCCGCCCGTCATCAACACACCCAACCCAGCGACCAAAAAATCCTTATACACCCCCTTCTTGCCACGACCGCACCAAATATTTCAAGTATTTTCTTTTTTCTTTTTTCTTTCTTTTTATTTACCTTAGACCAACCAATCAACCAGCCATGGAGGGATCGGCCGCGGCGGCGCACCGAAAGATCGAACTCCAGGCCCCGGAGGATCTCGCGTACCTGCTGGCCAACGTGCGGCGCGCGGCCGCGGCGCGTCTGGACGAAGCGTTCCCGCCGGTCGATGCGGCAGGGAGCGGTGCGGCCGCGGATGGCGACGAGTTGCGGACGAGGATTGAAGAGCTTGTGAACGAGGTACGCATTCGCATTTTTTTCTCTTCGAATTATCGATACATTTACCTATCTAGTTTGTTTTGTTTTATTTGTCTTTTTCCTCTTTTCGTTTTGTAGTGTGTAGGTACCTACCACCTTTTTCCACATCTGTTTATTTACTTGGTACCTATTGGATGCAGCATTCCCATTCTGGGCCTGCATGCTTGCAGATATTTATACTGCAGATTTGATTGGAGAAGGTCTTGGGTCTCGATTGGGAGGGATGAATGGTCAACTGCTATATAATTGGCATTAGTTGCATGAACCATCACATACGACCATAGGATGCAGAAAACTCGGGATCCCGTCCGCTCTCCCATAGATAAGCTGCATACCGCCGGATTAGTAGTTGGGTCGGTGACGACCAGCGAATCCCCGGTGTTGTATGTTTTTTTTTCTTTTTCATTCTTTTTTTAGACTTTTTATTATTGTTGGATTTATGTCTTACATGTTTTCGTTACATCAATGACGCTTTGTCAATTTATATTCCCCTCTTCTCCGTTTCTATACCCGCCGTTTCAAATCTACCTACGTTTATTTTATACGGGAGAACACATTTCATTATCGCCACAGTTTAGGTAAATGCAATTAACTAGGTAATTAATACTAACTTACAAAAACAGTACATCGTCAAAACTTTCACCCTAGCAGGCCCCAACCTCTCCATCAATGGCATGCCCGTGGACACGGCGCACTACCTCTCCGGCAGCCCCTCGGATCCGCAGCAGCCGGAAGAAGTCTTCGAGCCCTTCGACGCGCGCAAGCGCGCCCGGCTCGAGGAGCTGACGCGCGAGGAGGAGGACCTGCTGCGGGACATCGCCGCGTTGAAGAAGTCCGTCCCGCACGCCGCAGCCGCCTCCTGGGCCGAAGCCTCGCGCCGCGCCGTCGCCGACGACGAGCAGGCTCTGGCTGCGGTTAACGAGCGCGCCGTCGCTGCTGCTGCGAGCGGCGAGCCTTTGTTGTTAGGTGCTGGCGATTTAGCCAAGGGCTTGCCTCGACAGGACGATATCGAGAGCGGCTACGAGGACGCGGTTAAGGGCCTGGGTAGGTTGAAGCGCGAGATGCCGTCGGTGGTGGCGAGGATGGAAAGGGCGCGGGGTGCTGGGGAGTATGTTGTTACGGAGCGGTGAATTGTGTACATATGATCTATCTTCCTTCCTCTCCTCTCCTTTTGCCACCCCCTGCCCTTCCCTTCCCCTCGTCACCCCGTCCCCCTTTTATCTTGATTCGTTAGGTACGGAAATAAAAGCGGTGGGGTGGGTTTCCGATTTGCGCTGTGGTCCCCGTACCAGATTTTTCGTGTATTAGTATTAGGTGTGCGAGGCGAGACGGAATGTCTGTGCCGAGATATGCGGTAACAATTACTAGAGGATTCCAGTCTTTTACATACTTGGACCTACCTAGATAGACTAAGGGATCAATTACGTTGGTGTTCACGCGGAATTTGTCACTCTCCATGGAATATCACACAGTGCAATGTCGAAAAGTCCATACTTTTATGAGATGGTTCTGAATGTGCAACTACAAATTCAACAGCTACTACCAACTACCTCTCTTTCTATGTAGTTATCATATCTAGTTTACGGGAATGACTAGATTAGCAAGAGCTGGAACTGTGTAGATACAAATATATCATATCAATGTCTGAAATGCCTTCCAACAGTTTTCGAAGATAGCCACGTAGTTTATTTACCCTCACACAAGGGCCTGCTTGTCTCGCCCGTAAGTGGAAATAATTTGGCGATTATGAGATTTTTTATGTTTTCCCGGGACATAACTTAAGTCGTCCGAGATCAAGAAGATTTCAATAGCTCTCTCTCTCTTCCTCATGTGCTTGAATGATCCTATCTAATCACACCTTACCGACTCCCCGCTTCCTCTGAAACTTTATGCTCACCCTTTCTTCGTATACAAATGTAACATCTCCGTATGTTTGTTTTCCTCTCTACGCAGCAGCCGGCGCAGGTGTCGTAGCTCCGGCTACCTCTGTGGCGGTAGCGTCACCCGGAGCAGCACCCGCACCGTGGCCGATTTCCGTCGGCCTGTTCTCTATCGCCCCGTCGCTCTTCTCCCACCAGGCGGGCTTCGCGAACTGGCCATCGTTCCACGGACCCGCGTTGCTGAGATGGCAGCCGCCCTCGCACTGGCAGGTGCCGCCAAACTCCTTGGGCAGGTTCTCGGTGGGGATCTGGGCCAGAAGTTCCTTCTGGTAGTTGCCACCGAGGACGTGGATCTTCTCGACTGTGACGGGGTCGAGCAGGGGACGGATCATACGCCAGACGCCGGTGAACAGCCAGTTGGTGTTGATGAGGTACATGCGGCCGAGACGCTCTGGGTAGTAGTTTTGGCTCATGCCGGACGCCTCTTGGATGTAGCCGAAGACCTGGCGCGCGTTGCCGAAACCGACGCCGTTGAAGTCCATGATGGTGCAGGACGTCTCGAGCAGTTGGCCGGCCTTGCGCGAGCAAGCAGGTAATCGCGGGTCCGCCATCTTCTCGTACTCAACGGCCAAGTTGACCAACATGTGCTCGTACTCGATCCCTTCGTTCTTCATGGCAGTGAGATCGATCTTGCCGAGTTGCTCGATGTACACCGGTCGGCCGTCCTACAGAAAGATACGTATATCAGTAAAGATGCTCACCAAAGCTAATCGTGACGAATATAGTACAGAAATGCGGTTCTTCTTACCTTGTCTGTCTTGTGGTAATACTGAGGGTAGTACTTGGACACCTTCTGCTTGAAGGACCCGTCTTTGTCCCACTGGCCTATCTCTTCGTCAAGAGAGATAGTCCGACCGTCGATTTTAAGGGGCTGTCCGGCGTACAGGAGCGTCTTTCGCCAGTTTTCGGTATCGACGAACCTTGTCACCAGGGTCAGTCCATTATTCTCAACTATGCTTCTCTATTCCGGAATATCATTCGTGGCCTAAGCTGGGGAGGGGGAGCTGCTCACATCTTCTTGGCCAGATTAACGTCGAACTTTCGAGCTCGCAGGAAACGCAGCTATATTCCAAACTGAGCGTTAGCAGATTGGACACATGCAAGTCCATATACTCGGTTTGACCCGTATATGTGAATTGCTACCTTCTAGGTAGTACTTGGTAGGACACGTACCAATGTCAGAGTATCCAGCCTCTTAGTATAACCTTCAGACTCAAGTAGCATGCGTAGCTGATGAACCTGAGCTTGCTGGCCCTCGCTCAAGTGGCCAGGATGGCCAGGCTTCGCTACAGGGGCGGTGGTAGGATAGTCATATTGGTCGTACTTAGGATCGAGCTCCATGATATATGTGGCTGTTGCGTCGATTTCCTTAGGAAATCGAGCTGTTTCAGGTGAGAGGTTGCTTAATCGGGTATTATAGAAGACTATCTATCTTGGTAATGTGAATTAAAAGTTAAAAGTTTGAAGGTGGAAGGAATGTGTGTGTTAGTAGAAGGAGACAGACAAGTTTGTTGTTAAGAATGTTTTTAGGGGACTGAGGGTCGTTGATAGGGAGTTTATGTATGTGGATAAGCTGGCTTGTTGGCCTTATCCGCAAGTAGTAATGAAAAAAAAGGTCGGGGGGGGGGGGGTTAGTTACGCAGTTAGACCGTAACTCGATAAAGTGGTAAGCTAAGTAACCTAGGTAGGTAATTTTCTAGGTCATTGGAAGAAAAAAAGGGAAGTGGCGGCGCTACTCGCTACCTACCTAAGGTACCTGAGATTGCGAGCATACGGCATGCCCAAGTGGGACGTCGTCATTGGTGCGCAGCGGTGAGATCTGGGGACCCAAACTTTAATCACGCTTCCCCTAGTTGCCTATTAGGTAACTTACATAATATTTTAAGGGATTTAGGGGATTTTTAGGGGTCTTGCTGTCTGGTAGTAAGGTTCTTCTCTCCCCCTTTTAACACTTTGGTCCTTCAGGGCCTTTAATCGGGTTTCGAGCCGCTATCCGTAAAATATTATTATCTACAATACTAACAATACTAGCAATACGATACGCGTAACCAGCCTAACCAGTCCTAACCTAACCTAACCTAATCTCAATTCAATTCGGTATGCTTTTACGATGCATCGTAATAATTGCACTTCACACAACAGACCAGCAGTTTAGGTACCTCCTAGATAGGTACCTGGTATGTACCTAAGTCTAGCCCCAAAGTCAGACATGGAATCACAAGATTAGGGGGGGAGGAACCTTAGACCATTATATCCATTATGTATTAAATGAGAATAATGCCAATAATGAATCTTTATCCTTCTAATTTGCCTAACACTCATTTACAGGTTGAGATTTCTCGTATTGCGTCATCACAGCGCCGGCACATGTAGACAATAAGATTAAACCCACATGTATTTCCCATTAATCTCTCGCTTCGGATATGGTGAACAGATAGGAGGCCTCGTCAACGAAGAGGATACCAACCACGTTCCATCCGGTTAGCTGGACTTAATGGCCTACTATATCACATCATTTCATCCGTTTGGCTGGTCGCTACCAGCTTCGGTGCTCTTCCCTTTTTGTTCCTCTTCTGCCTTTTCTTTTCGCTTCTGAACAACATCCCAGTTATATACCCGCGCTACTGCTACCTCCATGGTCTAGATGGGTTGTTAGCGTAAGCTGTCTTCTTGCTGAAAAGCCTCTAAAGCATCAAGGCCGGGCATGACCACATACTGTAATCTGTTCCCTAAGGAAATCCAGGTCTTCCTCGCAGTTGGCGTAGCTCTGCTTCGCTGCCGCCAGTTTAGACGTTAGAAGGGTTTCGGCCTCGTCGATAGGATATGACAGCATAACGTTTGCCTATACGATGGCCGCATTAGCAATCAGGACGTTCAAAGGCGTGTTGCGTACGGCGGGGGTATGAGCCTTAACGTACACCAAGCCATAGGTACACCTCTTCTGTAGGGGGTATAGATGCTTTCGCGTATAGAGTGTCGTTAAGCTCGAAGGTCGTCTCAATCGGGTCCGATTCCTCCTACAAAGAAAGAAAGCATTACATCAGCTAAAGCTCTCCTGGGCAAGTTGCCGTTGGACTATCCTTACCGTCCTCGACTTGAGGAACTTGACTGTTTCCAGAGTTTTTTGTATATCCGGCATCTTGTCTTTCAACCCAGCCACTCTCCTTTGCAAGTTCAGTTCCATAAATTGATATTTACTGTAACCAGACTCGGCGTCAGTAAGGGCCTAACACGGAAATGAAAGTAGTCCTAAGAGACCTATACGACGAATAGCCGGGGTACATAGTCCAAGCTTCTGGGCTACGACGGAGGTAGTGCCTCAAAAAGTGATCGGGTTATTGTATTATGTCTGGACATACGAGATCATTTCCTGAAAACTGCGCAGAGTAGATTGGACATCGTCTCTCGAGGTAACGTAGTCCTCAACTTTATCGACGAACGGCGCCTGGGGGATTCCTCTCGGGTTCGTAGGCGCGTCATCCTTTCTACATCACCAAAAATCAATCTCGTTAGTAACAACAATAGATCGAGCTAGTGGGTGTTATTTTTTGTGCATCGTACTGGGCAGCTGGTTCTTTGCCTTTGGTTGACATATTGGGTCTATCGTGCGGCGTCTTTCAACGCATTATGAGTATAAAACAGACTAAGTTGAATCGCCGAACAATACCGACGGTCTATTGTTGTGCCTGGGTCAACGGTTCGGTGGTTCAGCGGTTCGGCGGTAGGTTAGTAGCGGGCACCTATTGGCAAGCTCCGAGTTCTAGCAAGAAAAAAGAAAAGGGGAGCATGGGCCATCGAAAGCGGGGGGTAAAAAAGCCTAGAAGCTCACCTAGCTGGCCGAGGTGAAGGAGGGGTAAAGCTCTCGGTGTGTAATAATACAATACTATCATTCATATAAAGGAATATTGCAGCTATCCTGTTTATAGAGGTACCTAGAAACAACGCCGGACACGGTGCCTCGTGGTTACAGGTAATCGATAGTTACAGGTTTTCCAAGTTTCACACTTAGAAATTTGGATGCTAACTAACATGTTACGAAGGCGTGTTACTATGATTTATAATAATTAAGAAGAAATCATCACCCCCTCAATGTTTCAGAACAAATTCTCCGTTAACTTATGCTATTGACATAATAACCTAGGTTACTTGTAAATGATATTCTTAATAGCTACCTCCTAATCTCATATAGTTGAACATACGTTGAAAATAACTAGATGATACCGAAATTAGGGAATATCCAACGACTACAAAGCGTAAGATTTACTGTGCAAACGCTCCGTTTACCTGCGCCAACCCGAAGAAATTGCAAACGACGGGAAAGACGCGACAAGGTTACAACGCAGCATTCCAACCTTTTTATAAGGTATTTCAAATCCTTCCTTTGTTAACCAGACGAGAAACCGAATACACAAATACACAAATATATAAAAACTCATTGAAGTCGTCACCATGGGCCAAGGACCGTCAAGTCAAGTTGTCCAACTCGAGACTAGGGTTGAAGATCCAGTGAACGGAGAACCCCCGCGCGGCCTTGCTCTCATAGCACACGGCCGACTTGGTGGGACTTTCGATCAGCCTCCGGTTCGCCTCCTTGCCGAGTATCTAAGGGACAAAAGAGGGCTCAGAGTTGTCACGTGGAACGCCCGCGGAATAGGTCGGAGCGAAGGGGGGAATGAATGGACTGATTTTGGAATCTGGATAGGAGACGCCGGGATCAACGACTACCATGTATACACTTCCCCTAAGTCCATCTTTTCCTCAAGCTTTCGCAGCTCAACTCAATTATGACCGGAAATGTGCCTAAGCTGACCAGGGCGTTGTGAAATATAAAGCGGATGCTTCGGGAGTCTATGGCCCAATATGTGAAAGACTTCCCCGACACGAAGGGGGCTCAGTTATTTCTATGTGTATAAACTTACCACCAGCCCAACTTCTCATCTCGCGTTTGACGAAGCTCACATGAATTCAGGGTTACTCCGCCGGCGCCGTCTTCGCCGGATGCACTCGTCCCCCGCTGTCATTCCCCCAGTTCGCCCCTGCTTATTACATTCTCATATCGTATCCGATAGAGATGAACCCTCTCATGGCCTTGCACAAATCGGGCTCCTACTTCCGCTCGGTGGAGGCGCTAGTGCAGGGTCACGGGTGGGAAAATCTACCCGCCGAGTTCGAGGGCCGCGAACCGGATGTGTCCGGGGTGTTTACCGTCACAGGCCAGTTCGAGGGCGTCTTTTATGGCCTGTGGGCGCATATTCTAGGGACTAAGAATGCTCGGCATGTCTTGAGACAAGTTCTTGTTGACGGAGCCGGACATGCGTGGGATGACAAAGCGCCGCGTATCGTCGAAGAAGTTGACAAGTGGTTGTCTAGTATATAAAGGGAAATTGTGGAGTTGGTGTGCAGCTTTTGGTTTATGGTTTATGGTTTACGTGACTTATTACTGTGGGAAGCTAAAGTGAGTTGGTTGCTTGATTAAGGGTATCCCAAGTTATACGTAACGTGTCTGAAATATTTTAATTCGCACTAATAATATCATGGAAGACTTGAACGAATTACAAATGGTCTGAATATGCCCTCAAGGCTTGTGTGACGTATATTAAGATCGTCAAGTACCTAAGCTATGAAGTTAAATAAGCGCAAACGTTACCTACCTGCCTAGGTAGGTAAGAATTACAAAGAATTGTGCTTAGTCGACTTCGGCTTGAATTTATTTCTTTGATTTCCCTAGAGGGGATACATCGATACATCTTTACAGGTACCTACTACAGGTACTTTAGATACACCCAGGTACTTAAGGTACATTCCTAAAACAATTTAGGTACCTAACCCGGCGTACCTATGTGAATCAGATCTTAGGTAACCCGAAGGATTGGTACTCGTCTTGCCCTTACAGCGGCCTTAGTCTGCAATTCAATGTAACACACATTGTCTTCGGTGTCTGGTCGTATTCTAGAATGACCCATCACGACAGGCCTTGGCTCTGGACTAGATATAGCGGGCGGAGTTAAACACGGTACCGATCTGGTCTTGGTAATACTTACCTGTATCTAGGTAATCTCGATTTGTCAGCTCATTGAGACTTTTCATCATACCTATAACCTACGACCTATAGTAAGAATAATAATATAGCTTGAAACCTCGGCCTCTGTATTTTTGTTGCGTCTTGTAGTGTTTATTATTTCAGAGATAACGATACTAGTTTATACGACCTAATTATAAAGCCGTATTTTATTCCAGTTTCAGCGCATTTCTAGAAGCTATATATCGTATAAGGCCATAGTAGTACAATATGACCAACTTCAGCATCAAGATAGTATCAGACACCGTCTGTCCATGGGTAAGTCGCTCCTGCAACAACTCGATGGAAACATACTACATGCTAAAGTGATTTGATATCTAGTGCTATGTCGGCAAGAAGCGTCTAGATCGGGCCATCGACCTCTACCGGAAGACGTATCCCGACGGCAAGGATGACACCTTCACAATCTCGTGGTTCCCATTCTATTTGGACCCGACGTCGCCGAAGAAGGGCGTTCCGCTCGTCGAGCGCATGGTCCAGCGTTTCGGCGCCGACAGGTTGGAAGCCATGCAAAAGCGCCTGGAGCTGATAGGACGCGAAGAGGGTATCAACTTCACCTTCAAGGGCAAAATTGGAAATACGCGCGACTCGCATCGTCTGATCCAGCTCGGCAAGACGAAGGGCAATGACGTCGAGAGCCGTGTTGTGCTGGAGCTGTTCAAAACGTACTTCGAGGGCGAGGGCGACATCACCTCGCACGATACGTTGATCGATGCCGCCGAGAAGGCCGGATTGGACAAGACCGAGGCGAAGGACTGGCTTAGCAGCGATAAGGGCGGAAAGGAGGTCGACGAGGAGGTCCAACAGGCATATGCCAAGGACATACATGGCGTACCGCACTTTACCATTCAGGACAAGTATGTAATTGGCGGAGCAGAGGATCCCCAGACCTTCCTGGAAGCGTTCGCGAGGGCAAAGAAGGGCAATTGAGAGGGTGCAGGGCCCGTTGGTCGTGATTATCGTAGGGTTTGGTAGATGGCGTTTAACCGCGTTGGTTAGGTAGAAAGGGGTATCATAGTTCACATGGTTTATGCACTACATGTTCAGTAATCCACCGAGATCCTGCTCTATCGCCTTCAATCTTCCCTGTAGCTCTCTCTTTCTTCTTTCTAGTTCCCGAATTTGCTCCTCTTCTCTTATGAGATCCTCCTCGGTCAATATCTCTTCTTTCTCCACAGCAGTGGCTTCCTCGCCATCTTCCTCTTCTTCTTCATTCATCCAATGGTCTTTATTCATCCTCCCCAGCGCCTCGGCCTGTTCAGCTACTTTCGCTTCATAGTATGCCAATGTATCACGACTATGCGTATACTTTACTCGTTGCGCCGCGATTCGCTCTAGCGCACCGGGTAGAGGGTAGACGCCGCATAGCTTCTCCGCGCCTTTGAGTAAGATCTCGACATTAACATCGTCTTTCCCACGTCGTTCGCTCCGGCGGATCTGATCGTGTAGGTCGCCGCCTAGCACAGCTGCCACAGCCGTATGGCGTCGCGGGGCACCTGCGTTTCGACCCGAGTTGCTGCCAGATGTCGTAACTTCGCCGGACGCGACATTGAAAACAGTTTGGCGGCGTCCGGACTGTTTCGGAGGATCTAGATTCTGGGACGTAGAGAGTGGAGGAGGAGGAGGGACAGAGAATAGGGCTCGTTCGTGGGCTTCGGTATCGCGAATTAAAGAAGTGATGTCATCGTTGGCAAGAAGGGCATTGGTGAATATTTTGGGTGGTGGGAAGCTATTTGAAAAGTTGATTAGCTCCGGATGTGCAATTGAGATACGACTCGGAGGATTTAAGGGTGTGGATACGTACGGAAGACTATCAATTCCTTGACATGATATCGCAATTTGCTCGAAATGCGCCGAGAGGAGCGACATGATGAAACGCGTTTGCACTCAAGTAAAAAAAACCAAACAGTTACTGTAACTGAAGTGAATTTAATTAAAAGGAGAGTTTAAAAGATGTGCTCCTTGAATGGAAGTGACAGATTATCTGAGCGTCTGGGCGTCTGGAATATCTGGAGCTGTGTTGAAATAAAATGAAATTCATCCATTCAACATCAGACGCGACTTAATAAATGTTACCTAGTACTTCGTAGGTACCTTCTTGTGTCGCAATACCGCCTGTGTTGACCCCTCCTGCTAAAACTGGCCTTACCAACGCCACAACTCCCCCACCATGTGGCTTTAAGCACCCGCGTATTGTTGATATAAGCTTGTTGTTAATCTCCAATTCCAGTATTCTTATATTTTTTTTTTCTATTCAGAAGTCTTGAACGATTTTATGTTCCAGGGTAATCTTAAAACAGGACAAGATATATCTGCCGCTAACAACAATTCTTCATTGTCAATTGCTCCGTCTCGGATGAATTGGAGAGTTTAAGAATCAACTTTACCCCTACATATAGTTTCCCGTCCCATCGGGTTTAATCTACATTCTGCCCAAGTAGGCAAGTCTATGAGCTGCAACCTTTTCTAGGGGCAAAAGACGATGGTTATAATCACTTATGGGATGAGTTCGCTCTATTATTCCTCCAAATCATCTGGGTCACCGCAGCGTCGGATCGCCACCTGACAACAGCATCACGCATTGTGAACGGGGAGATAACAAGAAAGCTACGACGTATTGGCACTATATTACTTGCAGGCCCTGCAGGCTCGGGGTATCCCTGACCTCATCAACAGCCAAGCAGTGAATTTTTCACATCCCCCACCACTGCTGCGTCTCTTCTCTTCTTTCCTACCTGCAGGAGACAAGACTTAAGATCATTGGGCACAACTAAGTAGGATGGGTAGCATGAGTGCTGCTACCTGAACCCTGGTCTATTTTTGAATTTCCTCGTACAACCTCTGTAGCCCCAGGGGGCCTCGGTCGGGAGCCCTTGTTAGACGTATTGGCGAACAGCCTACATACCTATCTACTATGTTAGGTATTGGTATTTGCATACGATAGGTTATGTGTCTACCTACCTATAACGTTATACATTATACAACATCATACGTGCAATACAATATGTTTGTTTTAAGCACCTAAACAAATTCAGATCGTTAACCAGTGTTAATCAGTTTTTGAGACTGAATGTTTTTTTCGGTCAGCGTCCAGGGTCTAACAGGACCGGCTGAACAGTTCAAATAACTTTGACCTACCCTACCTTTCAAGTAATATTCTTCTGACTTATGACATAACATCCTGTCACAACCTCGGTTTGCTGCTATCCTGAACTTCTTCACTTTCTTTTACTATATGCCTCATGCCTCGTGCCTCACGCCTCACGCCTCATGTCTTATGCCGCACGCTGAATACATGTCGCATTTTCTCTGGATGCGCTATGCCTCCCAACGAAAAGTAACCAGGGACTCCTGGGAGCATTGGTGCCCAAGCCGCAGTCTCTGCGAAATCCTCCGCTATAGGCTAGTAGACGAGCAGCTAGACCCGTTTTCTTCTACTCTGCCCTGCCCGGGAGTCCGCAATCTTTAGCCTAGCTCAGGTATACCCTTATGTTCACAACCTTATTATTACATGGATAGCAGACTTGTATATGTATGTATTTGCTAGACACTATAAGATTGTTGGTAGGCCCCAAATACAAATGTCCGCCCCTCTTGGTCTCTGCACACATGAGATTTCTCTCTCATACGTACCAGAGCTTGGACAGCAGGAATACAAGCCGTCAGACTTTGTCTCCTTATCTGGAATAAGTCCCCAGCCTTTTAAAAGGGTTCCGCAGATTCTTTTTTTTTTCTTGGGTTTCTCAACCCTCTGACCCAGGCGACTTGACTCCTGGAGATCCACAAGAGGGTTTTTGCGCTACACAGATATTTCAAGCATTTCAAGCAATTTTGTCAAGAGGATAATCTTCCTTTCTCTTTCTCGGTGGCGGTCTTTGCCTTCCTATCGACACCGTCCTCCGTTGCTAATGAGGACTATTTAAGACTTACGAAAGCCAACACGGCCAAGTCTAGATACGTCGACTCTGGATCTTAAAGCTACAGCATAAAGGTCGCATTCTACATCCGCGAGACGATTCCAATCCCATCGTCTTTGTGGAGGAATTGTAGTAGCGGTGTCCGGCCACCCTTGATCTTCTAGAATTTCCAGGAGACTAACATGACCAGTTACCGGAGTCCAATAACTTCTCCGCGTTGGAGGTTTTTGCTCTGGGTGCTGACGCCTTAAAAGTCCCTCGTTCGCCTTTATCTCCCCCGCGAATTCTACCCCACATTGTCTAATTTTTAAAAAAGTCAATTGCGTCGACAAGATCACGCAAGACAAGGGAAGACGTAAATTCTCGGGCGGGAAGTGCTCCCACACGAAGCCGACATCATGCGGCCACACACCCCCTCTCTGGATACAGCTCACGTAGCAGCCGTGGCCGCAGGACCTACTTCACCGCCAGAGACGCCAACTAATGGGTCACCCAAGGCCCACCGCAAAACAACAGCACTAAACGGCCGCTCACAACGGCATTCAAAGGCACACAGCCATCAAGACCACCTAGCCAACATCCGGCCATTAGGTGGAACTAAATTCAGTTATACTAGAGCGCCGAGGCCCGAGGAGATATCACCTCGTTCCTCGCATTCCTCCGATGAAGAATCTGATTCATCTGCAAGCCCCCCGCAGTCGCCACTCTCGGACGTACCAAAACTGCGCCACCAACACGTGGAGCAGGCAACTGCAGTCCAGGTCGGACAAGCAGCCTTCTCAATTGAAGAGTTGAGTGACGATTGTGCTCTTAATACTGAGTATGATCACCTGGATGTTATTCGACCGTATGCTTTTGAGTACGCCCGTTCGGATCGAAGCCGAAGTAGGTCAAGCTCCCGGCATCGGCCTCCGCCGGACATGGATCCGGCTGTAATGGAAGGTATTGAAAACCTAAACACCTTCGAAGATTCGGATGAGGATATCGATCGGAATAACGAAGAATTCATTCGGCATCTTCAAAAGACACGTGAGGAACGCCGCCTTAGGAGGATGAAGTCCGGAAGTCTTAGCAAGCGAACAGTAAGCGAGCGGGACAGCGATTCTGATAGAGAGGATGTACTTCCATATTACGAAGGGAACGAGACGGGCCCAACTCGTCGGATGCGGCGAAAGGTTGGTGACCGAAGCAGTATCCAATTCACTGGCCCGCTTCCCGAACGGATTGAGGAGCTCAAGGAGCCGAACAGTGATGACGAAATCATTCTAGAGGATGCAGAGATTCTCGCAAGAGAGTTGCCATATTGGACTCTGATGGACGTTGACTCCGAATAAGATGATCAACTTTATACGTTACAAAAAAATAAAATCGCACTTGCTTGTAGGAGCAGAAACCAGACCCGAACCGATCCAACCCAGCATTAAAGCTTACGATTACATGGCATTTTATGAAGGTGTACGCATTGATGTTGACATCTTAATTGTCATGAAACTTGACCAGCGCAATAGGTCCGAACTCGGAAAAGATGATTTGCAGCTATCGAGACCGGATGATCTGAAGTCGCAGGAGCTGTCATCTCAGCAATATGTATTCAAATTACTTGCATAGAACACTGGCTACATGGCCTTGGGAGACCGTCACGGAGGGCTCAGCTTTCCCCTTTTTTCCCCCTTTTTTTATTTATTTCTCAGCTCGCTTTTAGATACCGTACCTTAGACTTGGACTTAGCGGGTGGACTGGGCGCTACTGGGCGATGACGACGACGACGCCGACGATGTAGATGATATGACGATGATGACGACGATAACGATGTCGATGAAACTTGCATAGAAGTGGCAGCTGCGAGCGAAAAATGAGGCCATGCTCTTCTAAGTTATTTATAGCATATAGACTTTGGATGCATGGGTTGCCGGCGGTTTGAGTAGATCTGTCATCTTCAGTTTGGGATTTCCACAGCGCATATAATAGGTACTTATTACTGAGTAGTTGTGGAATCCTTGATATTTTAAGAAGATGCAGGCGATAATTATATATGTTAGTTTGCCAACGACTGCATTATTCTTGATGCTTATGTTCTTTTTTTTCTATGGATGCTTCTTTTACCCAACTCGACTGTTTACTGTTTAGGGAGACTTATACCTAAGATTAAAAGAAAGATATGACTGGTATTTAAGAGAGCAACTTGGGCTGAACAAGAGTGAGAAATATATATCAAGCTCAGGAGTATGGTACACTAGACCCTGCGAATCTTCATTAGTAACTTGTTAATTATGACTAGATCAACTCATAAAATAACTATTTGGAATAAAAAAAGCTTATAATTGGCATATATTGGTAACTAGCATAAATAAAGAGAGGTGTTGTAATTCAATGATACCGTCACTCTCTTACAAATAGATACCCAATAGGTATGATAAAAGGCTAAGTACTTTGAAATGTTGTAGAGGTACTTCGTGTCAGACAATGGATGCACACGTGACTATTATCATTTTGTTGCAACTGTGCTGTGCCATATGGAAATACCTAGGTACGGCACATCTTGTACATAGTACACACATTAAGCTTAAGCCCCAATCTTATCGGTTGTAGTACGTCTAATCGTACGTCAGCCTCGAGCCTGTCAACGCGTCTCTGCAACTTTCATCAACCTTCTGTTTAATTAACTTTTTTCTTTCTGTATTTAACTTCTCTTCTTTTGCCGGTGTTCAGTGCACGCCGAGCATAAATATTGTCCTGTGCCCCTCCAATTCCATTTCATAATTCTTTCCTCCGACTTTCCATCGCCGATTCCTAACCACCCATATCAATTGTTAAGAGACGCAACATCTTTCCTTTTAAAGACCGTCATTCGAATCATCGACTACGACGTAAAGGATGAATCCAGCTCAGGGGCAGCCTGCCCAAGGGCAGAATACCTTGCGACTTCTCCGACCGGAGCAGATGCGCACGATCACGTACCTCACCGATGACGAGAGAAGAAAGTACGAACAAGGTCTCCAAGGACTATACCAAAAGATGGAACAGTTCGGCCCAGAGACCCGGGAGCATCAAGAAGCTAAAGCTAAAGTCGTCGAGTTCTCTCGCATGGTTATCAATAAGGTTAAAACCCTTCAAGCACGAAGTCAAGCTAGCTCTCAAGACCAATCAAGCCAGGCCGGTCGCCCCAATCCGCAGCAGCAGAACATACAGGGCGAGCAAGCTCAGAATAACTTGGCTGCACCTCAACGGCCTGTGAGTAGACCGGTAGGAGTAGGACCGAGCAATAATGCTGCAGCTCCTGGTGCTGCGGCGCCCAATGCTCCTCAGGTTGGGCAACAGGCGCCCCAAGGCGTGCCCAAGGCTTTAATGGAGCATGTTAACAAACTGCCGTGGCATGCTCTGCGAATACCTCCCCAGATATCGGCGGACCAAGGCCAGAAATGGTTGACGGAGATGAAACAGCGCTATCTTCGGAATCTTATGCAGATGGAAGGTATCAAGTCTAAGATGACTAGAATGGACGCCATGGTGAAAGAGCGACAGGAGAAGGGTGCAATAACTGCCGAGGAGCTCAGAAAGTATCAGGAAACGAAAGCCCAGGAGCAGAAGACGTATTTGGAGGCATCCCGGTTTCTCGAAAGTGTTCGCGCACAGATGAAGGCCTCTCAAAATGTGGGAGCGGCGGGCCAGAATGTCCAACAGGGTCGACCACAACCCATGCAGAACCAACCGACTCACCCCATGCAAGTAGCGACGGCATCTGTAAATGCAGCGATGGACGCAGCGAAGAACCAGCAATTAGCAGCCTCCCGGGCAGCGGCCTCTGCGGGACAGCCGCAACCGCAGCAGCCGCAACAACAACAACAGCCTCAAGCGCAACCTCAGGCTCAACCACAGCAGCAGCAACATCCGTCTCAGCAGCAACACCAGCAACAGCAACATACCGGGACTCCTGTTACCCCAGCTGCACCTACCCCAACTACGCAACTTCCACACCAGCAGCAACATCAACAGCAGCAACAACAACAACAACAGCAGCAGCAGCAGCAGCCGCATCCTACGCCTGCCAACCAGCCCCAGGTCAAGAACGAACCTACCAACAACATGCCGCATCCACCGCCGGTCAACACCGCTCTTGCTGCCGCTACCGCTGCGGCACACATACCTTCTGCGGGAACACCGACTCAAGCCTCGGCGCGTGTCCAAACCCCTCAATCTGCAGTACAAGCAGCAGGATCCCAAGTCCGACCACTAACTCACGCCGCCGCCGTTAACCGTGCCAATTCGTCAACTAACGTCACCGGCCAATCGAATGGTTCATCTGGTGGTATCGCGCCAACTCCGGGATCTGGTAACTTGGTCAACAACGCAAACCATCATACTCACTCTCACGCGCACCCACAATCCACCACACCTGCAATGAATCCCAAGATGCCTATCAGCAAAAACCTTCCTTCGAAAGCAACGGAGATTCCACAGGCCGTCAACGTCGGCGGAGGTAACACTGCCGGTCGCCCTTCCTACGGTGGTGGTAGTGCAACCGGAGGTGGAACTATGAGCCAACCCGTTATTCCCAAGATGCCTCCTGTCCAATTTGATGCCGAGGGTGAACACTTTCTTTCTAAGAAGAAGCTTGACGAACTAGTTCGCCAGGTCTGTGGAGGTGGCACCCCTGGTGCGGACGGCAACTATCTGGCCCCTGACGTTGAAGAGGTAAGTTCATCGCAATCGATAACTGGGTCTATCTGTCTGTTTCTCAGCCGCATTCGATGCTAATAAGTGTTTTCTTAGTCTGCCCTCAGTGTTGCCGATAACTTCGTCGACAATGTCCTGCACACAGCTTGTCGCCTCGCCAAAGAACGTGGAAGTAAGGTACTAGAAATACGGGACATTCAGCTCGTTCTCGAGCGCGTTTATAACATCCGCATTCCGGGATACACGTCAGACGAGTTGCGAACCGTACGAAAGGTACAGCCTTCGGCTAACTGGATATCTAAAGTCCATGCCGTTCAGGCCGCTAAGGTGATGCCTGGTAAGGACGACAAATAGGATATGTCTCCTGCCGGTAAACCCGGGGGACGGCGCGCCCCACCACGTACTACACGTACGCAACCCAAGCCCGGAACTTCTACCTCTTCCCAATCGGTTATGAGAGAGAATACAGTCGATGGTAAGAAGCGTAAGAGACCTGTTGGTGATGCGGAGTAGTGAAGGGGGGTTTGTCCGTCCATGAGACTACGATGGACTGGTTGATTTCTATGGCGAGAAAATGGAGTTATCGGTTTAACGTTTCCATGATATGGATCAGTCTAGGAAGGGAAGGATGGGCTATTATATCATTCTGGCCCGGCGTTTCGATGGTTTTTTCTGCGAAAGCCTTTCTTACTTGTCTTTTACGCCCAGGCCTCAAACTTAGATATCGCTGTCAGTCCAGTGCCGAGTGAAGTTACATATACTCATCGCGGCTAGACGGAGCTTGATCAAGGCTAATGGACATCGCGGTGTGCAGTATTAGTACCTGAGATACCTACCCCTAGGTAGTAAGGTAGCTAACATGAAATATGCGTGGTTTTAGACTTGATTTTAATGGATGCGAAACTGTGATGTGTACTAAAAGGGGATTGCCACCTACTATTAGGCGGGTATAATGTACTTATAATTCGTTGCGGATTAGCAATATCATTCCATTCATTCATTGTGATTAGTATAGTCTCTTCCTGCCATGCTTTTTTTTACCATGGATAATTGGTTTACTTGTAATGAATTATCTGGCCAGTCCTAGAATGGCAACTTCGCCCCAATACCACTTTTCTTCCCAAACATCGTCCTGAGATCAGCAACCAGCTCGTCGGGCTTTTCAAACGCGGCGAAGTGACCACCGTGTTCGTGTCTCTTTTCAAACACCACCGGTCCCACTACAACGGGCAACAGTTAACGAAGGACTAGGTTAAAGAGGTAAAGTAGAAACAAGAACTTCTCAAGAGCGGAACTTACATTTCGCCCACGAACTCGGCACGACCGTCACATCCATGGGGAAATGCGACAGCCCCAAGGGGACCTTCCCGTTCCACGCCTTGCTGAGCGCGGCATCGCTCGGCCGGTTCACGGTCTCGTAGTACAGCCGCACGCTGGCGTCGGGGCCGGCCTCGCTGAACGCGTACACGCTCACCCAGGTGAGGACCTCGTCGTCGGTCCAGGGGTACGCGTCCGTCCAGTCGACGAGCTTCTCGCGGATCCAGGCCAGCAGGCCCACGGGGCTGTCGGCCAGCGCGAACCCCACCGTGTGCGGTCGCGTCCCATGCAGCTGCGCGTACCCGCTGCCCCGGTCGCGGAACCAGCGCGTGCGCGCGAGCCCGGCTCTCTCGGCCGGGGTGTACAGATCCAACGCGTGCCGCAGGTAGAGGAGCGGCGAGGAGAACAGGGTCGGCGGGGAGGTGCCCAGGAGGTAGTTTAGGTGCGAGGCGACGACGTGGTCGGGGTATAGGGCCCCCATCGCCCGCGTTATCGGGGACCCCCAGTCCCCGCCTTGCGTCGCGTATCGGCCGTAGCCGAGCCGGAGCATGAGTTTGTGCTGTGCGTGGTGGTGGTTCGGGGTTAGATGGCGGTTTTCGTACTGTGGATACATCCAAATTGAACTCTAACCTGCTGAGGAGGGTGCGGTGCTACCCATCATCCTGATGCAGGGTGGTTCAGGGAAGGGAAGGCAAGGGAAGGCAAGGGGAAAGGAAAGGAAGGGCAATGCTACGTACGCACACTTCGGCATGCTGCAATATCCCGAACCCGGGCTTCGAGGTACCTTGCGAGAAGCCGAAGTTCGGTAACGACGGAGCCACGACGTGGAAAGCCGGTTCGTCTTCTCCGGCCTTGGCCGTTAGGAGAGGCAGTATCTTGATGACTTCGAGGAAACTACCGGGCCCTAGGTATTTTACAGTCAATCCTCAATTAAACAACAGATCGAAAAAAAAAGAAGAAAAAAAGAAAAGAAAAGAAAAGAGAAGCGAAACAGACTCGCTCACATCCATGGCAGAACAGCAAGGGAATCGCATCTTTCCGCTCGCTCTTCGCATGCACGAAATGCACCTTCAAGTCGTCCTCGTGGCCGTCGACCGCGATCTTGGTCGTGAATTGAGGTAACGCATCGTTGAGCTTCGCCTCCGCTGCCCTCCAATCAAACGTATCCCTCCACGCGGTCGCTAGCCTCTTGATATCGTCCAATTGCGCGCCGTAGTTGCTGTCGTTTGAGAAGGTTGTCTCGCGCGGGAACGTCGCCAGCGCGAGTTTCGCCTTGAGCGTCTCGATCGCGTGGTCCGGCACCGCGATCCGGAACGGCTCGATTGCGGCGGAGGGGGAGATCATGATTAAATACCTACCTAAGGTACCTTAGAAGACTTACAATATGAAATAAAACTTTTATACTATTGAGAAGTGTTATATAGCAAGTAATATAGCCCCTGATTCTTCAGTATCCTTATTAGTTAGCCAACCCAAAATTAATACGTGGACAACCCATCCACTTCTGACATTAGTTTAGCCATTGACACATGTATGTACATACTAATTTAGTTGTACCACTAACTACATACAGAACACATCCTGCCGTCTTCGTTTTCGTACTCGTGTTATTGCCGGAGGGTTACTTATCATGCAGGTCTACGCATAGGTATACTTGCTATACTACGCTTCGTGGTCACAGCTGAGAGTTGATCAGCTTGAAGAATGTAACGGTGGATGTCATGCCGACGCGCGGGGAAACGGGATCGTAGTCAAGCCCGAGGCGTTGGGAGCCGGAATGCGGACAGCTCCCCGGCTACCTAGGTCTTGTGATATATGATTTCACTGTGTCTGCGGGATCTCATCTAGCTTGAAGAAGCTTCTAGGCAAACAGCACATATTTTGAGAATGGACAGTCTTCATAACTTAGGAGTAACATAAAGCAATATTAAATAAATTAATAAATCGTTAACCCCGCGGATAAGACGGTGGGTGGGAGAAGGATTTATTTCACGCAATATTCTACATATAGTCCTATTAAGAATCTAAGGGTGATGGAAGACGATTGGGACTAAAAGGAGAATTAGGGCAAAAATAGATAAAAAACGACAAAAAGCTAATTCATTGATGAGATGAATCATTGGAATGATCGAACCCAGGCTCGAACTGGGGACCTTCAGTGTGTTAGACTGACGTGATAACCAACTACACCATCCGACCGTGATGAATTGCAAGCAAATATTCAATTATATTGCAAAAGAACAGGTGTGGTGCGGTGTGGTGTGGTGCGGTGTTTTGTGGACTTGGACTGGTCTAGCCCTATTGCCACGGTCCCACCCATAGCGATGGTGATTTGAAGATTTGAAGATTTGGGGGGGTCACTGTAAGGATTGCGTTGATAACCACCACCAATGAGAGTTTAGAGAGTCTAGTCTAATGTGACAAACTTCTCTTATTACATACTGTGACGTACCGAGCCATGATGGAACGACGTCTATAGGTACCTACAACTTACATACCTACCTACCTAGTTACCTCCTAGCATAACGGAACCAGCGGGATCCGTTAGAGTTTCGTCGTTTGCGCCTCTTAAAGTTGGAGAGATTTGTAGGATGTATAAACCGGAGCCGGATAACTACCTACAACCCGCAGGCAGCCCCCCTCCCCTCTCCCCTTGTCACCAATCTTTGTTTGTTTGTTATAAAAGGTGGCTTGGAATACGTGTAACGTGAGCGTCACGAGTGAATCATATTTTAAATCAAGTATAAAGGCTGCCACCATGCTGCCGTTTGGAATACCATCGTGGCATAGTCCAGTGTTCTGGCCTCATCGCAACTTATAGCCATATATCGACGACACCTTTTTGGTAATTATAATCATGTATCGCGCTTATTATCTCGATTATCGAGACTATGAACGGAACACCTTTGGTGCCGACGAACTTGTCATTCGCCCGATCCCGCTCGCCGTTGAGACAATAGAACCCCCGCCGGCGTCTACTCCCGCTTTCCACGTCGATGTTTCAAGGGAGAGCCTTGGTGTTCGTCGCCAAAGGGATAGAGACAGTCTCCAAATTGCTTCAGCTCATTATTCAACTAAGGGTCATGGAATCGAATTAAAGGTTGGCGAGGAGAGCATCAAACTCACGCGCTCACAGCATGCGCAAACAGACGCCGGGAACCAATCGCATTCTACGCACAAATGGAAGAGCCATTCCAAGTGGAATTATAGCGCCACATTGCCCGATGGGTTGAAGCTAAAATGGGAACTTGTTGGCCAAGAACATCACCGGGAAAGCATAGAGAAAAACAGGACGCAGGCGGCAAAGACTCAACCTAGACTACGGTGCGTGCAAGAAGGAAGCGGCGCCAAGGTGCTGGGGGAGATGATGAAGAGCAATGATGTAGTAAGATTGATGACGGGCGACGATGACATCCACGGCGAGAGGGCAACGCTTGGGCTGTGTGTCCTACTGGGTTTCGTTAGCTTATACGAACGGGCGAGAGCCAGCGATAGAGGCATGCGGAAGTTCCATCTTTTTCGTCGACGCAGACAACACCCGAGTCTGACGGGGAAAACCAAAAAGCAGGCGAAAAGAGATGATGGGATAACGACGGACAAACCGGAGGAGGTAAGACAACCTAGGTTTCTGTTGTTTCCTTTGCATCTGGGTCGTTCTTGAGGATAGGTCGCTGATACTAGGCCAGACTTTCGTTTCCGATTCCGGCAATGTTCCGAATGAAATTTCGAGTCACTCGGACAAGTCGAAAACGGACGAAGGCGGATATGGGAGAGTAGGAGAAAAGGGAGATAAAGGAGATGGCACTAACGAAGGGGTTAGAGGCGAAGTATAAAATTATAGATGAGATTTAGAGCAGGTGATGCTCCAACCTAGTGCTTTTGTACGTAATTACGGGTTTCGATAGTCTGCCTGCCTTAGCTTTGGAGTTCTTTGTGGAATGGCTGGTTCGTTTTTCTTCGCATGCGCTCATAGAGGTAGTGCAACTCTCAGCTTGTTATTACATCGCGGAGAAATTAATGTATCACAAACACTAATTAGGTACCTCTATTTACTCTGCCTTTCTATATGATATAAATGAACGCCATCTGATGCATGAAACCACATATCAAGTGCCTAAGCAAGAGTCCCTATATTACCTCCATGCCAAGTTTCCAATATCCTTTCCGCTCCTTTCTCTCCCGCAACCATCACGCCGAACTGCGGGTTGACCGTTAACGGAGAGAGGATTGAGGCATCGACGACGTAGATATTCTCGGTGCCAATAACCTTCGTATCAGCGTCGACACACTTCCCAATCCTGCACGAGCTGGACCAATGCTGGACGGAGCCGACCGCATAGTCGGACCAAGTGGTAATGTAAGTACGGATCTCCTCTAGAGTTGAGTTCTGAGGGATGTTAAGCGGCGTGAGGCCATCCGCAGCCGGGGAGTCGGGCGTCGAAGGCGGTAGAGCTTGGAAGATGGTGTGGATGAACTTTGCAATGTTCTCGGCGTCGCGGGGGTCACTATAGTAGACACCAGAGCTAGGACCTGGTACGTACTTTTCGTCGTCTGACAAGATAACACGTCCCGCCGAGTACAAGCCCGAGGTACCGTAGATGTTGAGCGTGATGGTCTTATTGTCTACAAATTCTCCGTGGCCGGATGAATCAATAGTACCTTGGACCCCAGTCTTGGTACCGTCGGGATTGGGCACGTACGCCCAGAAAGCAGAGGTCTGGGACGCAGAAGCGTAGGGGCCGCTGCGTGAAGATAGGTAAAGATCTCTGTCTGCAGGGATCGGGTTGTTGTAGTCGTGCACGTACGACTCAATTTCGGGCCCGGTGAGTTCGATGAACGTGTTCGGGTTATCAAAAAGTCCTTCCCCGACTTCTGGGTTGAGGACATAACTTGTGGAGTTGAGAGGCAGGAATCCCGAGGCAGTCATGTTAAGGAGTGTTTCAAGCGGGCCAATACCAGAATGCATTAGCAGCCCTGGCGATGCGATGGCGCCGCCACTTAGAATCACTCGGCCTTGGGGAGAAAGCCGAATATACAATAATGATCCATCGACTTCGGCAGTAACCCCGGAAGCGAAGCCGTTGACATGGTTGATACGTTTAACGCGAACACCGGTTTGGAGGTGGAAGTTACTTCGCTTCAGGGCATTTTGTAAGTATGTCCTGGTTGGACCACCTCTTTGGCCATCGATGTAGTTGTAGGATGGCCGCCCAAAGACCATGTCCTTATTATCCGGAGTTTCATTGAAATCGACCTCGGACAGTCCAGCGCCGTCGACAAGCCACTTTTTGGCCGCCTCGTATCCGGTCTGCATGTAAAACTTGCCGTCTGTGGAGTAGCTCGTTATGGAAGCCTGAGTGTCTAGGAGTCTACGTGTCGCACCTTCGACGTCGGCGCTCTTCCACCCCTCTGGATGATAATCGTCCCAATCAGACGCCGGAGGTTGGAAGTACAAGCCGGCGTTGATAGCGCTGTTACCGCCAATGGTGCATGCTTGGAAGGAGTTCATAACGCCCGAAGGACATAGGAGGTCCGAGTTGCCACTGAAGATGCTCTTGTCTGTCCCACCTATTAGCTTAACAATTAAATGCCACATGCGTCAGGTATGTTACTCACATAACCCAGGTACGTCAACACGGCTCATTGACGTTCCGTTAAGCCATGCCGGCCTTTCTGTGCCTCCCGTAACTCCGTAGGAGGCGCCGCCAAGTTCTACCAGAAGAGTCTTCTTCCCGGCTTCGCTCAACCTATCAGCTACGATGATGCCAGCAGTTCCGGCGCCGACGACTATGGCGTCCCATTTCTCAAAAGCCCAACTGGTCGAGTTTGGTAGTTTTGGATATGTAGGTGCGCTACGAGCGGGTACGCTAAGAAGGCCAGCGACCGCCGCCAAAGTTAAGAATGACTTCATATTGACACACTTAGAGTCACTAAGGGCGCTGGGCGTGGGAGAGAATGAAGGAGATGGTCGGATAATGCCATGATTATATACTTGTATCTATGAAATATGCTCTGCCTTAGGTCGGTACTGACTATGAAATTAACTACCTATGAAATATAACAAATAGGTCTAGGTAGGTAGCCTATTAGGCCTAGTCCCTTGTTCATTCACTGCCGGGTTTTGGAACGGTGAACCTTGTCATGGGCTCCATGCTATCCGTCGTTTCATAGGCATATCGTGCATATTCATCTCAGCTGGGCCGCAGGGACCCTATAAAAACAAGCTCGTGTTCCGACATTCTGGAAGACCGGCATGCAGCGCAATAAAGCACCGCCAATAAAAACTCACTTCACAACAACTTCAACTAGGTCCCGTACGCAAATTTAGAACTCGACAAGCATTTTTCAGGTAACCGCAGTTCTTCGGCCATTCCGCTTGTCGATAATTCAGACGACGATCAGCAAAGCAATTTTACTCTTACATAGCCTATAGAAGGTACCTAACCTAACTTTTCAGCTCCTGGGCTACCTACTTTCTCACCTTCCCGTGTTGTCCTGCAATGCACACGAATATGCGTCTTACATAGGTACGTAGGTGGCGGGAATAACGCTGCCGGGCCAGATAGACTCGGTCCCGTCTCGCGTTTGACAAATCGTGCCTCATGAGTGCCATGAAATTTCTCACTATAATCTTATGAGGACCAAACAGCATATTGAGACCGGACGAATGTAATTCACCTCAACATAGTGTGAATCGCCTTATGCGTAGGTACCTAACCTAATGTTATTTCTATTCGCTTTGCCCGTGCTGTTATACCTACTACCAAGTACCAACCTTCTCCAGGAGGTAATTCGTCGATTTGCCAATTTCAATCACCTGTTACCTTACATTGTTTATACTTTCGACATCCTATTTGTTGCCCTACTAGACTCTCCTAAGGTGTCAGAATAGCAATAACGTGCACCTATTTCAGCTGATGAGAAGCCCGAGTTCCTTAGCAATAATATCCGCTGCCTTCTCACCGATCATCATTGCAGTATTTGCAGTATTTGCCCCAACATTCTCCGGCGCGATACTCAGATCTGTGATTTTAAGTCCTTGTACACCGTATACGTTCAAGTCCTTATCTACGACGCCCATCTTGTCCCGCGGCGCCATCTTAGCCGTGCCTAGCGAGTGCCAGGAGGTTTCGACGTGCTCCCGGATGTACTGCTCAATTGCCGCATCATCCTCTGCCGAGTACTCCAGGTCGGCGACCGGCTTGCCCTGAACGGCTTGGTCCCACTCCTCGTCGAGCGCGGCCTTGGAACCCTCGGGGAAGCGGGGATGGCAGGGCTGGTGCTCGCCGCGATACATAGAAGTCCGCCGCATGATCTCGCGGCCCTTCTTGTATGCCCAGATCAACTTCTTGAGGTCGATGTCGTTCTTGTCGTTGAAGAAACCCGTGTCGAAGTCCAGCGCATCACCGACTTCCGGCCCGGTAATGTGCATGTGACCCCGCGAGTAAGAGTAGGCCGTGAAGGGCAGGATGCTCACGAATTGACCGGTGGGTAGCACCGAGGCGTTGTCACCATATAAGCTGTAAATGCTACGTCAGCATCGCTAACTTACTCTCAAGAGTGTGAAGCTTATGGATAAGAATCTAGGGCAATTTCTTACCCGCTGACGACAACCATCACTACGAGTGGTTTATTGGGCCGATTTTGAAAGTCTCTTTGCCACGAATCCTGGAATTCAGGTCCTAAAGCTACGACTTCGGCGTCTGTCGGTCTGATCTTAGAGGCCAGATCCACAAAATTCCAGCCGAGGTGAGGATGCTCTTGGGCGATGGCATCTTCGAGGGATAACCGGCCACTCAGTAGGGCGTCGGCCGTTTCGTCCTCTTTCAGAGATGTCTTGAATACAGAAGGGACTTTCAGGTGGTCCTGGTAGCCAGACCCGACCCCAGGAAGCTCCTGGATAACGGGGACGCCAGCTCGGCCCAGTATATCTTTAGAACCGATCCCGGAACGTTCCAGCACGGGAGGTGTCCCACAGGCGCCGCATGACACGATGACAAGCTTGCGGGCTCGGACTGTCTGCTTGGGATGTGGTGCCGATCCGTTTACATGAGGTTGGAACCGCGTGTTTGGCGTGAACTCGACTCCGCAAGCTCGTTTGTTTTCGTCAAACAGAACACGCACTACGTTATGCTCTACTAGAACATGCAGATTGGGATGTTTACCATCCTCTAGTCGAGGGTGCAAATACCCGTGAGCAGCATCCGAACGTTTTCCTTCGTGGGTAGCATACTTGAGCCAACGCTGGAAGCCGTTGTTGGTGTCCAGTGATTGCAGGTCTTTTATCTCCGGATATCCGACTTCTTCTGCGGCGCGTAGCCAGTCATCCTCTATGGTCCGACCGCGGAAAGGCCCGCTGGATACTTGAATTGGTCCGCTAAACCCGTGGTGTTCCGATTTCCCCGGCCCGTGGTAAGTCTCGATCTTACGTAGCGAAGGTGTTAGCAGTACTGGTATGTACGTGAGAGACAAGTAACCCCTTACCTTCTTTAAGTATGGCCATAGTTCATCCGTAGTCCAACCAGGGGTATTCCACGAATCGAAGTCATCGCGTTGAGCTCTCGTGTACCTTAATATAAAGAAGCTCACAGTAAGTCATGGTTGATCTTCTACGTTGCATTCATGCGCCCACTCACATCAAGAAATTCATGGAGGAACCTCCGCCCAGAGTACCCCCCGAGGGGACGATATATTCCCGATTGGCAATATGTTTTGACTTGGCGGACTTGTAGAAAATTGCTGTATCGGAATCTGGTTGGAAGTTCAAGGGGTAAAGTGCCGGTAATACCACCTTAGGGTTGTCATAGTTTTCCTGGCCGCCTTCAATGACTAGGATCGAGAGCCCCGGATCAGCTGCAGTTAACCTTCCAGCCACAATACACCCAGCCGTGCCGCCTTCATACGACAAAGTGTTAGTAGGTGCGAATGAATCCAAGTAATTTGTTCCATTTCTTACCTCCTGCAATGATTATGTCCACCTCCTTAATATCTGTTGGTAGTTTCTTGTATAAACCCATGTTTACTCTATAGGGTCGTATAGCTTAATATGCCATGTATAGCCTACGACAAAAGTACGACAAAAGTACGACATAATAATATGAGAGCTCATCTTGGGGATGCCCGAAATATACTGCTCCGGTAGAGGGACGTCGGATTACCCCGAGGTAAATTTCCCCGCTTTGTCTCTGAGCAACATGACCTCGAGGTCATGTGTATGACGAGTTAGTAAGTATACGAAAGATCCTATGGAGTCTTCCCAAATTTGAACAACCTGCAGATTATTTGTTCTGGCCATCTCTTGGAATTCTGGGACAACCCAATGAGGACGCTGCGTACTTGTTTGGTACGACCTCCACGATATGCAGATGCGGTTGGAGACACGCTGCGGAGAGCATATACGGATAGAGCATGATCGACGCAACGAGGCGCGCCCTTCCCCGTACTCATTAGTAGAGCCAAGCTAATGCCACCTCAAGCCAAGTGCCACTGAGAAATAGCTGAGTTGAACAAGACGCAGCTAGCCTGTGTCCATATCAAGAGAATCTCAATCCTTTGGGAAAGCAACTACCACTTACTAAACGTTTCTACGCGAATGCCGCGCCCTGTCTCACTCTAGATAACTTAGGTACGCCTGTTCATTGGCAATTAGAGCAATATGGGAATAAAGGGAATTCGTTTCCCAGACCTAGGTATATCCGTATATGGGCTTCCTTGAATTCTCCTGTCAGCACTAAGCCTGTTCTGAGACAACGTATTTCTACAGCATAGAAAGGAATTACACGAGGCGTCGAGATTTTGATGACAACATGAATTGATATAGAATTTGACAATTGGCAGCTACTACAACAAACATAAACTATGTAAACTCCTGCGCAGAAGATAATGAAACGCCGATGCATCCCTACACTGCTCTTACACGGTTCGCATCCAACGGCTAGAATTGATATCCCTCCATCTCTGTTTTACCACGCTTATATTTACATAGGAACATCTCCAAAGGGGACTGCTCTCTTCCAGTTCGTGCCCGGAGTCCATTCTTTCTTCTCGTCGGTGTCATCCGGATTGACTGCGTAGACCTTTACCTTAAGGTTTGGATATTCGTATTTCACTGTCTATATGTTAGCTCTTCTTCAGATCGACCTAGGTACATAATGTGGGCTATGATAATAAAACTTACTGAAAACCGACTCGGGTCGAGGAGCCGAGCCCTTCTTTAACAAGATATACGCCGAGTCTGTAGTCTCTCTCGCGAGAGCCTCGGACATTCGAGGGGCAAGATCGTCCTGAGCTGGTCCGGGGCCACATTCACCAAGCCACTCGTAGTACTGGTCGTTGGGGTAGATGTTGCCCCAGAACTTGCCGTTGATCTTGTTGGCGTAGTTCATGGCGTCCCGGTTGGTGCTGTACGGGCTGGTGTAGAAGACGGTTTTGTCGAGCTTGTGTCCTTGGTCCTTGATCCATGTACGGATCTGGTCAACCGTGGGACACGCAGCTTCAGCTTGGAGGGCAAGCGAGAGCCCGGTAACAACTGTAGCGAAGAACTTCATGATTTATGGTGATACTTGTGTAACTGGATAAGTGATTTAAGGATGACTTGAGCGACTTGAGCGACTTTAGGAGTTGCGAGAGTTGTGAGTGCTTGATGATCTGATATGATCTCTGAATAGCTTGAGAACTTCCGTCCTTTTATACTACATAAGGTAGTCTTCAAGAGTCATATTAATTCTATGTTTATACTTCAAATTTGACAGAGACCAAGTTAGGCTACTCATCGAGATGAGATCCATTCTATTCGGCAGACTATTTTTACTCCTTTACTCATCAGTCAATCATCTCCATCTACAGAAATCTTTTACGATCTCATGAACATCATGCTTATGTGAATAGTATATTAAACATACGATCGACAATTATAGCGTTGCTAGATCAGCCCCTTCAGACTCCTGCGTAGATCTGCGTTTTCAGCTTCATGCTGACTATCAGCTTAGTCTAGGCTGAGCGTTGCATGCACTAGTTGACAAAAGCCCCCAAACGACGTCATCGCCAATCTTCTCTTTGGTGTTGAACCACCATTGAGGCCGTGCAAATCGTTTAATCCTCTAGGCAACATTATAAGCGATACTTTAATAGAGAAAAAAAAAGTATTAGAGATACAGTGATGATATCTGTTTGCATTACGGAATCATTGAGCGATTGAAACCTAATTAAAAAGTGAACAAAGACAATAATACTACCTTTTCAATCTGAAAAAAAATCACTTACAGAAGAAACCATTCAAAGTCTCCTAACTACAGCAACACGAAACTCCCACATCTCTATTATCTCCTTTCTCTTAGAAAAATACTCCGCCATGTCTCTTGACGAAGAAATCATTCGCGCAGCCGTCTACTCCGGGTCTATTGAACGCTTCGTTACCCTTCTCTCAAAAGACCCCAAAATCATCAATTATCAATTCGACAGACGCGGCACACCCCTCGCGCTAGCATGTCAAAGCCAACAACCGGTCAGCTTTCTTGAGTTTCTACTCAAACAAGGCGCCGATCCAAACCAAGACCCCGACGTTGCACCATTCCCGATAGCTTCTGTAGCAGCCTTCTACAAAGACACCGGCGCTGCAGAGCTTTTGCTGCAGCACGGCGCAAAATTAGAACACACGGGAGCGCTTGCTGCAGCCGCAGGAAGAGGAAACGAAACTATGGTGCGATATCTACTTGAGCATGGAGCGCAGCAGGATAAGGATGCTGTGGAATGTGGAATTCCCGAGTTCGCTTTGCATATCGCAGCGCGCAAGGGATACGTTGAAATAGTGAAGCTACTGCTAGATCATGGTGCTGAGTTGGAGAAAAGAGACGGTAAAGGCCGAACGGCCTTCGAAGTTGTGAGGGAAGTTGAAGAGAAGGACGGAATTGATTTGAGCGAAATTCGAAACCTCCTCATTAAGCCTTGAATCGAACATGATCAAGTTCCCTAAGCTTCCTACTTAGATACATACTCAAAAAAAAAATAGATTATTTGAAGTATTATGGTCGTTTTTAAAATGTGTTTAGCACTACTATTGGTCCAAAAATTGTTACTCCTGAAGCATGCATTAATAGAATCCGAATATTAACAGATTCAAGGTAGCTTTCACAAAACTTGTTTGTCTGCCGTTCAACCTTCAAAATAGATGGGTTTAACATAAAGGATCATACTTTACGTTGCCGGCCCCATCGATATTAAGAATAAGGCATTGAAGTTTCGTAATAGTGATTACTTCAGCCTCGGTTGATCGGCAGGCAGGTTGCAGATTCTAACCTAAAAAAAGAATTATATTAGGTACCAGCGTTGATTGGCTTGTGTAATGTAAGAATTAAAACCTGGACAACTCCAGTAGTCAATTGCGAGAAGTATCACCATGACGTCGAAAGGGGGCGGCCAAGCATCCAAGGTGAAGAGGAGGCTATGCTTTTCAGGTAGGAGTTGAGCTGAACGATGATCAGGGAATGATTATCGTAACACTGAAGTTGGGTTGACAATAGAATTGCAACATCAGATACCTGTTTTTTCTAAGACAAGACTTACCTGTAGTTACTCATTGAGTGAGTGAACATCGTGTATAAATTGAGCATGTCCTCCACTATCAACACATCCCATCTGCATCACTCAACGACGCAAACAACAAGAACAATCTTCCATCCACAATATCCTCAAAATCTATTACGCTTCAAGCTCCTTAAAAATTCAAAAACTTCACAACTTTCAAGATGGTTCAACTCGCTCAAGTCGCTATCATCTTCACCACCGCTCTTGCCGGCTTCACTACTGCCAAAAGCTGTGTAAGCGGAGGCATCTACTGCGGCACCTATCTCCTTAAAAGGGGTAAGTCATACCAGCTAAACTCCACTCACTCAATTTCAGGAAGAAAAAGACATGGTATTAACAGTATGTGACACACGCGATTACATCAACAAGATCATCACCAATCTGCGGGCCAACAACATGCCGACGGACGACAACACCATCCAGCAGTCCCTGTGGAGCTGCCTCGAGCACGGTGATATCCAATTCAAGGAGATGTGCACCAGGGGCTGCGTCGGCGGCGACAAGAAAGATGACTACTGCACCGGATCCCCTGACGCTGGTGGCGAGAAGAGGGACGAGCCCATCTTCTGGGAGGCTTAAGCGTTGAACGATTTGAATCGATGGGCGGACTGTTTACTTGGGAACAGCCCTTGATCGTTTTTTTGTACTTCATTCTTCCGTATCTATAAACTACCTGTGTAACGCAATACATCACGAGTTTGCTTAACTTATTATTCTCTACGCTTGTTTCGCTTTCATAGTGTGACTTGAAATGAGTTTATAGATTCGCTTAAAGACGTTTGAAATTTACGAAAGTTTCATAACTACCCCCGAGAGTGAAAATAAAACTTCGGGCTAAGTGACCTGTACAACAAGGCCAACTTCTCATTAGATCTTTCAAATTAGTATTAACTCTAAGTTACCTAGGTGTCTATCTGCCTTTAACTATATCCTATATCTATAATCGTAGCGTATATCATTAAGCATTTCTTGGACCCCGTATTCTCTCAAAATCTAACCTTAGGGTTCCACCCCGCTTTGTGCAATCTGACAGAAAGAAAGAAACCAAAACCAATAGTAGTCATAGTTGCGGCCCATGCTTGGGCGCCTACAAATTTACCGCCATTGGCTGCTTGAATAGCACCGCCGATTGGGGGACCCGTCAAAGAGGCAAACGAAGAGATACTAAAAGCCATACCAAGTCGCGTACCAACCGTGTCGAGCCTTTTGGTAATGCTAGCTAAGCAAAAGAGTTAGTGTCAACCAATATGAAAAGGCTTGAGAATATCCAAGGTATAGTTGAAAACCCTCAACTTAGAGGCGTTTGGATTTTTCAAGTCTTGGAGCAACTTGATGAGCAGAAGAAATTGGGCTGGAAGTTACTTACTGACTGCAGTAGCTATTAAACATTGAAAGCTACCAGCGCATATACCATAAAAGACAGTGAAGACATATAAGCCAGGTACACTATCCACTGCAAGCCAACAGAACGCCACAATGGACCATGCAAGTGTAACAGGGACCATTACGTTGATTGGTCCAACTCGATCTGCGATCAACGGCGGTATAACCCGGAAGACTATTCCTGCTCCGTTAATAAGAATGACCATGATCGAAGCGGCTGAATACGAGAGGCCAAGTTGCTCTCGGCCAAACGATGCGATCTGGGATGGCGTGTTAGTTGAAAAGCTCCTCGGATCCTGCCCGTCTGAATCTGAAAGTTTTATGGGAACTAACATAATAGAAGGAGAAGTAATTGGCCATCATAAGAGAGAATATGCCAGCTACTACACCATTGAAAGCGAAGTCGCGAAACGCCGCGAAATCGATTATCGGCCCGGATCGCCTAGGAGGCAGGCGTGGACGCATGAATATCAGCACGGTAGAAAGGCAGGCGAGATTGATAAAAGCCAGGACTCTGGTCGTCCAAGCGAATCCCAGCTGGGGGATCAACTGCCTCACGACGACCGGATAGACGATACCACCGGCCGAGTTTCCCGTTGTCGCCAATCCGACGGCAAGGGCGCGCCTCTTTTTGAAATACGTCGCGACGAGGGCAAGGGACGGCGTGAAAAATATCCCTCCGCCTACTCCCGTCAGCACACCCTGGGTTAACATCAAAGACCAGTACTGGGTGGAAATGCTCATCAGGAAGATGCCGAGCACTTGGATCACCGCGCCGACGAAGAACGTCGGCACAAACAGCCCCGCGTCCAGCAGGCGGCCGGAGAAAACGCTGATCACCAGGCAGAACCATATCTGTACGGAACCGATCCAGGATATGGTGGATGGAGACTCGGGTAACGTGGATGTGTAGTAAGTCTGGAAGCTACCGAACGAGTTGACCCATCCCCAAGTTGTGAAAATGACAAGCCACCCCACTATATTTGGTTAGCGAAATCATCTTTGCTGCACGCTGAAAGTAGAGAATTCAGTTATGGATAGGTTAGGTTAGATTAGGCTAGATTAGGTGGTTTTCTCTGGGAGAGCATTCATTCTGAGATCTTGCATACTTGCAACTTGGACCCACGCCGTTAAACCACCATCCGGCGGGGGCGGTGGCTCGGGCAATGACCTTGTAGTAAGGTGAGAGGCCGCGTGTGTAAGCACATTACTAGCGGTTCTTCTGAAATCGAAGGAAATCCTTGCACGGCTATCTCTCGTTGCCGTTCTTTGCGCGGCCTCGAGGTCGTCTTTAGGGGGAACGCGAACATTATCATGAGAAGGTGTATCCGAAGAGCTCTCCTCCTGAGCCCCGGTCGACACTGGGTGTTGTTTCTCGTCGAATTGGTCGTTATGTTCTTGGCTAGCCATTGCTACAGGTTGGAATAACTAGAGCTACCTACCTTAGATAGGTAGGTAGTTAAATATTGCTAAATTGCTAGAGCAAATAAGAAAACCTAGGTACTCTATAAATACTCTGGACAGCCAATTAGTGTCGTTACTAGGCGGTAAAAAGATGAATCGTACGAAAACCACGAGAATTAGCACATTTAGCACATGTCACCGCAGAGTTTTTGGGGCGTGATGCTCCGTCTTCGGCTTAATTGGATAAGTCAATTAGCATTGATAGCTTCGATAGCATAATTAGCTTAATAATAATGGCTAAAGAGCCTATAGGGACATCCAACTGCTACGATGTTAACCCACCCGCATACGCCGAATGCCGCTCCGACTGCCACCCTTGTGGAGCCGACACAGGAGCCCCGGGGCGAGCGAACCATGCGGACCGGAGCCTATATTAGGTAATTATTGCTTTTTTTTTTTTTATTCGCCGGTTATACCTAAGGTATGGGCCTTTTTATAAGATGCCCCTTTTTACAAGATGCCCCCCTGACTTCTTCGCGGCGTTCCTATCTTATATAGGAGGTAGCCATACCGTAATTTCCAAACCGTCAACCTACAACAGGCTCTCACCACCATTGAAAGAAGAAAGAATCTACTGATGATACCAGGTAGGTACTCTAACGTTCATTCTGCGTATGACTTCCGCCACTAGTATCAACTGTTAACCTGTACTAAATGTTTATTTATCTGTTTGGCTTTATGAACTGCGTTTTGCTTACGAATGATGTGCTTGGCCTTTTCATAATATCATGCTACTTGTGATTGACTATCAAGTATCAATTAAAGAGAATGATCAATATTGATATAGGTAATATAGAGATTGTTTAGCTCTGTCTTCGTACTACTCAATGAGTAAACGGCTACTAGGCTGTCAGGTAGGCATTGCACTCATCAATCTCAAAAACTTTTTTAAAGGGTAATGGCGTGATAGTGTTTATCCCCATAATGTTCGCAAACCGTTCTAGTCAGGGCGCAAACTATTTATAGAAAATTTCACCGCTATGCACCAAAGTAAGAACATAAGCTACCTCCTATAGGTACGTGTAATGCCTTGGAGTAGTCCCACGATATCGCAAACAACATCCACACAATTCAAACCTAACCTAGCAGAAAGGCGTCCAATAAGCTGGCGCACCTATTGCCAACATATACAAACACCATTATCTTCCAACAATAGTTCCTTAAACACTTCCAACAGTAATAAAATAAACAAAAACACGATTATAAACCTTAAGTCCTAGATATTAACCTCTTTACTTTAATATTTTATTTTCCTAATATTAGCTTTGATTTTATATATCTCAAGTTTACTAAGAGGTATTCGAGTGTGATAATGTGAGAGTGCGTCGTCACCTTAGACATTTCTAACCCCGCCTCGAACACGTCAAAAGAAACATATTTAGAATCGAATAATAGTATTCGGATTAAGAGAGATGCATGAGAACCAAAGGCAACAAATACCCCATGTTAAAAGTCAATTGAAAGGGCGGATACAGAAAACTGAATCATCCCTTCGCTAAGTCACCGCCTAAATCCTTCAAACCCGGACGAAGCTCTCAAAAGAGACAGATGAGGATTTCGAGCCACAATGAGAGGTAGGCTACCTTTTATCCCCAACCTCGGAATCGGAATAAGAATAAATGAAGTCTCACTCCTTAGCGATCATATACGGCTTAAAGATTGGCTTTAAGACATGGGCTTTTAATATTGCCAATTGATGTCTAAGATCTGATAACAGGTACGCGGAGTTTCGGTTTTGCAGATGTTTCTTCTCATAACAGGTACCTAACAATACCATTGCTTTTGTTTCTTTTTATAGCTTGAGGCTGAAGCCGATATCTCTCTTGTCAACTAGGTAACTCGCGCGCCTTGCGCTTCTGCAAGCCCTTAGCCCGCAACCGAACCATGGCTACGGTTTAGGTATCTGTATACAGAATAGCGTTGCAGGGGCCAAGGAATCATTCACGATAACTAGGTGCTGATAAATCATGCGCAGGGCCACACATTCTAAGCCTGATTGGTTGGAAGTCATCTTCCTCTTGTTGGCAAGCGTAGGGTTTCGAATCCAAGTGCTTTTGCTGTAGCTTGCCCGTCTCGGCTCGAAACTCGGGTTCGTTGGCTCGAGCTCGGGTCGAAAATGCGAGTTGGGTTTGAGCATCCTTGACAGGATGGGTTTTGTAAGGTTCCATTAAAACTATTTTCAGTACCCCATGTGGCACTCCCCCGCAAGGCTGTAGGAATCGTCCCCTTGCTCTCGGGGCCCCGAATGAAGTAATAATAGCCTATCTGTAACTGAGACTCAAAACTCCACCCTGTTCACACATATGCAGGATGCTCTGGGTAAAAAAAGTCATGGTTGGGATTCCTTTCCGACCCGGTCCTCGAGCCTTTCCGAGACTCTCTGCTCGGCGGTGGCTGAGGGACTACGGGCCTGGGGGATATATATGAAAGGTAGAGAGTAGTCTCATGAAAGTGAGTGTGAAGTGTTTCCCTCGTCATAACAACTATACCCCTATACTTCGTTAGCGCACCCCAATATCGACAAGATGTTCGTGAAGCCGCTTCGTCTTCTTAGCTGGGCTGCAGCTTTTAGCTCTGTATCAGCCTCTATCTCGTCATCAGATGTACGAGTTGACGTGCGAGACGCACCAGGGTCTTCATCTGTGGATACCATTCGTGCCCTTCGACGGTCTCTCATAGAACTAAAACTTCGTGGGAAAGATACGGTCCTTAAGAACAGTACAGATTTAAGCAAAAGTTGGAATGGTGCAACTCTTCTTAGCATGTAAGAAGAACTCTGGCTCACGGGCTACTTAATTCTCTCAATGCATAGTCTAATATGTGCATGTTCTAGCCCTTATGAGCACGACGCGAAGAACAATGTCACGATAAGCGCGGGGGTAGATATAACATGTACAACATGTTATGTCAAGGGAAAAGCGACGGCAGAATTCAGCATTGAAAGTGACTACAATGTTACGCAGATGTTAGGAAACTTCACGAGCGAAGTGGGAGATGAGATTTTAAACACAACCAACCAAGTCATCGACTACATCGAAGATTACTTCCCAACCGTTTTCCACAACTTCCAAGACGGCATAGACCTAGACGATTTTGACTTCCCTCCGATCAACATATCCTTCAACGTTGACATCCCGGATATACCCGAGTGCCGCCTCCAGTTCAAGTTCGACGATCTGGAGCTGTATATGCTCGTCGATACCGTGCTAACGGCTGGCGCAACTTACAACTTGAACCTTTTCACGTCAAATACCCCCATCGGAATCTCTGCAAGCAACGACTTATTCATAGGCGTGGTTTTCACTGTCGACCTGATCCTGAGCGTAGACACGGAGATTGACATCAGCAGCGGAATCCACATCAAGTCAGATGATGGTATTGGGCTTGACATGGCCTTGTTTGGGCAGAATGTCTCGAGCATTACCTTGTAAGCCTATTAAGCCTTTCCCCCCTTTACACCAACCCGACAATGCTAACAAGAAGATTTCAAGCAACGGAGCCGATTTCGAGTTTCTCCCAGTTACGGTCGAAAGTGCGGGAGGTCTTCTCAAGGCTGTCCTCCGCCTTGGAGTGAAGGCAGGATTTGAGCTCTCGACTCCTTCTGTGGCCATCCCTAGCTTCTCGTTTTCGACGAAGGCGAGCGCCGGCGTAGGTGTTAGCGTATGGGCGGACGTCGCCGAATTCGCAACAAACATCACGGCAGTCACTGATGACGATGGAGACTGTCTCCTAAAGGTTGAGCAAACGTACCAGTTTGGCCTTGGTGCTGCTGCCGGGGCTACGCTTGCCATTGGGCAAGAAACGTGGGGGCCAGCTCCTAGCGTAAGTCGCCGTTATAGCTTGGGGGTCCGGTTGATACATGCATGCTAACATGAGCCTTGACTGTAGACAAGCATACCCATCTTCACAACGACCATAGCCGATATCTGCGCCATCCAGCGCCGCACTCAAATTACCACTGCTTCTACCCCCGCCATCAGCGCTAGAGCGGGCGATGAGCTAGAAACCACCACGCTTACCAAGAAGGTTACGTATAGTGGCGTTGGCTGCCTCACTACGGGCTTGGTCAACTGTCCGCCAGCTTTGCAGACGACCACGAAAGTGACGAGTACCTTGACGCACGTCACCGCGGTACCTGCCAATTCTAAGGCTACGTTCCCCGAGACTACGGGCACTACTGTCGCCAACCCCGTCCCCTTCGGCACCAACAGGAAGAATGTCGAAGCCACGACCGGGTCTCCTGTGTCTTACACGGAGCCTCCCAAACCGACGTCGTCCTCGTCGTCGACGTCCGGGGGAAAGACTGCGGTCGCTAACGACCTCCCGCTCGGCGAGTCGCACGGCGTCGATAACAGGATCATCATCGGAGTTTGCGTCGGAGTCGGCGTACCCCTGATTGCGGGCATCATTGCTGGTATCTAGTAAGTCTTATCCAACACCTAACCTATCCCCCCCCTGCTCCTCCCTCGTCATACCTTACACTATAGATATGTTCAGTCGAGTGTTTCATTGAAGCATATGCTAATAATCATGGACAGCTTCTGCCAGAGAAAGAAGAAGTATACCGCAGTGGCTGGGACAGATACGACTCACCTTGCCGCACCTGAGCCTTACAAGGGGGTTGCGTATTAAGGGGAAGTATATCAACGATATGAAAAGGTAGAAATGGGTTGGTACTATGTATTTAATGATATCCCGTAAAGTTTCATGGGTATAGTATGGGCGTTCGGGGCTACTTTAAAGTATGACGAAGTATTTCTAGGTATTTCCGAGGTTGGGACAGGGTTGGTTTCAAGGTCCTATATGGGCATAAGGGCGAGTTCATGATACCTTGGATATCCTAGCCAGGCACCGGGATTATTTTGACTTTGTGCGGAACTGTCGCTGTGCTCCTGACTATAAAGGTGGCCTGGCGTAAAAGTTAGTTCAAAATCAACGTTGTTACAGTCAGGAACCTACCTAACCTAGGCTGGAAGATTTGAGTGAGACTGCTACTTTATGCACTTACGGTGCGGTAGGATCAATATTGTCAGATAATGACGGATTTACAACTGAAATTTTTACAGGGCCTCCCATCTTAGTTATGTCTTAGTCTAGGCCAAAGACAATGTTGAATCTGAGAGTCGATGACACTTATGAAATACCACATGCGCGAATGGGAAAAAAAATCCATTAGGCGCTCATTAACATTTTGTCTGGTTGTATTTGACCTGAATGACAACCTCGTTCTGCTAACATTACTAGCTCCTCGGTTCCCTGAGAACGTTTTACTTCATAGTGACAGCTTAGGGACGTCATATCTCTTTTACTAGGTAGGCATCTTCCTCGTAGCCGTGCTCATGAATTGGCATATAATATGCGTGCTACGCTACTGTCAGTTATAAGAATACCGCTGAACTGCAACCCGTTAGCAACCGGTTTGAATGAGAAAGGTGAAACTATTGAGACATATTGACCATAATAACAATCATGCAGAAAGTTCACACAGCCTTTCTATTACCGTTTCTAATCAGCCATGCATGTGGGCAAAATATAAGCTTCATTTCAGACCCCGGGGTGAGTTCAAATTTGGATTCTGTCGGTTGAATGTTGCATCCGAAATAAGATTTTAACGCTGAAGAGATAGGTCCTGGGGCCGCCGCTTGAGGTAGCTCATGCTTATTATCAACAATGGCCAACGGGTAATGTTAAATCGAGCCCGAAAACCTGCCTGCATGATCCATATGAGCTGATTTATGACAGGAATTGCGGTTTCGAGAACTGGTCGGATGTTCTCAAACTACCCTGGCGGTTAGTATTAAAATGTCCTATGTAAATGTACCTAACCCATGTAGACAGCGTAATAATAAAACTGCTATAGGGCTCGATCCTAGGAATGCCTATAACGGCGTCAATGATGTCTTCACTGTTGGAGAGCTCACGTCGCTCACACAAGAGGTTGCCTATCCAAACTTGGAGATGAACCAACCTCCAGGAGGAGCGATCAACTATACTACCATGCCGCCAAGTAGGTACCTAAGCATGACAGCATGTTGAGATTACGGCTGATGAAGCGTAGCTGGTAAAAACTACCAACAATACCTGATCGGAGTCCAGTCAGTGGTTATCGATTCATTAGACCGCTTATGGATCCTTGATACTGGCCGTGTTTTGACTGCTGATAACGTTCTATTGCAGTCGGTCTATGGGGGTCCAAAGCTTATTGGGGTGAACCTTGAGAACAACACAGTGGTCAAAACCATTGTATTCCCACCTACCGTCGCCTACGGGGACAGCTATCTGAATGATGTGCGTTTCGACCTTCGATCTAACCTATCGAACTCCTCAGGCGAGGGGTTTGCGTATATCACGGATAGCAGCGCGGAGGGCCACAACGCGCTTATCGTGGTAGATCTCGGCTCAGGCGAGAGCTGGAGACACCTTGGGCTGATAAGCGCTGTGAGGTCCGTGTCCCAGTTTCTGCCGTTTATCTGGGGCCAACCACTTTACTACGCCCAGGCTAGAGAGCCTTATTCGACATTTTCGATGGGATCTGACGGCATAGCCTTGTCTGCGGACGGTGAAATGCTATATTGGTGTCCGATCGCTTCCCGGTATATGTTCGCTGCCCCGACAGCGAGGCTCCGCGACCGAGGAGAGAGTAGCGAACTCCTAGCTCAGCAGTCAGTGGTGAACCTCGGAGAGAAAGGCCTGAGCGATGGTCTCGAGACGGATAGTAATGGTATGATATACGTTGGAAATAACGAAGGAAATGCGATTAATGTTTATAACCCTAATAATGGGACGGTCTTGACTTTCGTACGAGACCCGAGGATCAACTGGGTAGATACGAGTAAGTGCCTAAGACTGGTCTGGTCCTCTCTCTTATGATTTTTGTTCTAACTAGGGCGACAGTGTCGGTTGCGACAGATGGGTATTTATATTTCACTGTCAATCAGCTCAACTTCGGCGGGTTCACGTATCCCAAAACAGATCGGAGAGTGCGTCCCTTTGCGCTTTTCAAGGTCAAGCTTCCTGATGGTGGATCCAAAGTGTCATTGTTGACGCCGCAGAAACGAAGAGGCTTTTAAAATTGTGATGGTTTGTTTAGGGGTTTTGAAAGCTTTGACGGTGGTATGAGCTTCTGTCTAATAAACCCCTACTTCTTTATTTTGTTCCCCTGAATTTTTAATAGTACTGGCAGGAGGTATTGTACCTAGCTAGCTCTGAATGCAGACCTGCATGAAAGTTGAACCCCTCAGTCTTATTTGCGACCATTATGATATTTGGTAGCGGGGTGAAGGCGGGATGCATCCTTGTATGCATACCTTTTATACCTAGGTATGTAACCTTAGGTAGCCTTTTACCTAGGTAGGTAAGGTGCCTCTAGATACCACAAATATTAGTTGAGGCAGTCACTTTTTTATCCGTCATTTTCCAATACTTTTTTATGTATTCTCATTACCTTGGTGCAGCATACATAGGAGGTTACCTTATGTAAAATTATGTCTTTGCAATCGTGCACATGGTTCAATGTTGCAAAGTGAACGATGACAGCCCCACACTAACCCCACTACCTGATTACATAGGTACCTAAGGTACCTTAGATACCCTAGGTAGGTATGTACCTTGTATTAAAATCCTCGTTCCCCCCCAGAATGCCGTCAAAATAAGTGCCTAATACCAATATTCCTTCCACCAACCATTTTTTTACCGAATATAAAGACAAATTAAATTCAAAAAATTATTTCCATATAGAGCAAAATTTTATAATTATTCTAGTAGTCGTTTTAATAAATTCCGAGACGATTTGGTAAAGTTATGCGGATAGCAAAATGAATTGTTTGGTAGTGGAATAGGCACTTTTTTTTGACGCCATTCTGCCCCCTCTAATTGTGGCAGCTTGTGGCAGCTTGTGGCTGATGAATCAAAAATTTCCACATCTTTTCCACCTGAAAGCCTCATTCGGAATTCGCCTGACCGGGGCATTCCTTAGGTGTCCTCCAGGGTCGCCGAGACAACTTTGAATGACCCGCAATTTTTCTCCCGCGAAGGAAGCGCTATATTCTGACCGATACTTTTTATCTCTTCTATTCTCTATCTTCCTTGGTATCGGCTGGTAATCAAACATCATTCGATCGTTTGTCGCTATTCGCGGTTTCTTGCGCCATTGCTCAACAAGCTCGGTTCTTCGGCTGACTTCGTCACTCGCAGTCGAACTTTTCGAGTATTGTTGATTCAAATCCCTTTTTTGCTATTGGGTGCACACCTTCAGAAAACATTCCCAGCTACCTATCAAACCCTATCAAACATCCTGCGAGTTCCATCTTCAACCCCGCCGAACTTTTTGTTTTTAAGTGCCGTCTACGATGTCGGGAACTATGAGAGGTACACCCAGCCGTGGTGGGAACCGAACCCCGGCACCCTCGTCATTTGGACCTGGTAGTCCCGCGAACTCCAACATCCCTAGACCCGTTAACGAAGGCCATGGGCACTCTCATCAACCCGCCCCGAGTGAAACTGCCTCCGGTGTCAGCGCAAGCAGGCAGAAGCAGAGCAAGCGCGATGAGGTATGAGTTGTCGCGCCCCTTATCACTTTATGGTATGCTTTATGGAAGCAAGCTGATCGCTTGCACTAGGCTATTAGGCGAAAGCTGGAGAGCGATCTCTCCAAGAAGAAGCATCACATTACCGGTCGAGCCCGTCACTCGCGCAAAGCCCCTCCTGGAACCGTCCTCGCCCTGAAGCCGAGCCCTGCACTCCAGATCAAGCCTGGTACTACTGTAGCAGAAGCCGCGCAATTGATGGCCGCCAAGAGAGAAGACTGCGTGTTAGTTACGGATGAGGATGATCGGATTGCTGGTATCTTTACGGCCAAGGATCTGGCTTTCAGAGTTGTCGGTACCGGTCAGAAAGCTAACAGTATTACCATCGCTGAAATTATGACCAAAAACCCTCTATGCGCGCGCACCGATACCAGCGCCACCGAAGCCCTGGATCTCATGGTTCGCAAAGGCTTCAGGCATCTTCCCGTTATGGACGAGAACCAAGACATCTCTGGTATTCTCGATATTACCAAGTGCTTTTATGACGCTATGGAGAAGTTGGAACGAGCTTATGCATCTTCGACAAAGCTTTATGCGGCTTTGGAAGGTGTCCAGTCCGAACTAGGGACCAGCCAGCCCCAACAGATTATCCAGTATGTCGAGGCTCTTCGGTCCAAGATGTCCGGTCCTACACTGGAAAGCGTCCTAAATGGGATGCCACCCACGACCGTCAGCGTCAGAACCACCGTAAAGGAAGCGGCGATGATGATGAAGGAAAACCATACCACCGCCGTTTTAGTCCAAGACCAAGGTCAGATTACGGGTATCTTCACGAGCAAGGATGTGGTTTTGCGAGTAATCGCTCCCGGCTTGGACCCGTCCACGTGTAGCGTTGTTCGTGTTATGACGCCTCACCCTGATTTTGCGCCAATGGATATGAGCATCCAGGCTGCTCTGCGAAAGATGCATGGTCAGTTCTTGGCCGCCTAAATATCGTGATATCTAAGTGCATAAGAGCTAACATTCAAAACAGATGGCCATTACCTCAACCTCCCGGTGATGAACGACCAGGGCGAAATAGTGGGTATGGTTGACGTGCTCAAGTTGACTTACGCGACACTTGAGCAGATCAATACTATGGGAACGTCGGCCGACAACGAAGGCCCCGCCTGGAACAAATTCTGGCTTTCGCTCGATAATGAAACCGAGTCCATGGTTTCTGGAGATGGCAGCCATCATCATCATAGTACCATGGCACCACGATCGGTTCTGTCCCCCGACGTTAACCGCGAGCGTTCGTACGATCCTGTTGCGCCTGGCGATAGTGCTTCTCATGTGGGCATGGAATCGTCGCCGATTCACTCTGCGGTGGCCCAGCAAACCCCTGCTGATATTCCCTTCGCATTCAAGTTCAAGGCCCCCAGCGGTCGCGTACACCGAATACAGGTGGTTGCGAATGAAGGCATTGCACAGTTTGTGGAGACTGTGGCCGCAAAGCTTGGAAGCGAAGTAGAGGCCGTTGGTGGTATTCCGGAAGTAGAAGATGGTAACCTGAGTACCGGTGGTTTTGCCCTGAGCTACTTGGACGACGAAGGCGATACAGTCAGCATTACGACGGACCAAGATCTACTTGAGGCCATTCTGCTAGCCCGTCACCATCACCACGAGAAAGTCGACCTGTTCGTGCATCATCCCGATAAGTCACCCGTCACTGTTATTGCTCCTCAGCCTGATCCTATTTCCACACCGGCTCCCAGCTCGGCTCCTTCAGAACTGCGCCGTAGACGAACTGTGGTGGAAGATGACGACGATGATGAGGATAGTGAAGAGGAGGACTATGCGACTGTTAGGCGTCGTAGGAGGACCCACACGTACTCGGAGCCCGACCAGGTTATTACCGGCGTGCCTAACGAGCTGTTATTGCCTGGGGCTATTGTTACTCTGGCCGTTGTTATCGTTGGCGTATTTGCCATTTCAAGAGCCACTAGCCGATAAGGAGGAGTTGCGTTTCTGGAAGTTGGAGCATTGTTATTGGAGTTGAGTTTTTTATTAGTTTTTTTTTTTTTTTTTTTTGTCCTGCGATCACAGAATTGTTGATGCTTGAGACGGAAATTTAGATTTCTGGCAGCTCATGATGCATAGATTAATAACCCATGCCTCTATTCATTATTTTTATTTTGTACTGTTTTTGAGTTACTGTGATTGTAATTCCCTGTATTGTACCTTGTACCTAATTACTTTTGTTTATTTGTCTCTTTGTTAATATTGATCATGGATGCATACCAGAAAATAGGTAACCTTAATTTTTAACCTTAATGGACTTTGGATGCTAGGGTATACATAGTACCTCTGTGTGTGAAGACGTAAAAGAACCAAATACTATGTAGAGATACGGAGGTTGCTTGAAACTTTGCATTTCCAATTTTTACCGTTTTAAATTCTTAGGAACGACGGGAGATAACGATACGGCGCGGGAATACGTAACGCCTGATAAGACCCTTTCCAATCCTGGCTCCACTTTCACATTACCTAGCATTGGATTCTCGGATCGATCCAACGATCCAACGATCCAATGATCCACCAGAAAAAAGTGATGATAGAGCTGTGAAACCATAGACCGACGACAGCAATCGTCGCAGCCATGATAATAAGAGATATGGGCGTCCGCCAAGGTAAGTAAATACTTCCTTTTTCTTTTAATTATTTCTTGTTTACTAACACCTAATCCCTCAGCCCGAAAGGCATTGGCGGCCCCTCTGCGCCAGGCCTGTCTTCGTGCTCTCTCCACGCAACCCACGCTGCCGACAGCAGTCCCCGATCTCACCACGGACCTGTCGTCTCTCCAATCCTCCCCCAATGCCAACCCTCAAACCCCCTCCCTATTCAACGCCAAGATCCGCGCTCCCACGCGCAAGAAGAAGCCCTCGGCCCCCGATACCACGGTCGTGGATTACAAGCTGGCGCAGGAGCTCAAGGCCTACATCGGCAAGGTGGGCACCAAGGTCGAGCGCACGTACAGGCCCGCGGACGTCTTCCTGAACCCCCCCGGCCCCAAGGACGTCACGCTCGAGCTGCTGATGGCGTCCCAGGCGCACATGGGCCACCACGCCTCCCTGTGGAACCCGGCCAACGCCCGGTACATCTACGGCATCCGCCAGGGCATCCATATCATCTCGCTGGAGGAGACGGCCGCGCACCTGCGGCGGGCGGCGCGCGTGGTCGAGGAGGTCGCGTACCGCGGGGGCCTGATCCTGTTCGTGGGCACGCGCCCCGGCCAGACGCAGATCGTGACCCAGGCAGCCCGGCTCGCGCGCGCGTGCCACCTCTTCACCAAGTGGACGCCCGGGTCCATCACCAACTCGGAGGTTATTCTGAATGGCATGCCCATGCAGATGGTCGACGAGCTCGACGAGCCCGTCGAGGGCTTCCACCGCCACATCAACGAGCACAGGCCCTTGGTCCCGGACTTGGTTGTGTGTCTGAACCCCATGGAGAACTACGTCCTGCTGCACGAGTGCGCCCTCGTCAACGTCCCGACCATCGGCGTCATCGATACCAATGCCGAGCCGACGTGGGTTACCTATGCTATTCCCGCGAATGATGACAGGTGAGAACAGCCCCAGCCCAGTTCAACCCAAGCCCCTTCCCTCTCCCTCTTGCAAGTAGTACTTCTACATCTAACCCCAAGGGGATGGGTGGATGGATGGATATACTATTATTCCCATCCCCCATTACATGTCATATTTGATCAATACTGATATATATATATCTTAATTCCGTACAGTCTGAGATGTCTAGCCGTCATCGGCAGCGTGCTAGGCCGAGCGGGCCAGACGGGTCAAGAGCGGCGCATCAGCGACGCCAAGAAGGGCATCGTGACGTGGGAGACGCCGAGAGACATCGTCAAGTTCATGCAGCGGGAGAGGGAAAAGGCTGAGAACGAGGCCAGGGCCGCCGAGGCGTCGCGGCGACGTCCTTCCCTCTCCGAGGAGGACGAGGCCGGCATCGATACCGGCTTCCAGCAGAGCCGTACGAGGGGGGCCAGGTCGGATCCGGAATTGGATTAAAACAGACTAACAACGGACTAACGGACCGTTATTGGTGCGAGCAAAGTGGAGGCGGAGGCGGAGGGACACACCCCGCGGCAGATATACGTGTAAATTACTGTTTGAGAAGTAAATAAATACATATGTATACGTAAGATGGGAATAAAGAAGAAAAAGAAAGGAAAAACAAAGAAAAAAGAAATTCCTGTGAAAAAATAACTCTGACTTTGTCTTGCATATTTGGTATCGTGGATTCTAACCTATGTCTATCTACATTACGTTTTTGCCTCTTGCCCAATATCTTGTTCGTCGCAGACGCCTTCCGACTTATCCCTCGGGAAAACCCGCATCTAGAGACGATGAAATAGATGATAAAAAAACAGGGGAGTCATTGTATCACATAACATGTTTGTTTGTACGAGAGCAGGAAATATCATCCAAGGCTTTCTTTCCAGCGGAACAAGGCGGTGAGCTAAGAAAATAAAGGGACTATCCCAGCTCCCAGCTCCCAGCTTACTGCGCGAGGCTGGCTGCCCTGCCCTGCCCTGCCTTAATCTCGCTCCGGCCCGTTGAAAACGACGTTGTAGATGCTGCTCCGCTTGCCGGTGTTACCACTCGCCGTGTCTCCTCCTATCGACGGCCCTTCGTCCCCTGCCACGCCGGTGGCAGTCGACTTATTACGGGGATCGATTTCCTCTTCTCGCCTGCTGGTGGTGGGGGGACTATCTGCTACTATGCCACTACCACCACCGCCGTCGATGTCCATCTCGGAGTCGTCGTCGTCGCCGTGCTCTATTAGCATGTCGAGATCGCGGTCGACAGCGTCTTGGTCTTCTTGGGGGTCGTCGTCTCCGTGCAACGGGGTTGAGGTATGGTGGGGGTGGGGGTGGGGATGATGGTGGTGATGATGATGTGTCTCGCTGTCGACGCTGTCGGTATCGTGCAGCAGTGCTTGGAACGAGTCTGGGTGGTGTTGATGGTGGTGGGCGTGGTGGTGCGTCTGCAGATGGAAAGGTCCGTGAAGGGTGGCGGTGGAATGGCTTTCTTGCGTGTTGTAAGTATCGTGTCCTGGTAGTGATGTATGCGAAGCATGCGGGCTAGGGTGGACTACTGTGTCGTGAGGATGGAAGGAGTTGAATGCGTGGGGATGATGCGTCGCTGGTTGGTGAAGGTGGTGGTGCGTTGGCTGAGATATGATCTGCGGGTCTATAGGGTGGTACATATTTGTAGCTTCATGTAGGGAGGCGAGGGTCGCAGCAGAGTCGTGGTGGAGCTGAGTTTGTAAAAGGTGATGATGGGGTGGTAGTCCAGTATCTGATAACGTCTGCATAGGTGGGTTTAACAAAGACGTGATATCACTGGGACGAGCATATGGGTGTGGAGGATCAACTAGAGCTGGAAGTTCGCTGTGCGTAGGTGTCGACAGCTCGAGGACTCTGCCAGTCACGTCGACGCTTCCAGATCCGGAAGCTAATACAGGAGCTAATACAGAAGGTAATCTTGACGGCATAACGTTTACGCCGACATTGCTGCTATCGGAGTCCACGTTGAGACGTTTAGAACTAGTAGAATTCTGAATGGAAGGTGTTTTGCTTGCTTCCTTGCATTGTTCACACGTCCTAATTACATCCGAAACCGTCTCCTTGATGCGGCTCCAGTGATACTTCTCAGCAATAGTCGCCGTAGTCTTGTTTATGCCGGCGTGACCGCCAGCCTCGTGGAGGCGGCGCGAGATGTCCATCTGTCGGATCGGGTCGCTGATAACTTCCTTATCCTTAAGCATCAATACGTCATTGTCGAGTAGCTTATAGTGCGTCGCGGCGCTCCGGAGCCTGCTTTTTTCGGCGCGGTCAGATCCATTCGGGTAGCGCCCGTACTTGAGGTAGAATTTAATTTTGTCGAAACGCTCTTCACTCACGAGAAGGGGTTCGCCGTTGCCCTCTCCGGCGCCAGGCCCAAGGTCCCGCCCGTAGATGATGGCATCGATCAACCGATCCGGGTACGACTTCAGATTGCCGCACCCCTTAACACGTCCGATACGCTTAAAACCAAGCGCATCCCAGATTTTGCACGAGGCCACGTTCGTCTCGTATACGAGGTTGAATACCGAATATGTATATCCGAGTTTTGGCGCCCAATCCAAATAACTCTCACCCATGAGCCGTCCCACGCCACGGTTACGAGAAGCATCCGTCACTAGAAAGCCGCCATTGCACACGTGACTGCTCCGGCCGGGATAGTTGGGTTTAATGTAGAAACTGCCGAGGCATTCTCTCGACCAGTCTTTACCCTCGACCACGTCGGCAGCGCTGTCGATCTGGCCGAGAAGCATGATCCCAGCAAAATTCTGGAACCAGTAAGCGGAAAACTTGTCCAGGGGCATAGGATCTATCATGGGATAGGTATCCCCGCCTTCAATCTCCTTTGCGAATTGGTCCGAGAGATAGGCTAGTAATGAAGGAGGCACTTGATCACGGGAAGCAAACGGCACGACGGTTGCAATGGTTTGACGATCTCGTAGCGTCACCTGACGAGGGAGAATATTTGGTGGTAGCTCCGGCTTGTTGGGATCCGGAAAAGGGGGTTGCCCGGTGACACGGTAGATGGTTGGACTTGACGGATCGTCCATAATTGCCGGCATCTTGTCCCTGAATCCGTTGTTCCGTTATGTGCTGAAAGAATTGCTTCACTTAACCTAAACATGTTGCCTATCAACAATACGTACTGAATTAAACACGTTGTAAGACCTATCCTATTTTTTTTCTTTCATCTCGTCCTTGTTTATCTCCTTTCCCCCCAAACGCTAAAACATTGGCCTGTACATCCTTCGACAGAGAGATGAATCATTTCTTGCCGAATCATCATGACCCGGAATCAAGCGTATTAATGGCGATCTTACCGAAATTCAAAACAACTGGTTCGCTGCCGGAACGCCGCTCAACGCTGTGTTACCGTTGCCACACAAGTACCCCTCGATGTCGGGTTAAAGGGGTTAAAGGGGGGGGATTGGTCGGGAATTGTCCGGCGTATAAGTTGATGACGATGAACTGTGCGTCGGGAGGGGAAATTCGTAGATGTGAATATCTTAGAACGCAGCACTAACAAAAGCATAACGGTAAAATCTCGGCGGAAATTAGTTGCCCTAGACGAATTCCGTATTGAACTGAAGCTAAGTAATTATTGGGATGATAAATTTACGTTATAAAATAGGTATCACGAGATGAAAAAAGGGGCCTGGTTCATGTACCTCACTCAGGCAGTTAGCTTAGATAATCCAAACAATGTTCATCATTAGACCATTTTTGATTTATTCGAGTAGTTTGTATCCTTACATAACATCAAGAACGGAGCAGTTATATTACGTAGCTTTTCAGGTATAGTAGGTACATTTCCACGCCCCTAATGCATCCTTGACTTTAGAACCATAGGTTCCTGAGGGATCCTATAATCTTTTTACCGTCTTGGCATACCCCTTCCTCGTCCTCTTAAAGCCCTCTGCGCTGCTCCCGGTGGCAGTGGCTGACCAGGTGCTTGTGGTTGAGCACTTTCTTCATTGCGGATAGTCTCGTCGACACCTAGAATCAAGCAACTGGCTTCGGTAGCTGCTTGTATGGCATTGATCTTGACAAGAGCCGGCTCCCAGACGAACCGTTCCATCATGTCTGCAACACCCTCGTTCACAAAGTCAACACCAGCCCATACGTGGCCTCTACGGTGCTCCACGCGTAGTCTATTTAAAATATCCGTTGCGTCAAAGCCAGCGTTATCGCATAGCTGACGGGGGATAACCTCGAGGGCTTTAGCGAAGGACTTGATGACACCTTGCTGCTTGTGCGGAACATCTTTGTCCGCAAAACGATGCAGATACGCAGATATCTCCATCTCACAGGCACCACCACCGCCCACGATTAGATGGTTTTTGATGGCACGCTTGACGATCATGATAGCATCGTGAAGAGACCTCTCCACCTCAGCGATAAATTGTTCTGCGCCACCGCGGAGGACTAGAGTGCATGTCTTGGCCTCTGGGCAATCCTCGAAGAAGTTGAAGCGCTCACCACCAATCTGGCGTTCCTCGAAGGCGCCGCAGGTACCCAAGTGGTGGGGTTGAATATCAGAGCAGGTTGATTGCACGGTGGCGCCCGTAGCTTGGACTACTCGTTCCATATCGTCAGAGGAGACGCGGCCAGCGCAGAATACGTCCCGATCGGCGAAGTACTGGGTTGCTAGATCTCCAATAGGTAGTTTAGAGAGCACCACCTTAGCACCTGTTTGATAAACAGCTTCCAACTTCTTGTAGATGATTTGCCACTCCGCATCAACGATCGCTTGGTACTCGGAAACTTGCTCGACTCGAACTTCGGCGTTGTCCTTCTCGGCCTTCAGCTCTAGCTCGACGTTGAGACAGACAATCTTGGGCTTCTTGAAAGACTTCGGTTGTTGTTCAAAACCTGCATATGAGAATGTCTTTTTGAAAGCTACTCCGTTAACAAATAGCGAGTCGGTAAGGGAGCCACCGGGTATCTTCTTGATACCGATGAGCTTCTCGTTTAAGTCGTTCTGGTCGAGCGATAGCACAGCATCCACGACCACTATAACATAATTAGCCTCGATACAAGTAGAGCTTTTGAACTGGAGTAGTACATACTCTTGGTGAAAAAGGGGGTGTCTTTCTTTATCAGCTTGCTCGTCATAGCTGTAGCTGCTAATTTCCCTAGGGTCTCCCGTCTGTTGGCCTCGTCTGTCCTCACCGCAATTTCTTTAATCTTGTTGACCGCCATAGCTGAAGCTTTCCGTAGACCTTTGATGATAATTTGGGAGCTAACACCTTGTTCAACGTGCTCCTTGATTTCCTTGAGGATCTCGCCAGCTAGAACGACTACTGATGTTGTTCCATCACCGACTTCGGCATCTTGCGATCTCGCAATATCGACGAGGATTCGGGCAGCAGGGTGCACAATATCGAGAAGCTACGAGGTATTAGTGGTATGACAATAACAAAGATCCGACTAAGGAATCTGACCTTCATCACTGTTGCGCCATCGTTCGTAATAGTCTGCTTGCCATTCTCGTCCACCATTAATAAATCACCACCGTAAGGTCCCAGAGTCGACTTTATGGTTGCTTGGACAGCTTGGCAGGCATTTATGTTGGATATTATCTGACCTTTACCCTGAGAAGTATCGGTACCTAAGTCCAAAGTTAGTCTGGGGACTGATTGCCTTCATTCACAGATCGAGGGGTAGCTCCCGGTCCTCACCTTCTTTCAGGACGATAATGGTGGGGGTCTGGCCTCCGAAAGACATTTTTAACGGAGTAAATATGAGTATGGCGAGTTTAAGAAAGTGTTCAAGGAGACGTATGTTCTTGGTGGAAGGAGTAGGGAGAGTTGTTCGCCTCGAAAATCGCCAATACTTGACCCTCAATGACTTTCTATTAGGTGCGAGAGCTTTATTAGGTGCAAAGAGCTTTAGGAGCTTCAAAAAATTGTTGTAGCCTCGCGAAATGGGGCGGGTGGGGCGAACATCAACACGGGCCACATGAACCCCAGTGTGTGGATACCTTAGACCCCTCATTAGTAATCACTACCCGTACGTCAGGTCTTTCCCGATGAAGTATGTAATCTGAATTTTAATTGGTTGATCTGAATGCCGTTCGGGCAGGTTAGGTACCTAGGTACCTGAGGTAGAGGTGGATTTCAAAGTGAACCGTTGATTAAGCCCTATCGAGAGCCATGATATTAGCAACTACCTAGGTACCTAACGCTTGGTATAGCATACCCCATTATCAAGTACATAAAGCATAAGAGTATTAGCTAATGGATAAATTCCTTTGCGTTGTGGCCAGGACAAGTTGTTGGCGGCAGACAACCAGGTCCAAGTCTAAGTTACATGTCTGCCCATGAAGATTGCCTCAGCATTATGCCTTCGTAAAGAAACGAATGCGAATCCCATTTTTTCAACACTTCTTCGCCCGAGAGGGTCATCAAGTCGTCTAAGAACAAACGACGGCTGTGGCAGTCATCAAGGGGAGTCTGATGGTGACAACGGTTGGAAAATAAATAAATATGGCGGCAGGTTTGACGCAGGCTGTATTCCTTGCTACTGAAATCGTGGTCATTGTCATCTACCAGATTAGAAATCCGACGGGGAGTTCCTTTACGAGAGCGAACTTTGACTTCCACTATCGGCACTTTGTTAGCATTAGGTACGCTCCAAGTATTAGTAGAGCTAACTCACTAAAGTGTTTCATGAGATTGCGACGCCATGCTGGCAAACATGCACTCTCGAACAAGATGGTCGTTCTCTGATTATCCGCAAGCTTTAGCTTGCCTAGGTTGAAATCGTCTCGGCAGAAACAGGACAAGAGAAAAATGTCGCGGTCAAGGTTGATATAAATATATCCGACTGGTACGCGACTATCGGGCACAAAACTATCTTCACTCTGTGTGTCTAGGTCCTCGCTGTCCGAGTCAATGTCCTCTAGGAATATGGGTTCCTTAAATGCTGTAAAGACAGGCAGTTTAACGTGATACATGTCTAAATAAGCTTTGCGTGACGAGACGCAGGTATACAAGGCAGGGGAAGTTAGAGATTTTGTAGGCATGATACACTTTGTGGTGTTATCCATAAGAACCAGTCGACTTTTGTTTGCTTCCAAGATGTACGCTTTCCATATTTTGTCTTGGACCTCAGCGGGAAACTTGGGAAACTTGGGAAAAGAGGGGAACGACATCGTCGCCAAACGCCTTAGCCCCAGAGGCGATCAGAGAAGGTGACAAATTTTCAGATGATTTCTAGAGATTTAGTTTGTATTTTGTCGATTTGAATTGTTGTTCGGCTATTCGATGTTGGGTTCCTTGAGGGTAGCTACCTTAGGTAGATATGAGGTACCTACCTAATTGAAAGCACGCGTATTAGCTTATTACATAAGGTATCGAGCGAAGTGGCAGGTGCCTTCTTCTTGTTTAGACCATGGAATGTTCTATCCCGGCTTTTCTTATAGTTAAAAGGAGTCATCAGGTACCTAAGGTAGACAGACTTCAGCAGGCAAAAATTCCTCGAGGATTATCCCAAAAGCAAATCGCGATGGAAAGTGCCTACCTTACCTAGGTAGGTACATATGACTCTTACGCGTTTTACCAAGATACGCAAGCCAGGTACCTAGGTAAATAGATTGACGTTATTAAATTGTACCTAAATAAATGGTTAGCTAAGAATCTAAGACCATATGACTGCCACATAATGGTCGTAGTTTCTACCATAGTTTGATACTTTCCGTGAAGCATTAGTAGATGATGATAGGTGAAGAATAGTTCTACATAACAAATTAATACTGCATAGGGATGTAAAGAGGAAAACATAATTATGTACAAAGTGAGGACATAGATCATCGACAACTCTTATTGTCAGGTATACCCTTTGATGGATGTCGTACAGAGTGAGTGTCAGGGGCATAGTATGCAGTCTATTGTAGAGATCCAGTATCGCTTAGCCTACGTAGCCAAGTGTCAAAAGCGTCAAATCATGCCGCGCTCTCATTAGATATGGTTCATCTCATGCCCAAAGCAATTCGTCAAGTTCTAGTTAGTTCAGTTCACTTTTACCTCCATTTTTATTTTCTCCTGTATTTTGAATAACTTGAAAGAATCATAACCTCAACTACATGAACAGCAAAACTGAACGCAAACAGACCGTAAATATTTAATGTTAAATCAAACCTCTAAACCTAGTTTTGAACAAAAAAATACCTAAGTGGAACACAATAGGTTAAAAGTATAAATACGAAGCGAATAAAATCCCCTCCTCATCACCCTCACTGAAGAATCGCCAGCCCCTGAGCGTTCTTTCCCGCCAACTCCTTCACGTCGAACCTCTGGAGGAACTTCGCCTTTCCCTGGCCACCCGAGATGTCCAAGACGACGACAGCAGCACCTGTCGCCTCGGTGCCGGGGGAAAGAACATAAAGAAAGTTACCGGCGGCCGCGAGGTCGATGAAGCCCGCGTCGCCGGTGTGCGAGAGGTCGATCTGGGAAACGATGCTGGCGTCCTGCGCGCTCATCTCGACGATGCGAGGCACGGCCACGTCCGTCACGAAGACGGTCTTGGTAGCCTCGGCGTAGGCCGCCCAGCACGTCGCCTTCTGGTCTTCGAGGGCTTGCTTGCGGATGACCGATGCGCCGCCGGTCGCTGCGTCGATGTTTAGCACGGCGGCGCCGAAGGAGGCGTCCGTCGCGAAGAGCGTGCTGGTCCCAGGGATGATCTGGGACCCGAACAGGACGGCGGTGCCCTCGGGGGTCGTGCGAGTGTCATGCGGGCAGTCGGAGCTGATTTCGGAAACGGGAAGCGTGGAGATGAATCCGGTCTTGTTGGCCATGGGGTCGCCCTTGACGATGGTAATGAGCATGGACTCGTCGTCCGAGAACAGGACCTGGGAGACGGTGTTCGTCGGGCCGACAGGTGGGTTCGACTGTCCAAGGTCGAAAGCCAGCACAGACTTGAACGGTTCCAGCCCGCCGTCGTGGAACCCGGCGCAGGAGACGCCGGCTTGGGTGGCGGTTGTTGCGACGCACAAGACGTTGTTCTTGGCGGACACGGCAACGGTGTTCGGGAACGGCTTTTGGATGTAAGATGCTCCTCCGCTTCTGAACTGTAGGTGGGTCGGGTCGTTGTCAGAGATCGTCATCGGGGTCACAGATCCACTCTGTGCGTTAACTGCGAAGACAGTCTATCTTGAATTAGCATTTTATTTTCCTCCTCGTCACTTGTCAAGTATAACCTAAACTCACGTTTCCAGATATAGTGATAGAAGACTGGCTCACGAGTGCGTCCGGCGCGGCAGGTTGTTTCGTAGATCCGTCTATCGCATTAGATCCGACTCCGTTAACCGGGTTCCTCTTTCCGGCCTTGAGAGTGCCATCCGGTTGGATGGGCAAAGCTACAATCGAATTCTCGTTGTCGTTGGACAGGAAGTACACGGCCTTTCCAGTTTTGGGGGCAGTAGGCTTGCAACCTGAGGAATGGGGGATGACATGGCCAGCAATGCCTTGAGCAAGTATTAACGACGCGAAGAAGTTTGACTTCATTGTGAATAAGTAGGTAGATAGGATAGCTAAGGAGTTGGGAAATGTATGATATCAAGTTGATAGTCTTAGATGATTCCGTTCAGATCAGGAGGGAATATTGTTGTAAATAAGGAAATGCGTTATTGGTAGAGAGGCTTGCTTTTTTGGAAATTCTGATGATGATATTCACATTCGATAGATAGACAGTTTCTATCTTTATTATATACACATATCCAACTCAACACATCGTCGCCCTCTTCAACGACATGATACACTGGGGAGTAGACATTGGAATCTTCATTTCCCCAAAGGGAAATCTCACCGTAAGCTCTACTGAGGCTGCAAATTAGCCAGACGTTATGTAAACCCCTAAGACCCGTTACAGGGGTGAGGCAAGGAAAGATCTGGACCTAGGGGTTGTAAGCTTTCTTTTAATTAACTGCTTCCAATTGTACGAATCGTATATCAAAATTGGTTTCACTCTGATATCGAAAACCCCTGCCCGAGATGTATCAGCCGAGTTAGGGGCTGAGCAGATCTGGACGTGTGCCCCGATTTTCTTTGGAATCTTTGCAGTTTCCTAATTCGGCCATCAGATCTGTCAGTTTGTGGACGAGATACCTTTCCCATTTGACGTCAGCCCGTTGATGATACTTAACCATTTTATCCATGTTTTCAATATATTTATCTCTTTAAATAACACTATGTCGTTCTCGTATAAGGTTGTTATAGTCTACCATCCATTTCCGCTGCATCCCGCCTAGGGTCTAGAAGGTAAATGCCGACATACTAAGTTAATTGAACTGGTCGTTTGTGAAAGGTACCAAGGCTATAAGATTTACATGGCTAATAGTCAATAGTTGCCTTATGAGAGATACATATCTCCTAATTCAGATCTCAGCGTGCAGACGGAGACACTGCCAAGCGCTGGAACGACCAAACACGTAAAATTTCAGCTTCACCTTTGTAATACAGAGTTAAGAGTTTAGAATTAATAAATATTTTAACCTGCAACATCCCAGAAAGAGGGACATTATCCAGGTTCTTACTAAGTTGCGCCGCTAGGTAAAAGCTTTTTTTTTTTTCTGTTTTTTCAGTTTGTTTTACCTTCCCTCATCTAGGCCTACGGTCAGAAACGCCTTGATGAGCCAGTACTATCCATATTTCCCATCGCCTCTTCTTGCAGTTTCTATCCTCCTTCTACTTCTTATTACGTTCCCTCCGACACCCACTGCAGGTTGTCCACTTCACGACTGTTCTCTTCAAATAGGTCTCTCTGCAGTTCCTTGCATTGCGGCAGCGCTCGAATCTCGCCAGAGAAACTTCTAAAAGGGTTCTGCAAAAAACGCATTTAACCTCTCGCTCGTATTGCGTACACATCGTGGCGGTCGCAGAAGTCTGGTGATATTTATTTTGAATCCTTGAAAAGGATGCGACTTGAATTAGACAAGAGACGATAAGATAAGCTTGAGGAGTTGATGGTAGTTAGCATAAGAGGTAATTTGGGTTTGGATGGAATAGGACCGATCTTTTCTGGAAGACAGAAGCGTTTATATATGGATGGCCAAAGGGCGAAATGTGCCTGGGGCTCTAAGTGCAGGTGTGCAAAGTGATTCTCGAGCACAAGATGGACCAGAGTTTGGGTGCCTCACTTGCTGTAGAAAACCAGTCACTAGGCATGAATCCTGGTATATTCTCTAGCATTTCGACTGGGACATGTCAAGCAGGATTACAGTTATGATACTATCCTATTGCCCGGACTCCCCTCCACTCAGTATCTTAGGGAGTGAGTTACTAACCCCTCAACCACTCCAGTATAAATAACAAGCCATGATTCCTTAATACACCTCAGAGTAATCATTTACGAAATATGGAATACTATATATTAGAGGTAGGTAGGTAGTCACAGCTATGGCAGGTTTACGATATAGACTTACGAGCGAAGTGAATAAGGGATAGTCCATGGAGCTCATCACTGCATTTTGTGTCATTACTTCCTGATGTATACTCTCAACAGAGGGACATATGCCTCCTTTAATTCCGAAGTTATGAATCAACCAGGCATATGCCCTTGGTTATAGAATTAAACTAACAGCGCTAATCATAGCAAGATTGCATTTGTTTGCTAAACCGTGCATTATACCTTGATATATTATTTGAACTATCCCGGCGCCAATGGACTTTTGAACACAGATTACCATGGGTAAACGTAATGATACATACGACAAGGCTGAGGCAAGACATGTAGAATTAGTTTCGAGCCTACTCGATAATTGAGTTCTTTAATAACCAAGGTTAACTTCGACATGTTACCTATCGTACGAGATAGAGGTACCTAAGCGATGTTTGCTGAACATGTCAGGAGTCTCACTTGAGACTCCTTGGAACAAAGGAGTTATTCTGTATATACCTAGCTTTGACTTCAAAGCAACTATAGTTAGAGTTCCTTGCGAAACAACGAAGTTATTTACCTACCTCAAGCTCTACGACGTGACAGAACAAGAGGCACATAAGCATTAAATTGGATAAACAGGTTTAGGAGAGGTTTAAATGACTAAAACACATGAAAGTGCAGCTTGACTTTGGAAAGTCAAAGTTTAGTGATAGTAATGTGTATATTCTTTTCGTCCATTATATCATAGACAAGGCAACGCCAGCCAGCTAATTCAGGGCAGCCAAAGGAGATATGTTGTAAGTCTACATAACAGGTAATCTTGGTTTTCATTTACCAGATCCCGTTGTAGAATGCTTCCTTTAGCAGGCCTTTATTTCCGCCCTCTTCGTCTAAGCTCCTTTCCCCTCCTTTTCCCTCGCTTCCTGGTCTTTGTCCTCACATGAGCGGCATTTGATATATCTTATGCCATCGTTCTTCCTAACAACAGTGGTGCAGCCCTTGCCTGATTGGCTGCAGGGCTCTAACTCCCCCAAGATAGTTTCCTTGAGTACTCCGCATGCAGCACACTTGATTACGGTTCCGTGTTGGATGCACATTGTGGCGGTTGAAGGAGGTTGGTCGCAGGTATTGGTTTGATGCTCCAGCACTATCAAATTATTAGGAGACTGGGGATGCTTTGGAGGTGGTTGATAGTAATGTGGTTTAGGTTTAGATACCTTATGGTTCCTGTTTTTCGAAAATTAGAAGTGCTTATATATCTTTTATGCCAATATACTGAATAGATAGCGCCGACTTACAAGCTAACGGGTACCAAGTACGAAATGCGTTGGAGTTCATTTGCCATAGCGCGTCACCTACATCTATCATACACGAATCCTAACACAAATTCTTGGGTACATTTAGACCAAAACGTTCCATTCACTACAACTATGATTAGTGATATCCTTGACTCACTACTGAGTTATTCCACCTGTCTATTGGCTTCACTTTGTATCGTAAGGGATTGAGAAGTTCTTTGCATTAGGTCAGGTACGGTATCTCACTAGTTGTCTAAAGTATTTGCTAACATTAACATGTGTGAGTGTACCTAATTGCAAATCAGGAGGATTAATGTTGTATAGTGACGAGCGAAAAGACTATGAAAAGGTTTGCTGAAAAGATGATGTACGTGAGCTTGACTTGCCTATTGACTCGGCATACAGATACCTTTCTACTGGGCTAGATTGTGAATTTTCTTAAAATGTTCATTGACTTTAGGTATTGTACCTCTTATAGGTGATTAACGACACTATTAACACCAATAGTATTGATATACGCTTCATTGTATTTTCCTACCTACCCTAATACTCGAGGTATACTTATCAACATATACAACTAAGATTGGAACCTGGGCAAATAGGGTTATAAGCTCTTCAGAAGCCGACGCCACCACGGCTGAGGGACCCCTATTTCAGCCCGGGCAATCTCCTTATCTTCTTCTAAGTCGCGGCGCCTCCCAGCCTGCAAATCAATCTCATCTTTCCTCCAAATACGTGTCTTAAATGCGAACTTATATCCAACAAATATAACAAAGAACAATGGTAACAGTATGTAAGCATCGACGAAGCCGCCGGCGTCCCACGGTGAGAAGTTCGACCAACCTTGCACCAACGCTAGGAACATGTTCGCCGCCAACCCAAAGTATGCATTCCAAGGGTACCAGAGGGAAACGTAAGGCAAATCCTCGACACGGTAGCCCTGTGCTTCCCAGGCTTGGCGGAATCGAATATGGGTGAGAGAAATAGACCCCCAAACTAAGAATGTCGATACACCACTCAAGTTGACAATATATCCGTAAGCTTTGGAAGCTCCGGTTGATACGTTCATCATAGATATTGCGCCGAAAGCATTTGCTAGTGTGATAGCGGGGATTGGTACTCCCCTCTTGTCTGTCCACCCAAGGAAAGACGGGGCCATCCTTTGCTGTGCCATAAATAGCAGGGTTCGCGATGCGACGTAGATAGAACTGTTAATGGCGGAAATACAGGTGATAAGGATAAAGGCGTTTATAAGGTGAACGCCACCTTGCCAGCCCGCATTTTGGATCGCAACGGTCATCGGACTCAACAAGGCACGGCTGGTTCCATTAACAAGCTGTTCATCATTCGCGGGACAGGTGAGGCCGAAAAAGAAAGCTGCACCCATATAGACGAATATGATGCGCCAGAAGACTTGGCGGATGGCCAGCGGAACCGCGACTCTGGGGTTCTTGGTCTCGGTGGCGGCCACAGCAACCGACTCGCAGCCGGCGTAGAAGGTAGAGCAGAAAACGAAAACTTTAGCGACACCACGGAAGCCTTCGACAAAAGGTCCGGGGTCGTGCCAATACCGAAAGCCTATGGCATCGGCTCCGCTGATCCCACCCGAGACATATCTGTAGCTGTTAGCGTACTGATTAAAACTATCTCATGAAAGTCCAAGCTTACACGATGGAAAATAGGTAGAATGCCACCAATCCTACAAGCTTTAGAAGGGCCAACCAAAACTCGGCCTCCCCAAATGTGGAAACGCCCAGAAGTTGGAATAGTAAGAAGGCAGTCTAAGAAGGTGTCAGCAACGGGATGGAAGAAGTTCATTGGAAGAGTAGACTAAATCGGAAATGATACGAACCCATAAGAGGAGAAAATACCCCCAGACGGGCACCTTGTCGCTCCAGAATACCAGGATGCTGGTTGTGGCATTGTACTCGTTGGCGAGGACAGCGAACCAGATAACGAAGTAGTTCCAACCGACAGCGACACCAAACGCAGGATCAACGAACCGAGACGCTAGCTGAGTGAAAGCACCTCCGGAAGGATACAGAGTGGTTAACTCGCCCAAGCTTTGCATAATACTTTATTTTTTTTATTGTTATTAATAGGTCAGCACTGAATAAAAGGGATATGCGACGGTACCTAAAAGCAATTATACCGATGACGCCGAAGCCAATCAATAGCGATGCCGGCCCACCGGCGGACAATGCGCCTCCGCTACCGACCAAAAGTCCGGGTCCAATGATTCCGGCCAGAGCCATCATCGATAAATGTCGCGTCTTCAGGCCGCGTTTGACCCCGGACTCGGGATCAATCGAGCGGAAGTCATCCTGATCGGGGTCGTCGTAGGCCTGCACGAGGGACCGCTCGATGTCCTTAGGGCTACTACTCATGATGATTGAGTCTGCTTTTTTTTTTTCTTCTTTTTTTTCTTCACGGCATTAAACCGAAAAATTCTAGGTACGGATGGGAAAATAAAACCATTCAAAATTAAAGACAAGTTGGGTTGGGTTAAAGGATGTATTTGCTGTGCATCAGAGAAAATATGTACGAGTAATAAGACTCTAATAACATTTCGCGCCCTCCCCGAATGAAAAACCTGTTCAGTTTAGAAAGCTCGGTGATGGTTTCGTTAAGATAGGTACCTAAGGTACCTAGAAGAACAACATTTGCCATTAACATGTAAAATTGCGTGATTGAGATCCTGCGCCGCGTAGCTCAGGGCTAAGTTTGGTGCCAAGCCGATGGATATCCAATCCAATCCCAATCTAGCATAGGATTAGCGCAAGGTGGATTAGCATGGATGCTACTGTAAGTTTCCCTTGTACTGATGCAAAATCTTAGTTTAGTGTGCGTTAGGTGAAGTTCGTGTTCTATAACCTGTTCTGGAACAACTGGAGCTTTCAGGGGGTTATACCTATTCTTCGACGCTTTGGTTAAACACCATTTTCATCCCTCCTAGCTGGAACTAGTCGCATGCTTCTTCAGAAAATCATTATACCTCTTATAAAACACCGGTGTGCTAGGATGAGTCGGGATGACAGCGGGAAAGCAGTGAGGCACGCCCTGATAACCATATATCTCAACATCAACACCGGCCAGCTTCAAGGCTTCGGCATATGCGAAAGCGTCGTCTCGGAGAACATCAACACCTGCACATTGTACCACTAGAACCAGAGCAGACAGAATACCAGTTAGTTACAGGTAGGTACTTAAGTGTGCAATGTTTAAACGCAGAAAAAGTTTGAAATGGAGAGAATATAGTAGAGTGTTTTCTTACATGCTGGAGGAAGATTTGCGTGCGATTTTGCGATTAGTGGCGAATGCCTGTAGTCAGGTTCAGGATTGGGATTATAGGCGTTAAGGAAAGCCTCCATTCTCAGGATTCCAAGGACGGGATTTTCCGAGTTTTGAACGTAGCTGCCGTACTCATACTGGTCCCTGGGAAAGAATTTGGGATGACAGACAACGGGAAAGTGAAGCACTTGGGCGATAATTCCGGTAATGTCATTTTCTCTGGCCATAATGGCCATGGCCGCAGCCTAAATAATGATAATAGTGTTAGTACCTCGAGTATCTCAGGTAATAGCTGTAGATCCTTACGAGATTGCCTCCGGCACTGCTTCCAGCAACAATGATCTTCTCGGGATTGATTCCAAGAGATTTCGCATTCTTCTTGCACTATACACGACAGTTAATAGATGGCTTTCTAATTTTAGGTACCTTACTGAATTGTAGAACGCACCCATAATAATCCATCGTAGCAATCTTCCGCTGGTCGTGGAAAGGGGAACTCCGGCGCTCTTTACGAGGTCAATTACATACGTCGCGGGGAGACGCATCACATAAAACACATACAATCTGTAATCCACGCTCACGACGACGATATTGGGATTCATAGCGGCGTAAACATTCTCGGCACCATCTACCTCATGTCGTCCAACCACGAAGCCTAAGATTCAGGAGGTCAGCGGAATGTGTTTGGGTAAAGGGTTGGCATCCGGGATCTCGTACCACCACCGTGCATACGGTAGACTAGAGTCGCGTTCGGTGCAACATGTGGAGATTTGTACACTTTCAACTCAATTAAGTGACCGTCGCGTGCAGGAAATTGTAGGAGCTCGGTGGTGATATCGCGATACCGATCGGGCCCATCAGGGGGCATAGCAGCATCCGGGTCGCCTGCAGCCCGTCGAAAGGCCGCAAAGTCGGGTGATGCCCAAAATGAACGTTGCACAGCATCGATAGCGGACTCAGCTGCTATGTATTCTGGCGTTTTCTTGGATAAATGTCCATACTTCGGTAAAGGCTTGAAGTCAGCATCGATATCAAAGTACTCGGACCGATCCTTAAGATAATCCATGACGATTTGATTTCTGATTTCTGATATTATCCCAAAGAAGGATATGATAGATATCAAATTTCTTTGAGTTTATATAAAGCCCAAGCGATATACTTGTGCTTTTATTTTCTCAGCACAAGTCTTACCTTTCAACATGGTCCTAGTCTTGGTGGGTGTGAGATGAGACAATAGTCAGAATGAATCATTTTGAATGTTTCGGTACGCTGGTGAGATGGGAGACGGCCTGGGTAGACACCTGTAAGGGAAGCATTGAGATGAGCCGAATAAAACTGCGTATACTACGGTGCACCGAGGGGCTGAGCAATGATTACAAGCTCCATCATTATGAATCATGATGGCGCTAACCATTTTAGTTAGAAAATGTAGCCACAGTAAGCTCGGAAACCCCTTTAATGCTCACGCAGTGGAAACATAAGGTAAGGTAACAGTATTAGTTGTCTATCTTACTTCGTGCACAGCCGCAGTAATCAAGATAAACTACCTACTTGATACTACGGTTACAGACTTGGCTTGGCTTGTTGACTAAAGGACTCATATATGAATGCTGAGAAACCCTCAACATGAATCATTCAATATGTTTGGTATTTCCAATCAATCCCACAGACATATAAAACTTGGATGCATTCGATTTCGAAGTAACTCGTATCAATCTGACGACACCCTCATAGCTTCACCCAAGCTCCGAAACGACTTAACCTAAAATGCCTAAGTTTGAGCTGCCGCATTCAGCAAGCGGTCTCCGCGTTGTGCCTGACTCTCGACTGGACTTACGGCCTGAAGCTGAAATCATAGACGAACTCCGTTCCTTTCGACCAATCACTTCAGAGAAGAATGTCTGGGCCTTCTGGGATAAAGGAATCGACTATATGTACCCAAGCTACAAACGCACTGTGGTGAACTGGGTAAGAAAACTTGGCAAATCTTGGTCGGTCCGCCTGGTAGACCTTGTCGAAGACTCGCCAAACTACATTTTCAACTACGTCTCTAAAGACTGGTTCCCCGAATGCTTCGTGAACCGGACGATGGACGGCAGACATGCCGCACAACATGCTGCTGATCTCGTGAGGTTACCGTTGTTGTTTGAACACGGAGGTGTTTGGATGGACGTCGGAAACATGCTGCACACTCATCTCGACCTCCTATTCTGGGATCATCTCACAGCTCCGGATACCCCTTATGAGATGGCAGTGTGGGTTATCACCGGGCAGATCCGAAAGCAATGGGGCAGTTTCGGAAACTACATGCTAGCAGCGCGAAAGGGCTGCATCTTTATCAAGAACTGGCATGACGGGTATAAGCAGCTGTGGAAAGGTCGCACTAACGCCGATGGCTTCCATAAAATACCCCTAATGCAGGACATCGGGCTTGCTGAAGGAATGGCCGACTGGAATTTCGAGGATAAGGTAAAAGAGATGAGCGACTATGTGGCACAGATGCTGATCGGCGACCGCACAAGAAATCTGCTTGACCTGAACTCGGGTTGGAACGGACGCGAGTTCTACAAGAACAAAGTGTTCATGGTGGAGGGAATCCTGAACGGGGTACTAGGTGCGATCAAGACAGACTACGACGGAGCAAAACAAGTAGAACTCTTTACGACGCGCCTCGACGACCCAGATGAAGCAAAGAGGCATACAGCCGAAGCCTTCGTCATAGAGATGCTGGAGAAAAGTCACATGTATAAAGTCTACCATAACTCAGCGGGAGGACTCCCCGCGCTGGGGGATCTCGTTAAAAGGAAGGAATTCGTGGATGCGGACCACAGGCCGGGGACTTTCGGCGAAATGTATAGATACGGTACGGTCCACTGGGAGCCGACTCGCGGGGTGGGACGCCTAATACCACAGATCGATGAGGAGGAGGAGCTGATTCGGGCTACACCCACAACCCCAGCATTGCATGAGTATAAATGAGGGTTAGGGATCAACTTAGACATAGAGGAAGATTCAATGGTATTTTACAAGAGAAGGCGTTGGTCCACTCCAAAAGAAGGGGGGGAGGAACCTTAGGTAAATCGAGAAATTAAGCAAAATGTTATAGCTACCTAGGTAACCTACCTCTTATATTGCCATGCGACTGAGAGACTAATTTATGACATTACAATTTTGGCTCTATGAGATTCTCGACTTCTACTCTAATGCCATTCATAACCGACTTCCAATGATTTTCTATCGTAGACCAATAACGCGAAGGATGCAGTCTCATATGGCCCACATGTGGCGAGTCATCGAACATCTCCAACATCGTCTTGTAGCCCTTACTTTTCGCGACCTCCGCCTGGGCTTCGACGTCCTCCCACCATATGATATCGTCCGTTTTGGAATATAGGTAAGCTCGAGGAGCTTTAGGCGTTGCTGTCGAGTGATCTAAGAATACCCTGCAGCTATAGATCCCGGAAGGTTCCCTCCCTATGGCCTTTTCCAGGAGGGACATGGCGTATAGGAATGTCCACCATATGCGCTGCGTCACTGCAAACGGCCATGGAAACCACTTCGCTGTTCCCACTGCCATCGCCTTGGACCATCGACCTACTTCTCTGGAAAAGTCAAGACTGCCGGGCGTGGAGTCGTTTATACATAGATGGTGAGGGAGAGCCTTGTCTTTCCCGTGACGCTCCTGGTAAGCGTTCAGCGTAGCGGCGGCGTAGATGCCGCCGGTATTAGACATTATATGTAAGATTACTCTTAACGAATCGTCGTCAGGAGTGGGGAACACGGTGTCAACGATGGGCATCATAGCCTTGGTTCGTTGATGGAGCGACTGGTACGTAGCTGCCAAAGTGGACGAGATCACCATCAAGATGCGAGCTCCCGGAAACAGTTTTCTATAGCCTTCAACGTACTTGGCAACATTTTTGGGCTGCCCGTCACCCCATCCGTAGATAATGATCGTTGTAGGGTGGTCGTTGGGTGTCTCCCTTGCGGCATCGGCTGGATCTTCATTGCGGATGAAGATCCGGTCGGAGATAGGCGTAAACCCCGGTGGCCCCTTTTGCTTGCTAGCCATAGTTGCTAAAGAGAAAGTTAAAAAAAGAAAGAAAGAAATGATATTGAAAAAATTAGTTGGAGCGACAACCGGCAAGTAAGCAAGAAAATAGACTAAGACATAATATTCGAGCTAGAAAAATTGAGGCTGAACTATAGTACTGGATGGGAAGTCTACCTAGTTCAGCTAGTGTAGTTCAACAATATGGATAGGAGTAGAGTTATCAAAAAAAAATGTTGGGCGCGAATCACGAAGAGAGATAATACCCTTGTCGAACATGGAAGGTGGAGTTGAGACATACCAAAGAGGTTAAGCAAAAAAAGCACAAATGGTACGTATCAGGCATCTATATTAGTGTATAAGGAAGTAAGATGCTAGGGGCGTTGAGGACATTCTTGAATAATATGTCTTTAAAGACGCCCTGATAAAGCATGGCAGGTCTTAAGTTTAAACACAAACATAGATGCGAGTAAATAATGTCCCAAATTTTTATGAAGTCAATAGCATTAGATTTCGAGTATTCATTAAGCTAGTGATTGTTTTAGTTAACCTAAAGCAACTACAGTTTTCGGGCATTTTCCGAATCCTCGCTATGCTCAACCGTAAGCAACCCCCTATGAAGACATTGGATTGCCTCGTTAAGCCGGGTTAACTCAACATACTTTGCGTACCTGACTTGCATTTACCTATGACCAGTTCTTCACCCCGGCCACAACTAGAAGTTATGCTAGGTCTTAACTTAATAAAGCTGTTCTACTTTTCCGAGCTAGAATAACACGTAACCGACGGATCTGTGCTTATATCAAATCCACCGCACAAGCTTATACAACAAATAAAGCTAACTGGTAGCGATCCAACGAGGGATAGCAGTATTGTAGATGCTTATATAATCAGGTAATAATACGTATATATTTAAGGATGATTGGTGGTGATATTCTAAATAGGAAAATGGTTGAGGAAAATGGTTGGGAGGAAATAAACAAACGCATGCTTCGTTCCTCGGGAGACAAAAAAAAAGGATGAAAAGGGAAAAGAAGTCAGCTGTGCCTGCAACCCCAGCCGGTAGATAAACAGGACACCTCCGCGAAAAAGCGCGACTGGTAAGCTTAGAGGGAAGCCCGGTGCCTCCCAACTACACTAGACCGACCGTTTTTACTCCCAGGACTCCGGGGCCCTAGGGGCCATCCCGATTGATTTGCCAAGTTGTAATTTACCTTAGGTAGGAGGTACATTTATAACTTGAAGGCAGGTAGACTTTTCAATATCTACGGTACCTCCTTGGAAGTTATCCTATGGGATCAATGGCATCCAGTAATCCAGCTAAGTATTATGGCTCTAACTCAAAACCTTACAATCAATATATTACTCAACTGCCAATATACCTTAGGAGGTACCTAACCTTACCTGTATTCTCATGAGAAACCGAAGTTCATGCCATTTTCAAGAATCATTTCGGAGACCCTCTCCCGGATTCCCTCTTCTCCGCTTCCCCCAAGTCCAATGCGCCTTGGGATTCCCAGCCAGGACCCTCATAGCCCTAGCATCAGCCGCGTCCGGGCCCGACTCCCTTTCCACAGCCTCGACCGCGGCCAGCGCGTACTCCCGCGCCTTCGCTTCCTCGCCGAACAGCGCAAAGTTCAGCGCCGCTCGCGTGTACACCGGGCCGAGATACACATCCAGCCGCTCCTTTTCGTACAAGTCCGCCAGCTGCGCTCCCGTTTCCGCGGTCACGATGGCCTCGTTGAAGTTCTCCAGTGCGCTTTCTAGCTCTTCGATCCTTTGGAGCCGGGCGTCTGAAGCGGCCGCTTCGTCGTCGCTCATGCGGCAATGCGAACAAGTACACTCGAATCCCCACTTGCGCAGGCGGGAGCGTCGCTCTTCTCGCGAGAGTATTAGTTCGATGTAGCTGATGCTTAGTTCCTGACCCGGCTCGATGTCACGCGCAGCTACTGTTGTGTGGGTCATGTTGGAGATTCGGTAATGGATGCTAAATGTAACGGTTAGGTTATGGTCGGGTGGTAACAGAAGGTTTTTGCTGAAGGTAGAAGGTAAGCTTACTTTGGACGACAGTCGTGATTAAATCGAGATATCTCCGGGAAGCATCCTAGGTGACTACCAGAGTCATTTGCGCCATCAATGTACATCTGAAAGCAGTTTGTCTCAATCTTATCATAGATATCTTTGCCCATCTGTCCCATGAAGAGTTCTAGGCCTTTAGGGGGCAGTTTGCTTATGGCCAGGTCGTATAGCACATCCCTAGTTCTGGGCCCCATTCCAACATGAGGCGCGGTCTGCACCATCATCGTCGGCGAACGTATAAGAATAGTTTCGCCCTTGCGTATTTTTCTATCAGCGACGATACCAACGCCCTTGCCGGCTACCTCCGCCACGTGGAACGGTAATTCTTTGGCTTCAAACCTCGCTGGGATTGGGAAGTTGCTTGCAATTTTTGCATTCTTTTCGTTGGTAAGGAGTACAGTACCATCGCCTATGTGATGATTTGAGAAAACACATGTCTCGTTTATACAATGCGCCGGACCCTCCCAGGAGTTACGGATGATGGCATTTTCAACCTCCTTTTTCGCTTTCCCAAGTTTACTCGATATTTGCCGCTGTCCTGATTGAAAACTGGCACATGTATCGTCCCCTATTAGGTTTAATGGGCTCAAAGGACATATTCCAACAACGTAGCTTGCTGTAGGTAACGCGTTAAAGAGCGCGAGATAGCTGTATAGGTGAGGGACGCGCATTTTCTTATTTCATGAAAATATTTGACAGAAATCGAATAAGACGGTGATAAATAAACTGACATTGTGCTTTGAATTCCGGCTAGATGAAGGATAACCGTGTTTATTTCAAGGTGATCATAATAGGCCCTGATCATCAAGAATATTACCTCCTTGTTGGATATATCCAGCTTTATCCGACGCGTAACTCGATGCTTGGAAAATGCCACCGCTACTCCCAGAGATCATCAACAGCTCATGTTGGGTAGGCTATTTATTTCTATGGTTTATTATGTCGTGGCAACGAATTAACCGCTGCTAAATTGCAGATTGTAAACAAGCTAGGTATATACAGGTACCTAGAGGCATGGGAAGACTATAGTATACTGGTTTGCTTCAGCTCCGTTTCGCATCCTTTTTTTCTCAGTTTTCGATGTGTCACTCGTGGTGTTTGTACGATCCCTTTATTTCTCCCCTATGGTCTTCTTCCAATTTTCCAGCACGGTTCTCAACTACCATTAATTAGTTCACAATCGTGATAGAACAAGGGGCTTGACATGAAAATTGAGTTGTCGAAGACTATAAGGGGAAACGATTTTGAGGCAAGCAATTCCAGGACTAACATTAGAGTAGGAAATTGTACTTGGCGATGAGTCACTGTGGCGAATTAATATGATTGCCCTACTTCGAATTACATATTTGAGGGGAACACTGCGGTTAAGTGTCTAAACCACTATTGATGGCTTATAGGTTAGGTACCTTAGGAGGTAGTTATTAAGTTAAATATATCTTACCTTAGGTATATATATTGGACAGGACTTAAGTCTTGGGTTGGTTGATTACTACTGGATGGGCTACAACTTTGAGAATCCCTAACTGATGCCTAGGACTTACCTTACCTTACATACATACGTGGGTAGGTTGGGGGCCAAGATAAAGGGGTAACAAAAGAAGCTATCACTAAGTAGTCGACGGATTCGATGCAACTCGCAAGACACTGCAGCCAAGGATAAGCAACCAGTATTAGCTGTCGGCAATTAAGCTACCTCCCTTGTGGCACCGTTGTTATAGACACTTGCCAACTTCCCAACGTACAAAGAATTAGCTAGCGCCGTGATCCCTGAGGTAGACACCTGACGCGACGTGCCGCCCCGGACTCGCAACACCGTCGTCAAGAATTCTTATCCGCTCTTCCCCAGCTCATCCTCTTGACCCAGTTCCACGGGGACTTCATCGCCGTCTTCTCCGTCTTCTTCTCCCCTTTCTTCTTGTCGGTCTTCCCTTCCTCCCTCACGATGCCGATCCCCAAGCGCTTGCACTGGCCCTTGGTCGCGAGGTAGCAGTCGTCGGCGTCCCAGCAGCAGATGCCCGGGTACCAGACGGCGGCGCTGTTGGCGAGGATCCGGAGGGTCTTGGAGCCGCGGGTGCGCACGGCGACGTTGGTCCCCGTCAGCACCCGCTCGTCGTCGTCCAGCTGCATCTGCCCGTACAGCAGCACCACCACGCACTCGTCCGGCAGCGGCACCGCCGCCTCGCACCCGCCCCCGCCCCCATCTCGCGGCGACTCTGTCTCCGAAAACCCCGGCGTGCTGTCCCATCCGAGCTGCAAAAGCCACGCATAAGCATAGGTAGGTAAGCAGGTACCTAAGGTTAGGTAGGCATATTGATCCTTGCCCCCCCTTGTGTGGCGCCGAATAGGTACAATAGGGGAATGGGATAGGTTAAGTTAGGAGGTAGGTAGGTAGGTAGGTAGGTAGGTACAGGTAACATACGTAAGAAGTGATGAACTTGGCCTTCTCGACCAACTCCGTTCGACTGACTAGCCCTTCGCGAAAAGCTTTTCTGTCCCGAACGTCTGCTTTCCCTACGATTGTCATGTTTCCTTTTCTTTTTTTTCTCTCTTTTCTCTTGATGGGAACTAGATACTACTAGATAACAGGTAATGTTTTTTTCTGGCTATTTTAAATAAAATAAAAATAAATAATTAAGAATTGAAAATAGACATCCTATGAGCTTATGCTGAACCCTTTCTAGGGGGCTTAGGGTATTAGGGTATCAGGCTGTAATGTAAACAATACCCCGCCTGCGAATGGCAACGATACCGCATTACTACGTAGTGTAACGAAACATGCCGGAATTCGGAGTACATAAATGGTTGGATTGAAACCACTCCTCGCGGTGCATTTTTAAACAATTGAGACACCTGGCACGTTCTAATCGGTGTAGAGATGTGGTTGTTCGCGGAGACCCGCAGAGTAAACAGGTACAGTACACATAAGAAGGAAAGGGCCGAAGTATCACAGAATGAGGAGCGACTACGAAGTTACCTAGGGTATTGTAATGTTAATGGGTTAGGTCGGAGGTATCGAATTTATCATGTGAAGGAGGCATATAAAACCAAACCAATTATCATCGCTCCAAGTCCGAAAAACGCCAAATATACCCAGATCTGTCTGTCTGGCTGTCTGTCTGTTTTTTTTTAGAGCCCTCCTAACACTTCTGCTACGAGGCTTTCCAGCATCCTGAGGCCAAACCACCTCGCCACGCCCTGATATACACCTAGCCGCCTGACCACTTCACCCCTCTTGACGCTCTCCGCCCACGGACCGCTACATGTGCAATGTTCCATGAGGTCATTCAACCGCACACTGCCGCACCGCTCACACTTCAAGTCCTGGGTGCTCCACTCCACCACCATGCTCTGCACATCCGCCAGTAACTTTTCCTCGATTTTCAGTTTGTCCAGCTCAGCATCGCAGAATGGACACTGCCAGGTCTTGGCCGCCGCTGCCCTCTGTACCTCCGCCTCGTCATTCTCGGTAAAGGCATTTACATCTGGTAGCAGGTGCTCGTCGCGGCACAGGTCCCAGTCGCGGGCGAGGGTGCATTCGTGACAACTCCATTGCGACACCTTCAGGCTCTCGCTCGGATTTGCAAACGCACCCTCTTTACTGAATTCGCGTACTTCGAACAGCGCAAGCAGCTCCTTTCTTAGCAACCGCGCCTCCATGGTAACGTTCTTATCTAGTGATAAGACTTGCATCAGGTATTTCACAAGCTCAAGTACTGCATTCCGATTTTGCATGTTTTTGATGTGACTTCCTGGTAGAACTGGGAACGACCAATCCGACGCTAGCTCAGGATGGAGAAGCTCACGGGCTTGAGTTGACACGAGGGACTTAATTTCTTTCTTAAGTAGCTTTTCGAAATTCTTTCCTAATATGGCCTGGGAGATATCACCGTCGTCGCCTTGTGAACCATTGCGTAACGGTAGTTGCGTAAGACGTGGTGTCGCATCAGGATCCCCGTTCACCATTAAGGGGCGCTTTAGTCCATGCATGAGTTGTATAAACTCTACAACCCAATGCTGGAACGTATCCTGAAGTCGAAGGGGCAAGAAAGTTTTCATCTGCCAATTCATAATGGTCTGCAAGCTCTGCTGTTCGGCTTCGACAACCTCTTGGCAAGCTTTCCCACCATAGTTAAACTCGTCATACCATACCAGGTAGTCCCAGTACTCCTTGATCTCAAGGTCAATAAAGTGGAATAGAGGCTTGCTCTTGATGCTCTTCAGGATGTATTGGCTGTACGCGTATGCATTTCCAACTTCTGACTTCGTAGTTTGCAAGAGGAGTCGATTCGAATTCGCAAATATAACTTGCGAACCAACCCGACGGAAGTCGGCCATAAGTTGTAGCATGGCTTTACGGCTCATCATTTGGACGTAATACTGCAACGCCCGGTCATACATGAACGAGTCAGGAGATTCAACCCATCGTACTAAATGCTGTACGAGAACATCGGCCATAGGGCTACCCTTACATGCTTCGGCCCACCAGGACTTGACCATTTCGCGAAGTACAAGTACTCCGGCGTTAGCAAATGCTGATTCCGAATGAAGCATTTCGGTACCGTCAGACGGTGCAGAGTCAGCGGCGGGATTGAAGGATATCGAATCTGCGCCCTCGAGCTCATTGATGAGAGCCGACGTAAGTATAGTGTTGATAGCTAGGTTTCGAACTTCAATGTCGATACACACTGACGCATATGTACCGGGGTTGTTGATTGAAGGCATTGTGACTGTATCAAGGGGACCCGCCACATCATCCTGCTCATAGCCAGCGTGATCTGGTCTAGGGCCTGGTGACCACCACAACACTACCTTATTTACCTGTAGGCGACGAGCATAGGCAACATCGATAAGGAACCTGGGATCGTCGCGTTCCAAATTACATAATGGTATGTCGCCATATCTCGCTAGGGCTGTGAGATGAAGAATCCAGGCCCCAAGGTTTAGGTAGTGGGAAACAAGACGTTTGGCAACAACGGACTGCCAGCCGAGAGGAGGGAGGGAGCTGTCTGCCTGATCGTACCGAAGGGGAAGAATAGGGAACTCTGCGAGAGTAGGGATGTCGTGCACCAGCAAATTTTGCTGAGATGACTGGATGACAAGCATAAGAGGCTTTAACTCATCCTTTTTCATTTTCTTAACCAGATCACTGATTTCAAGGTGTGCCTTTCGTCGCGTCGTTACTTGCGTTACTTTGAAAGTAAGCCTCTCTTGGTAGGAAAAGCATTCTTGCCAGTTGGTACCCTCCCCTTCTTGTCGCCTCCTTGCAAACATTTCGCTATAAATCTTCGTAACATTAGGTAGGTCTTGTCCCGCATCCCGCTTCTTCTGAAGAATGACGATATGGGCTTCATCCCTCGTCGAAGAGAATACACTGAAGATTTGCCTCTCACCGGCGGTGATGTGTGATATGTAGAGGTACGCAAGCGGATTCGAATCTAGATAAGTCTTGGGTTTTGCGGGCTTTATTAAACTCTTAAGGTCGAAACCTTGATCCAGACCATTCCCGAGCACACCAGGTTGACTTTCGTCAATAGTACATAGATTACCAAGTTGTAGTACTGCTCGAACGTTTAGCGGAACCTGCTTCTCATACACCCCTTCTACACTTGGGTGATTGAATAGCAGCGAGAATTTCTCGGACTCGGCGAAGTAGATATCCTCGGGTACGGTGATTTTGAACAAGTGTGTTGACGAGTGTCCATTTGGCAGAGTGTGGTAGACTTGTTCGACTTCACAACCCTGAACTTCGATGTCGGGCAGATCCTTGCCCTTGAGGTTGAGGAACACCTGCCGTGGGACTTTGATCTTGAGGGAGTGGACCTTTGCGTCGATTAGGACATAGGCAGCTACTACGCCTGGATTGTCAGTTGTTCGGAGCTGAAGTAATTGCCACGTATTCCTGAACGTCACTTCTGCTCTCTGGCGAAATGTCTGCTGAATGTTACCGCTCACATTGCCGCGGCGATCTCCAAAGAGATGTCGTCGACGGATTCGAGCTTGTTTTTGAATCTTCCACTTCTTCTTTTGGTACTCTAGAAAAGCCGGGTAGTCTTCAGAAGGGTCTGGCATCTCCTTCGGGAGAGCTGCAAAGGGATCGAGATTCTCCTTTTCACGCTCGGGTGATTTTCGCTTTGCTGCAGTCGATGGAGGCTGGGACGCGTTGATGGCTGCAGTTGTGCTCTTCGGTTTTAGTAATTTAGTCCCAAAGTCTTCGAGATCGTCTACCCTCGAACCAGTAAGATTTGTTATATCTTCCAGAGGTCCTTTGGTGCTCGCAAAGAGATCCGTCAACTTCTTTTGCTTCATCTTGTCGTCTTTGATGTTGATTCGCCGCTGAAGCCAGTCGGGGTGTGCTACTCGCGGGACTGGGTTACGAACTTTCTGCAATGCGGCGGGAATCGTGATTAGCTTCTGGATAACGGAACCTAATCGCTCTAAATAGTAGTCCCAGTCTAATAACGCCCTAGGATCAGTATCGGATGGTTCTTCCTTGAGCCACTTCGTCAAGTATGTTCGCTTGATCTCTGGGGCGGCAGAGAAGATGGCGACCGGAACAGCTCGCTCAGTAACCGGAGCGTTTCGAGGCTTGGCGCAGATAATATACTTGCAGTTAAGACCTTTATCCTTCACCATCTGCTCACCTAGGAACTCTGCCAAACGTTTCGCGGTTGTGATAGACGTCGACTTCTGGCTTCCGTATTCCTCTAGCGTCTTAGACATGCTTCTGTTTTCGCAAATGAGGTCGATAAGTTCCTCATCAGCTAGTGTCGACCCCTTGTTATGTAGAACATCTAGCCATTGGTTTGCAACCTTCGCGACTGCGGCGTAACATTCGGTGAGAGTAGTCCCCTCTAAGAAGAACTTGAAGATTTGCTGCTGGAAAATCTTGATAAGCTTGAGTTCACCTCTTCGCTTTACCTCAAAACCCTTAAGCTCAGCCAAACTACCGTCGTCGTTAAAAACTGCGTATCGCTTCTTCAAGTTCTTGTCTTCTTCCTTCGATGTCGGCAAAACCATAGCCTTGTAGGGACCGTCGACCTCGAAGAAGATCGAATTGTCGCTATGGGTTTCGTATTTGAAGGTTTTTGGGTCAACGAGCGTCTGGTACTGATGATTCGTAAACTTGTCGTGGACTAGATGGTTCAACATAACGCAAGGATAGGAAATAGCACACTTTTTGCCGTTCTTGAGTTTGAAAACGAAGTTTTCTGGAAATGTCGCAGGTAACATACACCAAATACCATCAGTATCAAGTTCAAGCGGTCGTCCGAGACGTTCGACGAGAGATCGGGCTAGCTGAATGATGGTTGCACCAGTTAAACATGTTACACCGGCCATTTCCATAGAGTACCATCTTGAACCCTTTCGCATGACATAACCATAGAACGAGTTCAAAATGACTTTGTGCGCAAGCTGCAAAGAGTCGTAAAGGACAATCATTTTTTTTGCCGAGTCCACTTCTGCGCTTGGAGCTCCAGATGACTTTAGAGCCTCAGTCTTGCCCTTCCAGACTTTCGCTTGTCCTTTGTAGTCATACCGACGATCTCTGAAATCTCTGACCGTGTCAATATAGAAAGGGTTTTCTCGTTGACAAATGATTGCCTCTCGGACGATAGTGGTTGAATCACGGATCTTGTGATATACCTTTTGACTATACATCTGCAACCGTTTCCTGATAAGACCAGCTTGCTCATCTTCTGGTAACTCTTGGAAAGTCCGCATAGGTCCACCAGGTCGTTTGCTTGGGAATTTCTCATTCTCAAGTGCATGCCGGATCATATTGTATTCGTCTCTCTTCGCGGGTAGGTACTCGCCTCTCCAGGCCCAGGGTAATCTCCTATCGCAAGTTTTCCCCGGGCGGTTGAAGTCACAGGCAGCGCAGTCCGACTCCTGAATCATTGAGTCCGGCTGCAATCGATTTGTTGTCATGATATTTGGGTACATAGAAGCAACATCCAAGTGATAAATCAAAGGCCTTTCGTTTCGGTTAGGTGTTTCTTTCAGTTGTAATAGGCGCGAAGCAATCTGCTCTTTAATCTCGTCATAGTTCGTGACATCATCCAGGGATTTCTTTTCTTCGATTTCGATTACGAACTTGAGAGCAGCGTCTAAATCTCTGAGAAGCTCGTCAACTGCACCAGGGTCGACCGCAAAATTCACCGGTATGTCTGCTCGAAACACTCCTGCCTCAATACTCTCCACGTGACCGCCAACGTAGGTTTCGGCGTCGAGTAAATGTCCTTCCCAAAAAGATTCTTTTGGGGACATGTGCTTATTAGGAAGAATAATCTCATGCTGATATGCTTGCACCATCAGCAGCATCTCACACAAGGTACCTGTTCCCTTGCGTAGCACGTCGTCGCCTCCTAGAGGCAAAATTGTACACAGTGAGAAGATGAAGGGGTGGATGTACTTCATATATAAGTAGTACGTGGCGACAGCATCGGAAACTGAGTACTCCGCCAACGTCTGGGGCCTTTCGTTTGCGTATGGTGTCATCAGTTCTGGGTCGAGCTCATCTGGGTCGTAGCCGAGCTTGGCGACCGTAACAGCTTTTAAACCTCGACTACCTTGTGGTAGATAAGAGTCTCGGTTAACCCATGCTAGGCAGTCCATGTGAACGCCATATGTGCACTTATAAATATCCTCGTTATCCTTCTTCCATCCGATCTCCCGGTACATGTCGATGCCGTTGACGTTTGCTCTCGCTTCTACAAATGGCCAATCGAAGAAATCTCCGTTGTATGTGGCAATGACGGTTGGCCTTGCTTCTTTGACATGTGAGAAGAATCGCTCAATAACAGCTTTCTCATGAGGCTCATTAAAAATCATAAACGTTCCCGGGTATTCGGGTTTGGGGGTGTACTCGAAATCTGCAATGTCCTCGGAGACGATCTCCCGGTTAGTGATAAGGAAACCTTGCCCGTCGATCATGTACGACATCATCATGATCTGATCTATGGCGGCATCGGGGAATTTTAGGGGGGCCTTGGTCGTCTCGATATCGAAGGCCATCACAACCGGATCGGCTTGAACAATGTGTTCCTCATTAAGTGTTATAGTGGTAACGCCGTGCTTTACTTCCACCCAATACCACTTTCCTACTCGAATATCTGATTTCTTCATTAGAATAACATGAATTACAGATGATTGTAGCAAATACTCACTCATGTCTATCATTACTCGTACATGGTATGGTACATCATACTCTCTAATATCGACAATGTAGTCGCTAGCGTCCGCAAATGAAGCGTTATTTCGTCCGTCGTCATCTCGTGAATCATCAAAAAGGTCGAATCCGGCTTGTTCCCTATGATTTATGTTAGCACTTAAACATTAGGTTATTATACTTTTAAAGTAGGGAGACTGACGAAGCCACCTCCGCATAAACATCCACTGTGCCCATAGACTTCTTGTTCTTTTCCGCTATGGGCATTATTTCCCGTCTCGCAGTCATTAAATCTTGTACATTCCTGAAGCGTAACTCGAGAAACGTTCTCCTATACCCGAGTAGGTGATTGGGCATGGACAAGTCTTCCTTCTCGATACGTCTGATACTGTGTACTACGCCACCACCTGGAACTCGTTTCAGCCATTCCTCCACCTCGCCTTCTCTCCCTCTTCGACACGCAACGATGAAGTACGGTTCGTATTCAATGGTTGCCTTGAACGTCTGACCATCTTCCTCAATGAAATAGCAGTCCAACGCCGCTCTACCACCAGGGACACGGTCGTCGTCGAGCGCTACGGTTGTCGGTTGGATATTAACGAGCCACCCCTCCTTTCTTCTACCTGATTCATATCGGGCAAACCCCATAGATTCGTCAATTTGTTGTGCGAGGAGTGTTCGCTCAGCTCTCTCGTCAGCTGATGTAGCTTCGGTACGGGTAGTTGACGCAGCGAACGTTCGAGTACGACCTCCGCCATGGTAGGCCTGCTTGCCTCCACGGCGGGCGTAGCCCTTCTGAGGGCGGCGTAAGGATGTGTTGGGCATGATAGAATCGGTATAGAATCGGTAGGAGAGGGGTGAGTTTCAGTACGTTGGTTAAGGAGAGGATTTCGTTCCAATATAAAGTGTTACGGGCGTCATTTGCGGCAGTAGTATTCAATAAGGTGAACCTAGCCCCAATTGAAATTATAAAGATTACCTTGTTGAAGTAACTGATGTTCCACAGCCTTGAAGTTTCTAATTATTTGTTGTGGTAGTTGTAGTAAAAAGAATAACGAAAAAAACCCCTGTCCCATTAAACGCGAGACGCGTCTCTACATTTACATATAATACATAGTATTCGCGTTTTATGCGTTTTGTGGATTCCCTTATCCCTGTCGCGTTTTTAAAGTGCTTCGACTTTTGCATAATAGCATTTGGGTCATTTGCTCTTTCCAGTTGAATACCTAATTAGTGGGTCCTCTGCATAGCGGCGTCATAGGTTCAAATCGCGATTTTCGCAGCCAAAACTGTCGAACCAAAAGAAATTCAAACTTAGCATCTTCAGCGCCTAAGATGGCGCAAAACAATAAAGAGACTCTCCCTCTCAGGGTGCAAGGCCCTCCGCCCGGGGTAACAGCGCCTTCCGACGATGTTAGAAACCCGCAAGTTTACGAAACATTTCCCAACTCGAATTCTCAAAGTCATACAGTCAAACCGACGGGGCAGAAAAACCCCCCTCAACCTACGATCAAGGATGGAATCCAATCAATAAAACCGGACGACTTTTTTAATGTACACAAAATTCCATGCGCCCGCCAGGGCCTTATGACGGGTATCGGCGCGGGTGCAGCAGTGGGAATGGGTCGATATTTCGTAGGAGGTATAATACCTAAAAGTAGTACTGAAAAGTTGAAAGCATGTTGAGACTAATCCCGTCCTCCAGGGACAATACCAAAATCAACCAATTGGGCTTTCGGTGCCTTTTTTATAGGCTCTATAATACAATGGGAATATTGTCGCACACAGCGGGCGAACGAACGTATGGCTGTAGCACGAATAGTCGAGGTTATGGATAAGAAACAGGCCGAGAAAAAAGCACAAGCTGAAGCGGCGAGATTAAAACAGGAGGCGGAAAAGGCAAAGCAAGACGCTGTGACAGCTGTGACAAAGAAAAGTTGGTATAAATTTTGGTGAGCACCGTCAAATCCTGGATACTGCCAAGAGGAATAACAACAATTGCTACCATACTATAAAGGTCCCGGGTATGTCGTTCTGTCCATTTGCTAATATTTAAAATTCCACAAATCACCTATCAACGTCGATGCTCCTGATAGCCTTGAGTTTGTTAGTCTAGCATGCAGAAATAATGGAGTCTGACGCGATATTTTTTTTCGGGCTGTTCCAAATAAGTGTAAAAAAAATAAGAGTAAAATAAAAGTAAAATCAAACAGGCTTCAAATAGATAAAGGCAGTCTTGCTGTCATGTCGACCCTTTGGGGCTATAATTCGCATCGCAACTATTCAACGCCCTGTTAATCTCAAATCGTTGCCAGTTAACTATGTCCACCTAACGCCCCAATCCCATAAAAATATTGTTAAAATCAGAGTGGTGAATGAACAAATACTATCAAGTCGTGACGACAGTAGTTGGTTCTGCATCTGAGAAACGAACTCGTGCCAAAGGGTGTTTTCTCTCCAATTCCACGGCGTTCCCGACCCGTTGTCGACGACGTTGGCTTCTCTTCGCTCTGGCTTCGCTCTCCTCGCGTTTTCTATACTCAGCCAGCTGCTGTCTTCGTTTCTGCGCCCGCGCGTATGCTAAAGCAGGAGTTGGTCTGAAGCCAATACCGTTGATACCAGTACCGTCGTCATCTTTATCCTCGGGATCATATATAGTAATTTCATCTTCATGCCACGTAAGTGCTGCACGAACGGGGTCAATGATAGTATGTTCTTCCTCGGCGGAGGCTTCTGTCGTTTTACGCTTTGCTAAAGGAGGGGTACCCGATCGTTTTCGAACGCGCGATTTAGATTCCGATAGGCGGTTGATAGATGGGTACGATTTTTGAAGACGACCTGAACCTTCCGTCTTCGCCGTCCTTAATATAGCAGGGTCCACGGCTGTTTGCAAGGTGAATCGAGGCGAGTGAGGAGGCCCAGGAGGGTTAGGATCCGTTACGTATGCTTCTCCCTCCGGTCCTACCTTAGAAGCGTTTGGATGTTCGGTAAGGTTAGCTAACTTGATACGCTTACGCGATGCGGTATCGTCATCGTCGAGCTGCATGTCTTCGATAGACGTGCTACCTTTGATACCTCCATCAAAATCGAAGATGGTGAGCTCTGGCGAAAACCTTGGGCTATCAATTGCAAATTGTGGACTAGCCTCATCCGATCCTGTTTCCGTTCGCGTTCCCTTTAAAACAGAGCCATCGACCCTGTCATTGCGAATTACCCCGCCCCCACTTCCAAGGGCTAGTTCTTGGAATTTCTGAGCGACCTTACTTCGAGGGCTACTGTTACCATCCTCAGGATCATCGTTTCGAGAGGTCTCCACTGGTTTCAGCAGCGGAGGTTGAAAGGAGAAGGTAGTTCTAGGTAGGCTATACGTATTTAGGGAAGAGTCGACAACGCGTCGCTCGTTGAGCACATCGTCGCGCTTACGCTTAGGAGTAGCTTTTAGCGGTGACGATTCTGCCATACTTTCTCTAACTCTTCACACTATGCGTATTTAAGAGTAGTTGCTTTGTCTACAAAGCTCTAATGGAGAGCTTATAAGACTTAGAGTTGGCCGTCCATTGGTAAATTGTGTTGGTATATAATAGGTTGGGATGAATTTTAGTTTGGCATTTTGAAGGTGAGTTGTCCGATTTATCCCTTCGAATCAGGTTTGAATCGGTGGTGATGATGAAGAGCAAATAAGTCTTTTGTGAATATTAAGGTAGGGTCAAAGTGTGAATCAAGAGATTAGCGAGGCTAGTATGTAAGTTGGGTAAGTTGGGTAGGAGGTAGGTAGGAGGTCCGTCAGGCTCGAAAATTAATGGCCGGGTCTTGGCATTCTTAGATTTTCAATTCTGTCGAACAATAAGTACTATGAAAAATAAATAGAAAATATCGTAATATTTGTTAGAAGATTATGTATATAATTATTACTTTTTTCAATTTTTTACGATTTATTCCTGCGGTTATTTTTGTGTTAGAGATGGTACTGTTTCTATAGAGAAATGCCAAGACCCGGCCATTAATTCTCGAGCCTGACGGTCTACCTAAAGCTTACCAGGCGCTAGTGCAGGTGTCTTATTAGTTTGCCCTCTCCCGCGCTAATGAGAAGGGGGGGAATGCCATAAGGCTAAGAACATGATTAGTTTCAGATGGCATTTGACCATACGACGGTAGCTGGTTACCGGATACCTCAGGTAGATACCTAGGTACCTCTCCTAAGCTGGAACTTATCTCGAGACTACATGTACCTCCCTAAGGTTAGGTAGGTACTACGTCTAATAAAGACGTAATGTTCTTTTAAAGTAAACGCAAATGCATAAAATCTTGATTCAGATTCCAATTCCAATTCCATAGCCACGTAATATCCTATCGCATCCAATCCAATTTAATTCGAACTTTCCAATGGCTCTAAGATGCCCTACATTATTTATTTTAGGTACATATGCATGTATGCATGTGTGTACGTACCAAAGGTACATAATTCGATGTATGGCGAACCCGATGGTACGGGTCTACGCCTGCTTCGCACTAATGTAGCCGCACCTTGATGGCGTAAGAATTGATAGAACAAGATGTAGGTACCAGTATCCACGTTAAGAAAATCGCAACTACCTACCTCGGTGGAATGATGAGGGCAGACGGAGCCGTCTAATCCGCTTGCACGACACTGTACGACATTGTACGACCGAGTTACCCCGCTATAAGAAGTACAATACATCATACCAGGTAGGTACCTGAGGTAGGTAGAGGTATGCTATAACATGTACCCCGCCATCTCAAGATAGCTCCAGGTTAAAACCAGGTTATTGTAGATTTAAGCAGTTACTAGCTTTGAAATTCTCTCCACACTTTGTCATTTGTCTCGTGGGCATTTCTATATAGCCTAAATGCCAATGCTCTCGCTACTGAAGTTGAGCGTTCCGATTCTTCTCCCTTATCTAGCTGTCATCCCGCCCTAAGATTAAGACTATACCTCGAAGCTTCATCTAAGTCCTCCCACACACACCCCACGAATTTATATTAGCACCAGCAACAAGTGGAACAAACCGCTGTCATGGCCGACGAGATCTCATTTCTGCCCCTAGGCGCCATCATCCAATCTTTTAAGGTTGGTGGCCTTGATATTGTCCAAGGCTTCCCATCCCAGGAACTTTATGCCGAACACAACAGCCCTCATTTTGGTGCCACAATTGGCCGTGTCGCCAACCGCATCTCGGGTGCCAAAGTCGAGGCCTTGAATGGAGGAAAGACGTATAGCTTTGTTGCCAACAACGGACCGAATACCCTGCACGGCGGAAATGTGGGCTGGGGTAAGCGAGTTTGGAAAGGTCCGACTCCGGTGGGCGTCCGCAAGAATATCCCCGGAATCGAAGGCGAGCTCAAAGGTGGAGAAACCGTTGAGTTTTCTCTGATAAGCGAGGACGGAGATGAGGGATTCCCCGGAGAGGTTCTTGCAAAGGTATTCTATACGGCCGGCAAGGTCACCGAGAACGGAAAGGAGGTCACAGTTCTTAGCCAGGAATACGAGGCCGAGCTAGTAGGAGGTGCAGAGGAAACTATTATCAACATGACAAACCATTCGTAGGACTACCTACCCCAATTGACATCAATGATAACAGAGTTTGATGCTAAAAGTTAACAGATATTTCAACCTCTCGGGAAAGCCAACTATTGAAGGAACCGTAGTCCAGCTTTCCACCGATTCTTATCTACCTCTCGATGACACGGGTATTCCAACCACCGGACCAACTGTGTACTCCAAGGTCGCAACGACGACTCCTTTCACACTTGGCGCCCAGGGACCGGATTTCGATGACTGTTTCGTCGTTGACCCTTCCGCCTCTCCCAGCTTTGTACCGATAGACACACGGGGTCTCCCTCTAACTAATCTAGTTTCGGCTCACCATCCAGAGAGCAAGATTCACCTAGAAGTTCTTAGCACAGAGCCCGCATTTCAGTTCTATACCGGCAAGTGGATCGATGTGCCGGCCGTAGGCGGAGCTCCCGCACGGGGGCCGCGCAGCGGCTTCTGCGTTGAACCCAGCCGGTTTGTAAATGCTATTAATGTCAATGATTGGCGGAGTCAGCAGCTTCTAAAGAAGGGTGAGAAATTCGGCGCTCGCATCGTGTACAAGGCATGGAAAGAGTAATTAGGATCATAATTACCTAGGGGACCTGTTTTAGGAACAGACAAGAGCTGCCTATATCTCCTATATTAGCCATTCAAATCTGAACAAAAATCTATAATTCATTTTTATCGCCTTGTTCGACCTCCTCCTTAACCGGCGCCTTAGCCTCCTGTTTTCTATACAACGCGGCGAGAAACTCGCTGCTGCTAGCCTCTTCTATCCCCTTATCCTCGCGCTTTCTTAGAAATCGCGGGAACCGTAAACTAAGCCCTCGCTCCTGGCTGGCTAGTCCGATAGCTGCTGTATACGTCGGAGATAATGTAATGTCGGCAAAGGCCATCTCCCATACTTCCTGCGGTTCAAACCAGACATCTGGCTCCGGACCAGAGTACTCCACAAAGCTAGGCTTTGTCTTGCGGACATTTTTATACCTCCTCGAGTCATTCTCGTCCACATTCGCCTCGCCGTTGTCTTTGCCTTCTTCCTCTTCACCTTGCTTCGAGTCGTTAGAATCAGGCGGCTCTTCGCCGGAACCGTCGTCGTAGAATTTCTTGTTGGCTTTATAGAACGCGTCGGTGAAACCAGACATGCATTTGCAGACGACGTCCAGGGTCCCGGTTGCGTCGTTTCGAACAGCCATGAGCATAGGCGACCACCACTTCGCCTTGCGGCCCTGGCCGTGCCATCCGGCTACCGGTACAAGATCTAGCGTGTCGAATGAACTGCTGTAGTCCTTCTTGACTTTAAGCCACGAATCTAGCCGTTTGTCAGGCTCGTAAGTGGCGAGAAGCGGTTTCCGCCGCGAGGATGGTTTCTTCTCTGTGTCCCCATTATTGAACCCCTTTCCTTTACCCTTCTTTCCTCTCGTTTTGGCTGGTAATGCAAGCGTCTCGCCCTCTTCTACTTCCTCCGCCACCCGATCAGAATCTTCTATCGTGCCACTAGGTGCCGGGAGATCGGGCATATTGTCAAGAATCTTGACCATGATACCCTCGCATTTACTCTCTATAGCCTGCTTGAAGAAATCCAGCACAGCCTCGGAGTCCTGCGATGTAGCGTCAAGACTCTTTACCCAGGTAAAATGGTGCGGTATTTCCGTGAAGAGGGATCGTAATAGTGATCGCCGTTCACGAAAGGGTCGGTCCAGTAGCGGCTGGCCGTTTAGATACATCAAATCGAACGCGAACAGACATACGTCGATTTTGATGCTACCGATGGCAACATCCTTCCGGGCTCTGTTGGTGAGTGTTTGAAAGTTTTTCAATTCTCCTGTTTCGCGGTCCACCGCGACCACCTCGCCCTCCATGATAAAACTCCTGACGTCTTCCCCACGCAGCTTCGGCACCAACTCCACCAAGTCTGGGTATTTATCAGTCATGACTTCCAGATGCCGAGAAAGTATTGACACCTTTCCTTTCTCGTCGCAGTGTACCTGTGCTCGCTGACCGTCATATTTAAACTCGCACGCGAAATCCCTTCCTTGTAGCTTCGTAAGCATCTCAGACAGATCCCGCGTGATGCTCCCCAGCATCGGCATCAAAGGTATGTGCAATGTGAGATCGCATCTCGCTAATAATTCATCGCAGACGCCTATCTGGAGCATAGTAGGGATGATATCGTTATAATTGGGACGCCTTGCGAAGCAAGCTTTGACGATCTCTTCAGCTTTGCCCCACAATTCTGCGAGCTCTTCCTTTTTCAACACCTTGAGCTCGTCGGCGGATTTCAGGGGAAATTCTGCGCCGGGCGGCCTCGAGAGGAGAAATGAGCGCGATAAGGCGATCAGCATCGTGGTTTTCACCGCTCCGATACGTAGATGCTGACATAGCGTACGGACAACGTATCGGCTCTCTTCGCCACCCCGAGCCTCCTGAAGTAGGCGATCCACGATTCGTTGTTTTGCCTCACCGCTACCTTGGCCTTGACTATTAGCCACCTTTACTAGAGACTGATAGACGCCTTTTATAGTAAGAGGTTTCGGCTTCCGCAACGTGAAGCTCTGCTTCTTTTTTGCTTCGAATGCGACGTCTCCCGCATCGCCGTATTTGTCATAGATGGCCTTCAGAGACCGGCTATCTAAGCCGCAGACATTTTTTAGGGCCTTGGAGATGGCTGAGCCTCCTAGGCCGAGTTCTAATGAGATATACGGTGGTGATATTGAGTTCGTGGCAAGCCAAACCTGCGTAATGCGATTAGTAAAATCCGTAGATAAACATAGAGAGTGAACATGTAACTTACAGCTGGTAGTAAGCTCTCAGGATCCCCTTCTATGAGTACGCGGAGGCAATTGACGAGGGTATCTACTATCTTAATTCGGCTAGATGTGCTATTAATGAGTACGAAACAACGCGTCAGAAGGGCATATGACGCGTTCCCACCATCACTGGCCCAGTGCTCCTGAAGCTGTGGTATGTATTTTGAAGGATCAAATGTAAGTGGACTTTCGTCAAACGGTATGTTTTCAGAAACTGTATCCACAGAGGCCGTAACAGACTGTAACGACAATGTGCCTTTACTTTTGATTTCTCCCTTTTTCGGCCCTACTAATGGATCTGACGATGTGAGCGGAACATGAATAGCTTCAAAATTCTCGTCAGACTTGGGTGGATCAGAGACCGCCGCCACGGCTGGAGATCCGGAGACGCGCCCCACAGATTCGGCCTCCTTATCCCATTCCGCTTGGAGTTTCCGCGCGAACTCCTCATCCGTCATCACCTGATCCTGGTTCGGAGCTTCGCCGTCTGACTTTTTATCATCTGGTATTTTGCCATTGGGACTCTTGCTTTCTTTCTGTTTGGAGAAAAAGTACTCAAGTCCTCTCGAAGGTAAGCCGGATGATTTTGGGTTACCGCTATTCAACTTCCGCTTTTTAGTTGGGCTTGACATCTCGAATCTTATGGCAGGAAATACCTAACGGCGTGGGAATTTTGTACCTAGTACCTGCGATCACTCGGTTAGGCACTTACCCTTTCCTTTCGATTACAATTATACGTTACTAACGAGTGTGCGCAATACGCTCTACTGGATTAGGAGAAGGTTGTCGATGATGATGTCGTTGACAGACACCGATGTCATCGCTGTTTCGCATTTGTAATTAAGATTTAATTATACGATAAATGCATCATACGAGGAGAAACCCGGGTTACATAACAGGTAGGTACCTTAGGTAATAGCCTAACTCCGACTTTATCCTTACATAATAATTCTACAACTTCAACTTCAAAACCAAAAGTCATTTTCTACTTTTGGAAATTCTCCTTTATCCGTGAATGGGTGGGCAACACCATTTTTTATCAACAAATCTAGAAAACCACTATTTGACTTTGGAATGAAAGAACTTGGCCACGCATACAGCCAAAAGTACCTAGGTAATTTCTGCAGATCGGCTGCCAGCATCGGCAGACCACAAGAGGGGTCATGTCATGCCTACTTAGGCAGGTAAAGGTAAACGATGGAAGCAAAACAAACAGATAGGAAAAAGATAGACAAGAAGATGGACGAGTTCAATTTCATCACTCTCCCAAATCATACATCCCCGTCTCATCATTACAATAGGCCAAACCAGGCCAAGTCAGCCTGTTGATCATCACGAACAGGATGGCCAGCGTTGGCAACAGAAATCCCAACCAAGACGCTACCATCTCCATACACCATTTTCGTATCACCCGCGCGTGGCGAGTTCGTGGTATTCCCGGTGAAACTAATGCCATGAATAGTCGACCACTGCTTCAGCTGCTCTCCGAAATTAGTGTAGGAAACAAAAGTATCCGCACTTCCGTGGAAGGTTTGCAGGCGGGGGTAGGTTCCGTTCCAGCCCGGTCGCATTGCTTTTGCCTGCTTCGCCCATTGGTCCCCCGTCTTGATGTTCCGGCCGTTGGCGCACGTAGGATCAGCACTCTGAGGACTCGACCCGGGAGACCCTGCCAGGCAGCCTGCTGGAATGCCAGAGTAGCAGGATCCCGCGTTGAATAGGTCCGGGTAAGTGGCCAGGAGCACGTTCGTCATCATGCACCCGGATGACGAGCCTACTGCGAAGATTCTCTTCGGGTCCGCGTTGTACTTGGAGATCATGTACCTCACTATGTTTGCCAGACCAGTGCTATCGCCTCCTCCCTCGTATGTGAGAGATTTTGTGGAGGCAACATCCTATGATATTACCAACTTAGCGAATGTCTAGTCCAGAGTGGTTTATCCACAATAAGGTTTTTTCGAGCTTACCCAGCAGTTATTATCCTTTGTAGTAGAAGGGTAAACCACGATGAACCCTTTCTTGTCGGCATACTGGTCATAATTCGCATCCATGTGATAAAATGCCGCCGATCCACCACAAGTGTGTAGCTATATTAGGTAAGGTAGATATCCTCATTAGCTCCAATGTCATAAATCTCATATTGGGTGAGTTCTTACAGCAAGAATTACAGCTGGCGACGCCTCCAGTTTAGATGGGATATAAGCCTGCACTTGCAAATTTGTTGGGTTCGTTCCCCAATTTGAAATTGGTGTCAACGCAGCACGGGCTCCTAAGCATGTTCCAAGACACACTGTAGAGCGTATAAAGGCGGATAGGCGCATGGTGACTTGGTTTAGAAAATGTTTGAATGGGTCTGGTCTTGAAGAGAAGGATGTGGAATAGTTCAGGATGTCCACCTAGACAGAGACTAGAATGTCGAGGATATCCACGTATTTATAAACCTATGACCGTACGAGCATAAGAGTCTAAAAGCCTGCTAATGGAAGACACTTTGCTTGCTTTTTGAAACTATAGGTACGCTTACCCGTTTGACTGATCCGAAGTTCGTAGCCGGCTAATTTGACATTCCATACGGAGAAAGCCAAGAGCCTTAATGTAACCCTGGTATCAAAGAGGGTTCGAAGCGTTTAATTTCATGTCAATATTTGTTCCCCGCGAACGGTGCCATCGTAGTCTATCGAAATGCCGGTCGAGAGAGCCGCGTCTCTACACAACTACGTACGATCAACTGTCTCTAGATACCTAGGTACACAAGGTAAAGAGGATTTTGGACGGAGTTAAACTTAATTGGGTTCTCGGAGGCGAGTATGGCATCTGTTGACGGAATCTAAATTCTGAAAGGTAACTCAGCTTTCAGGCTCTTTACACAATGACACCGGCCTTAACTCTATAACCCTCCTTGAATACTTTTTCGCTCCAAAACAGTTTACAAAGCCATATGCTTATCTCTCTCCATATCTATTCTTAGCTACTTCGCGACCCAAAACCGAGCGTTATAGTTGATAACTTGATATTATCTTTAATATTATTATTGTGAGATCAACTCCGACGCATGGCTAAGTCCATATTATGCTTTCTTTGATATGCACTCAGGTATCCACGGGAGGATAGACTTGTCCCCTAGGTACATATATACCTACATGCTGAGGTACGAACTTAATGTTATATTGATTATTCGGCTCGTTGTACCCCGTCCGGACACAATCTACTTTGTCTCCTATCATTAACTTGCTTGTAGCTCCTGTGGCTCCTTGGGGATCGTTGCTTCGTTCTTCTTCTGTGAGTTTACTGCATCAAGCTCTTGTGGGTGACTGGGAGCATCCAACTCTGTCTTCACAGCTGACTCTCCGTGTAACTCTGTCTTAGACCGTGCTTCAAGTCTCTTTCGCCTACGACGCCATAGCAACCACGAACTTATACCAACGACCGAAAGTACTGCAAAGGCACCTACAACGGGACCAGCTATCCAAGCACGGCTAGTTGGCTCCGCTGGTTGGGCGTTAAGCAGGGGTAATGAGAGAGTACTTGTCGCTACAAAATAGCCAGTGATGTTATTACAATTTGGAAATATTTGAACACAAGTCGTTTACCACTGCTAGTAGGATTCCGAGTACTGTTTCGGTTTCCGATACTCGTTGTCCAGTCATCTGCAATCTGCAGATAAGTTGTTGTAAAACTCAATGTCGTTGGCCCTCTATCAACCTCCGTTGTAGTTAAGACAACTGTAGTTGCCGGGATTGGCGCAAATTTCGTGAATACAGTGGAAAATAGCCAGGTTGTTGTAACTCCTCCGTTTACTGTTGTGTCTACTCCACAGTTAACAAAAGCCAAATAAGAGGTTGGTGTAATTAAAGTTGTAGATTGTGATAGCTGATCTAGGACGATAAAGACATACTATAAACAAAGTTAGCCAATGTTTTCCCAAGTTACTCAATTTTGTAAGTTGTTCAGAAATAAAATTTATTCTCAAAGGGTAGTAGCAATAGGTGGTCTTCGTCATACCATGGATATGTCCGTGTCACAACATCATAAGAAGTATATGTCGAAGGTGACGAGTTTGGTGTTGATGAAGGCGTAGGAATTGTGCTCGGTTCTTCCGAATCACAATAGGTAAGCAATGGGGTGCCAGATAATACCTCAGTCCAATTGCCCTGATTGGATTCTATGCATGTTTTACACGAATCGCGGTATTTCGTATAATCAGAGTCAGCCGCACACAGACTTGGCACTCTGCCAACCCTCTGTGCTTCAACAACTGCATTATCTAATAGGTGCAGTTTTTCATGTGAGTATGAATTTTCCCAATCAAAAAAGATGTGTAAGGAGGTGGCTCTAGACTTACTGCATGTGCTATAGCACACAGATGGGATGGTCTCGGCCCTAACAGTTATCAGGCTCAACATCCGCATGTCTGGAGGGCAATATGAATTTAGATGGTTAATAATTCGCACAACGTGGAGCTAGAGGTAACGGCAGGCTTTTAAGCAAGACTTTCTCAAGTATGACGCCAAGGTTTCTACTGACCCCAATCTTTCGGTCCGACTTTAATTGGTTACTTGAGACGATCTCTCCAGTCATAGTCTACAGAGTTGTAGTACATGCGGGGATTGACTGAGAATTGTCGTGTCGCTTGCTGACGGCAGACACAAGGTTACACCAGACATGGCATCAACGATGGACTATTTACCAATTCACCATTTTATTGGGCCATCCTGAGATAGGTCAATCATAATATGTAGTGCTACCAACGCGGAAATCTGTATTGCAGGCACTAAAGCTTATTGAAGATTAGAAAGTTTACCTCCTGAGAGTTGTATCTTTACAAAAATTCATAGCCGTAGAATTAGTCTTTTTATTAAAGACCATACTGCCAGAATTGTGGTGCTGGATAGGTGTAAGTATGATATTTCTAGAATTTACACTCTAAATACTACACCACTACCAGTTCAGCGCGACCGGGTGCAACGCCACCCGTACTACGTGACCGTTACACTGCAACTACTATAATATAATAATAACTACCTCTAATATATACATGCGGCCGCGTTGTACCGGTTGTGTTTTATTAGTCGCGTTATAATACGCGAGTTTATACACCGTAAGTGGCTTTACCTAAGCTGCTAAGGTATTTTATTTTGGTTTAAGCGTGTTACATGTAAGATACAGATAGGTACCTAAAGTATGGCTTTACTAACTAAGCTATAAAGGTATGTATAAAGTGAATGTGTTATATACCTATTTTTTGGCTGTACAATTATAGTTACTATTATTTACTTGAGTCGACTTCTTAAATATTAACAGCAACGTGTTTATCAGACTAGGTAAGTTACTACCTTACAGAGGTACTTAATCTAATCTGATTCTGGTATAACTCCACTTGAAAGTGATCCTACAAACTAAGTCGTTGCAGCTAGGACTGGTAGGAATGCCAGTAATGGGTGTGGATCTTATATGACTGGAACAGATTACGGACCGTGGGACCGTGCCACCCTTGTGATGATCATGCAGTTGGGAGAAGATACTTGGTTGGCCCCTGGAACAGGAGATGGTTTCATGCAAATCATCCTCCTCCTTCGAGCGCTGCCGATTTTCCCAAATTTTATATATTCTCCTCGTGAACTCCCCTTCCATCGTCGAATCATCTTCCCCTTCATCAATTATAAAAAATATCGCGAATACCTCAGACTTTGACTCATTTACATCATTGACCTAATTGCAAGATCCACCAGTGAAATTCGAAATGGTGTGTTTACGACCTCCGATTGAAGACTGGCTCAATTGAACCCTGCTAACTCGACGACTAGGCTCGAAACCTGTCACCAGAGGAGATCCAAGTCTTCAAAGAGCTCTTTGACTCATATGTGAGTGTTGGCGATTGCATGAACTGAGAAGATCCTGGACTGACCTCGTTCTAGGACACTGATAAGGGCGGTTAGTGCTTGGTGTTTATCGAGATGAGGGATGAGGGATGAGCTGATGGTGTTTTTACTGACTGTTATTAGGCAACATAAGTGTGGAAGAGTTTGCGAAAGTGATGTCCCAGAGCCCTGGGAAGCAGCCCACAGAAGAGGAAGTCCAACAAATCATAAAAGAGGTGGATCTTGACGGTGATGGAACTATCAATTTCAATGGTAAGGCTCAGTGTCTAGTCCTTATCCAGCATCTGCGGGGGCGACGTAAAAAAAAAAAAAAGAAAAAACCGATTGGAAGGTTATGAGGCCGTATTCACATAACTAATACTCAGTTACCAGAGTTTATCACGATGATGACAGGACAGCCCTACCCGCCGGTAGAGAAAGCAGAAGTTGACTATGTTAAAGCATGGAAGCAATTCGAGCCTTCTCTCAATGGTTCTATTACACAGAGCCAACTCCGGCAACTTGTAGCCGAATTGGGAGAGTCTATCGGCGACGTAGAAGTGGATCAATTAGTCAACAACATAGATGGAGAAGGCAAGATCACTTGTGAGTCGAGTCTGCGCTGTCTTACTTAATGAACATGCGTCTTGGCTAACTGATATTCAGTCCGGGAGTTCGAAACTTTCATGAAGAACCGAAGTCTGGTGGATGAGATTGTGAACGGTTATCGGTGATCAATCTGATATGGCGCTCCTAGCACAAAGCTATGGAGCACAAGAATTGAATCAGGGATAAGAAACGAAAATTATATTGTTGAACTACCTTAGGTAGGAAATGATATAGCGAAGTTCAAAAATAAAGCATGAAAAACAAGAACTCTGATCTAACAACCCATCCAAGCCATTTGACTTCAGTAGATGACCGCACTGGAGTTTCGTAAGCCATCATCTAGGTACCTGGTTACTTCACCTGCAACACAGCCCGCCACTCGCCACTCAGAACACCCGAAACACCGGTAGTGATGCCTTTCCGCGTATAGATACCTCTATACATTCTTTTTTTTACTTCTTCTGGATGCTCTGGAGGTAAGTGAAGATGCCGTCGATCCTCAGCTCCTCGTTGTCCTTGTAGCCAGGCACGTATCGGTCGCCCCACGGCTGGAGTTGAGTGTCTAAGTAGATCAGAGTTAGCACCGCTATTAAAGCACCTAAGTAAACTTGCTTGACGAGTCTTACCCCAGGTGGCAGCTGGCTTCTTAGCACAGATGAAAGTAAAAGTCTCGTTGGTAGCCTGGATAAGGTCGAAGTTGGGAAACTCTGCGACGATGTTCTGCCAAGTCTCGTTGCTGACACCTCGTTCCGGGCCGTTGTAATCGATACCTATGCCCATGCCGGTCACGAACACCTCGGGTTCCTTGAAGTAGGAGATGGTGCGGGTCGTGTGGAGCGCAATGGCGTCAAAGACCAACTGGATGCGGCGGCCGTCCCAGTTATCATCTGCGTACGTGTTGAGGAAGTTCCTCGAGGCGATGGCTCCATCAACTTCGAATCGCTTATCCGTTGAGGTGACTGGGGAGTCAGGGGTCTGGTCCCAGCCGAGATCGTGTAGAATGGCAGCCACGGCTTGCACCTCAATGTCGACGGTATTCAGAAGCGTCTGGTTGTTCGCGATGATCTGGGATCCAAAGAGCCAAGAGCGAATCTGGTGCTTGTATGTAGCGTCATCGCTGTGGTTGCGAGCAAACTCCTTTGCAAGACGGACGATAGGCGTGTCAATGACGGTAAGCCCCGCTATTGTGGTGTTTGGGTAAGGAACATTGCCCAGAACTGGGATACCACTTGGCCTAGATGATGGGTAGTATGGGTAGAAGGGGGCTGAGGCGCTAAGGGAGGCCAAGCCAGCGACAAGAACGAGAGTGCTCTGAGTGACGTGCATATTGGCGTTTGATAGTAAGGCGATGCTAAGGCGAGTTTGTTACCGGGTGGACTCGTTACTAGTCGTTACTAGGTTGGTGATCTACCTATCTGAAGAAACGACGACCTTGATGGTCTATATATACACTCTTTTGGACCCCAGACTCCGGTACGACGGATATTATCCATAACTCCATGTTGGTTTGCTACTGGCACTTAGACCCGTTCACGCAGCTACACGAAATATCTGAGTGTCGCTAGTTGGTCGAGAACAAATCTCTCCTGTCAGCTCTGAGGGTTACGAAAATCGATTTGATTGGACAGGGCTTGATGACATAGTAAGAAGAGATGCGATTGCTGTAAGGTTGCTGTAATGGCGTCTAGAATTAGTAAGTGAAGAAGAGCTGAGAGAGGGCAACAGGGCTGGCCATCTGATTGGTGCGGGACATGTTCTATCGCCAAACCGCGGTTATGGGTAACATTGATATTACTAGTGTGACCCCGACGGATATATTTGACAACTTATAAAATGTAACTCACATTATCACCGGCTATTTTCGCGGAGGTGGGTATACTACCGTAGGTCGTAAAGGCTTACCGTCGACAGCGACGCACGTAACAGTTGAGTTGCACAGAAATTACTAAGGACCAATAGACGACCCCTGCCTCAAACTGCATATACAGTAATGCTCCCCAACACCCCGGGTTGATGCTGATTGAAGCACATAGCATTGTAGCAACTCAAGAGGGGCTAGTCATATCTTGATCTCGAATCAAGCTTCCTAATTCACGCTATATCTCTCGGCCGCATCGAAGTCCCTGCATAAAGGACCCCGGCCATAGAGCCCATCGCGCTGATGATTGGCGAAGTATTACCCATCAAGCATGGTCTGGAAAGCTTAACATCGTAGATAAGAAGCGAATTTCGACCGCCGTAAATAGCAGCTAGAAACTTTACGTTATTTTGCGTGCTCCTTACGTGCCTTTCCCATCGTATGTATGCACGATTCAATTGGAGTGACGAGTCTTTGGTCCTGGTTCTACAGTAAAACTGGCTTACAACGCTGTATTGGGGTAAAATGCCCCAAAGGCAATCGTTGAGAGAGCATGTGCCGCAGTAAAAGTTCATAGCAGTTTTACACCAAGGCAAACTTGATTTTGAGCTTGTCGTTGATCTTTCTTTCCGTGTTGCGCCATATACCAATGGCTTCTCAATATGATTCGCAAGTTCTGTGTTTCCTGACCACGAGGGCATTTTTAAGGGGCACTTCTGGATCCGCGATTCGCTAATTATATCACCATGGAATTTCAAGTTCAAACAAATGCAAAACGACATAGAGAGGTTTCCATTATCAAGATACCTAGAACCCTCGCAAGTAGCATGATCATATTTGATTGGTCCAACATCGAGCCCCAACAGAATCGCTTATCCATTTACTCATCATGTTTGTCGAGACCCGAAAAAGTCACCCTGAGAGCCAAGACTTCAGATTCGTAAGGTTGAACGCGTCCACAGTCGTAGGGGGTGAGGAAAAGTGGCGTAGAGTAGCATGGTGAGCCACAGCCCAGCAAATGAAAGCAGGTCATAGCCAACTATACTACTGCGATGTATAGAAACACTGATATACAAGGTTGTTCTCAGGCCCATCAAAATGAACCTGGTCGACAACGAGCACCTCGGTACCAATGCATACGAGCCTTGGTTCCTGATAATCTAATACTTCCTAACATTTTGAGGTTCGATATGTTGAGCAACTCGTCTGATATCCTGGTCTAGCGAAGCGATTCTTGTTCGGATTAAGAAAGTCGTCACTGCTCAGGCTCATGTGAAGCGAATAGTGCTTAGTCTGTAATATGAACACCATAGCACGGTTGGCCAGTCTCGTGGAATCTACTATCTACACCAACATGTGAGGTATCAATCACGTAGTTTGTGGCAGTGCCCTACCAAGATCTTCACAGCTAGGTACCAAGATATGCCGGTCCTCGACCTTACCGGCTCTAGACCAGCAGCGCAAACAGCTCTAAACCAGCGCCTCTCTTCCCTCTTATTTGTCATGTAGTACATGTGCTATATGAGGGAGTTTCTTGGCCATCGTGGGTCTCTTACGCATCTAGGTAGCTTTCTAGCCTTGGTATTAAGATACATCCTACTATTTCAGGGAATGTTGTACACGATGGGGAAGCCTCGTTGCCATGTGATGTATCATTGCCACCTCTATTTTGTATGTTTGGGGTGTCGGTCCTGACTTTGGGATCCTTGGCAGCCAACGGTTTTGATTGAAACCTGTTTCATTTTGTATTAACATAGTGAGCCGCATGATCTAGAATCACTGATAACTTATAAGGCGGATTGGGTATGGTAAGATAGGATAGGACTCGTGTGCTAACTTCTAAGAGGTATAGACTTCGAATCTATAAAATTACCATACAATCCTCCCCTCTTTTCCATTCTACTCTAATATTATCCCTGTTTTCGATTTCACTTTCGGAGCCGCCTAGCATTGCGTTATTGGTGTAATTTAGAGCTATGGACAATGGTAACGCTTCAGATTCAGACAAACACAACCCCTATCTTACTGATGACCCACTGCTGCTTGGCAAACAACTAGGGAAACATACATTGGGACAAATTTCCAACGATGAAGTTGATGAGCAAGATCTGAGCTCCAGCAGTAGTGCAACCCGAGTTAACTCACCAATCGCTTCCGTATGCAATGGTAAGGAGGGCCATGATGTCGAGAAAAGAGAAGACAACCTTGACGGTATCGATATATACGATCCAGACCGTCCAAAGTTGAAGCTTTCCCGGAGGATGTGAGTACCTAAAAAGCCCATAGCTCAGACTCTAAGGTCAATGGTTTTAGCTTATTCTGAATCTACTAGAACTCACTTCACTTGGGCTTGGTTTACTTTATCCATGAGCACTGGGGGCCTAGCCCTTTTGATTTATGCCCAGCCTCACCAATTTCCTGGACTTCGACAGATTGGGTTCGTCGTATACGTCGCAAACATCGTTATCTTTGTCGGCATAGTCGCCACAATGACTATGAGATTCGTGGTGCATAAAGGCACTTTCAAGACGTCCATCACTCATTCTCGAGAGGCCTTTTTTGTGCCAACAATTTTTCTCGCTATAGCGACTATCATTACGGGTACCCAACGTTACGCTATTCCTCAAGAAACTCCGTCCGCCGTATGGTTTATATCGGCTCTATTTTGGGGTTATGTGGCAGGCTCGTTGTTCGTTGCCATCGCTCAGTACAGTTATGTATTCAGAACGCATAGCCTTGGTCTCCACACTATGATGCCAACGTGGATCTTACCAATATTTCCCATTATGCTCTCAGGGACAATCGCATCCGTTATTGCGGAAAATCAGCCTCAGATGAACGCCATTCCGATCATCGTGGTGGGATTAACATGCCAGGGGCTGGGCCTCTCTGTGGCGTTTATGATGTACGCTCATATGGTAGGGCGTTTAATGTCACGAGGTAAGCTTTGGTATGATGATACACGAAAGGGGTTACCAGCTGAACTATTTCAGGTATGCCAAACCGCGAACATCGAACAGGCTTGTTCATGAACGTTGGCCCACCAGCATTTACAGCTCTAGCAATTATCGGTATGGCAAATGGTCTACCTGATAATTTGGATATCAATGCGGGTATGGTGCTTGATATGACTATAATCAAACCTATCGCAGTTGTATGCGCGATATTCCTATGGGCGCTCTCGCTGTGGTGGTTTGGTATTGCGGTAGTGTCTGTCATCATGTCACCACCGGAATATTTCCACCTCAATTGGTGGGCGATGGCATTCCCAAACACAGGTTTCATATTAGCTACAATTTCCATTGGAAATGAGCTCCAGCATGAAGGCATTCGCTGGTTTGCGACAGGGATGTCTATTTGCTTACTCCTTACGTATTGCTTCGTCTTTTACAATCTGGTCCGAGCTGTTATCGTTCAAGATATCATGTATCCAGGCCGCGATGAAGATGTACTGGACAACACAGATAATTAAGGATAACTAATGGAGAGCGAAATTGTACCTACTTAACCTAATAGGAGGTAGTACTTGGATATAAATTGTTGCATTGGAGATTGGAGGTTGAAGGTTGAAGGTTGAAGGTTGAATGTTGAATGTTAGACGCAGATGTAAATAAAGGGGGAGGGGGAAGGGGAGGCAAAAGAAGATAAGGCTTAGAGAAATAGAATTTTATTATACACGCACTCCTCGCTTTACATAGCATCTCGTACAATTCATCATAACATACCCCGCACTTTACATAAACCGTTGTAGAAGTAAAAATAATATGCCCCACCATTTGCTGGCTTATGCACGTATTATTTTATGTGCGTTTTGATTGGATGACCTCATTACTTTTTTTTCTATTTCTACTGTCTCTCGACGCTGTCGCTGTCAATTCTCCTCCCTCTGCGAATGATTTTATATATAAAAGACCTCTAGCGATAATTCGGATTGAGATTGAATACCTAAGGTTAGTCGTCATCCGCTACTGGTTTGGTCCAGAACCGAATATTTTTCGACCATGACTATCGTCCGTCGAATCGCTTTGCGCCATGGCTCCCTCTTATACCGTTATCCCAATTCCACGAATTCCCTCATTCGCCAATGGCCCAGATTAGCTAGCACTAAAACAGGAAGCAATGGAGCTCAGAGTAAGCGTTGGAGCGCTGGAAAACTCCTAGGTGGGATGTTAGTAGCCCTGGCTGCTGGAAGTGCCGTTGCGTTGTATCCGGCCTTAACCAAATCACCACCGAAACCACAACAAGCCGTTATCGAGTACGAGAAGACACGGCCAACCAGTCACTCTAAAGAGGAAAATCGCGACATAATTAGCAGCCAACATCTCCAAGTAAAGAAGAGTTGGGAAAATCCTGGCGTCTATGCGTGGGGTTCTAACTCAGGTCGAGTAGCCGCACCCGACTCAACCGATACCGTTGTGAAGACGCCACGAAGGATACCATATTTTGATGGCATGCTACTAAGGGATATAAAGCTTGATCGCGACTTTGGAGTAGCTATTACTGAGAATGGCAACCTTGTGCAGTGGGGCACAGCTTTCTCGAAAGCGAACCCAACCCCTGCCGAAACATTGAAGGGTAAAGATCTTGTCAAGGTTGAAATATCGCGAGATCGTATTATTGCTTTGGGGAAGAACGGAACTGTTTACTCGATACCTGTAGCAGGAGCTGACCAGACCTCTGGCAAGAAATCGCATCAGACATCCTGGTTCTCTTTCTGGTCCAGTCCGGAGACCGTCAATTATCGACAACTAAAACCGAAGAACCTCGGCTGGGGCGAAAGCATCATCGATATTGCCAGCGGCTTAGAACATGCCTTACTGCTCACATCCAAAGGACGCGTCTTTTCTGCTGCTTCTAGCACATCTGATTTTCCTTCCAAAGGTCAAATGGGTATACCAGGCCTTACTTGGGCAACCCGACCCGCAGGACCTTATGATGAGCCTCATGAAATTATCAGCTTGAAGGACTTTAAAATTAGAAAGATAGCGGCCGGTGATTACCATTCTCTAGCGCTTGATAACAACGGGTATGTCTTCGTTTTCGGCGACAATACATCGGGCCAGCTAGGCTTTGAAGTAGAGCCTGAATTCCCTTTCATTGATGCTCCTATCCCGCTGCCATTCAACAAACTTTACAGCGGGTCGGGGAAGCAACCGCGAGTAACATCTATTGCAGCCGGCGGTGCGAACTCATTCTTCACTATAGACGCAAAGCGAGTTGCCGGTTCAAAAGAGGATGCCGATTCTGTTAGGGACCTGGGCCGAATTACCGCCGATACCTGGGCTTGTGGCTCTGGCATCCATGGTAGCCTAGGCACAGGGAAATGGACGCACGTTTCACTTGGTCCTTCCAAGATCAAGTCGCTCTCGGGACTCTTCGAGTGGGATGAAAAGACGGATTCCGTTGTTCCCATTCGCCTAGCCCGATTGAGCGCTGGCAGTAACCATGCGGCAGCAGTCATGGAAAACGTTACTTCCGTCAATGCATCTAACACCAGTTCGCCTAGCCATACAAACTGGGGCGCAGATGTACTATTCTGGGGTGGCAACGAACATTATCAGCTGGGCACGGGAAAGAGGAATAACACCCCCTTGCCAACTTATATTGAACCCCTAGATGGCGGGGAAGGTGACGCAGAAAAAGGACGACAAGGCGAGCATCACAGATTTCAGATCACACCTAGGACAACAGTTAAGATCGGAGAGGGCGGCTCGGGAAGAAAAGTTAGTATTGAGCAACGCGTGGAATGTGGTCGTTTCGTGACAGCTGTATATTCCGGAGCATAAAGTTTCAAGGGTCATTTATATGGGAACCTCGTCGGATTCCCCCTTGGTGTATATTAGGAAAAAAAAGATATGGTAAAATGGGATGGGAGGTTGGTTTGAATCTTGGATTGGTGATGCTTGGCATGAGCATGAGGTCTTTTGATCATTATGGATCTATATTGATACCCCCTTCTCAATCTATAACATTTCTTGTACACATCAAAGTCGTACATCACCTTCATTGTACAGCTCTCCGCTTAGGTTACTTGCGTTTGACCCTTCGCGAAGATGTCATCAGATACTAATTCGGGTTGGACTTCAGCCGAGCACGCGATTAATTCTCTGTTTTAGGTACCTCTCAGGTGTGTTGTTGGTTAGGTTAGGTAGGTACCTAAACTTCCAAGTTATACATGAACATGGCAATACTTCTGCTACCCGAATGTTACTGTAGGTATGGATTTCTGTCACGATTCGGTTCGTGTTTGGATTTCCCCGCACCGAGCCTCTTGATTTCAGTAGTATTCGATGATCGGTCCCTTTCTAATCCAAGTAACACCTACCTAACCTATGCAGACATCTGTCATTTTCCATATACGGTCCATTATAGTAATTATTTCTCTTGCTACCTTTTTTTGCGTTTCGTGTATATATGCGTTCAAGTCGCGAAATCGGCTTTTTCCCCGAAATCCCGAAAGGTTCCCCTTATCACTGCCTTCGGTAGAATAAGGGGTAGAACCACCAACAAGACACTACACCAAGCGTCCAATTCCTTGAGGTGTATCTATAATAGAGTTAACAGGACAAACTTTTACAATTACGAATTATTGATGCGGCAGTTCTCCAGAATAAAACTGAGCATTCGCTTTGACCATGTCTCGAAAGATTCACCCAGCATCTCAGCCAGATTGGAATAATCTTAGCATTCTTCACAAGAACACCCTTCCTCCTCGAGCCAATTTCTATACGTATAACACGGTGCAAGATGCCCTGGCCTTTGACAGCACCAAATCCAATACCTATTCGCTCTCAGGAACTTGGAAATTCAAGTTTGCAGAAAATCCATTTGAGGGCCCGGAAGGATTTGAGGACCCGACCTTCGATACAACAGAATGGGACAACATACCTGTGCCTAGCATGTGGCAACTGAACGGCTACGGAAAGGGGCCTCACTATACTAATGTCAATTTCCCCATTCCCGTTGACCCACCTAATGTACCTTTTGATAGGAATGAGACCGGGTTCTACGTCAAGAAATTCACGATCTCCGAAAAACTTAGGAGCATGCAGCTGAGGTTGAGGTTCGAGGGAGTCGATTCTGCTTTCCACGTCTGGGTGAACGGAAAGGAGGTGGGGTATCATCAGGGGTCACGGAACCCGTCCGAGTTCGATGTCACAGGTGTAATCCACGAAGCGAGCGAAAATACTGTCGCAGTTCAAGTCTATCAATACTGCGATGGCACTTATATCGAGGATCAGGTAGGAGCTACTATTATTGAACCTCTTCCACAACGCAGCCTGTTTCGCTAACAATTCGCCTCTAGGACCAATGGAGGATGAGCGGGATGTAAGCTCAATAACCTTTCCCAGTGTGACAATCAACTAAAGAGCGCATAGTTATCGTGACGTTTACCTTCTTGGGTTTCCACCAGAGTCGCGTATTGAAAACCTATTCGTCCAGACAAAGCTAGACAGCCAGTATATCAATGCGGAACTGAAAATCCGGGTAGATATTACCGGGACCGGCGAACTCCAAGTCGACCTTTGGAATCCATCTAAGAGCAAGGTCATTGCTACGAAGGCAAGACCCGTCTCTCAGGGATATCCTGAGTTCTCTCTCTCCCTACCGAATCCTTCAAAATGGACGGCAGAAACACCAACACTGTATTACCTTGTTGTCTCTTTAAACAATACGAGCTTCGTTGCTCATCGTGTGGGATTCCGACAGGTAGAAATGAAGGACGGCTTAATTAAAGTCAATGGTCGCCGGATCGTCCTTAGAGGTGCTAATCGACACGAGCATCATCCTATGTTTGGGCGTGCTGTACCGTATGAATTCATGAAGCGGGATCTGATTCTTATGAAAACCCACAATATCAATGCGATCCGAACCTGCCACCAACCAAGCGATGTCCGCCTATATGATCTAGCTGATGAGTTAGGAGTAAGTTGTCCACATAGTATTTCATATAATACCTTAATCTGACAAGAACAGTTCTGGGTCATGGACGAGGCCGATCTTGAATGTCACGGCTTCGAGTCAATTTGTAGGTTCATCCTGACGCGTGAAACCATCAATAGTATTGACTGATTCGTACCTAGGTGATGCAGCGCTCTCTCCTGCGGATAGGGCACTTCCATTCCGGGAGCGACAACTCCTCACACGAAAGGATGCTGCTCAGTGGACAACAGATAATCCTGCTTGGGAGCACGCCTATGTGGACCGCGCGAAACAACTAGTTTACCGTGACCAACTTCATCCCTCTGTTATAATATGGTCTCTTGGAAACGAGGCTTTCTTTGGCCGGAATTTCAAGCCCATGTACAATTGGATCAAGTCATATGACGACAGCCGACCCATACATTATGAAGCCGACATATATGCTGAGACCATGGACATGTACTCAACCATGTACCCACCGATAGAAACCATCGTCGAATTTGCGAAGGACGATTCTAAACGCAAGCCCCTTATCCTATGCGAGTTTATTCATGCGATGGGCAACGGTCCAGGTAACATTAAGGAGTATATCGACGCTTTTTACAGTCATCAGAAACTTCAAGGCGGCTTTGTCTGGGAATGGGCGAACCACGGTCTCCTTAAGAAAGATGAGGAATCCGGCGATGAGTTCTATGCCTATGGTGGAGACTTTGGTGATGAACCGAATGACAGCAATTTCATTATGGACGGGGTATTGCACTCTGACCACACACCAGCCCCTGGATTGGTTGAATACAAAAAGGCGATTGAGCCTGTCAAGGTCGTGTCCTACACATCGCACACAGCCACGATCATCAATAGATATGACTTCATTACGCTTGATCATATTGAATGTACTTACGTTATCTTAGACGAGGGCGAACCAACCGCTCATACTGGCAAGATCGAAATCCCATCTGGCATACAACCTGGCCAAACCGCCGAATTAGCACTCCCCCCTCGATCCAGGAATTCAACTGGAGAAGAAATATTACAATTGAATTTTTGCCAACGCGCCGCTACCCCGTCTCTTCCAGCTGGGTTTGAAATCGCCTTCGAAGAGATCCCGTTAAATAACCCTTCCCTTCCCCCTTCCCTTCGGTTTCAGTCACCTGAAAACTTGACTATTACTGAAACATCGACTCTTTGGTCAATTTCGAGCCCGGGTACATCATGGACTTTTTCGCCCGTCCACGGAAAACTACGATCCTTCAGAAAGAATCACACCGAGCTCCTAGCTGTGGGTCCAGAGTTCACCGCTTACCGGGCACCGACGGATAACGACGCGCCTCAAGACGGGCGCGACTGGAAAAACAGGCTGTTGCACCTTGCTAAGTGCCAGACGCGTAGTTGCCGGCTGGATACCGAACCAGACGGACACGCTGTCGTAATCCGGGTGGAACAGCGATTTTCTCCGCCTGTCCTTTCGTGGTCCGTTGATCTCGACATCACTTACACGTTCTTCGCATCGGGTGCTCTCGCCATACGCGTCAGGGGCAAGCCAAAGGGGTTGAACTTGCCACGCACGCTTCCGCGCATAGGCATCACCATGCAGCTGCCAAGCGAGTGGGCCGGAGGAAATAAGGATGCGGCGGCCGTGACTTGGTATGGACGCGGGCCGGGCGAGAGCTACAGGGACAAGAAGTTGTCGCAGCGCCTGGGCGTATATCAAGTCGCCCAGGTGTCCGAGCTCTGGACCGACTACGAGTACCCCCAAGAAGGCGGCAACAGGACGGACACGCGATGGGTGAATTTCACGCATGTCAGTGGCGAATCGCTCGCGGCTCGGTTTTCGGATCTGAATGACCCCGATACGAAGCGGAAGCTGTTTGATTTCAACGCTTCGCATTACAGGGTGGCAGATGTGGAGGCGGCGAAGCATCCCTACGAGTTACGCAAGAAGAAGACGGAGAATGTGGTCTTGAGACTTGATGCGGCGCACCACGGATTGGGAAGCGGCTCTTGTGGACCAAGTACGAGGGATGAGTACCTGTTGTTGACAGAGGATTTCGAGTTTGTTGTTGTGTTATCTTAAAGCCTTGCTAAGGCCATGACTTCTTAGAAGCGCATCGCAACTGTTTCCACAATTTATATCGCTTCCATGTCTATATCGACATGAAGATACAATGTATGGAAAAATAAAAATAAAAATAAACTGGGTTATCGGTATTGCTTGAACTTAGCTTGAACTCGAAGTATTCATACAACAGTAGACCATTCAGCGATTCCTCATCCCTAAGCCGATTGTGACAGACTACTCCATTAGCGGTTGGTTGATTGGTAAAGGCGTGCATGTATATAGAACACAAAACCGCCCCCATGTTGCAGCACACTAGTTTCTTCCACACAACTGTGCGTTACCATTGCAGTGCAACTATATTTCGCAGATCACCCTCCTCTGAGGCTTCTAGTCCAAAGTACGTAGCTACCTCTATGTAATAAACTATTGAATATCTTGATACCCCAATTCCTTATCCCAATTCCGGGGCTTTGTTAACTTTATGCGTTCCCAATGATGGGAGCTCTTACTCTGGATCTACATCTTACGAGAGGGAAGTGAGCCTCGAACAGCAACGTCTCGTGAGACAAAGCTCAAAAGATTCGGAAAATGGGCTTCATTACCAAAGCACGCCTGATTTATCTGGAGCAACTGAGCTTTCTTCGGAGGTTCGTCGATAATGGACAGCGTTATCAAACAATTTGAAAACCGGATATTTCAATCGGACAATTTATTTCCTTCGTGGCTCGATTCCGATCCTCCTTCCCTCAGTACAGAAACCCAGGAAAGCGCGCCAAACATGTCTCCAGAGGAACCGCCGATTGATATCTTTTCCGGTCATCTTGAACCCTTTGGGAATTTATCTCATGAGGATGTTGCGGGCCGACTGTTTACCGGTTCAACTTCAAAGAAGCCCAATCTCTTAAACCCAACGAATTTGAATCCTGCCTTTTCTGTATTGCCACCATTCGACGCAGTAGATCCATATACTGAGCTCAGTGGGCCCTCAAGTAATAAGGAAGACACTTTTTTGAAGCTGAATTCAACGAGTGCCGACGAGCAAATCGCATTCACCTCGACGACACAAGGAGACTTGAGTCCAGGTATGTATGATTTCTTTCTACCGGATATATCCTTCAAATTAGTAGCCATGAATTAATTGCCTCTTCCGCTCATATCAGGGTGGAATCCTGGCATGGATAGTACGGGAATTAATGATTCTGACAACAAACTGGAAAATGTTACCAGACAGAAGAATTCTGAAATAGAAACTTCTCAAGAAGCTCTCGGAGATCGCCTCAATCATTCATTATCAAGTCCGTTACCAAGTGCATGTAGCTCGCACCCGTCGAACCTAGGTAACTCGAGCAACGTAACCGAATACGACTCGATGAACTCAAGTGACTTTGAAGACGAGTTGAATTGGGTAGATCACGGCGTCCTCCAACCACTTATATCACCCATATTAGACGAACTACTGCAGAAATATTTCAAGACTCTTAGTCTGTCTAGATATCCGCTAAACACAACTCCTTCCGGAAGCACGCCATCACGCCATCAAAATCCCGCAACGACTCAGCAACACGGCGAATCTGCCAGCAAAGACGCAATACCTCTACCACGTGGTAAGAGGGGTTACAAAGACAGTAACCAGCATCAATCGGGAGATGAATACGAAGATGAAGACAAAAATCCAAGGAAAAGAACTAGGTACCTAGATCCGCCCATCGAAGTTCAGCCGACTTTCTGGGCATGTCCATTTTCCAAATGGAAACCGCTATCCTATCGTAAATGCTGTCAGTATATCTTAAAAGACATTTCCAGAGTAAAGCAGCACCTTCGTCGCTATCATGAGAGGCCACCCTATTGTCCCGTCTGCTGGAAGGTATTCCCGGAGGAGGATGGGTTTGAAAGTCACATCCAAAGCCGCACCTGTTCTCCGCGGCCTAAAGCGGATCTAGAGGGCGTCACGTCAGTCCAGCAGAAGCAACTCGAGCGCCGTTCCGACAAGCAACTCACGAAGCGAAAGCAGTGGTACGCAATTTACGACATATTGTTCCCAGGACAACCACATCCGGACAGCCCGTATTTGGAGAGCGACCTGTCTTCGGAATTGTTGTCGTTCGAGAAGTTCATGGCTACAGAAGGGCTCCAGATTGTGGAGCGTGCGGCTCGGGAACACATCCCGCACGATCTGATGCCGCTTCAGGACGAGGTGCTGGCTTTCTCGCAAACCTTATATCAGCAGGCCATACCTCAGATACTCAGAAGGTACGACGCCACGAGACCTGTTCATAACAGCCCTGATATACTCAAGGGATCCGGGTTACCGTCGGTGAGTGGAAATGATTGCGATTCCGGGCGTGGGACCTTATCCCACATCAGCCACGATAGGGATAGCGGGGATCCAGAGCAGGACAGACAGGAAGCACAAGATCTCGCTATGGCAGATCGGATTGACTGTACTGGTTTCAACTTGGCGCCGGGTGATGACGCTCAGATACAAGCGTTGTGGATTACAGATCAAGCTATGGGGGACGCAGTCCAACCTCACGATATACACACCGTCGACACAAGCGTTCCAACAGGCCCCCAACATCTTACACCTTACGCGCCTCTGGATTCGCCGTCAGGTTTCACCTTCGATAACTTCGACGAGCAGTTATTCGCATCAGGTGGGGCCGCAACGGGGCTCGGTGGCGGCCAAAACGGTATTTGGGATGCTGATTTCAGCGCCACGCTTGGAAATGATGGGTTATTGGCATCGACAGGTCAATTTTGAAATTACTATTAGATCTAGAATTACAGTCGGTGGTTTTATGGAGAAAATCTGGTTTTGGTGGCAGATGAGAATAGATGGTCAGATGCGGGACACGACGACCATCTATAGCATATAAGTTTTCTAGTTAACAGACAGGTACCTAAGTTAGTGGAAATCAAAAAGGATGGGATGTGATTATCAGCATTCTCGATGAGGCTTTTAGAACAAGCGACTCCTTCGTTCCGCATGATATGTCTAGGCCTTCCGTTAATTCCCTGCATTTACTCTTTGGGGGAGAAATTGAGAGATAAACCTACCATACGAACAAATATAAACGATTGCTATATATTTCTGAACTTAATATATAACTAAAACAATTAGTGTCACGTAATTATGATAATATAATAGGATTGTAATAATTATTATGTGCCTTAAGTTTACGAAAAGTTATTATTATTAACTTACATTAAATTAATTTTTCCTAAATAAGCTTTTTTATAAAAAACGAAGGAAATTTTAAGCTTTTAATTAAATGTAATAGTTTTTATAATATAAATCCAATAAATATATTAAAAAAAAATTAAAAAATTTATTTTATATAATTTTATATTTTTTATACTTATATAATTTTTATTTATATATATTTTTAAAATGTAAATATTATAAATTAATAACCGAGGAAATTACATTTAAGCTTAAAAATAGGGTTTTAATATTTTTTAATACGAATAAATTTTAAAATAACTTTATAAAAAGTAATAATTTAAATGATTTTATGTAATTTTAACTAAATTAATTAAATTATATTAAATCATATAAAAATGTTATAAACGATAATAATAAAAAATAATAAAAAATATTTCATATAATTATTAAACGTTTTTTATGTATTTAATTATTTATTTTAAGCTTATTAACTATTAATTTAAGTTTTATATTTAACCTATATAAAGGGAAAAACTTTAAGCTTTTTTAACGAACATTTTAACATTTATTTAATACTTAACTTATATTATTATTATTTACTTAAAAATTAAAATTTATTAACATTATATTTTAACGAACTTAAGTGTAAATTCGTGTTACGAACCACGGCCCGATGAAGCCATACCAAGTATGGAAGCGGGGGACAACCAACAACGTTTTCGGTTGAACGTCGGATAATTGGATCTTATGGATCTTATTGATCTTAGGGATCCTACAAGATCCATAAGATCCCTAAGAACCACAAGATCCACGATAACCCCCGAACAAGATCATAAGGGTAAAAGAGGGAGGTCTACGGGATATTTAAACCATCATGTATCTAGTCATTCATTTACGTTTCCTTAGCTATCAATCTAAGTCTTATATCTCACCCATATAAGGGGAAGGACTCCAAGCCTTCCTGACGAACACTTTCAACGTTCTATTGACACTTGACCCGTATCGTTACTGTTTACCTAAAATCAAGACCCCAGTTATTACACTCTAACGGACCTGAGTGTAGGTTCGTCACAATTCGTTACATAAATTTAAAATTATTAAATAATAAATAATTTAATTATTTTATTAATGGCAATTATATGACATTATGACGAACTTACACTTAGGTCCATTAAAATGTAATAACTAGGGTTTTGATTTTAAATAAATAGTAATAATACGGGTTAAATGTTAATTAAATATAAGAAATATCATTAAAAAAGCTTAAAGTTTTTCCCTTTATATAAATTAGATATAAAATTTAAATTAATAATTAAAAAAATATAAATAAATAATTAAATATATAATATTTTAAATATTTTATAAACTTTTTTATTTATATATTATTTCATTTAATATTTTTACAGTTCTTATGGTTTTTAAAAATCTTAAAGATTTTATAAGATTTATAAAATTTATAAAATCCATAAGATTTAATTATCTAAAGTTTAACCGAAAAATATTATTAATTATCCTTTATTTCTTTATTTAATATAGCTTTTTTAAGCCGTTAATTCGTAATATTATTCCTTTTTTTCTTAGTTTTTTTATTTTCTTATTCTCTTTCATTTTCTTAAATATTAACTTATGTTTTATAATATTAAAATATATTATTAAATTTATTATAAAAGTTAAGCGTAAACTTAATTAAAAAGTTATTTATAAAACTTATATTTTTTTTATTAAAATTTTTAATTTTTATAATTTCCTATATTTTTACTGCTTTTATATTAATAAAATATTTTATTTTTTAATTAAAAATTTCTTTATTTATCATTATTACGTTAAAAAAATAATAATTATTTAAATTATAATATAATAAAAATAAATTTTTTAAATAGTATTTCATTAAAATTATTTTAATTATAAGAAAAATATTATAAAATTAAGGAGAAATTGCTCGGATTTAATAAAAAAATTAAAACTTATTTCATTAAGATTTGTTAATATTAAACGTTAATTAAAAAACGCTAAAATAACATGTTTACATATATTAAGTAGTTTAATTAATTTTAATTTTAAAAAGAAACTTTAAAAATTAAAGCTATTAAAATTATATATTATAAAGAAAAGTTTAAATATTTAGAAAAAGAAAAAAAAGGTAAGAATTAAAGTGTTTTTAATTAAATTAATTTATTTATACTTTTTAATTTTTTTAAAAGTAACCCCATGTTATGAGTTAATAGGCAACGAAGCCATACCCAGTATGGAAGCGGGGATATTAACCAATAACGTTTCGGTTGAACCTCGGATATATGGATCTTATGGATTTTATGGATCTTATGGATCTTATTAAGAAACATAAGATCCTTAAGATCCCTAAAAACCATAAGATTTATAATGCCTTTAGTAGAACATTAAGTAAAGAAAAGATTTACGGGATATTTAAAAACCATTATATATTTAGATATTTATTTGCATTTTTTTAATTATTAATTTAAATCTTATATTTAATTTATATAAGGGGAAGGATTTTAAGCCTTCTTAATAAATATTTTTAACGTTTTATTAATATTTAACTTATATTATTATTATTTATTTAAAATTAAAACCTTTATTATTATATTTTAACGGATTTAAATGTAGGTTTATTATATTTTAATAGTTTTTTAATTAATATTATTATTAGTTAAATGTAATATGAGTGTTAATTTAAACAACAATATTTCTTTATTTACTTAAATTAATTATAACCTATTTATTTTAAAATATTTATTAAACAAATTTCCTGAAAATTAACTTTTAATAAAAATTAATTAAGCAAAATAATATAATAAACCTAACGTACTACTTTTTAATTACATATTATAATTTATTAATAATATGGTTTTAATAAAAATTAAATCCTAAGTTAGATTATTTAAAGAGGAAATAAAAAAAACGATTAAAATTATTAATAAAGAAAAAGAAAAGACCTTAACCTAAGGAAAATAAATTAACCTTTTAGGGGAAGGACTTTAAAAGGTATATTAAGATTATAAAAAACTTAAGAATTAGGTTAAAGCCTTTAAAAAGGAATTAACTTAACTTAAAATTAAAAAAGATAAAAACCTAAATAATAATCTTAATAATAACTTTAATAAGGACTTTAACTTATAACCTATAAGGTAATAAAAACTTACAGTTTTATTATTATTTAATAAGGGATTTAGGCTTTTTCTATCATTTAAATATAATGGTATTACAGATATAAAAGCCTAATTTAATATAATTAAACTTTATTTAATTTTTTTTTAAATTAATTTTAATAAAAATAAGTATAAGGTTTTAATTATATATTAATATTTAAAAGGTAATACCTTTAAATAGCTTTAACTTATTATAAATAACTATTTTAATAATATTTGAAAAGAAATAAAAGAATTTTAATACGTTTTTAACAAATATTCTAACTTCGAAAATAAAATAAGATTAATGTTTAATAACCCATTTAAAAAAGAAGATACTTAAAAAGTAATTTAGAATTTTAAATAAATTAAAAGAGCTTTAAAATACGTTATTAAATTTAAATAATTTATAATAATTATTTAACTTTTTAAAAATATTTAATTTAACTATTTTTATAAAAGATTAATTATATAAATTAAAAACAAAATCTTTAAAAAAAAAAACTTTAACATATTAATAAATATATTAAACAAACTATTATTTATAATAAGAGATTATATAAAAGATTTTAGGAAAAGAAAATTAAGAAGCTTATTTTTATTTGTACTAAAAAAGAAATAAAAGAGGTTAACTTTAATACAATTAAGATAAAAAAGTTTAAAAAAAATATAATTAAAATTAAATGTTATAACTGTAATAAAATAGGCCATATATTTAAAAACTGTAAGGTATTTTGTAAGTAGCTTAAAGTATTAAAAGGACAATCTGAACCTCAAGTTGCAAAAATAATATCTTTAAGAGCGTTTAATATTTAAGTTTCTTAAATTGCTTTAAATATTAAGAATTATATTATTATTAATAATTATTACTTTTAAAAAAACATTTATAAATATAATAAATAAAATTGCCCGCATTATTCTAATAATGAAAAAAAATAAATAAGAAATTAACTTATATCTTAATTATTTTTATTAACTATTAAGGCTAAACGGGGATAGGACATGGATAAAAATTGCTTATAAAAAATGCCTAATTATATTAAAAGGTAGTATAATTACAACCCAAAAGAACAAATACTTATAATAATTATCGAAAATAATTTAAAGGGTAAATTTTAGGTAATAATTTAAATAAATAATTATAATAAGGACGAATTTTATAAAATTATAAAACTTATAAATAAATAAGAAATTGCAATAAAATAATGAGAATATAAATAACTTTTTTATAAATTAAATAAAATGGAATAATAGATAATAAATTATTAGACGTATAATTATAATATTATAAATACGGATTTAAAATGGCTAATTAAAAACAACTGTGCTTATATTTAAAAATAAATCACCAAATAAAAGAAAGAATAAAATAAGGAGTTCTATATATTCCCAATAAATTAAATAACCTTAATACCAATTATTACAGCCCCTATCTAATTATAAAAATTAAAAATACAGTATTTCCCAGTTATTAAAAGATTATAAGAGAAATAAGTGGTATATATTAAAAGAAAATCTATTATAATTACTATTAATAAATACCTTAGAATATAAGGAAAAAGAATATTAACTATAAAAGCTAATTTAAAAACTGTAAGAACTAATATCCAAAGGATAATATATATGTTATAAAAAGCTATTAAAATTGAATAATTATTGGATATAAACGGATGGATTTCCATCCTTAGTATTAAAAAGCCTAATTTAAGGTTAAAAACATATGTACATAATCTATAATAAAACCTAAAATATAAAAAATATCATAAAATATCCT